GAAAAATAAATAAATAAAAAGCTTTTTCAACAAAATAAGCTTAAGCTATATTACCTAGGTAAAATTGCAGTAATTGAAATGGTTGGTATTCCTGAGCGGTTACTTTTATAGCAAGTAATTCTAATTGCAAAAGCTAAACCAAAACTGAAAAACTGACAGATACTAATCAATAAATTTATTAATGAGGGAAACCAAGAATCAGAAATTCAGCATTTTATAAAGAAGTCACATGAGCCCTGGGTGTTCCAGATGTGCTCTGCTAGAACAATGTCTCTCATATAAAATGTCTTTTTGCACTTATTGAAGATGAATATCCTAAAATCTGGTTGAGTGTGGAATATCCTGAAAATTGGGAACAAATAAAAATCAAAAGCATTGCACTCCTAATTCATACAATGGAAAAAATTGAACACACTAGACAACCTATTTTTAATAGAAATTTTAAAATTTGGAAGGAATTGTTGATAAAATTAGTCCCACCAACATCACCACTCATTCTGTTCCTGTATCACCACATATTTTACTGTGAGGGTCCATTACAACAATTAAATTCATAGGGCAAAGTGGGACTCAAAACACGTACAAGGTTTATTTAGAAACAACTTAACCCTTACCTGCTGCACAGATTTAAGACAAAATCACTATGGTGTCCTTCAGCTGGCTCCAGGTACGCCAGAAGCAACACTCCCATTCGCTCTTAGAGGTAAAAACATAGGCTACATTGGCACTAACACTTTTTGAAATGAAGTTCTAACATCTGACATATATGAATTTCCATATTTTTCCGTGTATAAGACGAATCCAATTGTCTGGATTTTCATTTCAATTTTAGGATTCTGGTGACTCTAAAATATTGTTTTCTTAATTTTGGATTCCAAAAAAATAGGGGTCATCATATGCATTGGGGGGGGGGGCGTCTTATACATGGAAACATGCAGTACTAAGGAAAAGTACTAAAGATTCTACTGATAGCCTGAAGTAGCTATGGGAACAAGATGTTGCTACCAGTATTGATCAGGATAAATGGGAAGGCATTTGACTCGATGTCCACTCGATTAAAAAAAAGCCTTTCAGGTAATAAACAGATGCTACGTGTCTTCCCATACCCTAAGCAAAATAACCAAAATAACCATGTAGCTGAAGTAGCTTTCAATTTCTTAATTCTGTTTCATAGAATCGTAGAGTTGGAAGGGACCTTGAGGGTCATCTAGCCCAACCTCTGCAATAAATAAACTTTGTTTTTTATTTAAAGCAAGGACCCAGTTGCTATTGGCTCTTCCTCTTTGGGGTTGCAAAGCTAGTTGTCTCAGCCAACCTACTTGTCTCAGTCGGGCTCCTGTAGCCTTGCAAGCTCCATGACAGACTGCTGTGCCACAGGTGACGTTGCTCTTAACATGACTCAGCTGAAGCCACAAAGTTGGCAATCTCATATGTCTTTCTGTTTCAGGATCCACTCCATCAATATAGGATTGGACTTTGCCAATTTATTTGTTTCCTGTTTGTAATGTGCTTTTTATTCGTTTGCATCTTTAAATTGTTTAACTTGGTTGCATTGAGATATAGCTTTGTTTACACAGAGCATATGGCATACAACAATCACATAAAAATAAAAAACAAAAAACAACACGCAGATAAACGTTTCTGAATATATTAACAAAACTGTGTCAGTGTATATACCAAAATTATTAGTTATTACAGATATGAAATAATGTATTGCTTAGATTGGAGACCATAACTATAAGGTATTTTGTATCAATGTCAATTATAATTTATAGGAATTTATAGGAAGTGGGGGAGGGATGAAAGGGAAAAAAATAAAATATGTACTTCATGCATGCCAGTACTTTGGTTACTGTTCTACCATATGCCTCAATATTTGTGTAATCAATAATGTGACACCAGATTGCATTAAAATTGTCATTTTTCTTTTGGCTTCTTACTAGTTTTGATGTTTTTGTGTTAGTTTTTCCAATAATGCTGTTTACCAAATTGCATTATATCATTGGTCCATAGTTAATAATAGTTGTTCTTGCAGTAACTGATAGATGTGTTATGAGTTATTTGTTTCTAATTGCAACATAACATGAGTATATTAGTAGCACCAGTCCTGTGGTCACGGAGACTATCTGCCTTGTAATCAAAGATATTTTTGTAAATACATTTTTCCAGAATGTTTCTATTTTTGGATATTCCCACCACACGTGCCATTATGTCCCTAGTGGGACACCATCTCCAACACATGGGAGATCAGTTCGGTTTTATATAGGCTAGGTGTCTTAAGTGTTAAGTGCCTACCCTGCACAATTCTAATGGCCTGTTCTCTGTTGTTGCTAAAATGGATTTGTATGGTGCTTTGCCAATTTCTTTGTTGCTGGTAGGTGGTTAATGGGGACCCCTTTCCCACACTTCCTATCAGGGAGTTTGATAGGCTCCAGAGCAATGACCTCTCCTTTCTCTGCTCACTTGGGTTCCATAGGACGGAGAGGAACAAGTCCAGGGGTGGATTTAGGGGCAAGCCAAGTATGGCATAACCTAAGGCAGTGTGTCAGATGCTGTTGTGGTTGCTCGAGAGTAGCCAGGCAGGACTCCGACCTGTCTTTTACAGGCTTTATTTTTGGTGCAAACTATTTACAGTGAAGAGCGTCGTAAGTTCATGTCTGGCTCAGTTGCTAGCAGAATCCGGGAGTGGTCTGTTCTTGTACCTCCCCCAACATAAAAATTTCGTCACCCCAGCCTTTTCCGCCCCTCCTTGCGCCTCAAACTGCTGCGCATGACGGGCAATGGCAGGAGTGTGCTTCCCTCCTCTCCGGCTCGCTCAGGCGCGGTGTTAAGGCTCTTTCTAGCATCCTCTGGTCCCTGCACCTCTTCTCCACTGGAGGTGGGGCTTTCCTCCTCGATGGAAGAAGAACTGCTTTGCAAGATTTTCAGAGGCTCCTGGTAACACAACTCTCCCTGTCTCTCGCCTCTGAGCTGATGGCAGTTCCCTGACTGAGTGGTTCTCAACCTTTTTCATCTGGACCACACTTTCAGAATAAAAATTTGCTCGCAAAACGCCAAGTTGCTTATTGATAAGAAATAGATTGGAAAACACAACTATGATTGTCCTCAGTATCACTTGATGCTCTTACTCTCATTTTGAAAATATATCTATCCATATTTTGCAATAAAATACTATACTACACTGAAATGTTTCTGATGGTCCTTGAATCTTCCCACACTTGCCATCCTCTTCTGCCACACCAGTGTGCTGCCCCACACCCTTTGAGAACCACTGACCTAGGGCCTTACATCATGAGGACCCACTAAATATATTGGATGTTACTAAGACTTATTATAATGGAAAAGGCTTTACCTTAAATAATGTTTCATATGAAATCCACCACCCAGATTCCAACTTTGACCCATCAAGTTCCCTTCCAGGGCTGTGGGACTACTTGCATCACCCACAAGTTGCCAACCCTTCCTCAGACCTATATAGATGTGTGTACCATAGTGGGAATTACAAACAACCAGAGATAAGGGCTGGAAACTTCTTTATTTCAGGAGCAGCGCAAAACTGAAAACTAGCCCGTTTAGCCCCACTCCCACTGCCTTGGCTCTGTCCTCTCCCACCTTCATCTTCCTCTCAGACCCTTTCCATGCCTCTAAATCAGGCATAGGCAAACTCAGCCCTCCAGATGTTTTGAGACTACAGTTCCCATCATCCCTGACCACTGGTCCTGTTAGCTAGGGATGATGGGAGTTGTAGTCCCAAAACATCTGGAGGGCCATTTGCCTATGCCTGCTCTAAATACAACTCAGGGCATGCAGCTCACCCACCGCAACACCACAGGAACCTATTTATCTAATCTGAAGACCATTTTAAAGACTACATTTAACATCTCACTGGCCAAGCAACTCCATTTAGCTTTCACTATGAAGAAAATTTTTGAAAGTGGGTGTCAGAAGGGAAAAACAAAGCAGCAGCTCAAAGGCCAGCTAAAACTTATGTAACAAAACTTGGCAGCTTCTTCATGGCAGCTAAGCCTGATCCACAGCCCCCACTCCACCTGCTGGGGTGGTTTATAGATAGGAATCAGAACGCGACTAGTCCACATGAGACTGTCTTAAGAGCCTGAAACCACAGAAGGAAACAGACACGGCAAGCCCCTTGCTCAGGGGGAGGGGGAGAGACTGAGGGGGGAATGTCACCCTGGACCCAGAAAGGCCCCTCCATGTGTCAACATTTGAGCATCTGTGAGGGGCAGGGGCTCCTGCCTATGAACCCCAAGCTGACCCACCCAAAGTCAGGGATCCTCCTGCAAGTGGGTCTTCTTGAGAGAGTGGGCCAGAAAATGCCTTGAGAAACATGGGCGTAGCCTGGATTTTTGTTGGGGGTGCAGAACCTCAGTTAAGTATTTGATTTTTATTGATTTGGGGGCAGCTGCCCCCTTGACTGCGCCCGTGTTGTGAAGGGCCAGCTTCCAGCTATTCTGTGGCATTTGCAGTGGGAGTCCCATCCATTTGTGGCCAGGGATGGCACACCTGAGTTGGGCCATTTCAGAACAAGGGTTCAAATCTCCACTCTGAGACATAAAGCTCACTGGGTGCCCTTGAGCCAGTCCGTCTCTCAATCTAACTTACTTCATGGAAAAACAGGGAAAGCGATAACCACGCCTGCTACTGAGCTCCTTGGAGGAACAAAGGTGGGATAGGACTTCCTGCTTCTTAATCCCATGCCATTTGGCGAGGAGTTACCTTGAATGGCATTTCAATTAAAATGCTTGCAACAAGTGAGAATCTGGCAGATCTTCTGGGGCCTGAGGCAGAGGACACAGAGCCACCAGGCCAAAGCCCCTTCCTTGATGGACTGCAGTGGGGGAAAGGGGGCAGGCACATTCCGGAAGAACAAGGCTGGGGGTCCTTCTCACCTTCCAAAAATGAGCAAACATGATTAAAATAGTGCTCTCCATCAGCCTTTGGAGAGCAAAGGACAACAGCATTTTATTTTTATTTTTTTTAATAATATTTATTAAAATTTCAAAAGAAGAAAAATCACATTAATAAGAAAATTAACAATAAAAAGGAAAATTACAAAATACAAAAAAGAAAAAACAGTTAAAAACAATTCCATCTTTTCATCACTTCTTTTACATTTACTTGTTTCCTGGACCTCCTCATACCTCCCTCTTTTGTATTCCAATTCAGTATGCTAATCCAGCAATTCCTTTCCCTCCTTTTTAATCCTAATATTTAATCTTGATAAATTATAACATTAAATTTTTACATATTAAAAACCAATTTTTCCATATTTTTAATACCATTACCGCTAGAAACCGCTTAACTTCAATCCGTCATCATTCTAACATTCATTAATTTTACAATATTTCTGTAAGTAGTCTTTAAATTTCTTCCAATCTTCTTCCACCGACTCTTCTCCCTGGTCTCGGATTCTGCCAGTCATTTCCGCCAATTCCATGTAGTCCATCATTTTCATCTGCCATTCCTCCAGTGTGGGTAGATCTTGTGTCTTCCAATGCTTTGCAATAAGTATTCTTGCTGCTGTTGTAGCATACATAAAGAAAGTTCTGTCCTTCTTTAACACTGATTGGCCGACTATGCCCAGGAGAAAGGCCTCTGGTTTCTTCAAGAAGGTATATTTAAATACCTTTTTTAATTCATTATAAATCATCTCCCAGAAAACCTTAATCCTTGGGCACGTCCACCAAAGGTGAAAGAATGTACCTTCAGTTTCTTTACATTTCCAACATTTGTTATCGGGCAAATGGTAGATTTTTGCAAGCTTGACTGGGGTTATGTACCACCTGTATATCATTTTCATAATATTCTCTCTTAGGGCATTACATGCCATGAACTTCATACCTGTGGTCCACAACTGTTCCCAGTCAGCCATTATTATATTATGTCCAACGTCTTGTGCCCATTTAATCATAGCAGATTTCACCGTTTCGTCCTGAGTATTCCATTTCAACAACAAGTTATACATCTTTGACAAAATCTTAGTTTTGGGTTCTAACAATTCTGTTTCTAATTTTGATTTTTCCAACTGGAAGCCAATTTTCTTGTCCAAATTGTATGCCTCCATTATCTGATAATAATGAAGCCAGTCTCGCACTTTGTTTTTTAGTTTTTCAAAACTCTGCAGTTTCAATCTATCTCCATCTTGTTCCAAAATTTCCCAATATTTTGGCCATTTGACCTCCATATTGAGCTTTTTCAGAGCTTTCGCTTCCATAATGATAATTTTAATTTATACCCCGCCCTCCCCAGCCAAGGCCGGGCTCAGGGCGGCTAACAAGCAATAATAAAAACAAGTTGAATCAATACAACTTAAAAACAAGATTAAAATACAACATTAAAATATTAAAATGCAGCCTCATCACAGGAGGAGAAAGGAAAAAGAAAGAGGGGGAGGGAATCAAATTGGCTCCAAGCCAAAGGCCAGGCGGAACAACTCTGTCTTCCAGGCCCTGCGGAAAGAAATCAGATCCTGCAGGGCCCTGGTCGCATGAGGCAGAGCGTTCCACCAGACCGGGGCCAGGGTTGAAAAGGCCCTGGCTCTGGCTGAGGCTAATCTGACTTCCTTCGGGCCCGGGACCTCGAGGGTGTTGCAATTTATGGACCTTGAGGCTCTCCGTGGGGCAGACCGGGAGAGGCGGTCCCGTAGGTACGAGGGTCCCAGGCCGTGAAGGTACACCTTCTTAGGCACCTGCCCACCCTCATCTCTCCACTTCCTTGGCTGAGGACCAGCCAGCTAAAGGGGCGGATCTGCAGCGGCCACCTGGGCCAGACTGAAGCCCCCGGGTGCCCCCCCCGCCATGGGGGAATTAGGCCGGGGTGAAGTCTGGAGGAACCTCTTCTCCCGAGCTGGACCCGCTGCAGATGCTGCCTTCTGACCCGAGATGCCGCCTCCTCAAGGGGCCAAGCAGCCACCCCAGGCGGAGCGCTGGAGGGGTCAGGGCTTAGCACTGGCCTCCCCCGGGCGCCCCTCGCGGGCCTGGGGACGCTCCCAGGGGCGCCAAGAGGGGCAGGTGCCCCCCAAATCCTGGCTACGCCCAGGGACGGTCCCCGGGCTCCTCGCGAGGCCGCCTTCCCCGACGCTTCAGGAAAGGGCAGGCGAGCAAGGGCCGCTCGAGGCCCGCCCGCCCGCCCGAGAGCCTTCCCCGCAGCAGCCCCCGCCCGGGGAGCCGCCGCGCCGGCCTGGGGCTCCGGGCGCCGCTCTGCCCCCCGCGCGGCCGGGAGGCGGCTCGCTCTCTCTGAAGCGGCCGGCCCAGGCCGCAGCCGCGGCGGGGAGGGCTGCGCTGGCGAGCGGCGAGGCGGGCCGGAGGCGGAGATAACCCCGCGGTCCCCGTCACGTGGAGCGGATGAAAGGGAAGCGGCTCGGCAGGGCGGAAGGAGAGCGAGGCGGAGGGAAGGCAGAGGGAGAGGGAAGGAAGGAAGGAGGAGGCAGCCGCCGCCGAGCGAGAGACGCGAGGCGAGGGAGCCGCGGGACGGGAGGCCAGCCGAGCCCGGCCACGAGCAGCAGGCGCCGCCGCCGCCGCCGCGCTTTGGGGTCGGAGCCGCCGGCGCAGGCAGGCGGGCGGGCGGGCGGGCGGGCCGGGCCAGCCGCAGCGGGAGCGATGCGTGGCCTCCACCGGGCGCTGCCGCCGCCGCCGCCGCCGCCTCCTGCGCTGCTGCTGCCCGTGGTCGGCGCGGTGGGCCAGGCGGCGCGATGAGGCTTCTCGCGGGGCCGGCGCTTCCCTTCTCCCCGCCGGGGCTGCTGCTGCTTCTGCTGGCGCTGCTGGCGGCGGCCGCGACGAGGATGGCGGCGGCGGCGCTGGCCAAGGAGACGGCCTTCGTGGAGGTGGTGCTCTTCGAGTCCAGCCCCGGCGGCGACTACACCACCTACACCACGGGGCTGCAGGGCCGCTTCTCCCGCGCCGGGGCCACGCTCAGCGCCGAGGGCGAGATCGTGCAGGTGAGCCCGCCGCCGGCCGCGGAAAGGGGGCTCCGGGCAGGCCGCGCTGGGCGAGAGGCGGCGGCCCTCCCGTGGCCTTCCCGCGCGGGGAGGGGCCTCTGAGCATCTGCAGAGTGCCTGGTCCGGGCGGGCGCGGGGCTCGGGAAGGGGGCAGAGGGCTGCCGGCGGGGCTCCTGGGCTAGTCCTCCGGGGCTCCGGCCCCCCGGTCGCCCTGCGACGGAGAAGCGGCGGGCGCCGCGGAGGGGGCGGCAGGGCTTGGGCAGGTGCTGCAGGATCCTGGCGGTCGGCTGCTGCGCCCCGTCGCCTTGGCCTGCGAGCCGAGGGTGCTGCGCGGGACGCCTGGCGGGTGGCGGGGGGTACTTGCTAAGTTGGGGGGGGCATCCCAAACCCGCCTCGGAGCAGGGCGAAGAGGAAGGGGCTTTGCTGGGTGGACGGAGGCGCCCCAAGCAAGGTGGCTTTGGCTCTCGGCCTGAATCCCATAAGCATCCAGCGCCTGCGTGTTTTAATGAAAAATGCCTCATTTCTCCCGTTAGTTTCTAAACAAGCTTTAGTCCTAACCTGCTAAACAGAGAGGCTTTGTCTCCCAAATCGAAGTGCCCGGCAAGAATTATTTTGTCCAGGATGCCCTCCCCAAGCCAGTGCCCGCCAGATGTTTTGGACTTTAGCTCCCATCAGCCTCTGTTGGAGGTTGTAGTCCAAACATGTAGAAGGCTGTTTTACTGAAAAGCGCAACAGCAGCTCAGGTGTCAAAAGCGTACATGTTTCTAACTTTGCGGTTAATGAAGTCCAGCCAGTAGTGGCCCTGTTTTGGAGAGGGGGGAACCTGCCCCCCGGAATCTGGCCAGCCTGCAGAGAAGGAGTCTGTCTCATCCCGTCCTCTGCAAGCTGCTGGTGCTGTAGTGAATGCTGCCAAGGGCCTTGTCAAGCAGCTACATAGGACTGAAAGTGTTGTGAGAAACTCGCATCTCTCTTAGCAGCTCTTGAAGGAATTGTGGGCACCTGCTCAGACGCGTCACGCATGTTGGACCTCTGCAGAAGTTCCCTTAGACATAGGAGGCCCTTGTTCAGCCATGTAGCTCTTCCGGCAAGGAAAAGGCAGGGGAAGCATCCATCTCCCAGGGCTGGGTCCCAAACTGGCTTTTGTTGTACTAAGGCAGGCATCCCCAAACTTGGCCCTCCAGCTGTTTTGGAACTACAGTTCCCATCATCCCTGACCACTGGTCCTGTTAGCTAGGGATGAAGGGGCTTGTAGTGCCAAAACATCTTGAGGGCCAAGTTTGGGGATGCCTGTACTAAGGGCCCCTCCAGACACTGTTTTATGGTAGGTGTATCTTGCAATGTGTTACTGATGTTAGTGGTGGGTTTATTCTGCTTTCTTAGTTGCTCTGTACTGCTCTGCAGTAATGAAAACCTTCACAGAACAACATGAAGCAGTATTTAGAATTATAAAGCCACCTCAAAGGTCGCCCTGCGGATGAAAAAACACACGACTCCTGTCTCTCTGCTTCAAACCCTAACAAATGAGTTTTTTTGAATTTAGGCTCCCCTGTGGGTTTTCATTTGCATCTTAACTCTTTCTTCCTTTCCTCAGTTTAAGTGTCCCACTCACAGAAGCTGCTGCTATTACTTCTGGGCAGGCCGCTTGGGCACAACAGATGCTATATCTGTCATTTCCCCACACCCCCTTGATAGGATTGAGAGTTTCTGAGGGTTGGGAGTGTAGATTGGGGAAAGTTCCTGATCTTGATGTTCAATACAGCTGTGTGAGGATACATTAGCTGAGCTTCATTGAAGTGTAAAAACGGATCAGTACATAACTATGGGCATCATTAATGCAAAGCCTTGTTCTTAACCACTCAGTGTGCAATCCAGTGCATCTGAACTCTGAAGTCAGTCCCATTCAGTTACATTCTAGTTTGAGTGTCCATGTCTAAATAATTCTAGCCAGCTGTGTTGAAGGAGCACAATAAAGGTAAAGGGACCCCTGACCATTAGGTCCAGTCGTGACCGACTCTGGGGTTGCAGCGCTCATCTCACTTTATTGGCCGATGGAGCCGGCGTACAGCTTCCGGGTCATGTGGCCAGCATGATTAAGCCGCTTCTGGCGAGCCAGAGCAGCGCACGGAAACGCCATTTCGCTGGAGCGGTACCTATTTATCTACTTGCACTGGTGTGCTTTCGAACTGCTAGGTTGGCAGGAGCAGGGACCAAGCAACGGGAGCTCACCCCATCGTGGGGATTCGAACCGCTGACCTTCTGATCGGCAAGTCCAAGGCTCTGGTTTAACCCACAGCGCCACCCGCGTCCCTGCCACATTATTGGGGTCTGAATAGGCTATAGCACAAGAAAAGTGGGACAAAAATAAACCAGAACATTTGCAGCAGAGTGGCTGCCTTGAACCTTTTATAGGTGCAGCCAGCTTTGAAAGTGGGGCAGCATATGACTGCCCCAATAGCACAGATAATCATGAATGTGCAATAAAAAGCAATGGAGGAGGGTTGTCTTCCAGGTGGGCCCAAAATGTCATCTTTTCTTCTCGCTGCTGAAGCTTGAGTGAGATGAGTGCAGCTGCCTGCCTGAGGTGTCTTACTCACTCCTCCTGTATGTGTCAAAGGAAACCCTTGACTCTTCCTGGCAGGCAGGCAGGCAAGTGGCGAGGAAATGATGCTGGGCAGCACGGCTGTGCAAGTGACAAGGGGGCTGGGTGTGGCCCCTGGTTTTGGCAGCTCTTTGGGCTGCATGGAGCGTCTGCTTCCCCCACAGTGTACACTTCTTCCAGTTTTGAGGCTAGGTTCTTGGCGGGGAAGCCTTGGCCATCTGTGAGGGGGGCGGGAGTTCACCTGCTCAGCCTGAATTGCAGCCTGTGGCGTGGTGTGTGAAGCACCTTAGGAGTCCTGGCACAGAGCATGTTGACTGTGCAAGTGGCAGAGTGCAGAATTGCTGCTCTGGGGGGATGTCTGTGCTTCTTGGGTCAGACCAGTTACTTCCAGGGTTTGTCATTGGTGTGCCTCAGATGTGGGTTGTGCATATCTGAAGAGGAGGATAAACCATGGCGGCGAAACCTTTAAGCTTCTTGCAACTCCCAGGTTGATACTTTTGTTTTAGGAATCTGTTTTCAAGCAATTATTTAGAAATGTTGGTGCAACCTCCTTCAATGCTGCCTTAGTTTGCCATTTGCAAGTCTTGATCACAGGCTGCTATGGCAGTATATGAGGATTGTTGCCTGTTGGATGACAGCTGGGGAGCCTCTGATGTGGAAACCTCTGTGCCCTGTTTTTCTGCACACTGATGGTTGGTCCTGCAAAGTTCGGCATAGCACCTCTATGCTCAGTAGCCCTTGAGCTGGTCTTTTCCTGTTCCGCTGGGAATCCTGCAGCTTAAGTTTGGCTTACAAGAGCAGTTAAGTGTGAGTGAGGTCTACCAGTATTGACATAAGAATGGTGAAAAAGATGCTCCTGAAGAGCTAGATCCTCTCTTGGGTGCAGAGTTGGGCATTCTGCCACAGTGTGGCTTTGTCAAAGGTGATGCCTTACTCAGAGGCCAGTGCTGGAAAACAGGGGCTCAGCTGCAGAGTGCTGCCTATGTTTCTAGTCCTGCAGCAGACGTTGGGGCTGGCTGGACTTGATGCTTTGTTTTGGAGAGAGGGAACCAACTGACTGGCCTACCTGGTTGAGTGGCCTACCTGCAGATGTCTGTGGCTTTGCATGCCAGGATGCCTGTACACTCCAGGTCTTTCTGTCTCGCTTTTAACTGGAAAAAGGAAGTGATACTTTGATGTTGGCACTGTTGGTGCTGCATTTCTGATGATCAGCAAATCTACGAGCTGCTCCTCTTGGGACCAGCCATGGCTTGGTCTAGGGGTGGCCCTTACAGCCAGAGCAGCAGAGGAAGAAAGCATAAGGGGGAGATTCTTTACCAGCCTCTTGGTTCATTGAACTGGACTTATAAACTCCCAAAGCTGGCCCATTGCTTTTTTCATCCAGTCCCTCCGCCACCATCAGGCAAAAAGAGGAGAGCTGCAGTGTGGGAAGAAGAGGGTGTGATAAATGGTTGAAGAGGGTGAGCTGGTTTGACCACCTGGCCTCCTGAATTGCATTTACGGTACCAGTCTGACCTCAGCGCTTGCCTTTTTGGTTTATCCAGGTTGAAAGGAATAGGCACCTGCGAACTGAACTCTCTCTTCATTTTCATCCTTCTGGACCGTCTAGAGGGGCTGGGGGCACTGTCATACAGTGGTTCCGCTCCTTCCTCCTGGGCCGTGTTCAGAAAGTGGTTGGGGGGGAATGAGTGTTCAGACCCCTGGGCTCTCACATGTGGGGTGCCTCAGGGTTCTGTCCTCTCCTCCATGCTTTTCAACATTTACATGCAGCCGCTGGGAGAGATCATCAGGGGGTTTGGGCTGGGTGTTCATCAGTATGCGGATGATACCCAGCTCTACCTCTCTTTTAAATCAGAACCAGTGAAGGCGGTGAAGGTCCTGTGTGAGTGTCTGGAGGCGGTTGGAGGATGGATGGCGGCTAACAGATTGAGGTTGAATCCTGACAAGACAGAAGTACTGTTTTTGGGGGACAGGAGGCGGGCAGGTGTGGAGGATTCTCTGGTCCTGAATGGGGTAACTGTGCCCCTGAAGGACCAGGTGCGCAGCCTGGGAGTCATTTTGGACTCACAGCTGTCCATGGAGGCACAGGTCAAATCTGTGTCCAGGGCAGCTGTTTACCAGCTCCATCTGGTACGTGGGCTGAGACCCTATCTGCCTGCGGACTGTCTTGCCAGAGTGGTGCATGCTCTGGTTATCTCCCGCTTGGACTACTGCAATGCGCTCTACGTGGGGCTACCTTTGAAGGTGACTCGGAAACTACAACTAATCCAGAATGCGGCAGCTAGACTGGTGACTGGGAGCAGCTGCGGAGACCATATAACACCGGTCTTGAAAGACCTACATTGGCTCCCAGTACGTTTCCGAGCACAATTCAAAGTGCTGGTGTTGACCTTTAAAGCCCTAAACGGCCTCGGCCCAGTATACCTGAAGGAGCGTCTCCACCCCCATCGTTCTGCCCGGACGCTGAGGTCCAGCGCCGAGGGCCTTCTGGCGGTTCCCTCATTGCGAGAAGCAAAGCTACAGGGAACCAGGCAGAGGGCTTCTCGGTAGTGGAACGCCCTTCCAGCAGATGTCAAAGCGATAAACAACTACCTGACATTCAGAAGACATCTTAAGGCAGCCCTGTTCAGGGAAGTTTTTAACGTGTGATATTTTAGTGTATTTTTGGTTTCTATGGAAGCCGCCCAGAGTGGCTGGGGAGGCCCAGCCAGATGGGCGGGGTAATAATAATAATAATAATAATAATAATAATAATATGTATTATATTAATATAATTATATAATATTATACAATTATATTAATAGAATAATAATAATAAAAAATTATTGTTATTATTATTATTATTATTATTATTATTATTATTATTATGTGGCGGCTCTTGAGGTCTGGTGGTGGAACAGATTCTTGGTCTCTGCTTTGCAGTGACATCCATCCCTTGTGTCTCCAGATGCACCTTCCCAGGACAGCCATGGCTTCCTGCTTTGATAGGGGGTCCTGCAGCGCTGCAGCTACGTGGCTGAGAGGCCATACGGCTGCTGTGGCTGCTTCACATTCTGACTTGGAAGGGGCCTGCTGGAGCCTGGAAAATTGCTAGTGCCTCCTCCTCTGCGAAGCCCTGAGGCTGCCTTGAAAGAGTTAAGTTTCTAAAAACTTGCGTATAAGCTATTTAATATCCTTATTAAAACTCATCTGCTGGTGGTGAAATTCTTTTTCCACTTTCCTTTTTTCCTTTTGGTGAATGCAGCTTCTTGGGGCGCTGATCCTCTCTCTGCCTCAGATCAGAGGCTCGCATGTTGCAGCCGGCAGTGCTAGAGGCTAGTTCCTATCTGTGTGACAGCATTTTTAATTTAACAGGACCGGCTTTGATCTTGCATATTTATAGGCAGCTTCAGATCACTCCAGCTTGCACTTCTTTATACTGAAACTGAAGTTCTTCCTTTCATCTTGTATCCTTTGTGGACGTGCTGTTTATTTTGGGCACTGTGGAAAATGGGAAGGGGGGGAGGAATAAAATGAGGCAAGAGGCCTCTTGGGAGCTGCAGCCCCCTCCCCTCCCTGCCTGCAAGTGGAACTGTAGTCCTGTGTGAACACCATGTTGCTGGTTAGCCTGATCTGAGTTGTACCAACTTCAGTGCTTGAAGCTGGTCCAACATTTTGCTGGCCACTCCCCAAGTCAGAACGACTCAGGGTGAACCCGAAGCAAGGCAGGGGGGTGGAGCGGGTGGGAGGAGGGCTGAGGGTGTTTGTGTGAGGGGAGTTGGATGCCTGAACATTGGGGGAATCCCAGGGAGGGCCAGCCCTAGCAACACCACAGGAGAAGTGCTGATGGTGCTGGAAACTGCCCCAGCTAAAGGAGAGGGAGAGACATGCCCCCTCCATATGAGTCTCTCTTTAGAAAAGGTATCTAAGAAGTTTAATCAAACTAAACTAATTGCCAAGTCTAGAAAGAAAGGCAAGTAAAGGGGAGAGACAGGATTGTTGTTGTTGTTGTTTAGTCGTTTAGTCATGTCCGACTCTTCGTGACCCCCTGGACCAGAGCACGCCAGGCACTCCTGTCTTCCACTGTCTCCCGCAGTTGGTCAGACTCATGCTGGTAGCTTCGAGAACACTGTACAACCATCTCGTCCTCCGTCGTCCCCTTCTCCTTGTGCCCTCCATCTTTCCCAACATCAGGGTCTTTTCCAGGGAGTCTTCTCTTCTCCTGAGGTGGCCAAAGTCTTGGAGCCTCAGCTTCTGGATCTGTCCTTCCAGTGAGCACTCAGGGCTGATTTCCTTCAGAATGGAGAGGTTTGATCTTCTTGCAGTCCATGGGACTCTCAAGAGTCTCCTCCAGCACCAGAATTTAAAAGCATCAGTTCGTCGGCGACCAGCCTTCTTAATGGTCCAGCTCTCACTTCCATACATCACTACTGGGGAAAACATAGCTTGAACTATACGGACCTTTGTCGGCAAGGTGATGTCTCTGCTTTCTAAGATGCTGTCTAGGTTTCCCATCGCCTTTCTCCCAAGAAGCAGGCGTCTTTTAGTTTCGTGGCTGCTGTCACCATCTGCAGTGATCATGGAGCCCAAGAAAGTAAAATCTCTCACTGCCTCCATTTCTTCCCTTTCTATTTGCCAGGAGGTGATGGGACCAGTGCCCATGAGCCTCATTTTTTTGATGTTGAGCTTCAAACCATATTTTGCGCTCTCCTCTTTCATCCTCATTAGAAGGTTTTTCATTCCTCCTCACTTTCTGCCATTAAGGTTGTGTCATCTGCATATCTGAAGAGACAGGATAGAGGGGTGTAAAAAATTATGCAAGCTTGAAGAAGCACCCCCCCCAGCCTGCCCTCTCTCATCATACTAGAACCCAGTGGGGTCATCCAGTGAAGCCGGGATATTCCAGACAGACAAAGACAAGTATTTGACTCCATATTTTCCTCACCTGGTGTCTCCCAGAAGCGTTGGACTACAGCGCCCAAAAACCCTGACCATTTGCCATGCTGGCTGGGGCCACCGGCAGTTATATTCCAAGACATTTGGAGGTCATCTGGTTGGGGCTGGCTGGCATAGTTAAATTATTACTATTATTAATTTCATTTATTAATCACTTCCTTTGTTGTTGTTTAGTCGTTTAGTCGTGTCTGACTCTTTGCGACCCCATGGACCAGAATACGCCAGTCTTCCACTGCCTCCCGTAGTTTGGTCAAACTCATGCTGGTAGCTTCGAGAACACTGTCCAACCATCTCGTCCTCTGTCCTCCCCTGCTCCTTGTGCCCTCCATCTTTCCCAACATCAGGGTCTTTTCCAGGGAGTCTTCTCCTCATGAGGTGGCCAAAGTATTGGAGCCTCAGCTTCAGGATCTGTCCTTCCAGTGAGCACTCAGGGCTGATTTCCTTAAGAATGGATAGGTTTGATCTTCTTGCAGTCCATGGGACTCTCAAGAGTCTCCTCCAGCACCATAATTTAAAAGCATCAGTTCGTCGGTGATCAGCCTTCTTTATGGTCCAGCTCTCACTTCCATACATCACTACTGGGAAAACCATGGCTTTTAAGTATATGGACCTTTGTTGGCAAGGTGATATCTCTGCTTTTGAAGATGCTGTCTAGGTTTGTCATTGCTTTTCTCCCAAGAAGCAGGCGTCTAGTGTTCAAAACTCCCTTTGTCCTAGGTGCATTTTGCGACAGGGAATTTCATTAGTGCATGTAGTTTCTGAGCTCTGGGAGCAGTACTGCACTTAAGATTTCAGATTAAAACTGCAAAGTGGAAGGAAAGGAGGACCTTTTTCTGCTTCTCCACTTCCAGCTACTCTCTGAAGACTGGAGAAGAAACCCTCTTTAGAATATTAGGGGGGGCGGGCAGGGGAAAGACTAGACCAGGGGTCACCATACTTTTTCAGCAGGGGGCCGGTCCACTGTCCCTCAAACCTTGTGGGGGGCCAGACTATATTTTGGGTGGGCAGAAATGAACAAATTCCTATGCCACACAAATAACCCAGAGATGCATTTTAAATAAAAGGACACATTCTACTCAAGTAAAAACATGCTGATTCCTGGACCGTCCGTGGGCCGGATTTAGAAGGGAATTGGGCCGGATCAAGCCCCCAGGCCTTAGTTTGCCTACCCATGGACTAGACCATGTGAAAAATGAACGTAATATTTTAGCTGCAATTCATTCATTTTCAACTTTGAATTCTTGTTATAAAAAGCCATTCCATTGTTGCACCCATAACCTAGTTTAAGGTGCATTTAGCTCTTAGCTTTCCTATCTCAGTTTCTAACACTGCTTCCTGTGTAGCACCACAAAGTGATTTCACACACAATAAAACAATTGCATAAATATATATATTTTAAAATACAGTTAGATATATAAAAAACAGTTAGAACCATTTCAATGCCAGTAGCAGGTGGGATAGAAATCTCCACTTGGAAGGTTTCAACAGGCACCAGTCAGGCGATGGAGATGGTGTCTGCCTGATTTGTAATGGGAGGGAATTCCAAAGCATGGGTGCCACCACACTAGGGGCCCCGTGATGCTGTACAGCAGAAGGGAGCTTCTGAGGAGATGGTCTCTGCAGGAATTTCTTGGCATGAGACCATCTTTCACTGTATTGTAGGACTTTCCCCACCAGTACTCTAACACCTTCAACTTAGCCTAGCAGCTAATTGGCAGCCAGTACAATTCTTTGAGTTGACCAGCTGCATTTTGCACTAGACCACAGAGTGCATTGCAGTAATCCAACCTGCAGGTCACCAGTGCATAGACAACTGTGTTTAATTAGGTTTTCCCAGTCTAGAAATGACCCTATCTATCTTGCCACCTGAAGCTGGTCCTAGCCACTGAGTGAGGTCACCTGTGTCTCTTATGATGGACATGGATCTAGGGGCATGCACAGACTGTGGATCTCCTCTTAAGGGGGTGTATGACTCCAAACAAAGCAGGCAACTGACCCATCATCTAGACTTTGGAACCTGCAGCACCTCCATATTGCAGGATTCAGAGCTGGCTTCTTCGCCTTCATTAAGTCCAGGCACTGTGGGATTTTCTTCTGCAAAATGTGGCACTGGCACCTACTTAGAGAGAATTAGCTTTATCTTCCATGAATTTGTTTATCAGTGTTTTACTAGCCATGATGGCTGTATCCTATCTCCAGCATATCAGAGGCGGTGTGGCTCTCAATACTTGTTGCTGGAAGAGGGTGCTGTTGTGATCAGGCTCTGTTTGTAGGATTCTCAGAGGTTATTTGTTTGGCCACTGGAGAGCAGGAAGTTGGACCAGGTGAATGTTTAGCCTGGTCCAGCAGCCAGGCTCTCATGGAGGCATTGGCAGTCCTGATGCTGGGCTGGGGTGGTGGTGGTACATAGTCCTCCTTACCTGCAGAAGGTGATCTCCCTTTCCTCAGCCAGCTGCTGTTGCTGCTGTTGCTCCACCTCCAGGAGGGGCAATTTCCCCTTTTACTTTATTTTATTTACAGTCTTTTCCACTCTTCAGTCAGCAGGTTCTCAGAGCAACCCATGTTTGACTAATTTACAAAAAATACACTGAAACTCTTTCAGGCTGATAGATCTAAAAGTCCTAGGCAAATAAAAAGATCTTGACCACCAGGTCCCAACAGAAAACTGGTGTAGCATGAGAGGAGCTTCCCAGGGGACAGAGCCCAAAGATTGGTGGGCCCCTTCTCTAGTTCCTGTCTGCCCTGCTTCTGATCTGAGAGAGACTTGGGAAAGGCCTTGGAGGCTGATCTTGATGCTCAGGGAAGTAGAGAAGGTCATTCTATAAGGGCACAAGTGTGTTCTACTGGTGAAGTGGAAAATAATTGTAATTCTAAGAAATTAGAAGGTAGCAGTGAAAGAGAGAGGACCTTCCCCAGAGGTGAAGCACGGGAGATAGAAAACTGAGCTTTTGCATTAGCAATCCTGTCCAGATTAGTCCTCCACACCAGGTAAGACAGTTGTGCTAAACTCACCTGTAATGGATTCACAATTCACCTTGTAATTCAGCAGCCTTGATGTGCTCTAAAACAGCACTGACAAGTAGGAGGAAGGGCAATGATGAGGAAAACTCAGTACAGCTTGGCTTGGCAGGAATGTTGCCTGGATTCTCCATAATGTGTGAGCAAGTTGTGTCAGTAACAGGGGCGGGGACGGAGGGCTATTGTGGCAGGCTCATTTTGAGTTCTTGTGGAATAACCATGGTATGGGCAGCCAAGAATAAACACTGCAGTTAAAAACAGAGCATATCGCACATAACCACTTTTAATTTCCTGCTTTCCCTGACATTTGAAGCCAAATACCACTTCTGGAACAGCCAGGCTGTGTCTGACCAGAGAGCACTTCGAAATGCGTGTAACTGGGAGTTGCATTGAGGCTACTGAGAATTGCATGGAGAGTGAGGCCAGAGTGTCTGGTTGTGGAGGGAGTGGGCAGGAGGACCAGGGACCAGGAAAAGGCATTGGGGCTGGGTGGGTGGGGGCGGTATTAGGTTAGCATGTGGAATGTTATAGCAGAACATTAAGCCACAGCTGTGTATGGAAATCAGGCACAACACGAATAGCCTGTGGACAACTCAAGGACATGGAAATTCCCTTGCCTTGCCTTTGCAGAAAAGGTGGCAGAGAGGCAGACAACGCTCTTCCCACCATAGGTGTGCTGTGCTGTGGTCTTGGGTGGTTCAGCGGCCACCACTCCAGATCACCCACTTGTTCCATTCTTGTTCCGATGATGGTACAGTGGGACCTGGTCATGCAACGGTGGCAGATGCAGGCGTTGGGGACTGTCCTTGGATACTGCAGATGCCTTACTGAGAGCTTTGTGGGTGACTCCCCCCTTCTTTCTCTCTCTCTCTATCCCCACAACTCTCTCTGTTCCCTAAGGGCATTGAAGATGCCTTTCAGGACTCTGCAAGTGGTCTTGTCGAGGCTTCTGAGAGCTGCTTTCGGTCCTAATCCAAATCGGAGCGCCTGAACCTGAGTCAAGGGTTTGTGATGCTAAGGAAATATTTGCTCTCCTCCTAACTGGCTGCTGGTGACTTATGAGTGGGCACACTTCTAGTAAACAGATCCTTGGCTCCCAGTTTAGCCAGCATTGGGTTGCGCTGCCTGGGAAGCTGAAGCATCCTTTATAGTAGAGTTTCATTACTGCTCTGATGATACAATTTGGAATTTGATCATTGTAAGTTGACTCCCAGAAGAAATGAGCCCTGCAGCAGCAGCAGCAGCAGCAGCAGCAGCAGTCTTGGCTGCCAGTTGCAGAGTCTTGGATATGTGTCAGATGTCTCCTAAAAAGACAGACCCCTGGCCCAGATTGATGGGTGTTGTGCTGAGAGATGCCCCTTATCCTGAGCCAAGGAGGGGAAGGACAGGAGTGGTCAGGGCATTCCCTTTCCTACTGACACTTTCTCTGCTGCAAGACAGAGAAGGGCAGCTACTGAGGACAGATCAAGCATGTCCTGACAGGCAGGTGAGCCTCCAAAAGCCACAGAGTTCAAGATCCCTGGTCCTGGGTAGGAATGCAGCACATGCACACATCATTTTCTCTCTGGGGGAGTGCAACAGGCTTCCGCTTTCCTCAGCTGCCCACCTCCTCCTTTCTTCTGGGAGCTTTCACACATGACCCATTTTTTGTCTAAGTTGTGGGGGGAAAGAACAAGTTGGACAGCTGTGGGTGAAGGTCGTGTACAACTCCATTTGAAGCCATGTGCTGATGTTGATTCCTAAGATGTGTACTCACAAATATGTGATATGGTGCCTGTATTCCCCTCCTCTTACACCCTACACCAATTAAGCTGTGTGTGTGAAGCCATCCTAATCAGAGAAGGCTAGGGAGACCCTCTTGCTATGTCATGATGCCACCTCCTTGAAGAACCCGGAGCTCTATGACCATCCTCCCCTTTTTGTATGCCACTAAGGTGCACCCAGGAGAAATTCTGTGAGCAGTGCCAGTGCTCTGGGGCACTGCCCTAGGCACACTGGTTGAGCCCCTGCTGAGCAAAAGGGTGGTGAGGGCTGGAGGGGCAGCTGCCTGCTGTGTGGGTTGCCTCACCTAGATGTTGCACTGACAGTCTGAGGACTAAAAGAAGCAGGACTCTGATCCACTTTGGAAAGAAAGGTGTAGAAGAAAGCACATGTGTAGTTGAAAGAGGGGCCCTTGCTAAACGGGGTGGGCTGTTCCAGGGCTGCCACCAGTATCTGTGCAGGAGCAGGAAAGAATGCAAGAAGAGAAGACAGTTGGCATGTACTGGCTGTGCCTGGCCCTCCTGCTTTGGAGGAGGCTGTCAATACTGGGTGCTATTTGGAACAGCCAGTCCCTGCTAAGCTGGCCCCCGTGCATGCGAAGTACAAAGCATGTGATTCCGGGTAATAGGGAGGGAGTTGTTATGTATTTGTTGCATTAGTATTCTGCAACCTTCTGCTTGATGTCTCCTTCCCTGCTCTTGGGTTGTGTGAACAGGCTCCTCTTATATCCGTGGACTTGGGAGCACACTGTTAACTCCCAGGAGGCTTCTGTGTCTTTGGAATGCGAGCCTCTTCCTCTGGGTGGGGTCCTGGAGGGGTCTGCCTCTTGACTTGGCCTCAGACATTTCCCTTTCCCCAGAGACTCCACACCTGCTTTTGGTGTACTGTGATGAAAGCATCTCTTCAAGCCACGTCTGCCACTCGGATAAACAGATCATGGCTGATTAAGTGCACACATTGTTTAAACCAGTCAACTTAATCTGCTCTGCATATGAGTTAAAGCACTAGTTCTGAATTAAAGCACAACATTTCTTGGTTTGGAAATGATTCTTGGGGCACCATCCTAGCAGAGGCTGCTAGCCACCAGCAGGGACAGTTTTGCTGCCTAGTGGATTAAAAAAATGGTTTTAATTGATTGGCTCGATTAATGAACTACTGCAAACCCTTTGTCTTATTTGATTGCACAATTACTTCTGAGGCTGCGTAGGGATTAGACTGATGCGGCCTGGAAGCTGAAGGCACTGGCGGCAGGCTCAGTGGGCCTCTTTCTCCTGGGTGGTGAATGAGAGAGGGTGCCCTCTGTGTTGCAGGGGAACTGCAGTCCAGCAGCACTAGAAGAGGCCGCAGGCCTCCCTGCCCTGGCGGATTCTGAGGGAATCAAGGAGAACCAGAAAGAGCAAGGCTGAAGGGTCACGAGGAGAGGAGCAGCAGGGGCCAGCAGAGCAGGTGGAGGGAGGGGGACAAGGCTGGAGGCCACCAGAGGGTGGCTGTTGGGGCAGCTGTCACCACTTCAGAAAAATGGTTAGCCACCTTGAGCTCCTTGGAGAAAAAGGTGGGATATAAACGCAATGTACAAATTAATAAAAACTAAGCATCCCTCTCCTCTCTGCATGTCCCTTTCCTCCTACCAGGTAAGGTGTGGAAAGAGGTTAAGTTGTTCCTTTCTTCTTCCCCATCTGCCAAGGCCCCAGTGACTAAAGCAAGACTTCCTTCTGAGTAAACTTCTTGCAATTCCATGCTGTCCATAAACAGGCTGGTAACTTATGCAACCTTGTAGGCAATGTTGTGGCAGGAGCCCCCCCAGCCCCGCCTCCAACAAACCATTTTTCTGAAGAGGTGATAGCTGCCCCCTTGGCTCATTAAATCCCCACAACATCCCCATCAGATGGGTTTGACTGAGGCTGTGACTGAACCATGGTCCCCCAGTGAACTTCATAGGGCCTTCTGGGGATTTGAACCCTGATCTCCTCCATATCCTAGACTGACCCTTGAGCCACGACACCACACTGGCTCTCCAGTGGTTAGCCCAGCCTTTGTTCTTGAAATGTCCACTTTTTGACCACAGCTAGAGGGATCTCCCTCTGCGCTGCTCCTGCTGCTGCTGTGCTGCAGCCTTCCTTTTCCTTTTGGGTTCTTGCTTCTCCCAGGCTCCCTTTGTTCTGGACGGAAGAGTGATTGTCATTTTCTGCTGCCGGCTCCTCTTGGAGGGCAGCTCTTGCATCTGCAGGTGTACCTTGCTCACCTGCCTCCCCTCCTGCCTTGCCTTCTCCCCCTTGACCCCTCCAATCCTCGTGCATGGCAGGTGCTGTTTTTGTTTTGCCCTGGGGGGAAGCCATGACCACCCCTGTGACTGCGTTGCTGAGTGGGAGAGAAGCCTTGGCAGCTAGCCCCGATTCTGGTCACCCAGATCTATCTATTCCTCTCATCCACATGGAGCTCTCTGTCACATGTGGAGGCCAGGCAACCATTTAAATGCAAAGCTGTGTTGTAGTTCCTATCCCTTCCCAACACTTCCCTCAGTCAAGGCAGCCATAGCTCTAGAGAGCCCATTTCCCCAGCTGCACCGTGGCACATCTTTGCCAAGACACAAAGATAAATACTCCTGGCCTGGCAGTGCCCCTTTGGGCTGAGGGAGCCAAATCCTGCCTTTTCCTTCTCTCCATTCTGAGGAAGAATTGGATTAGCTAAGAGCTGACCGCAAGCCCCCCTTGAAACAGCCTGGAGAGAGGGAAATGGGTGACTCAGCTGTTGGAAGGAAGGGGTGGGGGGCTCCTTTGCAGGGTAGCAGCTGAGAAACTGCAGGGCCTTCTGCATGCAGCCCCTTCCATGGGACCTGTCTGGGGTGGTAGGGCCAGTGCAAGCCTTCCTTTCCACTTTTTGAGAGGGCTTGGATTAGTGACACCAGAGTGGATCTGAGGGGCATTTTCCATTGAAGTGGCAAATTGCTAAGGTCCTTTGAACCTCCAGCCTGTGAGGAAGCTATTTATAGCTGCCTACTGGCATTGCTAGAGGAACGGAGGACTCTGCCTTAGTCACTGAGCTGGCTTTCTGAAGCACAACATGGAGCTGTCTGGAGGTCTGGTGGTGGTGCTGGGCAGTCCTGGCTGCCTTGCTTTCCCCAAGTTTGTCAGCCACATCAAAGATGGCTCCCCGCTCCTCCCCCAGCTGCCTTCCCTCTTCTTGTTGCTGGTTGGCTCTCAGTGATAGTGGAAGATGCTAGCTGCTAAAGAGTTAATTTCCTGCGCTTTGCAAGCAGCTGGCCAGTTTACACTCCTTGCTGGGCTGCACAAAAATACTTCTCCTTTGAAGTCTTGGGAGCGAGCAGCGGCTGAGGGGAAAACCTGACTGGGAGCTGACTTGACTTGGGCTGGGTGCAGCAGTTCTGCTGGTTGGCTCTTCTCTCTTGCCAGAACTGGATGTAGGATATGAGCTGGGACTTTCAAAGGGGCAGGTTGGGGCTGTTCTCGTTTCCCTTCATAAGTGAGCATTTCCACTGAAGGAAAACAAACTAGTGACTGCCAGTTCAATGTCTCCAGGTGCTTCTGAGCCGTCTCTCATAGGAGGATGCAGGTTACAAGGCCTTGCGGGAAGGGTCCCTGATCCATTTTCTCCTGGTGGGTGATAGATCTGGAGGGTTTTCTGATGACTGGAAAGTTTCCAGCTGAATCTGCCATGTGTAGCAAAAACTTGAGCGAGTGCAAAAGAAGTGGTTGGTCTTCCCCATTTGTGCCTCCCAGGGTTCTCGCCACAGCAGTAGAGCAAGCTTTAGGGTTGAGAAGCGGTTGCTCTAGGAATTTGAGTTCTCCCTCTGTCCAGGCTTCTTTTCAGTTGGGTGTCTGTACCTGGCATTGGGCACACAGGGCAGAGTAGGGGTTCTGCTGATGTATTGCCCACCTCACTGCCTAGCAGCTTCCCTGCTTGAGCTGATAGAGATGGGGCTGAGCTGTTGCCAGTGTTATAAACTTAGATATATAAGCTAATCGCTGAATGGCACCTTATACTTAAGTTACGGTCACCATAACAGACTGTCTACAGTGGTACCTCGGGTTAAGAACTTAATTTGTTCTGGAGGTCCGTTCTTAACCTGAAACTGTTCTTAACCTGAGGTACCACTTTAGCTAATGGGGCCTCCCACTGCCGCCATGCCAGTGCCGCACGATTTCTGTTCTCATCCTGAAGCAAAGTTCTTAACCTAAGGTACTATTTCTGGGTTAGCAGAGTCTGTAACTTGAAGCGTCTGTAACCCGAGGTACCACTGTAGACAGCTTTTTTCTTTTGCATGACTGGATTTTCTTATTCTTATTATTTGTTTCATTTCTATATGGCTTTATATTTTAAAGAAAAAAATCTCAAAGCAGTTTACAACACATTAAAACATCAACTAAAACAATCCAGAATTAAACAGTGACAAGACATCTCCACAGATCAGCAGGCTGGCTGGTTGGCAAGCAGCAGCACCTTTCGATTGGGACGTGCAGCAGCAGAAACCTCTGCTGTGTGCCAGCCAGATAGTGGAGATGGTGATCTGCAAACCTGACGACAAGACATCTTCACTTAATCACAATTGGACTGTGCCAGTCCTAAAGTGCACCTGGTGCCTTGAGGAATTTCGGATTCTGACTGGTGCTGAGGTCCCCCAAGCTTTCAGACCTGGAGGATTTCTCATTCACGCTGAGGCCACCAGCTCTGGGATGGCTCAGGACTGTGGGACTGTCAGAACATGTTACTGGCTCTCTGCATCGGCTTGGAGGCATTTTGCCCCTGGTTTTCTCAATGGGGCAAGAAGGAAGATGCGATCTGAAGGTGTGAGGATCTTAGCACCATTCTCTTGTCATGGTCAGGTCACTACTTCTTGAGGGTTAAACTTACAACAACTGTTCTCTGCAGAGGCAGGGGAAGCCCTGGACTTCAGGTGGCTCTGTGGGATTTTCTAGCTGGTACGACTGATTTTCCCATTGAATCCCTGGCTGATTGAGGGAATGCAGAAATGACCCAGGCAGTTGCTGCCTGTACTCTTGAGTGCCCCTTCCCACTGGGCGCATCTTGGGCGGCGCTGCAATTGCTGCAGTAAAACAAATCAGGTGGCAGCTAGAAAGCTAGTGGAGGCAAGCTGCAGGTGGAGCAGCCGAGTTCTGGGTGGGCTCATTTTGATAAGTGCCTCCTCAGTGATGGTGATGGTGATGAGGAAGAGTTGCTTCTCTGCTGCCATTGCTTCCCCTCTGGAGTCATGTGGGATGTTTTACTTACTGGCCCCCAAAAGACTAGTATCCTTGGCGATCTGCTGCAACTTGATTGCAAGGTGTTTGGAGGATAGAGTTGCTTGTAACGGCAGGGACCCTGATGCTGCTGTTGTAGCAGGTCACCCTCACGGGGTGTCCAGAGTATTGCCTGGTCCAGTGTTAGGTAAAGGTAAAGGTACCCCTGACCATTAGGTCCAGTCGCAGACGACTCTGGGGTTGTGCACTTGTCTCACTCTATAGGCTGAGGGAGCCGGCGTTTGTCCGCAGACAGCTTCTGGGGCCTGTGGCCAGCATGACTAAGCCGCTTCTGGCGAACCACAGCAGCGCATGGAAACACTGATGTGCTTTCGAACTGCTAGGTGGCCAGGAGCTCACCCCGTCACGGGGATTCGAACCGCCGACCTTCTGATCGGCAAGCCCCAGGCTCTGTGGTTTAGACCACAGCGCCACCTGCATCTGCGTTACTGGGCAAGTTTCAGTGAGTGTGGCTTGAGGATGTGGACAGGTTTAAGTGGCCACTTGCATTCTTCCCCTCCTGGCCTCTCAAATTAAGCGTGGAGGGAAAAGCCAAGAGGATTGGGGAGGTGCTGGTGGTGATCTTAATTTAAATACTGCTTACATGCCAAAATGACTTCTCAGTAGCTTACAACCATAAAATCGACCCATAATTACAATACACAATAACATTAAAACACCATTACTTAAAACAAACAATTATAAAGCATAACAATTAAAACACTTAATGAACAGTTAAAACAATAAAATCACCAATTCAGTTCAGAGGAATGCTCACCCAAACAGGTGTGTCTTCAGGAGCTGGTGGAAGGACAACACTGATGGGCCCTCTTGCATTTCAGCAGGGAGGGTGCTGCATAGCACTGGTAGTGCCAGTGAAAAAGCCCACCTCCTAGTTGCCACAAGCCAATAATTACCAGGCTGTGACAAAACTAACCAGGTTCCATGAGCATCGTGGGAAGAGACGGTGAAGAGGAAGGTTTTTTCGGACCTTGAAACTGGCTTGGTGAATCATAGGGGGGGGGTGTGCTTTGAGGTTGTTTCTTACAGTCGAGTGGGGTATAAATTTTATGAAATAAGAGGCAGCCAGCGCCAGTCCCTCAGCTTTGGCGTGATATGTGCCTGATAAGTGCCATCATCCACCACTCTCCTTAGTGCCTCATTGTGAGAGGAGGCGATTCTGGGCCACCTGGAAGTGGCAGCATTGACGCCACTTTGAAGACAGGTTGATGGGCCTTGGAATACCTTCTTTCCGCTGATCCAAGGTTGCAGGGAGCCCCTTGTCAAGTCTCTGCAGAAGGGAAAGCAGTTTGTATTCAAAGTGCTTCTGGCACTTCAAAGGCAAACTGCTTTTACAGACTCATAGAATCGTAGAATTGGAAGGGATCATCTAGTCCAACCCCTTCAATGCTGGAATCTCAACTGAAGCATCCTTGTTCCTTTTTTGTATCTTGAATCCATTGGTATGGATCCTACCCTTCTTTCTGGGGAAAGAAAGAAAAAGCTCATTTTAAAAAGGTATTGAGAGGTGCGCTGCTGCCTCTTGACAGCAGAGGAGGAGTGTGGCCTCCCCAATGCAGCAATCGCCCCCAGCCCTCATCCGCATGACCAGGTATTGTCCATTGACAACTGGAGGGCATCACATTAGCTGCCTCTGTTTAAATGATGGGGGTGGGGTAGCCAGCAGCTGTGGGGCCCTCCATGTCTTCTTGTAGTGCCCTTTCCCTCAGCCCCAGCTAACATGGCTAAAGGCCGGGGGGGGGGGTGTGTGTGATTATTAATTGCACTTGTTCATCACATCATGCAGGAAAAAAGGTCTCAAAGTGTCTTAACAACAGGATAAAATACGAACAAAATCAATTAAAAGGCAGATAAAAGGAAAAGAACAAAGTACAACACACAAAAAATCCTAAAATGGACTGGAGGTGTTTCTCCTCCCGTTCTCTTAGCGCCAGCGATGGCAATTTTATTATTGAGTCTCAGTTGCCATACATGGCGACAAGACTTTTCAAAGGGCTCACTTTCTGACAATCCCCAGTCACAAAATGTGTGTGGCTAATTTTGAACGCTGCTCAAGGGTGTGGTCACCAATGCTGATGCATGGAGTGCTGACCCAGGATGTTGGTCTTCATCAGGCTGGTGGAAAGGCCCAGCTCCAAGCAGGATTAGGCAAAACTGTTGATAGGCCTCTGTAGAGTTTCCTCTAAGTGCGCTGTCTAGGCTGCACCACCTGCGAATAACATCTTGCGGATAAGAACCCACCACACTTTTGTCTTGGAGTGGAGATGCACCAGGTTAAACAGAACCTGTCACTCCTTGAATGGAGTCTTCAGTCAAGCTGAGAGTTGGGGCCAGAACACAACCCTGTTTTACATAGCTCTTTATAGGGAAGGTGACCAGGGATAGACTGTCCTACTGGATGGAGGTGATGTTCTTGTTTCTTTCAGTCCCTATTAATGGCCTCTCTGCCCCATTCTTTACTACCTCCTAGACCTAACGGTCGGGGTACCTTTACCTTTACCCAAGTACTGCAGACCCCCTGTTTTTCAAAAGCCAAGCCATGGACCCTCTTGTTGTTATTGGCACCCAGCTGGCTCTGGAGACAGCAGAGGAGTGCATCTTTGGGGGTGAAATCAAACTGTTGGAAGGTTGCAGTGCCTGCTGTGGCTGTAGAGACTGATATGGGAAAGATGTTTTGTTGCAGCTGGGGCAGACGAAGGCGTCTGGTTGTGCTGATGCAGATCTTCTCCCAAAAAGTATCTCTTATTTTGATCCTGCATGCATTGCTCTACACTAGACTGTTTCATTGCAGTAATGCAGCCAGCACTGTGGTTGGCCATTGTTCTCTGTGGTGGCAGCCACCAGGCGAGGGGCGCCTGGCTCCATCACCCTCTGATTTCAGGCTGCACACAGAGCCTTTTTGGCCAATTATTCCAGTATTTGGTGGTGCCGGAAGATCACCCTGGTTTTATTGGTTTTCATCTTGTTTTATATATTCTCCCCTGGCAAAAGGAAAGCAGTGAGGCTTCTTAGGGAGCTGAATGGTGCCTTGCTCAGCTTTTCTCCAGAGGCGTCCTATAAAATGCAGTGGTGGCATGTCAGTGTACTGCATATTATGTTTGTTTATGCATTTGAAAGTATATATTAACTGCTGGATATTTTAAAAATCTCTAAATGGTAGTTAATTGTATAGTTGCACGAGTAGTTCTAGTTTGGGGATTCTAAAGAAAGCAAAATGGGCCTGAGCTCCTCTAAGAGAAAGGAGGTCTCCGTGAAGGTGAAGTAGTAGTAGTAGTAGTTGTTGTTGTTGTCCTCCCCCCTCCCCCCGAGGGGCTTTGTGCAGAGAGGTGTTATCCTTGCGCAGGGTCCTGAGAACTGTTCCCTATCCTCAGGCGGCAGCAGCAGTAGGGTTAGAAGTCTTCCCAGGGCATGGAAGTGCCATCTCCCCTATGAAGCCAGAAGGTGGTGCCACCCTGGGGTGACCTCCCAAGGCTCACTATCGTCTGGCATATCTCTGAGGGGTCTTCTGTGGGTACTTTAAATAAGGGTGTTCTGATGCCACTGTTAATGGTACATAAACGTACTTAAAATATTTTTATCCCACTCATCAGCTAAAAAAAGGGACTCCTAAAACAGTTAACAACATTCAGTGCTATTATAGTTGTTGCCTTCTGGCTGACACAAAAGGAATTGTGGCTGCGGGAGGGGAAGCCAACTTAGGCATGATTCCTTAGTTGCAAAACTCATGTGCTGACCAACTGGAATTGGAGTTGCGGCATGTCCCACCTGCCCCAGCCAGCCAGCCAGCCAATCTGGGGAGATGTCTTGTCACTGTTTAATTCTGGATTGTTTTATCTAGTTGGTTTAATGATGGTAAACTGCTTTGAGATTTTTTCCTTTAAAATATAAAGTGGTATAGAAATGAAATTAACCAACACAACAAATCTGCCGAGCCCCCCAAAAGGCTCCTAAACAGTCTGTTGCAGTGACCACAACCTAGATTTAAGGTGCCATTTGGTGATTAGCTTGTATACCTGAGTTTCTAACACTGTCTGCAATTTACAAAATACTACTCCACAACACTACAGGCCCCATTACAACAATCAAAGACCAATGGGAACATGACATAGGATACGAAATAAACTCAACCCAGTTGCTCCAAGCCAGTGTTCGAAACCTCTCAGGCATGTTTTGCGACTGGTGTGGGTCCAATTGCGACCACATGGAGATCCCTGGATGCCAGGTTGGTGACTGAGATCTCCATCTGGCTAGCTCCTCCAGCTTTCTTGAGCAGTAAGAAGAACAGCTTATTTATTGCATTTATACCCCACCTTTTTCTTCAAGGAGGACATGGCTTACCTGCCTCCTTAGTTAATCCCTACAGTGACCCTGTGAGGTACTTTAAGAGGCTGTGACTGGCCCAAGATCACCCAGTGAGCTTCATGACTGAGTATGGATTTGAACCCTCAACTCCCAGGTCCCAGTCCAACACTTTAACCATTACACCACACTGACTTCATAAAGTACTTCTGCTATAAGTAGGTAAAACAATATGGGGAAAGCAAAATGTCACTTAGGGAAGGATCTGGAATATTTTCCTTGAAGTTTGAATTTATTGTTTTTCTAGATTGTTTTATTTGATGTTCATCATCGTCATCATCATTCCCCCCCACCAGGGCAGGGGACTGGCACCTAGACATTATGTTGTTGTCACCATAACCTAGATTTAAGATGCCATTTGTTGATTAGCATACATATCTGAGTTTCTTTAAACCCTTTAGATCTATCTCAACCAAAAGAAGGGAACTCACTCTGAAACTTATCTATAGATGGTACCTAACACCACAGAAGCTGGTGATGATACATCCAGGAACTTCACCTAGGTGCTGCTGAGGTAGCTGCTCCATGGGCACATTCTTCCACCTGTGGTGGGAATGCCCCCCAATTCAATCCTTTTGAATATCAGTCTCACAAGAAATCAGCAAAATAACAAAACTGGTAATAGAAGCAGCTCCAGAACTGGCTCTACTAAATATATCCCAAGGCAATAATATGCACTCCCATGACAAAAAACTCATAAGCTGCTTACTCAGCTAGAAGCATCATAACTAGACCCTGGAGAACAGTTGCTGCCAGGCAGCTGCCTTGCCCAACTGGGTGTCTTCATGACCACCTCCTAGCAGACCCAATAGGCAGCATTGCCAGTGGTCACAGATGATGATGGGAGTTGTACTTCAATAGCATCTGGAGGGCACAAGGTTGGGGAAGGCCACTGTAGACAGTACTGAGCCAGCTGAAGCAGTGGTCTGACTTTGTGTGCGGTTCAACTTTTATGCGTGAGCAAATAGTGTTTTTTTTGGTTTTTTAAAAAATAAAGAGCAGATTATAAATAAGATGATGGGATGAAGTTAGCTCCCTCGATGCAGCCCAGGGCCATTCGGCACCTGCTCCTGCAGGTTCATTGTTGTTGCTGTGAAGGGGAGCACTGACACTTAGGTTTGGGGCCAACTGCACCACTGAGGGGCAGGCAGATTCCCAGCATCTGTGCCGGCTGTGCAGATGTGGCCAGGGGTTGGCAGGCAGGAAGCCATGTTCGGCTTCTGGACCTAGATTGGGGTGGGTGGACTTGTGCGCAGAACTGCACCCTTGTGCACATGTGCCTCTTGTTCCGCTCCTGCTCCTCCAGTTGATCTAGCAAAACCTCAGCTAGGCAGGAATGGGTGCTGCTGCGTTGCCCTAAACTGTGCAGGCAAAGCAGATGCTATCAGCTCCTCCGGCCCTGGAGCAATGAAATGGAAAGATCAAAGCGCAGAGCAGCAGCACACAGAGGCTCTTCAAAGCCTGAGTAAGGCAGAACTGATACAAAAAACCAGAAGGCTCTTGGCTGATGTAATCATAGCCTGTGAGACAGGTTTCAAAGCTTTTTTAAGAGAGAGAGAAAGACAAAGGCACCCCTTGTTTGCTCAGAGAGGTGAAGCGTGTATGGTGGAGGCAGGGAAAGAGTACCTGCTTGGCTGCGGAGCTGGTGGCTGAGCCTCGTAGGAAGGTTGAGAAGTTTCCTCAAGCCTGGTGTAGAAGGAAGCAGGCAGCCTTGTTTTCTTTCATTGTTTAGAATGGAAGTTTAGAAGAAGATGCTGTGATTATTAAGACCCAGCATGGGTTTCTCAAAAACAAGTCATGCCAGACTATTTCTTTGATAATGTTACGAGCTTGGTGGATCGGGGAATGCTCAACATACTGGAAAGATGTACAAGTTGTTGTGCCACAGGGTTCACCCTGGGCCTGGTGTTGTTTAGCATCTTTATAAATGACTTGGACAAAGGGACACTCAGCAAATTTGCAGATGACACCAAATGGAGAGGGATAGCTAAAGCCTCAGAAGATAGAATCAGGATTCAAGATGTCCTTAACTGGTTGAAGAACTGGGCCCAAATGAAATGAGTTTCAATAGGGACAAATGTAATGTGCTGCACTTAGACAGGAAGAACAAAATGCACAAATATAAGATGTGGGAGACCTGGCTTACTAGCAGTAGATGTGAAAAGGATATAGGGGTCTTGGTGGACTCCAAACATAACATAACATAACATAACACAACACAACACAACACAACACAACACACAACACACAACACACAACACACAACACACAACAACATAACATAACATAACATAACATAACATAACATAACATAACATAACATAACATAACACAACATAACACAACATAACAACATAACAACATAACATAACATAACATAACATAACATAACATAACATAACATGTCAACAGCAGCAGAAAAGTCTAATGCTCTTCTAGGTTGCATCTGCAGAATTGTGTCCAGATCAAGGGATGTTATGCTCCCACTATATTCTGTCTTGGCTGGACCACACCTGGATTTGTGTGTCCGGTTCTGGCCATCACAGTTTAAGAAGGATATTGTCCAGCTGAAATGTGTGCAGATGAGGGTGACCAGGATGGTCAGGGGTCTAGAAATCAAGCCTTATGAGGAAGAGTTGAAGGAGCTGGGTATGTTTAGCCTGGAAAAGAGGAGACAGAGAGATATGATTGCTGTATTTGAATATCTGAAGGGTTGTTACCTGGATGATAGAGCAAGCTTGTTTTCTGTGCTCCAGAGGCTTAAGACACCCCACTGAGAGGAAGTTTTCATTCTATAGTCAAGTTCATAAAAATTGGACATTTTCTTAATAACAGTGTCCCTGCACTATCAGGGGGACATTGTTCTTTGTTGTGTATCTACTCACAGAGCAATAACATTGGATTGGAGATGTCATAGTACAACTGAAATATCAAGAAACTAGCATCTTAACATCATGCTTAATGATGAACTATTCATAAAACAAAAGAAGGCTAAGACTAAACAAGTCTTTGACTTAAATGCTGAGACTTTGACCACTAGAATGTATAAATGGGAAGGATATAAAGCTTTTATTTGAGGTCAAATTACAGCATACACACCACATTTAGAAATTTAGAAATAAACTTAGAAATAGTAAGAAAAAAAATTGAAAGAGGAATTAAAAGATCTATGCACATTAATAGTTAACAACCCAACTGTACAGTAAGCCACAAAAGAAGAAAATTGAACTAAATAATATATTATCCCAACAAGTAGAATTCATGTTCATGTGTATGGGACAAAAGCATTGGGAAACAGGTGAAAGGGTGGGTAGGATTCTGGCAAATTAACCAGGAAGGAAGGAAGGAAGGAAGGAAGGAAGGAAGGAAGGAAGGTCAACAAGCCCACAAATTAGAGAGGAATCAGATGAAGTGCATATATCTTCAACAAATATGAACAATCAGTGTTAAAATTTTACTCAGTTCTGTATAGTAACCCAAAAGAGCTATCTGAAGAGGTTATGGAGAACTTAAAAATTAATAAATCTACAAGCTCTTGAGACAATGCACAAACAACTATTAATGTCTCCAATATCAGAAATGAATGAATCTTTATTTGCGTCAGCCATCAGGCATAGTAGTAAAACAACAATACAATAGACAAATAATAGAAATAAAAAGTCAATTATATGAAATACATTTTTGGGTTTTGAATCAATAGTCAAAACAGTGGATCTTATTCTAATTGCCCCAGCTAGAAACCTTGCAACCTTTGCTGTCACCTGGTCATCTTGATCTGCTAAGAGAAAGGACATTGTGGCACTGACTGGGCGACCCGGGATGGACATTAAAAGAGGGGTGATAGCCTCATTCCTCAAGTCTTTATAAAGAGTGGAAGCCAGAAGGGCATGCGCCACCGATTTGGTACTGCCATCTCCACAGCTACATAGGTGTTTTTCATGTGGAATCTGTTGGAATCGTCCCTCAATTACAGCCAAGGGCAATACATTCAATCTTGCGAGAGTAAAAGCGCACCTATATTTTAGAATTGCTAGGTTATGCAGATAGGGTGCCAGAGAGTCGAAATGGGTAGGTGGAAAATTGTCATACCATGGGCAAAATTTCCTTATTGTGGCCAAGTTGTTCTGACGCTCGAAATCATTTAGGCGCTGACAAATTAGACTGTTTGCTTTACTAAAACCCAAAGTGAGTAGCTGTTGTTGTGATAAACCACAAGAGTGAAGTTTTTGATAGATAATTTTAGTCCAGGTGCTCTTGTGACAATCTTGCAGCACTAGGGATATTAGACTGGGGGGAATCTGAGTTTAGGCGAAGCCAATAGTTAAGTGTCCTATGCCAAATCCGTAATTCTACTGAGGGAAGATTATCTCTAGGCGCAACGAGGCGTTTGGGACATAGGGTGGTACAGAGAAAATTTGCCTTAAGAACTTTGATTGGACAGCTTCCGTAGATCCAAGGTGATGTCTGTCCAAATCTGAGCCCCATATAATAACTCTGCTAGTGGTTTAGCTTGGAACACTTCCAGGACTGATGGTACAGTATATGTTTACCACCTTTTGTGTAGAAAAAGCATGTCAAAATTTTGGCGCTTTGGAATGCTTTTTCTTTTGCACATTTCTGGTGTGCTCCCCATGACCCCGTAGACTGGAAAATAAGGCTAAGATATTTGAAAACTTTAAGCTGTTCTATTAGCTGATTGTCCATGTGCCGTCTATGGGCCCTGTAGTTTCTTGAGAAAACCATGACTTTGGTTTTCTTGTGATTCACAGCCAGATGTTCTCTCTGGCAATATCCTGAAAACGCCCTCCTCAGTCTTTTTAGGCCTGCTTTTGTTTGGGATAGAAGAACCGCATCATCTGTATATAATAATATTGAGATGGGTTTCGAGGCCAATTTAGGGGCATGATACTCTGGAGATGTTAGACACTAGACAATATCATATATGTATAGGTTGAACAGTGCGGGAGCTAGAATACACCTTTGCTTGACTCCCTTTGTGGCTGGTACAGATCCTGTAAGTTGTCCATTTCTGGAGCAGCGCACTTTCAACACTGTATCGTCAAATAAGCATTTGATCAAGTACAGTAGTCTTTTGTCTATACTTGAGGAGTTCAATTTATCCCAGAGTCTTACTTGCAAAATTGAGTCAAATGCAGCTTTCAAATTGATGAAAGCTGCATAAAGCACACCACGTGGTTTCATAGACTACTTGTCTATGAGATGTGCTGGAAAAAAGCAATGATCTAGGGTGTGTCTGCCTTCCCTGAATCAGTATCACAAACTGAGATTAGGGAAATAATCTAAAACATGGTAAATAATAAAGCACCAGGGTTAGAGGCTTTCCCAGTGGAATGGTACAAAACATATATTGATATTTTGGCGCCTAGGTTATGCCCATTATATGATGAGATATATAAAGAAGGAATTAGCTCAATATTATTTAATCAGGCATACATTACTGTTATTCCCAAATCCGGCAAATGCAATGCACTAGCTATTGCCCAATTTCTCTGTTTAATATTGATGCAAAAATCTTAACAGCAATATTGGCAAGAAGGCTGCAAATAGTAATACTGACTATTGTTAAAAACGATGAAACAGGGTTTATAAAGACAAGGCAAGCTGCAGATAATATCAGGGTGGTTGTGGATTTGAGAAATATGAGCAAATATGATTTAGCTATATTATCTCTAGACATGGAAAAAGCTTTTGATAAGGTCCATAAACAACACATGGAAAAAGTACTACAAAAATTCGGCTTTCCACTGGATTTTATAAAATGGATTAATATAAGTTTTTTGAATGTGCCAGACACAGTAGAACATACTCTTTTCTACTGTCCATTGTACAACCAGCTATACAAACACATGCTATCCCCCTTTTTTTGGTAGTTGACATCATGACACAATGAAAATATCAGATTTTATCTGTCTGTCTGACATTAACCCGGAAGTAACTCCAAGAGTGGCTGAATTTTTAATCAATAGTATCTCTTAGAGTGGTGAATGGCACTATTTAGTGGGAAGAAACTCCAATGAAAATCCTTGTTATTACTGTACATATTTTTACATGGCTGTTTATTTGTATATATTTTAATTTTTTATATATGGATGTTTTATGATGGCCTATATTTCGCTGTGGGTTAAACCACAGAGCCTAGGACTTGCCGACCCCCTGCAACGGGGTGAGCTCCCGTTGCTCGGTCCCTGCTCCTGCCAACCTAGCCGTTTGAAAGCACATCAAAGTGCAAGTAGATAAATAGGTACCGCTCTGGCGGGAAGGTAAACGGCATTTCCGTGCGCTTCTCTAGTTTGCCAGAAGCGGCTTAGTCATGCTGGCCACATGACCCAGAAGCTGTATGCCGGCTCCCTTGGCCAGTAAAGCGAGATGAGCACTGCAACCCCAGAGTCGTTCACGATTGGACCTAACGGTCAGGGGTCCTTTACCTTTTTTTAACAAAAGAAATCTCCCACTATCACTTTATATAAATGTTTATTAGCCACCAACCAGTTCAACACACAGATTGGTCTCAGTCTCAACCAAGCAATGAGAAACTGTTAAGCTCTTTAGCAAGGGTGTCACTGGACCTTAAACTCAGACTCATGCAACAACAAAGATAAAATTTAGAACTTACGGGACTCCATTGCGCTTGTTTTTGAAGGGCTATCCAAGACATCGAGCTGCTGGAGATGTATCAGGGACAAGCCTTCTTTAAAACATATGTTCTTACAATGTCCTATATGGATAATTTCGGGGCACAAGGTAATAGAGACGCCTAATGTAACTATACAGTAAAATATTAAATTTTCATTTTGTATACCAGTACATGAAACCTAACAAAGGGTCAGTATGAATAGACTCTCTGCACTCTATGGCAAAAAGACAGGTATTGAACTGTAAAAATAAAAATGTTGCCCCCTTCAACGAATGGATAGAAGATATGTGCAAGCCTGCAACACATGAACCAGTCGCATACAAATGTAGATTCACCATTGACAAATGTAATTATATTTGGAATTCATTTTTATAAACACTGTATTAGGGTAAGTTTAGCTTAACTACAATAACAATCATGAAGTGTTTATAGTTTTTTATAACGCGGGTGTTATTTTATTTTATTTCTATTTGTGTTTTATTTTACCTTGCACACTTTTAATTTTGTACTTATTTTTCAATAAAGAAAAGAAAAAAGAAAAATACCAATTTGAATAACAGGTTTAAACAAAAGTTCCCAGGTTTCTAATTCATATACTGCTATAGGAAGTATGTAAGATGCCTGTCTGCCAACCTTTTGGAATGGCAGAGTCTTTTTGGTGAGCAGGAACATCTTCTGAACACATTTTTCATTTTTGTGCTAAGAAAAAATAGCTTTTGTTTGGTGTGCTGCCCTTGGGCACAGGGTGGTAAACTGGGGGGGTGTAGGTGGGGACTGGCAGTTAATGTTGTATTTTAAATTATCGTTACCTCCCTGGAGCCTTAGAGTGAAAGTTAATAAATTAAATTAGTAATAATGCAAGCTGAAGAGGACTTCTCCATGTTGATGGAAAGCAAATGACTCTGTTAGTATTCCTTGCTCAATAATAAATGCTGCCTGCAGCCGGATCGGCTTTGTCCTGCTTTGAAGGCCCATCCTCTTGCCCCTGGCTTGCTCCTTTACACAGAAAAGTAGATTTTTTACTTTCTGTGTTTGACAGAAGGCTGTGCATTCCATTTTCAGAGTATGCATGTCAGGCAGCTTTCTGTTTCATTCAACTTTGTTTTTTCACCAGGTTATTTTTAAGGAGACATTTTTGTAAGATTGACTGTTCTTTAAAAAGAAAAGTCTGGAGTGGAGACACCGACTGAGGCTCCCTCTGCTTGAGCAGGACTCCCTGGAGCGCAGCGGCTGAGAGAGAGCCCTGCCACAGACTCTAGTCTTTCAGATTTCCTCTTGTCCACCATCTTGCAACTGGCAGTCTGAAAATGCAAGAGCAGAATCCTAAGGAAAGGGGGGAAACCTTGGGAATGTGGTTCCCAGCAATCATTTCTGAAAGGCCGGAAGGCTCCCCACATCTCCTGACAAGGCTGCCAGTGCCACCCCCCAGCCATCTATATCCACAGACTGGATTTCCAAGGTGTAATGATGGGGGAGAAGAGCTGAATGAGGCCACAGCCCCTTCTGCAGGAATGTCCAATCCTCCTTGAGAACATCCATTTTGATTTCTGTGATGAGGCAGAGACTGTGGGGACCAGTTTTTGGTACACAGAAAAGGAGGCCATAGTAGAGACAAGTTCCCTCTTTCTGAACGTTGTGGTCACCCAATGAAAGTTCAGTGCAAAGAGAAAGAATTCCTTTGTTACATATTACATAATATGAAACGTAGCTAAGATGGCTGTTAAGAAGATGAGGCAGGTTTATTAGCCCTACTGGGTGAGTGGAGGCCCCTTCCCTGCCCCCTGCTTTAGAGCCAAGTGTCAGGACCTGACACCAAGCACCCTTTCTGATTTGGTGGAGGAGCCGGTGTAGGCGATGAGGGATGCTGGTGCACCTCTGAAGGCTCCTTGAATCCTGTGGGGGCTGTGCCTGGGATATTTTCAGAAAAGGGAAGCTTCCTCTTTAGGAGTCTGAGAGAGCTTCTCTGACTTGGTGGTGTGGGATTGGTGAGCCTGAGATGGTGAAGAGACAGCATGGCCGTGCACTGGGTTCTCTTGACTGCAGGCATAGATGAGTTTCCAGACAACTCTCAACAAGCCAGAATTTAGGGTCCCTGGTATAATGTAGATGGGTGCTTTGGGAAACAGCAGGCACATGACTTTGGGTGTGTGGGAAAGATGCTACAGCTGGGAGACCATTGATCTGATCAGATATCCTGCTCTGGATGTAAGTCCAGCTGTATTAGGCAAAGTGGGGGGTGCCGTTGATGGACATGGCTTTGGACTGAGCCTATCTGGGAACTTGCATGGGATGCTCAGAAGGGGAAACTTTCTCTGGGCCTGCTTGGTGCCTAATCCAGGCCCTGGAGGCTCTTCCCTTGGGTGCTCTGAGGCTCAAGGCCTTCTGTGTCTTTCTGAAGTGTCACTCAGTGGGCATGGCTCTGGTCCAGGGCACTCTTTGGGATGCCTCCCAGAACCATTGGCAAGGAAGCCATAGCTTGAGCATGAACTCCACAGTGGCTGCTATGACTGTTGAGTCTTGCTCAGAGTCTGACTTTCTTAAGGGAGAGAGTAAGGGAGAGGAGAAATCATAGAAACCATAGAATTGTAGAGTTGAAAGGGATCATCTAGTCCAACCCCCTGCAATGCAGGAATCTTTTACCCAATGTGGGGCTTAAACCCCCAGCCCTGAGATCAAGAGACTTATGCTCTACCAACTGAGCTATCCCAGGAGCCAAAGTATGAGTATGAGTTGTGGGCCCGACTGTTTTGTTCCCTCCAGCTCCTCAGAACAGCAGGATGCTGCTCAAGGATGTTCCAGAGTGATCATATTGGTAGCCTCGGTCATCTCCCTATTTCAGGAAGAGACCAGGGCCCTAGCTGGCTTGCCAGCTAAAGCCACACCCTGAAGAACCTTGGCAAGCCATCTGGATCCATTGGTCTCTGGGCCAAGCCATCACAGTTGATGCTCTACCCCTGCCACAAGATCCACCTGCGTCAGATAATGTTCTGTGCAGGAGTAATGGAGTCACCACTGCCTTGCCCACCCATAGATCCTCCCCTCCCCCATTCTACTACAGAAAGCCAGATCCAAAGTGTGTGGCAGGCCAAGATATACCGTATTTTTTGCTCCATAAGACACACTTTTTCCCTCTTAAAAAGTAATGGGAAATGTCTGTGTGATGAAGTGAATGCTGCGTGGAGGAGGGATGGACGGGAGCCATGGCTCCCGCCCATTCCTCCTCCGCAGCTCGCTTTAAAGCAGCAAAGTGGGAAAGGAGCCGCTTGCACAGGTGTAAAGCAAGCACAGTGGGGGCCGTGTAATCCTTCTGCCCCCGCACTTGACTGCCCCATTGCGATTGGCTTGCACGCTTGCACCACCCCTTTAGGACGACGCTCGCATGGGCGGAGGCATTCTACATTCTACGTACAAGGATGATAAAGCAGAAAAGATTAGCATATAAGATTCCTTTTAAACTAGAGGTAGTAAAATATACTAAGGAGCATGGAAACAGAGCAGCGGAGAGACATTTTGGGCTACCTCCAACTGAAAAAATGGAAAGAGAGTGGAGGAAACAGGAAGATCAGCTGCAAAAAGCAGATAAAAGTAAGCAGACTTTTCGTAAATGCTGCAAAGTGGCCACAGTTGGACGTGGCCATGAAAGAATGGATCACAAATCACCGGAATAATGGCTTCTCAGTCTCTAAAAAAAATGATAATATATGAAGCCAAACACATTGCTGTAGAGAAAGGCATTCGCGATTTTACTGGATTACCATCATGGTGCTACAGATTTATGAGGCGATATGGCCTTGCTATGCGCACCAAAACTAGAATTGCACAAAAAATGCCAGAAGAATATGAATATAAGATTTTGTCTTTTCATAAATTTGTAATTGATGCTAGGAAGAGAAAGGGGTTTGAAATTGGCCAGATTGGGAATATGGATGAAGTCCCGCTAACCTTTGATGTGCCATCTAATAGGACTGTTGATCTGAAAGGTGCCAAAACTATAGCCGTGAAAACCTTCGGACATGAGTAAACCCATTACACGGTTGTGTTGTCTTGCTGTGCAGATGGCACCAAATTGCCACTGATGTTAATTTTCAAAAGGAAAACATTTCCAAAAGAAGTGATTCCAAGAGGAATTGTTGTACATGTTCATGAGAAAGGATGAATGGACGAAAATGGAATGAGAGTATGGGCTGAAGAAGTGTGGTCCAAACGTCCTGGAGGGCTTTTGAAAAAACCTGCCTTATTAGTACTTGACCAGTTTAGAGCACATTTTAGCGAAACTACAAAAAAGCGCTTTAAAGAAATGAAGACTCATCTAGCTACAATTCCTGGAGGTCTTACCAGCCAGTTGCAACCTCTCAATGTTTCCACTACAAGCCATTTAAGGTCTTTATGTGAGAAGAGTGGAACAAGTGGATGGCTGCTGGTAATCATGATCTGACACCTACTGGACGAACGAAGAGGCCCACTATCACTCAAGTTTGTGAATGGGTGAAAACAACATGGCACTCAGTGAAGGAGGAAATCGTTGTACAGTCATTCAAAAAATGTGGCATTAGCAATGCTTTGGATGGAAACGAAGATGGTATCTTATATGAAGATAGTGAAGAAAGTGATGTCAGTGATTGTGAACAACTGAGCTTCATAAATTCTGACTCTAGCACTGATAAGTTCTTGGGGTTCACAGAAGACTAGAAGAGTACTCAAACCTTAAAGTCTCTCTTCATTTGTTAATGGCAGTGATGATGGTTCTTAATGCCACTGTTAACTGCTGTTCACTTTACATGGTTGAAATATTATTCTGATATACCAGTAGTTTATTAAGTAGTTTAGTACAACATTCGGCAGCTAAAAAAGCCAATGCCGGCAGCTAAAAAAGCCAATGCCAGCAGCTAAAAAAGCCAATGCAATTCTGGGCTGCATCAATAGGAGTATAGCATCTAGATCAAGGGAAGTAATAGTGCCACTGTATTCTGCTCTGGTCAGACCTCACCTGGAGTACTGTGTCCAGTTCTGGACACCACAGTTCAAGAAGGACACTGACAAACTGGAACGTGTCCAGAGGAGGGCAACCAAAATGGTCAAAGGCCTGGAAACGATGCCTTATGAGGAACGGCTAAGGGAGCTGGGCATGTTTAGCCTGGAGAAGAGGAGGTTAAGGGGTGATATGATAGCCATGTTCAAATATATAAAAGGATGTCACATAGAGGAGGGAGAAAGGTTGTTTTCTGCTGCTCCAGAGAAGCGGACACGGAGCAATGGATCCAAACTACAAGAAAGAAGATTCCACCTAAACATTAGGAAGAACTTCCTGACAGTAAGAGCTGTCCGACAGTGGAATTTGCTGCCAAGGAGTGTGGTGGAGTCTCCTTCTTTGGAGGTCTTTAAGCAGAGGCTTGACAACCATATGTCAGGAGTGCTCTGATGGTGTTTCCTGCTTGGCAGGGGGTTGGACTCGATGGCCCTTGTGGTCTCTTCCAACTCTATGATTCTATGATTCTATTCTATGATTTGATTCAGAATATTTTTTTTCTTGTTTTTCTCCTCTAAAAACTAGGTGCGTCTTATGGTCAGACGCGTCTTATGGAGTGAAAAATATGGTAATTTGACAACAGGCCCATCTGTGGTTATGGAACCTCTAAACTCCAGAGTCACTCCCAACAAGTGTTTACGTTAAAGCCCACCAAAACCAGAATCCTCGAAGCATTTGAATGGATGACTTTAGTTTTTCTTAATGCACTGTCTTTATTTTTATGTCAGCTGAATGGCAGAGCCCAGGCTTTGTGTGCAGAAGGATCCAGCTTTAACCCCAGGCCTCTCCAGGGCATGGAGGGAGACTTTTCTTCCCATCCCCGGTACCTGATCCTGGAGAGCTGCTTGTGCCGGTCAGTGGAGGCAGTCCTGGGACAGATGGGTCAATGGCCTGGCCTGGCCTGAGGCAGTCCGTCCCCCCATTTTATTTGTTACATTTTAAGGCCTGCTTTTCCTTACAGTATTCTTCCTGTCCCTATTTTATCCTCATGACAGCCCTGTGAGGTAGGCTGGACTGAGAAAAAGTGAATAGCCTGAAGTCATCCAGTGAACTTCATAGCTGAATGAGGGCTAGAACTTAGATCTCTGCAGTGCTATAGCTAGCATTTTGATAACATGACCCCATGCTGCTGACTGATTTGTTTGTCAGTTGCTTACTACTAACAAATAATCCATTCAATATGAAGCACACAAAAGATTAGAACAGTGAACACCATCATATCCTGATTCTAAGAACAGCAAGGCAAAACCCCAACTACCCCCAAAAGCAGATAAATCAACTAGAAATCCACCAGAGCAGGCTAGATATTGACAGTCAGATGACTGGGAGAAGTGGAAAGTCTTTGCCTGGCACTGAGAAAATATTGATGCCAGCAAGACTCTTTGACAGATTGGAGCGCTGCTACAGAAAAGGGGTTTTGGTGTGGAGCCCCTGTGAGCAATGAGAAGGATTGATCCTCACATAAGATGCAGGGTTTGAAATTAGCAGGGCTCCAGGCTCATTTTGCGCCTAAAGATTCTCCATTTGCGAGAATCTCAAAAAGTCTGGGTGCCATTTTTTGCACCTGGCTGACATTCAAGGATTACTGAAATATATGTGCTTTGAAGTCTCGAAAGTATATGTTAAGGATAGACAATATGTTAAGGAGTTTAACAATAAAGAGTAGAGTGTTTTGAAAACTGAAGTACGGTACCAATCTTTTTATTGTAAACACCAAATTAAACACGCATTAACAATTTCTGCTAAAAATGTGATATTAACAACGTGTCACGTATGTGAGTTGTGTATTAGTTCATGCTTCTCAAAATAATAAAGTGTTGCTGATACCTCACCCCCCCCCCAGTGGTGACTGGACAACATTCCGTTTTGGCGCCCACAACCCAGGTCCCAGGATGCACTGGGCTCCTAGCTTTTCTATCCCAGTTTCTAGTAAGTAAGTTTCTAGTGAGCAATAGGTTGCAGAGGAGAGGTGAAGACGTGGGGCTCTGCAGGTGGATTTGCTGGCCGTGTCTGACACAAGGAGGACCAGGCAAAGGCACCCTGGGAGTATTTGTGAGTGAGGCTGGGGGAGCCCAGTGGTACTGGGATCATGCCCCTTCCATCACCACCTCTGCAGCCTCAAGTAGCAGAAGCATGCAGGCCAGGAGGGCCACTGTCCTTAAATGCTTTAGGGTGTTCAGACTTTTTCAGTTTTCCTTAAAGCGGTCTTGCAGTGTGAGCAATATTTTGGTGGCTTAGCACAGGGCCAATTGCTTTGGCACCTAGAAAGTTTCCAGGGTGAGAGAGAAGCCGCTCTGTGCTCGCAAAGGAGTGGGATGTCTTTTCAAGCTGTCACCTTGTCTATGTGGTGGTTGGGGGTCTTTCACCTCGGAGCAGTTTTTGTAAGGCCCATTAATCCTTCTGGAGAAGACTGGTGTGAGAGTGGAGGGGCTGGCAATGCTTTCTGCCATGTGTGTAAATTGGAGATTGCTGTCACAGGCCAGTTGTGAGCTTACCACACTTGTGTCCCCACGTTGTCTGCATCTTATGTTGTTGGTGGCAGTGTACTTTCCTTGTCGACCACCAGAAGGGGCCAAGCCGGACCTGCACTCAGTGGTGTGGAAGCCACTCCAAACAGAGGGAGGATGTTGATTTTTTGGATAGACCCAAGTGTGGTGACGATGCCTGTTGGCATTCACACTCTCACTTCCACGCTGCCAAGTGGCATGGGATTGCACCCCAGGTACGTGGTTCCCATGCTGCAGGTGTGTGTGATTGGGAGGAGGTGGAGGGAGAAGCCTTGCATCCCTCCTGAAGCTTTAACTACAGCATCTGTGTATTTCAGGCTATTTTCCTTTCAGATAGTGCCAAGAACTTTTGGCTCTTGGAGTTACTGGCAAATCTCTTCTGCCAGAATAGTCTGGACATAACATTTTGCACCTCACTGTCTTTTCTTTTCTCTCCTTGGGGGCCATGTGCCATAAGCCTTTGGCCAGCATTGGAAGAAGACACAACAGTACTGTGGCCAGGTCTTTTGATGTGTTGTGGGTGGGGGGGACTTATTCTACTCTCTTAGAAGAAGCACAGTTGCAGGAGACCAAATGCTTATGGTTATCCTGTCTAATGGATGCATTATAAGTTGGGAGGGAGTGGAAGAACCCATAATCCCATGGTGTTTCTTTGGCCTTTGGAAGATCACTCCCTGGCAGACTTCCAGGCTGACTTATTCTGGGTTCTCTTCAAGCTGGGTGAGAGTATGGCCTGGACCTATCTGTGAGTAATCCCCACTGCCTCAGGCATGGAAAACTTGGGAATTTGAGGTTTTAGCATTTATAGATCCCATACTAAGATAAGATGAATATGGTACTCTACCAAGGTTACTGTTCAGTCATGACCAGAAATTGTATAAAGGTTAATGAAACTATGAAATCTTCTCACTTGCATTTGATGGCTAGAATTAAGGGGTGTTTTTTCCTGAGTTACATGTCACACTGGCAGAGAGACAGGAAGGAGGAGAGTCACGGCCTGAGCCTTCTCCTGGGCAAATGGGAGCCTGTGGATGGGACTGCAGGGCAGACTCCCAACTTTGCTTTGTAAATTAGAGAAAGGAGGAGGCTTCATAACTTGGGCAGTCTACATCAGTAGTATATTCAAAAGTCAGCCTGACTTTTCCTCATCCTATGAGGTCTTCATGCCCACAGTGGAGTGTTGCTGAGCCAAGACTATGCTTCTAAAACAAATTGGGGTCATTCGCAGAAGCATATCCTGGCCTTGAGTGCATATTGCCAGGTTTATCTCACTTGTTTGTAATCTCATCAGGGCAATTAATCAGTATTGTGCAGTAAAATTATTATGAAGAATTTGTAGCCTCTAGGCATAAAGCCCCCTAAGCCCACAGCACAAAGAGGATTGGTCCAAATCAACAAGAAGAAAAGACTGGTGTAAGAGTTCTGTGTCTGGACCTGACATAAGATGAGCCCAGCTGGGTCAGGTCACAGTGTGTCTGCTTAACTCAACATCTTGCCTCTGAACATACATAGACTGAGGAAGAAGAGAGTAGGACTAACTGGGCAGTCTCATGGTTGAAGCGTATAATGAGGTCTTCCCAAGGATTGGGAGAGAGGCTTTTCTTTAGCTTGTTCAGAAATGTTCTCGAGGCAGAGGTGGGCAGTGAGGCAGCCAGGTTTTCAGGTGACAACAAATTATTCAGGCTGGCAGATGCTCAAAGTGAGTGGGAATGAGCTCCAAAAGAGTCCAAACTTGTTGAACGATCATTACAGTGGAAAATGTATTTTGGTCTATTGAAGTGAGACTGATGCATGTTGGGGCAAAAAATTCTAACTTCACACAGGTGGGAACTAAACTCACGGTGAACTAATCAGGGAAGCAATAGTGGGGCTGTGGCAGAAAGCTCTGTGAAAGAATTGGTCCTAGTGTGCGGCAGCCATGAAAAGGGTGACTTCCATGTTAGGAATCATTAAGAAAGGATCAGAAATTAAAATGCCAACATCATAGTGCCTTTATACAAATTGATATTGTGGCCACACCTGTATGCTCTTACAACTGCCACAACTTGTAAAGCTGGAAAAGGTGCAGTAAGGGACAACCAAGGTGATGGGGAGGTTGGAGCAGACTCGCCTGTAAGGAAAGACTACACAGTTTGAGACTAATTAATTGGGGGTGAGGGGAAGGAATTGAGGAAGTGGGAGAACTGATGAGAGGCTTATGGAATTATGGATGGTGTGGAGAAAAGTGAAAAGAGAGAAGTTGTTCTGTCTCTGTCATGTGGGTAAAACCCATTGAGGCCATCCGGTGAAACCAAATGTTGGGACGTTCGGGGCAGACGAACGTACATGCTACTTATCACAGCACATGCTTAAACTATGGGATTTGCTCCCCCACCCCTTGGGTAGCTCTAGAAGAGGATTGAAGCAATTCATGGAGGAGAATAAGGCTCTCCATGGCTGCTAGTCATGCTAGTTCAGGGACCACATGGCTTTGGGCTTCCCTGTGGCATTCTGGGGTGTGACACTTTCAACCTGAGCCAGCAGTGATTTTTCAAAAGTATGCAACAGATCCATGAAGGATAAAGCAATTGATAGAACAGTTGACTGTGCTAGAAGGATAGTCTTGTATCTTAGGTATGCCAAGTTCTGAAAGCCCTTTTGGATCAGGCCAAAGGCCCACGTAGTCCAGTGTCCTGTTCTCACAGTGACCAACAGATTTATGAGTTCTGGCCTTTCTGTTGTTGCTGCTGAAGAACAACAGTCTTTTTCTCACATTTGAGATGGAAGGAGCAGAACAGAGGCTGTTTCTCTCCCTTCCAGAAGCAGTTTCATGATCTTCCTCACTCTTCCAGTGTCTGCTTTCTCTCCTCTCGCCGATATCTCAGATTGTGTCTTGCATGGAGACTCTGAAGTCACAGAGTTTACAAATAGGGAGCTTGAGGATCAGAGTCCCAGAAGCAGAGCACAGGAAGAACCTGCCTCCACTGCCCCCAGCCTTGCCTCCCGGACTGCCATGACCCAACCCCTGCCTTGCTAGCCCTCCCTTCATAGGAAGCCTGAGCCCCAGGGTGGAGTCTCCGTAGGAAGGTGGCAGCCAACGCACTTCTACTCAGAGTAGGTCTATGAATGAGTAATGAATGAGGCCACTCTGAGTAAAACCTTGTTGGATGCCTTCCAGAAAGTTTCCTTTTGTGTCCAGGCTTCCCTGTGCAAGTGGGGTCACTTCCCCTAAGAGGAAAGGGAGCCTGTGATTTAGAGAGGACTTGGTTTGGGATTTAAATGGTGAAGTTGGTTATTCTGCCTTTTTAAGATTGGGAGCTTTATTTGCTAGAAGGACAAAAGAGAGGAAGTTTCTCCCCTCTGAATCACTAAGCCGCTTTTTCTTGGGGTGGAGGGACTGTTCTGCACTCTTCCTCCCAGTCACGTTGGGCCTGCTCTGTAACAGTAGCCCCACTTAAGTTGTGCGGTCCTTTTAGAAGTTATTTTAAACCCTTGGGAGTGTGTGCAGATACTGTGACCTTGGATAAAGGCAGCAGCAGCCCCCTTTGAGCCAGGCTGTTTCAGACATCTGGGAAGATCTCTGCCCACCCCCACTCATTTATTTCAATGATTTTATTTAAAGGCAAAAGCTTGGTGGTTTAAACGGCTGGCTGATCCTTCACCCCCAATTTGGCTTTGCTCTGCTTCTTGGAGATGGACTGAAGAAGGAAGAGGAACTCTCTCCTAGTTTAGCTGCTGAGATGGCAACAGAGCAGCCTATAAATTGGTGGCTTGGGGGAAGCTGAAGCAGGAACATCCATGTGTGTGGTGGGGGGCTGGAGGAGGCTGAAGCACAGGAGGTTAAAGATGTCTGTTCCAAATACAGTTGACGAGAGACACTGTACTGTAAGTGTTCGTACGCGAATGCCTCACTCTCTACGTCAGCAAAGGCGTTGAGTCCAACAAGCTAGAAATTCCCAAAGGGTCAGACACCCCCACTAATCCCCAAGAGTAATTTAGTACTGGCAATGTGCTATCATGCCCTGACCCAAATGCTCAGGAGAGGATGGATTTTGGAGCCTAAAAACAAGGAGGCACCCAAAGGCAGAAGTGCTACATGGTAGTGGATGACTCCAGTTATCCCCTCCTAGGCAGGTCCCATAGAATCATAGAATTGTGAAGTTGGAACAGGCCCTCAGGGTCATCTAGTCCAACCCCCTGCAATGCAGGAATCTCAACTAGATAGTACATGGCAGACTTTTGATTCATATTCTTTTTCACAGTTTGTTTATATTCAGCATGAGACACTATTGTCCTAGACATGGGGGGGGGGGGAGAAAATGGAGGAGGGAGAGGGTTGGGGAGGAATAATGATTTTTTTCATTCAGTTGCATAGTGTTTGTGCAGGGTTTTTGTGTCACCATCTCGTGGGTATGCCCTTTATTTACCATATATAGTTATTTGTTTTTATTTGCATTGTGTGAGAGAGAGGGGTCCAGAGCTTGGTTAGTTGCGTTCAGTTGATTGCAGTGTGGCTTATCAGGGGGAGGGGCAGTAGGTTGTGGGGTCAGGTTAACCACATTGATTTGTGTGCTGTTGTGGGGGATAGTTCGTTGTCTTGTTGTGCTGTGCATGTGATGAAGGGGAACTCCTTTGCTTGTTCCTGTGCTAGTTGTAAGTTTGTCGGCTAACTTTTCTAATTGGGCTGTTTCATGTATATTTTGGTACCAGTGGTCCGTGTTCACTCCTAATAGGTTCTTCCCGTGTCTAGTTACAATATTTCTAGCTGCTGAGAGCAAGTGACATGAGTTCCTTGTCATGTGCATGTGTGTTGTTGACCTGGAATATGTTTAATAGGGCTAGTTCTGGAGTTGCTTCTATTACCTGTTTTGTTATTTTGGAGATTTCCTGCGGCAGTGATATCCAAAAGGATTGAACCTTGGGGCATTCCCACCACAAGTGGAGGTATGTGCCTATGTAGGTGCAGCCTCTCCAGCATTTAGATGAGGTTCCTGGGTGTACCAGCACCAGCTTACATGATGTTAGGTACCATCTATAGATAAGTTTCAGAGTGATAGTCTACCACCTTCTGAGGGAGTCTGTTCCACTGTCAAGCAACCCTTACTGTGAGAAAGTTCTTCCTGATGTTTAGTTAGAATCTCCTTTCTTGTAACTTGAAACCATAGGTCCTAGACTCTGGAGCAGGAGGAAACTATATAGCTTATTCCGTTTATAGATATCTGAAAATGGCTGTCGCATCTCACCTTAGTCTCCTCTTTTCCATGCTAAACATACCCAACTCCCTCAACCGTTCCTCACAAGGCTTGGTTTCCAGACCCTTTATCGTTTTGTTTACCTTGCTCTGCACATGTTCCAGCTGGTCAATTCTGCTCAGAACTGGACACAGGATTTCAGGTGTGGTCTGACCAAGGCAGAATAGAGTGGGATTATAAATTCCCTTGATTGGGACACTATACTTCTGTTAATGCAGCTTAGAATAGCATTAACATTTTTTGCTGCTCCACACTGTTGACTTATGTTCCACTTGTGGTTCACCAAGACTCCTAGATCCTTTTCACATATACTGCTAGTAAGCCAGGTGTCCCCCACCTTATATTTGTGCATCTGGTTCTTCCTGCCTAAGTGCAGCACCTTACATATGTCCCTATTGAAATTCACTTTGTCAGTTTGGGCCCAGTTCTCCAATCTGTTAAGGTCACATTGAATCCCGATTCTGACTTCAGGGGCATTGGCTTCCTCAATGATGAGTTGATAAGTATCTCCTCAGTTCCTTTGTCCAAGTCATTTATAAAACATTGAACAACAACAGGCCCAGTACATGCGTGTTCCGGTCACAACAAGCAGGTAAAATTTCTAGATGTATTGAATGCCCTAGAATAGCTGGCAGTGGAGCAGACCAGCTGGTCACTCCCCTGGACTTAATCCAAATGGAGCCTTGAAAATTATTCTAAGGTGCTCAAGTGTCCTCTGATGAAACATAAAATTCTGCCCACATGAGGAAATAAGGTTGCCAGGAGAGCATGTTGAAGGCGACTTTCCGTGTAATGTCTGTGAAGAAATGCAGATGACGTAAAAGCTGTGTTTGGGGAGGCAGCAGATTCTTGCAGGAAATGAACCTGACCGCAAACACAAGAATGTGCCATTTCTGTGCCCCTTCACCACCCAGGAACTCCAAGCAGGCAGTGAGGGGTATAGGAAGAGCCTTTGGGAATGCTGATGGGGAAAATGAAGGCTCCGTCTGCTGCACCATTTAATGCAGTTGTACACCTTGCCTTTGGATAACGCAAACAAGGCTGCTTCAGAGCATGAGGAAGAGGCAAGCAAAGTCAGGCAAGCGCTTGATGTCTCTTCTTAAAGGGAAGAAACAGCAATATGGTTTTGCTTTAAAAAGAGGCAGCCGTAGGAAAGGAGAGATGGTTGGGGACCATCCCAAGAATGAAACAATAATGAGAGTGCACCCAATTAAATGAAAACTCTGCTTGCACTGCACCTAACCAATGCCTAGAGTTCATGGCCACAAGCTTTGATTCAGCAGGTTCAGAGAAATGAGTGAGACGTTGCTCTTTCTGTGGCTGTTAGCAAACCACTTTGAGACATCTCCCCTTTTGCCTTGGCCATTTGCCGGCTGGGAGGAATGGGGATGTTCCCTCTGAAGGGATATCTGCTTTGGCAGCATTTCATTTTGTGGCATTTTGCTTCAACTGCTTTGTCCTAGAACAGTCCCATGTACAGACACCCACAAAGACTTATGCAGTTTTCAGTATTAATGTTGTTCATCTCCCTTCAGTCTCAAGGGCATTGGGACTTTGCAAATATGTCCCAGCTGGAGACACGACTTCTGGATTTTCTCTTGGTCACAGCATTGGTAGGAGCAGGTTGAGAGGCCTGTCTGGAGTTGTGCTCAGCAATATCTTTAGGACCATTCTATGGGAACCTGAGGATGTATTGATGGGCACGGATGTTGGTGACCTCACAATGGAAAGCAAATGAGATGAACCTGTTCATCTGCTTCATGGTGTCCTTTCCCTTCCTCCTCTTCTAGATGCATCCCTTGGGACTCTGCAATAGCAATGATGAAGAGGATTTGTACGAATATGGCTGGGTTGGAGTGGTGAAGCTGGAGCAGCCGGAGGTGGAACCCAAGCCCTGCCTGACAGTCTTGGGCAAGGTAAGAAGACCCTCCCTGAGGGTGCAGAGGGCCATGCCCTTGCCCCATGCCACACCATGCTGCCAGGAGACTTGTTTGGCGGGCCTCTTCATTGTGCTGGTTGACTCCCAGGTAGATGTGAGCTTGGTAGAGCACACACCCGATCCTGGCAGGGGTGGGTGTTGTTGCTGCCAGAAGTTTACTCCTTGATGCCCCTTCTCCAAAACGTGCTTCCAGGCTGCCATGATCTCTTGGTGTGCTGCTGGATCTCCATCACGGAGACTTGATCCTGCACCAGTTGCTGCAAAGCCAAGTAAACAATAGGAGATTTGGTGTGCACTGCACAGTCCAAATGGGCAATGAATGTTCACCCAGAAGGTGCAGATTCAGGGCTTTTATGCTGGATGGTTTAGGGCTGCCACATTGGAATCTGTTTCCCTTCCTTCCCAAGAACATCCTTTCCTTCAGACTCAGAGTGAACCCTCACTCCCACCAGATGCTGGGTGTCTGTCTAAAGCCAGGTCTGTTGCAAGGCACTAAGTGCCCCAGCCCACTGCTGCTCTTAATAATGTCCCTCCTGGGCCCTCCGCTCCCCTCCCCATTGACAGCGTAGAGCTCCTTCTGCCTTGGTCAGGCAGAGGCACCTGAGAGTCTCCCTCCACTGGAGAATGACCCTAGTCCATGAATGACTCTTCCTTGCCAGAGAGGCTGTTCAGCTTTCCATTTCCATCTCCTGATGTTGCTCTTGCCAAACTTAGAAGCTGGCATATTTCCAACTCTAAGTCTGTGTTTTGTGGCAAAGGTCAAGCTGGATGCATTCCAAGGTGGCCCCTTTTGGGGAGACAACCGCAGGCGTCACTGCAAGGGAGCCATCGCTGCCCCCCCAGCCTCAGCTGTGGCTGCAAATGGCTGCTGGCAGACCAAGAGCTGTGGTGGTCAGTGAGGCTGAGGCCAGGACAGCCTTTGGGAGCAGCACCAGGCAAAGAACAGCCCTGGGATGGTGCGGGGCAGGGAGTGGCAGTCTTGACTCTTGCCAGAGGGCCATTGGCAGGGCTGAGGCATACCCTTTTTTAAAAAAAGGGAAAAAAGAATGCTTATGAGGTTCCTACCCACCTGGAAAAGTGTGAGAAGTTGATACTGGTTTTTCTTAGCACTGTGCAATGGGCAGCTGAGCCAGAAGGGCTTGAGTTGTGGTCCTGTTGGGTATCTTCACTTAACGCAGGTGGGGGCAGATGTTCTTCCAAGCAGGTTGTTGTTCCCCTGGAGAATGTGTGCACCCTCACCCAGCAGCTCTCCAGGGAGCAAGGGCCCCCAGGGAATACCTGCATTAGTTCAGTGATTCCTCACCCCCCCACACACTGTTCATACATACACACACAGTTCATTTTGGCAGACTGGTGTCCACTGATGGAAGAAGCTGCCTTACTGTCTGACTTCTAAAGTGGAGGACTTACCCCCCACAGCAGTGAAGAGTACTGGGTGGATACCTTTGCTGCATCAGACTGATGTTCCTTTTGGGCAAAGTACCGTTCCTCGTGAGGCTGACCAGGCCTAGTTGGGGGTAAGGACACCAAGAGAGCATGCAGGGAGCACCCTGGCTTCCAGCTGCTAAGGGCGCTGCTCCTTTCCAGGGTGAGGAATAGGATTCCCCTAGGGCAGGACTGAGGAACCTGTGGGGGCCTTCCAGGTGCGCTGGTGCTCCCATCAGCCCTGACCATTGGCCATGGGGGCTGTCGGGAGTTGTAGTTCAGCAGCATGAGGAGGCCAAGAGGGCATTCCTGTGATAAAGGCAGGTGGCTGACGGTGGCTGGTTGTGAGAGAGGGCTTAGTGAGGTCAGAAGAAGCTGTTAGGACAACTGTGAAGTGGCACTATCCATCTCCTTGCTTTTATTTCTGGGATGGGTGCAGAGGAGGGCAACCAAGATGAAGCCTTATAAGGAACGGTTGAAGAATGAAGTATGGGTATGTTGAGTCTGGAAAAGAGGAGACTGGGAGGAGATATGCTAGCCATCTTCAGAGATCTCAAGGGCTGTCACCGGGCCATTTGTCAAGGATGCTTTAGTTGAGATTCCTGCACTTCAGGGGGGGGTCAGACTAGATGACCCTTGGGATCCCTTCCAGCTGTACAGTTCTATGATTCTGTGATTTTGTGTTTGTGCTCGGGTGCTACCTTGAGCCTGAAGCATTGTGCAAGAAAGGCAGTGGTGCTATTGCTGCTTTTCTATAGGGAATAGAAGATCCCATCCTCTCCGCCCCCCATGCTCTGACTCCTCTGTTGAAGTGGGTATTAACGCCCAACTCTTCATTTCCAAGTGGGCGCAGCAAGACAAGCATCCTCCCCTCTCTTTCTGGTGCCTGTACCCTGCCCTCCTCTCTGAGGACTTGGCTCTGTTGGGGCTGCGGCAGGTGGGGGTGTTTGGAAGGGTGTTGCCCCCTTGACTGATCAAGGCATCTTGAGGGCTGTTCTTGACTGATCCGATGATCTTCTGAATAGAATGGCCAGTCTGGGGGCAGAGAGGGGAGAAGAGTCGAGAAGCCCTGGCCTCATCTGGACAAGATTTTCCTTCCTGAAGGCCAGCTTGATTCTGCTAGGTTAATCCTGCCCCCTTCCTTCGGAGGTGGGGGGGGGAGGAGGTTGCTTTGAGCCATGGTGGCGCACAGGCCGCTGTTTCTGCTGCTGCTGCTGGTTCCCAGGCTGGGAACCCACTGAGCCTGTTTCCATGGCCACCACAAAAAGTGTCTGATGCCGGCTGCTTCAAAGAGACACCCACCCCTGCCACCAGGCCTTCGTGTTGTGGGGAAAAGGAGCAGAGGCTGCCTCTCTGGAGTTGTCAACACCAGGTTGCTCCATATCAGCCCTTCCTTTTCCTGGAGATTTTGGCGAAAGGACTGGGAGGCTGGCCAAAACCTCTCCATCGAGGAAACGGCTTTGAGGATCCTTAGCTGAAGAAATTCTTCCCAGATTTTGTGAGTCAGAAATACCTGACCTTGTCTGTGGAGAGATGCTTCTCTGCATTAGCTGTGACCCCCCCACACACACTGGGGTGGGGTGGGATTTTGGCTCGTTTTGGCTAACAAGATTTGCAACTTTCACTCAAGTTGGGCTTCTTGGAAAGTGAGCAATATGGCCAATGTTTAAAAAGGAATCAGGGGTGGGGAGTGAGGAAGCATGTGAGTTCTTCTGGGCAATAAATAAGTGGGAAGCATGATCAAGGAGAATTTGTAAGTGTTATGAATAAGCAAATGATAGCAAGGTGGTCAATGACTTCTAGTCACAATGCCTGTGTTCTACCTCCACTGTCAGGAGGCTGCAGGTCTCTGAATACTCGCTGGGAATTGCGGGGTGTGTGTGTGGGGGGGGGCTTTTATTGGAGCATCTTGTTGGCCGGCGTGAGAAGAGGATGCTGGACCAGATGAGCTTCCTTGGGCCTGATCCAGCTGCCAGGCTCTTAGGTTCTTTAAGAGGGTTTGCAAGCCTCTGGACAAGGGTGTAGGTACTGGGTACCCCCTTTGTTTCCCCTGCCCCCCTATTTATTTCCCCTTTCCACATCCAGCATTGGCGGGGGGGGGGGATAAGAGGCATTGTTATCCACCCTGCTTCTCCTTTGTACACATAGAACACAAAGGGCTTTCAAAGCCTTCCCATGTGTCTCCTTTGCTTCTCTGATGTTGGAGGTGGAAATGGAAAAAATGGGTGGAAATAGGGGCAGCTTCAAAGAGCAGCCCTGGGAGGGAGAAGTGGTCCCCCCCCCTTTGAGCAAGGGGTGCCGGTTGATAGACAGTGGGAAGCATGCCTTGCTCCAGCAAAGGAGCAGTCAGGAGTCCGCTCCTTTAAAGTCCCACCTCCAGCCCACGATGCCATGTATGACTTCATGTGTAGTATAATAATAATAATAATAATAATAATAATAATAATAAATTATTTATACCCCGCCCATCTGGCTGGGTTTCCCCAGCCACTCTGGGCGGCTTCCAACAGAATATTAAAATACAATAGTCTATTAAACATTAAAAGCTTCCCTAAACAGGGCTGCCTTCAGATGTCTTCTAAAAGTCCGATAGTTGTTTTTCTCTTTGACATCTGGTGGAGAGGCCTAGTGGGCCAAATTTAGCCATTGGGCCAGAGGTTCCCCACCCCTGAAATGAACCATAACATCTGGTTCCACATGGCCAACTTGGGAGCTTTCAGTCAAAGTGTCCAGAGTGGCCGAGGGAATCGCCGGTGTTCTTGGATTCCAGAGCAGAGCTGAGGTGCAATTCCAAACTAAACACGAGCTACCTGTAAAGTCGAAAAGGAAACCCCTCCCCTCCCTCCTGGTTCCTCCTTTGCAAGCTAAATAAATGGAAAGACCCAGCATTGGGGAAGCAATGGTGTGGGTCTCTTGCTCCCCTCTTGCCATAGTGTCAGGCATGGAGGAATATTAGGAGTTCCAGGGGGCTTCTGGACAAGCTGCTCTGTTTGGGGTGGGAGCCGGGAACTGACTTCAAACTCTCCTCCCAAAAATGCTCTCCACGTGGGCCCTGCAATATGACTGGTGCCAAAGCCTGCAACCCGCCCTGAGACTATGGCATTGGCCTGCTTGTCTGCAAGGGACTAATGAGCCTGCCTGCCTGTTTATTGGCAGTGGTTAACCTCTCGCAAGTTAGCGCTCCCTCGCAAGCCATGTCCGCAACCGCCAGCACCGCAGTGTCCGTGGTGAGGGGGCTGGGTGCCAGGCAAATAGGCATGGCTGGCAGAGAGGGCAGAGGACAGAATGCCCACGCTGGAGAGCATGCAGGAGAAAGTGGGTCTGGCTTTCCTAGTCAAGCTTTTTATTCCTGCAATGCAAGGCCAGGGGGAACAACCCGCAGGCCCTTTGCCTCTCTGTCTCTCTGTCACCAGAAACATTTGCTTGGAGCAGGTGTCCCAAAAGGAGCCGACCTGCTGGGAGACGTTCTCCAAGCAACGCCTTCCATCTCAGCTGGTCTGCTGTGGAGCGGCTTTGGCAAACGAGACCCCTAATCAGAGGTGGAAGGGTTTCTGTTTTTGTTTTTCTGTAATCCTTATCCCAAGGCTTCTGCAATGCAACTCTGTTCCTCTGATTGTGTGGAGAAAAGTTTCCAGTTTTGTAATAACTCTTCCTTTTGAAATGAAGCAACATGTGAATTTGGGACGCAGAGTGGCGTGGCCTCCACAAGAGCCATCCAGGGAGCAGGAGCAGCTCTGCAAGAACCCCACAGAGCCAGGCTGGGCACAGAGCAGCTTTCCCGGGCGATGGGGAAGGGAAGATGTTTCTCGGGGACCAAAGCAGCAGCTGGGGAGGAAAGGGGCTGTGCTGCCGATGGTGTGTTGCTGGGGGGGGGGCAGTAATTGAGAGAAGGAGGCTTCCCCTGGCTAACAGAATGATAAGGCATGCATTATTCCTTGGCATGAAGGAATGATGATGATGATGATGATGATAATAATAATAATAATAATAATAATAATAATAATAATATATCCCGCCCTCCCCAGCCAAAGCCGGGCTCAGAGCGGCTAACAACAGTAAAATAAATACAACATTCTAAAATCATTTCATTATAAAATTAATTCAAATCAGATTAATGGCAACCATTGGGCTAGAGTTCTGTGAGGATTACCAAAGGAGGGGGTCAGGCTGTGCCCTGGCCAAAGGCCTGGTGGAACAGCTCTGTCTTGCAGGCCCTGCGGAAAGATGTCAAGTCCCGCAGGGCCCTAGTCTCTTGTGAAAGAGCGTTCCACCAGATTGGAGCCACTGCTGAAAAAGCACTGGCTCTGGTTGAGGCCAGCCTAACCTCTCTGTGGCCCGGGACCTCCAAGATGTTTTTGTTTGAAGACCGTAAGGTCCTCCGTGGGACATACCAGGAGAGGCGGTCCTGTAGGTACGAGGGTCCTAGGCCGTATAGGGCTTTAAAGGTTAAAACCAGCACCTTCAACCTGATCCTGTACTCCACCGGGAGCCAGTGCAGCTGGTATAGCACCGGGTGAATGTGATCTTGCAGCAAGGACCCCGTAAGGAGTCTCGCAGCAGCATTCTGCACCCGCTGGAGTTTCTGGGTCAGTCTCAAGGGCAGCCCCACGTAGAGTGAGTTACAATAATCCAGTCTGGAGCTGACCATCGCGTGGATCACATTCACTGCACGTCTTCCTGGGTACTGTGGTAGACCTTTGCAAGTTATTAATGGTGCCAGTGCAATTTCTGGTCCCTCTCTTTTGAGGTCCTGATCCTGCAGTGGTGGTGGAAGGGTGTTGCAATGCTGCAGTTGCACAGAACGTGGCTGCAGATGGTGTGGGTGGCCCTCTCTTTCTCTGTGCCCCACCCCACATCTGAGAAGTAAAAATTCCAAGCATTCAGTCATAGAAAGAAAAATGGAGCTGTTGATTTGCATCTGCCTGGTGGAATGGTTCTTGCTCTTATCCCCACCCCCATCTCTCCCAGTTGGCCGCTCTGCAATGTTAGAGGAGATGCACACCTCCTCCTCAAAGCACAGAGGGAACCAGGCAGAGGGCCTTGTTGGTGGTGGCGCCCGCCCTGTGGAATGCTCTCCCAGCAGATGTCAAACAGATAAACAGCTACGCGATTTTTAAAAGACATTTGAAGGCAGCCCTCCTTCAGGGAAGCTTCTAGTGTGTAATGTTTTGTTGTGTTTTTACTATTTTTGTTTGCCTGGAGTGGCTGGGGCAAGCTAGTCAGATGGGCGGCATGTAAATTTATTATTATTATTATTATTGGAGCAGCATCGTCTTTCAGGGGGCCCAGCGCTTGCCAGGAGATGAGCAGCAGAGGCACCTGCTCTGTTCAGTGTCCGCTGGTTTTCGTCAGGGTCATCTTCGCTCCCATCTGCACCTATAAATTTGCAGCAGCTTCATACCACTTTAAAGCAGCCATGGCTTGTCCCAGAGAATCCTGGAAGGTGTAGTTTTCTCAGGGTGCTGAGAGCTGTTAATGTTACTGTGTGCCTGAACATGTATGTGTGTCACCACTCGTGGTGAGATACACATACTGTCAAAGAGTTTTGGATGCTTTTGCTGGAGCTATAGCCTGCTTTCCATTTATGAATACGTGTTTTACCCTTATGCCCACAAAAAGTTATTATTACACAAAAGGAAAAGAAGGTTGTTTTTTACATGAAATGAAATTGACAAAATAGATATAGGTGTCTCCCCACTTCTGCGGGGGTTACGTTCCCAGGTACTGCACTTAACATGTGAAATCACATATAGTGGGGAGCACCATCTAAAAAGCAAAACTCCACCAAAAATCTGCCGGACTCCAGCTTTCCACAGGCCTCAAAGGTTGGTGCAGAGCAGGGCCGTAGCGAGGGGGTGGCGAAGTGGGCGGCCGCCAGAGGCGCAGGCGGGAAGGGGGCGCTAAATCAAAGTCGGTGCCTTTCCTGAAACTGGCACCCCAGCGCTGCAGGAGGCTCTGGGCTGCTTCTGGCATGCTCCCAGCGCTGCTCCGGCACCATTTTCACCCTCGGGGCTGCGCCAGGGTGGTTGGCTGGTGCTGGAGGAGAGGAGGGCTCGTGCCCGGCAACCACCGCTCCATCCAGCGCTACTCAAACCCATCTGCCACCGCAACCAAGCCTGGTGGCCGCCTCTGCGCCAGCTCCGCCTCCCCACCATCATGCTTGGTTGTGCCCGTCCCGCCTTCCTGCTCTGCTCTCAGGCGCATTTGGAGCCCTGGTGACACTGGGGAGTGAGTGCGAGGCTGGGCGGGTGCAGGCAAGGGGGCGCGCAAAATCATAGGGAGAGGCAGCCCCCCCAACCACACCCCTTAATAACCCCAGACTTTGAGGGAACGGGCTGAGCCTTCGCCTTGCGCTCTCCAAAGCGCTGACTCTCCTGGGGTGGGGTGGAGCGGGGGAGGCAGTTGCAGCCCCCGCGGAGTTAGTGCGCAGTCACCGGGTGCTCCCTTACCTCCCCCGAGGAGGAAGGTGGGATCCACACGGCTGCCCCCCTCTCCGGGCGCGCACCAGGAGGGGCCCAGCACCTGCCAGTCCCATCTGCTGGCAGCCGCCGCCAGGGGCTGAGCCCACCATCGCCCCATGAGAAGCAGAGGAAGGCGAAAGCACAACGGGGTCAGGAAGGCGCAAACGGATGCCCCCTCTCCGGGCTCCGGATTCTCACACCCCTCGCATTTAATGTGAACTTAAAGCAAGCGAGCAGAAGCCTTGCCGTTTCTCCCTTCATTTCATAGGTGCTCTTCTGCCTTGTAGGAGGGCTGCGAAAGGGGCGCGTGGCCTGTGCGGATTGATGCCATCCTGAAGGGCTTTTGGGGTGGGGAGAGGCCCAGCCGCAACGGCAGACCCCGGAGCCTCTCTCTCCAGGGACTGCCTCTCATCCGCATGGAAGAGCCAAGTGCCGCCCGCTGCTCTGGATCACGGAAAATACGGGGAAGAGTCTTTCCCACCAGGGTAGGACTTTTGAGACAGAAGGCCAGGTCACCACCACTCGGGAATAAGCAAGAGGGTCCACATAGCTTAGAAAGTTGCTTCAAGATATAAATTTTACAAATAACAACATTTTGTTTGTTTGTTTTTTAAAAAACTGTTCTCCATCAATTACCGGTACAGTGGTACCTTGGGTTAAGAACTTAATTCGTTCTGGAGGTCCGTTCTTAACCTGAAACTGCTCTTAACCTGAAGCACCACTTTAGCTAATGGGGCCTCCTGCTGCCGCCGCCACACGATTTCTGTTCTCATCCTGAGGTAAAGTTCTTAACCTGAGGTACTATTTCTGGGTTAGTGGAGTCTCTAACCTGAAGCGTCTGTAACCCGAGGTACCACTGTAATGAGAACTGAACTTTCCATTGAGAATTATCAAAGGGGTGGGGTAAAGGGTCACCACCTGTCCTATTTAATATAGGATTGTTCCTTATTTCAAAGTTGTGTCCTATGTTGATTCAGTACAGGACAGTTTGCCCGGTCTTTCTCCTATTTCTGCTCTGCTCCTGTACTCTTTTTCTCTCTCTCTTGTGTGCGAAGTTAAGGATCCTCTCTAATTGCCTGCCTCTGCTCTTACAGGAAAGACACTTTTTCTGGCTTGGCTGGAGAAACTGTCTCAGCTTTCCTTTTTTCCCTTTCCCTTTCTTTTCCTTTTTCCTTTCCTTTCTTGTCCTTGCTCCCTCTCCTCATTCGAGCCCCAAGGAGGAGCAAACCTGGGCAAGACTTTCATGTTGTCCCTTTCAGTTCCCTGAAGCCTTGGCTGGGTTAAGGTGACCATCTGCAGAGTTGCAGCCTGGGAGCACTGGGCCCCCTCAGGCCATTTTACATCATATTTTCTTCTTCTTTGACAATCCCTCGTAGCCGAGTAAGATTGTTTTCCATAAACACGGCTTTAACACAGTAAGTGACTGTGGAGGCCAGTTCTGGATCCACACGTCCTTCCACAGTAGGGACATAGGTTTCCTGGCAGGAGTTCATCATGGTGAAGGTTTGCCAAGCGTGCCTTCCTCTTAGCACGTTTCTCCCTTGCGTCCTGCGTTCGAGCATCTTCAAAGCCCATGACACCTTTGGTCAAGGCTGTTCTCCAACTGGAGCGCTTGCAGGCCAGTGTTTCCCAATTGTCGGTGTTTATACTCCATTTTTAAAGATTTGCCTTGAGACAGTCATTAAACTTTTTGTGTTGACCACCGGCATTACACTTTCCATTTTTAAGTTTGGTATAGGGTAGTTGCTTTGGAAGACGATCATCAGGCTTCCGCACAACATGACCAGTCCAGTGAAGTTGATGTTAAAGAATAATTGCTTTGACACTGGTGAGCTTTGCTTCTTCCAGTACACTGGCATTAGTTTACCTCTCTTCCCAAGTGATGTGTAAACATTTTCGGAGACACCGTTGATGGAATCTTTTGAGGAGTTGGAGATGGCGTTTATAAGTAGTTCATGTTTCACAAGCATACAGTAAGGTTGGTAGTACAATAGCTTTGTAAACAAGCATTTTGGTTTCCCTGCCAATGTCCCAGTCCTCAAACACTCTGCACTCACAGAGCTTAGGCGATGCTGGATTTCGGCATCAGTGTGGAAAGATAACTGCCCAGGTAGGAGAAGTGATTGACATTTTCCAGCATCACACCGTTGAGTTGGATTTGTGGTGCTGAAGAGGGATTGTTTTGTGCTTGTTGGTGCAGCACTTTGGTTTTTTGGGTGTTGAGCGATAGGCCAAGTTTTTCGTAAGCTTCTGCGAAGATACTTAGGATAGATGGAGGTCATTCTCTAAGTGTGTGCACACTGCGTTGTCATCAGCATGCTGAAGCTCTATGACTGAAGTTACCTTACTCTTTGCTTTCAGCCTGCTCAGATTAAAGAGTTTTCCATTTGTTCGATATATGATTTCTACTCCAGAGGGGAGTCTCCCATCGACAAATTGTAGGATCATGGCAATGAAAACACAGTGGTACCTCGGTTTACGAACACTTCAGGTTACAGACTCCGCTTACCCGGAAGTAGCACCTCGGGTTAAGAACTTTACCTCAGGATGAGAACAGAAATCGTGCCGTGGTGGCGCGGCAGTAGCGGAAGGCCCCATTAGCTAAAGTCATACGTCAGATTAAGAATGGTTTCAGGTTAAGAATGGACCTCCGGAATGAAGTAAGTTTGTAACCAGAGATACCACTGTAATGAATAGAGTTGGGGCGATAACACAACCCTGTTTAACACCTGATCCCACTGTGAATGGTTCACTTTGGGAGCCATTGTTATCTGCGATTGTTGCTGTCATATTATCATGGAGGAGCCGAATGGTGTTCGCAAATTTATCTGGGCAGCCAATTTTCAGGACAGTCCACAGGGCATTACGATTTACAGTGTTGAAGGCCTTAGGTCAATAAATTCCATATAGAGGGGTTGGTTTTGCTCTCTGCATTTTTCATGAAGCTGTCAAGCAGTGAAAATCATGTCCACTGTCCCCCTAGAAGATCTAAAACCATTTTGGGATTCAGGGCGGGTCGCCTTGTTAGGAGACGGTTTGCTAAGATCCTTGCAATAATTTTGCTGGCCGCAGCCAATAAAGAGATGCCTCAATAGTTTCTGCAATCCGTTCTGTCATCTTTTTTAAAGAGATTGATAATTTTGGCACCCCTAAAGTTTGCTGGGATCTCCTCTCCCAGATTTTTTTTAATATGGTATTATAATGTAAAATTATCATTGTGGAACAAATCAGTTTGTATGTTATTGTTTGTATGTTTCATTTAGACCTATCTGTATTGTTTTACAACTGAATTACATTTTAAAAACCCTCTCAACTCACATCAAAATGTCATTTTCTTTGCGGAAACTTTTTATTAAGAAATAATAAATTAAATATTGGGTTTTCTGTGAAAAAATTCATTACAAGGTGAAGTGCGTGAGGAATTGAATGGGTGAAGGGGGGGTTGGAGGAGAGGCGAAAAGAAGAGCTAATTTGTCCATCGCTAGGGGGCACAATCTGTACGGTTCTGCCAGGGGCGCAAGATCTCCTAGCTATGGCTCTGGGCCAGAGGGATTGCAGTTGCAAAGGCTCCTGGGATTGCTAGCTGTTTTGCTGCTCTTTTCACGCCATTTTTGCAGTTTAAATTGATTGATTTCACTATTTCCTGGTGCCTGCGAGTTGAATGCAGGTAAGTGGGGAGACGCCTATAAAGCTGCGTCAGACAGCAAAATTACAGTTTAAGCAGCCAGGAAATCCTACAATGTACCCACACCTTGATCTGAAGAGTGGAAGATTATTCCATTTTTTCAAAAGTCTATGAGCGTGACAGTTTTGGCAACAGAACCCACACTGCTCCTAAGTTAAGAAATGGAAAGGGAGGGGAGGAAGAGGATCCCTGTTCTTCCTTGGGATCCCTGAATGAAGGTCCTCTGTGGGTCTGGGGGAGCCAGCTGACCTTGGCCAAGGCATCCCAGTGGAGGGGGGGCCTTGAGATGAGCAATTTATACAATTTCTAATAGTCCTGTTGTCTTTCCCCCAGAGTTCCTGCCCAGCTTCACCTCACTCACCTTCCAAATTTAGTGTTTGAAATAAAATCATCCTAGAGGGCTGTGACTGAACTGGTTATCTTTTGTCTGCTCTCTGACTTCAAGTTGTGTTAGCCATTATCTTGATGGCCCCCATTCAGGTGGTGAAGAGACTGCAGTGGCAACTAATTTTACATGTGCTGACCTTTATGCAAGGTGGAAGGAGCTCAGGATGTTTCCAGAATGCCTTCTGGACATGTTTTGAGATCAGACTTGTGCTGAGGTCCTCATGGAGCTCCTCGTGGAGCGTCTCCTGTCATATTAGAGTTATGTCATTTTTCTTCCCTATGCCATGATCCATAGTAATAAACTACAGAATAAGTTCAGATTCACACACAGCCCTATTCACCTTAGTCCCCTCACAGAGCTACGGTCCCTCTTCCCAGGGCTGCTTCTTCTTGCTGTTTTGGTGTGCATTTTGTCTTCTCATTTTGCATGTTTAGGTTGTGTACTGCCCAGGGATCTTCAGATGAAGGGTGGAATACAAATTTAATAAATAAATATAATAAAATAAAACTCTGGGAGTTGTAGCTCTGAGAGGGGACTAGGGGTGTTCAAATAACTCTCAGCACCCTGAACAAGCTGCAGTTCCCAGGAAGCAATGGCTGTTTAAGGTGGCCTGATCCTGCTTTCAAGATGAAGCCTTGGTCAGGTGTTGGCACTGAGCCTTGCTCACAAAGCTGCCAGTGAAATTGGCGCTGAGGAGGAGGAGGAGCCGCCTTAGACTCCTCACTGCCGGCTCTCTTGTTCTTTTCCTCCTCCTCCTCCTCTCTCCTCCTTCTTGTCCGTGCAGCATTCGGGGGACCAGATTCTGCCTTGGAAAAGAGAGCACCTCTTTTGTCCAGCCCATCCGTGCGCATGGCGGGCAGCCCAGGGTGCAACTGCCCCCCTTTCCTTTTTTGGACCTGGAGCAAAAACCTGCCAAGCTGCCCCCCCCCCCAGTGCTGCTCTGGAGGTTGCCAGGGAATCTCCTTCGCCTGAAGCAGCAGCAGAAATGGATGGCATTCCTTCCAAGGCTCTGTGTCTTGTACCAGGGGGCAGGTATCTAATGTGAGCTGAGGCTGCCTTCAATGGGAAAACTCTGGAAATGCTGTTCTAAGAACTGCTGCTGCCCCTGGTATAAAAGCAGAAAGGGAATCCTGACCATGAGTCAGTAGCCCTGGGGAGCCGCAAGCACCCCCCCCCGCTCTCACTTATTTGGGGTCCTTATTTGGGCCAAGTGTCAAAAGGCCTGGGGAAGGCAGTTTTCCAAGCACCTCTGTTTGAAGGCTGGCCAACCCAGCTCCTCTTTAAAGGGGGTTCACCTATAGCCCATCCACAGGGAGACCTGGGCTGCAGGCAGAGGAGGAGAGCAGCCCCCCTCCAGGGATGGCAGGTGAAGGACCACCACTTGCCTATCTCAGTCAGGGATTCAACTTCTTCCTCACATCTCATCTGGGCTCTGCTGCTGGGGGGGGGGGGCTGTGATTCAGCTGGGGGGGCTATCAAAGGCCTCTTTGCACTTCAGTTACCCTGCCAGGGAGGGGAGGGGGAAGGCCTTCACCTCTTCCTATTCTTCCTTCTTGCGGTGGGGCAGGCAGGCAGGCAGCCACCTGTGTAGTCCCGTCAGTCACCCCCCCCCAGCAGGTGGTGGGCTGGCGGAGTTGCATGGAGGGGGGCTGAGGCTCCAGCCTGCTCCATGCTGCTGCTGCTGCTGCTCCTGTGGCTTCAAAGCTTGCCTGAGAGCAGAGCAGAGGAGGAAATGGAAGAGGGAGGGAGGGAGGAGGACTCTGCATTCTGTGGTGGTTTGTGGCTTCTCTGCTTTAATCTCCTGCCAGGGAAACCTGGAAGGTCAGGCCAAGTTGCAGCGAAGCTGCGGAGTGCGGAGCAGACTGGAATGCAGGAGTGGAGCCTCCCCGCCTGGGCAAGCCACCCAAATCTCTCGCTCTGGGGTGGGGGCTCTCAAGCCGGGCAAAGGCGTCCTGGCTTCCTTTCTTACTCAGCAGAGGAGCTGTCGTCGGGGTGGCATCAGCCGTGGCATAACTGCCCTGGACTGTTCCGGCAGCAGAACCCAAGAGTTGAAGATTGGGAGGGGGGGCGGTGTTGTTTTATGGGCAGGGGCGGGGTGGCTCTGAGAATGATGTGCTTTGAGATCTCCTTTTTGCCCCCCCCCCAGTAGGTTAGGCTAGTGTGCCCTTTCAGGAGGGGGTGGACAAGGATGAGGTTGTTGGGCACAGTTTGTGTGGTCAAAACTACACAAAAGGCCGGAGAGGAAGGGAAAGACTTCATGCAACACTGCAGAGGGTTGAGTTTTCCTTTGAAGAGCAGCGGCCTTTGTGGCCTTTGTGTCGGATGACATGGGATTTGAGGGGCAGTTCCTGCCACTGGAGATGATCTGCCCAAAGCGCTTTGGGGCATCAAGTGGAGGCTTGTCCAGCTCATGGCTGACCTCTTGTGGCCAGTGCCAGGAGCTGCCTTTCTTGGGAGGGGATTTTTTCCTCCTCCTTGAGCTGCTGTTGACAGGCTGGGAAGGCAAGCGGGGCTGGAGTTGATTCTCTTTCTGTCTCTCCCTCCAACTTTCCCTCTCCACTTCCTGCAGGCCAAGCGGGCAGTTCAGAGAGGGGCCACAGCTGTCATCTTTGACGTATCTGAGAACCCAGATGCAATTGACCAGGTATGCAGTATCAAGTGTCTTTGTATTGTGAAAGGGGAGGGTGCTCATCGTTTGTTTGTACAGTTGTTGGTCCTCTGCTAATGGGGGACTGGTGTTTCCTGGTGAGCCTGCAATCTGCTTCATTGCCAGAAAAAGGTTGATTTGCGGGGAGTAGCTTAACCTTTCGCCATTTTGTTCTAGTTGAACCAGGGCTTGGAAGACCCCCTGAAAAGGCCCATTGTGTATGTGAAAGGAGCAGATGCTGTCAAATTGATGAACATTGTCAACAAGCAGAAGGTTGCCCGTGCCAGGATTCAGCACCGGCCTCCACCGGTAAGGCGCCCCGGCAGGCCCCTGTCAGGGCTTTCTGTGGGCTGCTCCCCTTCTTTAGTGCAGCTTGCTAACTGGCGGGCAGAGGCCTGCAAGCCCAGCTGGGATCTTAGTATTTAACCTTAAGTTAACAAAAAATAATAGAAATGTTTAGGAAATTAATCTTCAGATTAAAATATAATTCCCTCTCTCCAGTTGAATAGACTGCAAACATGCTCCAGAACACCTCCTCCATCTTTCTTTCTCCCTGCTCCCTTTTCTGGTTGCTTGGCTCTCGCCTCTTGGCCCAGGTGCTGATCAGGGTCCCCCAAGGACCCACCACTGGACTGACCTCGTGGCACCGGTGGAGGGCTGGTCTTCTGCCTCTTTTCTCACTTCCTCTTTTTTGCAAATGGAGCTGAAAGTGTAGTTTGTCAAGGTCATTTTTGGGATTTCTTGGCGAAGCTGAGCTGTAAGATTCTGACCCAGTGGCACTCTGCCTTGCTCCAGGGGAAGGCTGAGCATACAGATATCACTTCCGGCTGGCCTGCGCTTCCAGAAACATGTTTGGGTTGAGTAAACATTCTTTAGGGACTTTCACCTCTTAGTACTAGACAGTTAAAAGCAGCCAAACCCTCCCCTGCCTTCAGAAGAGCCTAATGAAATCCAAGCAATTGCTTTCTAGTGGCATGCTATAGAAATGGCTCTTGCAGTTAACAGCTGCATGGGAAAGAAGTCTTGTCACCGCCAAATGAAGAGGGCACAGTTATCAGTGGATGCCTTGAAGCCAGTAGCTGGTGGAAGAAAGAGTCGCCAGCCCAGACAGAGGCTTGTGGAGTTGGACATAGCAATTCCTAGTAGGAGGCTGGGCAGGGGGATTGGGTCTTGGTGGGCAGGTGGGTGATGGTTGCTCAAAAAGGCACTTGAGTGAATGGGCAAAGTCCTTGTATTGGGGGTGGGGTGGGGTCTTTGAAAGTGCCTTTCCATGAAAACTAATCTCACAGGAGCAAATCACTTCCCAATGAAAAGTTGAGGTTTTCATATGTGAAAGCCCTCTTCTAAAGCTGGCTTGATTCAGTCATGAAAATGTTTGCTCAGAGATTTTAGTAATGGGGAAGGGTGCTGATTTCAACTATTGATGCATCACAGAAGACAAATGGACTGAATTAGCGCCAGGCTTTGGGATGTAGAATTCCCTTTCACAGAGTGAGAGCACAGAGAACTATTTTATGCAGAGTCAGACCTTTGGTCTATCTAGTTTAGTATCATTGACGCTGCCGAGCAGTGAGCTTCTCTGCGATTCTTCAAGCCAAAGATCTTTCCCAGCGCTACCTGAAGTTGTCAGGAATTGAACCCGGACCTTTTGTGCCCAAGGCACGTTGCAGGCAAGGATTGTGAACCAGGTCTCTGAGGTGGGGTTTCACCTGGCATTCAGCTCACTTCCAGCCAGGGACAAATCTTTGCAAACAGCAAACACACACTTGTCAGAGGAATAGGAAACAGGTTCTGTGAATGCACAAACCCTGGAGAATTTCTTATGAAAGCTTTCAGCAAACTCTGAAATCTCGGGATTCCTTTTGGTGTCTTTTGGGTGTGGCCTACCTCAAACTTTAACCGTTCCAGTTTAGTTCAACATGTTAGCTGCTGCTGCCAGCTGAAAAATCACTGCCTGCTTAGAATGTAACCAAAAGGCGTATGTCATTGAGCTGGAAAAAAGCTAACCCTGCTGATCTTTGTCCATCTCTTGCCTCCTCCTCTCCCTGATTTTTCTTCTAAGCAACCTACCGAATACTTCGACATGGGGATTTTCTTGGCCTTTTTCGTGGTGGTCTCTCTCGTGTGCCTTGTTCTTCTGGTCAAGATCAAACTGAAGCAGCGCCGGAGCCAGGTAAGTAAGAGCTGCCTGGGCCTCTAGCCGTGTGTTGTTGGGAAGGTGAATCACTTCCTCTGGAGAAGAGGGGCTGCTCTGGAAAGGTGGCAGCAGGCAGCTTCCTGGCAAGAAATCCTTTGGCCTCCGCTGGCCTTGGGGTGTGAGGGGCCTTCTGGGCAGACCTGCCCTACTGCTGCCTCTGGCTTTGTGAGGTGGGCCTAGAGTCTGCCCTGATTCTTGGGTGCCCAGGGCTGGCCAATTTAATGGGCCAGGCGGGAGTTCTTGGCTTCCTCCTTGCCATGACCACCAGCAGCCATTTCAACAAAGCCCGAAGCACCAGTCCTGTCCTGATGGAGGCTCCTGCAGTGGGAAAGCAGGCTGCAAAGAGACAAAAAGAACTGGAGAAGGTGAGGGATTTAAAAGGGAAGAGGGGAAAAGGCACCTTCTGGAGGGAGCGGATAGAAACATGCAGGGTTGCTCAAGATCCCTGGGGTAAACAGTCTCTGGGTGAAAAGAAAAGTGGCTCCTCTTCTGGCTTGGGAACAGAAGGCGGCCTCAAAGGATCACCTCTGCTTTCGTTTGGCTCGTCAATGTAGTTTGGAAATGTCCTAGGTTATGTTTTGGGAGTTGGTTTAATTAGCACAGGCAGGTTTATGGCATTGTTGGCAAATGCATTTGTAGTAATTTCAAAGCCTTCCTGACGTGCTAATGTTGATTGCTTTTGCTCTTGCATTTCCTGGAGGGTCCCATTGGCAGCCATGCCTGAGTTGCTGGCAGGGACAGCCTCATGGCATGTGGAGCCTCAGTGAGTGCCAGTCAGTGCCATCCTAAATGTGGAGGGAGGGAGGGAGGGAGGGAGGCTTGCCCCAAGTGCAAATGCAACCAGTGGGGGCTCACGGTGCCGGGAGGGGTGTTGCCCAGATCCTCCATGCTTCAGGATGGGCTCTCTGCAGGCAACAGGCCTTGCATTGCACTACTTTGAGGTGGGGAACAGCTCCAGCCCCCCCCCCCCGATGTTGGCCTCAGATCCCCATTGTCTCTGGTCGTTGGCCATATGAGCTGCTGCTGAGGGGACCTGGGGCTCAGCAGCGTGAGATTAGTTGCGATGGCCCTTGGGGGGTGCCTTCCATCTGTACCATTCTGTGATTCCGTTAACATCTGGAGGAAGTCCATACTGTGGCCCGGTGGAAAGGAGGAGATAGGTCCATTCCCACCCCCTTCACGGCATGTGTCATGCCTGGGGAGACCCCCAGCCATTGCTTTATCCCTGGGCCTGACCCTGGCGCTGATGCAGGGGTTGAGCGAACAGGGGCTGCCACTGTGGGGCTGCCCCGCTTCTGCTTCCCAGGAATGCCCTTGTCTTTCTCCTCTTGCAGAATTCCATGAACAGGCTTGCTGTGCAGGCCCTTGAGAAGATGGAGACACGGAAGTTCAAGTCTAAGCTGAAAGGGCCCAGCGAAGGCAGCTGCGGTGCCCTGGACACGCTGAGCAGCAGCTCCACCTCTGACTGCGCCATTTGCCTCGAGAAGTACCTGGATGGGGAGGTGAGAAAGAGAGCAGGTGGCCTTTCTTTGCCATAGAAAAAGCACACGTTCTACTCATGCGAAAACACCAGGCAGGCCCCACAAATAACCCAGGGGTGCATTTAAAATAAAAGGACACATTCTACTTATGTAAAAACACGCTGATTCCCGGACCGTACGTGGGCCAGATCGAGAAGGCGATTGGGCCGGATCCGGCCCCCGGGCCTTAGTTTGCCTACCCCTGATCTAGGGTGTTAACACTTTCTGTGCTGCTTTTCATCAGAAGCTTCTAGCAAGGCAGCTGGCCTCCCTGTTGCTGTTGGTGGGTGTCTTGAGTGTGCTGTGACAAGAGAGCCTCTGGCATCTGCTTGCAACACAAGAGTCTTCCTGGCTGCATGGTGGAGGGGGGGCTTGTTCTGCAAGGAAAAGGGGCTCTGGGCCCTATTCATGCCATTTGCTGCCCTTTGAGGGGGCACCTGGCTGAGCATCTCCCTGTCACCTGAGCTTGCCAGGACGTGTGCCTGGTCCTGGTTTGAGAAGCCGCATCCAGCCCAATCTCTGAGCTGCTCTGAATGAGCCAGAAGCCAGCTAGACAAAGGCCCCATCCATGGCTGCTTCCACCCCTTCAGCTCCCGTTTGCTTCCACAGGAGCTGCGTGTCATTCCCTGCGCTCATCGGTTCCACAGGAAGTGTGTGGACCCGTGGCTTTTGCAGCACCACACCTGCCCGCATTGCCGCCACAACATCATTGGTGAGTCCAGGCACTTGCCGTGTTCTGTAGCACTGCACGTGTCCCAGGGGAAGAGGAAGATGAGGTCCATTCCTGCCCACCAAGGGAGATGGCTCTTGCTTTCATCTCCATGGAAGGCTCAATGGACAAATACTTGGGAGTAGAGCTGGAACGGGAGGGGAAATGCACCTTCCAGCATGGTAGGACATCTTTGTTGAAGTCTCCCCCCCCCCCCCGGAGTTCTTTGGGTGGTCTGTAGGGGCGTCTGATGGACAGATGCCCCGTGCCCTTGCTGCAAGAGCCTTCTCTGACTCGTCTTTCATCTTTCTGCACAGAGCAAAAGAAGGGTGCCACTGGCCAGGTGTGCGACGACCTTGCCAATCAGATGCGCAGCCGTCAGCACCAGCAGCGCATGATCCTGCCCGTCCATTACCCGGGCCGAGTGCACAGAGCCAGCCAGGTCACCACTTACCCCACACGAACCAGCATGGACCCCCATGGGAACCCTATTACCGTCCTGACAGTGGACCGGCACGGGGAGGCCCCGGCCTTCCTCCGGAGCTACCAGCCCATCCACTTGGACCATGCTCTGAACGCGCACCAGTGCGGGGTGGAGCACAGGGCCTACCCAGCCATTCACACCTTCCGAAGGCCCAAGTTCAGCAGCCACCACTTCTCCAAGCCGGCTTGCTTCTCCCAGTACGAGACCATGTTCCAGCACTACTATTTCCAAGGCCTTAGCTACCCAGAGCAGAATGGACAGCTGCCCCTGGGCGTCGCTGCCAAGGGCCCCTCACGTGCCTTCCAGCCTGTGGGCGGTGGGGGCGGCAGCAGCAGGCTCTTTGCCCCTGTGGTCCACGTTGCGCCTTCCTCCCGCCTGGAGAGCGGCAGCACCTCCAGTTTCAGCTGCTACCACGGCCACCGCTCCGTCTGCAGCGGCTACCTGGCCGACGGCCCTGGGAGCGACAGCAGCAGCAGCAGCGGCTCCAGCTCGGGCCCCTGCCATTGCTCCTCCAGCGACTCCATGGTGGACTGCACCGAGGTCAGCAACCAGGGAGTCTATGGGAGCTGCTCCACCTTCCGCAGCTCCCTGAGCAGTGACTACGACCCGTACATCTACCGCAGCAAAAGTCCCTGTCGGGGGGGCGAGGTGGGTGGGGCAAGCAGAGGGACCGTGGTTCTTCTGGAAGGGCCCCCTGCTCCAAATGTGGTGGACGGCGACTGCCTGCCTGTGCTGGCCACTTCCGCAGGGGACCAGCTCTCCAACTGCAGCCTGGAGATGAACTACAGCAGCAACTCCTCGCTAGAGCACCGGGAGCCTCCAGGCACCATCCCCGAGGGGGGAGGGCTAGAGGGCCTGGCGGGGGGAGCCAGCCGGACCTGCAGAGGACTCCGGGAGCCAGCTTGTGCCTGCTGCTTTGAGGCCCCTCCTGCACCCCGGGAGTCGCTGGGCAGGGCAGCTGAGTGCAGCATGCTGCTTCTTGGGCCGCCTCTTTGGGCAGGGTGTGGCTCTGGGCGAGAGCCGCAGGCAGGAAGAAGCCAAGATCTGTACAGTATTAGGACAGAGGGGGGGACGTGCGAGGCTGTGCCCTGTTGCTTCTATGAAGAGAAGCAGGTGGCCAGCAACAGCTGCCTGACTCAGCCTGGCTGCTATGCCGCCCAGGACTATGCTGTCAATGTGCAGTACACGCCATGCCCAGAGGACTCCTCTGCCTTGCCAGGCTGCTACGTGGGGGGATGTGACCTGGGTCAGCGCATCTCCATAATTCCCGAGGACCGGGACTGTGAGCTGCCCCTGCCTCACACGGATTGCCACGGAGGCAGCAGCCGCTCTTGGGAGGAGCCACGTGGAACAGCAGCCGCAAACCAACTCTGCCTGGGTCCAGGGGAGGCCCACAGAGAGCTGTTGCAGGATCAGCCGGGGGACTTACTGCAAGGGGAAGCCCTGGGGCTCTTTCCCAGCCCCCTCCTGAGCTGTCCTGAGGCAGCTGTGGCGGCGGCGGCAGCAGCAGGAGGCACCCAGATGGTGGGTAAGTCAGCAGCTCCAGCAGGTGTGCAGGAAAGGTGTTGTAGGTGGGACACCAGCTCTTCAATCTGCATAGATGCTTCATGAGGGATGGCGAACTCTGAAATGTGTTCCTGCTGGATGTCGGGCAGAGCAGCCTGTCAGGCTCTTACCTGGCCCTGCTGGGAGTGTGCTGGCTGTGGGGGGGTGGGGGGGGGGTGTCACTTTGACACCTGCCTTTGTGCATGCAGGAGCACAGAACCCATGGCAAGGTCCCAAGCAGAAAGAAGGAACGGACGCTACTGCACAGGGTGTGGGGCTTCCAGGGAAGCAGATTTGGCTAAACTGTGGGTTGCTACATTTCAGCTGCTTGTAGTTGCTGTGGAAGCCCTCCCCTCTGGCTGCCTACTTGAGGCACTTCCTTTGTCTTTTCAGGCTGTGATCCTCCAGGCCCAGGCCAGGTTGGTGACTAATGAGAGCAGGAGCCTGTCTTTGTGCCTCGCGATCTCTGCTGGACTTCAAAATTGTCTTTAGCTTTTGCTCACCCATTGAAGTGGTCAACTGGAGACGGCACCTTCCGCAGTGTGCACTGCAGCCTCTATGCCACAAAGTGTTTGTAACAAGCCACCGTGCCACTTCTGCCACCTCCTGCAGCTGGGCAGGAGCCCAGAGAGGGCCCTCAAGCCCCACTGCCTGCAGAGATCATCTGGGCCTGCCTTAGAAAGCAAACGGCACCTTGAAGCAAAAGAAGTCCAAAGGAGCGGCAGCAATGAGGGTGGCTGCGAGGGGGCAGGGAAAGCAGGCTGGCTGCGGAGTGCCCCTTCCTCCTCACAGCCAGTCCAGCACCAGTCAAGGAGTTGGGGGCAGCAGTCAGGAGCGTTCTGGAGCATAGCATCTTCCAGGATAGCTTCACCTGCCCCCAGAAGATGAGGGGTCGGGGGACCAATGAATGTTTCCAAGGAGCACACCTGCCGCAGTAATCTCAGGGGCTCTGCTGAAACAGGAAAGGGCTTTGGGGGATGATGTGGGAGCCTGGTGCTGCTCTTCCTAGGGGTGTGTTGGTTAAGGCTGGACCTAAGCCCTGCCTTGTGTCCGCTGCTGCAGAGATGGTTGCTGCCACTGCTCTGAGGCCCGTGCCTTGTGCCTGCCTGCGCTCATGCCCCGGCAGGCAGAGATCCCTCCCTCTTTTTCTGTTGATGCATGTTGTCACTTGCTTCCAATTGTTAATCGTTTCCTGTGGAAACAATGGCTTCTGTCTCCCATAGGCATGATTCCAAAGGGCACCTGGTCTGCGTGGGCAGGACCTCAGGGAATGCCACTGTTTGGGGTCTGTGGATGCATGCTGTATGTGGGCTGCTTCTATCTTCTCTGTGATGTCTGTGATGGACATTTTGCTAAACTGTGTCCAAAATGTGGATTGTGGGAGGAAGGTGTTTAATGTTTTCTTAATGGAATGTGCCTAGAACTCTCTCCCTGCCCCAGCCTCAGTTTAATTTACTAAAACCAATGGCACTGTGTGATTCAGAAAGGTACCTAACCTCTCCATTTGTGCCCAGCTCATGAAAATAAAAAGAAAGCTTGAATAGTATAAATTTCAAAGAGCTCTTAACCTGTTCTAGGTTAAACGAACAGACCCTAGTGTTTTACCCGTCAGTAATTATTAACTCAGCATTGTACACATTCACCAAGTGAAGTTCCCTGGTGAGCTGCAGTCCCTCTCAGCCATGTGTTTGTGTGTGCAAGGGGAGCACAGGGAAGGAAAATGGGTTCTGTTTTGATTTCTGCATATGAGATCAAAGCCAAGGTGAGGGCCTGGCCCATGGGCCTCCTCGCCTCGTGCTCTTATGATCTCTGTGCTGTGACGTAGGCGGGATCTGCAACCACACAGCAGCATTCCAGAAGGTTCTGGAGCTTAGAAGAGCTTGCAGCCCTGTTCCAGAGTGAGGGGACCCCTGTGCCGGCTGACTTCCTCAAGTCAGGGGCCTCCACTTTCTCCTCAGTTTCTTTTCAAGCAACTCTCTCCCTCCCTCCCTCTCTCTCTACAAATATTTATCCTCAAAATATATTTCATTTCACTTTATTTCCTGTCGTTGAATATATGTGTGTCATCCAAAGCGAGAAAGGAGAGAAGGAACTGAATTTGGAAACTTTCCTTTTTGAGTACCTCAGTTTCTATCTGCTTTCATAGAATTATAGAGTTGGAAAGGACCCTCAGGGTCATCTAGTCCAACCCCCTTGCAATGCAGGAATCCTTACTTTTGCCTTCATTTTTTAATGTCCAAAATTGTGGCTTCTGCACCTTACAGGGTGCCACTTTCAAGTGGGAACACCCCCTGTGCCTGACAGAAATGTGCTCCGCTGAGGTCCATCTCAGGAAGGTTTTTCAGAAGGGAACATGGCGCTCAGGCTGAACCCTGTTGTGGCCCATGCCCAGCCAGTTCTCTATGTTGGATGACCATCTTGCTGAAGGCTGTTTCCTCAACTCCTGTTTGTATCCCATCCAAGTGCTGCCAGGTTTGTCAATCCCCAAGTTTTGTGATGATACCGACTGGGGCCAACAGTGTTTGAGCTCAAAATGGCACAAGGCTGATAGCAAGAGCTGTCATATCCCCAAAACTGCACAATGATCGGTTCCAACCTCTGTTTTTGCCTCTGCAGTCGGCCCAGCAATCTGGTTTTTGGATGCTCAGACACTTCCATTCACAACTAGTGCTTTGGGCAGCCTACGAGCCAGTGTGTCATCATTTCCAGTGATGACTGAGACTTCCATATCCACGATGACTCCACAGTTCACCCTCCTCAGCTTGGTGCTGAAACACGTGTGCAGCCAGCCTCACACTCTGATCAACCCTCAGTAACGAGCATCCTCAGTACAGACAATCTTGATACCTAGGACACTCTGGTTTCCTCTTTGTACTTGAGGCATGTGGTTTAAATGCAGGCACCTTCTTGTCTCTCTGAATGGATGATAATGGAGTCCTGCCATTTCATCCAAGTCTTCATACCAGGCAGAGATACAGATTTATTCCCACTACAGGTTGCTTGTGGTCTTGGTATACTAACCCCCTGGGTGCCTGGACACACAGACTTTGTGTCCAGCACATGCAGAATAGATGCTTTAACACAAAGGACATTGTCTGGATCTTGTACCTTTATAGATGGCATCTCAGTGCATACTAGGAACCATACAGATGCATCTTGCATAAGGGCAGGTTGTAGCCTAGATGCATATCTAGCAAACATTACTAGTTTGTGGGAATGATCTAGCCTGGGCCTTGGAGCCCAGCACACCCGTGTAGATAATCTTGTGGACTTCTGCAAACAGCAGAAGATCTGGTCCCTGCTCTAGAACTTAAATGAATTCTGCAGTCTTGGTACCTTGGGTCATTTCTGAATGATTAATATCTATGAAATGGGAGAAGAGGTGAATTCATTTCACTATGTTAAAGTTTGTGGGTCGTTAATCCTTTGACCCACTGAGTCTGCTGCAACGGCCCTGCAATAAATTTGATTTATTGCCACTACGACAAACTCCAGTGGCACCCACACGCTTCCACTCGCACGCGGCCACTCCTCAGTTGCCGGATAATAGCAGAGTTCATTCGCAGTGTAAAATGGCTTGTCTGTGTCGATGTGGTGTCTTCGATAACTCAGCTCGACACCAGTGCTTCTATTCCAACACTATTTAGAAGCATAACAAACAGAAAAGAAAAACCTGCAGAATCTAGCTGCATGCTTGCAGCTTCTGCCTCTAACAAAAACGAAACTACCTTGCTCACGTTCTCAGACAGACTGCTCTCCAGAGAGAGCTCAGCCCCCACAGAGCACAGATCAAAGGAAAATGCCTGAGTCATGTGGGCAATGCACCCAGTTGATAAGAACGCTCCTGGAGTGTTAACTCTTAACTGTCCAGAACCATAACACACTACCCAGCCGGCAGCTTAGTACCAGAAGTTTTAACAGTCTGCATGCTAATGATGTGCTGGGTGTCAGCATCTGATGCCAAACTCTAGCCTCCATTTTTCACACTTCCCTTTGTTTGCTAGCAATGCTCAGGCACTGCCTCTGATCCTTAGCAGTCATTGGGTAGATCCATTTTGAGTGCCTTCTACTACCCTTAAACAGGTTCAGTGGTTGTTACCCACTTTTCTGTCTTGCACTGATTTATGTCACTAGCACTTTCTTAGAATCTTGTCCATGAGGTCTGACAATCTGGCATCTGTCTTCTAGCAGTGTTTCAGCTCCCAAGCTATGAAGGATACACAGAATTAAGGCTCAAAGCACCAGACAACGAACAGATCTTGTTTATGTTTAAGCCCTTCCTGAGCATGTTTAAGCCCTTCCAGGCTTGTTTGGACCACAGGCCAATTTCCAATCCTCCAGAGCCTGGGAGTTGATTACTTTTTGCTCTTCATCTAGTCCAACCTCCTGCAATGCAGGAATGTTTTGCCTAATGTGGGCCTCTAACACATGACCATGAGATTAAGTCTCTCATGTTCTACCGGTAATTGAGATGTGCTTTTCTGTGGGGGAAGTCTACATTGGCAACTTTAGGTAACTGAAAGCTAACCCTCATCGGACAAAAGGCACGCTACAAAGTCCAGTGAGCTTGCCTGCCCCACTTGAGCAATGATTAGTTGGTCTGATGTCTTGCCTTGGTGTTTATCGAGAGTGGCCTTTTCCTTTCTGGAACATTCTATGTTGATCCTCATTTCAGATCAATCTTCAGGACTCACTCCAGAATCCGACCTTCTCTTTATACTTGGGTACTGATTGATGGCAATACCTAGTGTCTGTGGAGCCTCTCCCTAAGGGCCCCATCGCCTGACTTGCGTGACAGGGGCATCATCTCCTCTCAGGATGCCTGCCTACAGATATGATGTGCCCTTCACAGGACGCACCCTCTCTGAACTCACCCCTGAGACTAGGCCGCAGAACCAGCCAAGTTTCATTCCGGGAGGAACCAGAACTCTTTGGAGTGGCCATCTATGCACCTCTGCACCCACTTTCCTTCCCTGTTGAATGAAGGCCAGGCTCTTATATCGGGGCTGTGGCTTGCTCCAAGGAATGGCAGGAGAGGCTGGAGGTGTGCAGTGGCCATGGAGCTTCCCTGCTTGAGAGCAGGGGCTGCAAGCTCTCCTAAGCCCTTCCCAAATGCTTTTTGCACAGGTGAAGATCCCACCTGTGTGTGACAATGCAGGGAACCGCTCAGAAAGTGGCAACAGGTAAGCACCCTGGTTATGGGGCGCTTGTGGCCTCCTGCTGATGTTGTTGGGTCTCCTGCTTCTTCCATCATCCCCAGCCAGGACAGCCAGAGGTCAGGGACGAGGAGAGGGTGTAATCCCAACAGCAGGTTTCCCAGCCCTGAGCTCAGTCTCAGGATCAGAAGGCAGGAACAGGCTCCTCTGTGGAGTTTGCGTGCCTTGGACACTTTGCAGTTGGACCTGAAGAGCTGGGTTAGAAAGTCTCTCTCCTCGCTTGCTCCTCACCCCCAGTAACAAGGGTGCTTCCAGTTTCTGGCTGCTGCGTGTCTTCATTTCCTCGTCCTAGAGCTTCATGACAAAGGTTTTGTAATGGTCAGTACAATAGATGTTTTTAATCCAAAATGCCTTCCAATTTAATTAATTGTTGCCATTTTGATGGGCTCATGAGGCACTATTTAAAAAAAAAACTTTTTTAAGAAAATGAAACTTCTGTAGCACTTAAAACAGTTTTGTATAAAATGTACTGTAAAGATTTGTAATATGGTTAAAGGGCTCTTTCTCCATTACTATTTTTAATGTTTCTAAGGCTAGGAAACAATTTGTGTACATTCTGTATATGTATAGCAGCACATTTCATTTATGGAAAGATGTTCTCAGAATATTTATTTACTAATATATTTATCTTAAGCCATGTCCTATGTTGAGTGTGTGATGTTATTGTCTAAATAATAATAATAATAATAATAATAATAATAATAATTGAAAATCACTAACAGGAAGCCTGTAAATACACAGTAATTGCACACAAAGATTTTGCAATGTTTGCCGACCAAAAAGTGATTTTACAACAAATTGTAGCTCTACAGTTTTGTAACAAAAGTGTACAAATGTCTGTTTAACCCCCCTCCCTTCAATACAGTTTTATTGTCTAACTTGAAATACATCTGAAATACAGTTTTTGTCATGTTCTGATCTGAGACTGGGATCCCACAGAAAAAGAGGCACGTCTGGTCAAAGGTTGCTGGGCTGAGGGGAGCACTGAGGGAGCAGCTTGCTGCAGCAAAGGCTGGGAGCAGAAAGGCCGGCAGACACCTTGGATGCCTCTGGCACCAGGCTCCCCTGCTTTGAGAGCCTTCAACCTTGAAGGGCAGCCAACCTGTGGCCTGAAGGCAGGCACACTGCAGCCTCCCTTCTGAAACAGCCCTGGCATTGCCAGAGGCGGGAGGGGCTCTGGTCCTTATAGACCCTGGTAGTCTGGGAGGCTCCTGTCCAACAGCTCAGGTGGGGGGGTCACCCTACGTCCAGCAGCAGCTCTGAGCCCTGAACCAGCTTCTCCTCTGATGTCACTGCAGCTCCATGTCTGATTGCTGCTAGAAGCAGGACTCAGGACAGAAAGAGGTCTCCATCCTCTCTTCTTTTACACTCAGTGGATGAATGCACCAGAAAGGGAGCTAGTCATGTTACGAATTTCTCGAATCTTCCAGATGCTGAATTGCACACAGGCGGGGGGGGGGGCGCAAAACCTCAGCCATGTGGCCATTTTGGGAGTCTATTCTTGGCCATGAGTCTCCCTCCAAAAGAGAAAGAATTATGTTAAATAGCATAGAAATGGCAACATAAATTTATTCAGTGTGGAACAGAGAGATGTTGGAAGTGACCTCTCTCACCCCATCCAAATGGGCTCATTGTCCAGCAATATAAGAACATAAGAATTGGTCACACTTAAGCTTTCTGTTTCTGTCTTCTTCCTTGAGGTTGGGGCTGTTTTGGGCTGGGATTCCTTTGCTGAGAATAACGTATGTGGCTCTCTATCCTAGTTGAAGAAACCATGACATTGGAGGACGAATGTACAGGACAGGTAGAAAGCAATATTGGGATAAACGTCACCTGAGCCTGAAAGTTTCCAGGCTGATCTAGCCAAGCAAGGGGGCCTTAGAAGAGCTGAAAATCTGAGGCCTGACCACATATGTCATAGTGTCTTGTAGCAGTGGAGAGCGCATCTCATTTGCTTGCCATCCTTGAAGTGCAAGGCTTTTTCCAAGCAAGGTGGAGGTGCTCTTAAATCCACTGCAAATCTACCCTCATGTGCAAGCAATAACCAAGTCTCACATATTAGACAGAAAATTAAACTCTACTGAGTGTACAGTGGTACCTCTGGTTACGTACTTAATTTGTTCTGGAGGTCCGTTCTTAATCTGAAACTGTTCTTAACCTGAGATACCACTTTAGCTAATGGGGCCTCCTGCTGCTGCCGTGCTGCCACCGCACGATTTCTGTTCTCATCCTGAAGCAAAGTTCTTAACCCAAGGTACTATTTCTGGGTTAGCGGAGTCTGTAACCTGAAGCATAAGTAATCCGAGGTACCACTGTATTTCAGTGGTTCCTTAAGCCAATGGATTGAAAACCAGGAGAAAAGAGAGGCAACTATATTTTTTCAATAGCTAAGGGAGAAGCCTCACAAAACCTGAAAAAGTACAAGTCTGTATTGTAATTCCATCCAGCGCAAGGCCTTGTGCAATGTTGCTGCACCAAGCAACAGCCTGAAGCTTGGAACTGCTGCTGCAGAGATGTCTGGTGGTATGTTGAGCAGTGGCCGGGGGGTAGGGCTTGGGGGAAAGTTGCCATCTTGAAATGACAGTGGAATTACTTGGGTGGGTGAAATACCCCTTAGCTTGTGTCAGGCTCGTGACAAAACACTGTGGTTGCCATGCTGGGGTTTAATGTCAGATTTATCTGCACTGAAATAAAAGCAGTTTAAAAACAGTCTTGATATCAAAGTATCATAGGATTTGCAAATAATTTCAAAGTGCAACAAGGATGCAGTAATTCCCTGAAACTTAGCGCTGCCTTGATTTTAGGCAAAGTTTCTCTCTTCATAAGCAGAGAAATCTCAAACAAGATTTGTAACAGTTATTTTTAGTGAATTTTTGGTGCAAATTAAATACAGTGCCAAGTAAAATACAAAAAGCATAGCTATACAGGATAATGAGACCTCATAAACGGCTTTCTGCATATATATGAATGACAAGACTTCTATGCCAGCTCGTTGAAGTACATCTGAAGGAAGAAAAAGAAATTACCAGCCACTCAAATTTTCTATAAGAAACAGAATGTGTACTAAGTATGTATGTTATTCTATGTCTATTAGACATTTGCATCTGTTAGGCGGCTTACATAAAACAACACAGATAAAATACAAAAAGATAAAGCATATAAAAGATTATAAAAGACATTTGTTTAATTGCTTTTTAACTATTTTTAGCTTTTTGCATTTTTATCTGTGTTCTTTTAATTTGTGTAAACCACCTTCTGTGCCAGGTCTGGAGAAAATGCAGGCTATAAATAGATATAATAATAAAAATGTTGAGAATTCATTAGTTACTGAATCTTAATTTTCAGACTGGCAGTTTTGTTTCCTGCAGATGCACACAAAATATGGCCTAACATGTTTCAGCTAAGATGCTCTCAGACTTTGTTCAATCATTTTGGTTGATGCTCTTGGCTCCTTTGAAACAAAGGTCAGGATACAAATTTAAAACTCAATAGATAGAAAGCGTTTCAGGAAAACTAATGGTGAGTTGACTTTTTTTTAACAAAAGTTTTATTACCTTCACAACATCTGAAGATGTCCTGTCCTCTGGAAGAGGAGTTCTAGATGTTTTAAGATACCCTTTTATTAGGGCTGCTGCATCATCCATCCTGCATAAAACATGTACACGCAGTCATTAGCAGAAAACAAATCAATATCTTTGAACTATGCAAAAAAGAAAAAGTGCATACTGAGAGAAGAGAGGCAAGTGTTTTCTAAAATCACAATACCTGTAGGGTTTTTTTTGCAGTGGGAGTGCGGGAAGAGGTATGTATTCATTTAGACAACAATCCAATGCAGCATTTGTTGCATATGTCGCACCTGGCAAACCACTGCATGAAGCATAGCATGCCAGGGGGGCGGGGCAGCGGATATGGACCTCTGGAGGGGCGGTGGATCCACCCACTGCTGTCTCTGCTATTGCTGGCTCCTTCTCCACCTGCTCTCCTCCTGCATTGCATACATTCTCTGCTCCCTGATGCTTATTTTCGCTCCTGGCCTTCTCCACGCCCATCATCTGCCTCGGGAGAAAGAGTGCTCAAGCTGCCCACCAGCTTCCTCCTCCTGCACTGTGTGCCTGCTGCTCCCTTGCTTTGCCCAGGAAGCGACAAAGGAGCTACAGTGTCTTGTTTACATTGGATGCACACATGGCTCACTGGTACTGTACATGAACAAGACCTCTCCCTTCCATGTATAAGCAAAGGCTTGGGAACATCCTTTGGCACAGTTGTGGAGAAGAGTAGGATTAGGCCCTCCTAGCACAAAGAAAAATGAAACTTGAGAATTCTGCACTCACTTACCTATTCTTTTCTACAAGTTTTTCTACCAAGCTTTTAAGTTTCCCAGGGTGAATCTCCTGCAACTTCAAGAATGGAATGTATTCTGAGGTTAGAAACTCTTCACACTTCTCATTTATGATGTAGTCTAAAATCAGACATCTAATCTGCAAAGCAGAAGAGTTATTCTGGTTAGGTCCATGGCTTACGAGAAAGAATCAACTGTGTCTTTGTCTATTTTGTCCCAAAGGGCTGAAATTGGGGTACCTGTATGGCAAAGCCAGCTACTATACCCTGGTTCATGTGCTCCTCTACTTGCAGTAACACAGTCCCAAGCTGACATAAGGATAGGAAGCCCTGGTGGGGAAAAACAGGATCAAATCTTTTAAAGCATCTGAGAACAAACAAACATTACAGAAATATTATTGATTCTTACAGCACTTTTGTTCAAAGAGGTTGCAAAGGATAATAGCTTCACAAACTATGAAATCCTATATAGGAGCTGTACTGAATATTGCAGCAAAAAGTTTTGCAGGGTCTTAAAGTCGACATTCTTTGCAGTAGAAGCTTTCATGCAGAAGAGGCATTTTTTAAAAATGCTATCACAAACTTGGTGGATCAGGGAAATGCTGTAGACATAGTGCACCTTAATTTCAGTAAGGTTTTTGACAAAGTCCCCCATGATATTCTTGTGAGGAAGCTGGTAAAATGGGGGTTGAACGAGGTAACTGTTAGGTGGATTCGTAGCTGGATGACTAACCAAACCCAAAGAGAACCCATTAATGGTTCCTCGTCATCCTGGAAAAATGTTACAAGTGGGGTGCTGCAGGGTTCTGTCCTGGGCCCATTGTTGTTCAATGTCTTTATAAATGATATGGACGAAGGAATTAAGATGCTCATCAAATTCGCAGATGACACCAAACTGGGAGGAGAAGCTAATGCTGCAGAAGACAGAATCAGAATTCAAAATGACCGTAACCGATTGAAGAACTGGGCGCAAGCTAACAAAATGAAATTCAATAGGGACAAATATAAGGCTCTGGACTTAGGCAGGAAAAACAGATGCACAAATATAAGATGGGAGACACCCGGTTTACTAGCAGTACATGTGAAGAGGATCTAGGGGTCTGTGGACCACAAGCTTAAGATGAGTCAACAGTGTGATGCAGCAGGGGAAAAAAGCTAACATTATAGGCTGCATCAACAGAAGTACAGTGCCCAGATCAAGGGAAGTAATAGTCCCACTATATTCTGCTTTTGTCAGACCACACCTGGAATACTGTGTCCAATTCTGGGCACCACAATTTAAGTAGGATGTTGACAAGCTGGAACATGTACAGAGGAGGACAGAGGACAACCAAGATGATCAAGGGTGTGGGAACCAAGCCTTATGAGGAACGGTTGAAGGAGCTGAGTATGTTTAGCCTGGAAAAGAGGAGACTGAGAGGAGATATGATAGCCATCTTCAAATATCTGAAGGGCTGTCACATGGAAGAGGGAACATGTGTTTTTCCCCCTCCAGCTTTGGGAGGCAGGACTCGAACCAGTGGCTTCAAGTTACATTAAAAGAGATTCTGACTAAACATTTGGAAAAACTTTCTGACAGAAAAAGTTGTTTTGACAGTGGAACAGTATCCCCCTCAGGAGGTTGTGGCCTCTCCTTCCCTGGAGGTTGGGTAGCCATCTGCCAGGGATGCTTTAGCTGAGATTCCTGCATTGCAGGGGTTGGACTAGATGATCCTTGGAGTCCCTTCCAAGATTCTACGATTCGTGACATCATCTTCGTCACAAGAGTGCTATCCTAAATTGACAGGCACAAAATAAAACTAGAGGAAGAAAGGAGTGCAACTTTTTTTTTTAACAGAAGTAGGCCAAAGTCAAAGAAAATAGAAGAATAAGTGTTTCATTTGTGTACAGAACACAAATACAGTGGTACCTCCTCTACTTAGGTTCACCTCTGGTTATGTATCCTTTGGGATACATATGTGGCAAACCCGGAAGTATTTTTCCGGGTTTTGCCGTGCGCACATGTCAGAAGTGCTAAACCGTGCTGCGTGCACGCGCAGAAGCGGCACCTCCGGATACGCACACCTCGGGATCGACTGGAGCTCCGGAACGGATCCTGTGTGCAACCGCAGGTACCACTGTAAATACAAAATCTACTCAGGGTGGATGCGACCTACTCCCAACCCAGAGCTACTGGTGATTTTTTTAAAAAAGCACGAAGGATTGTATAAACGCTTGAAGTGGAACACATAAGGCCTGTGGTAGGAATTCCTGGGCGTACGTGTGCTGGGCCCTCCATGTGTTGGACTCTCACTCGCATGATCCCATCAGCCCCAGCTAGACTGGCCAGTTGCCAAGGATGACAGGAGTTGTAGTCTAAACTTATGGAGGGCCACAGGTCCCCCAATCCATCTTTAGTCTAGATTGATACTGTAGAATTTTAACTCGGGGGCTTCACCAACTGATTGTGTCTGTTTTCACTCACCTGAATCTGCTGAGCTCTTTTCTCAGGTTGTGGAATCAGCAACAGACAGCCCAAGGCCAAAGCTGGCAGGTCTAATTGGGCATACTGCTTTGCAATCCCAGTCAGATCTAGATCAGCCACGAGAGGACACCTTTGGAAAGTAGCCATTAAGTGGAGGAAACAGTAATCAGCTACAGTTATTTAATAAATTAACCTTCCTTCAGTGGCCTAACAGCTTGATGTATAAGTGTACACACTAATTCCATATTTTAATCATTCAACTTCTTCATGATTTAGTTGTTCCTTTCATGCTCTTATCACCAGTGCTTTTTCCCCTAGAAAAATAGGTGCTGGTTCTCACCATGAGGTTGTTACAGTAAATGCCACACTTTTTAACAACAACAAAAGAGGTGCCAACACCCTTGAGGACTCCTTGAAAAAAGCACTGCTTATCACAGACCTGGTACACACACAAAGCCATCTGAAGCTGTCAAATAAACTGCAAGAGCAGCAATGGAAAATTGCTTTCACACACTAAAATTCCCTGCAACTATAAAGCTAGCAAAGCAGGGAAAAGGCTAGCTTTTTTAATTGGCAAGTACTTTCTCCGTGATGTGCTAGGTTTTTGCTTTTACACATAGGAGAAGTGTTATTCCCCACCTGTAGCTTGAGGTAGTATGGTCCATTTGGCCACCTCATTCTGCTCCATATGGAGAGTGCTGGAATTTTTAATTCTTAAGGAAACATTGTGTCTCTTTCTCCCACATGAGATGTTTATTTACCTCAATAATGTTCTGAAAGACTCATAGCATGCTTCAAGCTGATTAGCACTCGGTGGCTGTGAAGCTTTAAAAACAAAACAGACACATAGTGAAAGGATTTCTACACACTGAATTTTTGATTTACAGAGCAATTGCTTTCAGCTCTGCAGATGAGCTCATAGTATCCAAACTACAGTGGTGCCTCGCAAGACGAAATTAATTCGTTCCGCAAGTCTCTTCGTCTTGCGAGTTTTTCGTCTTGCGATGCACGGTTTCCCATAGGAATGCATTGAAAATCAATTAATGCGTTCCTAGGGAAACCGCCTTCAGACCAGGTCCGGGGACAGTCTGTCCCCGGACCTCTTCTGAAGGCTGGGGGGCAAGGGCTTTCTTCCCACCCCCAGCATTTTAAAACCCCGGGCCAGCGGAGGCCCTCCCCGCGGTCCGGGCGAACTTAAAAGGCTGGCGGGCGGCATTTAAAAATCGCCCGGGACCGCGGCGGACTACCCCGCGGCCCGGGGCGATGTAAAAGCCCCTGGGAAGGCAGGCAGGGGGCACAAAGACTTTTGCCCCCGCCAGCCTTCAGAAGAGGTCCTGGACCTCTTCTGAAGGCGGGCGGGGCGAAAGTCTTGCTCCCCCGCCTTCAAAAGCCCTCCGGGACAGGCAGGCAGGGGAGCAAAGACTTTCGCCCCCCGCCCGCCTTCAGAAGGTCTTCCCTCCCCCCGCCCGGCCGGAGCACCGTTCCGAAGCCGGGCGGCGGCGGAGGTGTTCCCTCCCCCGCCCGGCCGGAGCACCGTTCCGAAGCCGGGCGGCGGGGAGGTCTTCCCTCCCCACCGCCCGGCTCGGAGCACCGTTCCGAAGCCGGGCAGAGGCGGAGGTCTTCCTCCCCCCGCCCGGCCCGGAGCACCGTTCCGAGCCGGGCGGCGGCGGCAGGTGTTCCCTCCCCCGCCCGGCCGGAGCACCGTTCCGAAGCCGGGCGGCGGCGGCAGGTGTTCCCCCCCCCCCCCCGGCTTCGGAGGAGCCTTCCGAAGCCCGGCGGCGGCGGGGGGAGGTGTGCCCGCCCCCCCCCCACGCGTAGGAGGAGGTCCGAGGGCAGTGGGGAAGGCCGGCTGCGCTTCCCCGCAGTCCCGGAGATTTCCCTATGGGCTGTCGTCTTGCAAAGCAAGCCCATAGGGAAATTCGCTTATGAAGCGCCTCCAAAACGGAAAACCCTTTCGTCTAGCGGGTTTTCCGTCTTGCGAGGCGTTCGTCTTGCGGGGTACCACTGTACCTCTGTGAGAGCTGTGAAGCAGAGCTCCCTCCACTGGCTCTGCTGTGACAGGACAGCTCCCTCAGGCCTCCTCTCCCCACAAGTGTCATCTGGGGCAGCCATCAGTGGGAGAGCTTTGCTGGAGGCCCAGCTCCTTCAGGCACCTCCTGCCCCTGAACTGTGCCAGCTGGTCTATATAGGAACAACTGTTTAAAGATTTGTGACTGAGATTTGATATTCCTCTTCCCTTCCTGCTCCTTTGCCTGTGGGTAGGGACCATCTTGCTTTGATGGTATATAAGTCGTCTTGTTGGCTGAAGAGCGAGATACAAATGCTCCAAATAAATAAATCTCTCTATACACAGTATAGAAAACTAGTGATCTTTGTAATGTGTGACTATTGTAGTAGGATGGCCAGATACCACATAGTATTTAAGCAAGAACAGAAGACCAAATAAGTGAATAAGGCTAAATTGGGGGTGGGGGATATGCAAATGTGAATTAAAAATTATGTGCTATAAGAAACTAAGAAACATTCTGCTGGGTCAGACCAAGAGCCAATATTCCTTCCTCCAGTAGCCAATCAGATGCCTCCAGGAAAGCCAACAACAGCCCTCCCCAATTGTTGCTCCCCAGCAATTAGAATTCAGAGACATACTGCCTTTGAACAAGGATCTATCACTTCTCCTTTGGGCAGACCACTCCTCCATGATTTTGTCTGATTCCCCTATAAGCCAGTGACCATGAGCACATCCTGTGGCTTTTTAATACCATACATTCATTATGCACTGCATGAATAAACACTTTGTCCTATTCTGCTGCCCACTCATCCCAATCCAAATTGTACATTTAAAAAACTTCTCTATAAGTTAACAATGCACATGATTTGCAATGCATGTTTATTCAGGAGTAAAACTTAAGTTTAGTAGGACTTGCCTAGGAATGTATATAAGACTACAGCCATATTCTGCTTTTGTTGGTCAAGGGGAAATGCACTGAACTATTGATTCTATATGGATGCTTCAGTTGCGAATCCTGCACTGCAGGGGCCCCTTCCAACTCTACACTTCTATGTTTCTATGAGCCCCTCCCCATGGTTGCTGGGAATCCCACTGACCCACTTTCTGGTGCCTGAGATTTCATCCGTTATTTTGCGCATGCTTTGAAGGCTCTTCTTTTGCTACCAAACAGGCTAGAATCCTTTTGTTGAAATGAAACCTGAGGTTACCAAGATGCTGAATTCCACATCCACCCTCCAAATTTTGATGGCTTTTCCTTCACTTTACTTGCTCTACCTAAAATGCACAAAAGCATCGAGTGATGATTTGGTGGCATGATTCAAGAGCAAAGAAACAGAACTAACCTGAAAGGCATGGCGCCAGGATGACATTCTGCCAAGCTAGGATGAAGTTTGGAATCTGCGGAAAGTTAAAACAAATCTTCAAATGCCTGAGAGAATGCCCTACTTATTGGTTAGTGGATCCTGTCAAGAATATAGGTTAACGCTCTCCTGATCAGATTTGTGAGACTCTTAGCAAACATTCTTTCCAACTGCTGTGATGTGCAACCCAACTCTTGCCAAAAGTCCTTCCTCAAGGAACTGGAGACCACAGTCAAAGAAGTCAAATCTTCCCTAACAAAAACCACTGTGCAGCCAGTGGTTTACTTCCAGTGTTTTCCTCTCTGTTGCTGGGCCATGACCTTCAACAGGAAAGAGTGATGAAAAAACCACCTATGCCCCAAGACCTTTCAACTTCCTGCTCAGATTCTCAGAGTCCTTTTCTATACATTAAAGGCTGTGTGTGTCAGTATTGTTTGTACCCACATGAATCAGAAGGAAGGGGTTGTGGTCAATGGGTTTTATAAGACATGGCAACCTCTGTTACATAGTAAATCTTTGCACCTGGAAGACAGCACACCTCCTGGGACATCCTGTTACCTCCACCCACTGCGGCTCTGTCCCCTTAAGTAGGGAGTCACCTGCCACCACTCAGCGGTGTCGCATGGGGTGGGTGAGGCTGAGGGGCCGTTGGCCTGGGCATGGTTTGGCGGAGGGGCGCATCACGGCGTCTTGCCACGTTGTAAGCTGTTGCATCCTTCTCAGCACCCTCAAGCTGGAGGGAGGCTGAGAGGGACACAACAGCTCACTGCGCCCCGCAAGCCCAGTGCCATTTTTGCAAGTCTCACAAAGCGGTACTAGGCTCACAGGGCGCCATGAATGTGCCCTGATTAGCAGCAGTGGGCAGGGGACACCATCTGCAGTCAGTGAAATAAAAAAATAAACATCAAGCTGCAGGAAAGCAATGAAGAGTGGATTAAAAAGCTTGGGGGGAAATTAAAGTATTTTTGCCTTGTGCACAAATTATTTTGAGTTAACTGCCCAGTAAGTCTCCCTGCAAAGTGCAACCCAGTTATGCTGCCACTGCCAAGTCGGGCTCTTTGCTGCACCTCCGAGGGCAAGGGCATTCAGGCAGGGCCTCTGCTGAAGGTCTGAAGAGTCTAGGTGGACACATGTGGAGAAAAGTGGCCCTTCAGGTACTACAGTCCCAGTAATGAAATATTTTACACCTTAAAAATGAGGACATTGAATTGAACCTGAAATTGAACTTGGAGCCATTTTAGTGGGTAAACCATTAAGTGCAATGTGATCTTAACTCCTAACTGGAACAACTTTGGAGCTGCATTTTGGACTAACTGCAATTTCTGGAGAGTTTTAAAAAGGCAACCCCACACATAGTCTAGGTACATAGATTACTAAGGGCAGCCAGGCTCCTCCTGTCCAGGCCACAGCTGGTAGAAAGGCACTCAGGGCTTTGGAGGCAATCGGTAACATCAATGACCTTTTAATATTAAATATTAAATTGTCTGCAAATAAACAAATTACTACACTCATTTCTTTTTAAAGTTGGGCAAATATTCCAGCTTGAGAGGGAGTGAGAATTCACGCACCTGCCATAAGGAATAGATCCCAGTAACCTCTGTCAAAACCTTCTTCAGATAATGAACCTGAAATACACAAGGCATTTTCAAGGATTGTATAAGCACAGCAAGAGGATACTGTTAAGATGCAACTTTAATGGAGGGCATGGCGTTGGTTTAATTCTCTCCCATCTTTATCAGACAATAGAGGATAACACGCACCTTTTGAGTTTTCTAGCTTGTCTATGAAAACCCAAAAGTTAATAAACAAACATTGACATGGAATTCAAGACGTCCCCCAATGCAATCTTCCCCCATTAATTGGTCTGAGAATGAGACAAATAACCAAATGAGAAATGAAATGAGGCAAATGAGAATAACCTAAATAGAAAAAAAGGATGAATAGTGAATAGATTTGTTTTTATCATTATTGTTTTTTAAATTATCCCACCTTTCCTAATACATACAAGGTGTCTTATAACATAAAACATCAACATCAATTCCGACCAGATGGTGCTGGGATGCCCACAGGTGGGACACAAGCGCCACAGGCCTCTCCCAACTCAGGTGCTTTGGCAAGAGTTACTGAGAGCCACACAGCTGCTGATTCTGCAGGCAGCACACAGCCATTATGATTAGCAGCTAATGGGAGCCTCATCCTCTGTAAATCTGTCTAATCCTCTTGCAAAGCCATCCCAATTTGGTGACCATCACCACATCTTGAGTTGGTTAATTAAATGATGAAGACAGCCCCTTCTGAAAATAAAAAAAATTAAAAATAAAAAAATTGTCCAGTAGCACCTTAGAGACCAACTAAGTTTGTTCTTGGAATAAGCTTTCATGTGCATGCACACTACTTCAGATACTTCAGATACTACTTTGTGTGCATGCACACAAAAGCTTATACCAAGAACAAATTTAGTTGGTCTCTAAGGTGCTACTGGACAATTTTATATCTATATATCTATATATCTATATATATATCTATCTATCTATCTATCTATCTATATATATATATATATATTTCAACTGCATCAGACCAACACGGTGTCAGGGAAGAGTTAGAAGTTTCCAGTTTCTCAGAGGGAGAAAGCATTCCCCAAGGGGGGAAGCAGAGCAGTGAATCTAACAGAAGGGAGCAAGAGGAACAACAGGGAGGGACTGGCTGTTCACAGGGAAGGCAAGGGTTCAGTTCTAGCTCAGATCGGGAGGAGGGGAGATACAGGCCAGCTCTAGCCAGGAGGGTAGGAAAAAGAGCGGGAAAACGAAGGGAAAGGCGCCTTCGCCATTTTGAGGGTGGCTGGTCACGGAGAAGCAGAGCTCAGAAGGTATCTGAAATAAGTGACTCTGAGGAATAATAGTTAAGAACCGTTTATAAGATTGTTTTGTTAATACACAATAAAAAGTTTTATAAAAGAACAAGAAGCGTTTGTGTGGTGATCTGAAGAGGACAACGACCAGTCCTGACACACGGCTATGTACCTGAATCTGTAAAATTTAACTAACTAGAACCCACACCTGCACTAGCACTAGGAAGCTTTTCTCACAGGACACCAAAACATAGAGGGACCTTTCCCTCTCCAAAGAAGTCTTACCTTGTTGAAACTAATTAGCTTCTGAAGCAAACCATTCCAGAGTAAAGGATCGTGCACTTTATATTCCAAGCTAAGCTCTGCCACAAGTTTCACTGCCTGAAACCAATGAGTAAATTATTTTATTTTTTATTGAACACCATGTTACTGTGAATCATTCCACAGCAGAGAAAACTTTTGCTGTTCATCAGTAACGTAGGAGTTAAACACTTCTTACTCTTCTCTGTGTACCTGATAATGTCCTGAATACCGCTGTGCATTAAAAAAGATACAACATGAGGAAAAAGATATGTGTTTTGTCCCCTCCAATCTCCAACCCCCTGCCATATTACCATGGGTTCGTGGCTATGGTTCTTCCACAAGCCTTTGATCATTCCTTCCTTGGGAGTGCTATGAAACGTTGAGTAGGTGTATGGGATATTCAGAATTTCAAACTGAGCAAGGAAAATTAAGCATTTCAGGAAATTCCTATTAAAAAGAAATGTGCATTTATTGTAGAGGTTCACAACAGGGAAACCAAAATGCTACAAACTTCTAATAAAGACAGCTGTGTGCAAACAGTCTGTGCAGCCAAACTGAGCTAGATGAGGAACGGTGTGTTTTCCTTCCCTGATCCAAAACTGTGCATGCAGGGCCCTTTTTCAAATGCTAAAATTTCACTGAGTTGTTGCATGGAATTCAGGACCCGGCTTTCATCCATACACTGGCTGGATCTTAGCTTCTTAAATCTGCCAGTGTGATGTGGTGGCTCTGGTTTAAATTCCTGCTCAGCCTTGGGTGATTGATCTGCCTGCCATCTCACAACACATTCCACCTTGAATTCCTTGGGGGAAGGGTGGGGGAGGCTTTCATGTCGGCAGCACTGTCAGCGCTGCACATGCCGTGGATGGGAGCCAACAAGGTGTTTGGGGAAATTGAATGAAACTTCATCACTGGTTGGCATTTTGTATGTCTGAAGGAAAACAAGACTCTGCTTACCTCACTTCCTCTAGGGGTTTTTTGAAGAGGGTCTCAACAGCACAAGGGTCCGCCAGGCAGAGCAGACACTTGAGAGCCCGGCTTCTGTGAGCAAAGGTCAACTTGTTTACTCCAATAGGCTAAAATAGGGAGGGGGATGAAAAGAATACAGAATTATTATTTTTAAAGCACTAAACTATTAATAAACTATACAGAATCTTTTCCACGGTTTATTTGGCTTTTTTTATATAATGGTGCTGGGGGTGGAGGGAGATGCTATTCCTGACTATTTGCAAAAAGTTCCATTCTTCCAAAGGATAGTTGCCGAGTGAAAATATTGCTGAAACTAGCCCTGCAAGAACCTGCTCACTGAATGAGAGGATATTACAGTTGAAGTAAACTGCCACATTGATGCCACTGAAGACAGTTTAGGATACCAAGTGGGCTAGAGCCCCAGCTCCTGATTCACAGACCCAAACCGGCATTGACCTATCCAGCAACTTGCCTAGCAACTGGTTTCAGAGTTCAATTCAAGGTGCCAACTGAGGCCTTTGCCCATGTATGCCTCCCCCAAATTACACAGCAGACGAGGACTTGCTTCAAGTTCCAAGATTTAGAGAGGCCAGGCTGCCAGCTACAGGATGCAGGACCTTTTCTGCCATGGCCCTGAAATGATCTTTTGAAGGATGCCCATTTATCTCCATTGTGCTTTTAGAAATTACATTCATTCAACCTACTTTACCGCCTTCAGTTGCTGCTGCAGCTAGTTTAAAACCATCAAAATAATGTCTAAACTTGTATGTTATTTTGTGAAATTGTTTTAAATTTTCTTTCATACACTTTCAGTGTTCACTCCCAAAGCTAACAGCATTAAAATTTTCAAAAATAAATAAAATAATTGAAACAAAACAACTTGGGGATTGATAAATTTGCAAAGTTATGGAGCCAGCAGCATTTGTTTTTCGCACCAGACCACAGCTTAGTAAAAGGATAGGAACAATTTGGTCTTCCAGCTGCTGTTGAACTCCAACTTCTATTTGCCCCAGTCAGCCCTGCCAACGGTCAGGGGTGATGTGAGCTGAAGGGCTGGATTCCCCATCCTTGGCTTTGTAAACTTAAGGTCCTGGGCTCAGTCCCCGAAAGCTCCTGCCAGTCAGAGCTGAGTATGACCAGGTAAAAGGCAGCAGTCTATATTCTTTCTTTGCAAGTTACTGGAGGCGAGTGCTCTTGTGTTCAGGTTCTGCTTGCAGGTTTCCCACAGGAATCTGCTTGGCCAATTTGAGAACAGGTTGCTAGGCTTGATGGGCCATTGGCTTGATCCGGCAGTCTCTTCTGATGCTCTAGCTGAAGATATATTTCAAAGCTAGAATCCAGTAGTTATGGGCCAAGAATAGTTTTAATTCCGTGCACTGAAGGGGATTTAGGGCTTATGTTTCTCTGTTTCTCAAACAGCCGCCTGCCATGCTGCATGGCAATCCTTTTTTGAAGGAGGTTTCAAGAGCAGATAAGTGTTATGACAAGGGGTAGTAGGTTCTGTAGGTTCTGAGAGAGGAAGTCATGAATTATTTTAGGCCATAGATGTGCTTAACAGTAGCTCTTTGGATCCCGGCCACTGTGTTCAATTTCTAGCTCAGACTTAGAATCATAGAATCATAGAATCATAGAGTTGGAAGAGACCACAAGGGCCATCGAGTCCAACCCCCTGCCAAGCAGGAAACACCATCAGAGCACTCCTGACATATGGTTGTCAAGCCTCTGCTTAAAGACCTCCAAAGAAGGAGACTCCACCACACTCTTTGGCAGCAAATTCCACTGTCAAACAGCTCTTACTGTCAGGAAGTTCTTCCTAATGTTTAGGTGGAATCTTCTTTCTTGTACTTTGGATCCATTGCTCCGTGTCCGCTTCTCTGGAGCAGCAGAAAACAACCTTTCTCCCTCCTCTATGTGACATCCTTTTATATATTTGAACATGGCTATCATATCACCCCTTAACCTCCTCTTCTCCAGGCTAAACATGCCCAGCTTCCTTAGCCATTCCTCATAAGGCATCGTTTCCAGGCCTTTGACCATTTTGGTTGCCCTCCTCTGGACACGTTCCAGTTTGTCAGTGTCCTTCTTGAACTGTGGTGCCCAGAACTGGACACAGTACTCCAGGTGAGGTCTGACCAGGGCAGAATACAGTGGCACTATTACTTCCCTTGATCTAGATGCTATACTCCTATTGATGAGGCCCAGAATTGCATTGGCTTTTTTTAGCTGCCGCATCACACTGTTGGCTCATGTCAAGTTTGTGGTCAACCAAGACTCCTAGATCCTTTTCACATGTACTGCTCTCAAGCCAGGTGTCCCCCATCTTGTATTTGTGCCTCTCATTTTTTTGCCCAAGTGCAATACTTTACATTTCTCCCTGTTAAAATTCATCTTGTTTGTTTTGGCCCAGTTCTTTAATCTGTCAAGGTCGTTTTGAAGTGTGATCCTGTCCTCTGGGGTGTTAGCCCCCCCTCCCAGTTTGGTGTCATCTGCAAATTTGATCAGGATGCCCTTGAGTCCATCATCCAAGTCGTTGATAAAGATGTTGAATAAGACCGGGCCCAAGACAGAACCCTGTGGCACCCCACTAGTCACTCTTCTCCAGGATGAAGAGGAACCATTGATGAGCACCCTTTGGGTTCGGTCAGTCAGCCAGTTACAAATCCACTGAGCGGTAGCATAGTCAAGACCGCATTTTACCAGCTTCTTTACAAGAATATCATGGGGCACCTTGTCAAATGCCTTGCTGAAATCAAGGTAGCCTACATCCACTGCGTTCCCTTCATCTACCAGGCTTGTAATTCTGTCAAAAAACGAGATCAGGTTAGTCTGACATGACTTGTTTTTCAGAAATCCATGCTGACTATTGGTGATCACAGCATTCCTTTCTAGATGCTCACAGACTGTTTGCTTAATGATCTGCTCCAGAATCTTCCCTGGTATTGATGTCAGACTGACTGGGCGGTAATTATTTGGGTCCTCTCTTTCCCCTTTTTGAAAATAGGGACAACATTTGCCCTCCTCCAGTCTGCTGGGACTTCGCCTGTTCTCCAGGAATTCTCAAAGATGACTGCCAGTGGTTCTGAGATCACATCTGCCAGTTCTTTTAATACTCTTGGATGCAGTTCATCTGGCCCTGGAGACTTGAATACATCTAAACTAGCCAAGTATTCTTGTACTATCTCCTTAGTTATTCTGGGCTGTGTTTCCTCTGCTGAATCATTTGCTCCAAATTCTTCAGGTTGGGCATTGTTTTCTTTATCGGAGAAGACTGAGGCAAAGAAGGCATTGAGGAGTTCAGCCCTTTCTGTGTCCCCTGTTTGCATTTCACCATCTTCTCCTCTGAGTGACCCCACTGTTTCTTTGTTCTTCCTTTTGCTACTGAACATACCCATAAAAGCCTTGTTGTTGCTTTTAACCTCTCTAGCAAGCCTGAGTTCATTCTGTGCTTTAGCTTTTCTGACTTCGTGTCTACACGTGCTGGCTATTTGTTTGAATTCCTCTTTGGTGGTTTCCCCCCTTTCCCATTTTTTGTACACACCCTTTTTTAATCTTAACTCAGTTAAAAGTTCTTTAGATAGCCACCCTGGCTTCTTTAGGCACCTTCCATGTTTCCGTCTCATTGGTATTGCCTGACGTTGTGCTTTTAGTATCTCCCTCTTAACAAACTCCCAGCCATCATGAACTCCCTTTCCTTTTAGTATTACTGTCCATGGGATCTCACCCAGCACTTCCCTAAGTTTTATGAAGTCGGCTTTCTTAAAGTCAAGAAATTGAGTCCTAGTATGCTTGGCTGCTCCTTTCCGCTGTATAGTAAACTTCAGAAGAGCATGATCACTCGTGCCTAATGATCCTTCCACTTCTACCCCACTAACCAGGTCATCAACATTGGTTAGGACCAGATCTAAAATGGCTATTCCTCTTGTTGCTTCTCCCACTTTCTGGACAATGAAGTTGTCTGCAAGGCCAGTGAGGAATCTGTTTGACCTTATGCTCTTGGCTGAGTTTGACATCCAACAAATATCCGGGTAATTGAAGTCCCCCATTACTACTATCTCCCTTCCTTTTGCATGCTTGGCCATCTGTTCCAGGAAGGCATCATCTATGTCCTCCGTTTGGCTTGGGGATCTATAGTAAACTCCCACAGTGAGGTCACTGTTATTCTTCTCTCCCTTAATTTTGACCCAAATGCTCTCACTTTGGCTTTGAGGTTCTAAATCTTGGATCTCTTCACAGGTATACACATCCCTGACATATAACGCCACACCTCCTCCTTTCTTGTCTGGTCTGTTTCTCTGAAATAGATTGTATCCCCCCATTATTACATTCCAATCGTGGGACTTATCCCACCAGGTTTCAGTGATGCCTATTATGTCATATTTAGTTTGCTGTACCAAGAGCTCAAGCTCATCTTGTTTATTTCCCATGCTTTGCGCATTAGTGTACAGACATTGAAGTCCATTAATCATTCCCCCGTGTCTCTTATTTAAGGATTTTTTCCTCCCACCACTAGGTCTGCGTGCTGTTTGCTAGGGACTCCAGTGCCACCCCCCCATCAATTAGTTCTGAAGTAGAGAATTTGTGCAGCATAAAATGTCCAGCCACTGCATCTATAATACACACACAAATAACTTACTGAAGTTGTGGATACCGTACATTCATAAAGGATTCTCAAGTGGTTATCCACTGGGCCATGCTGTAAGAGATAGAGAACTCTGGAAAAAAATAAAAAAATTAATGGGAACTCCAGATTGCACTAAAGTGGTTTGTTTCACTGTGTATAAAGCTGACATTTTAATTCCATCGTACATGATGAAATCAATAACTTACTGAAGAACAAGTCTTTAAAGGAAACCTGTAGTCAGTGCCAGGGGTGCTTGCTGAAGCCCACAGCACTACAGAGGGCCCACCCCCAACCTCTGAGGCCTCCTGGTCCTGCAGATCCATTTCCTTGCTGTTGCTATCTGCTCACCTGGCCCCTCCAACATGCAAGAATGAGGGAGACATAGCAGCAACTCCCTCTGGGAAGTTGTGCAGATTGGGCACAGAAGAAGAGGTCCAGTGAGTGGGGGTTACACTTCCTTGGCAAGCCCCTACTCACATTAGGATATATTCCCCAAGGGCTCCCCCAAGCCTGAAGCCCAAGGTAGAATGAACCAACCAACCAACCAACCAACCAATCAGAGGGTTGCATCAGAACAAAGTCCTACCTCTTAAAGTCTTCATCTTGGATATTTTCAAAAACCTTTTAAAAAGATATGGGAAAGTAAATGGAAAGTAGAAGAGGGTGGTTTTGGAAAACTAGTTTTCAGTGACAAGACTGAGAGGTTTGGTCAGGCCAAAGCCCAATAGTTTACTGCACCATGGGGGTGGGGAAGAGAACCTGCTTAGCAGGTGATATATTTTGCTGCATTTTAACTGGGGCTCTGCCTTTCTGGCAACTTCCAAATGCTGTGTGCATTTGAGCTGAGTATATCCCACCCCAAACATACATTTACACTTGCAGATGCAGATTATTCCCCAACTGACTGTGTTGTGTTAAAACTAGAAATTGGCACGGCTACGACTGGGTTGTGATTTGCAGATTACTCTCCTGAACACAGAACTCTGGAACTGATCTAAGAACAGAGAATCCCAAATCTTGACATCCTAATCCTCAAAGGTGACTTTCTATGTTTCCGGAGTCAGACCCCTGGTCTTGTCTACTGTCTGGCTGCTGCTCGCCAGGCTTTCAAGAATAAAGTCTTTCCCAGGCCTACCTAGAACCTCTGCTTACAAAGCAGACACTCTACCACTGAGCTGTGGCACTTTCCACCAAAGAAAGAGGAAACTTCCAAATAATCCTGGAAAGTGTGTACAGTTACTCAGGAGTATTCCAATCCAAATGTCTTGCATTTTCCACAGCTCAAAGACATCATGACCACACCTGGGCAGTTTACTCAAAGGGCTTGCAGCTGCATATAATTGACTATGTGGTTTTTAAAGCTTAAAGGTAAAGGTAAAGGGACCCCTGACCATTAGGTCCAGTCGTGGCTGACTCTGGGGTTGCGGCGCTCATCTCGCTTTATTGACCGAGGGAGCTGGCGTACAGCTTCCGGGTCATGTGGCCAGCATGACTAAGCCGCTTCTGGCGAACCACAGCAGCGCACGGAAACGCCGTTTACCTTCCCACTGGAGCGGGACCTATTTATCTACTTGCACTTTGACGTGCTTTCGAACTGCTAGGTTGGCTCTTAAATGCTATTGTGCTGGTTTCTGATTTTGTTTTAAATATGGTTTAAGGATTTTGTAATATTTGGGTTTCTGTATTTTAATACTGTATGGAAGCTGCCATGTGAGGATAGGTATCCTAAAAGGAGATTTATAAAACTTTAAACGAACAAACTCCTGTGCCCATTGTCGTTCAACATCTTTATAAATGACTTGGATGATGGAACGGAGGGGGTGCTTATCAAATTTGTAGATGACACCAAACAGAGGGGTAGCTAATGCTGCAAAAGACAGAATCAGAATTCAAAATGACCTTAACAGATTGGAGAACTGTGTCCAAGCTAACAAAATGAATTTCAACAGGGACAAATGTAAGGTTCTGCACTCTGGCAGGAAGAACCAGATGCACAAATATAAGATGGGGGACACCTGGCTTACTAGCAGTACATGTGAAGAGGATCTAGGGGTCTGGGTGGACCACAAGCTTAACATGAGTCAACAGTGTGATGCAGCAGGGGGAAAAGCTAGCGCTATTCTAGGCTGCATCAACAGAAGTGTAGTGTTCAGATCAAGGGAAGTAATAGTCCTACTGTATTCTGCCTTGGTGAGACCACACCTGGAATACTGTCCATTTGTCATGGATGCTTTAGCTAAGATTTCTACACTGCAGGAGGTTGGACTAGATGACCTTTGGGTCCCTCCCAACTTTAAGATTCTATGATTTTATAAGATCTAGGCAGTTTCTAAGAATCTAGTTGCAGTGTGTGCCCCTTGTCCCCATCTCTCCACCTCATTGGTCCAGTAATACAACAAGTAATTTGTAAGACTGAGCCCTTTCCAAGGGTGTTGGTGTGAACATATCAACTGATTTTTTAATTTTTTAAAAAAGATAATTAAAAACTAGGAAAAAATGTAAAAAATGGCATTCACACTGATCTGGGCACCATTCATACTTCTCTGTGAGGAAAGGCTAAAGCATCTGGGGGCTTTTAGTTTCGAGAAAAGGAAGGTGGTAGAAGCTACACGGGGGTCATCTATCTTATATCTGGTCCTCACCAAGAGTTAGGAACTGATCAACAAAGTGGAAGCGCTGGGAAATTTGGGAGGAAGTTATCATGTCCTCTTAAGTCTTCATTATACACAGACAAGGGGAAGCTGAGTGTAGTTGAACGTGCACTATGCACTTTAAGAAGATTGCTACCAATACAGGAGATACAATATGACCGAGTCCTCTTTCCAAAGGGACACTTACGTCTGTTGGGGGCACACCTGGACATAGCCATTTTTCTAATAGCATATTCCGTATTTTCTCCATATCCAAGTTGTTAATTTCAGCTATTTCTTTAGCCATTGCATGGATATCTAGACAGAGAGAGACACAGTATTTTTATGACAAAATCCTCATTCCAGCTTGAATACACACTGTTCAGAATGCACCAGTGCCCAACATAAATAAAATGAGAATGTGCCTTACACCTTCCTATGAACAGGCATCGCAGAGGATAATGGGCAGTTGCAGGCAAGCCATATTTCAAGGAAGCTGCTTTGCCTGATAAGATGCTGAGTACTTCTCCCAGGCCTTTGGATGATTTAACAGTCTATGGCCTTTTAAACTGGGTGGGGGCAGTTATTGTTTTTGTTTGTTACTGTTACGTATTGTTGTGTTTTTATATTGTAAACTGCCCTGTGATCCTCTGATGAAGGGCAGTATAGAAATTTAATAAGGGGGGGGGGAGAGTCAAGTTTCCAGGCACAGTTTTTAAGCCATTGCTCTGCCCAGGTACCACTAGTTTGTCAGGGGGCCAGTAGTAAAAGCTTCGGGGGGGGGGGGCTACAAACAAAACACTATTATTTTATTTATTAATGAAAATATTAACAGGCCACCTTTCTGACAAAGGACCTTAGTCAAGCCAATTAATTGTGAAGAAAGGTGTGCAAACAGAGAATCCTTGTGTTGCCTCTAGCCTTTTTTGGTAGCTGAGCGGGAACAGTAGTGTCTGGTCCGCAGGAGCGCTGCTTTTATAAGGGTCCCAGGCAAATGTGGGCTCTCACAGAAGGCAAGAGAGGTGTGACCTAACCTGGGTAATTTCTGCCAGATGGATTCTGAAATCTTTCGGATATGCTGCTATGCTGATAAAGCAAAACAACCAGATTTGCAGGTTTTCCAATGAGCTTCTGATGGCTCTCAGAGTGCAGCTTGTGCTCTGCAAGTACAGCCTCAGTAGCAGATCTCTGGCGTTGCATCTGCAGCTTCTTCAGATGCACTCGGGCCTTTTCACGAGAGTCATCCTTTATCAGAAGACAGAACATTTCATTTACAAGCAGAGCTAACAGGCTGCATCAACAAACAAATGGAAAAACGAAAACAATAAGCTAATAAGAATGGATTGCCAGTAAAACCTGTAAGTTCAACTGCTGCGTGCAAAGCTTGCATCTTACTGTGACAGCTTATTTCAGGTTATTACATATGTCCTTCTCTTCCTGAACTCCCTGAATGCTGCAGAGGCAAGAAGGCACAAACCCACTTCACTGCCTCAGCTGGGCCAAAATACCCCATGGCTTCTCTTCTCCTGGAACTTTCTCCATCTCTCTTTCCCCTCCAGGTACTTTTTTCCTTTGTATCACATCTGTGGGTGTGGGCTGCTCTGTGGGGTTCTTTCTAAATGTTCTAAATGTTTTGTTTTAATATCATTTTTATTGAAGATTTTAATAAATTATAACACTTAAAAAATGGTTGTACAGCACACAGCTTTATGTGCTTTGTAAGGGGGGAAAAACCAACCAAACAAACCAAAAAGCTAGCATACTGTCTGTCATTATGAAAGGCAGCATTTGTGTGAAGAGACACATGCATACTCTGCTGGAAGACAGACTGTACATCTCTGCAAAGTCCCTGCCAGCGTGGATAAGGCAACTCAGTGTCAGTAATGAAGGGAAGGGTTTGTGCCCTATGGCACCAATACCCACCAGTACCGTACTCGACTTCTGACCATAGGAACAAATGGGGAGAGAAAGTAAAGTGCACTCCCTGTCTCCAGTGATCCCAACCACTTGGAATCAAGCCTCCTCTTATCTGCATAGCCACAGCCCCTGGTTCTGTTTCCTGGTCTCACCAGTGGAGCAGAATCTGAGAAATGGCATGTTATTTTACTTATACACGCACATGTGTGTAATTCAAACTTGTTCTCTAAATATTGATAACAGGCTTGTGGTGCAAGAGTTAATACCGTCACATTTGTATTCTTCAGCCATGTTTCAGCTAAACTGCAACAGAATTTCAAAGTCTGGGCCTTGGTGGATCCTGAAGGGAAAAAAGAAAAGAAAGAAGACATTAAAGCACTCTCTCAGTCACTTTCCCCTTCCTCCCTGCTTAGATCTCAAAACTGTTTGAGCTGGCATTCATCAGCAAAAGTCTGGTTGCAATGACAAAGCTTAACTCTGGAATGTGGAAAGTAACAAGGGACCATGAGATAAAGAAGTCACTCAAGACAAGAGGCCTGGCCTGCTCCACCATATTCCTGTATAAGACCTGTTCTCTGTCCAATAGTGCAAAGGCTTTTGCTCAAGTGGATGAGCGAGTTTTAACGCTGTGCAACAAAGAATCCATTGCAAAAGTTGTACAGTGGTACCTCGGGTTACACATGCTTTAGGTTACACACTCCGCTAAGCCAGAAATATTACCTTGGGTTAAGAACTTTGCTTCAGGATGAGAACAGAAATCATGCTCCAGCAGTGCAGCAGCAGCAGGAGGCCCCAATAGCTAAAGTGGTGCTTCAGGTTAAGAACAGTTTCAGGTTAAGAACAAACCTCCAGAACGAATTAAGTTCTTAACCCGAGGTGCCACCGTACAGCAGATTGTGGAATCTGTTGTGCAACAAAGTTCAGTAGGCGCAAAACATTTTTCCAGCAGAAAACAGTGTACCACTAAGTAACATATTGGATACAACCCTTAGCAACCAATGGAGTCCCCACAGTTCAAAAAGAGCAAGGACTGGAGCCATGCAAGCGTGTCATGAACTTTCAGGAAACAATATTCACTTAAGAAGGGCAAACAGGTGGGGGTTTGAAGAGGCGGGAGTGTAGGAATCACTCGTCTGCCGGTGCATAAATAATCAACAGGCTCCCTTAAAGAAAATACGGAGTGCATTTCACATTCTGAATAAATCAGAGCTAGAAGGCATATTGGGAAGTGGCATATCTGAGAGGAAGACCATCTCCTTTGCACGTAGAAGGTTCCAGTTTCAACCCCCAGCATCTTCTTGCAGAGCAAAACAGCCTTATCTGCCTGGGATCCTGGAGAACTGCGATCAGAGTAGACAATGCTAGGCTAGACAACTAATATGGTCCACAATAAGGCAGCTTCCTTTATCCATATGGGCATCAATTCAAGTACAGTGGTACCTCTGGTTATGAACTTAATTTGTTCCGGAGGTCCGTTCTTAACCTGAGGTACCACTTTAGCTAACGGGGCCTCCCGCTGCCGCCAGCGTGCAATTTCTGTTCTCATCCTGGGGCAAAGTTCTTAACCCAAGGTACTACTTCTGGGTTAGCAGAGTCTGTAACCTGAAGTGTTTGTAACCCGAGGTACCACTGTAACTGATGTGCAAAATGCCCTTTTAAAAAGACTATACTCCCTGCTAACCTGCTGGAAGTTCTTGCAGGATCTTGTAGGCAAGCGCTGTAGCCCATTCTGGATTAGCTATAGACAACAAGTAAGACTGAATGGTCTGCATGGTCTTGGCAATTTCCTTGTTAGATGTCAGCAAATATCCTCTTCTTGCCCGTTCCAGCATTTTTGGCTTCAGTTTTTCTTGAAACAGGTGGTTAGCTGCGGATGTGTAGAGGGTATCCAGTGAAACCTTGAAAAAAGAGCACAAAAACTGACAGGGCAGTGTGAGATCTTTCTATCCAACAAACTTAAAGGTATTACAAGTGGGATGCGCAACAAAATGCTTAAGTGTGGGGTTTCCTTGCTCAGATTTCCAACACTACATTCCATTCTCCCTGTCCCCTTTTCTACTTCTCCCTCCCCCTGTCAGCTAGCATTTCACAGCTACTGAACACACCCAGTCCTCCTTTGGCTGTTTTGGTATTCCTCCATTTATCTACCTACCTACCTACCTACTGCGAGTCTTGGGGCCCCCCCTCCAAATATGCAGATACCTCCCAAACTCTTACAAGCAGATGCTGGCTACAAATAATAAAAATAATTATCTCTCCCACCCTTCCTCCTAAAGGAGTCCAGGGTGGCAAACACACCAGCCTTAAAACAATACAACAAAAATAAAACATATCTAAGAACAATCACAAGATTACTAGGAATAGAAATCAAATGCCTGGGTAAATGGGAACATTTAAAAATTCCTCTAAAAAGTTATAAAGAAGGGAGCACACAACAGGGAGGGCAGACCACAAACAGGGGACCACTGAGAAGACCCTCTCACAGGTTAATGCCAACCAAGCAGCTCTTTTAATTGCCAAGGGAATAGTTTTGCTGCCTCTCTGTCCACAGTTACAGCCTCCCCAGTCATGTGCACATATTTGAGGTTGAAATGGCTCCTAAACCTGTGAAGCCAACAAGCGCTGCCTTTGAATTCCTTCACAGGTTGGTTGTGCATCCTGCGGAAGGTTTCAAGTCTGCAGAGGGTAAAAGCCTTTTGGCCATAGCAGCCAACTCCTAGGGGCTGCAGTCCCTTCAGTTCCCCCCAATAAAATATTTGAGGGGGCTGCCCCCCTCCAAAGTTAATAGGCATTGTCATTCAAATGGGAAGGGTGTCACATCTTGTGATTGATTATGCAGGGAGGGGCTTACCTGGGCCCCCCAATGTTTTATTCAAGTTGCCCCCCCTGCTTTTGGCCATCAACAGGCACATATTTCTGGTTCACACCTTCCAACCACAAGCTTAATGCCATTCTAGTCTTGACTAAGGCCTTGTCACACACCTGGTTCATCGCTGCCACAGCCCTGTGCATTTCCTTCTCTCAGATCTTGATGGCACAGATGCTGGATTCATTACAGCCATATTTGCATGCCACACTGCAGGCAGACATGCCATCCCTCAAGCAGTCCAGCACAGCCACTTTCTCTTCCAGTGTGGGAACACGTCTCTGCTGTTTAGGTTTCCCATCCATTGAGGAGGAAGCTGCCTTGAGTTTGGGGACCATGCTCTCAGACTGAACCTCTGCTTACTTTCCAACCACCTTCTCCATGCTCACTGACCAGCTGCAAGTGCTCTCCAACTACCTCTCCATTGCTCTCCGTGCTCTCGCTCGGCCCACTCTCTGTCTGACCACACTCAAACACTCTCCTGGGGTGAATGCAATGGCTGATAGGCTTGCCAATAATTTTTCCTGCTCTTCCGCCCCCTTTTGACATTTTTCTTCTGTTTCCCCCCTATTTTTTCCATTCTTTTCTATTTGTTTGTTTGTTTTTCAGACATGCACGTAAGATTACAATTGTGTTAAGTAAATTGAGTGTAAATTGCAGGCTTTGGCTTCCAAGCGGTTTATGACTTAGTGCACTAATACTAAACACCTTGAATTGGGGAGATGATGTGAAAAAAGGATCTTCTAGATATGTCAGTTCTATACTTTCCACCTCACTCTCTCACCATTTGGTCATATTCTAATGTAGCCAAGGAATAAAACTCAGACCATACCGATGAAGGGGCTGGCTTGAGTGTCTGGGGATACCATTGGTTTAGACCCCATCTGAATGGCATCCCTGAATGCCCTTGCCACTCTCTCCTGTGGGGAAGGAGTAAGTCTGCCCCAGCAACTGGTGTTTAGAGGTAAATTGCCACTGTGCATGGAGGGTCCACTTACCAATTATGAGCCACTTTTAAAAGCTGCTGATATGCCTGCCTTTCATGAATTTACCTAATCTGCTTTTAGAAAGATGCCCCCTAAGTTTGTGTTGCGTTCATCTCATCTTGCAACAAGCTAATTCCACAAGTTAAAACAAGATCAAAAGTATGCTCATCATTACCTTCAAAAGTTTGGAGATCAAGAGAATTTTTGGGAATGATTCCTCACTGAGCTCTGGATCTACAAAAAGAAAAGCCATAAATGATTTTCCAAATGCTATCAGTAAACAGAAAATGGCTCTTACCATGAATTTTGAAAAGGTTTGAGAAGCAGACTCAAGGATATTCAATTGACGGGATGACTCCTCTTCCCACTGACTCAGACAGGCTGAGCTCTTTCACACGTTTCGTCTCCCCAACCAGGGGGAGAAGTAATCTTGCCTCCAGATCAACTGGCAGAGCTACGGATGACCCCTCAACACTAACATTTTTATGGCACAGCACCACAGAGCCATGCCAATTATTCAAAAAAGTATAATAATAATAATAATAATAATAATAATAATAATAATAATAAATTTTATTTATATCCTGCCCTCCCCAGCCGAAGCCAGGCTCAGAGCGGCTAACATCAAATGTATAATACATTAACATAAAATCAGACAGTCAATTAAAATACATCCTCAAATCAGATCAGGATCAGAATAAAATCCAGTCAGATGGCAACCCGCAGATTAGGGATTTGGGACCTTAAATGCTCACCAGGCCCAACTGTTTGTGCTGAACTTATATGGGCCTGTGAGAAAAACTGGGAGGCCACTTTCATGCAAGTTCTTATGAAAGGGGAGAGGGAGTCAGACTGAACCCCGACCAAAGGCCTGGCAGAACAGCTCCGTCTTGCAGGCCCTGCGGAAAGATGTCAAGACCCACAGGGCCCTAGTCTCTTGTGACAGAGCGTTCCACCAGATTGGAGCCACAGCCGAAAAAGCCCTGGCTCTAGTTGAGGCCAGCCTAACCTCTCTGTGGCCTGGGACCTTCGAGATGTTTTTATTTGAAGACCGTAAGTTCCTCTGTGGGACATACCAGGAGAGGCGGTCCCGTAGGTACGAGGGTCCTAGGCCGTATAGGGCTTTAAAGGTTAAAACCAGCACCTTCAACCTGATCCTGTACTCCACCGGGAGCCAGTGCAGCTGGTATAGCACCAGGTGAATGTGATCTCGCAGCGAGGACCCCGTAAGGAGTCTCGCTGCGGCATTCTGCACCCGCTGGAGTTGGGGGAACTTTCCGCAGGGCCCCATAGGCTTGCCAGTGCAGTGCCTTTTTCTAGAAAAAAAGGTGCTGGTACTCACCATTAAGTTGTTACAGAAGTGCCACATTTTAAACCACCCCCCTAGAGTGCCAGTACCGTGTACCTGAGTACCCCCGGGGGGGGGAGCATGGGGGGGGGGGAGACAGAACACATCAAAGAACCCTGCCTATCTGAGTCAGTGGGAGGAGTAATCCTGTCAATCAAATATCCTCTCGTCCACACCTGCAAATGTACATTTACCATCAGCCTAAGAATGAGCTGCTGCAGGGAGCTTGCTTTCCTGCCAGAAAGAAGACTTGCAAACATACTGTGTGCAGTTCTGCATGCCTCACCTTAAAAAAGTAGAATTGGAAAAAGTACAGGAAATTGCAACCACAATTATCAAGGGGATGGAGCAACTCTCCTATAAGGAAAGGTTGCAGCACTGGGGACTTTACAGAAAAGGAGAATAAGAAGTAGCATGATAGGTTATAAAATTATGCATGGAACAGAGAAAGTGGATAAAGAAAAGTTTTTCTCCCTCTCTCATAACACTAGAACTTGTGAATGTTCAAATGAAGCTGAATGTTTGAAGATTCTGGACTTTTCCATGCAGTGCATAGTTAAACTATGAAACTTGCTCCCACAGGAGGCAACGAGGACCACCAGCATGAGGGCTTGAAAAGACAACTAGACAAATTCATCTTGGATGAGGCTATCAGTGGCCATTAGCCAGGAGGGCCATGCTCTGCCTCCCCACTTGGACGCAGTAATGCTTCTGAATACCAGTTGCTGGGAACTCTGAGGAGGGAGAGTGATCTTGTGTGTGGGTCCGGTTTGTGGGTTTGCCACAGTGAGAACAGGATGTTGGACGGGTTGGACCAGCGGCCTGATCCGGGAGGCTCTTCTTGTGTTCCATGCACAGAGTGCTAGAGTTCACTTCTCCCTGCCCCACATTCCTTCCTACTCCCTTTTCCTCTTGTGTCTTGTAAGACTGTAAGGCTGAGGGCAAGCTACTTTTAAGTCAATGATTGCTGCCAGCTGTTCTGGGAGCTTTTTTCAGCTGAGGAAAGCAGGGAAAATTCTTTAAATGCATCTCTCTTCATTTAAGGTTTAAAAAGTGGTGTTTTGTTATTTTTTGCAAACTTACAAATGATTTTCCAGAAACACTGCAATGTTCTAAAGAAGATCAAGTGGAAAGGCAGCCTGGTTTGAGCAGCTGGTGATAAAGGAATAGCCTGTTCAAAGGCATACTGATGCTCCAGGTCTCCAGGAGTGGAGGTTCTTTTATAGGATTTCAGGAGTTTTATGAGCTTCAGGGCCTAGAGGAACAAAGACAAAATGCTCATTCCAGAGCTGGCTTTTAAAAGATAAATATACACACTCTGGAATAAGATTCAGGCAGGGCGACTGAACTAATGTCGTTACTTAACAAATTATTTAAGAAGAATACCTGTAAAGTACAAACTTTTCAAATGGACTAGCAGTACGACTTGTTTCTGGTAACAAGCATTACTTGAAACTTCTAGGGGATTCTAGAGGTTCTCTTCAAAATGGATTATATATGCAGCACTGGGTTAGAGTAATCCATAGTTCATCAAACAGATCCCCCATTTAAAAGCCAGATTGCAATTCCGTAAGTCAATTGGCTCAGTTCATTATCTTACCTGATTCAGAGAGATGCCTGCTGCTTCCACACCAGCCTTTTCTGTGATTGTCAGAAGACTTTCAATCCTTTCATAGTCATATGGATCAAGCTGTTCCAGGGATTAGAAGCAAACAGGAAACAAAAACACAGAACATACCAAAAGGAATGGATAAATCCCAGAAGATAAAGCTCATAAAAACAAATACACGTCAGGCTGCTGAGGACAGAAACAAAGCTCATGCTCCCTCCACTCAGTGACTCTGCTGTCACAAACATGAATGCCCCTTGCCCTTCCCCTGCTGACCTTAACCATGGATAGTGATAACCAGGTTCTCTCATAACCAGGGTTTGCTAACCAGATTCACACCCTGGTTTAGATGGAACAAAGTTAAATACTAACCATTCCAAGGTCAAATTCACATGCAGCTATTAAGTGCATGCAATGATCACATGTGGCAGGGACAGCAAATTGAGCACAACTTGTGACTCTTGGAGACTGTAATGTTGGGCATCTATCTTCTGTAATGAAGTATTAAATAAAAGTTAGTTGCTCTGGAGGTACTTTCCTGAGATGGGTCTAGCGGGCTGTCATAATCTAGTTAAGAGCAGGTTGGTCTGTGGGTGGCCTCATCTTAAAAGCGGTTGGGTTGAAACTAGACAGAGTTTCGGCCTCTTCCTTCTAATTAGTATGAAAAATTATTTGCAAAAAACTGTTAGGCTTAATCAGTCCATCCTTCTAATTAATACTGCCCTATTCCATACAATGGAATAGAAATTGTGGAATTTCGGTTTGGGGAATAAACATAGCCTGTAAGTTTTACCTTGTGCAACATTACACTGAGGCTTGTAACCAAGTCAGTAGTGCTTTTCAGAAGAGGGATTGTTTCTGCAGCTCTGGCCACCACCAATGCTAGAGTCTGATTCCCAGAATGCTCCCCCAAATACCCTTCAGCATGACTCATGCTAGCATTCTGGAAGTGTGTTTCAATGCAAAGCTGCAAAGCTGAATCAGTATCCAACTGGAAAGTGCTGAAAAGAAAAGAAAAAAGCACATGGAACTGGAGGGATACAACAACAAAAAATATGTATCTTTATTCATAAAACCAATGATTCAGTCAGGGAGTATGTTTTGAATACAGTAAGAGTTGGGAATATTTTTCTGAGGGCCTCTCCAAACATCTTTTCTATTGTACATTCATGATGATTTGGTATCAGAGCAGTTATACACAATTCTATTTATTTATTATTTAAAAGTGAATTTCACTTATATAAATAATTAAGTTAGAAATAACAGCCAATCACAAACAGCTTACATAAATCAAATTAATTTAACCACATCCAAAATTAATAAATTAAATCTTAACTTCCGGTGCAATGCATACAGAACAAATAAATGTTCCATTGACTAAAAAAATACTTCTGGGACGTTAAGCTTAATTACAAAAAAGGAGGCCGGATGTTAACAATGGAATCAATAGTCAACACACAATCTGGAAGATGGTGTCTAGCCTTAAAGTTCATTTTATCAAAGATGTATTTAATATGGAGAATTAGGTAAAGGTAAAGGGACCCCTGACTGATAAGTCCAGGCACAGCCGACTCTGGGGTTGCGGCGCTCATCTTGCTTTACTGGCCGAGGGAGCCGGCGTTTGTCTGCAGACAGCTTCCGGGTCATGTGGCCAGCATGACTAAGCCGCTTCTGGTGAACCAGAGAAGTGCACAGAAACACTGTTTACCTTCCCGCCGGAGCGATACCTATTTATCTACTTGCACTTTGACATGCTTTCGAACTGCTAGGTTGGCAGGAGCAGGGACCGAGCAATGGGAGCTCACCCCGTCGCGGGGATTCAAACCGCCAACCTTCTGATCATTAAGTCCTAGGCTCTGTGGTTTAGACCACAGCACCACTTGCGTCTCATGGAGAATTGGTACAGTCCAAATTTTGCATTTTCAAAAATTACTAGTCTGTTTTAACTTTAATCATGTTTCTGGTGAAGTAGTCAAACTGAAAGGGAAACTCAGGTGATATCAGATCATCATACAACTCATGGTTAAAAGGCTACATCTAATTTGTAAGCAGCATTACAGTGGTACCTCTGGATACAAATGGGATCCAATCCGGATCCCCGTTCACATCCTGAAGCGAACGTAACCCGCGTCTGTGCAGGTCACGATTCGCCGATTCCGCGCATGCGCATGACGTCATTTTGACCGTCTGCGTATGCGTGAGCGGCAAAACCCGAAAGTAACGCGTTCCGTTACTTCCGGGTTGCTGCAAAGCGCAACCCAAAAGCGCTCAACCTGAAGCACATCTAACCCGAAGTATGACTGTACAGCAATTCCAGAGAAAGGATATGATAGTAATGAAGTTCCGTTTTCAATAGCTTTTGCGCCTGCAAAAGTTTCAGGGTGGGCATATTGCTTCATTTATCACTGCATGACCTGTAGCTTCCTGCTGAAATCCTGTCATTTTCTTTAACAACAAATCCTTTTTTTTAATGGGGGGGGGTTTGTGCTGCTTTTGTTGTGCTAAAGTGCAAGAGTGGCCCCTCTGGATGACAATAATACAGTAACACTGAGGAAGCTTTGCAGAGCAGGTAGTAACATGGAAGGATGTGTGGACAGTCCTATATAAATCCAGCACTAATGAACACGCACAAGAGCCTAAGAATAGCCCAGATGGATCAGGACAGTGGTCCATCTAGTCCAGCATCCTGTTCTCACTGTGGCCAACCAGATGCCTGTGGGAAGGAAAACCTGAGCACCCTCTCCTTCTGTGGTATCCAGCAATTGGTATTCAGAAGCATGACTGCCTTCGACCGTGGCCAGGAGCCATTGATAACCTTAGCTACCATGAAATATTATTGCGCTAATGATGTGTTACAGAACACATCTCTTTTAAAAAACCCAGTTCAGAGGGCCTATTAGGCAGACATTTTATTTATTTTATTTCATAAAATTTATATACCACTTGATTGTAAAATACACACACACACACACACACACACACACACACACACACCTCAGAGCAGTTTACAAATGATATTTCTAAATTATTTTAACAAACGTTTATGGAATAAAATGGTGTTTTTATAGCAAGAATGATATTTAGCTTTCTTACCCGCAGTATTTTAGTATGAGATCTGTATCCACATTTGGATGCTGTACCAAAGTTCTTAGAAGCTCTTTCTTCCTTACTGAGGGCATTCTAAATAAATCCTGGAAAGAGATCTATAAACAAAATGCCAAATTTAAGAAAATGGAAGTGGTGGAAACACCATTGCCTGATGAAGAACAGAATGTCTCTCTCCCCTCAAGTTCTTCCTCTGGAGCAGCTCCTTCTCCACTACTTGTTTGAGCTTCACACATCCACTTCTCTTTTGGCACAAAGAATTGATCTAAGCTTCCTTGTCTGGAGCGGAATGCTGTTATGGACATGCCTTTAGGCAGAGGGCGTCTTAGTAATCAGGTGGGTTTTAGCCAAATTTGGCACCTGGAAGTGGGGGCTCCGTTCTAAGAGGCCCTATCTCCCCAATTTAAAATTATATCAGCAGCAAATGCTGCAACTCATTTACTCTGGAGCATGCACAAGGACTTAAGCAAAACAACTCTAGAGTAAGTGTACTGAAGGGTAAAGTAAATGTTCTTACATGTTTCTGGCGTTTGTGCAGAAGTGGTCCAGTCACTCATTTTACGTCATGAGCAGATTACAAAAAGTCACCAAGCTTCAACAGAAAATGTGCAGCAGCAAGGTTTGGAGGAATATTTATCATCATATATATGTGCAAATATTCTCTGGTCAAATAGCCAATTTAAGAATCAGCTCCCAGGAAATGTAAATAAACCATTTGATCCAAATTCAAAAGCAAAAAAGCACTCACACCAAGTTTACCAAGCTGAATACCCCATTCAGCATCTGTGATTAATTCTTCAAATGCTTGTTTCTCGTTTGTCTCATCATAGTGACCGGCTAGCTGCACTCCAACAAGACCAACTGCCTGTTTGTGGGGGAAAGAAATTGTAATGAAGAAAAACACAAGTGTACTTGCAATCATTCACAAACCCTTCAGGTATTTTTAAAAGGAAGCTTCCTCATGCTTTTGTATCTTATTGCTTATGCTATCATTCAATTAGACTTTTCTCATATTATACTGGTTTTTATTTTTCCTTAACTATCTAATCAATGAATAAAAACAAAAAAGGGGGAAAATATATCTCTGCAACAGATCACATCAATCTGTAGTGCAGTATCATATGCTGCAAGAGTAGATAAGTCTTCCAACAAATGAACAATTGGGGGAGATGTAAGTTCCTTCCAGTGTCATGACGCCAGCCTTTTGGTCACCAACAGAGCACACAAAGCCCACTAAACTATGGCATGACCACTAGGTGGTGATAAGAAGCATATGTTTTCGCTTTGAAGTGACGTTGCCCAGTACGTTTAAACTTGGGGAACGCTGGTTCATTAAAATTAACCAGAATTCCTCTTTACATCCATTCTCAGGGGAACCCTGATTTAAACAGTCATTTATGATCTTGGCTAAACAAATCATTATTTACAAATGGAAGCAGATTCTTCAGATCTCATCTTTGCAACTGTGCTGGAGAAGTGGAGGGAAGCATAAGAACACAAGAACCACCTCCTGCAAGTGGCCAGAGGAATCCTGTTCTCACAGTGGCCAACCAGACACTTATGGGAAGCCCAGAAACAAGGCATAACTAAATGAAAAATGTTTTAAACAACTTACCAGAATCTTGCTGTAATTCTGTGACGTGTTATTTATGACGTCCCAGAGCTTTTTAAATACATCATCTTTGGACAACAAAGTGCAGTAACCCAGCGCAAGGTTGTGGTCTATCAGGTGGCTGTTGAAAACCTTTGGAAGTAAAAATACTTTAAAGTAAGCTCTTTTTAAAAATAGTCTGCCTTAATTTAAATTTTCTGTAAATCAGGAAAGATATGGCACTTGGCAAACAAAGGGCACCATCCCCCAAGAAAGTTCTCCTGCACAAGCATCAACAAATGAACGGGAACTGCAAAAGAGCTAAGGAGAGGAAATCGGATGCCCTGCAAAGCCATTTCCTCCTCACAATACATGCTTACATGCTCACCTTGTGCAATAGGCCCATAATGATGCTTTTAATTAGTGAAGTAGATCTTTGAATCAGTGTTAAGAAGAATGTTCTGGCATCATCCAGTGTCTTCCGGTCATACAGCTGATGGACAGAGAATAATATACTGGAACGATTTTGTTGCTATGAAAACATGTGTCATATACATTACAAGCATCACAAACAAGATCCAAACATGGCAAAGCTGTTTGGCTCTTAGGAGCAGAGCCAGAGCTGTAGTGCAATTGGACAGCAGCCCAGTCAGATCACTGCACCCAGCTGCTTTAAGTAATATCTTGCCCTCCACTCACACACTCTGCAAACACCTTCATAGGCAGGGAACTAGGAGGAGTAAAACTAGACATAACCCCACTCACACACTCAGCAATTACATTAATGTCATTTCTATGATGTAAATAGCAAGTGTAGGGGAAGGGGTCTTGATATAGATCAAGACCATGGTGACTGCTTTTCATCTTTTGCCTCCTCTGCAGTATTGATCCAGATAGAAGGCCCCATGTCTGCTATTTGCATGGGAAGGAACACTTATGGATCACAGTTATATAATGGCTGCCACTGGCACAAAATGCAAACCTTACTTCCCATGCAAATAGGATATTGCCAGGTGCTTGATCCAAGACTACAGCCGGGGCAGAGAGTCCAAGCCTCACTACTGTCACCGTCCCCCACCTGCTACGTATATTCACACAAATGCTAATCGAGTAAATGGTGTCCTATCCAGTTTGGCCTTAGGCACAAGCCTAAAGTAGACCTCACTAGAGTAGGTTCCTTGCAGATCCGGCACATACCTTTTCACACAGACTAATTTCCACGCTGTTTGATGTCATATGCTGCAAGAACGACCCAAAAGCAGAGGCAATTAGCCCCAAAGCCAACTCTAATTGGCCAAATTCTTGTAAGCTGCTGAGCAGAACAAAGATGGGATTCCTGCATGATAGGCAAACATCCATTCCTAGAGGGGAAAGTTACAGAATGTTGTAAGAATGACAATTGGGCTTATATTGGAAATTATGGATTTGTAGGGCACACTGTAGGGAGCTAACTTGGCAAGGTACCCACTGAAGAAAAAACGGGGGGGGGGGGGGTCAGTGGTAACACTCCTGATTGACTTCAGCGGATCTGAAACCAGAACCAAAAGATGGCCTGCAAGACAGAGGAAATAAAGTGCAAACAGCAATCCACCAGTAGGCACACTCTGATCAATGTCTTCCCAGAGGTCCAGCCCGCTGAGCATACACACAGGTATGTGTGTGTAGGATTGTGGCCTAAAGCTACTCCCACCTGGACTACTTCAATGCGCTCTACGTGGAGCTACCTTTGAAGGTGACTACAACTAATCCAGAATGCGGCAGCTAGACTGGTGACTGGGAGTGGCTGCCTAAACCACGTAACAGCAGAATTAAAACACCTAAATTGGCGCCCAGTATGTTTCCGAGCACAATTCAAAGTGTTGGTGCTGACCTTTAAAGCCCTAAACGGCCTCGGCCTCAGTATACCTGAAGGAGCGTCTCCACCCCCATCGTTCAGCCCAGACACTGAGGTTCAGCTCTGAGAGCCTTCTGGCAGTTCCCTCACTGCGAGAAGTGAAGTTACAGGGAACCAGGCAGAGGGCCTTCTCGGTAGTGGCGTCTGCCCTGTGGAACGCCCTCCCATCAGATGTCATGGAAACAAACAACTATCTGACTTTTAAAAGACATCTGAAGGCAGCACTTTTTAAGGACGTTTTTAATGTCTGGTGTTTTATTGTATTTTTAATATTTTGTTGGAAGCTGCCCAGAGTGGCTGGGGAAACCCAGCCAGGTGGGCAGGGTATAAATAGTAAATAATTATAATTATAATTATAATTATTATTACTACTACTAACAAGCATCCATGCCAGGATTCAAGTAACTGAGCAACTATCTCCCCATATGCAAGGGCATTCTGGACTTGTATTTTAATCTATAGGCAAATATAAGAAAAGGCCTTGGAAATGACATTTGCACAGACATTTTGTTATAATGCAGAAAGGAACACTTTTCTAAAGCTCTGCCAGCTTTAAAACAGGTTGTAGGGGCTAGGGCAATCTGTGCTAAAAAGGGGTTTAAAAATCCTACAGGTCATATTGAAGCCCCTGAGCATATCTAAAGTAACTATTTGAATAGTAACCTAATCATTTATTCTTGAACAGATTGTGTGAGTCAAATAACTAGTTAAAACTCAAGGATTTACAACAGAAAAGGAAAAAAGAAAATGTGTTAAGCAACACTATGCCTTTCTACTTCTGGACTACTAAGGATTTAAATATATACTTTTGTCCCTATAGCTGTAACCATTTTTTCATGTAATACCTTGTTTGAATGGACAATATGCCAAACTGTTTGAGTCCAGAGGATACATCTTCCAGTCTGCAAAAGAAAGGTAGCAACTGTATCCAAATACTTTGGTACACTGTCAGCAGTTTAGATAATAATCCTCCTTCTCCAAATACAGTGGACGCTCAGGTTGGGAACGTGATCCGTGCGGGATGCACATTCGCAACCCACAGCGGTGCGTCTGCGCACGCGTGGGTTGCAATTTGGTGCTTCTGCGCATGCGCGACCGCCGAAACCTGGAAGTAACCCGTTCCAGTACTTTCAGGTTTCAGTGGTCCGCAACCTGAAAAAACGCAACCTGAAGCATCTGTAACCCGAGATATGACTACAGTGGTATGTTGGTTTACACCTATAATCCTTACCGGAGGCTTGTTCGTAAACCAAAACAGGTTGTAACCCAAGGCGCACTTTTGTCAATGGGGCCTCCAAAAAAAAAGTTCATAATCCAAAAAAAGTTCGCAAACCAGGACACGCACTTCCGAGTTTGATGTGTTTATAATCCAAAACGTATGGAAACCAGACAGTTTGCAAACCAAGGTACCACTGTAACCATGTTAGCAAACCCTGAAGCTTGGATGAATTAGATTGGAACCATCACTTACAGTTTATGGAGTTCAAAGGCTTTATTCATGCAGAAACTATTTACAGGATGAGTGGAAATAGATGAGAAATATCAGTAAATCACATTGTGCAAGTTGGATTTAACTCTTTATTAGCAAAACCAGATGTGCACAAGAGTGTCGGGCCTAATGAGCACAGCAACACATCTCTGGCATGTCCTGCCCCTATGAAGCAGTTGCAGAGATTGAAGATCCCTGCCTCTCCACAGCTGTTGAAGTCCCCTCCTCTCCAGGGTCCCCCCCCCAGGAATCAGAGACTACATCTGTGTGTCTCCAACCTCACCTCCACCCTTTTTCTGCCTCTTCTGCTTCTGGGAGACAAGGGTGGAGGGGAAGACACCTGTCATCAGCCAGCCTCATCTCTGCCTCTTGGTCTCTTCTCCCCTGCTTCATTTTCTGCCTCCAATTCTGAACCTCTCTGCCAGCCTCTCCCTGCTCACTAAGCCATGTTACCTCTTCAGCTTCCGACACCTCCTTTCCCCAGTCTTCCACATTTGACGACTCATTGTTGCCCTACCACCAACCCCTGGACTCTGAGCCTTCTTCTCTTGGGGGTTTCCCAGGTGGTTCCTCCATTACCACCAGTTTTATTTTTTCTAACTTTCTTCAAGGGGGGAGGGAGAGAAAGCGCTTCTGCATTTGCACATCACAAGGCCATCAATTGCTACCAATAATGACAACTGTGTACCATCTCCATAACCAGAGGCAGCATGCCTCGGAATACAAGTTGTGCATAATCACAAATGGGGAGAGTGGTCTATTGCGCTCATGTATTCTTTGTGGGCTTACCATTGGCATCTGGTTGCGAGAACAGAATGGTAGACTAAATGGGCCCTTTGTCTGATCTTCTTATGTTCTTAACAAGCAATCTTGTCTTATCATAGCATGTGAGGGTGACTGCAGTACTATTTATTCAGGTTATTTATAATCAGCTCTCCAAATAAAATCAATCCCAGAGCAGGGTGCAACATATAGACAGACACACAAGCACTCCACACACTAAATAAAGCCACAACAATAAATAAAGAACACAGCTCCACAAGATCAACAAAGCATCTCCTCCAGTTAACTAACCAAATGCTTGTATCACTATTCAGTCACTACTATTGACTAACATGTCCGATATTTTAACCCTGAATAGCGTAAAGGTGAACTGTAGGGATCTAAAGGGTTTGAATATTACCAATTTAGCTAGCACAAAAAAAGAATAACACAGAGTGAGATGAGAAATTGGAGAGACAGGGAAGAGGGGTGGGGAATAAAGTGCCAGAATTCCCTAAAACAGTAGTTCATATGAGAAAAGATTGTGGAAATAAGTTTAAGCCACCAAAGGTTACCTGCTTGGGTCACTAGAGATGTAGCAATTTCATATGCAGAAGGAAGCACAGAGGGCAGGTCCAGAAGTGCTCCATCTTCAGTGAAAAAGTCATTGAACATCCACTCTACATAAGAGTCTTTATCAGCTCCAAAATAGGTTGTCTAAACAAAAAGAATTAGCTATCATTTTTGTCAAAGCTCCACAAGAAAGATGAATGAAGTAGGGAGGGCACAGATATCTTGCTGGGTCCTTAACTGTCCCTCCCAAGGTGGAAGGGGGAACAGACAAAAAGGAATCAGACCAGTGTGTGTAAACACCTGCGCTTGGCTCTTGTTCATAAGGTTATAAATGGGTGGGGCTCTGAGCACACAAACACACAGCTGAAAATTGTTAAGTGGGAATCCATATTCTCCTCCTGTTTACTCCTGCGTCTGTTGTTTCTACTGAAAGTCCTTGGGGTAAGACCCTGTCCTGTGCATAGCTGTCAACGTTTCCCTTTTCTTAAGGGAAATTACCTTATTCCGAATAGGATTCCTCGCAAGAAAAGGGAAAAGTTGTGTGAAATATCATGTATTCAAATATTGCTATACAAAGCATCCAAACACATCCTTACCGCTTTTATTTTAGTACAACAGGGACAACTTTGATTATTAAACTGAAGAGCAAGATACCATGAACAGCAAATACTTTATTCTGCATTACCACTTTTGATATAAATCCATAGTCCTCAATTTGGCACTTTCCATAAATTTCAAGGGCAAATGAGGTGTATTTGCAAAGCTCCAATGCATCTAAGATCAGATCTGTGAAGAGAGTGTGAATGTTTTAAATATATTTTACCTTTAAAAAAAAAATACAAGAGCTCAAACAATTTTTAAGAACTCTTACTCATTTAATGTAAAAATGAATGGAAGAAACCATATTTTTTTTCAGAAGATAACAACATGTGAAGTTATTCATTACCTGGACTGCAAATAGTAACTGCTTGACATGCCATTTCATTGACCACAGCTGGAAGATTTAATCCTTTTGGCATAACCATCAGAGTACTAGAACCCAGCATATGACAAAGTTTTTGACATGCTAAGAACAGCAACTGTCCTGTTTGTTCATTAGGTTGATCTTCATGAAAATCTCTTTAAGGACAAAATTTTAAAGGAAAGGATTAAGATGAGTACAAACAGACATAAGATGTCAAAAAATAACCTCAAATAAATATAGTTAGTTAATATAGCATGCAAAACTCCAGATTGCACAGTGACTGGTAATGGCTAAGCCCAAATGTATTTTTTAAACCTGCATATATTTAGTGCCTCTTCAACTTTTCCAGCATCTAATGCTCTCAGAACCAGTTCTAAGGCCATCTCATGCTTGCTCCTCTGCAGAAGCAAAGCCAGTTTGTCAAGCTTCACATGGGACAACTGTTTCTTCATGCTGATATCTTGTAAACTGGACGCTTTTCCTTCAGTTTTCTCAAGGAGCTGAGATACTAATAATTGATTCCAATGACCTCCGACCAAAGTACAGGTATTAAAATTCTCCTAAACAAAAAGATAAAATAAGAGGGTGAAAGGAAAAATATGAAAATAATAGAATTGCGTAGCTTCACATCCAGCTTCGCCCCCATAGAAACTGTGTTTATTTACAGTGCTAAACACATACTTGCACTCAAGTTCATTCATAGGTGATGAAATGTACACACTCCACTGAGAAAATAAATGAGCCACCTCATAGTGTGCAGAATAGAGCTCCATCAAATCCAGTTCTGACTCTCATGGAACTAGCAGTGATTCTCCAAGTATGCCCCCCCCAAGCCCTGCTATCAGAGATGCTTTGACTCCTTGATGAGGAGCCTGTGGCACTGCAGATGTTGTAGGACACCAATTTCTTCCAGCCCCACCCAAGATGTCCAATGGTCAGGGAAGATGGGAACTGTAGTCCAGCAACATCTGGAGGGCCACAGGTTCCTCATCCCTGCTTTAGTGAAGTACTGGAGGTTGAACCCGGAACCATGTCCATGGAAGCTTGCAATCTTACTACTGAGCAATGCCATTCCCCAAACCCCTCAGGTTAGAAAATGAAGAGGTTTGGTTCAATCATATTCAGTGATTTTCCCCAAGGGGGGACTCAAGGGTACGCAGTACCACCACCTCTTTTTTTGGCTGTTAAAAGTGTGGCACTTACTGGAAAAACTTCATGGTGAGTATCAGCACCTATTTTTCTAGAAAAAAAGCACTGATCATATACATATATATGAAAATGATGAATTCACATATATGTGAATGATGAATGTGGGTATTTTAAAGAAATACACATACATGACTATATTTTCCCTCTAAATAATTACATTCACCTCAACCTAGAAAGCACATTAAAAAAATTCAATGCCTTATGATCCTTACCTGTAAGGCTGAAAGAGTTTTAAACAATTTAAAGTTTGTTTCATATTCCTCTTTTTTCAAAATATTTTCTGTCCAAAAAAAAGAGTGGGTTGGAGTGAATAAGAGTGGTTATTGGATGGTTTATTACAAAACCTAAAACACAATAAATGCAAGATTTACCTTTCTGACAACAACCAAGTAGGAATTCAAGGATCTCCCCAAGAATTTTTTTAATATACAGCTGCATTTTCTGTTGACAGTGGAAAGGGGACAGGAAAAAGAAAATGTGAGAACACTCCCATCAACCTCAAAGAGCAAGATTTTACTGTTAACATTTGAGAGCAGAATTGTGCTTTTAACAGGGAACATGTGGCTGATTAGCTGCTCTCCCTGTGCAAAGGTCAGAGGGGGCAGGGTTTCTGTTGAGGCAGGTGATTAGCTGTGGGAGGAGCTTATCAGAGCTTGCAGGGCAGCAGTTGAAGGAGCAAAAAGGGTTTTCTTGTGTGTGTGTGTTTCTTTGTGGCTGATTGGCTGCTCTCCCTGTGCAAAGGTCAGAGGGGGCAGGGTTTCTGTTGAGGCAGGTGATTAGCTGTGGGAGGAGCTTATCAGAGATTGCAGGGCAGCAGTTGAAGAAGGAGCAAAAGGGTTTTCTTGTGTGTGTGTGTTTCTTTGTGGCTGATTAGCTGCTCTCCCTGTGCAAAGGTCAGAGGGGCGAAGGGATTATGGTGAGGCAGGTGAATATCTGTGGGAGGAGCTTATCAGAGCTTGCAGGGCAGCGCGCGCGCAGTTTGATCCATCTTTTAGATTTAGGGAGCTACTCTCAAACGTTTGTTGGGGAGACCTAGGTTTTTGGTGGGGGAGTTATTTGTCCTGTCTTCACGCTTTTATGATGGAGGACCACTGTAGCCACCCCCAACGACACGTTCTCAAGATGGAGGGGGAGGGAACAGCTGCAGTCGCCTGTGGTTCCTGCGCAATGTATGCCATCTTGCCAAAGGTTGCAGGCAGCTTTACCTGCAGCAATTGCATGTTGATTGCCCTCTTAAAAGACAAAGTCCAGCAACTGGAGGAACGTGTAGCTACGCTCCAAAGAATTAGAGAGCTGGAGCTCTTCTTGGAAGCAACAGAGCACACCGTCTCCACCAAGGAGGAGACAGGGGACTCCCCTGAGAAGGAGGCTAGTTCACCAACACAGGAGCCAGATATATGGAGAAACGTGACTCAAAGAAGTAGGAGGCCCAGGGTTCGCTCTGATTGTTTAGAAATACACAATCACTTTGAGGTCCTCTCCCCTAGCATGGAAGACGAAGAGCAGACTCCATTTGAGGATCTCTCCCTCATTACAGTCGATCAGGTATATGAAGACGAGCAGCAAAGTCAGTCCTCAGGGAATGTGCAGGCGACCTTGGAACAGACAGTTCACAGAAGAACCCCGACCAAACCTAAGAGGAGGCGTGTAGTGGTGATAGGGGATTCCCTACTGAGGGGAACAGAAGCACTGATCTGTGGGCCTGACAAGATGTCTCGGGAAGTGTGCTGTCTCCCCGGGGCTAAGATCCAAGATGTAACTGAACGACTGCAAGGAATCATAAAACCCACTGACAAATACCCCTTCCTCTTGGTTCATGTGGGAACCAATGACACTGCAAGCAATAGCCTCCAGAAGATCAAAAGAGACTACGAGCCTCTGGGCAGGAAATTGAAGCAATTAAATGCACAAATTGTCATCTCATCTGTCCTCCCAGTTGAACAACGTGGCCCAGGGAGAGAGGAAAAATAGTGGAAGTGAACAGCTGGCTTCGCAAATGGTGTAAACAGGAACGGTTTGGATTCTTAGATCACGGACTGCAGTTTCTTGAAGATGGACTTCTGGCAAGCGATGGGCTGCACCTCACAACGGTTGGGAGGAATGTCTTTGCCAAAAATCTCAGAAACCTCATCAGGAGGGCTTTAAACTGACTAATGTGGGGGAGGGAGACAGTGCTCCTGAAGGTAGGAGTCTATCAATTGATGAAGATGATCATCCAAATGTCATAGACCAAATGGATCAAACAACACGCAGACCTAGTGGTGGGAGGAAAAAAATCCTTAAATAAGAGACACGGGGGAATGATTAATGGACTTCAATGTCTGTACACTAATGCGCAAAGCATGGGAAATAAACAAGATGAGCTTGAGCTCTTGGTACAGCAAACTAAATATGACATAATAGGCATCACTGAAACCTGGTGGGATAAGTCCCATGATTGGAATGTAATAATGGAGGGATACAATCTATTTCAGAGAAACAGACCAGACAAGAAAGGAGGAGGAGTGGCGTTATATGTCAGGGATGTGTATACCTGTGAAGAGATCCAAGATTTAGAACCTCAAAGCCAAAGTGAGAGCATTTGGGTCAAAATCAAGGGAGAGAAGAATAACAGTGACCTCATTGTGGGAGTTTACTATAGATCCCCAAGCCAAACGGAGGACATAGATGATGCCTTCCTGGAACAGATGGCCAAGCATGCAAAAGGAAGGGAGATAGTAGTAATGGGGGACTTCAATTACCCGGATATTTGTTGGATGTCAAACTCAGCCAAGAGCATAAGGTCAAACAGATTCCTCACTGGCCTTGCAGACAACTTCATTGTCCAGAAAGTGGGAGAAGCAACAAGAGGAACAGCCATTTTAGATCTGGTCCTAACCAATGTTGATGACCTGGTTAGTGGGGTAGAAGTGGAAGGATCATTAGGCACGAGTGATCATGCTCTTCTGAAGTTTACTATACAGCGGAAAGGAGCAGCCAAGCATACTAGGACTCAATTTCTTGACTTTAAGAAAGCCGACTTCATAAAACTTAGGGAAGTGCTGGGTGAGATCCCATGGACAGTAATATTAAAAGGAAAGGGAGTTCATGATGGCTGGGAGTTTGTTAAGAGGGAGATACTAAAAGCACAACTTCAGGCAATACCAATGAGACGGAAACATGGAAGGTGCCTAAAGAAGCCAGGGTGGCTATCTAAAGAACTTTTAACTGAGTTAAGATTAAAAAAAGGATGTGTACAAAAAATGGAAAAGGGGGGAAACCACCAAAGAGGAATTCAAACAAATAGCCAGCACGTGTAGACACAAAGTCAGAAAAGCTAAGCACAGAATGAACTCAGGCTTGCTAGAGAGGTTAAAAGCAACAAAAAAGGCTTTTATGGGTATGTTCGTAGCAAAAGGAAGAACAAAGAAACAGTGGGGTCACTCAGAGGAGAAGATGGTGAAATGCAAACAGGGGACACAGAAAGGGCTGAACTCCTCAATGCCTTCTTTGCCTTCTTGGCTAGTCTAGATGTATTCAGGTCTCCAGGGCCAGATGAACTGCATCCAAGAGTATTAAAAGAACTGGCAGATGTGATCTCAGAACCACTGGCAGTCATCTTTGAGAATTCCTGGAGAACAGGCGAAGTCCCGGCAGACTGGAGGAGGGCAAATGTTGTCCCTATTTTCAAAAAGGGAGAAAGAGAGGACCCAAATAATTACCGCCCAGTCAGTCTGACATCAATACCAGGGAAGATTCTGGAGCAGATCATTAAGCAAACAGTCTGTGAGCACCTAGAAAGGAATGCTGTGATCACCAATATTCAGCATGGATTTCTGAAAAATAAGTCATGTCAGACTAACCTGATCTCGTTTTTTGACAGAATTACAAGCCTGGTAGATGAAGGGAACGCAGTGGATGTAGCCTACCTAGATTTCAGCAAGGCATTTGACAAGGTGCCCCATGATATTCTTGTAAAGAAGCTGGTAAAATGCGGTCTGGACTATGCTACCGCTCAGTGGATTTGTAACTGGCTGACTGACCGAACCCAAAGGGTGCTCATCAATGGTTCCTCTTCATCCTGGAGAAGAGTGACTAGTGGAGTGCCACAGGGTTCTGTCTTGGGCCTGGTCTTATTCAACATCTTTATCAACGACTTGGATGATGGACTCAAGGGCATCCTGATCAAATTTGCAGATGACACCAAACTGGGAGGGGGGGCTAACACCCCAGAGGACAGGATCACACTTCAAAACGACCTTGACAGATTAGAGAACTGGGCCAAAACAAACAAGATGAATTTTAACAGGGAGAAATGTAAAGTATTGCACTTGGGCAAAAAAAATGAGAGGCACAAATACAAGATGGGGGACACCTGGCTTGAGAGCAGTACATGTGAAAAGGATCTAGGAGTCTTGGTTGACCACAAACTTGACATGAGCCAACAGTGTGATGTGGCAGCTAAAAAAGGCAATGCAATTCTGGGCTGCATCAATAGGAGTATAGCATCTAGATCAAGGGAAGTCATAGTGCCACTGTATTCTGCTCTGGTCAGACCTCACCTGGAGTACTGTGTCCAGTTCTGGGCACCACAGTTCAAGAAGGACACTGACAAACTGGAACGTGTCCAGAGGAGAGCAACCAAAATGGTCAAAGGCCTGGAAACGATGCCTTATGAGGAACGGCTAAGGGAGCTGGGCATGTTTAGCCTGGAGAAGAGGAGGTTAAGGGGTGATATGATAGCCATGTTCAAATATATAAAAGGATCTCACATAGAGGAGGGAGAAAGGTTGTTTTCTGCTGCTCCAGAGAAGCGGACACGGAGCAGTGGATCCAAACTACAAGAAAGAAGATGCCACCTAAACATTAGGAAGAACTTCCTGACAGTAAGAGCTGTTCGACAGTGGAATTTGCTGCCAAGGAGTGTGGTGGAGTCTCCTTCTTTGGAGGTCTTTAAGCAGAGGCTTGACAACCATATGTCAGGAGTGCTCTGATGGTGTTTCCTGCTTGGCAGGGGGTTGGACTCGATGGCCCTTGTGGTCTCTTCCAACTCTATGATTCTATGTTTGTTTGACCTCTCTTGGGGGATAACTTACACATTATCAGCAGCAGTCAGTTTCATGGAAGTTACCTTTTCTTCAGAGTCATCTGTTTCTTTCTCTAATGTCAGTCTTCCCCATATCAACATTTTATCTGCAATTTCCACAGCTTCAGCAGGAGGCAGTGTTTTTAATAAACTTATAATATCATCCCCCTGAAAGCATACATAAAGTGTATTAATTCTATGTTCAGTTCACAAACAGCTTGCCGTGGGGCACAGAGATCTACTGTTCAAAAAACACATCTGGAGACCCCTTTGGCAATGTGGCACTAGTTAAATTCTAGTTAAGTTAGATCCAGATACATTGGCAGCTGCCTTATATTAAGTCAGCTCTTTGGTCTATCTGGTTCAGTACTGTCTATACCGATTGGCAATATGGGGCTTTAGATCCTATTTGGAGATATCAGGGATCAAACCTGTGCTCTACCACTGAGCTATGGACCACTAAGTAAGATTGTGTTAATTATGTGAATTATTTCTACAATAGTTGCTAGTTGTAGAACAGCTAGCTGCTGTAGAGCACGTAACCTAATATAATTAAATATGAAGTATTTCTAATGGACAGTTTGGATATTTAAAGAAAAAAATGTAAAGAATGAGTATGTTCACACCTTTTCTTTATCAATAAGTTCCACAATCCTCCAGACATAGACATCTGCAGTGGGCAACATATATGCATTTACTATTTTCAAAGCATCTTCTAAAGAAGTATTTGAGTCTTGTTGTAGAATGTACTTTACCAGCATCTGGAAAAAGACACAAATCAGTACACTATAATACATAATACAGGCTTCCGCAACCTCGGCCCTCCAGGTGCTTTTGGCCTACAACTCCCATGAGTTGTAGCTAGCGGGACCAGTGGTCAGGGATGATAGGAATTGTAGTTTTAAAAACATCTGGAGGGCCAAGGTTGAGGAAGCCTGACATAATATATTCATCACGGAACATAGTATCTTGCATATAAAGTTAAATTTTAATATGCATAAACCAAAATTGGCATATTAACAAAGGCTGCAATCTTGCAAACAATGACAGCATTCTTCAACTCAAATGATTGGGACTTGTTTCTGTACATTTTACCAAAAAAAGGACCCCACTTACCATCATTACTTGTTTATCATTTAAAAGATTGGTGTCTCTTATACCATAGCTCCGCAAAAGTTTCTTCATTTCCATCAGCCTATAACCTTCTTGCAGAAGCTTCACCCTGCAGATAAAGTGTGCCTGCACTTACATTTCAGCTTCTGACAAATTGGCAGACCAATCTAATAACCTGTTTCAGTTGCAGAAATACCAAACAAAAGTTTGTGCCAAAGCAGCTAGAACATTCCCCAAGGGGGCCAACCCCATATATTTCTGTCCCACTTGCAGCTTAAGCCATCCTCCCTCCACCTCTCACAAATAAATGAATCACAACAGTGCCAGGACAGGGAACCATTTCGCATGGGCATACTTCATGAGACCATATGCCACCAATGGGCAGGGCCAGGGCAGAGCAAATGCCTGCAATGACAATTAGCTATGCAACAATTTGCCATGCAAAAGTTGGGGGCTTCTGCACTCTCCCTCTGGCCATCTCTCATTTCCACTAGGCAAAAGTTCGTGAGTGTATAGTCTGGAGAGAACCACAAGGCCTGGTAGACCACATTTGCTCTCTTGTCCTGAACTTCAACACTCCTGTATAATGGCACAAAATTACCCATATGAATTACAGCTAAAACCTAAGGCTGCTCTGGCAGCCTCTCACTCCTGTCTTTGCACAGCTAAGCTGTGTAAGACATGGGGAAAAGTAAGTCCAAATGGCTTCTGTTCTACCAACATTCAGGGACAGGATTTAAATTCAATTCCCTCCCCACCCAATTAAAAGTTCAGTCCTGGGAGAGCAAGCATGAAGATACTAAACCAGTTGGGCATCTGAGAGCAAGAAGAGTATGTGAGCTCTTCAGTGAGGGCCCACAGCTTAGTGAGAGAGGACATGTTTTGCACGCAGGAGGCCCCACATTTAGGCATGGCATCCCTAGTGTATCCCTAATGGCATCAGGGCTTGGAGAGAACTCAGCTAGTAAGTGGAGACAATACTAGCTGGATGGACTAATGGACTGACAATAGAAAAAAGATATTGCCTGTTTACTGATGTATGAATGTAGTGCTCCTCCTTAGGCGGGGGGGCTCCTGATTGATCCCAGGAATCCCCTTAAGAAACTCCCCATGTGTACATTAGTAGGGCCCCTTGACACACAGGGCTAGCCAATCACAATGCCATTCTCACCACGAAAGACAGCTCATGCGTGAAAGATTCTTATGCATTTGCAGGTGTTTTAAACAGCACTATAATACTGTTTACCCAAAGGGGGCACTGAGTGAAATTTAATATAATGACCCAGTTGGGTATCTGGCAGTCCAATGCTATGAGAGGCTTCAAGAGGCCCAAACCATCAATGCTGGCCCACTGACTATCCAACCACAGTAAGTCATTATTTTAATGTTATACAGTCTTCAAACTTTAACAAAGAGAAAAGTGAGCAGTTAAGTCAAACAAACAAGGAACAATTCCTGAAGTCACTAAGTGTTAGAGCAGAAGTAGCCAACTTGGTGGTCTTCAGATCCTGTGGACTACATAACTCTCACAAGCCCCATCCAGCTTAGTCAAGACCAAAGGACAATGGGAGTTGCAGAGGGCATCATGTTTGCTACCCCTTGTGTTTAAAGGCTAAGAGGTACATATGTGTTTGTTCTCTTACTTGTCATGGTCCATGTCCAGGTACTGTTGAACCAGCTGTTCCACTCCTGGATTCCAAGGAACCACAGCACTGTATGTTACTGCTAGCACGCCTTCAAAGATCAACTATAAAAGAAAATTTCTATGACTTATGTGCCACTGGCCTCTTCTTTCCAAACCAGAGGCGTTTCTCATCCCGCATGCATTTCAATATGAAAAGAGGGATCATTGGAACATTGGCACACTTGTCCTACTCACATCTATGTTGGACATGCAGCTCAAGACAGCGATGGCCTTTGCTTCCCACGTAGTGTCAAAGACAGAGGTCGACTGTTTACAATACCGCTCCAGGAAGTCCTAAAGAGTATTTTAAGAAAGTTTTGAAAATGTTGTGGCAAAAGTATTTCAAAAGTATTAAAAATCAACCTTTTTAAAAATAGATGCCATTCATTAGTGTAATTCCTATGCAGTTTTTAGACTACAGTCCTACACACACCTCGGAAAAGGTGTTACTGCAATCTGGTAAGAAGACAGGAAGAAATTGAGGGGTACAACCTGCTCAAAAGAAATAGATCAAGCAGGAAGGGAGAAGGAGAAGGAGGAAATGTACACTTGTGAAGAGATCCAGGACTTGGAACATGGAAGATTGAGAGTATATGGGTAAAAACTGTAGAATAGGGAAACAGCAAGTGGCCTTGCTGTGGGTGCTGCTACAGACCTCCAAGCCAGACTGAGGACTTGAATGATGCCTTCCTACAGCAGATTAACAAACATTCAAAAAGGAGAGCTATAGTAGTCATGGGAGACATAAACTACCCCAATATCTCTTGGAACTGTAAGGTCCAATAAATTTTTCAATTGCCTCAATGACAATTTCATTTCATGGAAGTAGCAACAAGGGGGTCATCTCTCCTGGACCTGTTCCTCACCACAGGGAGGAACTGATTGACAACGTAGAAGTACAGGGAATCTTGGGAGGAAGTGATCATGTCCTCTTGGGTTTCATGATACAAAGGCAAGGGAAAGCTGAGTATAGTCAGACATGCACTCTGGACTTTAGGAAGGATAATTTCAAAATGCTTAAGGAACTACTGGTTGAAGTCCCACGGTTAGAAATTCTCAAAGGGAAGGGATTCCAAGGTGAATGGAAGCTTCTTAAAGGTGAAATATTGAAAGCACAAAGGCAGACAATTCCAAAAAGAAAGAAAAGTGGGAGGCACCTAAAGAAACCAGTGTGTCTGCATAAGGAACTTACAGATGAGCTGAGTATGTAAGAATGGGCATTTATAAAAATGGAAGAAAGGAGAAATCAGTTGTCAACTGTTGCAGGGATAATGTCAGGTGGGCAAAACCTCAGAATGAAATCAGGCTTGAAAGAGAGATTAAAAATAATAATGAAAGGTTTCTTTGGCTATTTCTAAGCAAGAGGAAGAACATGCAAGTAGTAAGCCTCTTGAGAGAAGACAGAGAAATACTACTGGGTGACAGAGAGAAAGTGGAAATGCTTAACACAGACTTTGCCTCTGTCTTTACCCCAAAGGAAAGCAGTGCCCAACCTGGTGGTAACAGAATAAACAATGCAAGGAGGGAGCTGCAGCCCAAGATACGAAAAGTAGTAAGGGAACACCTGGCTACTTTAAATGAACTCAGATCTCCAGGGCCTGATGAGCTGCACCCAAGGATGCTAAAGGAGCTTGCTGATGTACTCACAGAGCCTCTGTCTATAATCTTTGAGAATTCTTGGAGAACAGGTGAGGTCCCTGCAGACTGGAGGCGGGCAAGTCTTGTCCCCATTTTCAAAAAGGGGAGAAGACCAAGGTAAGGAAGAGGGAAACTCCGGAAAGAACTTGGAAGGGCATATTTTAAAGGTCTAAGAGCCTAAATTTCCACATTTTACTTTGCTGCATATTTTGTGATTTTTGACTCTCTGCTGGGGTTCTCTCACCGAAGAGTACTTGCCCCAAACTTGGATCTCCTTTATACCTATTTTTCCTAGAACCAACACTTTCCACTGTAAATAAAATTACACCACAGTTTACAATACAAGGATTTAAACAATGCAATTATTACAAAACAAATTTAAAAAGAAACCAAGTACTAAACATAGGGCTGTGTATTTGTTGAAGACTGTACTAGGGCTGGGCGATGGATGGTTTTCAGCATCATGATACATCAGCAGCTAAATACCACGGTATACTGATATATCACAATGTCTGAATTGTATCTGGCTGCTTCTTCCTCCCCACCTTAGGGGAGGAAGAAGCAGCCAGATAAATTGCCCAGCCCTTCAGATGAGCAAGCCCCCTTGCCATACCTCTCCAGCTCATGGAAGCCAAGGTGGTAGGGTTGTTGGGGCTTCCTTAAACAGCTCAGCTGGGAGGCAGGAAGGCTCCCAGTTGTGCAAGACCAACTGCTTAGGCAGCTCTGGTTGCCTGCCTGGCTGCCTGTTTGCCTTCTCACAAGCAAGTGAGATAGCTGATCTTTTTCCTCCCTGTGGATCGCTGGGGAGGAAAGAGACCAGCCACCCACCCCATTTGCTCACATGGAGACAAACATGCAGCCAGCCAGGCAGATAAGAGAGCAAGCAGTTTGTGCTAGCAATACACGGCTCCGCAGGCAGGCAGACAAGCAGGCAAGAGTGAAATGTGTTGTACTGGTGGTGTAATATCCGCCGTCCCTTCCCCACAGGTGGGCGGGGTTTGCGGCACCAAGCGAGGCTCACCTGGGCGGGTGCCACCCACCTGCTTGAGCTGGCCTTTGACCCGCCCTCGGCCAGGGAGGACAATGGACGGCCGGCCGGGGGTGGACCTAAGGCCAAAAGAAAAGAGGCTGACCCCTGAGCTCAAGCCTCTTTTGCTGTTCTTCCTTCTGGGATCACCCACCCACCCTCCCTCAATTAATATTTCAGCTTAGGTTGGCGTTCTTCAATTTAACGATTTCTTCTTTACAGGCTAATATTTTGCGTTCCAGGTCAGCGGGCGCTGCTGCGGTCGTAAGATGGTTGCTGTATTCAGAACCGGGAAGGAATTTTCCCTGCATTGGCAGGTTTCGCCTTCCCCGTAGCAATTTCGTCACAACTTTGGCGGTTTTAGGCCTTGGCAAGGTAGCCTTTAGTCTAACATCAAGTTGGGGGGGTGCATTCATGCTCCCTCCCCATGCGGCGGCGCGTGCAGGGCCCGTTAAAGGGCAAACCGGGAGTCCCTGGCCCTAGAGCGGCGGCATGTAGGTCAAACTCCCCAGACGAGGTCAGTGGAAGGGCATGCTGTGTAAGTTTGCGCTTTGCAGTCCCCTCTCACTGGGCCTCAACTGCCTGCATATCCTCAGCCAGGCGGGCTGAGAGGGTTACCTGCCAAGGCCTGTGCCAAGTTTCCCACTTCTGAAGTTCAATAAAGTTGTGGCCAATTTGAACCCATACTCTGATCTCTTGTGTTATCATTTGGGAAAAGGGGTAGGCACCACAGACAGGGTTTAGCGCGTGTGCCCGCAATAGGAATTTTATGGTCTTAGATATATGGTAATGTTCATAAGTGTACCAACCAAACACATACATAGATCAGCACAGGAAGGCCAACCTGGAACCATTTTGATTCCTAAACTGACCAAATCTTTTCTCTGCAAGGTCAAAATGGAAAAGCCTCCCCATTGTCTTTTCCTTCACAAATCCTGTCTGTGTTTGAATAGGGTGTGAGCCTGTGACCTAGCCCAGGAACTCAGTATTTATCACTACAAAAGACTAGCCAGGCTACCCAGGAAATCCAATCAAGTAACCTGCCAGACAGGAGATAAACAAGGACAAGATATAAACAACATTTAAATTTCTGTTTAGACCACCTTTTCTATGATGTATGTATGATGTTTCTGGGGGTGGTCTTGATCTACAGGATGGCAATTTCAAAAGTCTTTATAAGGCCTGGCACACCATTTTTCTGGGTCCTCCTCCTTTCCTGCGAGTGAGGGGAGCACCCTGTTGCAACAGATCAATAAAGATCAAGCTTACTAGCTGCTTTGCTTCTCAATATTCTCTGGTTGGCCTCTGTTATTTTCTCCTACCAATAGGGAACCTATGTAAGGACTCTATATGGGCTCTTGGATATGCATAAAGGAAAAGGGCAATTTTTTGTTTACAACAGTGGTGGCTGGGGAGCTGTGATGTATTGCCAGCTCAAAAAGTCTGAAATTGATATCAGGATCTGAATGTCATACTAGTTTCAGACACTAAATTGAAAAATCCCCCAGCTCTAGACTGCACAGGAAATTATTTACAGCTACAAGCCAATACAGTTAGGCTGTATAGACAGTCTTTCTACATAAATATTTATTTATACGTACATAAATATATATAAATTTATATTTATATGTACATAAATATATAAACCACATGTCTGAAAACCCCACAGAAAAAAGTCCTGAACAAATGGACCTCAATTATTTCTCTGCAAGGTCAAAGTGGGAAACCTCCCCATTGTCTCTTTCCTCACAAATCTTGTCTTAAGGGCACATTTAAGATATGAATAGGGTGTGAGCCTGTGACCTGGCTCAGAAACTAAGTATTTATCATTACAAAAGACCGGCCAGGCTCCCCAGGCAATCCAACCAAGTGACCATTAAACAGGTAACCTGGCAGACAGGAGGTAAACAAATCACTCAGATTTCTACTGTAGACCGCCCTTTCTGTGATGTATGTATGCTGTATGGAGGGGTGGTCTTGGACTCCAGGGAGGGAATTTAAAATGTCTATATAAGGGAAGGCACACTTCTGTTCTGGGTTCCTCCTCCCTCCTGCGTGTGGTGAGAGAGGACCCTGTTGCAACAGATCAATAAAGATCAGGCTTACTAGCTGCTTTGCTTCTCAATATTCTCTGGTTGGCCTCTGTTATTTTCTCCTACCAATAGGAAACCTACGTAAGGACTCTATATGGGCTCTTGGATACCCCATTAGGGAAAAAAGGGCAGATTTTTGTTGACAACAGAAGGAGGCTTCCAAATAGGGGACTTCCTCCTCTTTCTGCCACTACTCTGTTGCCTCCTGCACACCAAGCCATGAGGATTCTTCACTGTGGCAATCTCATTTAATCTCTTTATATTTTTCTCCATTTGCTTTAAGCTTCACAGTCAAGCAGGTATTTCGGCAAGACTTGCCCAGGTGAACTCCAGAGTAGACAACAAATCCTTTTCCAGGTCTGACACACATTATCACACTGTCTCAACCCAGCAACCTACACCCATGGAACTCCCAGGGCTACACAAGTGGAATAAATCACGGGAGAGCACTCTAAAGAGCAGTCTTGGAGTGCTTGCCCATACCATACCAAGAAGCTACTCTTCCTTGAATCCAAACAGCATTGTCCCAAACAGAAAATTTAGAATACATCAGACTGGTGAGAAAAAAATGAAGTATTTAAATGCTGAATATTATGCAAATTAGCCTAGTTCTTTGTAAATTCATACTTTTCTACCTAAGAAAAGAAGCACCTGGCTCCCTGTAGAGGGAAATAAAGTCTTTAGTTATTTAATACTCAGAAAAGATTTTGTATTGATCTTGAATAGAGAAAAGAGCATACCTTTATGTACTGCAATAGAATTTCATCTTTCTCCAGATTATGATGGTGCATGTATGGTTCAATATACTTCTCTAAGGTAGCTGGAATGAGTTCTGCTGCAAGTACTTTATCAAGCATACGAAACACAGTCCTATTTGCATTTTCCTATGAAACAAACAAAATAAAACAATAGAAGAACTAGCTATGTAGCAAGATGAGCAGAACGTAGAATTGATTGTGATACAATAACCCACCTTCTGCTCTAAAGCAGGGTTACCAAAATGTGGTCCGTGAGCTTCATTCAAATGGTCCACGCTAAATATTCATATTAATTTTTAATTGCATTTTTATTGTTTTTAATTAATTATATTGTCTTTTATTGAACTATAATTTTAATTTTATGGAATGAAAATTGTAATACGATAAAACAGAATAAAAAAGAAGCACTAAAAATTGGCTGCTTCTAGCTGAACAGGGAAGCTGAATCCAGCCCTAAGTGGTCTATCAAGAGACCAACAATTTTTAAGTACAGTGGTACCTCTGGTTGCGAACAGAATCCATTCTGGAGGCCCGTTGGCAACATGAAAATAACGCAACCCGCAGCGGCGCGTCTGCGCACACATGGGTCGCAATTTGCCACTTCTGCGCATGACGTCATTTTGTGCATCTGTGCACACGGCGAAACCCAGAAGTAACCCTTTCCGGTACTTCAGGGTCGCTGCGGGACATAACCTGAAAGAACGTAATGTTGTAAACAAAAATTGCCCTTTTCCCTAAGAAGGGAAAAGGGCAATTTTTGTTTACAACAGTAACATGAAGCGGACATAACCAGAGGTACCACTGTAGTTCATATGGAGGGGGGGTGGAGTTTAGGAACAACTGCTCAGAGGATTCATTATCACACAAAAGCCACCAACTCCAACAGGTCCATTTGATTTTGATTTTAAAAACAAACTGGTCTTGCTGGTATCAGACCAAAGGCTCATCTAGGTCAGTACATTGCTTCCAACAATGACAAGTCAAACACCCTGGGAAATTCACAAGAAGCACCTGACATACATACTATCTTCTCTTTTAACACCAGCTAATAGCCATCTTTAATGTCTAAACATTTCCAAAAGTGTATCAACAACCAAATGCAGGAACAAGAGAGTCTGCACAAGCTATACCTCAAAGGGGAAGGTATTCTACAACCCGCAATATGGCTCAGGACAGCAGTACCTCAAGGACTGCCTCTCCCCATATAAATCTACCCATTCATCATCTGAGGTCTTTCTTCATGTGCCTCCTCCATGTGAGATCTGGAGGGTGACAAACACAAGTGGGCCATTTCTGCAGTGGCCCCCTACTTGTGGAGGTTCATCTGGTGCCTACATCTTTAGGCAAAAATGTTCCTCCTCAATCACACCTTTGGCTGATTAACATGTTGTTGTTTAGTCGTTTAGTCGTGTCCAACTCTTCGTGACCCCAAGGACCAGAGCACGCCAGGCACGCCTGTCTTCCACTGCCTCCCGCAGTTTGGTCAGACTCATATTTGTAGCTTCGAGAACACTGTCCAACCATCTCGTCCTCTGTCTTCCCCTTCTCCTTGTGCCCTCAATCTTTCCCAACATCAGGGTCTTTTCCAGGGAGTCTTCTCTTCTCATGAGGTGGCCAAAGTATTGGAGCCTCAGCTTCAGGATCTGTCCTTCCAGTGAGCACTCAGGGCTGATTTCCTTCAGAATGGAGAGGTTTGATCTTCTTGCAGTCCATGGGACTCTCAAGAGTCTCCTCCAGCACCATAATTCAAAAGCATCAATTCTTCGGCGATCAGCCTTCTTTATGGTCCAGCTCTCACTTCCATACATCACTACCAGGAAAACCATGGCTTTAACTATACTACAGCCTTTTAAATACGTCTGTGCAAAGGGGGGGGGTTATTATTTTGTTGTTTTTGTTTTAACTATTTATTTCTGCTTTCACCATGTATTTTTATCTTGTGAACTGCCCTGAGATCTTGTGATAAAGTGAGGCATATGAATCTAATAAACAACAACAACCAGGGAGCTACTCTGAGTCACAGTGTAACAGACAGCTCCTGAGGAGGGCTGTGCAATAAATTGCCATATAGTTGAATACTGGTATTGAAATAACATTGTGATATGTGTTTCAACAAGGCAATATACCAGTGAACAAAAGGTGGAGACTTAACAGCTTCCCAAGGGGTGGCTCTGCTTTGCAGATTTATTTGCAGGCATGGTGTCTCCAGCTTTGTTTGCTCTCTCCCTCCTCCCTCCTAACGGATAAGAAATGATGATAAGCCCTCACAGAACCAGCACACTCTCAGCTTCACTGGTGTCTTTCCACTTAGAGCTCAGCTAATTATGCAGAGCCTGCTAACAATACAGGTTCTTCTAAAGCTGGACAAAAAAGAACATGAACAAAGAACTGGAAAGCCCTTCAAGAAAAAGCCTCATCAGTGGGGAAAAAAAGAGGGGGAAGAGTTTTTATTTTTATTTTCTGGTGGTGTTTATTGTTGGTTCCCCCTAAATAGCTTTCCTACATATTAAAAAGGGTGGTTTTTTAAATTCAAATGTGACCATCTTTTAGCTTGCTTCCCCTCTCTCCCTCCCTTTGATAAAAAGGGAGAGACAAGGTTTGGGGGGGCCCTTCTGGGGGGGTAGTGGAGGGAGAAGATTTAGCTGGCTGCCTTATGATGAAATGGGAGATTGGGTACTGCGTGAGAATGATGGGGAGGGTGTTTTTCAGGAAGGAGTGCAAGCAAATGCGTGTCTACTCAACAAGCAAGCCCTACTGAATTCAATGGGGCTTACACCTGGGAAAGTAGAAGCACGTTTAATTCAGGCATGTCCAAAGTCCAGCCTCCGGGCCAAATCTGGCCCTCCGGTTAGTTTAATCTGGCCCCAGAGGCAGTTGTGTTCCGGAGTGGGAGCATGGGCGGCGTTCCCACTGGGTGGTTATGCTGTGCGGCTTGCTCACCCGCCCGCAGGCCCGCGCTCGCCATGCAGCTCTTGGAACTGTAATAAAAATTTAAGGTCCATAAAATGTTCATAATTGTACCAACCAAGCACAAACATAGATATGTGGACCACATGTCTGGAGCAGCACAGGAAGACCATCCTGAAACCATTTTGACTCCCAAGCTGACCAAGTGTTTCTCTACAAGGAGGGAGGTGGTGAGGGAACCTTCCCATTGTCTCAGGAATTCGGTAATCACCATTTTAAAGGAATGGGCAGACTACCAGGAAAGGAAATCAGAAAAGGCATTATCAGATAACCTGGCAGACAGGAAAAACAACAGCATTCAAATTTGTGTTATAGACCGCCTTTTCTGTGATGTAGGTATGAAGTTTGTGGGGGGTGGGTCTTGAGTTCCAAGGCAGGGAATTTAAAATGTCTATATAAGGGCTGGCACACCTTTGTTCTGGGTCCTCCTCCGTCCTCCTGCATGTGAGGGGAGCACCCTGTTGCAACAGCTTTAATAAAGATCAGGCTTACGAGCTGCTTTGCTTCTCAATATTCTCTGGTTGGCCTGTTATTTTCTCCTACCAATAGGGAATCCATGTAAGGACTCTATACGGGCTCTTGAATACCCCATAAGGGGAAAAGGGCAGATCTTGTTTACAACAGAACCGCCCACCCATCAGATCGCACATGCACCCTGCTCTCTTTTCCGGTCGCTGGCCGGCTCACGTAGCTGCCCTGCATGCGGCTCTCTATCCTGGCCGCTGGCCGGCTCGTGCAGGCGCTCTGTGTGCCGCTCGCTCTCCCACCCACGGGCTCTTACAGCAGGCTGCCAGCGGGCTCTTGCAACGGCTCACTCTCCCTCTTTGAAATCCTCTTGCAGCCGCTCTTGCCTGCCTATCTATCCCTCGGAGAGCAACAACTTTGTGGCAAAATCCTAAAAAAATGTCAACAACTTCAATCCTAAAAATCTGGCCCTCTTTGAAAAAAGTTTGGACACCTCTGGTTTAGTTGAACTCAGTGGAGCTTATTCCAGCAGATTCCACTTAGACTTCTGAGTAGGGAGGCAGATGCAAGTTGACCAGTAAATCACTTAAACTATGCTTAAATTAGTTGAATATAAATTAGTTGAAAATATATTAAATACAATACATGGACGTTTATTTAACATTTTTATTAAATCTACTACTTCCTTACATTTTAAGACCCTCCACCATCGCAGGAAGCCTCATCAAGGCCCTCAGCTGCTGTGGGGAGGTATGGCAAGACCCTCAGCTGCTGTGGGGAAGCACAGTTCACCCTCTACCGCTGTGGGGAGGTATGGCGAGACCCTCTGCCCCTGCGGGGAGGCCCAGCAAGGCCCTCAGCCATCGCAGATATATATGATGATATATAAGATACTGTGATATTTAGCTGGTAATATATTGTGATGTTGAAAACCAGATATCGCTCAGCCCTACTCCTGAAGTAGAACACCAAGGAAGATCTCCCTAGATCTTAACCTCCAGTCAGGACAATGGGAGCGGGAGCTCTCCTTCAAGTATTTTGGTTCCAAGTCTTTCTTTTTTATTTTGACCCACCAGTAAATTGGGGGGGGGGCGGTGCTACGAAATCTGACCTTTCTCCCCACCACCTTTTTATTTCACCATAATGTGTTTTTTGTTATGATTATACTTGAGGTATTGATGTAAACTAAAGTAAAATTCAATAAAATGTTAATAAAAACCATAGTTTGTCCGTTAATACATGACTACTTACACCAAACTATGCATTCAAAGCAGCCCACTCCATCTGTTCCAATTTATTCCTCACATTCGACCCCCCCCCCTTCAAGGAATGCATCGGCTCCCACAGGAGGAGAGCCATCAATTTGGATGGCTTTCAAAGAGGATTGGGCTAAATGGCTCCTAGCCAATTATGGCTCTGCTCTGCCGCCACAACCAGAGACAGGGATGCTTTAGAATACCAGCTGCCAGAAACCACAAGAGGGCAGAAAGCCCTTTTACCTAGTTCAGATCCTGCTCATGGGTTTCCTGCATGCTTCTGGTTGGCCATTGTGAGAACAGGCTGCTGGTCTAGATGGGCCTGACCCAGCAGGCTCTTCCTATGTGACTATCAGATCATAGCCTCACAACAACCTTTGAGGTTGAATGTCTTAAAATCAGCCAGTGTATCTCATGGGAAGCACCGATTCAGATTCCGGTTCCTTCATCGGAGTCCAATATTATATCCACACTGGCTCTTCTAACGGCTTTTCAGAGACGATTCTTCTGGAGGCTGCAGCTGGTGCAGGGCATTACAGACGGGTTGCTTCCAAGGGCAAACTACCGCCAGCATGTAACACCTCGCTTGGGGAATCTGCACTGGCTTCCAGTCTGCTACCAACCCAAATTCAAGGGATTGGTCCTTGAGAGACCTCATTATCCCTTATACACTCAGTAAATCACTGCAGCCAATGGGAGAGTTTCTCCTGAAGTTCCAAAGATCTCAGAAGCCTGGGCACTCCACAGTAACTTGGAGCAGGCTTTTAGTGCAGCTGCCCACGTTCCACAGAATAGCATTTTTGTTGAGATAAAACCCACTATCTGCACTTTCCAGAAACAGCAGAAGACATTTTTGTTCTGTTAGGTTTCCCCAGCTGGATCGTTAGGATTTTAGTCTTGTTTGGTATCTGTTGTTTTTGTGTTTTTAATTATCTTACATGAAAATCATGACTCAGTGGCACAGAATCCCATTAATTAAATGTAACAGTAATCTTTCATTCTTTCTTTTTACCAAAACACACACACAGGCATCTACACAGAGGTTTAACGCCACAAATTTACTGTACCTTTTCAAAGTCGCAGAGGGCCAGCCTGCAGTTGTATTTCTTATAGAGGTCCACCAAGCCCTGCAGAGCACTGACTAATTCTGCTAAACCACGTACCTCCTCACCATCATGGTCCTGAAACACACAACAGTGAAATTTCCCTGCATCAAAATTATCCTTCTGCACTTAACAGAAACATAAAAAGGGAAAACTACTAAATTCTGGAAAATTGTGTGCTTTCAAAATTTTTCATTAATTAAAATAAATGCAATGGGGTAATTTGCTTAACAGGATAAATTAAGAAAATGCTGCCCCTCCCTCAAATTCTAAACACATGTGCATCTGCACAAGTATAGGCTCACACTTTCCCAAACATGGGTTTCATGAAAGCAGAATCCTTACCAAAGAAACTCCATACCAGGAAGATGCAGATCCAATTTCACCTGGATCTTTGCTGATAAAAAACACCTGTGCCATTTCAAGTCCATTTTCTGGCCAGTTGGCCTGTTTTGAAAAATGAAATATTAGTGACATTTTTGGAGAGAGGCAATATGCAGGGTTTTACAGGAGAATTACTACGTTACCTTGTCAATTAACTCAAGGTTTCGTGCTCTTTGTTCCAGCCACTTTGCTATTTTTTCCTGGAAGATAAGGATCAAACCAGATGAGAGAGAGTGACAGAGAGAGAGAGAGAGAGAGAGAGAGAGAGAATGAGAGAATGAGAATATCATAAAACTGTAGAATTGGAAGAGACCATGAGCGTCATCTAGTCCATATACTAAATATATATATCCAGTGCTTTTACATGATGGTCCCTTACAGGAGAGAGCACTAGAACTTGTCATCAGGCCCACCTACTTAGCTACCATGGACATTGTATAAGAAAAGGTAGTTACCCGCTTAGGTATAACAGGGCAGCCATTCTTTTCTCTATACAATTCCCTAGCAACAGGTCACACATTACGATGTACAGCTGCTACTTGGATCATTTAAAAAAGCATCTCACTCAGTGCTGTGCTTGCTAGCTGCTATTGGCAGCTTGAAAATGTAAAAAGATTTAAGAAAAAAATGTGCCCCTCAGACCACCTTACAAGTCATAACCTGTTAGATAAGCTGTAAGAAATTCATTGATACGCAGACAACTCCCAGTACCTATGTTCCAATCAAAGCACTGGTATGAGAACGGCAAATCAGGTAATTTCACATCAAAATGCATAGTGAACAAAATAAACCCCTATCCCTAGCAGAGATGGATTACCCAGAGCCGTGAGTTCAATTGCCTGAGCACCAAAACAGAAGTAGCTTTTCCACTCACACACCAGGTAAAAGCAAGGCATACAGAAGGGCAGGCCCATATGACCATCGTAGCTTTCAAACTATTTTGTCTTGTGAAAAATGCATCTAGCACCAGGGTGAACAAAAATGTATTATGTATTTTGATTTGGGTATCCACATCTGGCCTCGACTTAGGGCATTAAAAAAAAATGTACCATATTTTTCGCTCCATAAGACGCACTTTTTTCCTCCTAAAAAGTAAGGGGAAATGTGAGTGCATCTTATGGAGCAAATGGTGCTGTGCAGAGAGGTAGAGCTGCGCAGCACCCCTTCAGCAAAGCGGGAGGAGGAACGGAGCCCCTTCTGTTCCTCTTCCCGCTTCGCTGAAGGGGCGCTGCGCAGCTCTCCCTCTCTGCGCAGCGCCTGTCCTGCGAAGCCAGAGGAGGAACAGAAGAGACTCCTTATGTTCCTCCTCCAGCTTCACAGCGACGCGCCTGTCCTGGAAGCTGGAGGAGAAACAGAAAGGTCTCCTGTTCCTTCTCCAGCTTTGCTGAAGGGGCGCTGCGCAGAGAGGGAGAACTGCGCAGCGCCCCTTCAGTGATGTGCCTGTCCTGGCTTCTGCCTTAGCCGTGCGCAGCCTCTTCGTGCAGGGGGAGCTTTCATCCCGCTGCCCTGAAGAGGCTTGGTGCGGTTATCCGAGACGCCAGAACAGCCACATGGTATCCCAGAAGCCAGATCCCTCTTGCTGTTCTGGCTTCTGGGATTCAGAATAATTTTTTCTTGTTTTCTTCCTCCCAAAACTAGGTGTGCCTTATGGTCTGGTGCGTCTTATGGAGCAAAAAATACGGTAATCCACTTTCAATTCACATTCTTTTCCATAATTTTATATGCTAAATTTAGTACTTTAAAAACCCAACAGGTATTAACTTTACTTCAATGTCCTTTAAATATTAAGAAGTATTTGGACAAATTTATTGCAGCTGTTTTCTATCACAACTGTTGTGCAACCTGTTGTGCAATCTCCACCTTTACCAGAGCTTAAAATTACCAGGGCTTAAAAATAAATAAATCAGTGCATCTGCCTATTCACCAATCTTCACTAACTGAGATCTTAAAAAGACAGAGGATGAGAAATCTCCCCACCCCCCATAGGGACTGCATGCCAGTGTCAGGCAGACCCAGAGCACATTAAATTAGACCAAGGACAACATGTGGCTCCTGAGATGTGGGTTCTTCACCCATATTTTATAAGGATCCCCCTTGTCTCCCATTAGACCCTACCTGTCCTTTGGGTACAACACGCCTTACAAAAGGAATGATAACATCCTTAAACCACAGGCATAGTTCTTTGAGGGAAACTGTTGTAGGGATTGTATTAAGCAACTTGTCCAGCATTTTCACATTAAAGTCCCCTTCGAAGTCTTCCTGGAGAAAAGGAAAGATTTTCACAACCATCAGACCAATAATTGTGGTAGTTAGTGAATGGCTTGTGATTATATGCAGCTGCTTACTTAAATCAAAGACTATCAGGTCCATGTGGCTCAGTATGGTCAACTCTGACAGCAGCTCTCTGAGGCATCAGACAGAGGGTTTTGCCAGTCCTGCTACCTTTGTATCATACAAAGGGGATACAAGCCAATCTAATGGACGTGCGGTGGAGTCGTAAGAGCTTTTGAGGAGCTGCAGCTAAGATCAGGCAACGCATGTAGCAAGGTATCTCATACATACTTCAGGAACACAAAACAGCAGTGGGGAGGAGTGTGGCAAGGACAGAGAATGGTGCTGTTTACCTGATGCCTTAGCCAGAGGTACTGGGCAGACATGAGATTTCCTCCTTTTATCTGTAAAAGGATGTCCCTGAAGAGGTCCTCACTGTTCAGAAATTCAAACCAAGCAGTTCCACTAGAACCACAAAAATTGAACATTGAACCATAGCCCAACAAAACATAAATTACAAATACGAAAACAGAGGTGCAATTAAGATACAGAAGATTCTTCCTCCAAAAATGTGTTCAGCTTTGAACTTTGTAACCAACCGAAGGTTTTGGATTAGATAACACACACACACACAAAAGAAAAATCAAATTATCATGGTACTCTGCTGGCTGAGCCTTGCTTATAGATTCAAAACATGAATTATAAACACTTCCTGTCTGGCTGCCATGGTAAACGGCTGCACCCATTACACTTTTCATTACATTACAGTGGTACCTCAGGTTAAGAACTTAATTCATTCTGGAGGTCCGTTCTTAACCTGAAACTGTTCTTAACCTGAGGTACCACTTTAGCTAATGGGGCCTCCTGCTGCTGCTGCGCCGCCACCGTGCGATTTCTGTTCTCATCCTGAAGCAAGGTTCTTAACCCGAGGTACTACTTCTGGGTTAGCGGAGTCTGTAACCTGAAGCGTCTGTAACCTGAGGTACCACTGTACGCCTTTCCGTGCAGTTAATCAAGGATAATATGGGAGCAATTATCCTCCCAACCCCGCCCCCCAGGCTGGGGGGGGCCAGCTCCACCCACAGTTCATCCAATACCTGCTTCCCACCCAGAAGGAAGAGGGGGCAGGGGGCGCTGGGTGCAATGCACCACATGTTTTCGGCAACTCTCCAAAGCTGTCGCCATGAGTAGAGGAAAACAAGCCCCCTCGGGAGAGGCTAGCCCCCCTCGTCGGTTCCCGGAGCTTGTTTACCGGTGATCTGCCCTGGCTGGCATCCCCACAGTCAAGGAAAATCTTGATAGGCGACATTTCCCAGCGTGGAAAATGCACACCCCCTCCCTCCTTGCTTCCCTAGCAGGGAAAGGAGATAGTCAGAAAGTCTATTTACATCTCTTTATTTCTGAATTTGCAACACTACAGAAAACATGACCGAACAGCTCAGTCTTCAGCAAGCAAGTGGCAAAGACTTCCTTTACATACGCAACAGGAAGGTCTCATATTACACACACAGGAAAGACTTTTGAAGCCTGTGAACTTCCGGGAAGATTCTTTCCCACAGCTAGTCACATCATGTGATGTTTTCACCAAGCTGCAAGTTTGCAGCTGCGTTGCTCTCATATTGTAACAGTTTTCGGCAACTCTCCAAAGCTGTCGCCATGAGCAGAGGACACCTGATTTTTTAAGATGAAATTTGGACTTAATTAACAGGCGTGCTCTGAACTAGGGGAGACAAAGTACTCTGCTAACTGATTCAGCCACTGGGTACCAAGGATTTGACCTGGAGAAGGATTATCGTCGCAATTGGACTGGTATGTCGGAACAGAGGAGGGATGAGCCTCCATTATTCTTTTTGATATATTTTGCATCTGCTGTTTTATTTGGCAAATTCCCCTTGAAAGACTGACTGCCTGATTGTTTGAAAATGCAAGTGGAATTGAAAGAGTATCTTGCTATCGTTATGGTTTAACTACAAAATTGACTGTGAAAATTTGACTAAGGTTTTGGCAAAGACTCTTAATGGAATGATAAAAGAATTTATGATGGGAGTAATGGTGTTCTTGTTGAAGCAGTAGCTCGTTAGCAGCTGGAATGAGACCAAAGAAGGTAAGTTTGGATATATGCCTGGCGCTAATGGCGGAAGGCCAGTCTCCCTTTGTCTTGGCTATGACGCACTGAGAATTGTCTATGTGTGCAGAAAACGAAAGTGAAGGGTCACCAAAGAGAATGTTGGATTACAACAGGAAGAGAAGGAAAAGAAAGAAGAAAAAACTGATTTCACACAGAACTACATAGGGAGGTTCACCTGACGCCTTCATTATATATTTTCAGAAGCCAGGTGAAAACCTTCCCCTTCAACCAGGCCTTTGGCTGATTAATATTCTACAGCCTTTTAAATGTGTCTGTGGGAAGTGGGGGTATTGTTTTGCTGTTTTGATCTACTTATTTACTTGTTTTTATCCTGTATTTTAACTGCCCCGAGATCTTAAGATTAAGTGGTATATAAATCTTAATAGGATTTTTAAAAATTCAAATCCCCATTATTTTTGTCTTCTGTAGTCTTGCAAAATAGAAAAAAAATCTACTACAGTTAATATACATCATTCTAGAAAATGTTATAATTTACACATGCACAAACCCAAAATCAACACAAGAAAAAAACAAGATAGACCTGAACATCTCTGATCCAAATGCTCCACAAAATGTAGTTAGCTTTGCTTGTGCCTTCATCACCTGGAGGGAAAAAACCACTGGTTTTTGACAAGGAAAACACTTGGATGCACATTTAACAAGAGATCTGCCAATAGACTGACAGATTCTTCAGAACTGCCAACTCAGTATTCCACTGTGCACAATTAGGTTAGAGGGTATCAGGGATGGGCTAAGCCTTTTTAGCCTTTTCTGGAATCTCCTCTGAAAATGCCACTTGTTCACATCTTGTGGTATTCTAAGCAGATCCTAGAGGGGCTTTTGCTTTAATTCTGCCAAAAAATTTTTTTATTGGGGAGGCATTTTTAAAATTATTAATCACCTTTTACATATATCTCTCAAGTCACAAAAACAGCTAAATATTTTGAATAGCACGTCACAAAAAACAGCTAAAATATTTTGAATAGTACAAAAATCACTGGAAAAACTATACAAAATGAACACCTAACCCTTTTCATTCAGTTGGAAAATAGCTTTTATATGTTGCTATTCTTTACTATGTTATTCATTAATTGTTTCATTACTATTCTCATTATAAACTACCTTGTGAAGGTCTGCCCTAAAAAGTAGAGCAGAAATGTATTAAAATAAATTTAAATGTTTCACTCCCTTGTGCCCTTGACAAGAAGACGATGTTAGGATATTTCCGTTCCACCTTAAAAGGGAGCAGGCTTTGTGAGTTACACAGCCTGCGTATTTCCTGTTTCACAGGATGTTTCTGTTGTGTCTTTGTTTTCGCTCTCTCTGTGTCAGAGACACTGAAGCTGGCAGTCATGTTTTTTCTTTGTTCTGATCAACGCTGAAGGAGGGAATATATGATTCTATGATTCTATGAATAAAACTTGTAAATAATGCTCTCTTGTGTGCAACTTTTGCTGTGCATTATCTGCTGATAGAGCGTGCATCGGCTTGAGAATGTGGCAGGCTATTTCTGGAGCTCATGTCGCTAATTGCTGATATTGCGTGCCTACGGGAGATCGATGGACGTCCGGACACGGCTTGGGGGCCATGATGGGCTTTATCTCCCTGGCAATATCTCAACAGACATATCAGTGCCCCGCCTCACAGCCTCTATACACTTGCTAGAGGAGCCAAGCCAGAGTGTAGAGACCAAGGTTCTCTTTCCAGTTCCTCATTTCACCCACATCCCAGTAATAATTTAAAGGTCCAGGATTGTTTGATTTTCATTACCTCTGTAAGAGATGCTGGGTCCCCAGTCAAGAAAGGAGCAACAGTTTTGTCACCTCTCTTCAGGATCTGAAATGATAAGTGCTAAATTAACTTGCAGTCCAATGCAAACATTGTAACAAAAAATTCTACACGGGTAGCTGTAAACTAGGTTTGGTTCTGGATGTCGGTGACCAATATCTAGTGCTGGAGCAGGGCCTGCGCAAGAGAGCTCTAGAGGGAACTCAGTAAACAACTATTAACCCAGCTTAGAATCACCCTGCCAGCCCCTGCCCTTCTTGGTCATCCCCTGGGCCATTTTTCTCAGCTGCAATTTTTGACTCTTTCGTCCAAAGAGACTTCATCCTACAGAGACATCTGGTGATAACTTCCCAGAGGCTTCCCACCAGATGCTCTGCCATCTTCACTCTTAAGGTCTGGGTGAGTGAGAAGAATCAGGGTTTCAGGCAAAGCCAGTAATGCGGCTGGAGAGGTTGTCAGCAACCCAGGTGACACTAGGGTGCTTTAGAACTGTAGCAGGTTCTTCCAGGCCCTCAGCTAAGCTTCGATTCTCCATGGAGTCCCACACCTCTTCCTCCAAGATGGGTCTCCCAAGGCCCTAGTTGAGTAGGATGTGTGAAAGCACCTATCAAAACCTACCCTGCTTCTAGCATAGTTCAGCATTTCCCGAGCACTTTCATATATTGGCCATGGTGTATTTATGCAGTACTCAGTCACAAACTGGTTATCCTATTTAGAAGGAGAAACAATTAAAAACACAGAATAAACTTATCTTCTAAACAGCTTAAAAGAAAAACTTATCACATACACCCATGTGCAAATTATCTACTACAAGAGAGCTACAGATACACATGCACAAGACACACATAGAGTTTGGCTTCTCCGTAGAAGGTGTAGCGGTATAGGCTCTGAAGCTGGTAAGGGCTAATAAACTGCAGCTGAATCCTGGTCAGATGGAGATCCTGTGGGTGAGAGGTACTTGGATCCAGAAAACAGGTGAACTGCCTTTATAGACAGAATTGCACACCCTCTGAAGGAACTGGAGCATAGTGTGGGAGTACTCATGGATCCATCATTGATCATTGGAGGTTCTAGTTGTCTCTGTGACTATGAGTACCTTTTACCAGCTTTGGCTGAAATGCCTACAACAGCTCATTGAAAGGGATATCCTGGCTATCAGCAGCCTTGAGACTGGATTGCTGCAGTGCACTCTATGCAGTAGGTCGCTTAGATATTTTGTATATAAAGTGGTATAAAAATGCATTTAAATATAGTAGGATAAATCCATACCTTTATTTTATCCAGCGTTTCTTTAGCTTGAGCCACAAGTTCTAGCCAGGCTGACTGGCAATCTCCGGCAACAGACTCTGAAGCCAATCTCTCCAAAATAGAGCTCATTTTCACTTTGTAAACGTTCTGTTGTTTTTTAAACACACACATAACACATTATTTCCCCTTTGGAAAAAAAAATCTTCTTTATTTTCAGAGTAGCAGGCTTGTCTAGTATTGTCAGAGAAAAATTTGCAGAACATTTGTTTATTCTTTACCAGTCCCTTGCCTCCGTTAACAATTTTGAAATTTACATTTAAAACTCCTGCTGTAGTGGGTAACTGGAATGAGTAGGCATAGAAGCTACCAGAGAGAGCTCCCTTGTCTACTTATTTCATTGTGGTTTTGCAGTTGGCAGTAAGTGATGAGGTACGATTTGCAGACAAAGTCCTTTACCTCAACATCCAGTCCAAACTGAACAGCAAAATTCTCAGCTTCAGTAAATTTGTGCTTGTGAAGTAAACGGCTCAGTCTAAAAAGGGGGAGAAAACGAAGTGCTGTTACCTCCCACTTAAAAATGGTTACAGCCAGTTAAATCTATTCATCTAATTACTTACACTCACTTGAGTTACATGATCACAACCTTGGGCCGGTGGGAGGGGGATAAATAAATAGAGTGGGAGAAACCCACTCTTCATTATACACCTTTAGGCACCAGGAGAAAATGTTCCTCTTCTCCCAGGCCTTTGGCTGATTGACATCCAATCCCTTTTTAAATGTGTTGCGGGAGGGGGATTATTGACTTGTTTTTGTTCTTATTTTTATTATATATTGGGGGGGGGGGCTTATATTGTAATTTTATGTTGTGAACCACCCTGAGATCTACAGGCACAGGCTGGTATGCTAACTAAACTAACTATTTTCCCACCACCAATGCACTCAGCAAGGCTTCTCCACCACAGAAAAAGCCTTATAAGGAACGGTTCAGGGAGCAGGGATTGTCAAGACAGGAAAAGAGGAGATACAACAGCAATCTTCAAATATGTAAAGGGCTGCCACAAGGAAGATGCAGCAAGCTAGTTTTCTCCTGCTCTGGAGGATAGGACACAAATGAATGGTTTCAAGTTATAAGAAAAAAGATTATGACTTAACATCAGGAAGAACTTTCTGACAGTGGAACAGACTCCCTTGAAGGATGGTGGACTCTCTTTCCTTGGAGGTTTTTAAGCAGAGGTTGGATGACCATCTGTGACAGATGCTTTAGTTGTGATTCCTCCATTGCAGGGAGTTGGACTAGATGACCCTAGGGGTTCCTTTCAGCTCTACAATTCTACAATTAAATAACTGAGGACTGCCTTACAGAACCACCACATAAGGAAATATGACCAAACCTCCTCACACTCTCTCCAGCAAGCAGCTGTGGTAGCTGAAATTATCTGACATTAAGACAAGAAAGAGGTGATATCTATGCAATCATTTTAGTGATTATTCTCTTAGATGAAAAGAAACTGATTTGAGAGGTTTCTTGGTCCAAAGCCCATTTCATTTACCTTTAGGGATTTCCATCTGGAGACAAGTTTCTCTTCCTATGTTTTTACTGGGAGAATGAGTCTGCAATTAACTCAATAGGACTTACATCTGAGTGAACACTTATAGGATTGTAATGTTAAGCATATGTTTAACTCTTTCACTTTGAAGTTAATGAGGCTTACGACACACTTAACTTTGGCTCAGCCATATCACAAGTACCAAATTTTCTACTTAAGCAGTAGTAGAAGTCAAAATATATGTATACCTGTTCTCAGGCAAGGCTTCAGTTAAGCATCTCAATACCAGAAGTGAGACTGGATGGTCTGATGCCCTAGAAATGAGTGTGTGGTTTAAAAAAGAGCTTTGATAACCATCAAAAATAAAGCAGCAGCTTTTTATTGTATTTTATTAAAGTGCAAACTTACCTTTGGTTATTTTCATACATTCCTTCCAAAAAGTACATTGTATCCTGCATGGGAAACAATATGTAGCATGTGCCTTAACTGTACAAGATGTCAAAGAAATAAACTACTATCAGACTTTTAGAAGACATCTGAAGGCAGACCTGTTTAGGGAAGCTTTTAATATTTGATGAATCACTGTACCAAATCCTACAATACTTAAACTCTGACTTGGATTTCTTTTTACATTCCCCCTCGTCAGCCTTACTTAGGATTGAAGAAAAGAGAAAAACATACCGTATTTATTCCGCTCTGAATCAATGAAGAAACATTAGTAGTTTCCAAAGAATAGAGTCGGTGCATAGTAGGCAGTGAAAACACCACGATGTTCCTCATCTACAGAGAAATAGTGCAATTAGGATAATCCTAAAGGATGCTGCCAAAATACAGGCACAATGTTTTGAAGCTTTTCTTTGATAGAAGACAATTACCTGTTTGCCATCATCAGGGTTTGTCAAAGCAACTAGCTTAAGACTGGCAATCCCCTGTCTTAACAAAAGAAGGGAAATGCATCAACCAATGACAAAAGTTATGAGCCATCACCATTTACATTTTATTTCAGTACTTTAGTTATTTATTACATTGGTATCTCACCTTTCCTCCAAGGAGCTCAAAGTGGCATAAATGATTCTCACTCTCCCCATTGTATTCTGTGATGTAGGTTAGTCTGAGAGACAGTGACTGGTCCAAGGTCACCCAGTGAGCTTCACGGCTGAGTGAGAATTTGAACCCAGTTGGATACTCTAACCACTGCACCATGCTGGCTCCATCAGGAGGGGGCACCAAGTTGCCTATCCTTGCCATATGGGGACAAGAAACCTGTGGCCCTGCAATGATTATGGATTCCCAACACCCCTGTTTTTTAGCATGGAACATGGCTACTGGCCAGAGATGTAGTTCAATAACAACTGATTGGTCACACAGCACATACACACAGCCCATTCCTATGGATGTCTGCTCAGAAATTAGGTCCTTCTTTGTTCCCAGGGGCTGATTCTGAAGTCAGTGAATACAAAACTTCAAGAAAGTGTGGGCATCAGCTCTGGTAAGAGGCTAGGGGAGGAGCCATTCTGCTGTGGCACACCCTTTCATATTTCTCAGCAAGTATGCTATAATCCTGAATTTACCCTGCAGCTGCTGAAAAATCCGATTCTGAAATCAGAAGAAATTCTTCAATGTGAACAGAACAACAGCTCCAAATCATGGTAAGAGTGCAAATATTCCACAAAGACAAACCATTCTACAAGAAAAAGAAAACAAAAGTGTCATTATGATGTAACTAATTAAGACCTATTACCTTTGCTATATGAACCATGAAAGTATACATTTGTAATACTTAGATCTTTCATATTATGAAACAAACATTTCTAATTTGGTGGATAATTTGTCATGTTCATTAATCAGGGCTGTCAATGGCTTCTGTCCCTTCATCGTTTCCATTTTTTTTCCACAGTGCACATCTTCTCTCACATTGGTCCCACATGACAGGATGTGTTGCTAGTATGCAAAAACCGTCAAGTTCCAATAATCCCTAGGTATGCACCACCAAATGGTGGAGACTTCAGGCACTGATAGCCAGGTGCAAAATGTGCATGGCAAATTTTGAACACTGGAAATCCTACTTGTGGACAAATTAACCATTTCACAAAAGGAGTATCAATCGGGGGGGGGGGGGGAGGCTCACACCTCAACATGGTATCCTATTACTGACTTTGTTAAGACAATCGAACAAGGTTTTCACCCTCCATCAAGTCATGGAACCTTATCGAGAAAAACTTTCATTTGACTGGCTTTCTTGAAACATCTAAAACTAAAACCATCAGCTGCTATTTTTCCTTCTTTTCTACTAAACTCTATATTCCTTGTATGGGTATGCTTTGTTACTTGAAATTAAAAATCAATTAAAAATATAAGTAGTCTTTATCTTAAACGTTCTTAAAACATAACCAAAGTATAATATATTAATTAACCATTTAAATAAGAGCTCATCATGGTTATGAATGCCCTGAATTCCACTAGTGGAAACAAACGTTTTCTTACTAATTGTCCATTTGCCAAATACTGAAACTATGGAACATAACCTTATCCAGGAGCAATCTGTAAAACTGGGCAACAAATAAATCAAAATAGCACTTGCCTCATTATCCAAGACAAACAATAATTCATCTACAACCTGAAGCATTTTTGCAGCTGTAAAAATGTAAAAAGGAAAAAAGGATGTAAGTCTGTTAATTTCTTGCTTTAAAAAGTTGCGTTTGAAATAGAAACTGTAAAATAGGGGTGTGCAACCTGTGGCCCTCCAGATACTACAGGACTCCAATACAGCCCTAGCCAATAGGGCCAGCAGTCAGGGAAGTTTTTTAATGTTTAATATTTTATTATGTTTTATATATGTTCAAAGCCGCCCAGAGTGGCTGGGGCAACCCAGTCAGATGTGTGAGGTACAAATAATAAAATGATGATGGCATTGACAATGATGAGGATAGTAGCTGCAGTCCAGGAGCATCAGGACAGTCACAGAGTTCCCCATCCCTACAGTAAAACACCTGGGGTCTCTGAACAGAAACTCTAGGGTCCTGAGGCCCTGAGCGTTGCCCTGGGGATTTACCCTGGGGATTTAAGATGACCATTTAGGAAACAGGGTCAAAGCTAATAAAGATTTCAAGAGACAAATGTACCTAGCTGTCGTAACCTGGGACCCATAACTTGGGACAGATGTCAAGACCCTCAGCTCAACACAGCACAGCATGCACCTATGCTCGCATTCTCTATCGCAGTACATGTTTCTCAAACACAACTGACCTCACTAAGCTTGCTAAATGCTAAGTCTGTATAAGCACATTCTCACAGTCACAACTACAATGTATCTGTGCCATTGTCTTCTATTGGAAATGTACTGGAAAGATCTCTCTCTTTCCACACATGTAATGCTCATTAAATCCCAAAGCCAGAGATATCCAGTATCAATCAGATAATCTGTCAATTGAGTAAATGAAGGATTTACACTGTAGAGTAATAGAATCAGAGTTGGAAGTTTAAGCATTTTCTCCCTGCATCCCCACCTGAGAATATTTCTGTCTTTTTCCTAGCAAGCAGGGCCTCTTGTTTTCTTATCAGCTTAGCAAAACACACCAAGAGCTCATTGCCCTTCGCAGACTAGAAACTTCAAAGGCATTTGTATGAGACAGAAGAATAGTGAATCTATAAACTTTGCTCAGAACTATCTGTTGCCACTGTATTGCTGGTAGATAGGAGCATAATTTTTGTAAACCAATCAAGCTGTTCATGTTCTGTTATCCAATCGTATTGGTGTAAAGCAAAAGCTATAAAGAGGTTTTGAAATGTATGCTCGGAGTCCATAATTCCTCTGGATCATTTATTCTTACAACAGTCTGCAATAAATCTGAACCCTTTCCAAGATGCTGCTTGCCTGTATTTGGCTAAAAAGGACTGGCTATTTCCAGACCCCCTTTGTAGGGTAACACACTTAGGCAGGCATAACCAGCTGCACAAATATAAGATGGAGGACACCTGGATTGTCAATAGTACATGTGAAAATATCAGGTCTCTAGGTGGTTGCTTGCAAGTAAACAGCCAGGACTCCAATCTGTCTTTTCCAGGTTTTATTTAGTGCAACTATGTACAGTTCAGAAATCCAAAGTTCATGTCTGTGTCAGTCACTTGCAGTTTCCAGGATTGGCTTTTTCCGCCCCCCCCCCCCCCCCAGCATAAGAACTTAGAAAAAGACCTAAAGGTCTTAGTAGACTACAAGCTGAACATGAATCAACAGTGTGATGCAGCAGCAAAAAAGGCTAATGCTCTTCTAGACTGCATCAACAGAAGTATAGTGCCTAGATCAAGGGAAATCATAGTATTGCTCTATTCCACCTTGGTCAGATCACGCTTGAACTGCTGTGTCCAGTTCTGGGCAGCACAGTTTAAAAAGGATATTGACAAGCTGGAAGAGTATGGAAACAAAGGCTTTTAAATAAATATCAAAGGTCGTGGGAAACTAAGTCTTTGAACAAAAGAGTTCTTTAGGATGCCTATGCCTGGAAAACATACCTTCAATCAAACTTGAATCAGCAACACTTTGAATGCTTATCTGCCTTTTGTTAGGATTCACCTCCCACACAGACATCACACAGTCACCTGTACCCTTTTAAGAAAAGTATTTGTATCAGAAACCTGCATTCTGTTTCACAACAGACCTAATCAGTGCTTCTCAAGATATTTAGTTCTTATGAAAATCATTATAGGCACAAAGATTTCAAAATTGTAATAGCAAGTTGGAACCCTCTCCCACCCCAATTTCTGGGCTCAGCATCACATTTTTGGAAGACTCTGGGCCACCAGTTGCTGGTGGATTTTTCCAGTGCTGCTTTGAATTGCAACTGCTACACATTACAAAATCCTTCTGGGCCATCTAGAGGGGTTGGGAGCTGGGGGCCCTGTTATGCAGTGATTCTGCTCCTTCCTCCCGGGCCATATCCAGAAAGTGGTGTTGGGGGATGAGTGTTCAGACCCCTAGGCTCTCACTTGCAGGGTGCCTCAGGGCTTAATCCTCTCCCCCATGTTTTCAACATGAATATGAAGCTGCTGAGAAAGATCATTGGGGGATTGGGCTGGGCGTTCACCATTATGCAGATGATACCCAGCTCTACATCTCTTTTAAATCAGAACCAGTGAATGCAGTAAAGGTCCTATGTGAGTGGCTGGAAGCTAACTGATTGAGGTTGAATCCTGACAAGACAGAAGTATTGCTTTGGGGGGGCGGGGGGGGGGCAGGTATGGAGGTCTCCATGATCCACTAGTATGATCTTCACTAGTATGTATATTTCATTGATAATTATTCACTGATGAAGACTTTATTCCGAAACAGTTGAACTATTCCGGATGCACTGTCTTGCAGTTACTTGTATATTTTGTGAGATGTGTTGTATGATATATATATTGTTTTGAAGTGGCTTATTTGTATATTTTGAATGACATCATACCGATTATATATTTACTAACAGTTATTAGCCAGCGTGTTGCGTTTGCTTTTGTAGACTGTTACAGGGAACCAGGCAGAGGGCCTTCTCGGTAGTGGCGCCAGCCATGTGGAAAATCCTCCCATCAGTTGTCAAGGAAATAAACAACTAGCTGTCTTTTAGAAGGCATCTGAAGGCAGCCCTGTTAGGGAAGTTTTTAATGTCTGATACTTTATCGTATTTTTAATATTTTGTTGGAAGCCGCCCAGAGTGGCTGGGGAAACCCAACCAGATGGGTGGTATAAATAATAGAAATAATAAAATTATTACTACTATTAAAATCCCCTTTATGGAGAAGGTGCTTGGAGCCCAGCTGTAACCTGCATGTAGATCACTGCACATATCACATTAATATATCATCACATTAATGGGTTGTCGTCGTCGTCCCCCCGAGGATAAAAATGCCAGGAAGCTGAAATTAGGACTTCCAGTGCCCATACATCCGAACAGGAACTAGACATTACTTCCATGCCCCCGCTCGCCAGACCTATGTAGTGTTATAAGAAAAACTGCTCTTTTCCCCTTATGGGGTACCCAAGAGCCTGTATAGAGTCCTTATGTAGGTTCCCTATCGGTAGGAGAAAATAACAGAGGCCAACCAGAGTATTGAGAAGCAAGGCAGCTAGTAAGCCTGATCTTTATTAAACTGTTGCAACAGGGTCCTCCCTCACCACATGCAGGAGGAAGAGGAACCCAGAACAATGGTGTGCAAGCCCTTATATAGACTTTTTGAAATTGCCACCCTGCAAGCCTAAGACCACCCCCCAATACATCAAACATACATCACAGAAGGGGCAGCCTAAAGCAGAAGCCAGGATACCAGTAATGGTCACCGATTGATTGATAATGGTCTCTGATTGCATTACCTGGGCAGTCTGGCTACTCTTTTCAAACACAGATACACCCTTAAGACAGGATTTGTGAGCAAAGAGACTATGGGGCTTTCCCCATTTGCCTCCCTTGCTGCAGAGGAATATTTGAGGTCATTGGGAAAGTCAAAAAGGCTTCAGGACTGCTTTCCTGCACTGTTCCAGACATGTGGTTTATATACTTATGTATGTGTTTATGTGCCTTGTAAGTTTATGAACATTTAATTTATATATTTGAGACCTTAAATTCTTATAACACTAGAGATATTCAACCATGATGTTGCCTGTCTCTGCAACAGCTAGCAATGAAGTGGCTGGGAAAAGGAAACAACCATCACATGACACATTTTGTGGCCTTAGACATATGAAGACAAAAAGAGCAAAACACACCTGGGTACAAAATCTCTCAACAGAGAGATGGGAACACATAAGAGGGACTACAGAAGCCAAATATTTTGCACACATCCTGAAGTCAGCACAGATTGCTGCAGATAAACCCACAGGAAGTTCACAGACAAAGGTATTCAAATAATACTTACCCCTATTATCAAAGTGATCTTGTTAGTTGTGTGCTTAGTTGTGGAAGTCAGGCAGCCAATGGTGTGATAGTATTTTGTAGAAATAAAACATGTTTCCACCTGCCCTTGTAACTGTAAGGTAGACAAATAGCCACTCACAGATTTTTCTTTTTGTTAAAGTGGTAGAAATAACTCACAATCGCAAGAGAAATGATAAATTAATTTGGAGGAGTAACTTGATTAAAAAAACCTAATGAGTTATTTAGCCAAGTAGTTTTATCAATTACATTTCAGATATTTGGATATGGATAAAATAGCATTTCTAAAGGAATAAGCATGCTTGCTTTATTTATTAATAAGGTGATGCACGCATGTGTTGCAGCAGGCATCATCTTAGAAGAGGCATTCCCTCCTGCCCATGAGAGAGGTTGGTGCTTCCCATCTGCTTTCATATAGGGCATACTTTTTCATCAGGGTCAGAGATATCAGCCTTGAATCTGGCAGCTATCCTTATAAGAATGTTAGCAACGCTCTATGAAATCTCTTCAGCTTCCTGGAATAGGGGAAGGTCTCTCCTTCCATCAATAGAGTGATGCACAAAGTTCTTTGCATCGTCCTGTTCCTGAGGTAAGTGGAAAGAATAACTTACTCTGCTTAATCTCCATCACAGAAGAGCAGTGGATAACAAATGTGATATATTAATTCATTTTTAATGTGGCAATTAACATTTTGCATCCCTAGTAGATCCGTACACACACCCAGTACTATGAATCACAACCAAACTATTTCAAAAACCAAAACACAATATATAAGATATATGAATGCTCCCACTTGCCTTCTTTGCAGAACTGAAGTCCAGCTTGTCAATTGCTGCATAAACACAAAATGTGTGTTGAGAAAAGCAACATTACATATCTATTTTTTTAAAGTATTTTCTATTGGGCTGTTGTAGTCACAGATTCAGAAGGCAGATTTGATTTCTGTAAACTTTTTACTGATCACACATTTATTAGCCTGGCCTCTTTTTTAATGTATACTTCAGGAAATTTGCAGTTGCAGTAGCTTACTACAATAACTTATAGTACACAAACATAAAGAAAGAGTCTTGGAAGCAGTTTAAGACTAACAGATTAGTGTAATTTAAGATTCCATGGACTAGTGTCTGTGCATCAATGAAATCTAATACAGTGGTGCCCCGCAAGACGAATGCCTCGCAAGATGAAAAACTCGCTAGACGAAAGGGTTTTGCGTTTTTTGAGTCGTTCCGCAAGACGAATTTCCCTATGGGCTTGCTTCGCAAGACGAAACGAGTTCTTGCGAGTTTGTTTCCTTTTTCTTAAAGCCGCTAAGCCGTTAATAGCCGCTAAGCCGCTAATAGCCGTGCTTCGCAAAACGAAAAAACCGCAAGACGAAGAGACTCGCGGAATGGATTAATTTCGTCTTGCGAGGCACCACTGTACCATGATATATCAGTCTTTGAAAAAGTCTCATTACAGCGGTACCTACAGTTACGAATGGGATCCGTTCCGGAGCCCCGGCCGTATCCCAAAAACTTCATAACTGGAGGCACCCTTCTGCGCATGCAAGCGGAGCGATGGAGCAAATCAGCGCCTGGGGCGAAACCCAGAAGTATACACTTCCGGGTTTGCCACGGCCATAACCCGAAGATTACATAACCAGGAGGGTACGCAACACGAGATACCACTGTATACTTTTTCCTCGCTGGTTATACTACTATTGCAGCACAACCCTAACCATGTCTACTCAGAAGTAATTCCTAGTGAATTCAATGCAGCTTCCTCTCAGGAAAAGAGGTTAGGATTGCAGCCGGATAACTCATCTATTCCTCTGAATTTTATCTAATAATTAAGCAATAAATATTGATACTGTTATTTAAAATAAAGATAGACAATAACATTCAGTTTTTGAAAATCTGCATGATCAAGAATATAAAACAAAACACTCTGGATAGATATATGTTGAACAAAGAAAGAAAAATATTGTCATAAATACTAGATTTAGAACAGATCAAAGGCAAAATCCACCACTACCACCATCACAGATCAGTTCATACAATCCAGACTAGAGCATGACACAAGTATGCTTACAAGGCAGGTAGCTCCAGATGACTCAATGGCCACATTCACATGCAAAATTAATCCACAATTTAAAACTACATGCAAGAGTTGAAACAAAACTGAACAACCCACCTGCACACACCTCACTCTGTCTCTCTCTCTCTCTCTCTCACACACACACACACACACACAATTCTCCTCTGAAAAGATTGTGAGGATTTGGTAGCATTTAATTTCAATTTCACAAAATCCCAAATTATAATTGTGAAGAAACCAAAAACCTCAGTTTACAACAAACTCTGGTTAGTTTCAAAATAAGCCAACATCAAGCCATGGATTATGAAGACAACTTGTTAAACTAACCAGTTAGTTGCAAACTACAATCTCTGGTTAATACACCCCAACAAGCTGTGATACTGTGAAAGTAACACTAAATGTTCCTGAAGTCCTGCTCAAGGTCATGGGAAAAGTATCCTGCATTCATTTATAAATATTACAATTGCAGCAGTTGTGTGGTTATTGTTGGCTCTCTAAAGCAAACATATTGAAATTGGTCTGCATTGAATACTACAAACCAATAAAGATTATCAAAGCCAGTGCAATTCAATTAATACACATAATCAATTACCACTTAAACAAAATCTCTTGCTCAGCTCACCAGCTCACCAACACAAAATGTGTTGGTGCTCAGCACATTACAAACCTGAGATTCTAATCATTACAGAAAGCAGAAAGAAAAACTCCATCTCTTACTACATGTTTCCATGCAATGATGCACAATTAGGCTTTAGATCTAAAACAACATTGTCCTACCTTCCTGAGTTTTGGCAAATGGGAGGTGCGTAATGTAGAAGAAGCCACTGTTTGTGAGAATAAATGCATGGTAGGTTCCTATCAAAATAACCAAAGACAAGGTAAATATCAATAAGTCTTCCCAGCAAGGGTTATCAAATTGTGTCCATGTGATCTTCTTCAAGTAAAGGAACTGCCACCTGGCATCTCCAAACATGAGCAAATAAAGGAAGAAAACTTGGTTTACACCAAGGTAATTGAAATCAAAGTAAATAAAAATAATCAAGGGTGCACAAGTTGAAATATGATTAAAATTCACAGAATCAAGTTCAAATCAGCATCATATAAGTATCCTGTATCAGGCAGAATTCTATGGCATTACATTTCCTCCCCTCCCCCACTCAACCTGAGCTTACAAGAGAAAAACCTGAGCTTATTCAGAAAAAATATCGTACCTGTATCTCCATTATCTTTTTCTAGAATAAGATTCAGGTAAGTCCTGTCATCTGAAGATCTTTGAACCAACATCTAAACACATTTTTAATTTTAAAAAAGGTTATTAGAATGAGTTTCAAAAAAGCAATGTAATTTACACCACATATTAATTTAAGCCTACTCAAATCATGAATGTTGTAAATTACATTAGTATCTATTATAGTTTAAAATCAGTCAGCACATCAACAGCAGAAATTCACCAGGATACCAAAACTAAAGTTCAGTTGTTGAATATATGCTTCACACCCATAAGTCCCACAGTTCAATTATCAGCATCTCTAGTGAAATAGACCTCTGATAGCAAAGCAGGAAATTCAACTGATTTGATGACACTGGACTATTGATGTAACTGGGCTGGAATGGTTCAGAAGTAACACTGAACTATGGTTTAGTATTACATACCAAGCCTCAGGGCTCACACACTCTCCCACACCTCTTATCTACTATGGTTACTTGCTATGTTTAAATCCAGACAAACTATGGTTAGTACTAACTATGGTTTAGAGAGAAAGCCAACTTCAAACAATAGTTTACAATCCTACCTTATTTCCCTAAACTATATTTAACCCTAACCATAGTTCTTGGACAAAATGAGTAACTACAGTTAGCTGAAAATATAAGCAAAAGCTTCCAATCTCTTCCTTGCAATCAGCAAAAGGAGGAAAAGGAAGGAGGCAATACGTGAGCCAAAGCTCACCTAGGTTTATCCCCAGGGTTTAGTGTCACATATCAATGCAACCAGTATGAGGCAACTTACACTTCATATATTTAAGAATGTCTGAGGCAGCTGCATATAGTTATATAGAAGCAAAAAAGAAATAAGCTACATACATTAGTTAACATGGTTTGCTTTGTTGATACATGAATCAGATGTAGGTTTCCACTTCTCTCCCCAATCACAAGAAACTGTGCTTCTTGACACAATCCAACAACTTCCACCTCAGTCTCTAAAAAGTTTTAAAAAGAAGTATTCAGATACCACAGCGGGTGACTATATTCAGAAATGATGATGTATTATTACATAACGAGATGCAGTGAATTTTTGCCTCATACACTCCTCTGCTGTGGGAAATACTATATAGTTATTACTGTCTTAACAACTCATAGGTCAAAAGATGGCAAAATTATTTTGACAAACATTTAAAAATTTGGGCTATGTGTCTATAATACACCAACATTAATACTGAGAGCCACTGCCCTGATCAAGTGATTTTATAAGGGCATGACAACACCAGGCCGATCTGTTTCCTTCCAAGGGGAAAGAGTTCCTGTGTTCAGGACTTCAAAACCATATCACAGAACATGCAGAACTCCAGATCAGAGCACAGATTTTAATTAAGAAAACAAACTGAGGTACACTACGTTGAAAGTTCCAAGTATTCAAGATACAAGATACAAAATGGTAAGCTCACCAAACTGAAGAAACATCTTAAGAGACTGGCAAATATTATCAAGCACCACCACTGTTCTGTCAGCCACCAACACACATCCATCACTGGAGGAACAGCCATATAACTTTGGGTTAGACAAAACCTGACCAATAAAAGAAAGCATCTGAACGTAAACAGAACTTATTTACAAATACAAACAGATAAGCAGCCTGTCCAGATTAAATTGTGTGTTGTAACTTTCTGTGTGTATCTAGCACAAAATCTAGCATCTGACTGGACCGATGTCTTGTCTCAGTCGTGGACCGGATGAGAGCCAAGAACAGGGTGGATTTGATTTAAATAAAATCTATTTAAATCACAATTTAAATCACTAGTCAGTAAGACTTGATTTAAATCACTATTTTACAGAAAGGCTCATTCTTGCTGGTATAATCTTAATATTTACAACCAGATTAATGTTTCATTTTTGGAATAATAAATTATCATAGTGGTTTTTACAGTTATATAAAAAATTACTGATTTGGTTATGCTATTAGAAATACATAGACCGATAATTATGAAATTATTGTGAGGTTTAATAAGTTAACTTCATATTTGGACAACTTTTCTGCTGTACTTTATTGGAAGGAGGGGAAAAAACCAATTTCCTTAATAACAATTTAAATAATTTATTTAACTAAAATGATAACATAGCATATGTATCCATGTTTGTTAACTGATGTGGTTAAACGTTTTTTTAAAAAAAACTTAAGACCTTACACACAAATGTAATGGAATCTAAAAGGGGCTATATCTCCCAGCAGCCCTGGCTTTGGAGAGGCCGGCCTTTCTTTTTCTAGAGTGCGGGGGGGAGATACAGTTGGTAGGCCTAGGCTGCAACAGGCTTGCAGAATGAACAGCTGGAAAAGGGGAGCAAAGCACTGGAGCAGAGAAGTTCAGGGATTCCTGCTGCAGGACTGAAGTTCCAGGTAGACTTTATTGTTTGGACAATGTCAGGCAAGCTCTGGGAAGAAGGACCTGGAACCAGTGAGCTCTTATTAGTTGTCTGGCAAGCAATTCAAAGTCTCACCAAGGACTTACAGATCCCAGTTACTATTTCCACCACCACCACCCCTCTTTGGATTCAGGTGTGTATTCTGTACAGTTAAGTGTTGGTGCAGTTGTTGGAGCCCAGTGGGATTGGGAAGAGGCTGCCAGCCCTGAAGAGCCTTCAGCACTTGCCTCAAGTCTGAGTTGTACAATCATTACACAAAGATCCCAAGATTTGTGGAGTATTCTGCTCACAAGGTTTGCACTTTCATTTTTACTGCTTCACACTTAGCTACTTGGGCAGATCTATTCCACTATTCACTGAACCTCTTGGAACTCAGCATTTAAGAGGTGAGAGGTTGATTCTGTGAATATGAATTTGCAAAGGAACAATGGGATTACGGTTTTTTCCTCTGTATGTTTATTTTATAACATTTTTCCTGTGAAGAAAAGGCATGTCATCTCTGCATACACAAATTCACACTTTTGAGAACTGCAAAAACAAGCACATGTGATAATATCTTCTCATTAGAAAAACTGCCCCAAATAATCTTACAGAAACCTCTGGAAGAGCATGACATTGTGAATGGATTAATGGAATTCATTTATCAAAAAATTAAAGTAAATCCTTATTTTCTGATGAACAGCCTTTGGACTACAGTGGTACCTCTGGTTAAGAACTTAATCCGTTCTGGAGGTCTGTTCTTAACCTGAGGTACCACTTTAGCTAATGGGGCCTCCTGCTGCCACCATGCCGCCAGAGCACGATTTCTGTTCTCATCCTGAGGCAAAGTTCTTAACCCGAGGTACTATTTCTGGGTTAATGGAGTCTGTAACCTGAAGCGTCTGTAACCCGAGATACCACTGTATAATGTAGCTTAAATAGAAAACTATCTGTAGAAAGATTTTCCCTCCAAAAGCATTTTTTTAAAAATCAATTTTTTAATTATTTTTAAAATCATTGATTTTTATCCACCCTGGCCAAGAAATTGAAGTTCAATCCACGTAAGACAGGGGCACTGTTAATGGATGCTTCCCTAGACAAGATAAATGGGAGGTTGCCTGCTCTTGATTGGGTTACTCTCCCTCTGACAGAGTAGGTACCTAGTTTGGGTGTACTTCTGGATCCATTACTGTTACTTGAGGCTCAGGTGGCCTTGGTGGCATGGCAGGCTCAGCTATGCCCCATCTGGATAGCCGCCCTAACTTCTGCTGTCTACGCTCTGGTAACCCCCAGGTTAGATACTGAGGTGCCTCTGAAAATGGTTTGGAAACTTCAGCTAGTACAGAATGCAAGTCAGGTTGCTCACCTAGGCAAGACATTGTGAGCACATAACACCAATCATAGCCCAACCAAATAATTTCCAGGCGCAATTCAACGTGTTGCTCTTGACATATAAGGCTCAGGACCCCAATACCTCAATGCCTCTCCCCATTTGAACCAATCTAGACCCTGGGATCGTCATGAGGCCCTTCTTCATGTGCCCCCTCATGGGAGGCCAAGGGTGGCAACACAAGAACAGGCATTTTCAGTGGTGGTTCCCTGTTTGTAGAACAAGGAGGCTCACCTAACGTAATCAATATATATAATTAAGTGCCAGGCAAAACCTTTATTTAGCATGTCCTTCCCAAGCCTAGGACCCTCGTACCTACAGGACCGCCTCTCCTGGTACACCCCGCAGAGGACCTTATGGTCCACAAACAATACTTTGGAGGTCCCAGGCCTCAAGGTTAGACTGGCCTCGACCAGGGCCAGAGCCTTTTCAGTCCTGGCCCCCATCTGGTGGAATGCTCTGTCGCAAGAGACCAGGGCCCTGTGGGATTTGACAACTTTCCGCAGGGCCTGCAAGATGGAGCTGTTCCACCTGGCCTTTGGTTTGGACTCAGTCTGACCCCCTTCTTTCTATGGGACCCTGTATGTAAGTGGCCTCCTTGGCTCTTTCTATCGGCCCATATGGGACCAGAACGGGTGGCTGGGCCTGGTGAACTTTTAATTCCTTACTCCTACAGTTATGATTCGTGGGTTCCCACTTATTTGTATTTTGATTTTAAATGTGATTCAAATTGTATTTTAAACTAATCGTTTGATTTTGTGTTTTTAATGTACGTATTATATATTTGGTGCTAGCTGCCCTGAGCCCAGTCTTGGCCGAGGTATAAATAAAATTTATTATTTATTACTATTTATTATTATAATAATGTGGCCCTCTGGAAGATCTAGATGCTGACCAGATACTACAGTCCATAATGCCACAGTAGTTTAACCTAAGTTATAGTCCCATTTCAACTAACAGGACAAATCATAGTCAATGGCACCTTTGAAACATCCGTCAACATGATTTTTAGTTCAGTTTTAAAGTTATTCATTATACAGGTCTTTACATAGTCTTCTCTTGCAGTGATGCCACAAAAAGAAATTCTACCTTTTCGGACGAGGTGATTTTAACAAGGGTGTTTCTTTGATACAGGGCACCACTCCCTGTATCATCACCACCCAACAGCTCCACGGTATCCCACATGGCTTTATAACCTGGAGAAAATCAGAAGAGAAACTAATGAACAACATAGACCAGCAAAGTACAGTAATGATTTGAACCTTTGTATTAAGACAAAATAACCATGCTGTGTTTTTAAGCAATGTCCCCACAGGCAAAAATTTGAAATGCATTTATTTAGCTGGTAGAAATGTAGCAGAATAAGCTTTCCCTGTTGTGTGCGACTTTTATAACAGAATAAACGGGGGGGGGGGGCGAATTTAAATTTTAAAATTGATTATACTTCTTAAAATATATACTTTAAAAGTACAAGATTAAACATATCAAATGTATCACCAGTATTAGAGGCACGACCTGTGTTTTCCCTAGTATTCAATAAAATGTCTCCAGTTCTCAGTAAGATAATACCACACACATTAAAGAAGACAAAACTAACTAGTCAATTTAGCAGAAACATCAACACCATGAAACTCATTTTCCCATTCTTCTATTTTAGGAATATATCCTGCCTCCAATATACAAACATCACTCAATACAGTTTTTCTAACTAATAAAAATATCATAAATAGCATTAAATCCTAAGGCTCTTTACACTATAATTTATGTATATTGGCTGTGAGAGACAGTAATAAAGAGTTCAAAACTTTAGGTTTTTCATATACAAATACAGTAGCTACTCCTCTGGAAAAATATAACTGCACTTAAATCTAATAAAATATTTTATCGCCTCCAGCCCCACTTTAGCCTCCCACCGCCCGCGCGCACCTCTCCCCGCCGCAGAAGCCGCCGCCGCCTCAGACGCTCAAATTGGCGCGCACGCTCCTCAGGGGCAGTCCGCTACGGGACACGGCGAGGGTCAAATATAGTCAGCGCACAGGGGGCGGGGCTGCTGGAAAACCCCGCCCGGCCACTAGAGATCGGAACGGCAAGAGAGATGTTGGGAAACCGACTTCGTGGTTCCTTAGAGCTGCCGCCCCCTTGGAAGAGCGGGGGAGTGGAGAGTGATCTGCAGAGACCCCGGGGTCGCTCCCCGATAGGCGTGCGCAGCGGGCTCCTCGGGAAGATGCCCGAGGCGGGGGGGCAAACTGCCGGGCCTCTTGACCCTCCCGCAGCCCCTGAATGCACCCATTTTATTTATTTCATAGGATTCATACACCACTTGATGGGGGGGGGGAGCCTCAAAGTGGTTTACAAAAAGATAGAACAAGGAAAGTTAGAAAAATTCACAAACCTATTATAAAACATACAAAAACTAAAACAAAATAAAAGTTAGACTTGTCTAAACAATAATATTTTTGGCAGGCACCAAAAAAGAATAAAGCGAAGGTGCCTGCTAGATCTCAATAGGCAGGAAGCTCCAAAGTCCAGGTGCTTCCACACTGAATGACTGAGTTCTTACAAAGATGGAACAGGTATGTGGCACGTGCAGTAGTCCCAATTCTGGTGATCAAAGCAGTCAAGTGGGCACATGTGGAGTAGGGCAATCTTGCAGGTGAAGTGGTCCCAAGTTATTGAAGGCTTTATGTGCCAAACTGTTTTAAAGTCTTTTTATCCTCAACAGCCCTGCAAAGTACAGTAGACCACAGTGCAGTTTAAACAAAACATTAAAAAGACCAGCACTAGGACCTTAAAGACTAACAAATTTATTATGGCATAAGTTTTGGGGTGCTAAGGTCTACTTAATCAGCTGCATCATTCTTGGTAATTCATGAAAGCTTATGGAATAATACATTTACTAGCCTCTAAAGTGCCCATTTGGCTATTGTTTCATTTCCACTGTGACCCATGCTGAATTGATAGAAAGTATGCACCCATTACCATACTATGTGACAGTGACAAAAAGAGGATTTTAGCTCTCAAGATCTACTGGTGTGTTTATTTTTTAAACATATTGTTATGAGTTTGTCTGAAGCCCGGACCCCCTTTCTAATTCCTGCATGACAAAAACTGAATTTAGCATGTTAAAATCCAGAGATTGCCTAGGTAAGGTAAAGGTAAAGGACCCCTGGACGGTTAAGTCCAGTCAAAGGCAACTATGGGGTGCAGCGCTCATCTCGCTTTCAGGCCAAGGGAGCTGACGTTTGTCCACAGACAGCTATCCAGGTCATGTGGCCAGCAGGATAAAACCGCTTCTGGTGCACAGAGGAGCGTGACAAGTGCCAGAGCACACGAAAACACTGTTTACCTTCCCACTGCAGTGGTACCTATTTATCTACTTGTGCTGGTGTGCTTTCGAACTGCTAGGTTGGCAGCAGCTGGGACAGAGCAATGGGAGCTCACCCCGTTGTGGGAACAGCCAACCTTCTGAGTGGCAAGCCCTAGAAGCTCAGTGGTTTAGACTCGGCATGTCCAACTTCAAATAAGCTGCAATCTACTACCCAGTATAAAAAACTGGCAGTGATCTACCCATAGTCATTGGGGGCAGAGCTTTTGCCACTTCTTTAAGTGTTTCATCTTGAAGCACCACCTGAATAAAATGTGGCCTACTATGCTCCAGAGGTAGTATAATAATGATGATGATGATGATAATAATAATAATAATAATAATAGTTATACAACAAATTATAAAACTACAGTAAAACATGAGCGTCAGCTTCTTAGCTTTAGAGTAAGAAAACGAACCATATAAGCATTGCCATTCCTCAGCCGAGTTGTATCCAAGGCATTGCAATGAGCGGTACAGCATAGCTAAAAGGGTATTTGGGAAGAGAGTCAAGCCAATGAACTGTCTGAGCAGAAAGCACAAAGTCTATCAGGAACCTGTCCTGGAGAAAGTGTAGGATTGGGTTGCCAGCATCGAGTTCTGTCCAGAACTGCCTCACAAACTTGCCGCTGTCTCTGGTGCAAGGCAGGGAGAAGCTGCCCTTGCATTTAGGTAACTGTGTGTTAACTGGCTTTAAAGGGCTTTTACAAATACTTGTGGTATGGTGGCCTTTTTTTACATCCCACATTATAAAAAAAGTGTGCTCTTCTGGTGGCACTGAGGAGGCCATGATTGTTAAATTTGGTGGGAACCATGTGCCAACAGTTGGGCAGAGCGTTACGCTTTATGCTGTATGTTTTTCTTCTTCCAAAGATGCACTCCTTGCTGTCTGTCTCTTGTCACGTTGCTCTGCCTGGCTGGGACAAAAAGAGCAACCCAGAGCTTTGGAACAAGCTGTGACCCAACGACCAGTACAAGGTATGGTAGGAAATACTTAACTAGGGTTATGATGCTGGTTATCTTATAGGCCAGGGATGGGGAGCCTGGTGTCCAGCAGGATGTATGTATGATTTGTGGGGGGGGGGTCTTGGGCTACAGGGTGGGCAATTTCAAAAGGCAATATAAGGGCTTGTGCCCCATTGTTTGGGGTTCTCCCTCCTGCATGTGGTGAGTGGGGACCCTGTTGCAACAGTTCCTTTAATAAAGATCAGGCTTACTAGTTGCTTTGCTTCTCAATATACAGTGGTACCTTGGTTTATGAACTTAATCCATTCCGGAAGTCCGTTCTTAAACCAAAGTGTTCTTAAACCAAGGTGTGCTTTCCCATAGCGGCAGGGGACTAAATTTACAAATGGAACACACTCAACAGGAATCGAAACATGTTCTGCTTCCAAGGCAAAGTTCACAAACCATAACACCTACTTCCAGGTTTGCAGCGCTCTTAATCCAAGTTGTTCATAAACTAAGCTGTTCTTAAACAAAGGTACCACTGTGTTCTGGGTGGCCTCTGTTTTCTCCTACTGATAGAGAACCCACTTAAGGACTCTATACGGGCTCCGGAATACTGTACCCCATAAGGCAAAGGGAGCAGCTGTAGTATGCAAAGAAGAGCTGGTGGCAGCAGCGGAGCTAGACGCTCGGGTGCCCGGAGTGGCACACGTGCACCTGGGGGGGGGTCAATCCCCCCAGGGGGTGGTTGGCATGGCAGCAATCTGCCCGGGGGAGATTTTGTCAACCCCCCCCCCCGGGATGACACCTGGGGTGGTTCGCCCGCCCCAGCCCCCCTTCCTACGCCCCTGGCTGGTGGGGCTAATACTCGATCCCCTCAGGCTGCATCACACATTGATTGGGAATAACCCATTTTCCTTTATATTGTCACAAGCCACCGGATCTCTGAGTGGTGTGAGAGTCCAGGGGTTCCAGGCACCTTCGCAAGGTCTAAGTTTCCTTTTGGAAGAGTACCCCATCCGTATGCTCCACTATCCCTGCTGCATATCCTTTGATGACAAAATAAAGGACTCCCATTCACAGTAGTACATGCACACAGTGATTTCTATACATTTCTCTCCATTAGACAACCTATGCTGGGTTCCCAGTGCCATAATAAAGCAAGGAAACCCCACTTTCTGGAATATATAAACTCACCAAAAATTAGCCAGAAAAATGGGGTTTTTTTGTTTCCAAAAGGTGGTGATCCAGGGATGGAGGAGAGGGGACCTGACTCATGGCAGAAGGAGCAGGGAGGCCATAATCCTCAAGATGTACCATCACATACTCAGGATTAGGGTTGTCATATTTTGAAAACAATGTCTGGGTGAAAATCAGCTAAATGTCCGGAGAAATCCGGCAATTGTTGTCGGCAGTGTTGGTTTTCCTGATTTCCCTCAAAATAGCTCAAAAATGTCCAATTTATTTGGAATTTTGCAAAACAAAACAAAACAACTCAATTTTTCTGTCTAGATTTTCACTTTTTGAAATATGGCAGCCCTACTCAGGATACCCCTCCCAATTTCCCAAACAGGTGCTAGCAGCTATGACAAAGGGACCAGACTAGGTGTTATCAGAAGGAAATGAGACCAAGGAAGAAGAAATAAAGATGCTGAGGAAGGCCTTCCTGACAAAAGGATATGTAGATATTTTCATTAACTTGTGAGAAGTGAGTACTTGAACCATGCATGATTGACAGGGACATGTCTAGATCTCAGATTTCTGCCTGACACCATACCTTTTCTGTGACATACAGTATCTATGATGTTTTGATGATGCATGTTTTATTGGAAATATGTTGTTGTTTAGCCGTTTAGTCGTGTCCGACTCTTCGTGACCCCATGGACCAGAGCATGCCAGGAAATATAGGGAATTAAAGGACTTTAAAAAATGATGTAACCACAATTCTAGGCTTCTTGCTGTTTCGTCTTTGTTGTAGTCAGAAGTCTAGTTCTAAGAATAAAGTGATCAGGCCTGCTGGCTGCTGTTTTTGCTTCCGTCTCTTGGCTGAAGTCTTTTGCTTGTGGACCCGGATTCCCTCTAACAGAAATGAGGCACAGCAGAGACTGTGCTGTCTTTAGGATATATGGTTTATTTACACACACATATAAGACTACAATGGAGTTTACAGCATTGACACCCCACAATATTCTTGCTTTTCCCATAATCGCAGCATAGGGTTCAAACAGAAATCAAACATGCTCCAAAACGTGGCTGTGACCCTCTCTCCAGCTTGATGATTTTTAGACTGCAACATTTCTGAAAAAACCCAAGCCTAAACTCTCTGAAACTCCTTCCTTTTGTCTTCTAACTAACTCTGTGCTGAAGGAGGGGCCTCTCTCTCTGGCATACCTAACGGCTCATCATTTTACCTTTGTTCTCCTTAATGGCCTATCCTAGGCAATCTCCAGGGATGCAGGTAGGTAGCACTGTGGTCTAAAATTTTCGCATGTCCAACCAGTCCATCACGATTGACCAGTAGATCGTGGGATTGATCTTGGTCGATCATGGGATTAAATTAAAACCGCAAGTGGAAACAGGATAGATCTGCTTGGCTCTTGTTTTGTTTAAACTTGCAGTGGTGGTGTCCAAACTTTTTTCAAAGAGGGCCTTTTTTTAGGATTGAAGTTGTTGAGCTTTTTAGCTTTTTTTATGGTATTACCCCAAAGTTGTTGTTGAGCTTTTTTTAGGGTTGAACTTTGAACTTGTTAGGATTTTACCCCAGGAAATAATTTATGATTAAGGACTCTATTGCTTGTTTTAATTTGCCAGTCTAAATAGAGAGAGTGTATCGCAATATGATCCGATGTGCATAAAAATAAGTTGGAAAGCTTTTATCAAGTAAGTAACAAGTGTCAAAACCTGATGACACCCCCCCCCCCGCAACGCATAAGCACCCCAAGGATCTCCGTCGCTGAACAACCTGGAGGTCCCCTCTGCTCTTTTCATGCCTCTGCGTCTCTCGCGCTTCTCGCTCGCGCAGGCGCTCTTCCTCTCCTCCCTCCCGCCCGGGGCCCGGGTTACATCCGGGAACCCTGGGAAGTGGGCGGGGCATCCCTGACCGCTCTCCGCCGCCGAGCAGCCGAGGCGTCGCGGGCGTTGGAGCCGCAGGGAGGAGCCGGAGCTGCCGGGCCGGCCAGGGCCGCCTTTCCCGACCCCCGACATGGCGGTGAGCCCCTGCCGCTCCTTCTCGGGGGCCGCCGCCAGCGGCCGAGGGGGAGGCCGAGCTGGGCGGCGGGAGGCGCCGTCGTCTTCGCCAGCCAAGATGGCGCCCGCTCGCCGCGGGGCCGGGAGGGGCGGGCGGGCGGGGGGGGGGAGCTGCCTCGGCCGCCTTCGGGCCCCGGAAACGTCCCCGAGTTCGGCATCTCGGCTTCCACGTCACTTGGGGTTTTGGTTTTGGTGGCGCGAGGGAGGGGGCGGTTCTTGGTTTGCGAGTGTTTTCCCTCATTCTTATGTATTTTCCGTTTTTAGCTTGCATTTCTATGTTGTGAACCGCCCCGAGATCTGTGGTAAAGGGTAGTATACAAATTTAATTAGTAATGATATATTCGCACATGTTTCTAAGAGGTTTCCTCTCCTCTCCACACTCCTGTTGACTGTTTTAGATCGCAAGGTAGTGGCACCGTCTCTTTCCCTCCCTAAAAAAAGGCTGTATGAGTGGTACAATATTTGATATTAGGCCCTTTTATAAGTGTGGCTGTTATTTGATGGCTCGGTTCCATGTGTTTTTGCACAGAAAGGCCCACTATGTTCAGTTGGTCTTCTTTCCAGGTAAATGCATGAAGGTTCTCACGGTTCATGCTTACCTATATATAATGTTTTTATTAAACACTTTGTAAATAAGGAAAGCAGGGGAGAGCTAGTTAAATTAACAATGCTAAGTTAAATATAGAGTCTGAGGAAAGGAATTATTTTGAGGGTGATGATATATGAGGCTTTGGGGAGAGCCCTAACGTGAGTTGGGGTGGGAGAAGGAAATGTGGTAACTTGAAAAATTGTGCAACTTAAACCTCAGCAGAACTGACAGAATTGTTGTTATTATTGGATCCCTAACGACTTGATCCTTTTATGCTTAATAACATTACTGAGTTCAATGGAACTCACTCCAGCTTTGTAAGGAAGCCCCACAGAAGTTCGTAGTCTGGGGGTTGGGCAGGACTTAACTTGGTGGGGACGGTGGAGAAGTCCCCCCCCCCCCCGCTGCTGATCTCTCTTGGACCTGGAGTGAGATTCTTGTTTCTTGTGTTTCCTGCAAAGGAGGGGCAGAGTGCTCTCACTCACTGACCTGCGTGGAATTTCATGTGCTTGCCAATGTGTGGCTTTGTGTCATCTATGCCTCTCGGGCTAGTGCTTAAGCACAAGGATGGCATCATACACAGCAAGGGTTCTTAACCCGAGGTCCATAGATGCACTTCAAGGGTCCTGTGAACCAGGCACACCAATATGATTTGTTCCCAATTTAATAAGATAAATTGTATGCAAAGCTTTGTGCATGTTTATGGGTAGGGTGTCCATAGCTTTCATTAGAATCTCCAAAAAGGATTGTAACCACATACAGTGGTACCTCGGGTTAAGTACTTAATTCGTTCTGGAGGTCCATTCTTAACCTGAAACTGTTCTTAACCTGAAGCACCGATTTAGCTAATGGGGCCTCCTGCTGCCGCCGCGCCGCCGGAGCACAATTTCCGTTCTCATCCTGAAGCAAAGTTCTTAACCCAAGGTAATATTTCTGGGTTAGCGGAGTCTGTAACCTGAAGTGTATGTAACCTGAGGTACCACTGTGTATAGGATTACGTCACAGCATGGCCCATCAGAACATACACTGGAACTTGCTTCTGAGTAAGCATTTATAGGGTCTAGCTTCCAACAGTGCACTCTTCCAATGGGCACACTAACCTCTGCACCACAGTGGCTCTCACTGGGGTGAACCTTTTTTCTTTCAGTTTGCAAAGCCATAGCTTCTGTGATAGGTGGAGCTGCCGGTAAGGGACATTGTCTCACTCTGTCCATTCATGCCCATGTAATGTGATTATTTTAAAAATTCTAATGTTTTTATTTCTGTAGAGGAAAGCATTCCCCTGTAAATGCTACAGGAGCACTCATGCAAACATTTTAAAAAGTAGGGGGATGCTCCACCATTTCAATATCATTGGTTTCTTTGAAGGTTTGCCCCCACCTCAAATTACCATTGCAGTTATAGTGTGTTACACATTCCCAAACTTAAATCCCACTGTGCTCTTTATACAACCTGTTTTGCTATGGCTGGTTGCAACCCTCTAAATACCACTAATTGCAAAAAGAACGAAATAAATTCTCTACAATTATAAAAATAGAAGGTGGTGCTGCATTGGGGTGTGTGGCAACTAGCTTTTTTTTTCTATCCCAGTTTGTAACACTGCTGCCCTTTATCAGTAGATCTCAGGGCAGTTCACAGCATAAAAATACAAAGTATTATATATTGGATTTAAATGTGCTTAAAATAAGACTATTTGGAAAGTGCATGTTGTAGGTAAGTTGCTGTAATGCATTAAAATATGCCTCAAACTGTGCTTCATTGACTTCTATTGTTGGGAGTAAAGACGACAGTTGCTGTGCCTGGTGGCGATAAACAGATGGAAAATTTAATAGGCAAAGGACTGATGTGCCATTCTCTTTGAAAATCTACTAATCAAAACATCTAAAATCACCTGAGGTACAGAAAAGAAGCAATTCAAAGAAGGAACTATGGGTTGCTTTATCAGTATCTGTTGACATAGATGTCACTGAGGAGGAACATCATTTTTGGATTGGATACAGAATATCCATCTCATTCTTCTGCAGTAGAAAACATTGTAGTGCTTGAATTTGGTTATTTTAACACCCTATCTAGTGGCTGTGGACTTGATTTCCTACTAGTGGAATATATAGCTTTGACAATTCAACATTAACTAGTTTCTGGATGTTTGTGATGATTAAAAAATAGTGGTCTAGACTGCTTCAGGCAGTTAAGATACTTTGCGATAGAGTGGTGGTAAACTATGTAATAATAACAATATTTCATTTCATCATAGGCTAGTGATACAGAGCGAGAGGCAATAGCCCCAGAGAAATCATCTCCTGATAGAGAAAAGAAAAAAGATGCATCTAATTCTCCTAGAACTTCAAAACATCATTATTCAAGGTCACGTTCACGATCAAGAGAGAGAAAACGAAAGTCAGGTATGGAAGCCTCTAGCTGTTAAGAGTTTTCCCTATAAAAACTTGCTGGTGCATAAACTTGTGATTTAGTGGTAGTGTGTAGTTAGGCTGCTAACCTAAGCATGTTTACTTAGAGGTAAAATTGAATTCAGTTCAAATTATTGCAACTTCCAAGTAAACAATAACGTTTTCGATTTATGTGCATGTCCTTTTGAGTTCTATGTTTCAACCTCTTAAAAATGTGAAATTTCTCAACACTTTAAGCTTCAGCATCATGTTAAGGGTTGAGAGTTGGAGTAGGTGAGGAGCAGAAAGGTAACATAGATGTGAAAATGCTGTTTCAAATAATAATTATATTATAATTTATTATTTATACTCTGCCCATCTGGCTGAGTTTCCCCAGCCACTCTGGGTGGCTCCCAATCAAGTGTTAAAAACAATACAGCATTAAATATTAAAAACTTCCCTAAACAGGGCTGCCTTCAGATGTCTTTTAAAAATAGGATAGCTGCTTATTTCCTTGACATCTGATGGGAGGCCGTTCCACAGGATGGGCGCCACTACTGAGAAGGCCCTCTGTCTGGTTCCCTGTAACCTCACTTCTTGCATTGAGGGAACCGCCAGAAGGCCCTCGGCGCTGGATCTCACTGTTCGGGCTGAACGATGGGGGTGGAGATGCTCTTTCAGGTGTACTGAGGCCGAGGCTGTTTAGGGCTTTAAAGGTCAGCACCAACACTTTGAGTTGTGCTCAAAAACATACTGGGAGCCAATGCAGATCTCTCAGGACCGATGTTATGTGGTCCTGGCGGCCACTCCCAGTCACCAGTGTAGCTGCTGCATTCTGGATTAATTGCAGTTTCCGAGTCACCTTCAAAGATAGCCCCACGTAGAGCGCATTGCAGTAGTAAGTGGGAGATAACTAGAGCATGCACCACTCTGACGAAATAGAAATGTAAACCATTGAAATATTTTAAGTACTGGGTATGACTGGGAATGGCATGTCTGTAAAGAATGAAAATCCTTTTCCAAGCACCTTTACTTGACAATAAATGTTTTATTCCTTAGATAATGACGGGAAAAAGTACAGAAGTCGGAGCAGAAGCAAAGAGGTAATTAATACTTTGTAGTGCTTAGGTAATTGTACAAGATGTATTTAAAAGTACATCATAGCATGTGTAAATCTTAGTATATAAATGTCTTAATGGTAAGTACAAAAAATGATAATTCAGAAAAATGTGTTTGGAGAGAGAAGCATGACTGAAGCCATCATTATGAGAAAAAGGTAACAGTTGACAAAAGTTCACTGACAGATTAACTGTGGAAACAGCCACAATAAACATTTCTTTGGAGAAATAGGATTGGTATATTTGATTCTCACAGAGCTTCCATTGACCAGAGTTCTCCTCAAGAATTTGCAAATTTCTTACCCACTTAGTTCTTAAATATCCACTTAATATTTTGAGTTTTCCTATGGTGCCAGTGCATTTGGCAGGGTTTGTAAAAGTAAATCAAAGGCAAGGGCACTGAGATGAGGCAGTGGTAGTGATAACATTGTTAGGTAAGCCGGTTGCCTCCAGTGGTGAAGTAATATCAGTGGAGGAGCCCTAGCAGTAGCCAGAAGGCTAGCCAACTTCTGATGGGGTAGTGGGGTAGTGTTAGGCTACAGAGAGATGGGGCCAGTTCTAATGTGGGGCCAGGGACCTTTTTCTCTTTACCCAATGGAAGCTCTGTTTTAAAAAGAAATTAGAGTATTTGTGAAATTGATTATATTGTTTAGATCACATGATAACATTTCTATAATAAATCATACTCAGCGTGCTAATGCGCGAAGAGACTGAACTGAAGACGCTCCAGACTCAGATAGCAAAATTATAAGCCTACTTCATGATAAGGTAACTATTAGTCATTCAAACTCATATTTCCCTTTAAAAAGCAACTTAAATCGGTTATGGGATATTATGGTGGTTTTAAATACAAAGTGTATATTAGGAAGACTGCTCCATTATGTTAAAGTAAGAAAATCTTTCACTAAACTTAAAAAATTATGTGTAGAAGGAGGATTACACGTTAAAAGTTTGTTTTAAAAGGCTGGTTTCTTTATGTACAAGTTCTTTATGTACAACCTGTACACATTAGCTTTTAAATTCAATGGGGAGTAACTGGCGGTGATATTTGAAACTGCTGTGGATGTCTTAAAATCTGTAACATTTCAATAGCTGTTGAATTAATGCACTGACTTTTATGGTTCTAGTGAGACAATTGAAAGGAAGAAGGGCAGAAGGGTATGGGCATTGCACCTGTGTGGAGGCATGCCCACCGCAGGAAGCTCTCTACCTTGCCTCTACCTTGTGGAGGGTTCATTCCATGTTTGCGGGCTGGCTTGCCCATTTCCTGTATATAATAAGTGGACTCTTTACACTATTTGTTTTACAACAAAATTCTAATGATCTTTCTTCAGTGGTTGTACAAGTGACTGAAAAAGTAGCCCAAATGGATCTAATTGATGTTACGAACTACTTGAAACAAAAACTCACCACCTACTATGTCTAAGATGAACAAGTATTAAAATCTCTATAGAGTAGGAAGGTGATATTTCTTTGCGTAGCCAACTCTCTTTGGCAGTTGTTGATGTGCAGTATTGTCTTTCAGTGGGGTTAGTTGCACCTGGAAGAAACAAAGTAGTAGTTGAAGCACCTAGGATTTACCTTTACTTCTACCTTTGGGTGTGAGTTTGGGGATTTAAAAAATAATAAAGACTCACATGGTCTTTAGAGTAGAAATCTATCCATATACAATTAACTTAAAAAGAAAGAAAGTTACTGAGATAATAAGAAATTTGGGTAAACTGGCCTTACATGGTAAGAGATTTCTTCAAAGAAAGTAGCACACAGACTGCTGCAGATTCAAAACATGACAGTTGGTCTTATTGGACCTCTATAGTGTAAGACTTTAGGGTGGAGATACTTATTTATAATACTTAGAAAGTTGGCCAGTGCATGTACTTCCAAGCTTTCTTAATTGCTGATGAGCTTGTACGTAAAACGTTTAGACAGTTCTCCTGTGTATGCTTATCCCATCTAGCTTTTGAGCATAGGGGTGGAAAAACATGGTCACTATGCATGAGGTAATCAAACACTAGAGAGGCTGCTGTTCTATCTAATGCTGTGAAACTGGTAATGGTGTGAGTTGCTTTAACAACACGGTACAAAAATGTTTGAAAAGTGTGGGATGGGAAATGGGAGGAGGAATGATAGCGAGCATCTGCAACATTGTGTAGCTGATGGTGTTAAAAGCCATCACAGTTGTCTGGGCCACACTCCTAAGGTTACTAATGTTGCATCACAACATATCATTCTTTATCTGCTGATGCCCATACTAACTCTCTTTGTTGCACTATTTTCCTGAAAGAACCAACTTCTTCTTAAAACAGGCAAGAAGACATGGGTCCAAAGAGAAGTCCTCGAAGAAGCACAAATTTGAAGACCATAACGACAAAGAACACTCTTCTGATAAAGGAAGAGAGAGCCTGGGCACTTCAGAAAATGGTGAGGAACGGCATAAGCGCAAGGAGAGGAAACCCTCAAGGGGACGAAGTCATTCAAGATCTAGGTCTCGTGAAAGGTATACTTAACAATTTCTACTTTGGAAATGCTTCAGTGTTCTTTATGCTCTTGTTCTGTTAGACGTGCCCAGCTACGCCTTCATCCTTTGTTCCAGCATACCTGGTGCAACATCACAGATGTGCCAGATCGGTTTTTTGTATGGGTTGGTGTTACTGTTTGTAACTTTTTTGATTTTGAGGATCAAGTGGCCAGAGTTTCAGCTGTTTTTCCTCCCCATACGTAGGATTTGTTTACTGTAACCCTTTTGCCAAACCTTTAGGTTATGCCACAAATTTGTTTTCCAGAATGAAAATACTTAGTAGTGTTCAGGCCACTGACTTCATTTGAAGTGAAGTTACACTATTTGTAGATGAGCCCAAAACTGACAGCTTTTTGTGACCTCTCAGTAGAAGATAATGAGCAGGTTTCCTTTGCATCTTGTTGCTATTAAATGTGAATAATAAAGCTAGAAAATGTTACCAGAAGTTTGGAATGTGTTTGCAGGCGTCACCGTAGTAGAAGCCGTGATAGAAAAAAGTCACGATCTCGAAGCCGAGATAAAAAGCGACGTGTAAGATCACGTTCTAGATCAAGATCTAGACACAGGCATCGGAGCAGGAGCAGAAGCAGAACTAGGAGCAGGAGCAGGTATGTTAAGTTCTTTCTTTTTTCCTTGAGATAAAAATTATAGGGTCGGTGCTAGCAGTTGGAAGTTGCACTCTGAAGAGCAGGTAGATACAGTTAATTTATGGTCAAACAGTCAAATAATTACATGATAAAATACCTTTACCTGCAGAGAAAGAAAGAAGAGACCTGAAAAGCCCAGAAGATTCAGTAGAAGTCACAGCCGAACTCCAAGTCCACCTCCTTTTAGGGGACGAAACACAGCAATGGATGCACAGGAAGCATTAGCTAGAAGGTACTATGATTTTTTTGGCCTTAAGTTTATAGAAGCCAAGAACTTACTCTGTTTACCTTTTACTGACTTAGAGTAGAAGCACAGCATGCAAGCTTTGAGGGGGGACCATTGTCATTCTCTACACACCCCTGCACCAAATTTTAACATATTAAAATGTGGAGAGCTATTTTAGGCACTGATACCTAGATGAAGTCAAAAGCATAGTGTACTCACAACATTTTTGCTTGATGTATTTGCACTTTTATCAATACACAACTGAAAAGTACCTTTGCTATAGTGAAAGCTAGAAGCATACATCACAGAACCACTCCGTTATGTTCTTTGAGTTGGAGGGTTCTATGAATGCCCTTCAGGAATAACAATTGTTAGTATAAAAAACAAAGGGGAAAAGAGATCAATGTGGGGGGGAAATAATAACTTTTGATCAATTGATTTATTTTGCATATTTCCTAGATTGGAAAGAGCAAAAAAACTGCAAGAACAGAGAGAGAAAGAACTGGTTGAAAAACAGAAGCAACAAGAAATGGCTGCTGGTAATTCTGTTTTTATGAACTGCTAGAACATAATGAATAGTAGTGGAAATATTTATAGCTTCATATTGGAAAGCTATAAAAAGAAGAAACCTCATTTGTTTTAAAATAAAGCAACAGAAACTTCTCTATTCAAACTTTTCTCTTTTTTTGACAGTCCCTAAAAATAGTTGCATCACCAGACAAATGCTTAGAGAACTAGCAAAAGCTGTCTAAGGTCTTTCAATTGGCTAGCTTGTACTTAATGCCCATTAAGATGAAACTTTTACTTAGTCCATGTTTCTGAGATTAAAAAAAATTCTGGAAGCTTCTTCTTGTATAACATGTTAATGTTCATTTTAGCGGCTGCTGCCACCGGCACTTCTGTCATCAATGTTGCAGCTCTTCTGGCCTCTGGAACACAAGTCACTCCTCAGATAGCTATGGCAGCTCAAATGGCAGCCCTGCAAGCAAAGGCCCTGGCAGAGACAGGAATAGCTGTTCCAAGCTATTATAATCCAGCAGCAGTAAATCCCATGAAGTTTGCTGAACAGGAGAAGAAGCGGAAAATGCTGTGGCAAGGCAAAAAAGAAGGGGTATTTTTCTTTGTCTAATTATTCCACTTTGTGCCTTGGGAATTGTTGACAACAAGGACATAACTTGTAATATTCCTGCATTGCAGGAAGTTGGACTAAATGACCCACGGGGGTCCCTTCCAGTTCTGTGATTCTGTGATACAATGGGCACAAGCCACATGTCAGCAAGAGGGGCCTCTTAGTAGCACACAGAACATTTAGCCATCTAATGGTCATACTTGGCAGTGTAACCATTGTTTTATTTTTTAAAAGTCTGGTATGTTCAGAATTCTAACGAGCATCTGCCATCGTAATCTCAAGTGTCTTAAGGTCTACAGAGCCAGTAGGTGGTCTAGTTGACATGTTGAATAGCTGTCAAAAAAGACTTTCTATGAGAAGTTCAGAAAGGGCACTTGTCTTAAGGGTGCTGGGATTAAAAATATTTGCTTAATCTTCACTAAACCAGCAGTCCTGCAACATTCTTATTTACATTATTGAAAGTTTTAGGCTTGCAGCCAGATTGTTTTTTTCTAGTTCCAGTTCCAAAGGAAACGTGTTAAAACAAGAGTGTGTGAGAAATACTTTAGGACCTCTTGCTTATTAGTATATTTAAACAGTTTCCCCCATTGTATCATCAGATCTATAAATCAAAATGAGTTGCAAATTTACCTATGTGTTATATATGTATATAATAAATCACTTTGTGTTTCTATAGGATAAATCACAATCTGCAGAAATCTGGGAGAAACTGAACTTTGGAAACAAGGACCAAAATGTCAAATTTAGAAAATTAATGGGTATTAAGGTATGTGAAATGTAGAAAAACTCATAACCGAAATTGCTTTCAAGTAAGAGCTCAGGTTAAACGACTCTCTCGAAGCGGTTCAAATCAGCATATACAGCAAGACGCCATTCACCGCAGTTTCTGGCCCAGAACTAGGTGGTCAGTTTAATACATTGCCAGTTCAGTAGGCCTCCAGTATAATCAGGGGAGGTATATGAACTTCAAAATAGAAATTTAATTAAGTAATAATTAAGAGTGAGCCAGCAATAAATCACACAGATTATGTGCTATTAAATGTAATACACTTATATGAACACAAGTGGAGTTAACTCTTTATTAGAAGAAACAGTAACTGCTCAGGAGTACCAAACCCACTGAGCACAGGAACTCTTCTTCGGAAGGTCTTCCACAAGAGACATTTGTGGGGACTGAATGTCCTCACCTTCCCATAGCTGGTTAAGTCTCCTCCTCTCCCAGATCTTTCCCAAGCAATCTGAGATGGTGGCGGTGTGCTGGCCTTCATTCCGCCCACTTCATGTCTCTCCTGGTGCTGGGAGACCGGGGGGGGGGGGAGCTCGTTGGAGCAGGAGGGGGAGATCCCACCCCAATACTTTTTTCAACAGTGACTCAGATGAGTCTGCTGCTTCTGATTCTGCACTTCTCTCTGCCACAGATTCCCTTCTCACTAAGCCCTGTTGCCTCTTCAGCTTCTGACACCTCCTCCCAGTCTTCTCCCTCTGACCATCATCGCACCACCACTAAACTGGGGGTTTAGTTTGGGGGTTCCCCAGCTGGTGCCTCCCCCTATTCCTCTGCATCCAGCCAGTCCATGACAAGTACTAGATAAGCTGTAATATTCCAAGGAAAAGTAAAAATGTGTTGGGTTGAGCCATGGGAGATTACATCTTTAAACGTTAAATTCTTGGCAAATTCTTTTGCAAAATGTTTCTATAAACCTACACCAAAATGAATTAATGACGGTTAGGTGTGCTATATATCCTTGAAAATGATAACATATTTCCCCAGGCATTTGCACTCTGCATTTACTTGCTCTGGAAATTCCAGCTGCAGAAAAGATGCTTTAATGAATGAATTGCCAGAATAATAGATGACTAGTTTAGAGGACATATCTGTTAACATATTTTAATAAAAATCATAATATATTATTTCAATTCTAGAGTGAAGAGGAAGCTGGTGGTAGTAGTTCGGTGGATGAAGAAAGTTACAAGACTTTGAAACAGCAGGAAGAAGTATTCAGAAATCTAGATGCACAATATGAAATGGCAAGGTCACAGACACACACCCAAAGAGGGATGGGATTGGGATTCACATCTTCGATGCGAGGAATGGATGCTGTTTGAAAGAACGTGATCTTAAAGCCTGGGACTTTGTCAAAGATTATTGTTCAGATATTGGGTCCTTGTTCACCAAAGGCTAGCATTCTAGCTTGCATGGGGTGTTGCATTGACTTTAATTTATTGACATTACAATTTTTGTAAATATCAGATCAGTGATAACTGGTGTTCCATGTTGTAATCAGGTTATACTCACTTCCATTATACTTGACAGAGCTGTAGGAGGACATTTTTAGTTCTGTATTTCAAAACAGAACAGGTGAGGATAAACTCATACATGGATATTTTGTGTCCACTGTCTTGTGTACTTTTGTACTTTAACCTTGTACAGTTATTTTCAACTCTTGAAACATAAAACACATTGTGTAGGTGTTACTCTAGCAGACTGGGCCAGTGGGTGCATAATGCAGTGCAAAAACCTGGTTAATAAAAATGTTTTTTCTCAAATAGTACTGTTTTTAAGTTCAGTGGATGAATTGCTCAGAGCTTAATTTTGTACAATTCATTGTAACTTTATCTCTAGAAAGAAGCTTACTTCAACATAACTAGAGCAGAGCAAAATTGAGTTTTCATGAGTTCCTGCATTATGCTACTGCAAGCCCTTGCTCAGGAGATACTCTCCTCTAGGCAGAGTTCTCACTGGACTCACTCTAGTCTTATTCCAACCTGCCCAAACAAGTGGAAGTAAACTATACCATATCTAACAAGATGAATGTTACCATGTCCCGTGCCTGCTTATTCTAGCAGTAGGTTTTGATAAAAGCTTTTGGCAACGTAAAACTATCACCACCAGCTCAACATTTGCAATGTGACCTGTATGAAAAACATGTTTTTCATAATATGCTGTGTGGGGGCTTTATATCTTTTAGTTAGGCTGTGCAATGTAATTTAAAAAGTTGCATAGCAACAGAGTATGTTGCACTGCAACTTTTGAACTGTAACTTTTGTTGCATGTTAAGAAGAGAACTGAAACTACCACTAGAAGTGTTGTAAAATCAATAGGTAATCTCTTTGGAGAATCACTTGTCAATAATTCTTGTTCAGTTATTGAGCCCTTGTTCCCCAAAGCTAGCATTCTAGTTTGCATGGGTGGTCTGGAACAGTAGCAGAATTTTGATACTGTCTGCCCCAGATTGACTTCTCATGCTCTTTTTCTCAAGTGGTACTCTTGCGATAGTTCCAAGGGCTTCATATGCTATAGAGTTACAAAAGTAAGTTTGATTAAAATTGAAATTGAAGCCCACAGACTTCTGTGGAATTTATTCAAAGGGAAATAACTGAAAGAGGTAGGGAGTGCTTGGTGATGGATTGCGCCAATGGACTACTGTATGCTTTTCAGTACCCAGAAATATAGATGTATTGATTAATTTGAATGGAAAGTGGCTTACAAACATAATTGCAACATAATAGTAACATGATAGAACACAAGTACAGCGCAAGTCATATCATGAACAAATCACCTGTAAAACTATTAACCAAACAGCAACTAAAAAATAAGCTAAACACGTTTTAAGTGGCAGTGGCTTGCCAGGGTTTCAGCCAGGGTATCTTTTCTACCTCTATCAGAACATGCCTAGTGATTGAACCTGGATGGTCTGTTGCTGCCCTATGTTTTAATGAGGAGAGAGACCTGACAATAGTGGGAGAAAAGGAGGGTCAGTTGTTTGGTTCCTGCTTGTGATGTAACCAGGTTCTTTGTGCTTTTTGCCACTCCTGAAAGTGGTGATGCACTTCAGGTTTGAGGAAGAAAACTTCCAGGAACTGGAAAAATGAGATTGTAGCTACTCTGTTAGTAAAGACATCTGCTAGTATGTTGGAGAGCATGGATAAAAGGGGGACTCGTTTTCCTCCTAGCTGTACAAGTTAGTAATTCCTACCCAAGCTACGCAAGTGTATTAGCCGAGCTACCAAGAAACCTCTGCAAGAAAAAGCACACAGGAAGAGGCTGAGCAAAAAGAACTGCAGCTCCCCCCCCCCCCCATTGCGAGTCAATCTCCGCCAGCCTGCGCTGCCGGAAGCTTGAGAATCGGGCGGAAGTGCTTGGCCAATCCCAGCATGCATCGCTGCCCCCAGCCGCTCTCCCAGTGTGAAGTTCGGGCCTGGGGGCTGCGGGTACCGTCCGGCCTCGCTGCATTGTGGGAGTTGTAGTCGCCTGCCCGAAGAGCTCTGGCGACTGAAGGCCTTGCGAGCAACTGCGGCCCTTTCCGAGGTGAGGCCGGGGCCTCTCGCCGCCTTTCCTCTCCGCCCGGCGGCAACTTCTTCCGCAGCGCCGGGCCGTGCGGCCGGCGGGCCACGCGCGGCCGGCGCCTTCCCTCCCCGACCTAAGATGGCGGCCGAGGTGGACTTCGGGGACCAGGAGCTCTTCCAGCAGCTGGAGGCCGGCGAGGCGGCGCCCATCCCGGCCGCGCAGCCGCTCCACGCCCGCTTCGAGGAGGCCGGGGCGGAGACGGAGGAGCTCCGCCGGCGGCTGAGGGAGTGCCAGGAGACCGTCAGGGAGCTGCAGGCCGAGAATATCCTGGCGGGGGAAGCAGGCCGGCCTGGGGGCGCCCCTCCCCTCAGATCCCCGCCCAGAGGCGGCAGCCCTTCGAGGCCTTTGGCGGGGCGAGGGGCCCCTCCGCCTCCCGGCCCTTGCGGGGCCGAGCGGAGCCTCCTTCAAAGGGGCGGGGGGGGGGGCGCCGGCGCCCAGTGTGCTCTTGACATCTTGTTCTCTATCTTCGCCCTTGTAACCCCCTCCCCACCCCATTTGTAATCTCGAACTTGCGGGGGTTTCAGTTGCGTGGCTTCGGCTGGAGTTGCAGAAAGTGTCAGGGACTGCTAGCCTCTTGCAGCAGCGACACAGTCCGGCCCCCTGGAGCACGAGAGCTTATTCCGCAAGTCTCTGTTTTCAGGGTTGGCCCGGCCCAAGACCTTTTGCTGCCTGAGCGGGGATGAGGTTTTTTTGCAAAAAGATACTTAAGTAAATGCTAAGGTACTTTGCATTAGCAAATGTTTGGCTACCCTGTGTTGGGAGTTGTAGCCCAACAACATCTGGGCACCAGGCAGGCAAAGGCTGCTCTAAAGAGTGATCTAATTTAGTACATTTGTTTTACTTCTATTTCATAAGCTGCTTTGGCTGTGTGCAGTAAAGCTAACCAACTGAATATATTCTATAAGCAATGCTAAGAAGGTTGAAGCTGCCAGCCTTACCTAATAATGTATTTGTAGTTTGCATCCATTCACTGTTACTGGAGAAATTATTTCTGGCACCGAAAAAAGTTTCCACCCCACATCACTGTGCTTCAGGGAGACCAGGGACAATGAAACTCTCACCCTGTCCTGCTCCTGTTGGAGTGTATAAGACACAAGACTGGCAAAGTTATGTTGACACTTTGGACAGAAACTCCCACAGGCATTTCTTCTCCTTTATGGTAGTAAAAATGCAATAATAAATTGAATTTATTCAATTTGCTACCCCCTCGAGTTGACCAGAATTCCACTCTGCTGATCCTGTCTGTGTTGTGTTTGCTGCAACGTACTGCTATCCACTTGAGAAGTTGTGTCTTGGAACTTTGCTGTGGTTTTTTAAATTTAATTTTATACTACTTCATCCCATACCACCCCACCTATTTTATCTTCACAACAACTTGTGGGATAAGATAGACTGCAAGAGAGAGTGGCCGCCCAAGATCACACAGGGGCCTTCATGGCTAAGTGTGACTTTGAATCTGGGTCCTCCCAGTCCTAGGCCAGTACTCTGAGCACTATGTCGTGCAGTCTGCCTCACTGACTTTTTAAATTCCTTCTATTCAAAGTGGTGTATGGTTCTTCCCTGTCCCCTTTTCTCCTCGGCTACAATCCTGTGAAGTACATGAGGTGCTGAATTATCCAAGTTCACCTAGCAAACATTGTAGCTGAGCATGGATTTGAACATCCAGCACTCTTATATTACACTGGCTTATCATCCCTCTGCAAATTGTTTTGTGGTCACACACACACAGAGGACACATGACAAAGCTGGGGTGGGGAGAACAGCACCTGTTGAATATATCACTTGTGCAGCTTTTTAAAGGGCACAGGATACCAGATTTCAAAGAAGAAGGGACTGTTCATAAGCATGAATTGTACTAGGGAGGAGTACAGTTCTTCCTTTAGCAGAACTGTGACATAAATGTCAGCAGCCCTAGACGGATGTGGCCTGAAGCGTTTGACAAGGTCAATTCTGCCATCTTCAGGCTTCCCTTGTGATGCCTTCCTTCCTTCATGTACATTGAGTACCATGAATGGGTTTCAGCAACTCTCTGATTCACAAGTGGGGAGGCTAACGTATTTTCCTTTAACTTTCATACCTACTTTTTATATGTCAAATAAGCTTACATCTGGAGCTCTGGTTCTAATTATTATTACTGATTGAGAGTGCAGAACAGGGGTAGTCATAAATTATTCCAGGGTCATTATTCTGAAATAGTAGCATGACTTGAAATTCCTTAACAAATAATTAACATCATGAACTCAGAAGAAAATTGAATATGCTGACTCGACCAAGGTATGTGTAAATTGCTTCATCATCTGTGATGTTTAGTACATTGTTTAAAAGTAGATAGGCTCCAAAGAGCCACTTTAGATATGTGTAAGGATTTGGGCATGCCCTGTGTGATTCCAACCCACCCACACAATGCTGGAGCATAAATTGCTTGTGGAACCCCGTTCAGTTTCCAAACTGGCTTGCCATGTTTTAGATGTATGATGTACCGTATTTTTTGCTCCATAAGACGCACCAGACCATAAGACGCACCTAGTTTTTGGATGAGGAAAACAAGGAAAAAAATATTCCGAATCTTGGTAGCCAGAACAACAAGAGGGATCGCTGCGCAGTGAAAGCAGCAATCCCTCTTGCTGTTCTGGCTTCTGGGATAGCTGCGCAGCCTACATTCGCTCCATAAGACGCACACATATTTCCCCTTACTTTTTAGGAGGGAAAAAGTGAGTCTTATAGAGCAAAAAATACGGTAATTCATACTTTATGTTAGTACCTTTAAAAATGTTAGGTAATTTTTAAAACGTGGTTTGACCTGCTCCATTTATGGGGTGGGGCACAAAGCCTCCTTGAGCACGTTAAGCTAGCAGCATGGCTTTATGGATTAACTGGGTGTTTACTTCAGATGTAGCAGAAAATACCTGTCATTTGTTTGTACTGAGTGGTCACGAGGGAAGAGTGCTTACACTTCTTCACTAATATTAAGCTGTAGAATCTAGTGCATGTAATCAAAAGAAAATAATTTTGGCTTAGTATGCACTATTCTTAACAAACTGCGATAAGGAGAAAAGTTTATTACTAAGAATGGGGGTGGGGGAGAGAAATAAATAAATATACATATTAAGGTAAAGGACCCCTGGATGGTTAAGTCCAGTCAAAGGCGACTATGGGGCTGCAGTGCTCATCTCGCTTTCAGGCCAAGGGAGCCGGCATTTGTCCACAGACAGCGGGGATTCAAACAGCCAACCTTCCAATTGACAAGCCCAAGAGGTTCAGTGGTTTAGACCACAGTGTGACCCGCGTCCCTACATATATTAAAGTATCTTAATGTGGTCAGAATACTTCCAAACTATGTCAAAGAGGCATGTGGGCCTGTCTGAACTGCTACTACCTAATGTAATGGTAGCTTTATGCTTTCTTTTTTTTAGTGGACTTACCATTGACGACTCTAAACTTGATGGGCCTTTGTTACAAATTTTATTTATGAACAATACTGTTTCAAAGTAAGTATATATATTTTATATTGGTTAAGTTCAGAATGTTTGTATCATGGGTGCCTTCTAGAGTATTGAGCTTTGATTGGTGGGTCAGAACCCACTAGTCTACTGTCCCCCAATATAAGGTGTGTCATGTCTGTAGCTGTGTACCCCAAATTTTTAGGTGTGTGTGTGTGTGTGTTCAAATGAGAACTGGAAACATTGGGTGGTTGGGTAAATAAGCCATATGTAGATTTTTAAAAAAAAAGTTAAATTAAAGTTCCCACATAGTAGGTTGTAGTCCCTAGTCTTAAAAACGTTGACCGCTATTGCTCTACAGATATTTAAAGAAAATGTATGCAACATGAAAGGAATTTTGAATTTCTGCAGTGCTACCAAAACACTGGATAGGACAAATGCCTGTACCTTTCCCCCCAAAGTTTGATCTACAAGCTCTTCCTACTGCAGAATTGCAGAACAAAATCCTCAGCTTGAACAGTGTGTAAGAGCAGTCTGTGAGAGAGATGCTTTATAACAAAAAAAGACAGCATATCTATTTTGAAAATTCTTGTATAGGCAATATCATCAAGAAATAGAAGATTTTATATCTTGTTTAGTTCAAAAATATGAGGAGCAACAAAGTGCTGAATCTGACAAGACCTACTTCAATGTTAAGCCGCAGGTATTTATATATTAATGAAATGATCTAAACCTTTTCTTTTATTGGTATCCGTTGTTACTATTGTAGTAGACTAGCCCTAATAGCCTTTGTTATTGATGAAAAGTGTACCATGTTTCCTTAAAAGCATAAGAAGAGAAGCACATAAGCTACATTTTCGAGAAATAACATGTTTCTATTCATATGACTGGTCTGTCAAAAATGTCCTGCTGCAATGTGCTAACTCTAGTCATATTCTTCAGTAGCACAGTGTATGATGCCACTGCTCCATGTGAAGATGGGCAATACTGAGTCAAACCATTGGTCCACCTAGCCCAGTATTGTCTCTTGGGACTAACAGTAGCTTCCCAAGGCCTCAGGTAGGGGACTTTCCCAGCCCTGCTACCTGAGGTCCTTTTCGCTTGAGATGCCACTACATCCAAAGCAGCCACTGAGCTATGTCCATCCAGTGTGCACTCAGAGCACCTGTGCACACATGGCCTTCCCTGTTCAGTTTGTGGAAGAGGGCATTGCTAGGCTTATAGGAGGTTAAGACTTCAGAGAAAGCAAAGAGAGTGGATTTTTAGCTTAAATTTGAAGGGATGGTGGGGAGGGGGGAAGAGTTTCTTGATGGAAGAAAGTTGGGATATAAATGCAGGAATTTTTTAAAGAATCCTGTAGGCTGGGGAACTTGTTGCCTTCCAGATGTTGCTCTACTCTGGAGTTGCCCATCATTCCTGACAATAGGCCATGCTTGCTGGGACAGATGGCATTGGAATCCCAACAGCCTCTAGAGGGCACCAGGTTCCCTATTCCTGATACAAGTGTTCTGGAAGTGAGTTCAGGCATATAGGAGAACACTCATAATTATATACTTTGTTGTTTGATAAATATAATCTTAGTTTCGCAAACTGTGATTTGTCTTTCTATTAGCCTTCTAGTTTTATGTTGGAAGAAGACCATAAAGTGACAATCTCAAATACATCAAAAAAAATCAAGGAGGCCTTTAGTGTAAGTTACTCCTTTGCTTTGTGGTGTATGTGCTTGAATCCTACATTTTAGATTTCTGAACCATAGCATTAGAAAAGGGTTGACAAGATGCTTAAAGAGCCATGCAATTCTCACTGTATTTAATTATTGTTAAGTTGTTGTAATTCTTGGAAGGCCAAAACTCATTAATTGGCTGGGCTTTTTTTAGTTATGGGTGTGTAAGTTGTAAGATCTTGTTTGTAAAACCTTAAAACAGGAGAACCTTTATTGTAATGTACTTAATTATATCAAAATATATATTTGCGAAATATTTAAGTACATTTTTAAAACGGAATGTTGTCTTTCAATCTGATAAAATGCTGACACTTTTTGACTCTTTCTACAGGTTGTAGGAAGTGTTCTCTATTTTACCAATTTTTGTCTTGATAAACTGGGGCAGCCTATATTAAATGAAAACCCTCAGCTGACAGATGGATGGGAAATACCCAAGTATCCTATTTAGTTTAATGTCCTCTTTTCCTGCTAACAATGCAACTTAATCCAATCAGTACTAAACCAGATTCAATCTACATATTTTGAGTCTATTAACTACGTAACTGTGGTGTCATACGTTACAGGGCATGCCCTTTTTGGTGAAACATTATTTCTGGTGATTGGATTTCCTGCTCTGCTTAAAGATGCTACTGTGCTTCCATGCTATATTTCTCAATAGTGGAGTCAGGCAGCTGACACTCTACACTGATCAGGCTAAACCCTACTATCAAAAGCTAGCATGCTTTCAACAATGATGAAGCCATCCTTTCAAGCAGAATCTTGCCTTCATGGTATTGATTATGAGTCTCATCTTACCTTTCTTAAGCAAAAAACAAACAAACTTTGTAATAACAATTTATACCAAAACATTTCTGGGTCATAGCCATCATGCATACACAGACACGTAAACCTCAGTTGTTCTGTTTTATACAATGGCAATTCCTTATTGAACTCTTAAGATACCAGCAAGTTTTCACGCAGATTCTTTCTCTAGATGGACAGGAGATACAAGTAAAGCCTAAAAGGTTTGTATTTCTCTAAATCTATGAAGATTTCTAGTTAAAAAACTGAAATGTACTGTGGTTGATAAGTAATGGATATGACTTAGAATGAGAGCAAAGCGCAGATTAAATTGCTGACGTAAAGAGCACCCTTCATGATGTAACAGCTTGCCACTTTTAAAGCATTTTGTGATATTAAGTGTGAAGTGCAGCCTCTTATGACCAAAAGTATAGGGGGAGAGGGAGCTGGAATGCTCTGGGTGCTTTGAAGACCTTATTCAGGCACATCCAAAATAACTATAGCAGCCTTTGCCAGCCTGGTGCCCTCCAGACATTTTGGACTACAGCTGTCATCAACCTCAGCCAGCACAGCCATGCTGGAGGACACCAGGTTAGCAAGAGCTACTCAGACCTCGCTGTCCATCTTCCTGCTCATAACTCTCGTAAAACTCCATTTTTTCCTTTAATTTGATAGAAGCACAGATAAAATCTGCTAGGAGACAGGCTTATTAACTTTCATTAAGAATTAACTAGATGAGTCCTCAAGTAGGGCATTAGAATAATAGATTGAGCCAACATTTCATGAACAATTAAAAATAAAAATTTACTCCTCAGCTTTATAATTGGAGAGGGCCATGTGCCTTGACATATCTTAAGATAGACTTTTAAGTAGTTATTTCCAAAATATTTTGAAAAGCAATGCACTGGTGCAAATGAAAGTTGAAAGTGGCCTTCTCCATAATGGCCAAAGCAAGAAAATAATTGTTTCATGCACTGACCCGTTCAGTTTCCTCTCACACTTCCTGATTCTCACAAACCATGGTTTCCTTTCAAACCTGAATTGGAAGCCACACTTTAAAATGGGCTTCCGTGGTTCAGGCACACCGTTTTCACCTGCTTTGGATGTCATGGCAAATTGCGGTCTGGTCTGTGGGAGGGATTGCAAGAGAAAGAAGGAGCACAAAACCACAAAGTCCATAACAAGAAGTCAAACTATTATGTCTTGGATCAGAGCACTTTTTTTCTTTTTCTTTCTAACATCCAAATTTCCACTACATACTACTTTATTTATTTGTCAGACTGTTGTAGCATAGTCACAAAATGTTTAAAATGTTAAGATGACATTGCTGTTAGTATACTCCATCCTGCATTCTTCTGTGCTGTCACAACTGGGTTTGGTATATTAGGCATATGGGTGACATTTTAAAAAGGCTGTTGGAAATATGTAATGGACCCACATATTTGTTAAGTCAGTATTAAATATTAGTGTTATAAACTGTTTACTTTTATAAAGCAGGCCAAAATCTCACTGCTTCAATTGTGGCTCTGAAGACCACCAAATGAAAGATTGTCCACAGGTAAAACATTCCTTCTGATGTTCTGTCCTCAGAGCACATTGATAATCAGATATGGATTAATTTGAAAGGATTCAGTTGGGTTTTGATAAAGCTGCATAATCCATTTGAATATTGTTGATATGTTTTATATCTTAAGACACATATTTTGCTATGTATGTCCCTATTAAAATATTCTAGGGTTTTTAAAAAAACAAGTTTAAACAATTGTATTCAGCAACATATATCCTCTGTAAGGCCAAAACTTTTAAGTATCAAATAGTCCAACTCTGTATAGTACTAGGCAGACTGTTATTCCACAGGTGAATCAAGGGAATTTGTATGTGTAACTTGGTAGCTGGTATTGTCCTGATTTCCCCCCCTCTAACTACATTTTAGCCACGAAATGCTGCCCGCATAAGTGAAAAAAGGAAGCAGTTTATGGATGCTTGTGGGGAAGCAGGAAACCAAAACTTCCAACAGCGGTACCATGCAGAAGAAGTTGAAGAAAGGTTTGGAAGGTTCAAACCAGGAAAAATTAGGTATTTTCTCTCTCTCACTGAATATAAACCAGCCTTTCCCAACCTGGTGCTCTTTGAAAGCTTTGGACTACAACTCATATCAGCACGGACCAGCATGGCTGTGCTGGCTGGTCTGATGGAACTTGTAGTCCAAAATATCTGGAAGGCACAAAGTTGGAGAAAGCTGAAAACATGGGGGCAGGGACTGGATGGCTCAGAACTCCTGCCCTCAGGTACCTGATTTTTACTAAATCTAACTGAATATTGAAAATACCTTTAAAATGTTTTGCTCACTCTCATTTCAATATTTGCTACTAGCACCAAGATCTGCACCTGCAGTGGTTCCACCCAGGTCTGCACCTAAGACTTCAAGGCCCACTGCAGCGGCCTCATGTTCACATTGCACCCAAGACAAGTGGAGTGCAATTTTTTATGCTGAAAGAAAAAGCAAGGTGTGGACTACAAGTAAGGCAAGGTGCCTGCCCCACCTAAAACAGTTGAAGCTGCAGCAGGAGAAGACTTAGACACAATACTCCTAGAAGAATTTGCAACACAGCATATTTCACTTAAAACCATGATTATGGAGACATGGAAGGAGCTGATAACCCCTTTGGAAAGAATGGTAGATGCAATAGTGGAGAAATTTGCTGGCACCACCGAAACCATCTCAGCAGCAATGGATCTGGTACACTTAGATGAAAAAAATTGAAGCGGCTCCTCCGAGAAAATAAGGATACAAAATCTAAGCTGGAGGAGGTGGAAAACAGAGCCCGAAAGCTTACTTTACATGTGAGAGTCATTAAAGGGGGGGCAGAAGGAGACAGTATTATGGACTTCATATTTCAGTGATTCAAAAGTGTGATACCCACCTTAGAGCTACTCAGTGTTTTTTTTTCTGGGGGGAATGCAGGGGTACACATACCCCTAAACATTTTGTGAATTTAAGTTTGGCCTCATTGAGCGGCAGTATTTCAATATGAGTAGGAAAATGAGAGTACCCCCTAAACTTTTTTTTTTTAAGAAAAAAGCCCTGGAGCAACCTTTGGGGACAAGAGAGAGCTCACAGAGCACTATCAGTTACAGTGCTTCAGGATTTATCTCTGGAAACAGAGAATAAAAGAGAAATGTGTCCAGTAATGTTCAAGTTGCAAGAAGCAGGAATATGATATTACTGGGCTTTTCATTTCCATCTGGTAGTCACTACAGGAAATTCAACATTCTCAGCAGCAAATCTCAAAAGAACAAATCTACCGGCAGCATTAGTTCCTGAGATAGCTGAATATCTAGAACAACAAGATAGCAAAGATCTAGAAAAAGAACCCAGATGGAAGGTGTACATCGTATCTCAAATAGTGCGAAATAGGAGAATGGGCCAAAGGAGGAGCGGCAGTGTTCACCCATCAGAAAGATCTCTCCACTGTCAAACAACCAGAAAAAGAACCAAGAAAATAAAACTGCTTCAAGGATTGCAAACTGTTAAAAAAGAGTACTTGCTGTAATTTTGGAACCCTTAGCAATAAAGCTTCATCAAGACCTGACTGGTATGGGAGTCACATGGGGAAACCCAGCCAGATGGGCGGGGTATAAATAATAAGTTATTGTTTTTATACATTATTATAACAATTAATGGAAAAGAACATATTCATGAAATTCATGAAAATCAGTCACTTATACGTAACAACAGGCAAATATATTCAAGCTGGACACAACTCTGCAGCTTTCTTATATAATTCCAGCGTGACCTTAAGTTTTCCATCAGGATACAAATCTCTCTTGTTTGTTTTCTTAAAATGTAGCAGACAACTTCCCCAAATAGCCCCTTCCTATTTCTAACAGGATGTCATTTGTCCTATTGCAGTGAGGAACTTCAGGATGCACTTGGTGTCACTGATAAGACTCTTCCTCCTTTCATCTATCGAATGCGGCAACTGGGCTATCCCCCAGGTTGGCTCAAGGAGGCAGAAATGGAAAAATCCGGACTAACACTCTATGATGGAAAAGGTAAGTTTAGTGGTGAGCGGCCCTCATTACCTTACTGCAAATGTGTTTTATTTTTTCGTAATAAGAGGATACCTGTCCATTATTTGGCTTTTGACTTTGAAAAGTGTTCCACCTTTCTGGTTTCTGACTATAAAGAAAATAGTTAAAATAGTGTTATTTATTTTTACAGCCTGTTATATGAGATGTTTGCCTATTGATTCTTTCCAATAATAATTGAAATTCGGTAATACCATTAGATTATCTGGACCCAATTCAATTCAAGGCATTGAAACTACCTTGGCCGGCCTGGTTTCTTGGGAAAGGAACTGGGTAGTGCAACCTTGTTGATTCTTTTTGACTTCAATACTATTGACCACAGCATCCTTCTCAAACGACTTGTGGGTTGGAAATTGGGGGCACTGTTGTACAGTGATTCCATTCCTACCTTCAAGGTCGATTTTAGACAGCAGCAATGGGGGACAATTCTGAGCTCACTAGTGGGGTTCCCCGGGGGGGCAGTCAGTCTCTTGTCCCCTGTGCTTTTTAACATCCATATGAAGTCACTGGTAGATGTCACCAGGCCGTTTGGAGTGAAATGTCAAGTGTCCTGATGACACCCATCTCAATTTCCATGTTCCATCTGAATCAGGAGTGCCAGTTCAGGTGTTTGAGCATTGCCTGGAGGTAATGAAGGGCTGGGTGTGAACCAATAAATTGAAGCTGAATCCACACAGGAAAGTAATATCTGTTGTCAATTCTAAAGTTCAGCAGTAGGGAGATGCATGTACTCCCTTGGAAGAACCAGGTGTGTAGCTTGGTGGGTACTACGTTATCCTTCTATGTCATTTGAGACCCAGTGTTATGTTGTTCCTTGATAGGGATAACTTATCACAGTGATCCATGGTCACTTCCTAGTCCATGTCAGGCTACCCTTAAAGATCATTCGGAAGCTGCAGCTAGTGCAGAACACACTAGTGAAGCTGCTGATGGATGTATACACATTCTGGCTGGCCTTGAAAGATCTGCACTGGTTATCAGCCCACTGTGGAGCCCAATTTAAGCTGTTGGAACGACACATAAGATTTTCAATGGTTGATCGATACATACCTTTTTACCCAGTGCTTTGGTTGAGTAGATGTCTGTCCTCTTGTTTTGTGCTGTTGTTCTAATACAGTGGTGCCTCGCAAGACGAAATTAATTCGTTCCGCGAGTTTTTTCGTCTTGCGAAGCACGAAATCCCATAGGAATGCATTGAAATTCAATTAATGCATTCCTATGGTCAAAAAAAGTCCAAACAAAGCCAGATTTGGTACAACAAGAGTTTATTAAGTGCTCTTTAAAGTCACACATACTGTAAAGAGCATTTCAAAAACTGAAGGAACAATAAATTAAGTTTCTAAACATGACAGGAAAAACATTTAAAAATCAACAAAGTGTACATTACATTTTCTAAGACTCTGGGGACCACTCGAAGAAGGTTCCTCTTCCACTCTTTGCTTCTTGCTTAAGAACCTGTCCATGGTCTGCTGCTTCATCCGCCTTTTCAGCACCTCCCTGAAAGGCGACATGACCGTCATATCAAAAGTGTTCGCAAGGTCACGTGCCACGTGCTTGTTAGGGTGGTTCCGCTCTGCAAAAGCCTGCACATCCTTCCACTTCATGCAAATGTCCCTCAGTTCTTTGGAGGACAGCCGTTCCTCAGTTGCTTCCTCCTCTTCCAGCGAGGCCGGCCCCTGCGCAGCCTCTGCCTGCAGTTCGACCAGCTCCTGGGTGGTCAGCTCGTGGTCGTGCTCCTCCACCAGCTCGCAGACGTCCTCCTCTGTGACCTCCAGGCCCATGGTCCTCCCCAAGGCAACAATGTCCTGCACCACTGTTGACTCTGGTGCATCAGAGTCACTTGGTGCCACACAGTCCGGCCACAGGCTGCGCCAAGTGCAATTCAGATTTCTCTGGCTGATCCCTTTCCAGGCCATGGTGATCATCTTCAAGCAGGTGACGATGTCGAAGTGGTCCTTCCAGAATTCCCGCAGGGTGATGATGGTGCAATCAGTCACCTCGAAGCATCGCCTGAAAAGCTCCTTGGTGTAGAGTTTTTTGAAATTGGCGATGACCTGCTGATCCATCGGCTGGAGCAGTGGCGTGGTGTTAGGCGGCAGGAACATGATGTTGATGAAGCTGAACTCCTCCAACAAGTCCTCCTCAAGGCCTTTAGGATGAGCAGGAGCATTGTCCATCAGAAGCAAAGCCTTCAGCGGCAGGTCGTTGTCCAGCAGGTACTGTTTGACAGCAGGGCCAAAAGCAAGATTGACCCAGCCCACAAACAGCACACGTGTGACCCAAGCCTTACTGTTGGATCGCCACATGACACTCAGCTGCTCCTTGTCGACCTTGTGTTTCTTGAAGGCCCGTGGGTTCTCCGAGTGGTACACCAGCAGGGGCTTGATCTTCAGGTCGCCGCTTGCGTTGGCACAGAAGAGCAGGGTCAGACGGTCCTTCATGGGCTTGTGGCCAGGCAACTTGGCCTCCTCCTGAGTGATGAAAGTCCTTTTGGGCATCCTCTTCCTCCACAGCCCGGTCTCGTCGCAGTTGAAGACCTGCTGTGGAACGTAGCCCTCCGTCTTCACAATCTCCAGGAACTCCAAGGCAAAGTCTTCAGCCGCAGGAACATCAGAACTGGCAGCCTCTCCATGCCTGACCACGCTGTGGATTCCAGATCTCGTCTTGAACCGGTCAAACCAGCCTCTGCTTGCCTTGAAGACTTCTGGCTCGCCTGAGGTTCCTGGCTGTTCCCGGATGAGGTCTGCGTGCAAAGCCTTGGCCTTCTCACAAATCACGGCCTCAGTCACTGTGTCCCCTGCACGCTGCTTCTCTTCTAACCAGATGAGCAGCAACTTCTCGACCTCCTCCAGAACAGCTGGGCGGTTCTTCACGATCCTGGTGACTCCCTTGGCTGCATCAGTCGCAAGGATCTTCTCTCTCATCTTCAGGATGGTGCCAATGGTCGATGGGTTCCTGCCGTACTCCCTGGCGAGGTCTGTCACACACATTCCACCGTCGTGCTTCCGGATGATCTCCTTCTTCATTTCCAGCGTCACCTTCTCCTTCTTCCTCTCGCCGGCCTCTGCAGCAGCAGTCTTCTTGGGTTCCATGGCAACACAGCTCCTAGCTTCGTAAACTCAGAAAAAAAAAATCAGTGCTTCACACCCAAAAAATTCAAAAGCACCCAGCCGCCCACCACACAGGAATTCAAACCCAGAACCAAGTCCTTGAATTCCAAACACCCAACCCAAAATCCAAAAAACCCCAAAAAAGTTTTAAAAGTTTAACTTACGAAATGGCTGCAAATCACCAAAGTCTTCAAAATCCTCAAATGGCTGCAAAAGAAGTTTTAAAAATCACCAAAGTCTTCAAAAACCTCAACTGTTCCCCCAGCCACCCACCCACCACACAGAAATTGCAAACCCCTCCCCAACTGTTGCAAACCCCTCCCCAACTGCTCCCCCAGCCACCCACCACACAGAAATTCAAACTCAGAAATTTTTTTTGAAAAAAACCAACATGGCCCAATGGTCACAGAAAATCATAAAAATTCAAAAAAACCCACACAAGCTCCCAGATTCTTGCAAACCCCTCCTCAACTATTCCTCCAGCCACCCACCACACAGAAATTCAAACCCAGATTTTTTTAAAAAAACAACAACAGCAGAGTGGCCCAACGGTCACAGAAAATCATAAAAATTCAAAAAAAACCACACAAGCTCCCAGATTCTTGCAAACCCCTCCCCAACACCAAGTCCTTGAATTCCAAACACCCCAACCCAAAATCCAAAAACCCCCAAAAAAGTTTTAAAAGTTTTAACTTACCAAACGGCTGCAAAAGAAGTTTTGGAAAAGCTTAAAAAATCAGCAAAGTCCTCAAAAACCTCAGAAAAGGCTACCACACCGCGTGCAATGTGTTGCTCCTCGAAGTCAAGTCGCAACTGCACCTCTTCAAGCAATGCACCCTGGGTATTAACGGTTTTACGAAAAAGGAAACAAACTTGCAAGACGTTTTCGTCTTGCAAAGCAAGCCCATAGGGAAATTCGTCTTGCGAAGCAGCTCAAAAAACGGAAAATCCAAATACGATAATAAACAGTTATTATATGTGTGATAAGATGACTGTGTGGCTTAGGGCACCCCCCCATGTTTTCAGAAAAAGTTCCATTGTTACTAAAATTCATTGGAACAATCTATGGATGCATTGATTGAGATTCCTGCATTGTGGGGAGTTGGACTTAATTGCTAGATTTGTAGCCAATGAAGTCCTACTCAGAGTAGACCTGTTGGAATGAGTGTGCCTAAGTCATGTTCATTAATTTTAATGGATCTTTTCTGAGTAGGACTAGCATTGACTACAACCTTAAATAAGTACCATAACCCAAGCTTGGGTGGTTTATCTTGGGGTTCTGGTGGAGTGGTGCTAAATTTTGCAGTTCTGAATATGTGGTGCATAAAAAATGACTGGTTATTTCTTTTGTGATTAATTATACAATGTTGTTTTGCTTCTTATCACAGAATCTGTGCATTCCAGCACCCTGTTGTCAAAGTGGTTAGACGCAACAAGCGCTCACCATTATATGTGCCAAGTCCTCTTTTGTCAATAGTATCAGTAACTATTTGTGGTGTTTTGTTACAGCATCTCCTGGTGGTGAAACAGAGGCAGAAGAATATTATCAACAGAATTGGCGTGTCACTTACGATGTCTCTAAGTTGATAAACTATCCAGGTTTTAATATGTCCACTCCGAATGGAGTAACAGATGTAAGTGACTAGTTTTACACTTTCATCACCTCCTTCCTCCAAAGAGTGACATACGAATTTCTTTTACACGTTATCTGTATCTGACAGTCCTCTCAAAATTTATTTGGAGGGACTCCCTGCTTCCACATGAACTGCCCTGGCCTGTATCTGAAGAAGTGTGCATGCACACAAAAGCTCATACCAATAACAAACTTAGTTGGTCTATAAGGTGCTACTGGAAGGAATTTTTTAAAAAAAATTGTTTTGACTACGGCAGACCAACACAGCTAACTGCCCTGGCCTTGAGATGGTCCTCAAAGGCCCTCTCCTCTGGCCCACCATTAATGCAGATCTGGTTGGTGGGTACCATGGACCGGGCCTTTTTGACAGTGGTTCTTCAACTTTGGAACTCCCTTCCTGAGGAGGGGTTTCCTCTTTGGTTTCTTTTATGTAGACCTTTCATGTGCGTTTTAGTCTGTTCTACTTTTTAATGCTAGCTTGGATTTCAGCTCCCAATGTTTTTATATTCTAAGCTGTATTGTCTTGTTTTTAATTTGTATTGATATATTATGTCCTCACCTGTTGTAAATTCTGTGTTTGGAATACACATTTATTAAATATTTTTCTTACAGTTCATTCTTTGCTTTCTTCCTCTTTTTGCTAAACACATATATGCAAGCAAGTTTTCTAGTCCTGCACGTTGATCAGCACCTTCTTTTACTGTATTTATATTCCTGCAGGAATGGAGGATGTTTGGTTCCGTACCCCTTCAGCCCAGTCAGCAGAAGGATATCTTTGCCCACTATCTTTCTACCTATCATTCGGTGACTATGTTTAAATGTGCTTGTGAAAGCTGTGTGTATTGATGTTTCCAGTTAACAATCATATTTCTAGTTCTGCATAGAATTCTCTAATTTATGATAGTAAAAAGCATACATGTATAGGTGTACATTTCTGTAGATTGTTGCCATGTTTGATACTTGTTTTCTGGTGTCTTTATGTCATATTTTGTTCATTAGTTTAAATTAGTTACTTTTCCATTAGCCTGTCTCTAGGAACCCTTTCAGGGTTGAAGAGTGCAATAGGAGTTATTGAAATCTGTTAACATAAATCACATTAGAGCTAGGGTCCCTGATGGGAACATACTTTCAAGATATGGCAGTTGGTTGCTTTGAACTCTTTCGAACCATTTTAACCACCTATGATAATGTGAATAAAGAGTGTGCAGTTCTATAACCAGAAATATTAGTGGGCAGATTTAAATTTAGGGTTGTATCCAGTGTAGTGGAATCCAGTGCAGCATAAGTTAGAGGAATACTTGTTCTGCTGATGTAATGTTTTGCACCACCAAAATGTTGTGCAAGAGAATGCTCAGCAGGTTGCTGAGGTGCTGCACAATAGATTCCTTGGTTATGCTGCATTAAAACTTGCCCATCTGCTAGTGCAAGAGCTTTATGCTAGCAGACAGAGAATGCTGGAGGCAGTTCTTAGTATTTATTTTGCAAAATAGCAATACATACATACATACATACATTTTAAAACAAACCAAGTGCTTTCCAGTTCTTTTGGTACCTTTAGAATCATTGGCCAGACTTCTGGAAGTCAGAAGCAGTAAGGAAAAGGGATGGAAATTGCCTTTGTTTAAATGCTTAAAAAAATAAATATTGAAAGCTCAGAGAAAGTGACCCTGTGAGGCCTTCTTCTCCATAGCTGTGGCCCACAGAGCACATGAGCACCTTCCATGAATGTATCTTCATAATCATGTTGAATACTCTTAATCTCTCTTGTTCCTTTGTGATGCTTCTTTAGTCAAGCCCGAAGTCCAGCAATAAAAGATCTTCATCTCACCAGAACGCTCATCATCCAAAAAGACAGAAAGGAAACAGTGCTGAAGTATCATCAGCTGACATGGAGATGGATTCTGGTAAGCCTTTCAATACTAATAAACCTGTGCAATAAATATAGTTCATAAAATAGCTTTAAAACTTCCTTCTTCCCATCCCGATTAAAAATTATGATCCACCATACCTGTATACCAGCTTCCATTGAAAACAAGATAGGGATAGGGATGCTTACTAACAGTTGCTCTTTTTCTGATTTCAGACTTTGAAGCTCCACACAGTTCTCCTGGCTATGATAGCTTCCAGTTCCAACCTCCACTGCCTCCAGGGTCACCACTGAACGCCACTCCTCCCCCACTGCCACGTGGGACCCCTCCATGTACTCCCCCCAACATTACCCCTCCCCGGCTTCCTCCATGTATTCCCCTACCAGCTACCCGTGATACTCCACCTTTGACTCCTTCCAGTGATTCTGCTCCACTGAGAGCAGAGGGCTCTGCTATGGATGAAGACACTTTGACTCTGGAAGAGCTTGAGGAGCAGCAGCGCCTCATTTGGGCAGCCCTGGAGCAAGCAGATAGTGCAAACAGTGACTCTGACATACCTGGAGAGAATCCTTTAACAGGAAACTCTGTAGCCTCATCACCGTCTCGAATTGAGTCAGACATTTTCCCAGAAGAAATAACATGCAAAAAGCTGGATGTATTGGAACTTGGGACTTCAGACAACAGTGAACAGGTACTCAAAGCAGAAGAGTCTGAAAAGAAACAGATTTCAGGTGATGAACTGATTGATTTGACAGACAATGAAGAACCGAATCCCATGGATTCTGAAGGCAGTGTTGAGAACTGCCCCTCAACCTCAGTGTCCAGGGTAAGCCACAGTGACTCTCCTGTGGTCATCAGTGCGGAGGTGTCCAAAAATGCCAGCCCTGTCCCTGACATGAGCAAGTTCGCTGCTGGGATAACACCTTTTGAATTTGACAATATGGCTGAATCTACTGGGATTTACCTCCGAATAAGAAGTGTGCTAAAGAACTCTCCTAGGAACCAGCAGAAAAGCAAGAAGGCTTCCTCCTAGGTGTCCTATTACTACTGCAGCACGGTTGCACCCAAAAGAAACCGACTGGCCAATTAACTTTGGATACTACTCTGTACTTACTTTATAAATAATGACCAAGTAAGAACAGACACACTGAAAGCTCCTGCTTTGTTCCTCCTATAATTATGTTACTTGTTTTAAAAAGTGCAGTGTACAGAGCTTCCATTTTGACTTCAGGGCCTGTTGCTGCCTAAAACCAATGTTTCTGCTAATACAAGAAAGTGCTACCAAGTGAGTTAACTTTTCTGAAAATGTTTCCTGAATATGAGTTAATCTTTCTGACCCTGTTTGACTTGTGAAGTTAGAGCAGCGGCAATTGGAGGATTTTGTCTGTGCTTTCTGCATCACTGTAAACCAGTTTATTTTCAGTAGTTTTTGAAAGGTTCTCAACCTTTTAAATGGTTTCCCCTTCATTTAAAATAGAAAAATTGTAGCAATGAAATGGGAATAATCAGGGGTTGTTTCACAATTATTCCTGCCCTTTTTGAAGAGTTTTATAAGTAATTTATGTGGGTCAGATTTTTTTAGTACTACCTTCTTTCTTCTTTCTTTTTAGTAATGCCCCATATTTGAACTTGCTGTACATACATATTGATGCTTCTGTACAGAGGTTTAATAAACAATTTTTTCATAACTTTTTTGTATGTAAACATTTAGGTGGACCAGAAAAACCTACCGCTGGAAAACTGAATATGAAAATCCTGTTGTGGTTGAATCTTATACTCCCTTTTTCTGCCTTTAAATAAATATTAAAGCAGAAGTGGGGAACCTTAGGCCTGGGGGGTCAGTTGTGCCTTCCCAGGCCTCGGCCATTGGGACTCTACTCAAGCCACGCAGCCCTCCCCGTGCCACACTTCTCACCAGCCCTCCTCAAGTGCTTTTGCATGTTCTTGAATGGTAAAAATCAGCAGCCTCTTGCTTGCCTGGATGCAGAGCTGTGTGGTGTAGCCTACTGTACAAATGTAAAAATCACACCGTTTCTCACCTCCTTTGGCCCTGCCCCCCACAAGCAGCCCCCAGGTGGTTGCTCATGAGGAAAGGAGGCCCTCAGCTGGAAAATAAGTTGAATGCCCTTCTCTAAAGTTGCATGCATACATAGCTAGCTGTTTTCAAATATGGACATGCTGTGCCATGTCAAATTAGTTTTTTACTTCACTTGCTTCAAGGGTTCTCCAATTATGTGTATGGCCATTCTCAATGGCATGTGTGAGGCCTCCACCACAACCATGGATTAGGCAAGACGTGGCCTAGAATCCGTGGAAGTGCTGTATTCTTCCTAGTCTACCCCCTCCCTTTGCCCGCCTCGCTGAGTAGAGATTCTTTCTTCAGCTAACATGGTTTTCCTTCATCTATTTTCTTACTCTTTATTTCAGCCTTTATAGGAAATTGTTCTCCATTCCTTTTGCCCTAAGCCCACTCATCCCTCTGAGAGGGCGAATACAGTCGTGGGAAAAAGAAAGTACACCTTCTTTGAATTCTGAGGTTTTACATAGGACATAATAACCACCATCTGTTCCTTAGTAGGTCTTCTACCAGGGCTCCAGCTGCTTCTCTCACCTTTTCCAGTAACATCTCCTTGCTGGAAATCCAGTGATGGCTACAAAGGCTGCTCCATCTCCTTTCTCCAGGCACTATAACATTGACATATGCCTCAGCTGAGGCAGCATTTGAAGGAAGGCTTCTCCAGAGAAGGGCCCAATAGATACATTTTATATTTCTATCGCATCTTTTCCTGCAAGGAGCTCAAGGTGGTATACATGGTTCTCCACTCATTTAATCCCCACAACAACCCTGTAGGGTAAATTAGGCTGAGAGGCAGAGACTGGCCCGTGTGTGCTTCATGGCTGAGTGCAGCTATGACCCCTGGTCTCTCGGATCCTTATCTGACACTGACCACTATCCTCTAACGATCCACGTACCATGAATGCTCCTCCTTGGATGAGAGTAGGACGACTCCAGGCCCATCCTGCGCGTGTCTTGGGTTTGTGCCATACCTTCCAGAGTTTTTTTTTCAGGGTGGCAGGTAGCTCCTTCCATTTGCCTCAGTGTCTTGCATTTGGCACTTCTGTTTCTTCGGCATTCATCAGGGGCTCTGAACAGGGAATTGAAGATGTACTGATTAAGTATTATTAATAAGAAAGTACATAGTTTTTAATTGTATCCATGTTTAATTGTTTTTCAGATATTGTTTTTCTTTTGTATGTTTTTAGTGGTTCTTGTTTCTATCTGTAAGTTGCTTTCATTCCCGTCAGGGGGAAATGGCAGCAGGGTATAAATAAATATATTCTTAATATCATGCATTCTAGGTTACATGACCGACCTATCACTGAAAATAAAATAAAAAGCAAACTCTGAGAAGTGCTTGCATCTGAAGGGTTAATTGGCTACATTACAGGAGATTTTAAATGGGTGAAGCAGTTCTAACTTTGTTTGAACTTGCCCATGCTATCATTGGTTTGTATGAACTGTGGCCTACTTTTGATTGGCAGCCGCTTTCTTTGGTCTCCAGTGCAAGCCTTTCCCATAGAATGCTCTAAACTGGAGATGCCAGGGATTAAATTGAGGAATTGGGGGCGTTCACTCTTTGATGGAGTTGCTCAGCTAGCAAACACAATGCTAGGAAAGAGGCCTGAGAACCATGTAGCGTATGTGTGTTAGTGTGTTCCTGCAGATCTTTTGAACTATGTTTCTCATCATCCCTGGAGAAAGTTTTCTGCATGCAAGACATACGCTCCACCATTGAGTTACTACCATTCTGTGCCAATCTTCATCTCATGTCTGAACCTGCAAAGTGCAGGAATTAAAATGCTGGCCTACTTTGTAACATAGCAGTTGCTGCAAAGGTTACAGTGGTGCCTCGCAAGACGAAATTAATTCGTTCCGCGAGTTTTTTCGTCTTGCGAAGCACGGTGTCGGAAAAGCTTTGGAAAAGCTTCAAAAATCACCAAAGTCCTCAAAAACCTCAAAAAAGGCTACCAAACCGCGTGCTATGAGTTGTTCCTCGAAGTCAAGTCGCAACTGTATTAACGGTTTTAAGAAAAAGGAAACAAACTTGCAAGACGTTTCTGTCTTGCGAAGCAAGCCCATAGGGAAAATCGTCTTGCGAAGCAACTCAAAAAACCAAAAACCCTTTCGTTTTGCAAGTTTTCCGCCTTGCGAGGCGTTCGTCTTGCGAGGTACCACTGTATTTGAAAATATATAAAAAATTATTTGAGTGCTTGAGTAATTAGCATCCCTATAGTTTCATTATTGCTCCAAGGCAACTTAAATTTAGATATTAGGGAAATTAATTTCTATCTGTTGTCAGGTATGTGTATGTTTATTTTTAACATTCTGTCCAGAACTCTTAAATAGTATATTACCAAAGCTAGACTTTGTTACTCTTTCTGTGCACATATATAATAGTACTGTTATTTTTTTCTGGTTTCATTCCTCCTGTCCTTTCTTGCTTTTTAAAATATTTGTTCAGTTTCACATCTTTTACAGTTCTCTATTACATAATGAACCCTTGTCTATTGCAGTGAGAGACCTTCATGGCTGACTTTATTAACAAGTGTGTATTTTCTCCCTTAGGCTGTGGGTGTGTTCTATGACAATCTAGGCCAGGTAATTAAAGTGAGTGAGTAATAATGCTTGATCTAAGTAAAAGTGATGTGAGCCTTGAAGCTTTCCCACACAACTTTTCTAATGCCATTCATACCTGGCTGATAGCTCTCCTACCACATAAACTTGATGGTGATTTATGCAGACCTGTTGGACTACTTTAAATGATTTGAGCTGTGAATGGCAAAGGTTCCAACCCAGCTAAAGTAGTGACTTAAGTCCCTTTGAAAGAAAGGGGGCTTAAGTTACGGTCCAGCCACACTTTTGTCATGTGCTTTCTACTATTTTGTATTGGATCTATTATCACAGGTCTGAGAACTGTGGTTTTTTCCTCCACCGCTTTCCCCAGGAAAACCTGGTTTACCGCTGAATTGCATCTTAAGAAATCCGTGAAAAACAGCAGAAAAATAAAAATCAAGGAACACTACTATTAAAAGAGGCAGCATAACACATGATGGGAATGGGAGGGCGCCAGGTTGCCAAAGGCTGGGCTTTGTGTTTTTTCAGGAAAAAAAGATGTCTACAATGGGGATTAACTGGTTTATAAATTTATGTGTGGTGTGGAGAAAGCCAATAGACATTCCTCTATCCCAAAGAACTAGAACTTGGGATCACCCAGGGGAATGAATGGTTTGGAACAGACGAAAGAAAATAGTTACTCATACTACAAAATTAATGGATTGAGTTGCCCCATGGAGTGGTAATGGCCATTAACTAAGGTGGCTGGATGTGGAGAAAGAAACAACTATATAGAACCTCTTGAAGGGGCAGACTTTGGACTCTCAGGCACTGGTTAGCCACAGCAGACATGGCCTTTTCCTTTCCTGCCCTTGATGCCTTCTGATTAGCATTTCTTGGGGAAACAGGATGCAGTGCTGTTGTTGCTGTTGTTTAGTCGTGTCCGACTCTTCGTGACCCCATGGACCAGAGCACGCCAGGCAGTACTAGATGAACCTTTATTTAGTCTAATCCAGCTGGGCTCCTTTTATGTGTTCTTGAAACTTCCATTTTCAGTAGGCTTGCTCCCAAGTCAAAGGGTGTGCAGGATTGTAACGCAAATAGCTTGCAACAGGTGTGCGTGTTGCTGATCTATATTTTATTCTTCTAAGGCCATTGCATGTGTTTATTCACCCTTTCAAAGCCTCCAAGTTTCCCTTTCAGCTTCTTCAGGGATGAAGGCATTCTGTCTCGTTGCCAGGAGCATAAGAATGAAGCCTGTGCTGTGCATTGTGGAACAAAGAGCTTTGCTGTCCAGGCCTGTCAGTGTGGCAGCACTTGCCTGTACCATATTGACTCCAGGAGTGAAAAGAACATCTGCTGAGGGTTGCATAATATCATTCACTCCCACTTTTGCTGAAGCGCTTACACAGTGGAGATGTAACCAATATTTAACAACGCACATTAGAAAGCGCTGCCCGCATCTTTTAGAAGAAGGAATTGCCATGTTGTTCGATCAATTTATTGGCATTGCCAACTTACTGCTTCTTTGCCGTGCACAAGGTCATAATGTGCTTTTGAATGCAATCAGTGTTCTGGCTCCCTTTTTACCAAAAGGTAATGGTGGGTGCGTGCGCGCGCGCGCGCACACACACACATATCAAGAGCAAATGCTTTGAAGCAAAACTGCTCAAATTTATTTTGGAAGTGCTTATCCTGTTTTCCTTAGAGGCACAAAGACCCATACAATAAATAATGCAGTTCCTGGTGTACTTTGAAACTCCTCTCGTCTTTCTGCTGTTGCTCTGATCCAGTGTTTATTTTCCCCATGGCTCTGCTGCCAGCTTAATTTGTTTTAGTTTGAGCACCTCTGGAGATTCAGAGTCCAGCTTTGCAAGCATCATCTGGCTCGTGAGGGGTTGTTTTCTTGCAAATGACTAACAGAATATGTGTTAACTACTAAAAACATTTATGGGTCCATAACTTTTGTGGGCTTCTTTGGAAGGTTGCCCTGAACCAAGTAATTTCCTTAGCTTCATGCTATTGTTCTTCCATATTTAGTAATGTCAGACAATTACATGTGTTACATTTTTCTTAGTCCTCTGTACACACTAAATAAGCATATTTAATTGTTGCACAGCTATCTATAGAGAAGTGGCTACTTACTGCTTCGTCATGAAGATGGTGACTACCTGGAAGAAGAAACAAATACATTTTGTCTCAAGAAAAAAATATCTACAATTGTTGCTGATACAAACAGGTAAAATTGATAAACACAGAGAGTATGCTGGTGCCCCTCTGAAACTGTTTTAAAATGGACCAGCAATAATGATATTATTCTGTGGAGTTGAACATTTTGAGAGTGTTACAAGAGAGAGAAAATGAAGATTTAAGCAGCAGTGGCCATCTTCATCCATATATGTACTTGCTTGAATATTAGTCTCCCATAATTATTTTATTTTGTCCAAAAAGTACATAATCACCCCCCAAAAAACCAGACAGGAATAAACCTATCCTGATGCCCCTTTTGTTTGTGTATTGAAGAATTGCACTCTGTAAACTCTTGTTGCTTGTGCTACAGTTATACAATATCTGTAGGCAAAAAGAGGAACAAAAGGTGGCAGAAGGTAGTTGCATTGCTATGGGGCTTGCGGGGGGGTGCTTCTCAGTCTTCAGATTCTGCTTGGCCAATTGCAGGGGGAAAGAGCGGGGGGGGGTGATGTATATATCTGCTCAAAGAGCGCAAGACACAGGAATTTCATGGCCATGTGGCCACTGAGGATAAAGAGACTGCTCCCATTTTATCTGTAGCTGTGGGTTTTCCATTGTTGTAAGTGACAAAGAGCTGCCTCCCTCTGAAACTGTTTATTACATATCTTCTGCATTTTCACCATCACTACTATTTTTTAAAAAATAAAAAGCATACTGTATTGATCCTACTCATTGTCACTGATGTAGATGAATAAAAGTAAAGCATCCCAATAAGGTGTTTTTCTTAATCAGCCCAGAACCATATATAGAAGGACAAGGGTTAATTAAAAAAACCCTTACTCATGGTGTCTTCATGTGGCATGAATTTCCACGCTAACTTGAATTCTAGTGCTATAGTTCAATATGGCACACCGTAGCTCATGTCCCTAAAGACCAGTTAAATAATCAATTTTGCCATTTTCTTTGACAATATTGCAAATGTTTTCCAATAGCACTTGGTGTGTTTTAAGGTGGGAATTCTGGCTGATGAATCCTGCTGCCAATTTCTCCCTGAAGAACAAAGTCATTGCTTTTATTTAAAAAACCAGCACCTACTATTCTGCTGTATTACACATAAATCAGTGGATTTTTGCAAAGAAATGTGCCCACCCTGCTATCTTCTGCTGTCTGCTACTTTGCTCCAGCTGAAATTCAGCTGAAATAAGCCCTATAGAATTCAGTAGGACTGACTGCAGGGTAAGTATGTGTCAGATTCCACTTGTTAGCCAGCCGGTGAAAATACTCCATTCAAATCAATAGGATGTACATATGGCTTGCTGATTCGTTGTGAGAAAAGCAGGAATGGATGCTTTACAAAAAGAGGTTGAAGGGGAAACAGAAGCCTCACTGAAATCAATAGGATGTGGCTAGGGTTGGTTGTTTCCCTATGAAGGAAAGTGAAAATGAAGGAATTTTTAAAGGGGAAGAGAGAAAGGGTGGGGAAGAAGTTATATTGATATAGCTAATTAATTTATGTTTAGGATTGGGTGGGCCTATGAGGAAACAAAGTGGGAAAAAGAAGGGGGTTTTTAAAAAATAGAACTACTGAAAGAGGATGTAAGCATAAGTGGCGAAAGGGGCGCTACTCTGAGGAAACAGGAAAGCGAGAGAAGGCCGGCCGGCTCTGGCGCTGTGGGAGAGGGGCTGCTGCCCTGCACGCTGAAGCCCCGAGGTGCAGTCCTGGCTTGCTGCCAGTTGGTGCAGACAATCCTGGACTAGTTCTGACTTGGCATAATGAAAGACGAGCCTTCACCTGGAGCAGGCCGATGGCATCCTGGTCCCCCAGTGGCCAAGCAGACCTCTCTTCCGGGAAAGCCGCAAGCGGGACCGGGTGCAAGAGCCCTCTTGGCTCCCGGCATCCCGGGCTCCTTCGCCATGAATTAGCCGAATCCTCTTTTCGAGCCTCCCAAGTGCCTGGCCATCTCCAGGGCCGGCCCGAAACATTTTGGCCCCTGAGGGGAGCCACCGAAACGCGCCGCCGCCAGCCAGTCAAGCGGAGAGAGGGAATGCAAAAGACCTTGGGAGGAAGATCAGAGCAAAGGGGCGAAGGGAAGATCCGCGGTCCTTCCCGGGGGGCGGGATCCGCGGCCCGAGGGGGTGGAGGGAGTTCCCCGGCCGAGAGCCCGAGGCCCCGCCGCCCAGCAGGCCGGGTCCCCGGGGCGCGGGAAGGAGGGCCGGGCGCGCCGGCGGGGAGGAGAATCCGAGGGCAGGGGGCCCAGAGCCTCGCCGAGCGGCGCGCGCAGCACGTGAGGAGGCGGCGGCATCGGCAGCGGCATCGGCGGGGCTGGCCCGGCTCCGCGTCTCCGCCCGCCCGCCTTGCGGAGCCCCGGCAGGAAGGCGGAAGAGCCAGGAGGGAGACGAGGGCGCTGCCGGCGCGTCTGGCGGGGTGAGGCCGGGGGGGGTCTCCCTCTCCGATACGCGGGGGCGGGGGGGGGGTCCCCTGCTTTGTCTCGGCTTCCAGGAAGGGCCCCCCCCCCGCCGCCTCCCCGTCTGCTCCCTGCCTGCTTCGCCCGCAGAGGGACCGCGGCGTTTTCGGGGGGGGGGTCTGTTGCTCTGCCGTCTGGTAGCTGTGCCCCCCCCCCAGCAGCAGCATCGCTTGCATTCTTCCTTTCTTGGTTCTTGGGGCGGGGGGATCTGGCTGGTGCGGTGGCTTGGAGCAGGAGGGGCTCTCCCTTTCCGGCAAGGGCTCCTCTCCGTCCAGGTGGGCGAGGGATGCGCTGCGCGAGACTCTTTGTCAGGAGGGGCGGGGGGGGATCCTCGCCCCCCTTCTGTGGTAGCAGCCTGTATCGCTTTTGCCAGGCGTCGCTGGAAGGGATAACCTGCTCATTTTGCAGCCCCGGGGTTGATTGCTTTGTGGGGTAAAATATGATATTTGAGGCGCGGGGAGGGGGCAGACTCTGCTTTCCAGCTCGGACTCTTATTTGTCCGGGGAGGATTGGGATGAGCAGCTTTCTTTGCCCCCCAGGTAGCAGCTGAAGCCGATCTCAGCCTTCACGAAAGGGTTAATTGGTAGGTGTTGAAGGCTCCTTTGCAAGCTTGGGGGAGTGGGGGGTGTTGTATTTAGAGCCCCTGGTGTTTTAATACTCTTAGGTTAAATTTTTAGTTCGTAAATGGGGGGTCTATTTATGTTTTTCAGTTGGCATGGAGGCATGGAGGCTTGCGTCTATGGCTGTTGAGCTAATAGGATTGTAAAAGGAGTGTGGCAGAGGTTGAGCATAGGTCGGGCTCTGTATCTGCTTCTCCAGACTGGAGTTGGAAAGGCCCTGCCTTGCCCCTTCGCCAGCCTTGTTCTCCATGCAGACTTTAGGAATGTGTGTCTGGAGGGGTGTGGGGTTCAAAGCTGTCAAGTTCTCCCTCTCAGCCTGCCATAAGGAGGGTGGGAGAAGCAGGGCCAGCCCAAAGCATTTTGGGACCTGCCGTGGACCCCAAAATGGAGCCTCCCTCCCTCCCTGCCAAGGAAGAAGGGGCGAGGGAAGAGCTACATCAGAAACAAGGGGTGGGAGATCAACATCGAGATCTGCTGCCCCGTGGATCCTGCCACCTAAGGCCGTTGCCTGGCCTGGCCTCATGGTTGGGCTGGCTCTGAGAAGAAGGATTCCTGAGCTCTGCCTGTCAGTCTGCTAATGGAGTCACACAGACTGTGCTCCGTCATCTGATCTGCTCTTGCCTCGGGTGACAGCAGCAGGTTTCTCTGGTACCCAGGCAGCGATCTTGCCTGAGAGAGGGAGACGACGGAGGTAGACCAGCATTGGGAGGTGGAGGCCATCTGCTTTGTGCTGGAGACCCTGTAAGGGTTCCAGATTACTGCTGTTAGCAAGGAAGGTGCTTCCTCCTTGATCCCCTTCCTTCCAACACAAAAGCTCTTGTAAGCCGAGAGGCAGGCAGTTTCATTTGAACTGGGTGGAGAGATGCAGCAATCAACTGGTGAGCAGTCTGCTGCATGACATCACTGGTTGGGTGGAAGTGCCATTGGCCAAACGAGCAGAGTAAGTACAGAACTTCCTGCCACGAGTGTTGAGATTATAGATTTCCTTATAGAGCAGCTAGGAATGTATGCTTTTACAATTGGAAATACCTTGATTGCAAGGAACAGCATGTTTAGAATGCTGTATTACCCTTAAGTTGTTTCTCAGAGACAATGTTTATTACCAGAGACTGATTTTTCAATTTTCAGATTCATTTTAAGCGATTAATCACCTTTGCGTGGTGTGTGAGAGAGATGTGTGTAAAGTGAAATTAGCACATGACCAGGACTTTGTTGCATGGACAGCTGGCTAGAATAGCTATCCTTGCCAAGCATTTGATGGTTTAAGAATCTTTCCGTTGCTGATATGCATGTAGAGCTTAAATATCCCGTGATTAAAAAAATTAAGAGTGGCATGCTTCTCCCTCACTCTTGTGCATGGTGCAAATAAGTTTCTTCATGCCTCCGTATATATAGCTTTTGTGCAAGGGGAAAATATCAAATAACTCTGATTAAGTTCAAGTAAGTCTTGTAACTTCTGCTCTTTGAGGTTTTGTGTTTTAGCATCTTTGTGACTTTTAAAACTACAGTATGACTGTGAATCCACATTTTAGTAATAAATGTAGGAGAACTAGATTCTGTAGTAAATAAAAGCAGGTAAAACATACTGTATTCTGCCATCATGTAAATTTAGACTTGTAAAAAATGATCTAGCAAATTATAATCCTGTGTGTGAATGTGAGAGAAGTCGAAACAAAATAAAAAAATTCTTTATTTTGTTTCGACTACGGCAGACCAACACGGCTACCTACCTGTGAGAGAGAGTGCACATGAGAGCATGCACATGTCTAGTACAATGAAAGGGTTGTGTTTTGTTTCTGTTCAAATTTGAAATGGAATTGTAGGTTACGTAAATGGGAGCATATTAAATGTCCCTTTCATATTGCCCTTAATCCTATAGTATCTTAATCTTTAAAATCTGTAAACACTTAACTGCTGTCATACCTCTGACTATGTGAATGTACCAGAAATGTGCAGTGACCCAGAGTTGGAAAGTAAGTAAGGGGACTTCATTTCCTTTAAGATAGTATTGTTTTCCTACTGTTGGAACGGCTTCCTCTATTTGTACAGTGGCACCTTGGGTTACGTACTGCCCTCCTTACAAATGCTTTGGGTAATAAGCTCCGCTAACCCGGAAGTAGATGCTCCTCGTTGCAAACTTTGCCCCAGGATGAGAACAGAAATTGCGCGCTGGCGGCAGCGGGAGTCCCCGTTAGCTAAAGTGGTACCTCAGGTTAAGAATGGTTACCGCTTAAGAACAGACCTCTGGAACGAATTACGTTCGTAACCGGAGGTACCATTGTACTTCTTAAAGTAACAGTAAAATGGCAGCTCATGCAGCCTGTCAAAATTGTTTTTAGTGTCCCAGGCAGCATCAGATGTGTAATAGCTTTTCATTTTAAAAACAAACAAGGGCCACATTTTTGTTCTACTGAGGGTTGCTGGATCTATTATTGAAAATTAAAGTGTGGAAATAAGGGGATAAGCCTGATATCCATGGGACTGTGATGCTGTAAAGGGTCAGTCCTAACCAGGCTTATGATCAAGGCCTGCTTTGGTATGCCTGTATCTGGGGCCAAGAGATACCATACTCATAACCAGCTCTTCTAATTTTATGTTTTGATACTTGAGTCCAGTTGAATAAAGGAAGGGTGCATAGTTGACTTAGTACAGTATTTCTAAATTGCCCAACTAGAATAACTGGAAGAGAAACACATCTAAATAAAATAATTGCACACTGTTTTCAAAGTAGGGTTAATGTAACCAAAGGCATTCAAAGCTTTGTATTTTACATATAATTTAACTAGTAATTTTAGGTAAGGGAAGCTGATTAGGGTTCTATCTAGTCAGTCTGTTTCTCCCTCTTCCTCCTCCCAGTTTACTCCTCCATGCCATGGAATAACTAGCATTGTTTAATCCTTGAGCTGGTGAAATCATGAGTGTAGAGTTTTCTTAATAAGCTGAATCCCTGATGACGGTATGTGTCATATTTTCATGAATGGTATTAAAAATATATAGGGCAAATGGGCATTGACACATAGACCCACCTCTGAGTACCAGTTAATTTTCACCCCACCCCGCTAATGAAGGTCTTGTAACTCCTGATGATCCCCTTATTCTACATGAAAGGGGATGGAATTCAAATTTAAATCCCCTTTATTGTACAAACAAGAAAAGTATGATCAATAAATACTAAGGTATGATTCCAAGTTCATCAGGTCAAGGGAAGGCAGAATTTGAAACATACAAGGCTTGCTTTTTACTAGAAAACTGTGTTTAGCAATACATTTTTAATTTATCAAAATGAATGTATAAAAGATCAGGATCTCTTAATAGTTGAGGAGAGACTACAGTACATTTTCTTACCTAAGTCAGAAGTGGGTGGCTTGCTGGACCCATACCAAGGCCCACTCAGTCCTACCTCCTTTGCAAGAATCCCAGTAACCAGCTGCTGTTAGGTAGTCCACTAACAAACTGTGGGCTACCTTCTGACCCCTCTGCATTAAGAGTTCTTGGAGATTTCTAACATCCTAAAGGCCATGAATAAGATGCCAAGAAATACAAGATGCCTTACAAACATCTCCTATCATTCTTCGTCTTAACTTTAAATAGTCTATATCTGGCCTATCATATCTCCTCTCAGTCTTCTTTTTTCCAGGCTAAACATACCCAATTGCCTTGTAGCGCTTGGTTTCCAGACCATTGAGTGATTAACTTCAATGAAACTTGCTTGTGAGTAAACCTGTGTAGACATGGGTTAGCTGCTCTGGAGTCTTTCCACAGCTGCAAGTGGACCCTAAAAAGCTAGATACTGAAAGTGTGTGGGGGTTAAACTATAGGTATATTTTGGGACTTCATTTGTGTCTAATTTACTTTAGTCTTCTTTGGGGGTTTCATTGGAAGCAGTGATCTAACGCAATTAGAGGGCTTGGCACACAAGCCAAAAAATGTCAAAATGGCCAGGCTTCCCTTCCCTAATCTGAAGTGTTCACCAGCCAAAGAGTTTGTCTCCTCTTATGCTATTCCTTTCATCCTGCTTGGTAGTAGCTGAGGAAAAAGCATCGTCTTGGTTCCCGTCAGTAAACTTGTCTTGCCCCTTATTTTGCTCTCCTTTCCTTGTATATCCTGCTTGAAAGGATGAACAATGTTCAGTTCAGTTTAGTTGTTAAAATGAGGGTGCAAGTTCTTTAGTGCCTGGAAATTGGCAGAGGGAGGTGTGTGACTCATGAAAGCCACCTTTGTTTATACCCTTGGCGTTCCTGTGGGGAGTATTTCCTAAGTTGTTGGGTTAACATGTTTCCAGCTGCCTCAGCTGGAAAAGGGCTTTTGGGTATTTAAATGAAGTGTTTGCTTGCAGCACATGGGCGATGATCTCAGCTTCTCTGAGGCATTTTTTTGGCTAGTGGGGGAGTTAACTGTGAACAGCACTCTGGCCCGATAGTGGTGTCTCTGGAGCCTGGCAGCCAGCCCTGTTTCTGGCACTAGCTCCACACAGGTTTCTGCTCAAGGGGCTGGGATGCAGAGCAGGAGAATATTGGAAAGGCAGTAGAACACAGATCTCCTTCATCCCCCCCCTTCTCGTTCTTCACCCTTATTAGCTGTTTCAAGTTCTAATTAAATTGGTTGCTTGCTCTGCATCTTGAGTGGTTCCTGACGTGTTCTAAACTCTTCAAAAATTGTGCTGGAATATTAAATTAGAAACAGACATTATAGATGCAAAGGAAGCCTGAAGAATTAGAAATTTTCTTTTAATCTTTAAGGGACTTATTCTTCCCTGTTGTTCATAACCTGAGAAATCTGGATCTAATGTGAGGGGGTAGGTGCTGTTCTGGCACTTTGCAGAGTGTTTTCTCAGGGAGGAAATGGGAAATGAATTTAAAAATTCACCCTAACTAATGGAGCTCTTTAGCTATTTTTATTAATAGAATATGTTCTTAAAATCACCTAGGAGAGGGCTTTGGATTCATCCGGAAATCAGTATGTTAGGGTTGATTTGATGCAGGGGGCCTGGGGGCTTGGTTCAGCCTTCTTGACCCTGCTCTCTGGGAGCTGCAGGCCAGTGGTCAGTGTGGCCACATCCAACTCTTTTTCTCACATGCACACGCACACACCTCCTGAGCTAATGCATATGCAGGTCAGATCAGGTGGCGAGGTTATGGAAACATATATAATTTTATTTGAATGTAACCTTTCCACAATTCAAACCATAGTCAAGGTGGCTTACAATAAGAAGAAAATAAATAACTACCACATAATGAAAGTAGTCAGACAGTAAATAAAGCATTAAAAAATACCCAACCAAACTGAACAATTTCCACATAAATCACAAAAAGGTCTAAAAGAAAGATACAAAAAACCAACAGCAACAACGCCGCCCCCCCCCACAAAACCCCAGCCCAAGAATCTGTTCAGCAGCCTCAGCTTTTGTAGCTGGAGTCAGTCCCAGGCCAGGCAGAAAAAGACCTGCAAGGCAGGGAACAAGCAGGTTTTCCAGGACTCACAGCCAGGATGCCATGTCCTCCCTCCTGGCTCATCAAATGATTGATTTTATGACTGATAGGGATGAGATACGCATTTGCCATGCCACCAAAATGAGAGGGCAGGAGCTTGTTGTTTAGTTGTGGCCGACTCCATGGACCAGAGCACGCCAGGCCCTCCTGTCTTCCACTGCCTCTCGCAGTTTGGTCAAACTCATGTTGGTAGCTTCAAGAACACTGTCCAACCATCTCATCCTCTGTCATCCCCTTCTCCTGGTGCCCTCCATCTTTCCCAACATCAGGGTCTTTTCCAGGGAGTCTTCTCTTCTCATGAGGTGGCCAAAGTATTGGAGCCTCAGCTTCAGGATCTGTCCTTCCAGTGAGCACTCAGGGCTGATTTCCTTAAGTATGGATAGGTTTGATCTTCTTGCAGTCCATGGGACTCTCAAGAGTCTCCTCCAGCACCATAATTCAAAAGCATCAATTCTTCGGCAATCAGCCTTCTTTATGGTCCAGCTCTCACATCACTACTGAGAAAACCATAGCTTTAATTTATACGGACCTTTGTTGGCAAGGTGATGTCTCTGCTTTTTAAGATGCTGCCTAGGTTTGTCATTTTCCCTTCATGGTTCACTGCCTTGCTGTGGTGAAGGGGCTTGAATAACCCAGAGAAGCTATGAGCTATGCCATGCAGGGCCACCCAAGATGGAAAGGTCATAGTGGAGAGTTTTGACCAAACGTGATCCACCTGGAGCAGGAACTGGCAAGCCACTCCAGTATCCCTGCCAAGAAAACTCCATGGACAAAGGCGGGAGCTTGGGCCCCACTAAAAATTGCACATGGACCAAGGGTTCACTACCCCTGCCCTGATTTAGTGTCTTGAGAAATTCCAAGTGGGGTAGTCACATTAGTCTCTTACAGCCAACATGATGTCGCGTCTTGTAGCAGTATGCCTTTGATGAAGTGGATTGGGGGGCCTGTGAGCCTCCAGGTGGTGCTGGACCACCTCTCTCCAATTCTAACCATTGGCCAGGTTGGCTCAGTTTGATGGAAGTTGAGATCTGACAACATTTGGAGGGTCCACAGATCCCCCATCCCTGAAGGAGACTCCGCTTTGTACAAGCTTGTGTCACAACAAATGTGTTGGACTGTTCTTTTGTACTGTCTTGCCAGCAGTCTTCTCCATATACTAGGTAAGTTGTCTCTGACAAGTTGAAGGAGGTTACCTGATTCAAATTAACACCCCTGATTTACATAAGCCTGATAGGCCTTATCCCAGAGAAAATATCTGAATGCAATGGTAATACTGGGAGGACTTCCTGAATAAAGTAAATGTTCTGAGGGCCACGCGCCTGGTTTGTGGCAAACCATGGCTTCCTATATATGAGCAGCATTCTGGTTTCATGCTGCTGAAATTGCACCTGAGCTGGGAGGGAACAAACTATAGTGCTGGCTTAGAGTTATGTGCAAACCAACACTTGTTTCTTCCAAAACTCACAAGCAATAAGCCAAGAATTAGCCTTGGCTTCCACTCATGGCTTGTTTCAGGGTTATGGCGATGTGCAGACTGTGATCTAGTGGCTAGAGGGCTGAGCTTGGTTATGAGAAACTTGAATTTAACTCAAGGGTGTGGAACTTGTGGCCCTCCAGATTTTGGACTCTTGTCTCCCATCAGCCCCAGGCAGCATGACCAGTGGTTGGGGAGGATGGGCATTATAGTCTAAGAACCTCTGGAGGAGCACAGGTTTCCCATTCCTGCTTTAAATTCTCACTCAACAGTGAAGCTTACTAGGTGGTCCTGAGCTAATTGCTACCACAGAGGACTGTGGTGTGTTTGAAATGCCACACTTGAATTCTTCGGAGGAAGGTTTGGATAGGAGCATAGCAAATATATAGGTTGTAGGACCTGCGGACAAAAACCATGCAAGGGTGGCCCAGCCTGTTTCGCCTCTGGAGGCTGAAGCCCCCCACGCCTCCCTTAACTGGGTTGTGTGACAGCATCCACAAAGCAGCAACAATGGCGGCAGATTCTGTCAAATTGAACTGGTGTTAGCAGCTCACACTTTACTTTCTGCAAGTCTTAGACTTTAAAAAACATCTGCTGTTTTACCTCCCCTGTTAATAAAAGGTGGGAATTTTCTCAAGTTGCTGTTTTGAAATAGCACAAAGATTACTTTACAGACCCATCATCAACCATCTACAGCAGTCCAGAATGTTTTTTAGAAAACCACACAAAGTGGAGGCCTGGAGAAGTCAGGCAGCCTTCCAGTGTGTCACAGCTTACAGCTCCTGCATATACTGTAGATATTTTTGGAGGCTCACACCAGGGCTGGGCAACACTCATAACTCAATGAGATTTAAAATCTTTTCTCATTGATTTTATCCATGTCCATGAGCTTCCAAACCCATTACTCTTTAGAGAAAAAGAATATATGTCATTAGCTTCCCAGTCCTGAGAATCAGAGAAAAAACACACGTTGTTGCCTTCATTGCTGCAAAATTGAAGATGGAAAGACGGGACCAAAAAGCAAACCTTAGTATCTGGAGATGATACAAGGAAGACTATTTCTTAACTGACTTACAGGCTGACTGGTACCTTTGCACATGTTTAATCTATTCAGATGTGCAAATGGTTGTGCCTGCGGGTGTTTTCCATGTCCACTTGTTTTTTAAAGTGCTCAAGGATACAACAGTGTCTTTAGAGAGATGTCCCCCCCCACCACCACATGTATGTTTGTTAATATCAACTTCAAAAGTTGTTGATGAATAAAGTTCAAACTACCCAGATACTTGGGAAGTCTTTGTGTTTATGTGCTTGGGCAAAGAGAGAGCCATTCTGTCTGGGCTGAGAGAGATCACTGGGTGGCTTTGAGCCTAAATTACCTCGCAGGGTTATTGTGAGGATAAAATAAGAGCCATGAACACTGTCTTCAGCAGTAAATAAATATAATAATTATAGAGACTTCATATTGTTGTTAAAGCAAGCACAATAGGCAGATAGCTGGATTTTGCCGGAAGGAGGAACTGTTTTCATATTCTTGTTGGAATGAATTAAATGCTGCTATGATTAGGCAAGGGACTAAAATATAAAAACATTAAAAAGTCAAACAATAATAATCTGATCCAATAAAAAAAGTCACAATAACTTTAAAATAAAGCACTTATATCAAATAAAGCAATATTCAGTAATCCCTGTATCGGGAAGTTTTTAATGTTTGATGTTTTACAACGTTTTATACATGCTGTAAGCTGCCTAGAGTGGCTGGGAAAACCCAGCCAGACGGGCAGGATATAAATAATAAAAGTATTATTATCCATTAGAATTTAATAGTAAACAGTAAATTAAATATCAGCAAATAATAATCAAACAGTTTACGATTATCAATTACAAAAAAATTACTAAACTATAATAAATAAAAATAATGGCAAGTCACAGATGACAACCTTGAGTTAGATTAAGAACTTTGAGAACTTAAAAAAGAAAAGTCACTTTATCCAGAGCCAGTCTACATATATATTAGCCAATTTTGACCTCTTTCTTAATGGTGACATGGACCATTCATAATTTAGGGATATTCTTGACAACTGTGAGCAGGGCAGTGGGGTGGGGTAAGTGAAGACAAGCTACAACAATTAACTATAACGTTCACTGCTCCTGCTCAGGTGGCACAGAAAAAGCATTTTGGTTTCTAAAATTCATTCTGATTGTGCAGATAAAATACAACTGATAAAATTATACAGAATGGGGTATTAGTGTGTGCAAATAGTCAATCTCCAATGATCCCCCAGGCATGCGCCTCTAGATGGTGGGGGTGTCTTCACTTGGTTGCAAGTGGCCAATAATGCACCTGGCACCTGCCTAATTCGAACACTGGTTGTAGTAACAGTATCAGCATCCCTCTCTGCAGCCTCTCTTGCTCTACAGCATACATCCCAGCTAAACCCTTCATCCCTGCTTCCTGGTTAGATCACTCCCAACTCTTAACTTCATAACTTCTAAGATCTCCTTTTCTAACACGTGAAGAGGCCTCACATTTGCATTCTCTTTTTTTTTTAATGATATTTATTAAAATTTCAAAAAGAGGAATTACATAAATAAAGAAAAGGAGAAAAAACAAAAAAAACCCAGACAATAAACAGAAGTAAAAATACAGGAAAAATACAAAATACAGAATAAAAGAATAAAAAACACTTTTTAAAAAATACATCAATCTTTCCATGCCTTACATTCATATCCTTGTTTCCCTGACCTCCTCATACCTCCCTTTTTTGTATTCCAATTCAGTTAGTTAATTCAGCAATTTCTTTCCCTCTTTATTTTCTCTTAATCCTTTAACTTAATATACTATAGCTTTGAATTTTCACCTGTTATCAATCCATTTTTTCATACACCTTTATAGCATTACTGCTTAAACCACCTAACTTCATTCTAACGTCATTCTAACATTCATTAATTTTGCAATATTTCTGTAGATAGTCTTTAAATTTCTTCCAGTCTTCTTCCACCGACTCTTCTCCCTGGTCTCGGATTCTGCCAGTCATTTCCGCCAATTCCATGTAGTCCATCACCTTCATCTGCCATTCTTCCAGCGTGGGTAGGTCTTGTGTCTTCCAATACTTTGCAATAAGTATTCTTGCTGCTGTTGTGGCATACATAAAGAAAGTTCTATCCTTCTTTGGCACCAATTGGCCGACCATGCCCAGGAGAAAGGCCTCTGGTTTCTTCAGAAAGGTATATTTAAATACCTTTTTCATTTCGTTATAGATCATCTCCCAGAAAGCCTTAATCCTTGGGCATGTCCACCAAAGGTGAAAGAATGTACCTTCAGTTTCTTTACATTTCCAACATTTATTATCGGGCAAATGATAGATTTTTGCAAGCTTGACTGGGGTCATGTACCACCTGTATATCATTTTCATAATATTCTCTCTTAAGGCATTGCATGCCGTAAACTTCATACCTTCACATTTGCATTCTCACACCCATTTCCTTTGATCCTGTGTAGTGGGAACACACACTGAACTTCCTCTGCTCTGAACTCCCTTGTTGTTTATTTCCCCCATGTGGTCATCTCACAAAGAAGTCTGTCTGACTTCATTAACACTTGCTGATTGGGTTAGGATTATAATGTCCAATATACAACCCAGGAAGTGTGCCTGCTTAACTTGCTTTTACATGTGGTGTTACAGAGGATGATGAGTGGTTCTATCACACCTTATTACCCCTGATACCACACTTGGGTCTAGCTATTCCACATACCGGTCCTAATTAAATCCTAACATTAATCAGACACAAGAATTTAGCACCCACGGATATGTTCTATTGAGGAATAGTTAATGGCAAAGTTTTGCATTAATGGCAAAGTTTTGCATTAATAGTTATTGGCAAAGTTTTGAGCATGCTGTGTTCTGCATATTCTTGCACTGTGTGTCTGTATCTGTTGCCAAGATCAAGTTTTATTCGTCTCTGGTTTGTACATACCTAACCAAGAATGCCATATTGTGGACCCATGCACCTTGTATCTGGGAGGGGTGTGGGAAGAAGTATTAATAGAAGACAAGCACAACCTGAGTTGGATAAAAGTAGGCCACAGCTTTCTTAGGATAGGCATTGGGCATGAATCCATGTTATCTACCAGCCTACCTGCTGGCTGATGAGCTTTTTCAACAGCCAGGTTGACGGTTGCTGAGGTCTACCACAGCAAGGATATGATGAACCTCCCCTGGCTGCTGGGGGGGGGCACGGCCTATCCGACTCTGGGCTTCAGGACAGAAAATGCCACCCACCAAGAGGGTATCCTATATATTGGGAAGGGCAGTAGCTCAGTGGTAGAGCAGAAGGGCCCAACTTCAGTCCCCGGCGAGGCTGATTGGCTCCCTTCAGTTGCCAGCCTGGCTGCAAGGCATGCAAAGCGCTTCACACCAGCCATAAGTTCCCCTTGCGGCTGTTTGGGGCTACAATGGCTGCTCCTGGGTGCAAAGGAATTGTGTGCCACTGGGCTCTCCATGTATGTTGTGATAGTAGTCCCAGATGGGTAGCTGAAAGGCAGGCAGGAGGTTGATAACCTCCAAGTTAATTTTTCAAAATTAATTTAATACCAGTATCAAAAATTAAGTTAAAACAACAACAGATCAGGAGAATAGTTCCTACATGGGGTAAAAGTGCATTTTATAATTTTTTCATAATTTTTCAAGTGCTGTTAAAAATAATATTCTACTTTAACTTTCTGATTCTTTTTTTCATATCGTGTATAAAAAAGAAAAGTATTTGTTCAATGCTCAGTTTTTGGTTTTCCAGATACTTATATTACGATGTGTGTTCTAAAATGTGCCCAAATAGGAATGCACATTTCGATGAAAAAATTGTTCATCTCATGGAAGGCAGTGGTGTCCATGTGCATTCCAGTAAGCATCTCCTGATCCATCTGGTGATATGAGAACAAATCTGTTTAATTTAATTGGGATTGTAAATGTAAGACGTAGGCTGCCATCAAATGAGAGTGTTTCCTACTCAGGCCCCTCAATGATAAATGGAACTTGAGCAAAAACAAAACATTTGAATGAATGAGCCATTTGTTTCAATGGGGCTTGCATAGGAGAAATGCTTGGTGGATTGTTCCCATACTTCACCTCTCTAGTTCAGTAGTCTGCCATGCTTTTGAATGTCTTAATGCAGGCATTCTTAGATGTACCATGAAAAAGTTTTACTGTTTTTCTATGACTTAGAATATATCTTTTGACGGTACATTTTAAAGAGTTTGCCTCTTTAAGATGTTGCACAGAGATTTAACACATAGCAATTTGAATATAGGGACGCGGGTGGCGCTGTGGGTTAAACCACAGAGCCTAGGACTTGCAGATCGGAAGGTCGGTGGTTCGAATCCCTGCGACGGGGTGAGCTCCCGTTGTTGGGTCCCTGTTCCTGCCAACCTAGCAGTTCGAAAGCACGTCAAAGTGCAAGTAGATAAATAGGTACCACTCCAGTGGGAAGGTAAACGGCGTTTCCGTGCGCTGCTCTAATTCGCCAGAAGCGGCTTCGTCATGCTGGCCACATGACCCGGAAGCTGTATGCCAGCTCCCTCGGCCAATAAAGCGAGATGAGCACCGCAACCCCAGAGTCGGCCACAACTGGACCTAATGGTCAGGGGTCCCTTTACCTTTTCAGTGGTGCCTCGCAAGACGAAATTAATCCGTTCCGCGAGAGTCTTTGTCTAGCGGTTTTTTCGTCTTGCGAAGCAACCCTATTAGCGGCTTAACGGATTAGCGCTATTAGCGGTTTAGCGGCTATTAAAGGCTTAAAGGCTTAGCGGATTAGCTGCTAAAAGGCTATTAAAGGCTATTAAAGGCTTAGCAGATTAGATAAAGGGGAAAAGCGAAAAAAAAATCTCTAGACTCGCAAGACATTTTCGTCTTGCGAAGCAAGCCCATAGGGAAATTCGTCCTGCGAAGCAACTCAAAAACGGAAAACCCTTTCGTCTAGCGGATTTTCCGTCTTGCGAGGGATTCGTCTTGCGGGGCACCACTGTACCTATTTGAATATTTATGTACTGTGTCTTTGTTTGTCCAAAAAAATAGTTCTTGTACAAGCAGGCCTAGGGTGACCTATGGTGGCATAAAACAGCTTCAGTATTAAGATTCCCCCCCCCCCCATCTTTAGCAGACAGAAGATTGTACAGTAAGCGGAATATTTAAGACTGTGGCTTTGTCTGCTCAGAATTCCCATTTGGAGGCAACATGCTGGGTGGATTCAGTGTATGACTATTTTCTTTGTTGTCCTGGCTCCACATACATTTTTACGTTATATGTAAATCCTCCAGTTACTCTGTGGTTTATATATAATGAACTACAGTTCTAGCAAGAATCTGGAGGTTCCTGCTTTGGAATAATAGCAGAAGACATATAATAAATGGAAACCCTAACTTACTAACAAGCATCTTAATTAGTTGTGGTATTATTACTGGCTGTTGCTATATCAGCTGTTAAAATTTTGAGTTTTAAAAATGGAGAAGCCTGATCTTTTCTCCTGACTTCATTTTTTTTGTCCTGTGCTGGTGCTCAAAAGTCTGCTCTTCACTCCTTTCCTGCTTCTGTTGCTGCTGCTGCTGCAATGGGGAGGGAACAATCCGGAGTCTGGCTTGTTGCTTCATGGAATTTGGACTCATGGTTTTTTTTCTGTCCAGATAAACCTTGGCTTTCATTTGTGGTTTGTTTGGAGAGAAACAAACCACAAGCCCATGTTCCACATAACAACAAATATAACATGGAGTTTGGGCCACCAGCATGCTGCTTGATCACATTATACCATTATTTTAACTGTAGTTTAATGTAATGCATAAACCAAGTTGTTGTGTCCAAATCTGCATGCCATAACTCAGGATATAACAGTGTGTTGTGAGCTGTTGGCTAATGCAGTGTGCAAATTTTACTGCCTTAGACCAGTGATCTCCTAAACTATCTACCGCCATGGAATTCTTTCCACATCAGTTTGCTCGTGTACATCTGTTGCAGCATTTCTGCAAACAGCAGGGATTTCAAGACATGTTCTGTCTGAGCTGTGTTCGTCTTAGAACATGCTCAGGATCCTGTTTGCAGCTATTTGCTGCAGGGGGCGTCTGTAGTTGTGATCAAGCTATTTTTAAGAGGAGCTTTTAACCATGACTTGTTTCTACACTGAGAAACCCCTGGTAAGCTTCCGAGGAGCTCTTGGATCCGCTTAGAGGGATAAAATTTGTAGCTTGTGTAGCTTGTATGAAAGATTCATGTTATAAAACCATCCAAATGCCGTTTATTTGTGTTGCACTAAGAAAATTAATTTTGTAAAGTTTTTTGAGGATTTATTACAAAAATGTTTATCAAATTTGTTTTTTTTTAAATAAACATTTTAATTTCAGTTACATCTTTTTAAATTTCTGACTGCATAAAAACTTTTATGTTAGTTACTGAACCAGTAAATAATAACTTTATATTGTGAATTATCCTGCTGTCACGCTGGTTATGTTGGGATTTTAAAAAAATGTTTTAGTGTAAAGGGAAAAGGTTTTGAAAAGCACTCAGTTTTTCTTTGATAAACTTAGGAAACTGCACGCCACTCCTCCAGTGAGGAGCAAAGAGGAACAGAAAAGGGCAAGCACTGCTTGCAAATAAAGGAAGTGAGCTGATGTTAATTTGTTTATAAGTAGCAGAAGAGTTGACAGCATCAAATGGGGGGAACTATTCAGAACCTAAGGGCAGATGCTGAAATATCAAGTCACCTTTAATATTGGGGAAAGAACACCTAAACTGTCTCTAAAGGGCAGGATCTGATAAAAGTGCAGTGAGGGTGGCAGCTCAGGTATGTAGACAGCTGAGTACAGATGGCTTACAGGTGAAACTCGGAGAATTAGAATATCGTGGAAAAGTTCATTTATTTCAGAAATTCAACTTAAAAGGTGAAACTAATATATGATATAGACTCATGACATGCAAAGCAAGATATGTCAAGCCTTTATTTGTTATAATTGTGATGATTATGGCGTACAGCTGATGAAAACCTCAAATTAGCAATCTCAGAAAATTAGAATCTCAAATGAAATCAGCAAAACAAGGATTGAAAAAAGAGCAATATTGGACCTCTGAGAAGTAGAAGCATGCATATGTACTCAGTACTTGGTTTGGGTCCCTTTTGCATCAATTACTGCCTCAGTGCAGTGTGGCATGGCTGCTATCAGCCTGTGGCACTGCTGAGGTGTTATGGAAGACCAGGATGCTTCAATAGCAGCCTCCAGCTCTTCTGCATTGCTCGGTCTCATGTCTCTCATCTTTCTCTTGGCAGTGCCCCATAGATTCTCTATGGGGTTCAGGTCAGGCGAGTTTCCTGGCCAATCAAGCACAGTAATTCCATGGGCATTGAACCAGGTTTTGGTACTTTTGGCAGTGTGGGCAGGTGACAAAGTCCTGCTGGAAAATGAAATCGGTGAAGGTGGCCAATAGAGGCACTGGCCAGCCTGTGGATCTGGATCCCAGGGACAGGGCCCCTGCGGCTGGCAGGGGAAAGAGCCAGCAGACTGCTGCAGCCACCACTTTTCACACTGTAGTTCACACTCACGTGAACTACTGTGTGACGACAGGCAAGAGCAAATATATCGACATCATTATTGCAGAAGTTATAGTAGAAGTGCAGTAGGTTTGTTGTTTTGACTTGTTTCCCTCTGTCAGGAAAAAATACTTTCCTGTGTTATAACCATACACAACAATATTGTATAACCATTTATTTATTTTAAACATTTATATCCTGCTTTTTAGTCAACAAGCCCCAGACTAGCTTTCATTAATACTGCCTTTCTGTCAAGCACTCAAGACATAATACACTTTAAAAATACTTATGTAGAACAACAGAGTCCTCTCAGGCCAGCTGATGATCTTCAGGAGCTGATGACACAAACTCACCTGGGCTTCCTATCTTCTGCCTTCCCTTAGGGCACGCAGGTTTCAAGTTGCCCCTGGGAAGGTAGGGGAGGGACTCCTGCTCTGGAGGCTGGGACCCAAACCAATGGATTCAGGTTACAAGAAAGGAGATTCTAACGGAATCCCTTGGGACGGTCTCCTTTGGGACGATGTGGACTCTCCATCTTTGGAGGTTTTTAAGCAGAGGTTGGATGGCCACCTGTCATGTATGATCTGTTTGAGATTTCTGCATTGCAGGGGCGTCAGGCTGGATGACCCTGGGGTCCCTTCCAACTCAACAAGTCTATGATTCTATGAATATATAAGTAATATATTGGAATTATAGCCCCTGTTCTTCTAAAGAAAGCAATAACAAGGCTAGCATCGAGGAGCTTTTCCTTCCTTTCCCTGGAATGGCAGAAGCTGGAGAAACATTCTCCCTCTCGTCTCTACTGAGCCTGACCCGCAGTGGCATTCCAAGGCATGTTCTTGCAGACATTCCTGAATGCTTGGCTATGAGGTCAGAGACAATGAAGTCATAATACAAAAGGCAGGAGTGAGGAGAGAGCCCACCCCCTCATGGACTTAACTGTGCACTCTGGTGCTGCTAATTAAAGAGCACAAGCTGAGGGAATTTCAGGCTGCAGCACTTGACGCTTTCCCAAGCCACTCAAGGATTTGATCCCCTGGAAGCTGTCTTAGATATTAGTGTTGTGAATAACAGAAATAAAGCAACCATATCTCAGTTTGGGTAGGTAACTTATATAATGACCAGAACTTCAGGCTTTAAATAGACTTTTTGTTATTTCATATCTCTGCATATGGTTCAACTGTTACTTCCACAAAACATCGCCTTGTGGCAGAAATCCTTAAAGGTTGCAACTTTTTAGCTGAATATGACCTGCTGCAATAATTCCACTTCTGCTCTTTTGACACCCTGGACTCTCTACTGCTTTCTGTATCAGAGAAGTTCCATCTGTCTTATATTTTCCTGTGCATGTAATATGTTGCTGGGCTTAAAATTTAATTTCCCAATAGTTTGCTTCCACTTAGCGTTGCTTTTGACTGCCAACCTGACAAATTAAGACTGACAAAAATTAGATGCTCACATATTAATGTACAAGCCCACCAAGCAGTTAAGTTCTGGGGACGGCCTGTTTCATGTGCCTCTTCTGCCTGGCGTGAGAAGGGGTGGGGAAGCAGAATATGACCTGCCTGCTTTTTGAAAATAGTATGAGAACCTCAATGGGGAGTGGACCCCTTTTCCCTAAAAACAGCACCTGGTGGGCATTTGATACCTTGGACTTGACAGACTTGTGGGGAGAGGAAGCTGCATTATTTTCTAAGCGAAGTCAAAGCTGGCTTGTATGGCTTTAGTTTTTATTGGTGTTCCTGTCTTCTTTCAGACATGTTAGGTGACCTAGCATGCATTTGTGAAAGTGTATTTCACATTTCCCCCACCTTTTTAATCCCTCTTTTTCGTATTAAATCAGTTTTACTCTCAATGCATTGTTTAAATGAGCTTCATGCAATTCTTTTTCCTAATTGCCTAGGAGATGTTGAGCTATCCTACAGTTTATGGAGTTGATGACTCCTTTGAGAAGATAATACACGGAGTTGGTTTAGCTCCTGGACTAGTTATCATTCAATACTAGCGTTTGAATGAAGAAAGAGTGGGTGAAGGGAAAATTGGTGAGTGGGAAAATCCCTAGTATTCTGCTGGCATGGAAGGAAATCTGTTCCAAGGCTAAGGAGATGAGACATTCTAAAAAACAAACCACCCACTTCTTATCATCACAAAGAAATCAGCTGAATCTAAACAGCAGCATTACTTCCTCTGACCCCAGGTATCATGGTCAACATAAGTGTTCAAGGTACCTGAATCAAGCTGTTTTCAGTGATCCATTTGGTGCATTATGTTCTTGTGGGTTTGATAAGCAAAACTGAGATGCATAATTCTATAATTCTGTGAAGTTGAAAAAGCTAATGAAAGTGACTTCAGCTCGTAGCCATCTGCACCCTTATCTGGACAGGAATAGCCTAACTTGGGCTTCCTCAACCCCAGCCCTCCAGATGTTTTGTGACTACAATTCCCATCATCCCTGACCACTGGTCCTGCTAGCTAGGGATCATGGGAGTTGTAGGCCAAAAACATCTGGAGGGCCGAGGTTGAGGAAGCCTGGCCTAACTGCTATTATCTTATGCTCTGGTGATCTCTAGGTTAGATTACTGCAATGTGTTAATATGTAGGGCTGCCTCTGAAGATGGTTTAGAAACTTCAGCTAATGCAGAATTCAGTGGCCAGGTTGCTCACTGGCGCAAGATGACTTGAGCATCTTACATTGATCCTGGCCTGACTGCATTGGCTACCAATTAGTTTCTGGGCCCAATTCAAAGTGCTGGTTTTGAGCTATAAAACCTTAAATGGCTCAGGACCACAATACCTCTCTCCATATGAACTACCCAGACCCTGAGATCACCCTATGAAGCCCTTCTTTGTGTGCGCCCACATGAAAGGTCTGGAGGGTGGCAGCATGAGAACAGGCCTTCTCTGCAGTGGCGCCCAAGGAATGCTCTCCCCATGCAGGTGAAAACATTCTTCATCAGCCAGGCCTTTGGCTGATTGACATCCGATGCCCTTTTAAATGTGTTGTGGAAGGGGGAATTACTGGGTTGTCTTTGTTCTTACTTTTGTTATGTATTTTGTGTTTTTTGTATTATACTTTTATGTTGTGACCCATCCTGAGACCTATGGGTGTAGGTTGGTATACAAATTTATTAAAGAACAGCAACAGCCTAACCCCTACACCAGGCAGCCTGCTGAAAGATTTTGTTGGCGTTTTGCTTGCTGTGCTGATCTATATGTTCAGCAAGATCACGTGACAAAGCTCTCCTTAGACTGCATCATTCCGGACTGCCAGGACAGGGTGGCATTTCTAAATGTTGCCTTGTGTTTAAATAAAAAAGCAGGCTTATTGCATGTAAGAAAACTAGCAGCTTAGGGAAAGTGAGATGGTGAGGGAGAGAAGGGAAGCATATGAAAAGAAAATAGAAAAGCAAATGGGCAGTTTGGCTAAATGATGCAAAAGCAAAGCTTTTGGCAAAATGGCTTTGATTCTCTTGCTTGTTTTGGATGGTATAGTAAGGTAATCTTTGCAGGCAGTGTGTTGTAGTGGTTAGAATATTGGACTAGGTAGGGGTCAGCAAACTTTTTCAGTAGGGGGCTGGTCCACTGTCCCTCAGACCTTGTCGGGGGCCAGACTATATTCTTTTTTTGGCCGGGGGATGAATGAATTCCTGTGCCCCACAAATAACCCAGAGATGCATTTTAAATAAAAGGACACATTCTACTCATGTAAAAACATGCTGATTCCCGGACTGTCCGTGGGCCGGATTGAGAAGGCAATTGGGCCAGATCCAGCCCCTGGGCCTTAGTTTGCCTACCCATGGACTAGGAGATGAGAGGTTCAAGTTTGAATCTTGGGCCAGTTATTGTCTACTGCCACTGGGCAGTTGTGAGGACAGGAAGGAGGAGAACCATGTACACCTCCTTGGGCTCACGGAAGTGAAAGGTGGGATATAAATGTATTAATAATCAGTCCCTGGTCTTGGAGCTTATGTTAACCTTTGCTCCTTTTAATATTAAATAATACTGAGGATGTGAGGTAATGTGTAAAAGGGCTGCAAGGAAGGGTCATGAGAAATGGGACAGTGCATAGAGATTTATGTCTAGGGTTGGATGGTATTTGGATCCTCTTCAGACCTTTGAGTCTGTTATGCTTAAACAAGGATTACTGGGTTTGTCCAACATGTCCCTGAACTTTGGATTTCTCAAAGCTGCAAGGAAAGTGTATGGAGACAACTGCTTTTTGTTTGTATCTGGTGTTGGCTGCTGATTGTCAGATGGCCTAGAGAGACCTTTGGCCTGACTCCATAGGATTGCTGCCGTGCTCTTAGAATTAATGAGATAGTGAGGGGCATTTATCCTGAACACTGACATTCAATTAAAATAATGCTGTAGAATGTGGGTTACCATGCAGAACATCTAAAGTTTGGACCCTCTAAAGGGAATTTGAGGGGAAAACCTGAGATTCTGAATATAAGGTTTCATTTTAGCCCTGTAATTTCCTTGATAGCCATATAAGCATCAATGGAAATCAATTGCTGCTTAAGTTCCTCCCCTTTCCTTGTGACTGGGCTATGGTTTATTCTCTTGTTGATTTCCCTAGCAGATGAACTGTTAATGCTCTGCATGCCAGTTATTCTCCTCGCCCCATAAGCACTTCTTGTGGTCAATCTGCTGGAATTATCATTTGAAGGGTTTCTGGGGGTGTTTTAGCTCAAGGGATTTACACTGCTGGCATTAGACTAAATGAATTGTGGCTTTTAAGGGCCTGTGAAATACCAGGGAATAGAAGTGCTTCCCCTTCCTTCCACATGGAGAATCTGTTCTTGGGGACCATCTGTAAATTCTCTTATGCTTTTAAAGGTCTTTTTCATCCATTTTCCCTTGTCACTCTATGCACTCTATTAACAAGTGGCCGATCTCACAACTCACCCATTGACTGCCTTCTTGCAGCAGGGCAAGCCAGGGCTGCAGGATTGTTGGAGCTTAATGGGCAATGTGCTAGTGCTTGTTGCTTGAGTGCGCCCGCTATGCTCCTTCCCTGGTGTGAGGGGGAGAAATGGACCAGAGATCTGCCATTAAAACTAGGCTACCTACCTGTGATGGCCAGATCCAGTACCCTGGTTTGTAGCTCCCTAGCAAGCCAGCATTCATAAACCAAGAACACACTATGGTCAGAGGCAGGGGCAGCACAGTCCATTTTGCCACTGTAGGTGAAATAGGAAGCTGCCCCTCTCTCACTCCCAACCGCCCCACCAAAGCTGGGGTCCTGGCTGCTGCTACCTTTCCTCACTTCTTGTTGTGGTGGGGTAGGAGGCACTTGTGGAACTCTGGCGTCACCGTAAACATCTCCTGCCCCCCTGCTTATCACCAGGTCATCCATGCACACCCAAGCCCTGACTTTAATATTATTTTGTATAGGGCTTTCTCGGTATGTGCGTCACTTCACAGAATAACATAAGCAAAAGAAGATGGATCCCTGCCTCAAAGAGCATACAATTCAATACTAAGGGAAAGCACAAAGCAGGGTTGGGGCGGGGAGGCCTGTCCTTCAAACTCTGCTAACATATTTATTTTTGGTATATAATTTCCATTATAATTTATCTCAAGATGATTTTACAGCATACTTAAAGCAAAAAAAATACAGTAAACCTATTAAAAGTACCAAATAACAATCAATGCAACACACAAGTAAAGTAGCAAAGTTAAACACTTAATTTCCAATGTTTCAAAATACAAAATGCCTTGGGAAATAAAGAGGTTGGGCACCAGGCAAGCCTCCTCAAGGGGAGCCCACAGCCCCCTCCTTTGCTGCCCCTTGAATTGCACAAGTCAGGATGGCTAGCCTGCCTTGCTAGCAGCCAAACCACGGGTGGCTAAAGCTGTCTAGTTTTTTAGTTTTTAATGTGCTGTCTCCTGATGTCTTACTTTCTGAATTTCTTACTTTAACTCCTGTCGTAAGCTGCCTCAGGCATCTTAATGGAAAGGCAGGAACTAAATGTTTTAAATAAAATAAATGATAAGAGAGGTAGCACGTTACAGTTAGCTTTTGGCGGTGGGCATATTGCTATGGAGGACAGCAAAGAAGAACAGGGTCATCTTAAGAGAATAGGGCAGCTGAAGGCCACAGAGTTGATGGAGTGAGGGTCATGCAGACAGATATAATGGGAAATAAGGGTGCCAAAAGAGGAGAGGAAAAGTCCCAGGATGGTTTGGGAGGCTCTGATCCAGATTTTGTGCTTAACAGCAGCAAGTCCCTGAACATTGCACAAAATGGTAAAAGAAGCTGCCTGTTTTTGTTTCCCAATAAATATTCAAACAAAAGTTTGAAACCCATCTGGGGGCAAGAGGAGTGGAAGATGTGTGCAGAGTTTGCTTCTGTTCCTACTGAGGAGCATTCTGTCCTCTTATAATACATTTCCATGCCAGGCCAGAGTATTGCTAGCAGTCCTAGAGGATGACCTAAAAATGCTGCAAGCTCAGAGACTTGTGCTGCTGCCAGGACACTCTGTGCACACTGTAGACCAGGATCTGCATTCCACAACCCGTATGTCAAGTTCTGAGAAAACAGTTGAGCAACCAAGTTGCTTTTTCGAAACCATTTCAAAACTTCTCTGCCTCCTCTAAGTGCTCCTTGTAGGTGATTTAATTGTTCTCACCTCCACCACCTGTAACCACTAGCACACAAATGATGCCTCTCTCAAGGACCTTTTGGCGTAAGTTGTGTGTTGACAAACAGCCAAAGATACATTTAGAGCACCAGTGCGTTGTAAGTTTTTAAAAGAAACAATCCGCTGCCTTCTTGTTGCAGTTAAAGGAAGCCAGTCCTCAACACGTAGTGAGGAATGCTTGATTAAAAGTGATTTAGGAAAAATAATATTGCCACTTGTTTCCTTCTGTAAAGCCTTAGTGGGCCTCTAAATCAAAGCCATTCACTTTTCCTAGAAACTGGGAAGGAGGAGGCGCCTCCTTTGTAACTGGCTGCAGTGCTGGGGGACTGCATGGGGGCCTGTAGAATGTCTTGTGATCTTCAGCCAGGAATTCCCGTAGAGAAGAGGTGGGTGTCTCTTCATTAGCTGCCAAGGGATAATGCTACGCTAGGCAACGCATCATGAGTTTTGTTGTTGCTTTTGTTCAGCTCCTTAAAAGCCTTGATTCCTCTACAGGCCTCATGTGCCATCTCCCTCCCCACCCCACCCCCTCCACTCTTTTACTCCCCTTTGCTTGCTGGTGCGTCTTGCTCTGCAATGTCACAGCACTTTATAAATACATAGAATTGTCTGAACATTTCAAATAGCTGAATATTTTCTATGGTAATGTTAGTAATGTCATGAAGGGCTCTGTTCTCTCTCCCCCCCCCCCCCAGCAACCTTTAGATGAAATGTGGAAATTGAGTTTCAAAAAAATCAACTTGTTTTTAATATGAAATAGGCTTCCAATGTGGCAATAGCCAACCTTGCCCTGCAAATGTTCCTTTATTCTTTTGAGGCTTGTGGGCTTTGTGCCCAGAAGTTTCTTTACAAGTCATTTACAAAATGTACTTTAAGAGCAAAAAGTACATTTTATCTTTAATTTTTTGTTTCTCTAATATATACACAGGTTTAACTTGGAGGCAAACGGCGTAGAAACCCATATTGCATCCATGTTTGGGAAAAGATAGTTACCGCAGACAAGAGGGGATCAAACGCTGACAAGAAGATGAGTATGTTAAAACCGAGTGGGCTTAAGGCCCCCACCAAAATCAGCAAGCCTGGAGGCACATTACTGAAAATAGCTGCATCAGCTGCTCCTGGTAAGGAAGATGAGGGATGTGGCTTTTCCTTTTTTAACATTTTCTGATAAAAATGTAATGGTGCACATTTCTGATGCATGCTTATTTTTAATAGCTGCCATGTCGTGGGGTGAATTTCTGAAGATGTTTTGCAAAAACAGGAGTCAGTTGGATGTTTGGTTGTGTCTTTGTGTGTGTGTGTGTTCTCCCAGCTCCCCTCCAAACCTTTGGGACATGATATCCTCTCATTTCACAGGGAGGTGGGGGGTTGACCTTCAGCCAACACTGCATTATACTGACCTGACTGTATAACCTGGTCCTTATTGGTCTGACGGGACTAGAAACTCTGATTAGGTGATGTGACTGAAGTGTGGATACAAAAGCAGACATAAATATGTCTGACTCTCTCTGCTGTGTTTGGTTCTAGCCCCGTCAGAAAAGACAGCAGCCTGTGAGAAGACGCCAACTGCACCCACTTCAGAAGCACAGGATGAGTTTGTGGATGACTTCAGAATCGGGGAGCGTGTTTGGGTCAATGGGAATAAGCCTGGTTTTATCCAATTCCTGGGAGAAACACAATTTGCTCCTGGACAGTGGGCAGGGATTGTTTTGGACGAACCCATTGGCAAGAATGATGGCTCTGTGGCTGGAGTTCGCTATTTCCAGTGCGAGCCTCTAAGGGGAATTTTTACGAGACCCTCTAAGCTAACACGGAAAGTAGTGACTGAGGATGAAGCCAATGGTGCGCAGGCCTCTTCTGCTTCCCGGGCAACTTCGCCAACCTCTGTGTCAGCTGCTAGCCTCGTGTCTTCACCTTCTGCAGCAGCGCACCTGCCCCCCACAGGTATTCCCCACAAGACATCGCCTCCTACTGCTAAGGAACTCCCCACTTCTCAAATTACCAATCTTTCCAAAACAGCAAGCGAATCCATATCAAACCTTTCTGAAGCTGGCTCTCTGAAGAAAGGAGAAAGAGAACTCAAAATGGGGGACAGAGTTTTGGTAAGTTTGTTTTATTTCCACTAACCAACAAACTGTGCCTCCATGTCAACCTGCCTATTCACTGCCATCATTGTTAGAAGCTTTCCACTGTAGGCCATCAAGAGCTGAGGCAGGTGGCTGCTGCGCGGAGAGACTTCTGGGTGGCGGAGGCTGCAGGTGAATTGCTGTGTTCCCTACCCAGAGTGGATTTCCAGGGGCCAGCTCTGTTGTTTAGGACTCACGTGAAGATTTTTTAACTTATGGAAGATTTTTCTCATATATAAATGAAACAGCCATCTGTGGCCTTTTAGAAGTGGGTGGGATAAGTAGGCAGCCTCCACAAAGGGCAGGCAATTCAGCAACATCTCTTTGTCAGGAGAGACTGCATGATCCAGGCTTACCTAATGCAGATATGGCAGGACCACCTGCCTGTCCAGCAGAGGCTGGTTGGAAGGAAGTAGGATCATGCAGCAGGCAGCCTCGGCGTTGGGCACAATCTTTGGGTTGTATCTGTTGTGCCTCCTGCTCAGAGTAGATCAGTTGAAATTAATGGAGATGACTAACAGGTCCATTAACATCAGTGAAACTGCTTTGCGTAGGTCCAAGCATTGGATACAACCCTTTGGGCTCACAGGGACCTTTTGATAGTTGAAACAACTTGTTTGCAGCAGCACAGTTTGAGAATTGCAATCTCGTTCCTCCCCAGCATTTCACATCTTGTAGCTAAGAAGTCGAGTTCAGGTGATTCTGTGGCTAAATTGCAGGGATTTAATCAAACCATAGAAGTCCCTAGAATTAAACCAAAGGTAGAAGGACCATAAATCTATGGCGTGTAACCCGCTGGTTCAGAAACTTGTCAGAGCAAAGTCTTCTCCTGGGTCTTAAAAGTTTTCCCCGCTCTCATTCAGTATCCTGTGACCCAGACATTCTCCAGCTGCGTTTGCTGTTCATGCTTGTGGGCAGTTAAGGCCAATTGGAGTTGGCAGTTGCTGGGGAAGACCAGCCCATGACCTGCTGCTGCAAGTCTGAATGACGTTCTTCCTCAAGGCAACATAAATGCTGTTGCCCACTTCAAGGAAGAAGCTCATTTACCTTGCACACACTGACAGCAGGAACATTACATGAAGTCTGTCTACAGTACTTCTTGTTACTTTCTTAGACAAGTTAAGTGACTCTGTTTGCCTGCTTGTCACAGCTCTGCAGACCTGCCAGCTTCTCCCCAAAAGGCACAACTTAATCTGAGACCTGTTAGATACAAGTAGATGTTTTGACTGGGCTGTCCATGGGAAGAGCAATCTGGAAAGCCTTTCAGGGCCCGTAATTTGGGAATCATTTTGGTTATCATTCTCATCATGGCCTTGGCCTGTCAAAAGCAGTAAGGATCCATCCTGTCTAGAATTACGGCTTTTGTTTATATAGGCTCTTGCGATGGCACCATATTTTAGAATGGAAGTAAGTGGGTTTGAAATGAGAATTTTAATGTCTGAATTTTAACACATGTATAACCTGAGCAAGAAAATATCCAGTTTAATCATTGAAAGTGATCCTATACATATCTGCTCAGAAGTAAGCCCCATAAAGGTCAGTAGGATTATCTGCTACCAGGTAAAAGTGTGTAGGATTGCAGCCTTAAGTCCAATTTCCCACTGATACTACTACATAGATATCTTAACCAGTGGTGTAAATCTGATCATTTTAATTTGCAGTTAAATTGCTACATTATTTAGAATAGGATACTTTGTTTAATTTTTTGAGATAACGTGATTTCTTTATTAGTTTTCAGTAAGAAGATAGTTTTCAGTGCTTTGATAGAAAAGTTTGCTGGTTAGCTTTATTATTTGAGCTCCCTCCCCACCAGAGCAACTGTTTCATCTCCTATTTGTAATCTTTAACTTGTAGTAGCTGTACTCTCTCTCTCTCTCTCGGTGATCCTGCGTGGTCGAGGAAGATGGTCTTCCATGAACACAATCTTAGTGGTGTGTCCGTAAATGACTGTGGAGGACGGTTCTGGATCCGCACATCCTTTCATAGTGTGGACGTAGTTTACGGGTGGGAGTTGATCATGAAGACGATTTGTCAAATGTGCCTTCCTCTTTGCTTGTTTCTCCCTTTTGTCCTGAATTTGTGCTTCTTCAAAATCTACCATACCTTTTGTACAGGCTATTCTCCATGAGACTTTTTTTTTTTGATGGGTTTTGGAAGACACCTGTGCGCTAATTTGTTTTATGTGTGGAGATCAGTGCACACTGATCCATGCACAGTCTTTGCAGAAAGGCTCTTTTCCGATAGCATGAGTATCACAACGGTATTCTCTTACTGCTGCAGCCTTCATGCACCTTCACAGCCGTCATAACATATCGCTAGTTATCTTTCACCTGTTTTGCCATTGAGGGCTTTTGGGATACTTTTGGGGGACTACTTGTTGCCCACACCTCTCTCCCCTGTTATAATGAACACAGAGCAAACAGCCCAAGGAGATGGTTCTCATTTTCAGTTTCCATTAAGGAGGATATTTGATGACAGATGTGAGCCTAAGCATTTGTGCTTTCCTTCAGAATTGGTTCATGTCAAAGGAAGAGGGATGCTTCTGACCCAATTTGGTGAATGTACTTAAGTTCTCTTAACGTGTGCTTCTGTAGTCAAAATATAGCTCACCTGAGAGGACCTTGCCTTAAATGGTCACACTGAATATTGTGTAACAAGAGCTATCTTAAATGATCCTGGTACACAAAGGCTGAATCTGCTTTTTAAAAGTCCGTGGAGGTTGTGGCTTTCCTTGTACAGTAAAAGGGTTTTGAGAATATTGTTGCTTCAGGGTGTATGGAGTTCCAGCCAAGTGATACTCTTCTAGAAGATAAGGAGCATAGAAAAGTCAGTGATATGTCTGCTTTTGCATTCAGCAACCAGATGAAGCGTTTGTCCTTCTTAGAAGCCAATGGGCACTCATATTTGATTAAAGCATGTCCAAATGGAAACAGTCTAAAACATTTGCCTTTCCTGCCATTGTATCACAAGCACTTCAGAGCTTTTGGAAGGAATAACTCTTAATACTGTGTGTTTTTCAACATCTTGTTCAGATGAAGTTTCTGTAGTTTGCAGAAAGAAATGGAACTGGTTTTATTTATGTCTGGAGGTGGGGCATCCAAGAAGGGTAATTCACGGCTCAGAAGATGGTGTGATGGTCCAGAGCAGAAGTTTCCACTTAGGGATGAAAGAGGGATAAGGAAAGTGTGCAGCTATGCACAGGCATTTGATTCCTAAATATATTTTTGGGTAGACCAACTAAAATTTCTTAATATTTTGAAAGGAATGTCTAGCCCTTGTGGTTGCATCTATAAGTTAAGAATAAAGGCAATAAAGGAGCAAGTCAAAGGATCACAACTGGAATTAAGAGCCTAAGAAGAACTCTACTCGATCAAGACAAAGGCATCCTGTGGCAAACCAAGTGCATTGGCTACCTCACTGCTATCCCCGAATTCTAGACTAAGGAACTGCTTTTCACTTAAAATGTTATTTCAAGCTCTTATATCACTGTATGAAGACTGAACTGAACACATTAAATCTGCAACCAGGCCATGTGTACTTCACATAAGGTCTTGTTGCAGAAGCTGGCAGGGCAACAGGGAAACGAACAGTTAAATCATTTTGTGGCTTGTTGGATTTGGATACAGTTCTGTGGTCTCTAAACAAGATTGCTCCTGATGTAGGATTTACAGTTGGGTCTTGTATGGCTTTGACATAGCTTGATAAAATCGCCCATTGCTACAGATGAGTTCTAAAGCAGAAACTTGTGCTGCCAGATGTTCACAAAATGTTGCAAAGCAGATTTCCTTGCTTGGGTGGGGCTTAAAAGGAGGCAGCTTTTGGTTTTATTGTGAATTGTTCAGCTCATCTCTCATTTTATTGATCTACCTCAGAGTATGGATAGATAAGGCAAAGTCCACATTAAATTTCACAGTTGTCGTGCACAGCAAAAAAGGTGGTTTATGTACAGATTAAAATATAATGGAGGTTTGGCGATAGTAACTAAACAGCAGTAACATTTGTACTATAGTATCACATCAAGCATATAATTTTTAGATCAGTAATACAGAAAAAAATAGCTGTTACAGGATAATTTTGGTAATGTTGAGATTGATGAGTGACGTTTTCTGTTGTTACATTGATTGATTGATTGATTGATTGATTGTTAAATTTGTATAATGCCCTTCACCTGCAGAACTCAGGACAGATCACAACATAAAAATACAGTACAAGATAAACACTCTGGAGGCTTAAACCACTGGTGTGTGTGAGTCCACCCATCCATTCGCTAGTGCTCTAGTATTTACGCATTCATTCGTCATTCTCAGCTCAGTCCATTTTGTACTTTAGATGAAGTTGGTTCTTGTCTGTGAAATGCGTCATGCCCCAATAAACCCATCTGTAAATCTAGCATTTTCTTGGTTTAGATGTTTTGCCTGTGCCCTGTTTTCGTGCATGGGACTATTCCAAAAGCCTAGGATATAGGCTTCAAATTTCTGAGCTCCCTGGATGCCTGGGATATAGGGCCAGCCCAAGACATTTTGGCATCTCAAGCAAACCACAAAATGTTGTCTCCTTCCCTGCCAGGGAAGATTTGGTGAGTGAAGATCTACATCAGGAAACAGAGGGAATAAAGATCTACATTGGAATCTGCTGACCCTGTGGATCCTGTCACCTGAGATGGTTGCCTCACCTTGCCTCATGAGTGGGCCGGCCCTGCTAGGATAGTTCTTCTCTCTAAGCCTTGTTCACTCTGAGCCAGCGTTTGAAATTTGTCAGGTGCCAGGCACATTTGGCACCTGACTGTCATCCACTTGCAACCAAGATGGCACCTGATGTCTCCACCATCAGAAGGTGCATCCCTGGGGATCCTTGGATCTGGACTGTTTTCATTGCCTTCTTGCATTCTGCATACCACACAGTCAGTTTTGTGTTTTGCAGGTGAAGAATTTTAAAGACACTTGTTTACATTGCTAGGCTTGTTCATGCCATCTGTTCTCCTCAGGAAGCCTTTTATGTGCTTGTAGAAAAGAGAGATCGAGTCCACATTGTGGAAAATATATGCTACTTTTGAATTTGACAAATGAAGTTTAATCATGGTGTTATCCCTGCTTGTGATTAAAAACACGACTGAGTACCAAACTCAACTCTTCCTCTCGTCACCCCAGGCTGCAAAATAGTCCCAGTGATTTGCCAGATCAGCTGCTTTGGCTCATTACTATTTTATATCACCCTTTCTGAATTATATGGGGTTGTCATGCTCTGCTAAAAAAAGATTTGGCAGTTCTTCTTATGCTCTTCAATTTTTTAGCACACTCCCTCCATTTGAGTGAAGGACACTAGTGCAGCTATTTTAATCATGTTGCAACATTGCCCTTGTTTTTGCTAAATTTGTCAAGTGGACTTTCTAGAAAAGGGGAATAATACCAGTAACAATACCAGTAACAATAATAATACTTTAATTGTTTATACCCCACCCATCTGGCTGCATTTCCCTGCCACTCTGGGCAGCTTATGACACATATAAAAACATAGCAAAACACCAAACATTTAAACTTCCCGATACAGGGCTATGTGGTCCGGAACTAAGTTTTCCCATTCAGCAAAACTAAAGCATAGTAGCATGTCAACCAACTATACTATTTTTGAGCTAAGTACTAGCAATAGATTATGTTTCGTAATTTTTTCTGCAAAAACTGTTGAAATTTAATTGACATATTTCTCCAGCGCATGCTGCAGTCTGAATGCAGGCTCCTGTGGTTTGGGCTCTGGCCTATTCTTCTAGGGAACAGGCAGCAATGTTGTGCTGAAGTGTAGACAGGACTCTTGAATTTTCACAAGATTATCAGATCCTCTTTCCCTTTTAGAGCATAAATTATACCACCCGTATCAAGGGTGAGAAAGCCATAACAACAACAACAACAACAACAACAACAGCTTATTAAATAAATAAATTTGAGGATTCATCTGAGGATCACATGGCAGTTTATAACACAAAAACACAAAAATACATAACATAGCAGCAAACAAAAACAATACTCCCCCCCCCCCAGCTTAAAAGGCCATAGATTGTTTAATTATCCAAAGGCCTGGGAGAAGTTGTAACCTGAATCAAATTGTGCATATAGTAGGTGCTGTGAACACAAAGTGCTCCTGACACCTTAATTTATTAAAAATAAAACTTAATTTATATTTTTGTGTATAAATTTATTAGAAGCTCTTAGTATTAGGAAAGTTTGTGTTGGTTGGTTGGCCTTCAAATTTCCTGTCAAGGTTAAAAGGGCCATTTCTGGTCTATTGTGCTTGTTGGCAGTTGTAACAGGTAGGTTGTCACGGCTAAAATGGCCGCTGCTTCTTTAATGCGAATAAAGCTGGGTCAGCATGACTCAGCGGCCTGCAGCAGGTTGTATATATAAAGTGAGAAATGTTAGTTTGTGCTGAGGCTGGAGGTTGGGTTGGTTGGTTAGTGCTGGTGTGTATAGTTATTCAGTTGTGTTTTGCACAAAGACTTTTAAGAATAAAACTCTGCAAGGATATTCTCGTGGACTCTTTTATGCAGACAAGGGTCCGAGGACCAGGCTGAGGAGACAAAGGGAGGTCAGAACCCTTTCCTTCTTTTTTTTGCTTTTTACAAACACTGACAGGTTATGGGCCCAGTGTTTCTGAGCATGTGCAGAGTGCAGAATGACTGACAGCATCTCAGCAGGGAGCTGGTGAGTCCTGGTGGTGCCTGGAGCCAGTGGCTGTGCGTTGGAGCAGTTGGTGGCAAGCTGTAACTGTCTGCAGCGACGCTGGAGCGGCTAGAGTCTGAGGATCAGCAAAGCACTCAGCGTCGGCTACTGGAACAGTTTGAACTGCTAGAGGGCCACAGTAGGCGACTCACAGAGCGGCTACACCAGTTGCAGAGCCAGGCGGGACCTGAGGGTCAACAGAGGCAGCAGCTAGAAGCCGGTGAGTGCCAGCCAGGACCATCCAGTTGGACTCTAAAGAGAGAGTCAGGAGAGATTGCTGGAGGCCCCACAGAAGGGGCTCAGCAAGCACCAGCAGAGATGGCAGATTTCCAGTCTTCCCAAGTTGTGACTATTGGGGGAGGCATTCCTTTTGAACTTCTCTCAGAAAACATGCAGCAGTTGTTAAACATGCAGCAGTTGTTAAGGAGAGATGGACTATGGGACTGTGTTGAAACTGAGGTTTTGAGACAGGACTCTGCTGAGAAAAAACGGCTGGATGAAAGGGCCCGTGCCCAAATTATGCTGTGTTTGAGCAACTCTCAGTTATTGCATGTAGCAAATGCCAGCACAGCGTTTGAGTGCTGGAATTTATTAAGGGCAATGCATGTCAGAGAAACTGCTGGAACTATCATTTCTCTGACCAGAAGGCTGTTCAGGACTGTTATGAAAGAAGGTGAGAGTTTGGCAACTCATCTTCAAACGCTGAAATCTCTGTTTCTTCAACTACAACAGAGAGGTAAGCGTTATGATGAGACTGACCAAACCTACATTATCCTTTCAAATTTGCCTGAAAGCTGGTTGCCTGTGATTAACAGCATGGAGGTCCCCGAGATCTGACCCTTGAGTATGTGGTTGGAAGATTGACCGAAGAAGCAGAAAGAAGGTCAGATAGACAGGCTGAACTCCAAGAGCGGAGGAGTTACAGCCAAGGGGGCCAGCAGCAGAATCTGCCAATGGAGCAACGCCAAGGTTTGGACTTGGCCATGGTGGTGAGGAGGTGCTATAGATGCAACCAACCCGGGCATCTCCAACGTCAATGCAGGGCAAGACTTCCAGGAGATGATGTGGAGCAGAGACAGCAATCAACGCAGAAATGTAGGGAGAAGGGGTTCTCTTCAGGGAAGAAGAACACGCGTTCTGCTCAGTTTGTGTCTGCATTTTCTCGAGAGGAGAGGAAGATACCTCGAGGAACATGGTTGCTGGACTCTGGGAGCAGCAGGATTATCTGCAACAGTCGGGAGGACTTTAAGACCCTGGAGAAGCCAACCGATGGAAAAGACTCATCTATCTTGCTGATGGTCGTAGAAGCAAGATTGATGGCCAGGGAACATGTTTCCTGCAGTGCTTGAACACTACTCTACCAGAAACTCTGTTTGTCAGCAGTTTGGACTATTGTTTACTGTCTGTAAGCTGTTTGATTAATGCAGGGTATAGTGTTAACTTCACACGGGATGGCTGTCTGATAAAGAATGGAACTCAGGTATGTGGCCATGCAAAGTTGGAAAATGGGTTATATGTAATGCAGGACAAGCCTGTTAAAGCAGCCCAGGTGGTTCAGGATAATTTGCCAGTTCATAAGGGGTGTGTACATGAACTGCACAGAAAACTGGGTCACGCCAATTTCCATGTGCTTTCAGAGATGCAAAAGGTGTGCAAGAACCTAAAAGTAAATAGCTGTAACTGTTTCCTAGATTGCAATGTATGTAAAATGGCCAAATCTAAGAGGAAGCCTGTGGCTTCTAAAAGTGACAGAGTATCTAAAGAGGTTTTAGAACTTGTCCATTGTGACGTGATAGGCCCTTTTCCACAGAAGACTGAAGGGGGCGCCAGATATGCTTTTCTGGTAATAGATGATAAATCATGTTTTAGTTGGTTGTTTTTGTTAAAGCAGAAATCTGAGTATTTCCCCACATTCAGAGAATGGGTTGCCCAAGCTGAAAAGCTCTTCGCTCGCCCTGTTGTGCAGTTGCAAACAGATAGGGGCGGAGAATTTCTGAACAAGCAATTTGGGGAATGGTTGCGACGTAAGGGGATCACTCACCGTTTGACTAACCCTTATAGCCCTGCTGAAAATGGTCTGTGTGAAAGACGTGGGGCTGTAATACAGTCAGTAAAGGACTGCCTGCTAGTGGATGCAGGATTGGGCCACAACCATAGGCTGTGGGGCGAGGCTTTTCTCACAGCGAACTTTTTGATTAATAGAACCTGGTCTAGCTCTATAAAAGATATTCCTTATCGTGTATTGTTTGGGAAAGAACCAGAGTGGACAATGCTCCATAACTGGGGTTCTTGGGCACATGTAAATATCCCCAAAGCTCAGCGCCAGAAAGGGGGCGCTAGAGCACAGAAACTGCGGTTTGTGGGATATCAGTCCTATGGCAAAGGGTGGCGTTTCAATCTACGCCCAGGACACGTGGTTCTGTCACGAAGTGCAGACTTTGCTGACCAGGACAGATGGACTGCGATCCATGTCAACCCAGATTGCCTACTGCCCCTGCAAGTAAGAGAAGAGGCTTCTTCTCAGCCATTGGCAACGCAGGAGCAGGATGAGGAGGAGGCACAGATTTCCCCAAAAGATGAGGCAATAGATAATAATACTTCTCTAGAGGAAGAGGAAGAAGAGCCAGAGATAAGGGGGGAAGAAGAAGTGGTTGTGCCTAGGCGCTCCCAGCGTTCAAACAAGGGTGTACCTCCTCAACGTTTGACCCTAGGAGGAGTGAGAGGATGCAATGTGAATTGTGTGGAACCACACAGTTATAATGAAGTCTTAGACTTACCCCTTGGGGAACGTGCTTTGTGGGAACAAGCTATGAAAGAAGAAATGGGCTCTTTTAAACGTAACAAAGTGTTTGAGGTCATAATGTCGCCACCTGGTGGCAGAGTGGTGTCATGCAAGTGGGTTTACAAAAGGAAAACCCTTGCATCTGGGGAACCACGTTTTCGAGCCAGATTAGTAGCCAGAGGGTTCACTCAGATTAAAGGGGAGAGTTATGATGAAGTATTTTCTCCCACTGTAAAGAGTGAAACTTTTCGTTTAATGCTTTCCATTGCTGCTGTAAGACAACTAGCAGTGCACCATTTTGATGTTGCTGCTGCATATCTGCATGCAGATTTAGACCATGAAGTGTTAATGAGACAACCCCCTGGTTTGAAGAGGGGAATGGTACAGTCTGGCGTTTGAAAAAGGCTGTTTATGGTCTCAAACAAAGTGGAAGGTGTTGGAACCAGTGTTTAAATGAAGCCCTTGTAAAACTTGGTTTTAAAAGGAGTGTGGCTGATCCATGCCTGTACACCAAGGGGATAGGCAACAAATATCTAATGCTCTTAGTCTTTGTTGATGATTTGCTTGTGGCAGGGAGTTCCACAGATGAGATCCAGAAGCTCACAAGTCAACTGGAAAAGAGGTTTAAGCTTAAAGCCTTAGGACCTGTAAGCAATTACTTGGGAGTAGAAGTAAGGCAGGAAGCTGATGGAAGCTTCCTATTGAGCCAGAAAGAGAAAATTCTTCGTTTGATAGAGCAGTTTGGCGTGGAAAACTGCAAGCCAGTTCAAACTCCCATGACACCAGATTTCCCAAAGACAGTGTGTGATGATGAATTTGATCAGCCTGAGTTGTATCACTCAAAAATAGGATCACTGCTGTATTTAAGCCAGTGGTCAAGGCCAGACATTGCATGTGCTACAAATGTTCTGAGCCAACGTGTATCTAAACCCAGTACTGCCGATTGGTGTGCTTTGAAAAGGCTTATCAGATATCTAAAGGGGACATTAAATGTATGTTTAAAGATATCTAGTACACAAGACGAAAAACTAGAAGTATTTGTTGATGCGGACTGGGGAAGCTGTGTAGCTACTAGAAAATCTACAAGTGGAATGGTTATGATGTTTGCCAATTCCATAATTGGAAAAGAAACAAGGATTTGTTGCGACCTCATCCTGTGAGGCAGAATATGGGAGCCTATCGCTAGCATGCAACGAAATCATGTGGTTTATACAGATACTAAAAGATCTAGATTGTAAAGTAGATTTACCTATCCAAGTGTATGAAGATAGCCAATCGCGCATTGCATTAGCGGGCTCGGAAATAATGAAATCTGCATCAAAACATATTGCTATCCATCATGCAAATGTGAGAGATTGTGTACAGAATGGGGTAATCAAACTGGAGTATTGTCAATCACAAGATAATATTGCTGATTTGTTTACCAAGCCTTTGCCAGCAACATGTCATAATGAATTGATGACAAAACTGGGTTTATGTATATAATGTATGTATGTATTGTTTCTGTTGGGGTTTTTCGCATTTAAGAAACAGAAGGGGTGTCACGGCTAAAATGGCCGCTGTTTCTTTAATGCGAATAAAGCTGGGTCAGCATGACTCAGCGGCCTGCAGCAGGTTGTATATATAAAGTGAGAAATGTTAGTTTGTGCTGAGGCTGGAGGTTGGGTTGGTTGGTTAGTGCTGGTGTGTATAGTTATTCAGTTGTGTTTTGCACAAAGACTTTTAAGAATAAAACTCTGCAAGGATATTCTCGTGGACTCTCTTATGCAGACAAGGGTCCGAGGACCAGGCTGAGGAGACAAAGGGAGGTCAGAACCCTTTCCTTCTTTTTTTTTTTGCTTTTTACAAACACTGACATAGCTTCCTCTGCCAAAAAAAAAGAAATGAAATGTCCAAAATAACTAAGCTGAATGAAATATATTTCTTTGAGGAACTAGTTACTATTTTGAATTTGACATGTGCTGAGAATGGCAGTTCTTGACAATTTGTTGTGGGTGCATCTGCAGTGGTTCAGTCTTGTCTCAGTTGTGCAAATGTACAATGGAAGCTTCCAAATATGCGAGTGGGCATTTTGCTTCCATCCCTGCTACAGTTTTGTTTGACATCCTTTTATATATTTGAACATGGCTATCATATCACCCCTTAACCTCCTCTTCTCCAGGCTAAACATGCCCAACTCCCTTAGCCGTTCCTCATAAGGCATCGTTTCCAGGCCTTTGACCATTTTGGTTGCCTTCCTCTGGACACGTTCCAGTTTGTCAGTGTCCTTCTTGAACTGTGGTGCCCAGAACTGGACACAGTACTCCAGGTGAGGTCTGACCAGAGCAGAATACAGTGGCACTATGACTTCCCTTGATCTAGATGCTATACTCCTATTGATGCAGCCCAGAATTGCATTGGCTTTTTAGCTGCCGCATCACACTGTTGGCTCATGTCAAGTTTGTGGTCAACCAAGACTCCTAGATCCTTTTCACATGTACTGCTCTCAAGCCAGGTGTCCCCCATCTTGTATTTGTGCCTCTCATTTTTTTTGCCCAAGTGCAATACTTTACATTTCTCCCTGTTAAAATTCATCTTGTTTGTTTTGGCCCAGTTCTCTAATCTGTCAAGGGTTTGCAAAGCATGTAAGCCATGCTTTGCAAACCCACTTCAAACCATGGTTTCTAATTCTGGTTGCTGATTGATTGAAAACCTGGTTTGCCAGTTTGGTCGTCTTGCCAAACCAAGATGCCTAATCTGTTGTCAAAGTCTCTGAGGAGTTGTGTGAGGAACAAAGTAACCAATTTGGAAGAATTGTTGGGTGTGCATTGGCGAATGCATGGTAGTAGGTTAAAAATTAGCTAAATATGAAAATGCAATGAAAATGATTAGATATGCAAAGTAAATCTTGTGCTTCCAATTTAGTTTTGGTACTTCTTTTTTAAAAGGAAATTTCTTTTGTTAAAAAATCCTTCTTTCTCCTTGCAATCAGGTTGGTGGAACAAAAGCTGGCGTAGTCCGTTTCCTGGGGGAGACTGACTTTGCGAAGGGAGAATGGTGTGGCGTTGAATTAGATGAACCCCTAGGGAAGAACGATGGTGCAGTAGCTGGAACAAGGTTAGTTCAAAATCCAGGAAGCCCTTGGAAGGCATATCACTGTCTCTGTGCTTTCACACAAGGGCTCTGCACCTGTGCTGAGCCAACTTCTGTCTGTTCCAGCATCTTAGCCAGGGAGCTTGCACTCACTCCACGTCCTACTCAAGAGAAATCTCTTTTTAATCTCAACTGCACATGCATCAAGGAGCGGAATGAGCAGCTACCCACATGGTACTGCTCCAGCTGCAGCTTAGGGAACTTGCTTTCTATGAGTCACCTTCAAACTCCTATTTTGTTAGTGAGCCTTTCCTTTTTCCTTAGTTTTCTTGTTAGTAGGCCCCCCCTCTTTTTCCACCTTTCCCGTTTCGCATCTTGTGTATCTTGTGCCCACATTCCCCCCATGACACAGCAAGTTACTTTTTCCAAAGATGCGAGGCAGGGGGAGTATCAAGGGAACATCACCATGGGTGAAAGCTGCCATTTCAGACCATTTGATGGCTTCCCATGCGACAAAAATATATGGCACCCCTTTGGAATAAGCATGCATAAGATGTAGCAGCACATTAAATGGATACCAAAGTAAACAGGAACTGATATTTGGCCCAGTTCCTAAAGGAGGTAATACTAGAAACTGTGGGGTTAACAGAATTTTCACAAGGTTTCCCAACTCCTTCCACTCTACAACCATTCCACCTGCCTCCTGCATAGGGGCCATCTGCCCCAGGTGGAAGCATGGGCACTTACCCCTTACCCATTTTCCCCACTCCCCTTTTCTGGTACAAATGGCTTCTTCAGATTGTCTGCACTTCTGTGGCCACACACCATCCCCAAAACTTGGCTCCTGCATGCAGGCCGCTCAGAAGGGTCTCTTAAAACAGAAGTGTATGAGAGGTTATGAAAAGTGAAGGAAGGAGAGTGCAAACTGTTCACTAAACATCTCTGGAAATGCTGAATAGTGAGCATCAAGGTGATGCTAATTTTCAAGCTCTCCCCCTAAGTCGTGCAATGTGGAGTCAGTCTTATGTAGACAAGGAGGACCTATTACAACAACAACATTTTATTACGATCGTAGACCGTAGGGGTACAATCATTTAAAACCTTTTTTAAAAAACAACAACCTAAAATGAGTTAAAACAGAATATATATATAAAATCTGCTGAATTAAAAAAATAGTCTCTCCAAGCCATTACAGAGCAATTGCATTTCTTCATATACTGCTGTAGTCCTATTGACTGTATGGCAATTTAACATGTAAGCATCTCACTGAATTGCTTCTGACCCAAGGTATTTATGACTAGTGCTGATGTGTGTGTGTCTTTGTGAATGTTTGCATGTGCAACATACTTGAATAGAACTATACATTAGCAATTATGTTTGTCTGTGGAGTATGGCTTTCATTAATGGTGTTCTCCCCTCCCCCACAGGTACTTCCAGTGCCAGCCCAAATATGGTTTGTTTGCTCCTGTCCATAAAGTTACCAAGATTGGCTTCCCATCAACTACACCGGCAAAAGCCAAGGCAGCGGTCAGGAAAGCCATCCCAATGCCCTCCAGCTTGAAACGCAGCCCAAGTGCCTCTTCCGTCAGCTCACTGAGTTCTGTGGCCTCATCAGTAAGCAGCAAGCCGAGCCGTACAGGACTAGTAAGCTTACTTTCTGACTGCATGCTTTACAGAGATTGGCATTGCATGTGGCCTGTGCTTGGCTCCTTGGGAAAGACACGGCCCATTTTCCATGGTCCATTTTCTTCTGTTTTGTCTTCGCTTAAAGCATGCATGAAAAGAATCTTAGCTAGCCCTGGAGAATAGAAGAGTTAGATTATTTTTAAGCTCGTAGACTTAAGGTTTAACTCAAACTAACAGTTGCTACTTAAAATAAGAAAGAGGCATATGCTTTAATTATGAAACAAATGGGTTTCTGAATAACCTGCCTGGGATCTACACCATAACTTCCCCTGGAATGCATTTTGTGGTAAAACTGGGCGGAAAGCTTGAATGCACCTACGTGGAAGCAGTTCCTGCTGGAGCCAGTAGGGCTTACTTCCAAGTAACAGATCTAGGCTTCAGTCTTGAATGCACTTATGAGCCAGTTAAGTCCTTTTGGACAACTGGACTCAGATGCGCAATGGGGCTGCACTGTTAAAATGGTACCATGGCTTCATTCATTCGTTTTTTCAGTTCTGGCCCTCCTTAGTTTAAAGAGAAATTATTGGTGTGTATATATATGTATGTGTGTGTGTGTGAATGGTGTGTCTTTTTCTTTTTTGTATTTCCACACACTTATTTTCAACACTGTTTTGAAAACAGTTTTTTCCACCTCTTTGTTACAGTAATCATGGTTATATGTAACTTCCCAGTTGCTGAGTACGTATTCAAGTCAGAAGTATTTTTGTGGGCTGAAGCCTCTTTCTTTAGTTTCTAAACCATGTTATCTTATAAGATCTGGACACAAGAAAAGTGTAGAGTTTGTATTATGTTAAAATCTTATATGCTGTAGATAAAATGCTTAACCTTAATATCTAACTTTTAATATTCTAACCTTTGGTCACCTGCAGCAAATGGAAATTTGCAGCTCTGCCAATTAGTTTATACTGATGGATTAAAATTAGGCCAAACATCACAGAAAGTTTTGTTTTTGTTTCATATGACCATTCTTAATAACTTGGTAACAATGATCTATTGCAGTTTGTTATTCCATGCCAGCTATTAGAAAAGATGGCATTGACAACATACGGTTTTTAAAAAACCATTAGAACCAATATATTTTGGTTAATAAGATGGGTAGAATTGTTAATAGAACTAGCATTTAGCCATTCAGCAAAGTGAATGTGACAAAAAATGTGAGTTTTTAATAAAAGGGTAAGGGCTGCCTAATCATAAATAATTCCTTGCTTCTCTGATTCACTATCTGCTGGGATTTGTGGTGATGGAATCCCTCTTGCAGTGTCTTCTGAGCAAGGGGCAACTGTTAACTAATCACAGAGCCTACTGAGTCAATTTGAGCAGGTTAATTCCAATTTCCACCAGGATCTTAAAAATGGCACTCCCAAAAATTCTATTCATTAGTCCATTTAAGATTCCTTCCAATTTTGGTAGGGTAGATGTTTCAATAAAGACAGCAAGAACTGGTGATGCATATTTTCTACCCAGAAGTGGGACCCAAGAATATTTTTTTCCACAAGGCATTGGCAAACTGCTTTTTGCTGCATGTGATCCTAGGTTGACTTGAATAAGTGAGAGAATTCTTTGGCTTAACAGGAGGACGCTCTTTATATTTAGCCAGCAGCCAGGCCAAAGAATGCTTAGCAGCTTAACAAGCTAATCTGCTCTTGAGGCTCGCATCTTAGGTTGAGGCCAGCCCTTTGTTTCCCTTTGAACCCTCTGCTTCCTATCTTCCCCTTGCTGCATTAAGAGTCTAGCTGCACAGGTATGTTTGCTTCCTTTCTTGAACTACTAAAATGAAAAACTGAACAGGAAAGTAAATACTAGCTTTCTCAGGCAAAAATTTCCCTATAAGGTATACCTCACTGAAGCTGGTGAGCTGGCGGCCAGGTATCTTCCTCCACCCACTGTCTGGTTACAAGGAGGAGGCACACCCTGTCCCAGATCTGCTACTGGTGTGAACAACCCTTGAAGAGCCAGCATGGAGCTGTAGCAGTTTCGTAGAGCTGGTTCCACTGGGTGCCAACAGCATGCCTGGCCGCCGTGTGTGGCTGTTATGACATCACTAGCAGAAGACTGGTGCCAATGTCACAGCTCTCCACTCCGTCAGCCTCCATCCCAGGGCTACCACAGCACATTCATACTATCTTATGTTTACACAGAACAGGAATCTAGGACAGTTACTAAGGGCCATTTCCCACATTACGTGCCAAGGAAACACTGCATGCAGGTAGCCATCAGTCACAGCCCGTCCTGCCCCTCTGAAGAGTTTGGCTGTATGATATATATATTTTTCCATACTTTGTTTTCAGCCCCACCCACCCCCAAAACTATATGCTATACCTGTTAACACTTCATGCATCTGGTAAAGTGGACTTTGGTTCACAGAAGCTTTTGATATAATAAAATTGTTCAGCAAATTGTAGCAAAACTTGTCATTTCTTCTGCAACAGACTAAGACTCTTCTGAGAAATGGCGTACCCCTAAAAAAGTAGTCACAAGAGAGCTTCAGCTCTCAATTTTCTCTGTGTTCTAGATATACTTGTTTGATGCAGCAAAGTCCCAGTGGTCAGAAGCCATCTATGCAAACTCAAGCTTGATTGTTTCTCTTTCCAACATGCCACACCCACCACGTCCACACAGCATTGATGTTGATGATGATGATGATAATTTATTTGAACCCCGTCCATTTGATTGGGTTGACCCAGGCACTCTGGGCGGCTTCCAACATATATAAAAACATAATAAAACATTGAACCTTAAAAAGCTTCCCTATACATGGCTGCCTTCTGGTGTTTCCTAAAAGTTACATAATTACTCATCTCCTTAACATCTGATGGAAGGGCGTTCCACAGGGTCGATGCCACTACCAAGAAGGCCCTCTGTGATGGAAATCATGTGCTGATTGGACAAAGAGAGGCAGTGATGTTGGCCCCATGGCCGCTGCTCCAATGCAGACTTCTTTGCTGCTCTTGCTCTTGGTAATCTATCAAACAAAGCACATACCAAAAGCCAGGGAAGCATCCTGTAGAGGCATGCACTTAGGACTGCTAATTAAGCTGTCCACTTCTTTGGACTAAAGTGGTACCCATTGCAGAATGTGCTATCTACCCCCTCACTTCAGACCAAATCAGTCCGTTTGTACTGTGGTGGTCTTGAATGACAAACATACACATGGGTTGGATCCTGTGAACTGTTTATAATCTAAGGGTGGTTCTCCTATCCCTCACTTCACCTCCCCATTGCCTGTTTTTGCCCCATGATGGAAGATCTGCCTGTAAACGTATGCATACTCATGCTGCTTATAGAGGCTGGTGCCCCTCCTTGCGTTGCTTGCCAGTCCCACCTGCCCCCACCTCACTTACCTTTACTCACTCAAGCCCCATATCCTCACAGCTCCTCTGTCTCTCTCCATTCCTGTTTTATACAAACCTCTGCTATTGTTTAAAACTGACATTCTAAAACATGCCTTTTCTTTTGCTCCCCTCCTCTTCCACATTTAAGATTGTGGTGAAGCACTACAAATCCTCCAATTGGGGCTGCATGATGACAGTCTTACATTTTTATGTATATAAGAAGAAATGATAGATTGACTCTGTATGCTGAGTTAGTGTGCTTTTAATGCTTTTTAAGGTGGTAGCTAGGCTCTTAAAGATGTATGTCTTATCCTTGAAGTTGACAGAAACATCTTCACGATATGCAAGGAAGATTTCAGGCACCACTGCTCTGCAGGAAGCACTGAAAGAGAAACAGCAGCACATTGAACAGCTCCTGGCTGAGAGGGACCTGGAGAGAGCAGAGGTTGCTAAGGCCACCAGCCATGTTGGGGAAGTAGAGCAGCAGCTGGCATTGGCCCGAGATGGCCATGATCAGGTAGGCCCTTTACCCATTGAAATGTGGATTGTTCTGTTTCCTAGTGCAAGAGGATGGATAAGTAAAAAGACTCTGCCAAAAACTGAGAGAGAAGTTTTGCTTGGGTCTGTTAAAGAGACTCCTTCATTAACATGGAAAAAATGACCCGAACCATCCAACCCCAAACACTTTCTGCACTGGCCAGGATAAACACATTAATTCTGCATTAGCTCAATTTTGATAAGGCATGTTGTTACTTTCTTGATGCAGGCAAATTCAAGGCTTTAAACCACATATACTGATTTTAAGTAAATGGGTGGCTTGTCTAATATGCATCTTTGTTCATCAGCGAATACTGGAAATGGAGGCTAAGATGGACCAGTTGAGGGCTTTGGTTGAAGCCGCTGACAGAGAAAAGGTGGAACTGCTTAACCAACTGGAGGAAGAAAGAAGGTATGCTAAATTTGTAATTTGAACGTATGCAGAAAGATGTATTTTGACATTTTAGAACAAATTATAATTCTTGGTACTCATTGTGTGGCACTGAGTAAATCATCCTTATAAGTACTTGATGGTGATGCTGATGGAGAACAAAAAGATTGTGGTGCTGGTGAGGAAGAAGAGAAGAAACGAGGCTGGCTAGGTTCCTTTTCCATCTTTGCTGTTGATTTAGTGTGTAACCTCCAGAAATTTCCCCTCTCTGTATCTGTACTACAGGCTCAAATCAGTTTTATTCCACTTTTAGCTGTAAAGGCCTTCCTCAAATCATCTTGGGAATTGCAGTTAGGTTAGGATGATTATTTCTTTAGAAATCTCTTGTCTGTCTTCCTTGGGAGGAGGGAATATGTTGTCTAATCTCCGTTCCTCATTTCTGTAAAAACTGGGAATATTAGCATAGCTAACTTTGCAGGGTTGTAGAGATGAACCAGATAAAGGTGGGAGGTAATTTTGCATCTGAAAACAGTTTTGTAAATGTACTAATACTCTTCAGAAAGTTTTTGAGCAGACTTACTGCTTTATATTTATATTGTACAGCAGTAAGGCATAAACTATTGCAAGTCATGGAAATTCCAGTTCAGTGACTGCTTTAATTTTGTCCCTGGTTGGCCTTGAGCAAGTTGAGCAAGTTGCCAAGCAACCTAATAGTACCAGTGTACTTGGCTGGTACACATTCACTGAACTGGCATTTTGCAGCTCAAGAAATACTCAGGGCTTCGGACGTCTAGTATTTCCTCCACTTCCACGTACCCTTGTAACTTGTAACTGAGCAGCCTCAGAAGCAGAAAAACTATGGAGTCATCAGAAACTGCTGATAAGTGCAGATTTGAAATTGAGTCTCTCTGCATCCTACTGACAAACTAGCTGAGATTCCTGCATTGCAGGGGGTTGGACTAGACCCTAACCCTTGGGTCCCTTCCAACTCTATGATTCTATGAAACCTCTAGAATTCTGCTCCTGCTATGGGTCTTGTTCACACCTTGTGTTTACTGTAGAATTTTGAGTAACTTCAGAGAAATGTCATGCAATGCTCACACACGATGTAGTAAATAGGATTTTCATCACATGCAAGGGCTTTCCTGTGGGAAGCTGTGGGAGGTATTTTGGTGCCCAGCGCAAGAAGTTCATATGGCTAATTAATATAGAGAACAATCTACTGTGAACTCCTGTGAAAGACAGTTTGAAATGAATGGGTTGATTGTTAGTGTTTTTGCATGGCCTTTGCTTGTTTCCATGATGGTTCCACAAGAAAACTTCCCGGTGGGTTAACATAACAGTCTAGGGGGCCATCCAGTCTAGCATTCTGCTCTCACACTGGCCATACAGTTGCCTTTGGGAAGCCCACAAGGAGGACATAAGAACAATAGCAACCCCCCCCCACTTGTGATTCCCAGCAGTTGGTATTCAGAGGCGTAATGCATCCAAAAGTGGAGACAGAACACACCCATTCCAGTAGGTTGTCAGTTCTCCATGTGACTAATCTCTGCTCGTAAAGGTAAAGGGACCCCTGACCATTAGGTCCAGTCGTGGCCGACTCTGGGGTTGCGGCGCTCATCTCGCTTTATTTGCCGAGGGAGCCGGCGTACAGCTTCCGGGTCATGTGGCCAGCAGGACTAAGCCGCTTCTGGCGAACCAGAGCAGCGCACAGAAACACCGTTTACCTTCCCACCGGAGCGGTACCTATTGATCTACTTGCACTTTGACATGCTTTCAAACTGCTAGGTTGGCGGGAGCAGGGACCGAGCAACGGGAGCTCACCCCGTCGCGGGGATTCAAATCGCCGACCTTCTGATCGGCAAGATCTAGGCTCTGTGGTTCAACCCACAGCACCACCTGCATCCCAATCTCTGCTCATAATGGCACCCAAAATGCGGTCTCCGCCAGTCAGCAGCAGCTTACCTCTTTTCACCCACTTCACCCTTTGTTGAGGCTGCAGCAATGAAGAGCGGTGTTCTCATCGGAAGTGCTCCTTTCCTCTGGAAATGTGTTGGCTATGAATTTCACTGTGGTTAAGGTAAAGAAGATATATTTTCCCTGTGAACTCCCACATGCTTCCAGGGATTGCCAAAGACATAGATAAACATTTCTCTATATTTAAATGGCTTTGAGTTGTATAAATTTCCAGAGGTGTAACAACAAAGATGTGCTGTGTATAGACCAGCTGTGTAATACAATCCACTTGTTTGCCTCAATGGCCTGTTTTGGAGGATGTAACATATACCAAGGGAAGAATTATATCTAGAACAGTTGAAAGAACTGACACACCTTTTAAAAATAGCATGGTCTCAGGCACTTGGATGTGTAAACTGGCAAGTCCTTTGAGCAGTTAGGTGGACACCTGGCATCCAAGTGGTCAAGAGGAAGTACTAGATGTTCTCCTTCAGCAACAACCTGTGTTTGAAGAGGGCATTGACTGTTCATAGAATCATCTAGTCCAACCCCCTAAAATGCAGGAATCTGAACTAAAGCACCCATGACAGATGGCCATCCAACCTCTGCTTAAAGACCTCCAAGGACGGAGAGCCTGCACCCTCCCGAGGGAGACTGTTCCATTGTCAAGCAACTCTTACCGTCAGAAGGTTTTTCCAAATGTTTAGTTGGAATCTCCTTTCTTGTAACTTGAAGCCATGGGTTCGAGTCCTACCTCCCAAAGCAGGAGAAAACAAGCTTGCTCCATCTTACATGTGACAGCCCTTAAGATACTTGAAGATAGCTATCATATCTCCTCCTAGTCTCCTCTTTTCCAGGCCAAACATACCCAGCTCCTTCAAACATTCCTCATAAGGTTTGGTGTTATGAGACAGTGGAAGAGGATTGGCCCTCTGATGTCACCTGACATCAGATGTCCCCCTGAGGCTGCAGAAGTAATGGATGCTGTATGCTGTCTGCATGCCCCAGCTGGAATTGCCTTTGTTTTCCAAGGTGGGAGCAGGGATCCATTGCCTCCTTCTAATTTTATAGTACTGCTAGTCTGTACCTTTCCATGGCCAGGAGACTGTCACTTGGTAATGACAATACAGAAGTGACTTTCTCGGTGGTAGCACCTACTCTTTGGATTGTGCCCCTCCCCCTCGGTAGCTCTAATTCTTAATTCTTACACTTCTTGCTTTTGTGTAGTGCTCAGTTTTAATCTATGCTATATAGTTTTATTCTTTTTTTACTTAGTTTCTTTTGATAGTTTTTTAAAAATTTGATAGTTGTATACTTTATGTTGACCACCTAGAGCTATTTTATTACATGGTATATAAATTTGAATAAGTAAAATAAAGTAGCTGTGATGCTTTATTACCTCCCCCTCAAAAAAGTGAGCAGATCTTTTTCCTTCTCTTCTTCCTTGCAGGAAGGTTGAAGACCTCCAATTCCGTGTAGAAGAGGAATCCATTACAAAAGGCGATTTAGAGGTAAAATGCCTCCAGCTCTGCAAAGCTGATTGTATGGGTTAGGATTATTCTAGCTACTACTATTGCAGATTATAAACAGATGAAAATTACAGGATTTTATGCTCTGTGGTTGACAGTCCAGAAATACACAAGACAAATAGAGATACTGTCATATTCGTTACTGGAATATATTCTAAAGTTGTGTAGCTTGTAGGAGTACTGATGGGTTTTTTCCTAATTCTTCATCCTGCATCTGAACAAGTAACTTAGTTTCATCCATATGTTTTTAGTTCCATCATTTATATATTTTGCAGGCACCACTCCAAAATATTTATTACAATTGCAAACTAAAAATCCAATGCTAAAGTTTTTAAAAGTTGCAGTGTATAGCTATATCCTTACTGAAATGAATTCTGAAGTTGGTATATTTTGGTATGTACATTAAGGCGCCAGTAAATAGCCCAGTCCATCATTTATAGTAGATATCACTCTGCACTTCTAGACAATGGCTTTAGTTTCTTAGACTATGTTCTATTCAAGTATTGGATAAAATGTGGATGCTGAGCATCTTCTTGCTTCATTGCCAATACACGTATTTTACCAAAATCTGTAGGCACGTTGATTTGCATGTTGGGCTTAAGCAGAAAACCTCCGTGCTTACATTGCTGTTTTGGCTCTTAATTTATAACGTTGGCTATCTTGAAGCTTCTTTAACATGTTCTTGCTTAGTCTGAAAAAACCAGAATGTTTAGTCGCTGCCTTTTCCCCTGTAATATGTGCAATGCAAAATTCAAAACTGACTTGCAGAGCCGCAAGTAGTTTCAATCTGGAAATGCTAGCCTTGTATTGAGATGTCCATTTCAAATCTTCTTTAGTTCAACTTTTACATTAGTCTTTCATACACTTTATCTAGAATTCATGGAACACTCATTTACTCTTTTCAGCCTATAGTCTTGTGTCCTTTTTGTGTTATCAGTATATACAAAAAACCCCAATAATTTTATTATTTATTTCAATAACTTCTACCCATCCTTACTTTTTGTGGACTTAGGTTAACAAAGGGTGGAAATGTATTAACTTTCTCCCATTGAAAAGTGGCTGTTCCCTCCCCATCATCACCACAGTGAGAAGTTTTAAGTACAGTGTTATATGAAGTTGACCATGGAAAAATCTTAGAAATCAGTTTTGCTGGAAAACACTTCGGCTACATGCCCACTTTGTATTCTGGACATAGCGTACAATTCCTGTTTATGTATAAGTTCTAAGAAAAGATCACACTGTGAACCTAGCAAACCCCCCCCCCCCGTGCATGTGTACACATTTGCACGCATGCACACACACCCGTACAACAGCCTTTGGCAACCTGTGGAACTTCCGTATCCAACAGTTTCCATGGGTGGGTGTGCTTGTGGACAGTCCCTCAATTTCAGGTAATTTTTGTATTATGGGGTCACTGGGAGAAGAGGAAAATCATTTCAGAGAGAAAGAGGTGCAATTCTATAAATCCATCCCAGTTTGAAGAGTCTGAATGTACCAACTTTTTTCACTGTATTTAAACTGTAGTGTTAAGCATTCCCATGAATTCTCTTTGTTTTAATTTTGCTGATAGCAAAAGAGGCAGATTTCTGAAGATCCTGAGAATGTAAGAGGACATCTGAATGTGTGGAGATATTCCCCCCGACCCATTTTAACACAGACAGTTTACCAGTAAAACTTCTTTTTGATGATGATGTATTTAAACCACTAATGAAATAATCTGCTGTTGGGGCCTAAGCTTCCCTGTTTGTGTGCATGTAGTTGTGAGATCCACGGCAGCATTCTAAATGTAGGATCTTGTGTAATTCTTGTTAAAAAATAATGCTGTATTCATAGATTTGGTTTGTGTTTTATACCCAGTCCTCAAGCTTCATACAGTGCCCTTAATTCTAAAGCCTTGTGATCTTTTTTGTAGGCAGTTAATCCTGGGTTCTGTTTAAAACCAGCAGAACGCTCAGCCTCTACCAAAAGTCTGTTGGCCAGCCTAGGAGCTCTGACATATGTTCAGTGGATGGCAGTTCAGGAGATGAGACTCCCATGTTCCATGAGAAGAGAGAAAGGCAAAAAGGAGAAGATAAAAAATTTAACCTTCATTTAGCATATCTCCCACCTGTTCAGTTTTAAATGTTTTAGAGAAATAGTTTCACTTCATTACATGGAAGATTCTCTTCCCTCCTTGACTTGTTTTGCTTGTTGCAAAAGGAAAAAAGTTAGTGGCTTTTCTAAGATCCCCAGGGACGTAACCGAAACAAAATAGAAATATGAAGCTTGTTTTCAGCTGTGCGTTCTTCCATGTTCCATTTGCACAGAGCTAAGTGTAGCAAACCTGGTCTCTTCTGTTCTTCAAAATCAGGCCATAGTGTGTTCACATAAATCTGCATGCAATCTGTCCCTTTCCCCCTTTTCTTTTTTTGGATACTTTGGGCTTTCCTCATGCTCTGATATGCTGGTTGCCTCCTTTCACTTTTAATGTATGGTAACAGGCATCTTGCCGCATAGGCGTCTTTGTTTTTCAGGGAAGCTTGCTGAAGTGCTAGCTGTTGGCTTTTTATCTGAGCGTTTGCTAAAAGGTTGATGCCACATCTTATAGGGTTCTCAGCCTCCCAGGTCAGGGGATTTGGAATGATCACCACCCCATTTATTCCAGTTTGTACCTGTAGAAAGGTGCTAGAGCAGAAATATTTTTCCTAGTTGTCTGATGCTCCTTTGCATTTACAACACCATAATTGTATACATTTAGGGTATGAAGGTTTTCATGGTATTGAAAGGAAAAACTGCCTTGTTGACTTACAATGTCTGAAGGCCAAACTGCTATGAGAAGCACAAGGCAACAGCTAGTAAAAAGCTTGTCAACTCTACGCAGAAAGAAGAAAGAGTCCTGGAGTCCACTTTGCATGATGAAACCTTATTCCAAAATAAATTAGTTAAGTTTTTAAGGTGCTAAAGGACACTGATTTTCCCCCCTTCAACCAACTAATGCAACTGCCCCTCTGGGAGTTTTTCTGCAGAAATAAAGTTATAGATTTTATACTGAGGGCCCAAAATAGTGGGTGATATATTTTTTGTAACTGCAGAGATGCAGGCCTCACACTTCAAAACTAGAGTGTATTTTTAAAAATTATTTTCTTCCATACTCCCAATTTTGTGTATGTCCATATTACTTGCAACAAGTAAGATACAAGGGCAGCTGCTTTTCTTCTAGAGATTTCATCCCTGCCTCTTTTCTGATTTGTATCAGATCTCAAGAAATGGGAGCCATTGATGTAAAACTGAAAACACCTCAAAAAATTAGCTGTCTTGAGAAACATCCCTAGGCAGAAAGCATAATTCAGCATAATCTCACATTTTTGTGAGTAAAATAAAAACATTGTACAGCTATCATTTGCCTACAGGCAATTTTAAAACAGAATTTAGAAGAGAATGTCATACATGGGACCAAATCCCACCCCACCCCACCCCACCCAAAACCCCAGTAGAACAAGGTAATTTCTTCTTAACAGTTCTTCTTGGTAACTAATTTTTGGATTTTTACCATGGAAGAATTTGATTTTCCCAGGGTGCTTTTGTGCCTGTCTGCAGGGTTGCCTTACAAGCTCAGCAGTATGCGTATGAAGAAGGAGAACAGGGACTGATCCAGTGACTCGTTTAGATCCCGTTTTTCTTGCTCCTTTCTTTATCTGGGAAACTGAAGAGTCAGACACTGCAATGATTTACATCTAGTCCAGTGATGGTCCTATCGAGAGGACCATCTTTTTCAAGGGGACACTGTTGAAGGAGGGATCCCGGACCAGGTTACCTGAAGGGCTGTGTTTGCCCATACAAACTTGCCTGAGTCCTTAAGCAGCTTCAGAGGCACTCTTTGGGTCCCCTCCGTGGGCCATACCATTGGCACATACTAAGCACAGGGCATTATCAGCAGTGGCACCACAATTATGGAATTCTCTTTGGAGAGCTCAAGTCAGCCACTTTATTTCCTTTCCTGCCTTTAGATCAGGGTTGAGTAATCTGTGGCCCTCCATATGTTGTTGGAGTCCAAGCCCCACCAACAGTGGGAGTTATAGCTCAGCACCCTCTGGAGAATCATGGGTCAGCCACCCCTACTTTAAGTGAGCTGTTAAGAAGTATTTATTTTAGTAGGCATTTAGAATTTAAAAAAACTTGCCTTAATTGTTCTGTTTCTACCTCCTCTTTAGTGTTACTGGTTGTAATATTGTTTAAATTAATTGATTTTAATGATATGTGGCTTCTTCATTAGTTATACACAGCTTTAGAAAAGTGCTATTTAAATGGCAGGTAATAAAAAGAAATACGTCTCATCCAATTTTTTGGGTATACTTGGAATGGGTTGAGACTGACTGATCTTTTCCAGTTGGTATACTAGAGATGGTGGCTGCTGGTTATCATGGCTGTTATTGTCCCATCACCGCAAATGTATCTTGTACTGAGCTATGGCTGCTCTCCGGTGAAACTTTTCAGAGATGCTCCGCCAACACCGTGTTTTACTCACTTTCTAACTTCCGTTGGTTGAAATATTCTGTGCTGCAAGTGGTAAAAAGTTAGCCATACCTCATTGTTAGCCATTCCTCATTTGTTTTTTACACATAAAAAACAAGTTCTCTATTAATTAATTGAGCTCTTCAAATCAATTTATTTGAAACATTTATACCTTGTGCTTCTGGTGTAAAAATACCACTCATGGCAGCTTATAAAATAAAATACTGCTGTTTCATAAAATAATTACAAAAAAGGGACAGTGTCAGCTGTTGAAAAACCAAAGAAACATTGTCTGCCTCATCAACAAAAAAGCCTGTTTAAGAAAAATGGCATTTGGTAAGTGGTGAAGAACAGGAGGGGACCGACTGCCCATTACAGGACCTGCTGTTCCATAATCTGGGTGCAGCCACTGGGAATGGCCCCCTTTTGTCTCGCCCAGCTGTGCCTTCAATAGCCCCCCTCGGGAGCTGTCCCCCAATCCCTACATCATTAGCTGCATGTTCAGGACCAGCCTTAGCTGCTCACAGCGAAGGCACCTTTGAACAAGCAGCTTCTCTTGGATCTGGCTAAGCCTGCCAGGCCTTCAGGGAGGGCAAAATCCAACCAGACCTTCCAGATTCACACCCAGTAATTAATTCTGGGGGTGACTCCTCTACCTGACATGCTAGTCATGAGGTAAATAACTACTAAATACTTTTGTCATCTATATATAATGCAGGGCTTCCTTGGAGAGCTCTCTTATGTGCCTGTACTAAAAGCAGATGTTGCTTACAAGTATTCTGAGTTAAATGTCAGCAACTGAAGGCTTCAGGGCTTCTTAGGATGCTGTCCAGCCATTCATTTGTCCACCTTGCAGCAAAAGAGGTGAGCAGAAAATGGCTTCTATAGGCAAAAATAACTTCTCAATGTTCAACAAGGAGTTTGGTACTTGTTTTGACCCAGCAACTAGGTTTTCCTTGCAGTCCACTTCAAGGATGGTTATTGATGCCCTAGTACATCACCCCTCGCTGGTGCTGGTTCCAGGTTTGGAGGGGCCCTTGGACAAGGTGCCGTGTAGTGCTCCCCTCCCCAAATGAGCCTGCCTCCTCCTGCTCACGGCTGCTGCCACTATGCACTCCCATGTGCCTCTCTGGGCCCAGAAGGAAAGGAGAAGGCATGTGGGGGTTGCAAGACCCCTCCTGGAGGGAACCTGGGACTTATAGTGTCAGTGTGAATGTTTTGATCTTCCACAGATGGCAGCACCTGTTTATGGTCAGGATTCATAGGCATGTCACATGATACCTGTTCAAGGCAATTGTGTCTCTTCACATCACAAAATCCCCAAATCCTCCTGCATCCCTTTTTGGTTTGAAGCAATTTCCAGCTCTCTGCCTTGGGGAAGGGGCCCCTACCTTTTACCACTTCTGATCAATTTTGTAGCAGTTCCTTTTGGTGGGCATCCTGTGGTAATTGACTAATAAGATGCCCTGAGAAACCCTAGATCAATCTTTGGAAGGAATCCAAGTTACCTTTAGTCATCCCCCCCCCACACACACACTTAGATCAATCTGGAACTTAATGCCAATTCATACAATTTCTGCGTTTTGGGTGACAAGTGAATCTCTAATCTTCTACTCTTCTCTTAATAGTAGAAACTATTAAGTACAGCAAGACCTTGAGCAGAAAAGCTTGTATGTCTCTAGGGCTGCATTCAGACTTGTCCAGAAGCAGAAAGTGAGTGGATATTTTGCCTGCTACCACAAGCCTTTATTTATTTTTTAAAGCCAGTCAACATTTCACAGTGAGCACCAGCAGTCTTGCAGTGGTGAAGGAGGGCCTCAGAGAGTTGTAGGGCTTCAGAGAGTTGAAGGGCCATCAAGCCCCCTGCTTGATGTAGGAAATCCAGAGCGAAAGCATCCCCAGCAGATGGCTGCCTAGCCTTGTCTTGAAGAGGTCCAGCGAGGGAGAACCCCACGTAGTTCATTAGTTCCATTGCCCAACTACTCCTGCTGTTTAGAAGTCCAGCCAAAATCTCTTCTCCAATAATTTAGAGGATCTAGTCCTGCCCTCTGGAACAGCACAGAACAAGTCTTTGCCCTCAGGTATTTGAATCGCATCTTACAAAGCATTAACTATTCTAATTTGTGCTGATAATTGTCACACTGATAAATAACTTTGGCTGCATGACTTTACCTTGCCATTTCTTCTTCTTCTTTTTCTTTTTCTTCTTCTTCTTCTTCTTCTTCTCCATGCTCCTTTGTCTCTCTGTGTGCACATCTTTTCTCTCATTTGTCGTCACACACTTTCAAGTCGGTCTTTCTCACCTGCAACATCACCTTGTTTGTTTTTTCTTTTTTGGTTTTGTTACCCACGTGCCTCTTTTGCTGCTCATCACTGGTAGAAGACAACTGGTGGCACATCCTGCATGTAGCTCCTCTTTCCTCTTGTGCTGGCATGTGATGGTGGCACTGTTGTGTTCTCTTCCTTTCCCTTTTTACTAACAGACGCAGACCAAACTGGAGCATGCGCGCATTAAGGAGCTTGAACAGAGCCTGCTCTTTGAAAAGACCAAAGCTGAGAAACTCCAGAGGGAGTTAGAAGACACTAGGGTAATGAACTTCACTGTTTTAAATGAACAAGACCTGATTTTGGGTTTTTTCGTGATGGGGAAGGTTCCTGAGGCTGAAGCTGAATGGGCATAAGATGTCTGGGGAGAAGATCGGATATGTCACCCTGTCTTCTACTGCCATTACACTGTTAAGAGTACAGTGGTGTTGGGTACAATTAAACATACAATTAATTTCTTAAAATGGCTTTCTTACTGTAACAAAATCCAGGTAAGATACTTTCAAATGAAAGAGTAGAGAATAACACATCCAAAAGCACATCCACAGTGAGTGAAGACCTTGCAATTCTACACAGTCGTTCCTCAGCTGATGATAAAATAGTTTGTTGTGAAGACTAATTTTGATGTTTTGGTTCAGTTTAGTGGTGATTCTTCCTGCAGTGATTGATGTTGTAAGGAAAGGCTTTAAAAGTTCTTGGATAGCTCAGTGCCGCTTTGGTTACTTGTGGGGCTTGTACGGAAACGTGACCTTTTGTGAAGAACCTGAGGGGATGGAGTTGTCTCGTTATGCATTTGTATACACGCTGCCATTTGTCTTGGTTAGAAGCAGCAGCCCCAGTCCTGAAGCTGTTTCCAGTAAGAGCTCTGCTGAAGACAGTAAAGTTAGATGAGGCAAACTTTCCCCCTACACCCTTGGTGCTTCATCTGAATCTGGATCACTTCAGACAGTCAGAGTTTGAAAATATTTGTAGCTGTGCCCTGAACTTCTGTTTTGTACTTTTTAGCAGACATAACACAACTTTTATTTGAATATTTTGCTTTGAAATGGAATAGTTTGTGGCTAGAACCTGAAGCATTCCTTTAACTTTGAGCCTCTGTCAGTTAGACATCTCACTTCTGGAGGTCAAAACCTGATTCTTAACTTCAGGCATGTCAACTTGCTGTGTCCTGCTCCAAAACCTACTTGCAGCTTATCAAATCATCTTTCTTTTGCATCTGAATAAGACTCTTAACCAAATGGATCATTTTCATCCCAGTCGGAAATGTGCCAGTGTCCAAATATTAGCACATGACACTTGTTCAGAGTCTCATGGGGAGAGCGGGGGGGGGGGGGAGGAAAGACTTGGCAAAGTTTAGAGTGAGCTTGGGTTTGGATGGAGGTAGCTTAGTTTATAGGACTGGGAAGGGAAACTCTTGTCTGTCTACCACAGCCAGGATTTTATGAAAAGCTTGTTTTCATTTATTCTAGATGCTTTACATCCTTCTTCACCATCCAGGATGATTTGGACTAGAACACTTAATCAGTCCTATCCAGCACGTACAGTCATACCTCATGTTGCCTTCAGGTTCATACCTTCAGGTTACGTTTTTTCAAGTTGCATCCCATGGCAACCCAGAAGTACCGGAACGGTTACTTCCTGGTTTTGCCGCTCGCACATGCGCAGAAGCGCTAAATCATGCCACTCATGTGCGCAGACATGGCACTTCTAGATGCGAACGCTTCGAGTTGTGGACGTGCCTCTGGGACGGATTACGTCCGCAACTCAAGGTTCCACTATGCGTTTTTAGTATAATCCTAAAAATGTAAAGGAAATGTTAGTCTAAGGCCCCTTTTAGTACGGTTGAAAGGGCCATGACCACATTCTGCCTCCAGCTCCAGCCAGAGCTAGATCTGCCTTGTGCTTTACAAACTGTCAAGTAAAATGTGCTGCCGTTCTAAGCTTTTGACTTAACCCGTTTTGTATTATCACTAACTTCAGTCAGATAACCTACAGATCAGTTGGAGCTAAAGTGTAATTTTGAATATACCTGAGAACTATGTGCTTTTGGAGGCAAAGACTTTTTAAAAAGAACAACTAAATGATGGTCATGAAGCTGTTATAGGCACATGTTCAGTAGCTTTTAATTTATCATTCCTTGACTTCAATTTGCAATATCACCAAAGGTGGAAATTTAAAATAGATTGCCAAGATTTAGTTAACCTTCCAGAAACCCTCCTTGGAAGTGCTAGAAAAGCCAAGTTACTGTCCTGAGGAAGTGATCAGCAAACCTCTCCACTCTTAAATGAAATCCACTGTTTTAACCATTTCTGCCCTCTTTTTGTATTTTTTAATGCTTCTGATGCTAGGTGGCCACTGTATCAGAAAAATCTAGGATAATGGAACTGGAAAGAGATCTAGTACTGCGGCAGAAAGAAGTAACTGAGTTACGAGCAAGATTAGAGTCCAGTAAGCCAGTCAGCAACGTGGACACTTCTCTCTCACTGCTGCAAGAAATCAGCACACTGCAAGAGAAGATGGCACTGCTAAGCAAGGAGCATCAGGATGAGGTGAAGTCACTGAAAGAGAAGGTTGGAATCAGTGAAGAGTCATGCCATAAGGAAATTAAAACCTTGTTGGCATCCAATGAAAAGATGTTGAAAGAGAACGAGTCCTTGAAAATGAAGCTGGATGCTGCCCACAAGGAGAATTCAGATGTGATTGAGTTATGGAAATCCAAGCTGGAGTCTGCCATTGCTTCACATCATCAAGCAATGGAAGAGCTGAAGACCTCTTTCAGCAAAGGAGTTGGGGCTCAGACAGCTGAATTTGCAGAGCTCAAGACCCAGATTGAGAAGATGAGAGTGGAGCATCAGCGCGAAACATCAAACCTGAAACTAAAGCAAGAAAACGAGAGGCTGCATCTCCTGAAGGAGGTTGAAACTCTGAAAGAGAAGCTGCTGGAAGTCACAGAGGACAAGGAGCGAAGCTTGGAGGCCTTGAACACCAAATTAGAAAGTGCTGAAGATCAGCATTTGGTGGAAATGGAAGACACTCTGAACAAGTTACAGGAGGCTGAGATAAAGGTAAAGACGCTAGAGGGGCTCCAGGCCAAGTGCACAGAACAAGCCAAGGAGATTGATAATTTTAAAGCAAAGATCAAAGGCACTGAAACAAAGCTCTTGGAACTAGATGCTCTTCAGATGGCAAGTTCTGAAGGTAAACTGGAGCTGGAGAAGCTTAGCAAGGAGCTTGAGGCAGCTGAAAAAAAGATACAGAGTTTAGAGAATGACAGGAATAATGAAAGTAGCCAGGTTTGTACCAACATCCATCCATCCATTTATTTTTTTCATTTTTAAAAAACTTTTATTTATGCTGTTTTGTGGTAGTCTGTTCTTAGAGAAAGGGTGTTATGAAATATTATTTAGTGATGAGTTTTTAAAAATCCAGACATAAAACATATCTATCAGTGGGCAGACAGAACAAAGTCCTTCATGCAGTGCATAAACTATGTCGTTGCTGCCACAAGACGGCTGTCAGGGCCACCGCTTATATGGCTTTAGATGGAGATGAGGCGATGTCTTGAAGGATAAATGTCAATGGCTACTAGTCATGATGGCTAGATGCTGCCTGCTGGTTCAGAGGTCGTGTGCCTTTGAATTCCAGTTGCTGGGAACCAACAGCAGGAAAATGCATTTATGCCCATGTTTTGCTTATGGGCCTGCTGGGGGCTTGTGGTTGGCCACTATGGAAAAATAGGATGGTGGGCTAGATGTGTTTTTATTTTGAGTACTATTTTGGTATATGTGTTAACTATTCAGGCAGCAATGAGCACACTTCCTGTTTGTATTGCAACCTACCAGAGTTTTAATCCAGTCTAGAAATCTGCTTGTTGCAACTCCAGAGTTCAGAGTCTGCCTGAACTGCTTATTGGCTCCTGGGAATTCTGCCCAGGGTGAGATGCAGAGGAAGTGTTGGGCTCCGATGCTCCCTCCATCCTCTGCCTTGACCGAGAAGCCATTTTGGCATATAAGCAGTATATATAATAATATTATAGCAACAACAGAAATACTTTATCTCCCTATGAGAGAGGTGAAAGATCTTTAAGAGAGAGAGGTTGTTTTTCTTGAATTAGGAAAAAAATAGGTTTTGATTTTCCTAATTATTTATTGTTCTTAGTTATGCAGGGCTCCTAGTGGTGTTTTGTGCAGCTACTGAGCATGTGGAGCCCTGCTTAGCTTTAGCAGTGCTGTAGCACCAGGTGCTCTCAGGATTTACAAGTTCCAACTAGAGCAAATAGCTAGCAGGTTTCCTTCTTGCACAATTAAACACCGTGATAATAACAGTGCTTGTAATGCCCTATCACCAAACCCCCTCACGTGATAACTTAGATACTAGCTTTTACATATATCCTTTCAGGCATCAATTGTTTTTTAAAGTCCTGTGGAATTGCAGATTTCCTGCAAGTTGAGCAGTTAAACCTTTATCATTAGAAGGCTGTTCATGACCTATGCAACTGACCATAATTGCAATCATGGGAATGAATGTATGTCCAATGTCACAAATGCTTATTGTTTCACAGTGTGATCAAAGCAAATACTTGCACTATCTTAAGATCAGAAGTAGGCCCAATTAATTTCAGTGGACTAGCCATTTAGTATTTAGTATTGGAGCCTAAAACTAAGACAATTTAAAAAATTCAGTAATCATGATTATATTCCTAATGCAAAAATGAAAATATACATGATACTTCTGAATACAATTCTAATTTAGTTTACATACCATTTTCTGTTTAGTTTATATTCATGCATTTTGTTTATTTTTACCTCCTTTTTATTATTATTTAATACTTCAACAAAATCCTTTGTTTTGTCCTTTTGTAACTCTTTTATTTTCACACAACATAATAATCCTTGCTAGGCTGTTAGTCTGGTCAAAGAACTACAAGCGAAAGAGCAAAAGATTCTTGATCTTGAAAATCACTTGGGTGAAGTAAATCAGCTTAAAGATTCTTTGGGAAAGGAGCTTGAAGATTTGGTAAGTAGCTGGTGGAAATTTCACCTGCACCCCCTGAGCTATGTTTTGCGGCTTTTATAATTGGGATTTATTGGAAATTTCAGATCTAGTCATTTTTACATCCACCTGTGTCTTTGGCAAAATTGGACAGGAAACTATTAGCTCTCTTGTTGATTAAAACTCTGTGGCTTGAAATGTTGCCTTGTAGTAAATCCTAAAAACATAATGAAGTGCCTTTCTGCACCATCTATTGGATTCCACTGGTATGTTTGTGTCTGGGCAAGAGCCATGTCTTTTGTTTCCCACTCGTTGCTCATGGTCCACACGTTGCTGGTCTGCCTTTCTCAGAGTCACTGCAATTTTTGGAGTATTAAAAGCTCAATATTTTATTAACCTAGGAAGCTGCATTGTATAGAGTAGGACCACTGCTCTTTCTATGCAGTCTGCAGCACAATTAGTTGCATGCAAAACATGGGTCCCAGTGCTGGGCTGCAGCCCCTATGAGCATCCGACAGAAAGCAAAGACATATCCATTAGTGGCTGACACTCCACACAGACGCTTATATCTGAAAATAGAAGCAACGATGTACTCACTCCTCGTGCCTCCCAGTCTATTGTGCACTTATTGATAGGTGTGATGTTGGACTAAGTGGCAATTGCCACAGACCAAGAAAAGTGTTATAACAACACATGGTCCATAATGTTTTTTTCTTTATAACAGCACACCATTCAATAGGGTACAGGCATCTGTCTGTGCAACAGCCCACATGTTACAGATTTGGGAAAACCCAAAGCTGTTGGTTTTAACATAAAATAAGGAGGAGTTCTGCTTCCCAGGTGCTCTCTCAGACTCAAAATACACCAAGTCAGAGTTTTCTCCATTGGTCTGTAGCAAAGGTCATTGTGTTGTCCACAGTTTTCAGGTGACTTCATGTCCTTTTCACATGCCCTGTAAAGCAGAGTGAGGTGCTGTGAAGATCCTGTGTTGTTGGCTTAAAGGTGTATTGAACCAATTACAGTATATCTTTTAAAAAATCAATGTAGTGCCTTACCATATTAAGCCAAATGGTTAAATGTGATTTTTTTTCTACCTCCCAGAAAGAAAAATTTACTGAGGCTGGTGATGAGGCAGAAAGTATACAAAAATCTATGCAAGGTATGGTTCCTAAGAATGCAATTAAATCTTTTTAAATGAGTGTGGCAGACAGAGAGAATTGCTTCCTTTTATCATACATGCCTTACTCTAAATGTAATGTGACATTGTTTAAAAATCTAACCAATGCTAACATTTTATTCCCATAGAAACTGTTGAAAAACTAAACCAAAAAGAACAACAATTTGCACACATGTCATCTGAACTGGATCAGCTGAGATCTAACTTGGCAGGTAAGAGAAGGTGACTAGGTTGAAATATTGGGTTTTTTTTATAGTACATTTTCATGTGATGTTCCAACCATTACATGTGGCACATTTTATTTTATTCATAAATTCTGGACAAACAACAGGAATGTTACAGGTTTATTTTTGGTAATTTTATCCTACCTTTAATGCAACCTGAAAGACAATTCTAAAAACAGCATCAAGAAATCCACCACAGGGCATGTGACATCTGGCCTCTTGAAAATGAAGCCTAGGTCTTGAGGTTTAGCCTCCTTGCTGCTTAGATATTTGCTGCCACCCTAGATCTAGACAACATTGCTGGAAGGTCAGATCCCCCTCCCAGGACCCCTCGTCTCTGCCCACTTTCCTCAGCCTCTGGACTGGACTTGCTGGTACTCCTCTCCTTCCTAGTGGTTGGCTCCCGTCCACCCTCTGAGACGGGGCTTTGCAAACTATCTTTCATACTAGCAGGAGAAGCCCCTCTCTGATTCTGTCCTGCCTCCTTTCTTTTGCAGGATTTCTCCAGAGTTGCTTAACTCCAGATAGACTTTTGCTTTTGTGCTATTCATCCTGTTGGTCAAAGCTTTTGTTGTTGTTTACATTCAATTCCAAGTTTGAAACTCCACATATAACTTTCCATTTGAAGTCAGCTGCATTCTTGGAGATTAGATAGACAGATAGATCCTTACTTTACATTAAAGTTTATGCTTTCCATCTCTTATGTCTTCAGGGCATGTGGTTTGTTTTTGAATACACTGTTTATGTACTAGGTTGATCACTTTTCTTCCTTCTTCAGCCATGGAGAAGAAAATGAAAGAAAGAGAAGAGAGAGAGCGCCAACTGATCGAGGCTAAAGCCAAACTCCAAAATGATATAGCCGAAATAATGAAATCCTCAGGAGACAGTTCTTCACAGCTTACAAAGATGAATGATGATCTCCGGCAAAAAGAGAAGTAATTTACCTTTCCTGGCACTTTCTGCTATCCTTGACCTGGTTGCCAGGAGCTGTGCATTTTCTCTGATTTCGTTTTGAGGAGGATGAGTTCATCTTACCAAACTCTCTTTAGTTGTGCATCTGGCTCTTGGGTTATAATACTTCTAAACTGTTCCTCATGTGTGGTGCTGTTGATTTCAACCCAAGGAATGTGGGCAACATTAACCAAGGAATTTTGTTTTGTTTTGTTGCATGTATTTTGGCTAGTAAGCAAAGCAAACCTTAGAGCAAGGTGGGTGGGGATCTCAGTGGCAGATCACCTGCGGAAGTCAGTTCTTGGCATCTCAGATTCAGAAAGCTTCCTCAAGTTGAAGGTCCTTCCCAGCCCTGCCTGGAGATCCTGGAAGCAGAACAGTCTGCATGCATGTCATTAGAGCTGGGTGATATTTCAGTTCATCGTCTGAAACTGGAATGAAATTCAGATTGCGATACTGGTTTCAGACATTTTGAGCTAGTAATATATCACGGCTTCCTAGCCACTGCCAGCATAGTGCATTTAACTCCCAGCTGCCTGCCTGCCTCTACTGTGCTGGCAGCGGCCGGTGAGCCGCAATTTATTGCCAGTTCAAAGTGGCTGCTCGCCTGCCTGTGTGTTTGCCTTTGCCTGAGCAAGTGGGCTGCCTCTTTCCTTTCGGTTGGTTGCTCTTCCTGCAGCCAGCCAGGAGGGAAGAGGCTGCCAAATGTGCAGGCAGGCGGATGGAGCACCTTCTCAGGCTCCCCTCGGCTGAGGCCAGGCTGCAGAGGGAGGGAGCAGGAGATCCTTCGCCCGAGCAAGCAGGCAACCTCCTTCCTTCCCTCCTGGTCGCTCCTCCCTCCACAGCCCAGCCGCTTTTTCAGCCCTTCTCAGTGTTATTTCAGACATCATGATATATCACTATATCACGATGGTTAGCTGGTGATATGTCACAGTGTTGAAAACCAGATATTGCCCAGCCCAACGTGTCATGTACTCTAGCGCTGGGCTACATTCCCTCCCAAAGATGGAGTTAGAAGGATATTCAGCAGCACAGGTGGGGAAAGACCTTTGGATCAAGACCTGTAGTCTTGGGTTAAATGGACAAACGGTCTGCTTCAACAGAAGAAATATTTATCGCTCTGCCCCCAGCAAAATAGGTGTCCCTTGTGCGGACATGCGGGTTGCCAAGGAATCTAGGGTATGGCCAGGAGTGATTTCTGCATGCCAAAGGGGTAAGCAGGAAAGTCTTGTTTGTTCGTTTTTTAAATCCCCACCCTCCCAATCTGAAAGCAGTCCAGCACTGCGAACTGTGTGTGCATTGGGGACAGAGAGCTGTGTGCAGGTACCACCTCGTCACCCAGCCAGGGCCGAAAATTAAACTGAAGAGAACCAAATGGCTTGTGCTTAGCCTTAGCTGAAACAATGAAATTTGCTGCCATAAGCAGTGGTGGGAGACACCAACTTAGATGGCTTTAAAAGGGGCTTGATTAGACAGATTCATGGGTGATAAGGCTATCCATGGCTATTAATCTTGATGGAGGACCAGAGGTGGAAGCCTCTGGATACCAATTTTATGTATTTATTTATTTCATAAAATTTATACCACTTGACTGTAGGAAAAAAACCTCAAGTCGGTTTACAAAAAATAACCACTAAAGTTTTTACAACCATAATTAGAAACATACAAAAGGTTAAAATGCCAGTAAAGTAAAACTAATTTGAACTCATACAAACTTTCTAAACATCTGGGTAGGCTTGTCTATTCTTTAAAAAAATACTTTATTCTTTGTTTGTTTTTAAAGTATTGTTTCAATAAACAAAAAAACAAAACAATGCAATAACAACACCGAAGAACAAACAAACAAGAAAAAAATCACATATTCCTTTGACTTCCATTCATCCCACTATGTTTTCTAGGCTTCTTTTTCGATTTCACACTTCGTATTACCACTTCTTGATTTTAATTATCACTTAATTTATTCGTATTCCATGTTGTCCTGCAAAGTTCAGTCTAGGCTCATCAAAGCATTTAAATTTTTACAATGTATCTGTAAATATTCTTTAAAGACATTCCATTCTTTATTTAATCTCTATTTGGAATCATCTCTTAAACTTCCAGTCATTTTGGCTAGTTCTATATATTCTATCATCTACACTCTGCTTTTTAAGATGCTGTCTAGGTTTGTCATTGCTTTTCTCCCAAGAAGCAGGCGTCTTTTAAAATCTCTCACTGCCTCCATTTCTTCCCCTTCTATTTGCCAGGAGGTGATGGGACCAGTGGCCGGGATCTTCATTTTTTGATGTTGAGCTTCAGACCATATTTTGTGCTCTCCTCTATCACCCTCAATAAAAGGTTCTTTAATACCTCCTCACTTTCTGCCATCAAGGTTGTGTCATGTGCATATCTGAGGTTGTTGATACTTCTTCCGGCAATCTTAATTCCGGCTAGGGATTCATCCAGCCCAGCCTTTCACATGATGAATTCTGTATATAAGTTAAATAAGCAGGGAGACAATATACAGCCTTGTCGTACTCCTTTCCCAATTTTGAACCAATAAGTTGTTCCATATCCAGTTCTAACTGTAGCTTCTTGTCCCACATAGAGATTTCTCAGGAGACAGATGAGGTGATCAGGCACTCCCATTTCTTTAAGAACTTGCCATAGTTTGCTGTGGTCGACACAGTCAAAGGCTTTTGCATAGTCAATGAAGCAGAAGTAGATGTCTTTCTGGAACTCTCTAGCTTTCTCCATAATCCTGTGCATGTTTGCAATTTGGTCTCTGGTTCCTCTGCCTCTTCCAAGTCCAGCTTGCACTTCTGGGAGTTCTCGGTCCACATACTGCTTGAGCCTACCTTGTAGAATTTTAAGCATAACCTTGCTAGCGTGTGAAATGAGTGCAATTGTGCAGTAGTTGGAGCATTCTTTGGCACTGCTCTTCTTTGGGATTGGGATGTAGACTGATCTTCTCCAATCCTCTGGCCACTGCTGAGTTTTCCAAACTTGCTGGCATATTGAGTGTAGCACCTTAACAGCATCATCGTTTAAAATTTTAAATAGTTCAGCTGGAATACCATCACTTCCACTGGCCTTGTTATTTGCAGTGCTTTCTAAGGCCCATTTGACTTCACTCTCCAGGATGTCTGGCTCAAGGTCAGCAACCACACTACCTGGGGTGTACGAGACATCCATATCTTTCTGGTATAATTCCTCTGTGTATTCTTGCCACCTCTTCTTGATGTCTTCTGCTTCTGTTAGGTCCTTACCACTTTTGTCCTTTATTATGGTAATCTTTGTATGAAATGTTCCTTTCATATCTCTAATTTTCTTGAACAGATCTCTGGTTCTTCCCATTCTGTTGTTTTCCTCTATTTCTTTGCATTGCTCATTAAAGAAGGCCTTCTTGTCTCTCCTTGCTATTTTTTGGAAATCTGCATTCAATTTCCTGTATCTTTCACTATCTCCCTCGCATTTTGCTTGCCTTCTCTCCCCTGCTATTAGTAAGGCCTCATTGGACAGCCACTTTGCTTTCTTGCGTTTCCTTTTCATTGGGATGGTTTTCGTTGCTGTCTCCTGTATAATGTTGCGAGCCTCCATCCATAGTTCTTCAGGCACTGTGTCCACCAAATCAAATTCCTTAAACCTGTTCCTCACTTCCACTGTGTATTCATAAGGGATTTGATTTAGATTGTATCTTACCGGCCCAGTGGTTTTTCCTACTTTCTTCAGTTTAAGCTTGAATTTTGCTGTAAGAAGCTGATGATCTGAGTCACAGTCAGCTCCAATTCTTGTTTTTGCTGACTGTATAGAGCTTCTCCATCTTTGGCTGCAGAGAATATAATCAATATGATTTGGATGCTGCCCATCTGGTGATGTCCATGTGTAGAGTCGTCTCTTGTGTTGTTGGAAAAGCGTGTTTGTGATGACCAGCTTGTTCTCTTGACAGAACTCTATTAGCCTTTGCCCTGCTTCGTTTTGATCTCCAAGGCCAAACTTGCCAGTTGTTCCTTTTATCTCTTGATTCCCTACTTTAGCATTCTAATCCCCTATAATGAGAAGAACATCCTTCTTTGGTGTCACTTCTATAAGGTGTTGTAAGTCTTCATAGAATTGGTCAATTTCAGTTTCTTCAGCACCAGTAGTTGGTGCATAAAGTTGGATTACTGTGATGTTAAAAGGTCTGCCTTGGATTCGTATTGAGATCATTCTATCATTTTTGAGATTGCATCCCAGTACAGTTTTCGCCACTCTTTTGTTGACTATGAGGGCCACTCCATTTCTTTTACGGGATTCTTGCCCACAGTAGTAGATATGATGGTCATCCGAACTGAATTCGCCCATTCCCGTCCATTTTAGTTCACTGATGCCCAGGATGTCAATATTTATTCTTGCCATCTCATTTTTTACCACATCCAACTTACCCAGGTTCATGGTTCTTACATTCCAGGTTCCTGTGCAATATTTTTCTTCACAGCATTGGACTTTCCTTTCGCTTCCAGGCATATCCGCAACTGAGCGACCTTTCGGCTTTGGCCCAGCCGCTTCATCAGCTCTGAATCTACTTGTACTTGTCCTCCGCTCTTCCTCAGTAGCATGTTGGACGCCTTCCGACCTGAGGGGCTCATCTTCCAGCATCATAACTTTTATATGCCTGTTGTCTTTGTCCATAGAGTTTTCTTGGCAGGAATACTGGAGTGGCTTGCCGGTTCCTGCTCCAGGTGGATCATGTTTGGTCAAAACTCTCCACTATGACCTGTCCATCTTGGGTGGCCCTGCTCAGCATAGTTCATAGCTTCTCTTGAGTTATTCAAGCCCCTTTGCCATGGCAAGGCAGTGATCCGTGAAGGCACTTTCTTTTATACATTTTGGCTGATTTGGCCGGAGTCAGGTACCATCGGTAAAACATTTTAATCAGATTTTCTTTAAGAAATTCTTCCAGAAATTCACATGCGGTGAATTTTATGTCTACCTTCCAAAGTCTTTCCCACACCTCCATTTGGATATTATAACTGAATTCCTGGGCCCATCGAACCATAACTGATTTTACCTCCTCCTCCTTGACTTCCCACCCAATCAAGGAGGCATTTATACATTTTGGATAAAAGTTTTTCTTTCGATTGAATTAAATCTTTCTCTAATCTTGATAGCTCTGTTGCAAAACCTTTTTGTTTGTCTTTTCTAAATATTTCATTATGTTGAAAATATTGGAGCCAGTTAGTTGTGTTCAGATCTCAAATTTCTTTAGGCTTAATTTATTATCTTTTTCTTCCCGAAAGGTTTTATTTCGTTTTTTTCCTCTGGCCCCATATTTTTAACTAACAAATTTGTGTTTTTTTACAGTTAATTTGAAAACCAGCCCCTTGTCCAAATTCTTTTGTTTGATTTTTATTTATCTCAGTCACTTTTGGTAAACTTTCTTTGGGGTTTTCCGTAGTAATGATAAGGTCAGCTTGTCTAAATAAGAATGGCTGAAGAACAACAGTAGGGTGGGACTGACTTCCTGCTCGTGGGCTTCCCAGAGACATCTGGTCAGCAGCTGTGAGGACAAGATACTGGACTGAATGGGGCCCTTGGTCTGATATAGCAGCCAGGCTCTTTTATTTTGTTTGCTTCTGTTTAGCTCGAGGCTTGAAGCTTCCTTGAATTCTTTGTAAACCTGTATCTAGTTTACATCTGTAAATTATGGCAAGGGAATGCAGAGGGAGGTAGAAAATGGAAACATATGCTCCTCTTTGCCCTACTGCTCCTCTGCAAAACATTTTCACATGTCCACTTGTATGATCAGTGGGTAGTGATACCTGCACTGTCTGCTGCCATTCGACCTGAAATTCAAAAGTGTGTAAGCAAAATTCAAATTGTTTTTCTCCTTTGCACCCTAAAAAAGCAACATGGTCACAGTATAAAAACAACAACCTGACCCTGCCCTATGGACTTTACCATCTATTCTTGGAGGGGAAGACAATGGAGGGAGGAAAGGGAAAAGCAAGGGTAAGAACAGACACATAGTGACATGCAGGGCTTTTTTTGCAGCAGGAACTTGGGGGAACTCAGTTCTGGTACCTCTCAGGTTGGTGCCATTTTTTAAAGGAAGATAATGCTTTTGTGCTATGAAGCACAGGCTTCCAAGAGTTGCAGTGCTGACTCTCTCTTTTTGGTTATGATTCATTTTAGGCAGCTAGAGGAGCTTCAGCTTCAGCTCACCAAGGCAAGTGAGAGAGCTTCTCAGCTGCAGGAAAATTTGGAGCAGGCGACACGTAAAGCTGAAGAGGAGCAACAGGAAGCGCACAAGAAGCATCAGGCTGAACTGCAAAAGATGCAGGACAAATTAAGCAACCTGGTAAGAGCAGCTGCCTGGGCATCTCTCCAGAGCGGCCAGGAAGCAACTATAGGCCAGCACAAGCATTCTTGCTCTCTACTGATGGCTCAAGTACATAGTGATGCTGGGAATAAATGCATCACTGCTCCTGCTAACTCAATTTCTCTCTCTTTAAAACATTCAAACCTAATTAGCCGTTCTGTAGCTTGAGATATTTATGTTGCAAAACATTGCTGCTTTACCGCTGATGCTGACTCTTCATCTCTTTGAAACCATTACACCAATGTTACTTACTTCAAGCTCTCTCTCTGTCGCGCGCGCGCGCACACACACACACACACACAACCTCTTTTACACCTAATAAACCACAAGGCTTCAAAGACCCTGCTTACGCTAGATTTAGCACAGCTATTCTTTCAACTCTAATTCAAGAAAAATGTGCTCTTACATGATGAGAAAGCAATTGCAGAACACCATGGCTAGCTGTATAGGAAGGGAGCAGGACACTGTGCTGAACTGTATTGGCTCTCTATATTCACAGGAGAAGAAAATTTTGACTGGCCAAAATCAGTATAAAGATCTGCAGACAGCGCACAAAAAAACACATTCAGAGATGGCCGCCAAGCATGATGCAGCCATCAAGGAGCTTAAGCAACAACTTCAGGAAACGCAACAGCTATTGACAACAGCACAAAAGGTGAACAGTGACTTAGAAAAACAGACCAAGGAGCTGAAAAAGGAAGCAGAGCATGCAAAGGTGTGTATTTCTCTGAAACAGGTAGCCAAAGTTTGGACTTTTTTGGTGGCTCAATTACACTGTCCCAAACTCTCTGCATTTGCTTGATGGCTCTTTTAAGTCAATATATGTCCATAGCTGACTGGCCCATCGAGCGGACATGGGAAAGGCATCAATTTTTGAGCCACTCACCCATGAGGGAGCTGTATGACTGGTACCTTGTCAGACTGAACTTTGGCTTCCCAAGCCTAATGGAACAAGCAGGGGCGTTGCAAGGGGGGTGCAGGGGGTGCGGTCTGCCCCGGGTATCAAGCCGGGGCAGGGTGTGACAAAATCTCCCCCAGCGGATCCGCACCAGGTTGCACCTCCCGGCTGGGCCGCACCAAATGAATCATGCCTCCCAGCCAGGCCTCAACACCAGATCATGCTCCCCGGCTGGCCGCTGCGCCGAACCGTGCCTCTCGGCCTGGCCACAGCGCCAAATTGCGCTTCCAGGCTGGGTCGCAACACCAGATCATGCTCCCCAGCCGGGCATGATCGCCCTGCCCCCTGGGTCGGGCGTTGTGGGATGGCTGGAGGAGGCAGGCAAGCAAACAACCAACGGGGGGGGGGCGCCATGTGCCCCATCCCGTCCGTTCCTATGGGTAGTTTGCCCCCCCCATGGGCGGTTCGCCCCACCCTCGCCCCGCACCAGGTGCCTGAGAGGCTTCCTCCGCCACTGGGAACAGGAACTCCTATACAGTTTGCAGAGAGGCTTTGATGTTGACGCTTCCAAAATGAAGCCTGACACTGCCTTATGGGTCACTAAATCGCATAAAGGTCAATACTAATTAGCTAATTTATATCTCAAGGGGTGACCAACACTTGAGCATTAGGGTTTTTGTATTTGTTCATCAGGCCAGTGTAATTCTCAGGTGTTGGCTACAGATTTTATGTCCTTTCTTTCCAAAGAATTAGATGCAAGAAAGGAAGTTAAGACCTGCAGTCATGGGGAAAATTTATAAAATAAAAATAAAAATGATCAGATAGAAAGAGAAGCTGCTCGGAGGATGCAATATGCCCAGTATTATTACGTTTAAAATTTTCAAGAAGGACAAAGTCTTCCCAAGAATAAATTTAAGTGCAATTAGGCCCAGTTCAATGACATAGGAAGTAAATGTATTCTAGATCCTTTGTAGCCCTGTAATTTCTCATTCCCTTATTCTGTAGGTAACTGACTTTACTGATTTAAAAAAATATTTTCATTGGATGCTTAAAAATCCCTTATCCCATTTGAAGTGGCAAAACAAGCTTTAGAGGTGGTGGGTTTTACTGGCATTTCTTACTGCTTGATACCCTGCAAAAAGCTGTCCGTGTTCCACATTCTCCTTAGTGTGACTTGAATAGCCTAAATTTTATTTTTTGCATTTCCTTGACATTGTTCCTTGCGTTCATCTCCTATTCATTGCCTATGTGCTTTGAGCTTTACGCTTTATTACAATGGTAGCTGCATATGTATATGTTGACACACAGGCCAAAGGGCTATGAGCTGACGTCCAATACTATATGGTTATTTGCATTTAATTACTACAATAAGGTACATATAAAATGCTCTCCACATAGGGGAGAAAAGCTTGAAATACAGCTGTAAATTGCCATGTTCTAAAGGATGGATTTGCATTGTCACCAAAGCTGATATAAATTAAACTTTGAGACTACTGAGCTTTTCCCCTTTATTTGACATTTCATTAATACCACCATTGTAGGACTTTAACACCTCAGAAAAAATCATTTTAAATTGGAGCTGAGTGAATGACAGCCAGCTCACAAACTGGTGAAAATGCCTTTTAAAGATGGGACACTTTTAACATTAGCTATCATAACAGAATCATAGAGTTGGAAGGGACCACGAGGGTCATCTAGTCCGCCCCCTGCAATGCAGGAATCTTTTGCTCAAACCCATGACCCTGAGATTAAGAGTCTCGTGCTCTACCAACTGAGCTATCTGCTTCTCCTTATGGAGCAGTTCAGGGAAGTTTCCCCTGTCAGAGTGCCATCGGTCAGTGGTTGTGCCCTCGCTCATTCACCAGCTCAGCCTTGTTTCTTTGGGTTTCATGTTCATTGACAACTTGTCCAGGCACAACATGCACAGTTCTTTCCTCTCAAAATTGGAAGGGGGGTTATATTTCAGCTGCAAAGAGTAGGCCAAAGATTGTGCCATCACTACTGCTCATGTTGAAATATAAATCTCGTTTTGACATTGCAGCAGATGTTGAAACTGAGCAAAGGATCTAATCTTGCTGCCTTAAAATAAGTTAGACTTTTACCTGCCTTGGCAAACACATGATTACAGCTTTTGTCTAGCTAGAATCCCCTTCTATATTCCAGCTGCTGCATTGCCTTAAGCACTCATTTGATAGTTGGGCTGTGTGATCATTTGTGAGCTAAAAGTTTATTAAAGACCATGCAACTTGTGAGCTTAAGACATTTCAATATAATGGCATTTGTTTAGCATTCAAAAGGATTTGGAAGTATTCAGCAGGGCTGTGTGTGTGTCATTATATACTTTTGTTTTTAAAAAACAACAGTAACGCTATTTGTCTTTAATCCACACTTTGCACTAGTCTGCTTGACTTCATTTTTTGTTTTTTGTTTCCCTATTCCCCATCCTTTGTTTCTTTAGTCCTTAACCTCTGTGTTAGCAGCAGCCAGAAAAGAGATTGAACTAATGTCAGAGGAGATGAGGGCTTTGATATCAGAGAAAGAAACCTTGGCACAGGAGGGGAATGCTTTAAAATTAGAAAAAGGTTCCTTGTTATCAAAACTTGTAGAGTTGGAGTCCAAGATTGGGTTATTAAAACAAGATCAGGAAAAGCTTTGGACAGTGAATGAAGAACTTAACCTGGAGAACAAAAAAATCATAAAGGAGAAACAAGAAGTTGAGAATAAAACGCAGCAGGAAAAAACTAAAAATGATGAATTAATTTCTGAGAAAGGAAAGTTGCTCTTAGAAATAGAGGCAGCCCAAGATGATCTTCTTAAAATCACTAGAGAGAATGATGCTCTACGCACCTCAAAGGTGGCTCTCCTTTGCCAGGTGGATGAGCTCCGGACCCATAGAGATGCCTTGGCGCAGGAATGTCAGAAGCATGTCTGCCAAAGGGAAGAGCTCCAGGATTGTCAGAGAAAGCTTTCTGAGGAAAATGCTGCTCTCCTCAAAGATAAGGATGACGTCATTCAGAAGCTGAAGAGTTCTTATGAAGACATGGCCAGGGATCAAAAGGAGCTACTTGAAGAAGTCACTTCCCTGGCTGCTGAGAGGGACTTGCTTCTGGGGAAACACTTGGATCTCGAAAACCAGAATGTGGCTTTGAAAAGAGAAAGGGATAATCTATTGCAGACTAGCCAGGATCTACAGTCAGATAAGGAGGCTCTCCTGATAAGCCAGGAAGAGCTGCATAAAAGCATAGAGCAGGCTCTAGATGAAAAGCAGAAGCTTGATGTGAAAAGTGAAGGCCTGCGCACTGATCTAGAAGCAGCAAATAAGGAGCTGAAAAAGGTTACCAAAGACAAGGTTCAACTGCAGGCTGCTCATGCCAGCCTTTCGAAGCTCCTAGAGGAGTTCAAGGCCAGTAGGGAGTCAACAGACTCTGAATGTATTCAGTTGCTGCAAGAGAAGGAAGCCTTGTTTTCTGCTGAGAGGAGACTTTCGAGTGAAAGAGAAGAGCTTTTGAATGAAAACAAGGCCCTTTCTGAAAAGCTGACTAATGTCTCTGAAAATGCCACTCTTACCGAGAGGATGCTAAATGAAAAGCTAAGCCAGATGAGCGCAGAGAAGGAGTTGACTTCTCAGAAGTCCTCAAAGCTCAAGAAGCAGAATGAGAACCTTCTGAAGGAAAAGGCCATTCTGGAAGCAAAATGTGCTGAGCTTCTGGCAGAGAAGCAGTCTGTGACCAAAGCCCTATGCGACTTGAAGAGGAAGCATGAATTGGACATCTCTGCAAAGAGGATGCTCACTCAAGAGAAGGCCAGACTCCAGGGCAGTGTTGAAACTTTGAAGCAAGAGCTTGACCAAAAAACGGAAGAAAACCAAGAGCTTGCCAGCTACAAGTGTGAGCTGTCCAAAATCCTGAAAGAGACCCAGAGTGCCAAAACAGTGTTAGAAAATGAGTATTCTGCTTTGCTTCATGCCAAGCAACTGTTAGCAGCTTCATTTAAAAGTAGTTCTTCTGAGAAAGAGCTACTGAGCCAAGAGAAGGTTCGGTTGCAGGAGGAATGTCAAAAGTTGAATAAAGAGTTCAAAACAGTCCATGATAATCTGATAATAGAACGGGACAGTAGGAAGCTGGAAAAAGAGTCCTTTGTGGTAGAGAACACACAGCTTCATAACAGTGTCAGCCAGTTAGAGAGTGAGAAGGAACAGCTAACATCCAAAAACAAGGCGCTGTTGGCTGAGAGGGATAAGCTGAAACAAGAGAAGTTAAAATCTGAATCTAAGCTGGAGGAAATTATGAAGGAAAAGGAGATCCTTAGGGTCGAAACAGATCAACTCGCATCCAATATTGAGAAGTTGAAGGGTGAATTTGTGGCATTGACGAAGTCCAAAGCTGAGCTCCAGGAACTGCACAGCTGCGTCTCCAAGATCCTAGAAGATCTCCGTTCCAGCCATGAAACATCTGAACTGGAACGTGTTAAACTTCTTCAGGAGAATGAGATTCTGCTTTCCGAGCAGAAACATCTGATCACAATAAAAGAAGAAATCTTGAAAGAGAAAGAAAAGTTCTCTGAAGACTACTATAAGCTTCATGAGGAGGTAACACTTCTAGCACAGGTCAACAGTGAGCTGTCAGCCAGCCTCTTGGCATCTCAGAATAAAAACCTGGTGCTCCAGAAAGAAAAGGATGAGCTTATCTTGAAACTGAAAGAATTCAAGAATCTTCAGGCACATGCGGTATTGCAAAGATTTGAGGTATCAAGACACTGATAAATCAGTCGAGTATAGTTACTAACACCCAACACTAACTTCAGTTGTTTCGGTGTCTGCACTTAATTTTGCACGATCCAGCACCCTGGCTCAGTCTGAACACCCTCCTTAATTATCTTGCTCACAGAGAATTTACCTCTTTGTGAATATCAAAAAAACCTCTCAACTGCTGTAAGAATCAGGCAGGGGAGGAGAAAATATCACACCCAACTTTCAAGGGCCTCACAGCTATTGAATGTTGCAAGGCAATTTTTCAGTTGTGAATAAAAAGGCAGGTTTCCAGATCTGCGGGAGCTTAAAATTACACACATGTGTATTGGCACATGTAACCTTCTTAAATGTACACTCAAATTGTTATCCAAAAATTAGTTGTTAAAACTTCCTCCGAAGCCTTCTTACTCTTAATTGGATAAAAGGCAGCAGGACACTCACTGTCCAAGCAGAATTGCTTCTGTGACAAAGGATTTGGCAATGTCTGTTATCTTTTTATTCACAGTAGGCTTTGCATTCTCTACCAACTGAGCACAAAATGGAATTTTGAGACATTCCTCTCTGGGCTTCATAAACCATAAAGTTTTTATTCCAAGGACTATTTCAGATCATCTTGCTTGGGTCTGAAGCTTTTGCTTTGCTCCCCAAAAGACATCACAGTACTAAAAGTTTGCAACCATATATTTGCCCCATCTCTTAACTTCAGTGTTTTCTACCAAATTCAGATGCAGGGCTGCTGTCCTGATATCTCAGTACTATGAAAGTGCAAAGAGGACAAATGACAAATCTGTTGGTAGTGAATATTGCTGGAACTACTTTTTTTTTATTTACAAAATTTAAAAGGACGGCATAATTAGGGCTACCAGTCTCACCTGAAGACTGACACTAGCATGGAACTGTAATTTGTGCATGGAATAAGATGACTTGATAGATTTAATTCAATATATTTTGCAAAGTTCTGGAATGCAAACACAGGTAGAAATGGAGTGCTTGTGATTACAACTAGCAAGCGGCTTGCAGTCAGTTTATGTGGCCTCTACATGCTGCTAAAGAGAAATCCCATTGGCTTGAGGAACAATCTGTGGAGTAGGCAATCTATAAATTTGTATCCAGAGTCTGGCATGGTTTTGCACAGGATTTGATGTGGCTTTTTATCTCGTAGACTGCACAAACAGCAGAAGATGCTTTGCAGATAGTTGAGCAGGTGACCAAAGAGAAGGAAGTCCTTCATAAAGAGAAGATGGAAACTTTGACCTCCCTGGAGGATTCCAGGCAGGCTAATCAGAAGCTGCAGAAGGAGGTAAGCAAACCCAAATCCTGGCTGTTTGAAAAAATGTGTGTCACTCAAAGCCGGAGAGCCTGGTTCTTAAATCTCTCCTGCAGATAGCTGGGTATCCAAGGGCAGGTCAGTGAAATGTTTCTGAATAGTGCATCCAGTCACCATGAGATGGAACGGGCCGTAGCTCAGTGACAGAATGAGTGCTTTGTTTGCGGGAGGTCCCAGGCCCAATGTCTGGCATTTCCATTTTAGAAAAGGGGTCATATAGCAGATGATAAGGAAGAAGCCACTGCCATTCAGAGCAGATGTTACTGGGTGGACTGCCCCCGGGCACAAGGCAGCTTCTTCGTTATCAAATGACAAATGGCCAGAGCCTAAATCCTAGTAGCCTTTGGTAGAGGGAATGCCACTCCCTTTTCCCTTTTCTTGCCCCAGTGTGCTGAACATTATAGAGAATGTGTATCTTCTGGTGGTATCTTCTGGTGGTTTCCCCAGCCTGGTTGTCAGGACTGGTCGTTGTCCTCTTCAGATCACCACACAAACGCTTCTTGTTCTTTTATAAAAATTTTTATTGCGTATTAACAAAACAATCTTATAAACGGTTCTTAAAGGTTCTTATTCTTCCTCAGAGTCACTTCTTTCAGATACCTTCTGAGCTCTGCTTCTCCATGACCAGCCACCCTCAAAATGGCGAAGGCGCCCTTCCCTTCGCTTTCCCGCTCTTTTTTCTAACCTCCTGGCTAGAGCTGTATCTCCCCTCCTCCGAATCTGAGCTAGAACTGAACCCTTGCCTTCCCTGTGAACAGCCGGTCCCTCCCTGTTGTTCCTCTTGCTCTCTTCTGTTAGATTCACTGCTCTGCTTCCCCCCTTGGCGAATGCTTTCTCCCTCTGAGAAACTGGAAACTTCTAACTCTTCCCTGACATCACCCCCTCCCCTAAGCCCCCCTTCCTCCTCCTCGCTCTCCTCTGTTTCTGAAGGACCGAACCCTATGAACTCCTCTTCCTCGCTATCTGTCTCTTCAAAAATTTCTTGAAGATGCCAGTTATGGGGTTTTGGCTTGTGGGGATATTTTCTATGAAATTCTCTCTGCAATTCTGGAATGTTAATTTTTATTGCTGGTTCCCATGAGTTCTCAGACTCATCTAACCCTTTCCATGCAACCAAATACTGTAATTTCCTCCTACTTATTCTCGAGTCCAATATCTCTTCCACTTCGGTCTCCTCTTCCCCCATCATGGTGGGAAAAGGAGGTGGTTCCCTTGAAATTTGATACTTATGCGCTGGTACAAACACTGACAATAAAGATCTATGAAATACAGGGTGTATTCTCATATTTCAGGCAAATGAAGCTTGAAAGCGACTGGGTTAATTTGAGCCTTTACTTGGAAAGGTCCCAATCTCCTTGGTTCTAGCTTTTTACACCTCCCTCGTATTGGTAGTCCCTTGGTAGACAGCCATACCCAGCTCCCTACTTGGATTTCTTCCCCAACTCGCCGGTGCCTGTCTGCAGCTTTCTTGTAAGCCTCTTTAGCTTCTTCCAAATCCTCTTTCAATATCTCATGAATGCACCTCAACGCCTCTATCATTTGTTCTGCTGCTGGTACTGCTAACTGCTTCTCTTGACCTGGGAATGCCCTTGGGTGCAAGCCATAGTTTGCCACAAATGGGGCTCTGCCCGTAGACACATGCATTGCATTATTATACGCAAACTCTGCTAGACTCAACTTCTCTAACCACCCGCTCTGCTGATAACCAGCATAACACCTCAGATATTGTTGTAGTGTTGCATTCGTTCTTTCAGCTTCCCCATTGGTTTGCGGGTGTCTCGCCGACGTGAGGCTTAGCTCCACATCTAGTAACTGCATTAACCTCTTCCAAAATTGTGATGTAAACTGGGGCCCTCTATCTGAAATGATTTGTGATGGCATTCCATGCAACCTAAAAATATTATCTAAAAACATATTTGCAGTTTCCTGTGCGGTCGGAATTTTGGTACATGGTATGAAATGTGCCATCTTGGTTAGCATGTCAACCACCACAAAGATCACTGTTTGCCTATGCGATGACGGTAGATCCGTTATAAAATCCATAGGCACCACATCCCAAGGCCTTCCCGGCGTGGGCATAGGTTGCAACAACCCTGCGGGAGCTGCTCTGGGTGCCTTGGCTCGTTGACATACTTCACAACCTCTTACATATTGTGTTACTTCCTCCCTCAACTTTGGCCACCAGAACTGCCGTGTGATCTGATACAGGGTTTTTCTCTACCAAAATGTCCTGCAGTCGGGTTATCATGATGTTGCCTCAACACTTTACCTCTTAATTCACCTGCAGGTACATACAGCACCCCTCTCCTGTACAACAATCCATCTTTTTCTTTGAAACCTTCCTCTTCCCCTCTACCTTTTCTCAGTTCCTCCATTTTCTTTTGTGCAAACTCATCTGTTACTGTCAATCGCTGGAATTCCCTGCCGTCCACTACTACGGCTGCACACCCCCACTGATCTGATCTCAGCATTTCTCGCAACTTAGGAGGTGCTTCCCCTTTCATATACTCAGGTTTGCGCGATAGCGCGTCTGCATGAACGTTTTGATGCCCAGGTATGTACTCAATCCTAAAATTAAACCCAGCAAAAAACTCTGCCCACCTAATTTGCCTTTGGTTTAGCTGTCTAGCAGTTCTCCAATACTCTAAATTCTTACGATCTGTTTGTACCACCACCTGATGTGACGCCCCTTCCAAAAAAATGTCTCCACACTTTAAAGGCAGCATGCACAGCTAAAAGTTCCTTATCAAATATGGTGTAGTTTTGTTCTGATTGATTAAATTTTCTAGAGTAGAATGCACAGGGTCTCCAGTCGCCTTCCTTGTCCTGTTGCAGCAGAATGGCCCCAATAACCCTATCAGAGGCGTCAGTTTCTACCTTTATACGCTTACTTGGATCTAGGTGCATAAGATATTTTTCTGAAGCAAACACCACCTTTAATTTATCAAAGGCCTTCTGTGCTTCCTCAGACCATCTGAATGGCCCCTTGCCTCTTAGACAATCAGTCAGTGGTGTTGTGATTTTGGAGTAATTACCTATGAATTTACGGTAGAAATTAGCAAATCCTAAAAACCTCTGTAGATCTTTCTTAGTTTTAGGTGCCTCCCATTCCACCACTGCCTGAACTTTACTGGGGTCCATGTGCACCCCTTTGTGGGAAATGCAATATCCCAGGAACTCCACCTTTTGTGTGTGGAACTTACACTTCTCTAACTTCACATATAACCTGTCGGTCCTCAATTTCTCTAACACCTGTTTTATGTGTTCCTCCATACTTTCACTATATATTAAGAGGTCATCTAAATAAGAGACACAGAACTGATCCAGTATACCTGCTAAGACGTGATTGATGAAGGTTTGAAATACCCCTGAGCCATTTTGCAAGCCAAAAGGCATTACCAAGAATTCAAATGCACCATACTTAGTACAAAAACTGGTTTTCCACTCATCCCCTTCTCTGACCCTTATCAGATTATATGCTCCTCGTAGATCAAGCTTGGTAAAGACTTTGGCTGACCTTACTCTCTCTAAGAGGTCATCTATACGTGGCAGTGGGCACACGCGAGGCTTCATTTGACTGTTAAGGATTCTGAAGTCACATACTAATCTTAGTGCCCCTTCCTCCCCTTTCTTTTTGACAAAAAAGACGGGAGCACCCCAGAGGCCGTGGACTCTCTAATAAAACCTCTCTGCAAATTCTTTTGCAGGAACTCCCTCAATGCTGCAGATTCTACTTCCGACATGGCATATATCTTGCTTGGTGGCAACTGTGCCCCAGGGACTAGATCTATCTTGCAATCCTAGGGCCTATGTGGTGGAGGTTTATCCGCTTCTTTTTCACAAAAAACATCCTGATAAGCCATATATTGTGATGGAATCTCACTTTCATTCCCCATCAACTTCCCTTCTACCTCTGTTCCCATTACTTCCACTGAGATTTTTCCCTTTTGCCCCAAACAATGTGTCATACAATATGTCGAACCAAAAACCAAAGACCTTTGATGCCAGGCAATCACCGGATTATGATGATTGAGCCAACTCATGCCCAGCACCATTTGGTGCCCAGCTAGTTTGGTCACATGAAATGCCCTGGTCTCTGAGTGATGACCCATATCCATTCTCATTGGTGGAGTCTCATAAGTCACTTCTCCTGAAAGTAGCGGTCTGCCGTCGATTGTTTTCACTCGCAGTGGGAAACTCAAAGGTAACAAAGCGATTTTGTGTTCCTGTACCAATTTCTGGTCTATGAAATCTGCTGACACTCCTGAGTCTAACAATGCCTCTACCTGGACGCTGTGTCCATTGGGTAGTTGTAGTTGCACCTTCACCGTTAGTCCTGGAATAGGTGGTTCCGCGTGAGAGCCTTCTATTGCTTCTCCACCCGGCTGCAAGCTCCCATTTCCAGCCGGGGACATTCGTTTCCCTGATGCAGTTCCTTTGGGCAATTGTCTTCTCCCATGTCTGCTCCAGATAGAGACTCCGATCCTTTATGATTGTGACATTGTCGTGCTAGATGCCCTGGTTTTCCTCAGACAAAGCAACGCCTCGTGTCTCTTCCTCTCCCTGCATTTCCCCTTACTATGGAAGAGGTAGTAACTGGGAGGGGTCTGGCTGCCCCTAATTCCATGGGCTCTGGCCGCTCTCGTCCTGGCACGTTGTCCGCTCTGCTTTCTGTACTTTCGATATTGTTTTCCCGCCATCGCGGTCTCCATTGTTCCTTCTTTTCACTAGCCCTCCGTCCCACGCATAGGCTCAATTGCAGGCACGTTCGGACCAGAGAGTCCAAGGAACTAGGTTCTGGCATTTGGGCCAATTGGTCTAAAATCTCATTATTCAATCCTTCCCTAAAAAGGGCTGCAACTGTTGGGGAGTTCAGATCCCATTTTAATTTCTGCACCAGCAAACTAAAGTTGGACCAATAAACTCCCACAGTGTCTTTTCCTTGTCTCATTCTCAACAGCTGCCTAGCTGTGATTGTTTCATCCACAGGGTCTAAGAAAATCGTGTCTAGATACTGCAGAAAAATTTGTAAATTTCCTAGGGCGGCATCCCTCCGAGATATGAGGGGTATAACACAGTCCTTAGCCCTCCCTTCCAAGAAATTAATCACATAAGCAACCTTCTCTTGCTCAGATTGAAATTCTTTATCCGTTATCTCAATTATGTAAGAAATTTCTGTCTTGAAAGCCATGTATTCAGAGCTTTCTCCCTTGAAGCTACGTGGACGTACAGTAAGTGTTTTACTCACTCTATCTCCCCGCGTCGCTTGCAACATGGTTCTATGTTCTCCCAGTGCTGCCGATAGTACGTCGACTTGACTTTTCAACTGTAAGTTCTGTTGCCATAAGTCCTGTAATGTTAGCTGGAGTGCTGGGGTTTCTCCTTGCCCAACTGGTGCCACAGCTCCCTCCATTTTGGCTTCTCCTTCTTTACTTATAGTGAAGAGGCGCAGAGCAGAAGGTATTCTGTCAGGACTGGTCGTTGTCCTCTTCAGATCACCACACAAACGCTTCTTGCTCTTTTATAAAACTTTTTATTGTGTATTAACAAAACAATCTTATAAACGGTTCTTAACTATTATTCCTCAGAGTCACTTCTTTCAGATACCTTCTGAGCTCTGCTTCTCCGTGACCAGCCACCCTCAAAATGGCGAAGGCGCCCTTCCCTTCGCTTTCCCGCTCTTTTTTCTAACCTCCTGGCTAGAGCTGGCCTGCATCTCCCCTCCTCCCAATCTGAGCTAGAACTGAACCCTTGCCTTCCCTGTGAACAGCCGGTCCCTCCCTGTTGTTCCTCTTGCTCTCTTCTGTTAGATGCACTGCTCTGCTTCCCCCCTTGGCGAATGCTTTCTCCCTCTGAGAAACTGGAAACTTCTAACTCTTCCCTGACACTGGTGTTCCCTGTTCCCTACAGCAGCAGTCATCAATGCTACTGGAGATCATAGAGCACTCAGGACCTTGAAGTCAGCTAATGCCAATGGTTGATTGCTAGATAGCTGAAAATTAAAATTTAAATCCAGCAGCTCTGTAATTCGTACAGAGCATCTGGAGATTATCTGTTACATAATAAAACACAATGCTGAGTGCATGTGAGCAGACTAGGCTTACCAGCTGCTAGCAAGCTCTTACAGGGAAAATGAAACCGCCATAAATAAAGGCTCGAAGTCAGTTTGGACCAACATCAGATTCATTGAAAGGATGGTAGTCTCAGCACCGCCAGCTCAGTGCTTCTCTCTCTGATTCCCTCTGTTTAAGGTACTGTAGCAGCTCAGGGGAGAGGGATTTCTTTGTCTGGGCACACTCCATCCGTCATCTGCTGCTAAATGTGTAGGGATGTCAAATTAGGGTTGTCTGCCTTTCATCGTTGCTGCCAATTAATGTTTGATTAATATCTCTCCTTTGATGGGGCTCTTAATTCACATTAGAAGTTTTATGGTGAAACTTCTTTGCAAGATGGTTTATCTAATTATAAGCTAGCTGGTTTGCCAGGTTGGTGGAACTTGTAGCTTATTAAGCTTAATACATTTTACTTTTGGAAGGTGCCAGAAAGGATTTGACTGCCAATACTGTACTGAACCTGTTTTAAAGCAGACTCTGAGGTGTGTCACAACTTTAAAAAATGGAAAAGTAATTGAAATACCAATGCACTTTGGGGTGTACAACCCTCTTGTTTTCTGACAAGTGTAGCTATATTAAAATGATTCCAAACAGGCATTACTTACCTTAGATTCAGAAAGGTTCTCTCTGCAAGTCAGATTAAAACTATAATTCTAAGGCAGTAATGCTTATGTGAGTTTTATCCTGTTCCCCTAGCAATGTGTTGGGACTTTGATTGCTTCACTGGATTAATATATTTCCCCATTTGCCTTTATAGTCCTCTCCTTTGAATCATATTTAAAGCATTCAGCAACCCTAGATTTTGTTCTCCCTTACTTTTGATGGCCTGAAACCTGAAGCAGCCCCGTTCTGTACTGTTTAGTATTTACTGTTGGTTGTGCCTTAGGCAGTATTCAATATCAAAGAGACTGTTGTATGCCCAGATTGGCCATACAAGGCATTGGAAACGCATGACACAGTCTCCTGAACCTTTCAGGTTTTTAAAAAAGAAGTCACAGGGTGCCTAACTGGCTGAAGATTGTTACACTGTGGGACGCAGAATGCAGGGTTAACCTCTTTTCTTATACTAGTTCCCTAAACTAACACACACACACAGACACCCTAGACTGCTATTTTCACCATTTTGAAAAACAAGTTGCTTTCTGTAATGTGGTAAATAACAACTTGCAGTTTTGTTTTTTTAAAATAATAAAAAATGCCTCGCCTATTGCTACAGTCCCAGTCCAATTCATGTAATCCTCCAGCTGCTTTTAAAAGAAAGCAAAATAGATGAGAGCCCCTCCTCTGGTAGAGAGCAAGCCAGTCTTCTGTAGAGACCTGGTGGTCCTTTAGTGACAACATGAAAACAGCCCCCCTCCCCCCGCAAGGCCCTCCCTCAGGTAATTCATGGCATGGAAAGAATAATGGCCTTTAGACGCCTCTTTAAAGCTTAAACGCTTACCAGTCTTTCCTGGATTCTCCCTTTTTAATTTTATTTTGTTTTGTACACAGATCAGTTTTATTTGTGCAACAATGTTGTGTTGTGTACTTTACCTTGTTTTTATCTAAAGAAAATGATACTGTGTTTTGTATTTTTATTTTTCTGTAAACTACTTAGCAATTTTTACTATATTAAGCAGTATTAAAAATGGATAAATAAATGAAATGAAATGCCTCAGCCCCCTTGGTCCTTTCAGTCCCCCAGAATAGGAAGCCAAGTCTCCTCCTTGTTTTCTTTTCTCTTCCAAGTTGGATGCCCTTAAAGGAAGTGCCGTAAAGAGCAAGGAAGAGCTGAGCAAGTCTCAGGAGCTCCTCAAAACCGAGAACAAGAAAATGGAAGAGATGAGAAAAGAACTGTAAGTGTTTAACTCTCTTACTCTTTATGTGAGACTCCGTTTATTATTCGTGAAAACAAAATGTTTGTTCATGGTGTGTGAGGGATGTTTTCAGTTGTTTAAAAAAATAGTGGAGAAATTGTGTAGCGAGAACCATTCTTCCTTCTGAAACTTATGAGGATAACAAAGAATGACTAATATCTTTATTTAAAGGCACAAACTTTTTTGTTTTTAATGAGGGTCCACTTCATCAGATGCATGGTAACAGTTCCTGCGTCAGGAGAGAGCAGTCCACAAAAACCAATGTTGAGTCTTTAAAGTGCCACAAGACTCTTTTAAAAAAAGATACAGTGGTACATACACTTCAGGTTACATTCGCTTCAGGTTACAGACTCCGCTAACCCAGAAATAGTACCTTGGGTTAAGAACTTTGCTTCAGGATGAGAACAGAAATTGTGCTCCGGCGGCAGCAGGAGGCCCCATTAGCTAAAGTGCTGCTTCAGGTTAAGAACAGTTTCAGGTTAAGAACGGACCTCTGGAACGAGTTAAGTACTTAACACGAGGTACCACTGTAGTGGTAAAAATTATGCAGTTATGGGTCACTGAAAGTTACTGGGCGATACCGATTGTTAATACAAATCATGTTATGTCGACTGCTGTGTTTGTGTTTACTGATTTGAAAGTATGCGTAGTTTGGCCACCTGGGGGCATGAGCACTTTTCAGATAGGGGCTTTTCCTCTCTCCCCACATTGTGCACACACAAAGTTGATCTCTTTCTTTTTTTCATTGCTCTGCTTGTTACTAATCCTGATAACAGCATTACTGGTATTGCCTTAGACTTAGAGGAACAACCCCAAGCACAGATACCAGAGAATGTGGAATGCTTAATGCTAAGTGAGAAGGGATTTTGTTTGCAAAAAAGCCTTTATTTTTAATTTCCAGCAGGGTGGTGATGATTTGTTTCATTTTGTGTGGGATTTCCCGCCCCGCCCCCCCATATTTTGCATGAGCAGAAACAAACATGTTGGTTTTTCACGACTAGCTGTGGGAGAGATGCAGGTTCAGCCAAGTTTTGCAGTCTCTGTGGGCAGAGAGGGAGGCAGGCTCTGTCATGCAAAGCACTGTATGCTTCAAATTCAACTCACAGTGGTCCCTCGTTTCTCTTTAAAACCAAGCCAACCTCATATTTGCATATTTGAGAAGCTATTTGATGGTGGGGAGCTCTTGATTTCCAAACCAATTTATTTGCTCTCAGGAGACATCAAGAGGAGATAATTATTTCCAGGGTTGCGTATGGTTCAAAAAGAGCCAGGAATGAATGCTGCTCTGGGTTTTAGAACAGAACAAGTGTGATTGAATCAGTCAGGGTTCAAAACTATATAGAAAAATGTTATTTAGATTTTATTGCAAGATGCTGAAGGTGGGAGATTACTATTGAGTTGGTTGATGCCTGTCCTAGAGTTATCCTTTATCTATGTGGTCAGATTTTTGGTAGAAGTGGAAAGAAACCCAGGCCACAGAATTCTCAGGAATGTACTTAGAGTGTGCTCCAGATTCTTCTTTTGCAGCAACCATCGATAGAACTTTCCCATGCTGAATGACATATTTCAGACCCATGGATTGGTGGTTCTCCACTACCCTGTTAAAGCATCTCTAGCTGCTCTACACAGAACTCTTTTGACGTGTTAATACATGCAAGAAATATGCCTTTACAATTGCATGTTTCACACAGCTACAAGTGCCAAGGAACTGAAACTGGCCTTGGCTCCCCACCCAGTGGTAAACATCCTTGCTACCACATAACGTTTGGAGTGACTCTCCAGGTTTTTTTGGGGGGGGGAGGGGACACCTGTATCTGAATGCTGGTCTAGCCAAGCCAGTCTTGGCCATACTGGGCTGGATGCACAACTGGTCTGGCTCAATAGAAGGCATGGGTTTCTCAAAATCAAGTCATACCAGACAAATTTCATTCCTTTTTTTGATAGAGTTGCAAACTTGGTGGATCAGGGAAATGCTGTGGATGTAGTGTATCTTGATTTCAGTAAGGCTTTTGACAAAGTCCCTCATGATATTCTTGCAGAGAAGTTGGCAAAATGTGCACTGAAGGAAGTAGCTATTAGGTACAATTGTAGTGGGTTGATTGACAGAACCCAAAGCATGCTCACTAATGGTTCCTCATCATTCTGGAAAAAAGGGACAGGTGGGGTACTGCAGAATTCTATCCTGGGCCCATTGTTGTTCCATGACTTAGATGAAGAAATTGAGAGGGTGTTCATCAAATTTGCAGATGACACCAAACTACGAGGTACAGCTAATGCCACAGAAGACAGAATCAGGATTCAAGATGACCTTAAAAGGTTGGAGAACTGGACCCAAACTAACAGAATGTATTTCAATAGAGACAAATGTCTTCCTGCACTTGGGCAGGAATAACCACAAATATAAGATGGGGTACACCTAGCTTACTAGCAGTACATGTGAAAAGGATCTAGGGGTCTTAGTAGACCACAAGCTTCACATGTGTCAACAGTGTGATGCAACAGCAAAAGGGCTTAACAGAAGTCTCGTGTCCTGATCAAGAGAAGTAATCGTCCCATTTTATCAGACCGCACCTGGAGTCCTGTGTCTAGTTCTGAGCACCGCAGTTTAAGAAGGATATTGAGAAACTGGAACATGGAGGGCAACCAAGATGGTGAAAGGTCTGAAAACCAAGCCTTAGGAGGAGCAGTTGAAGAGGCTGGAAAAGAGGAGACTGAGAGGAGATCTGATGGACGTCTTCAAATATCTAAAGGACTGTTACATGGAAGATGGAGGAAACTTGTTTTCTCCTGCTCTGGAGGGCAGGACCAAACCAATGGATTCAAGTTACAAGAAAGAAGATTCTGACTCAACAGTTGGAAGAACTATTTGACAATAAGAGTTGTTTGACAGTGGAATGGATTCTTCCACCTTCTGAGGATTTTAAATCAGAGGTTGGATGCTCATCTTTCATGGATGCTTTGGTTGAAATTCGTGCATTGCAGAGGATTGGACTAGATGACCCTTAGGGTCCCTTCCAACTCTACAATTCTATTATTCTTTCTCCAAAAATGTCTATTAGTGGGCCTCATTCTTACTCTCCAGCAATCCAAGCATCACTCAAGACCACTTACAGAACAAGTGCATGGTTGCTTTTTGAGGTGACAAACCAAAACAGCTAGAAAACTCTTAGATGTTGGAACTCCTAATGCAGATGATCTCAGGGCTCTTCAGTGTTGCTGACACTGATCGTTCACCATAAAACATTTTGAATTTGAGCTGGGTGGCTGAGTCTTTTGGTTATGACCCCTCTGTGGATGGAAATTAACCCATGAGCACACTAGATGGTGTGCTGCTTGCACTGTGCTGATTCTTGATGCTTCCTGCACTGCTTCTCTCTAGTTCAGTGGTTCCCAATTAGCTAATTACTGAGGACTCCCTATTTATCAAAAGCCAAGCCACAGACCCCCTGCTTTAGAAAATTTTGGTAACTGTGGTAGTTACCTCTGCAAAGCAATTTTTTGAACAAAATATGAGGTGGCCCCTAATAAGCAAAGGATTTTAGGCACATAGTAAAAAACAAACAAACAAAACCCAGGGCTGAGTGATATCTGGTTTTCAACATCGGAATATATCCGCAACTAAACATCATGATATTCCAATATATCACAATGTCTGAAATCAGGCGTGGGGATGAGGGAGGGAGCAGCCATAGAGATCGGATGGGTGGGGAGAGGAAGCAGAGGCACCTTCATCACGTGGTTTGAGTCGGAGGGCATAGGGATGGAGCCTTCATTGGCGGGGCAGCCAGTGAAGTTGCATGTCCTCTGTGGCTGCTGCTGCTTTCCTGCTGACTGAGAAAAGCTGCTCTACCTCAGTGCTAGGGGAAGGTAGTGCCACTATGCCTTGACGTGAGGGCGATCAGCTGTCCTGTTCTCCGTTAGCATAAGGGGAAGATAGTGCCTCGCAATCGGTTGCCCTGGTCTCCCTCAGCATGAGGGAAGGCAGCTCAGATCAGCAGCGTTATCGGCTGAGATCATCATGCGATATCGGCGGTGCCTTGGAATTGGCTGCCCTACACTCATATTGCTGTGTCATTTTGCCGAGTCAAAATCGTTAACGCGGTGTGATTTCAAAACCAATTTTGGCCGATATATTGAAAAATTGCACAGTGCTAAAACAGACCATAAAAATCATGATATTACCATGCAAAAATGACAAAAATGTAGTTCAGGGGGATGCAAGAGATGGAGCTGTGAACCCCCTGGGTGCGTTCCGTGGTCCTCCAGGGGGCCCTGGACCCCTAATTGGGAACCACTGCTCTAGTTGTTTGCCACTTGGGAATAATTAGCAAGCAAGCAATGTAGTAGTGCAAGCCACAAATGTTCTCATATACATGCAGAAGGCAATTTGTGGGCTTTTGCTTCTTACCCTCCAAGGTACCTGGTTGATCTTGTAACACAACTGACTTAGTTTATTTTATTTTCATCTCCCTCTTTCTTCTGGATGGCTGTGGAATGTTTGCCATTCACAAGCAGCAGAGAAGCAAAGAGCTGGGAGAGGAGGGGGAGAGTTAGGAGTGGGGAGTAGAAAGCACTGAAAACCCACCAAAATCAGCCCTAAAATAAGTCTTGACAATAACATAGCTGCCACTTTGTGAGTTGTCTTTATATATAATATACCATATTTTTTGCTCTAAAGGTCGCACCAGACGATAAGACGCACCTAGTTTGGGGGGGAGGAAACAAGAAAAAAAAATTCTCTAGCTGTTCTGGCTTCTGGGATAGCCGCTGAAGCCTCTCCCGGGCAGCGGGATGAAGGCTCCCCCTGCCCGGAAGAGGCTGCCCGCGGGTAAGCTGCCCTCTGTACCTTCCCTCATCTCCCACAAGAACCGCACGCTCTTTAAAGGGAGTGCGGTTCTTGGGGGCTTTTCTGGGAGGTGGGGGAAGAGTCCTCTTGCGGGAAGTGGGGGGAAGGGACAGAGTCGCGCGACTCTGTCCCTTCCCCCCACTTCCCGCAAGAGGAAGGCAAAGCCTTCGCAGGACAGCAGGGAGCCTTCATCCCCGTGCCCTGCGGAGGCTTCGCGGGCTGTCCCAGAAGCCAGAACAGCGAGACGGAGCACTGCGCAGCGCTCCCTCTCTCTGTTCTGGCTTCTGGCTTAGCCGCGCAGCCTGCATTCGCTCCATAAGACGCACACACATTTTCCCTTACTTTTTAGGAGGGAAAATGTGCGTCTTATAGAGCGAAAAATACGGTAAACCTTATTGCATATTTCACCCTGCACCTATTGCAAGATTGTTGAGCGGGGTTTTAATTAGAAACAAATTGCTGCAACATCTGGGGACTGGTTGTGTGTGTTGTTGTTGGGGGGGGGGGTTGTGGCAGTCTGCTGCCTGAACTCTTCTTCAGTCTCTCTCAGCTCACACCATTCATGAGAGAAGAATCTTAACACGGTTATACTTGACCCAGCCCACTTACAGCTATGATAAATGTGTGTATTTGCTTTTTAAAAAAATGTTTCAAATGGCATGGAAAGTAATTCATTTAAAAAGAAGTGATTCCACACCTAGCATCCACTGCCTTCCTTTCGAAGATCGATGCTGGACAGAGGAGGGCATTTGGGATGTGGGTTGTCACCTTATTAAATATCTCATCAAGCATGAGATTTTCTCTCCCTTCCTTTTTTTTGCAAGCTGCAAAACTGATTTCTCTCCCACTGTTCCCCTCCCTTGCCCTTCTTGTTCCTATGGTAACCATGCGCTCTCTGTCTTCACAGAGAAGTACTAAAGCTGGTAGAGGCTGAGAAGTCCCAGCAGCTTGCCGTCTTGCAAGAAGAGAACATTAAACTTGCTGAGGAGCTTGGCAAAGGGGAAGTCACCAGTCACCAGAAGGTATGTCCTTTCACGTTGACTTTCCAGGGGTGGAGTTTGCTATAAGCGAGTTTTTAAGAGCTAGCCATGCTCTTCCATTTGTGTGTGTGTGTGTGTGAGAGAGAGAGAGAGAGAGAGAGAGAGAGAGAGAGAGAGAGATTTCGGCACATGCTGATGATTGAGGGAAATTGTCTTTCAGGGTATAAATGCCAGGAAAGCAGCAGCAGCAGCAACAAGGCAACGAGAACTTAAAATGAATTCAGTGTTTATTGTGGGGTGATCTCTTGTGGGCGGCTGAAGCTAGCAAAAGTCCACCCTGACAGGAAAGCCAGTCTATCTCCAAGGTGCTACGCTTGTGGCTCTTCCATTGGGTTTTAAAGTATTTGAGCATAATATCTTCAAAGATATCCAAGAAAGGGGAAAAATTGCATAATACCCAACAAATCCTTTGCAGGAGAGAGGAGGTTTGATGGAAAGAAGTGTTGATTGTTAGCAGGGGTCTATATCTATTGGCTTTAGAGATTGGTCAACCTTTCTGTCAGTGGCTTTCCTTACATTAATATCTCTATAATGGGGTTTTTGTCACAGTGACCTTCTGAAGCTGCTTGCTGAACCCGCCCCCCACTCCCAAACCAACAACACACCGCAGCACTAATTTGTAAAAGGGATGTTTGAGCAAGTGAGCAAAACTGTTTTTAAGTATTGAAAGCTGTGTTTGATGATTCTGAACTGGAATATGTGCAAATGAGATTCATTGTGCTTGCTGTGAGATTTGCTTGGGATAGATGTGTGGTCATTTAGTAGCTGTTTAAAATCTATTTCATAGCATTTATTAACATATACTTATAGTATGGGCCTTTCATGCACAATCTCTGTTGAAATGAATGGGAGTTGGCCAGGATCACACACTTGGTGCTGACTCAAGGGATCTGTGTTCTGCTTCAGCCTTTGCACATCACACACAAGCAACTTTCAGCAAACTTCTAAGTCAGGGATCTAAGAAAAACTCTGCAATGGCCCCAACACCTTAGAGAGCATATTATGTTCACACAATCAGTCATCATCTTTTCATCCTTCTCCTCATTGGGTAGTAAGTGTATTCATTGCAAAGGTAACAAGACGATCCAAAACCTGTAGTCACAACCAAGTATCTGGGTACATCTACTTAATATCTTTCTAATTTTGCCGCATGCATCATGTTTTGAAGTAATTTGCAATCGTATTTTGATTTGGGTTAGAGTTTTTGTGCGAGAGGAATGAGTAGGAGACAAGCATGGATTCTTCTACAAGCTTTTATTTGCAAATATGAGGACTAGGAACTTGGTTATTCAAAAGAGAAGCAGATGTCCTCAGCAACCTAGGGATATGCAGAATGCCCAAGCTTTGTCATTAGTATCGCTTTGGGCTTGAAAACTATATCAGCAGTAGTTGGGAAGCTGAGAAGAAACTGGGACACTGAGGAGGCAGAGAGCCCAGGCATTACATTTCAGCCTCTTACAGCAATTCTTGTCCTTTTGTCTCTTGGGGAAACCTGCAGGGGTCCCTGGACTAATTAATGTGAACTAAAATAGTATGTAGACCTTATTGCAAGCACAGGCTCCGATGCTGGACCAACAAAGCACTCTGGGTATGGCTTGCAGACATACATTTTTTAAAAAATTGAATTTTAAATTTGATTTGTAAGCAACTTTAAATTGTTGGATAAAGAGGGGGCACTAATAATGGGTGTCTGCTCAAGGCATGGTAGTCATGGAGCTAAATACGTGATAAAGCCTAGTGTAGCTAATTAGCCCAGATCAGCCACTTCTGCAAGGCATCCCAATGCTCCCTTTCAATACAGGAGCACCCCCAGCCCAGCAGAAGCGAGTAGCTTACCAAGTTGGTGGGTAAGGATTGCTGAAGTGGAGGCAGCCTAAATTTACCTCTCTAACTTCTTAAAATTCAAAATCACACCAGGAAGCCCAATTTGCCAGTCCCTTCTCCTGCACAGGCCCTCTTCCAACAAAAAGAAGTTGCTCACCTCTCTGCATTTCCGTTGCCCCCATTACATAAGGCTTCGGAAGGGGCTTCCAGGTGGGTGGGTGGGTGGGTGATTGGGTGTAAATTGGTTAAGAGAAAGAGCTTAACCCAAAGTTAAATCTGGTCCAAGGACTTTCTGCCTCTTCTTCACCTTCCCTTGCTGCATATGACAGTTGTTGGCACAGAAGTCCTAGAGAAAAGAAATCTGGTAACTGGAATTGGAGTGTTAGCCTAGGAAGAATATCCACCTACCAAGTTGGGGTGCCAAGGAATGTGAATTGGCTAGCCCTAAAACATAAGTGAAACATGTTGATTTGCTAAGGTTTTTTCAACAGTGTTGTGAGCAACCCAGGATGTTCCTTCGAACCTTAACAAAAAGATCAGTAATGGCAGCCAAGTCCATTGGTTTATCATTACCACTATAACTCAGCAAGATGTTCTAGGGCGCACTGTTAGCTCACACAGAGCAGTGATGAAACCTGACCAGCACCCATGTAAACTGAGTGTGTGTACGGTTGTCAGGCCCCTTGGGCCTGAAGTCTCCAGGTACACCCACCGCCCCCAGCTGGCAGGCTTGAATCTCCATGTGGGGCTGCCCTACCCAGGCTGCCTAAGCAGGTAAGAAGGAATGATCCCCTTAATTCAGCTGGACCTGGGAATACAGTGGTACCTCGGGTTACATACGCTTCAGGTTACAGACTCCGCTAACCCAGAAATAGTACCTCGGGTTAAGAACTTTGCTTCAGGATGAGAACAGAAATCATGCTCCAGTGGCATGGTGGCAGCAGGAGGCCCCATTAGCTAAAGTGGTGCTTCAGGTTAAGAACAGTTTCAGGTTAAGAACGGACCTCCAGAATGAATTAAGTACTTAACCCGAGGTACCACTGTACCCCCTTTCACTAAGATTTCTGACTTAAATTCCAATGAGTGACCTATTTGCTCATTTGTTGGACCTTGTGTTTTTTGTTTGAAAATAACGACTGTGCTTAATGAGATCACTGAGGCCTGATCCATGACATCTCCAGGAGCCGCCCCCAGGCCTCAGGTTTGGCCCTGAAATCTCAGGAAGTGGGAGGCTCCTGACCTGGCAGCCATGCGTGTGTGCTCTAAAAGAACTCTCTGGTTCTATGGCGGAGAAGCCAGTGTGGAAAGGGTCCCTGAAGACCTCTGCTTTAGAATGTACGTCAGAGAAGGGCTTGCATAAAATTCAGATGGCCAGCCTTTCTTTGTCCAGTGGAAGTTAGAAAGCAGTAAATGAAAGCTGTCCAGAATGAGCTTATTTTTCGGAGTGAGATTTAATGTCTTTAAAACTAGCATGATGAGTCTTCCACTTACCTTGCAGGTATTTTTGATTGGTACTTCTAGGATAACAATATAAATTCTGGCCAGTATATGTTAGTGAATCTGTATATGCCTGAGGCATTTTGCAGATTTAATTGGTATTGTTTCATCAGTGTTTTATATTTACATCTGAAGTTTGTGTATTTGAGTAGAGGAAATATGGGTGTTCTCTTCATGACTGCTTAAGTAATTAGCTGCTTTGTAATTAATTAAAGGATATTCAATCATATATTAGACCCTTACCTTGGGGAAATTTTCTGACTTGCAGTATTTCAGATCTTCGTGTGGCAGCCCTTAATTTAAAATTAGGAAGTCTTATTACTTAAAAAAATTAATCCTCCATTCTACATATTTTTTGCTGAAAGAATTTCCCATAATCCATTTGGTCCTGCTGGGGGTAGCATATGCAATTTTTTTCTGTTGATGGGGGCAGGGAGAAGGGCTACTGCCAGAAATTCTCAGCAAGAAGCAAAGGTCTTTTCTTGGATATATTAAAAATAAATTGTAAAATAAGTATGTCATATTCAGAGCTTTTGTGGTGGTTATTTATATCACATAATATGTAGAGATGTGGTGTTCCTAAGTAGTAAGTACACGTAGTCTGGCTGCACCATTTGAGTGGGAGAGGGAGTTGATACTTTCTCATCAAACACTGTGTACAACAGACCTGTTCCTCCATGAATACTGACCCAGCTCTAGGGCATTATAAGGATTTTCAGACTGTGGTGAGGTTAAACTGGCAGATTATTATTATTATTATAGTTTGTAATTTATTAATATTCTTCCACACAAGTGCATCAGAGGCAATGTACAGTAGAAAGAGGAAAACAAATAAATGTTTTTTTAAATCAAAAGAATACAAAATAGACACCCATGGCAGAGAACCGTTCATCTAGCTGGGAAAACCCATTGGAACAATTGTCTTCAGAAGGTGCAGAGGGGGTGCCTGTCATCTCACAACATTCCTCAGTTCTGAGGAAGTCTGCTGTCCAGAGGAGATCTCTGAGGGCTCTCCGTGACAAGCTATTGCCAAAGATGCCCCTTGAAGTCAATTGGGGTGGGGGCATGGCAGTGGTGGGTGGAGCAACAAATGTGAATTTTACCTTTTTGCAGTAGGTTACATCTCTGCAGCTTGCAGGAAGGAGATTTCACGGGCTGCCCTTGTTTACCTCCGATTTAAGCCCTTGTATCCTCCATCCTTCAGAACAAAGGCACTTTCCCTTCCAAATTCTTCTCCTTCCACCTCTGGAGTTTCAGTTTTCTTGCCTCTACAGCAAGCCTTGAAATTGAGAGCAGTAGCATGTGCAGCCTGCCTGTGCGGGGGAGGCAGATGAGCTGTCCTCTGGAGCTGTCACTGAAAATAGCTATATTAGACTTCAAGCACATTCTCGGCACAATATGATGTCTGTTCTAGGCCAAACCTCCCATGGTTTGCACTTTCCTTCTCTCTCTTGTGGGGGGGGGGAGAGAGAGAGCATCAGCCTCTCTTGGGAACTGAGGGCCAAAGCTCAGAGCTGAGAGACATGGAGGGGAATGGCTATAGCTAGGGAGATCTGGGGGCCAGGGGATCTGGCTGGCTGCTGTTGTGGGATTAAAAGGGGCAGAGGAGGACTCTCCTGTCAGGATTCAACAAATCCCTCTGGTCAAAGAGAGCATGTGAAGAGAGGAGAAAGAGTTGGGGAAGAGGCAGCGTTGCCTCATGCGCCTGCTGAAAATAACAAATTTCTGTGAAAATGGCTTCAGTTGCAGAGGATCCCCCCTTTTTTCACCTCTGGAGAGAAGACAATCTGCAAATTAGGCAAAGTTGCAGGATGTTTGAATTAGAAGAAAGCACTGTTTGATTCTTAAATGGTAAATGAGACTGATTTTCTCTTTCAGCTGGACGAAGAGAGATCTGTCCTTAATAACCAGTTGCTAGAGATGAAAAAGAGGTAAGCTTTCTCACGGGGGGGGGGGGTGTTTGGGTGTGTGCACCTACAGACAATTGGGAAAAATAGGACTAAATAAACCCACAGTGAAGCTGTTTGATTCCATCTACCCTTCTTTAGTTGAAGTAACCCAGGACTGCACACTTCAGCTGTTGACAATGCATGTGGAATACTAAATACATGCAAAAAGTTTCATCCTTCTCATCACTAAAATTTGTGTGAAAAGGCTTGACCTTAAGAAGCATTTAACATTGCTTAATCTAGCATGTACCATACTCTGTTAGATGTTCCCTTCTATTCTACATTTCAGCACCTAGATAATTGTGCCATTTTTAGCACTAGAGTATTGAATCGCTTTAACAGATCTGGAAACTGCGCAAAGCCTCCCCGTGGATCAGCTTCAAAAGTCTTCATTAAGTGGTTTTGTCAAAATATTGCTAAACTCTACACCCACTTCAGGCAAATAACTCTTAACAGTTTGACTTTAAACCTCCCCACCCCAATGGCACATTAGTCCATTGTCTCTTTAGACAGACAGAGGCCAACAACTTATAAAGCTGGAAGTGAAACATCTTAACATTGACATTTTAACACCTTCAGGGGATAACTAATTTAGAAAAAAAGCATCCTAGCAAACATAAATATTCTGGATAGAAAATATACTGGATAGAAACATGAATGAGTTTTATTTCTGAAGTATGCTTACAGGGTGCCTTGTAGTTTATGTAACTTTGTAGTGATTGAGACAGTTAAATTAACCAGGGACTTTCCAAACAGTTCATTTTCAAGACTCAGGAATTAGCAGTAGGTTTTCTGCCTAACCTCTTAGGTTTTGTGATGCAAAAACAAGAGATCTTTGGTCAGTTGATATAGAGAGACCTCATGGAGTGAGCAGTCTTGCCCATCACCCTTTCACCCACAATAATTCTTCTTCTGCTGCCCCCAAAATTGTCTTTGTGAAAGTAGGTATTAGAACAGCCTTTTCCAAGCTGGTGCCCTCTGGATATTTTGGACTACAACTTCCATCTGCCCCAGCCAGCGCAGCCAAGGGTCAGCAACAGGGAACAGAGCAGCCCTCAGGGTACTGGGAGGGTGAGAGGTGAGGTGGCAGCGAGGTTGGTACCATCGGAGCCCCTGGGGCGCTCCCCCCCTGGCTTTGCCCCTTTCCCCCTCTCCCTGGGTAAGCCAAAGTGACGCACGTGGTGGGAGGTCAGCTAAGTGCCACTGATTCCTATTGGTTGTAGTTCAAAACCTCTGGAGGGCACGAGGTTGATGAAGGCGGAGTTAGAGAATTTTGGGACTCTCTAGCTAAAAGGGGTCTCAGTGTTGCTTCAGCTCATTAGATCCATTGTGGATTTGCTAACTGTCTGACTTGTCTCTGAGCCTGCGCTATTTTCTCAATACTCATTTCACTCCTCTCTCTCCCCTTTCCTACCCTTGCTTCCTTTGCTATATCTGTGTGTCTTTAATGGTAAGACTAAAGAAAGTCTATCCACGTTACAATAAATAACTTTTTTTTCCTCGCCAATAAAAATTGTTGTACATATTTTTCGGCTGCCTTTTTGTTTCCTTAGTGTCTTGCTTTTTTGTTTCGTTTTTTGTTTCGTAAAATACTCAGCAGTATTAAATCTTTTTTTTTTTTTTACAACAACAACAGAATCCACTTCAGTGCAAATTTAGTTCTTCCTTTACTGTATTTTGCATTTCTCTTCCATGTTTCTAACATGTGGTTCTTGTTATCTTGCATTTTTAAAGCTTGCCCAGTATCACTTTAAGGTACTTGCTTCATTATTTGAATTTCTTGGTTTCTTCTGTGGCAAGCGAAGAATCTGGGTGTGCTTCTAGCTGGGAGTTTTTGGAGTCACCCATGTGATCTATTTAGTAGCTGCTTCTGGGCACAAACCACTAAGAATGTCTCCTGCACAAATCTACTTCACTCAGTGGAGCAAATCCCATTCATTTCAGTGGAACTTGCTCAGGAGATGCTTCTGGTGGGGGGAGCCCCTTGCAACCTTAAATGTCACTTTAAAAAATTGGTACAAAACATGGGAATTACTGTACAAAATGGTCATGAGCCCTGCCCTAAGAAACCAATTGGAAACTGTTGTTAAATGGGTCTTTTGAGCCATGAAATTATACTTTTCAAGTTGATAATAACTGTGCTCCCATCCTACAAGAAAACGGATGAGGTTTCTCAGCATGACTGAGCTTTCAAATTGCTGGGTGTGGGGGTGGGGGTGTATACATACATACATACATACACATACACACACACACACAACTACATAGAAATATATATAGTTTGTCATTCAAAGCACATCTTCCAATTTAACCATAGAATGGCCACATTTTTTTAACCCAAGGATAAATATTGGCAGAGGTTTTTCAAGCATTTTGGTGCCAAGGCAGAATTTCCAAAAGACTATTTTCCCTTATGTTAGTAAAAACATAATAAAATGATTATTTGCTGTGCCTTACCTTACTGCGGCCAGGGGTGGACTGTCTCATTTTGCCTGATGCTAAGATGGGACGCGGGTGGCGCTGTGGGTTAAACCACTGAGCTTGCCGATCAGAAGGTCAGCGATTCGAATCCCCGCGATGGGGTGATCTCCCGTTGCTCGGTCCCTGCTCCTGCCAACCTAGCAGTTCGAAAGCACGTCAAAGTGCAAGTAGATAAATAGGTACCACTCCGGCGGGAAGGTAAACAGCGTTTCCGTGCGCTGCTCTGGTTCGCCAGAAGCGGCTTAGTCATGCTGGCCACATGACCCGGAAGATGTACGCCGGCTCCCTCGGCCAATAAAGCGAGATGAGCACCGCAACCCCAGAGTCGGTCACGACTGGACCTAATGGTCAGGGGTCCCTTTACCTTTACCTTTAAGAGCCCAATGGTTCTGGGCCTCTGTTATGTATCACGGGGGTTCTGTGCTGGCAGATCCAGTTGAAGTGTTTGGAGGTGTATGCAAGAGGCATTTTTCAAAGTCAAGGTGGAAGGGAACAAATGTGAGAGGTGTCTGAGAAGAAAGGGCATTTGAAATGTGTATATATTAGGCCTGTCACCTGATTTGAAATAGTTTACCTAATTAATTATATGGGTTCTAGTTAATTGCTTAAATTTTCATATGTGTAAAGAAATGCTCTGATGCAGAAAGCATGCTTTTTAGATGATGTGTGCATGCATTGTAGCTGTACATCATCTTAGAAAAGGCATATATTCGCCCTTGTCTCTCACATTAGAGAGAGACCCTCAGTTAGGATGGTACTTGCCACTTCCATAAGTAGTTGTATTATAAATAATAATATAAATTTGTGTGTGTGTGTGTGTGTGTGTGTGTGTGCGCGCACCTTTTTAGTCTGTCCACAGTTTTTAACTGACTAAGCACTGCAGCCCAAGTAACTACTGGCCATGCGCTTTCCCACTTGCAGAAGGGCTTGTGAAATGTGGAAGTGTGGAATGTCACTGGCCAGAAGAACAGTTCGCATGATAAGCTGTGAACACCTCCAAAATTAGGTGCATTTCTCACACACACCCGAAACACAATGTTTTCTGTCTAGTGCAAAGACTGGCATCTTAATAATCCTGGCTCTTCTTTTCTGCTTTTCAATCAAGTTCCTAGTCCCCATGGTTGTCAGGAGAAGCTTATACTCTTCTCTGTGCCCTCCTGCCATTTCCTTTCTTCTCAAATTGTGTAAGCCAGTGCAAAAATGATGCAAAACTAGCCCAATATTGTGAATACAACTTGCTTTTTGTGTGTGCAGAGTTTACCTATATGGACACACTTTTACTTACACTCAAGCACATACCCTGAATGCACACAGTTCAGTGTTATACCCAGCGATGCACAGACGGCCCCAGTAATTATGCAAGGCATGCTGCTGTTAGTTTTAGCAGACCAGTGGTCAATGCTTGACATATAGGAGCTGTCACTCATGTGCTCAACAAGCACTCTGCAGAATCAAAGGAAGACTTAAATGCCATGGAGCTTTTCTGGAACAAAAGACAGCCTTTCTGATATTTAGAAGAGACACTCTGGGCAGCTGTTTGGGGGCTGTGGCCTGATTCTGTTCAATTCCTTCTCTGTCTTAAAAAACAACAACCCTGACCCAGCTGTGGTGTGTGCCTTCATGTCTGTACATCCCAGATTCTCCAGTTGCTGCTTCCATGACTAAGACTAAACATCTGCATAACTTCAGATAGAATTCTGTGATGTATTATCACTGTTGGTTGTTTGTTTGTTTGTTTTTGCCATATTTCTTGGGCTCCTGCAAGGACTGTGCTGTATTTCACCCGCTGGTTATCATGGTTCTCACTAACTGTAGATACCATGGACACTTAACAACCTTTGGTTTAGGGCTATTGATTATCCCTTTCTTCAGTTTGCATTTTGCTCCATCTGGATGTGCATGAGATACTCTCTTGCTCTCTCTTTCTCTGGCTACCTCTGCTCGATTTTAGTTTCCTCCAATAGCAATTGTTGGCTGTCTTTAAAAACAAGAACAAAAAACAGTCCTACTCTCCCAGTAAAGGGATTGAACCAATTTGTAGTGTCTCCCATTCAGGCCCTATTTAAATAAGTAGGAATTGAACAGTAGCATCCCGTTATTTTCAGTGTGCCTTTTAGAGGACTTGTTTTCTGTGACTGTGTCCAGAAAAGTAACAGGGCCCTGCCTCAAGGGTTGATATTGTTGGTCATCTGCTGAGGGCCCAGTATGAACCCATTGACACGAGCCCCCTTGGCTCTTCACCATTGCAGCCTTCTTGGCAGTTCACCTGCCTCTTCCTCTGGCCCCCTCAGCCGTGGGGATGAGAGGCGGCAGGAGCAGAGGCCGCTGCCTGTCAGCCGATTAGGCCTCTTCCGGGCAGGCAAGCAGGTGGCAGAAAGGAAGCAGGAGGAAGAGCAGCAGCCAGGAGCAGCCCAAGCCATTTTGCTGCCTGAGGCAAAGGGCAAGGTGGTGCACAAAACCTGACTAGACTGGTAGCTGGCTCTTTCTTCAGCATTCATGGTGGAACCGCAGAGCAGCAAGCTAGCTTAGGGGCCGCTGGGCAGACCACATGGCACACATTTAAAGCCACCCCCCAAGCAAATGCCTCACTCTGCCTCCTGGAAGGGCCAGTCCTGGCAGCAGCAGTTGCTCGCTGTGGTGGTGAGAAGGTCAATGAAGGAGCCCTGCGGAGTCAGCTTGAATTGTCGGGGGAAAGACAGAAGGGGCCCTTAATGAACTTCACAAAGTGTCTCTTCCTCTCTTCTTAGCCAAGTCATGGTCCTGGCCTGTGGCCTTCTGAAGACAGTAGTCAAGGGGACTGTCAGAATTGCTACGAAGGGCAGGGCCCACTGTGATTCACGCGTTGAGTCAGTGATGCAGAAATATTGGAAGGCCAAGGCATTTAAATTCTTGTGTTTCAAGTGACTTAACAAATCTGAAGGCAACTTTGTTTTCTCCACCACTTCCCTGTTTAATGGCAGCTCCCTTAGTAAATTTAGGCTACGTCAAGTGCTTGTGCCTGGATTTTCAGACTGCCTTCTTCATCTTTAAAAGTTTCTTGTCAAAACTAGTGGATGTCAAATGCTTAAGAAGAAAGTCTTAAAAGCCTCAGCTGCCAAGCCTTTCCTGAATGCTGAGAGAGGTATACATTACCACCACCAACATCCAAATGCTACAAAACCAATTTTAAGATGCAGGCAAATGTAAATAGCTTCCAGCCGCACAGCTGGGCAAGAGTGTTCTGAAGGCCCCTCAGCCAACTCCTTGGTGGTTTTTTTTCCCATAGCCATCTATCATGCTATTTGCTTAGGAAGCCGCTTGTTGTGATGCAAGCAAAAAATAGAGGTGTTTAGTGTTTTTATATGCTGAATAATAATAGTTTACAACCCTTTGAACTGTACATTTGTGTTTTAGTTTGTTACAGACCAACCAACCCTCTGTTAATACGCTCCCAGTTACTCTGGGTCAAAAAGTGCATTCTCTGGAAATTTGGATGTTAACAGAAATTAGTGAGGACCAACTGATAAGTCCAGCTTCACCCCTGCTTTGCATGACAGCTGTGTACCTGAGCTTTGCATGCACTTTTCGTTGCTTGTTAATAATGGTTCCAAGAAGTAACAAAAGTCTGAAATTAGGCTCACTCTATGCAACCTTTCCCCTCCTTTTCAGTTTTCTATCTCCCAATCCTATTAACATTTTTCTTTAAATTCAAATGGATACAATGATATGCAGATTCTGGCATGAATCTACATAGGTAAAACTTTTCACTTTATTTCTACTGCTGTAAAATCCCAAATAATTTTGCCAAGTATTAAATCTCAGTAAGCAAAGCTAGAACTGAAACTTCTGATAAGAACCTTTTCTACTTCTATAATAGTTTTAAAAAATCAACCTCTTCCCCCCGCCCAACTTGGCCTTTTAAGCAATACTAGTGGAGCAAGTCTTCACCTAACTCATGAAACCGTTTGACTCTCTCTTTTAGAGAATCTGACTTAAAAAAAGAAATTGATGAAGAAAGAACATCCTTGCAGAAATCCATCAGTATTACTAGTGCCTTGATCACAGAGAAAGATGAAGAACTGGAAAAGCTCAGAAATGAGGTACTATTTTTAGAAACACCGTCTGCTGACTTTTAGCTGGTTTGCAAAATATACCCTTCAGTTCGGGTGATGAGGTGGGCTGGTATGGGATAATACATATAAAAATACAATATAAAAAACCTTTCAAATACAGTGGTACCTTGGTTTACGAACTTAATCCATTCCGGAAGTCTGTTCTTAAACCAAAGTGTTCTTAAACCAAGGCATGCTTTCCCATAGAAATTAATGCAAAATGGATTAATCCGTTCTAGGCTTTTAAAAACAACCCCTAAATCAGCAATTTAACATTAATTTTACTATCTAACGAGACCATTTATCCATAAAATGAAAACAATAATCAATGTATAAAATAAATAAAACAATATTGTAGATGATAAAAATGAAAATTAAAAAAATTTCTTACCTGCACTGATGAGAGTCATTGTTTGGTTGGAGGGCTTTTATCCATTTCCGCAGTCAATCAATCAATCAATCAATCAGTAGCTGAACTGGGTTCCACACAGTTCCCACCCACCCCCCACGCTGCTGTGGGAAATGCTCCCTAGAGCGTGCGTCTCCCACAGCAGCTGGGGGGGGGGGCGCGGGGAGTTGCCCTACCCAAGATGTGTGCAGAAACACCCAGTCAGGCAATTCTAAATTTTCTTGTGCAAATCTGAGGGATCAGAAGAAAAAAATATTCATAAAAGTCTAAGCTCCTGAAACACCTGAAGGAGCGTTATACCTGAAAGATGGTCTCCACCCCCATCGTTCAGCCCGGACACTGAGATCCAGCGCCGAGGGCCTTCTGGCAGTTCCATCATTGTGAGAATGAGGTTACAGGGAACCAGACAGAGGGCCTTCTCAGTAGTGGCGCCCATCCTGTGGAACGGCCTCCCATCAGATGTCAAGGAAATAAGCAGCTATCCTATTTTTAAAAGACATCTGAAGGCAGCCCTGTTTAGGGAAGTTTTTAATATTTAATGCTGTATTGTTTTTAACACTCGATTGGGAGCCGCCCAGAGTGGCTGGGGAAACTCAGCCAGATGGGCGGGGTATAAATAATAAATTATTATTAATAATAAAAACAACAACAACACCCTTACTAAAATGCTGAAAAAGAAATGAAAGCGATTGTAAATTCTCAGCACACACTTTTCAATACTTCTGGGGTATAATTTTTTTTATGTAGTTTCCTTGTGCAGTGTTCAAATTTTGCTCAAATCTGAGGGATCAGAAGTATGTATATTCTGTTCAGGAGCATTCCATAAATATTTACGCGCACAGCCAAAAAAAAAAAAAAAAAGAAGAAGCGCAGAGGAATTTGTGGGCATGGAAAGGGAAGTAGCAGAAAGTGCTTATGGATCCTGAAAGGTTCCCCACCAAAGAATGTGGCCCTCGGGCTGAAAAGGATTCCCTCCCCTGAGCCGCCGCATCCTTACTTTGTTTACGTTTTGCAGGTGACCGTGCTCCGTGGAGAGAATGCCACTGCGAGGAATTTGCATTCCGTAGTTCAGTCTCTGGAGTCTGATAAGTTGAAACTTGAACTAAAAGTAAAGAACCTGGAGCAGAAGCTCAGAGAGAGCCAGAAACAGCCACGTGGCTCCTCAGGTAAAACCAGCTCTGGTCTGCTGGCTGTATCTTCCCTGTGCAGCTCGCTGAAAGTGAGTTGGCTGCAGGCTATGTGGCATCTCGGATCCCATCGGATGACAGAGTTAAGTCCCTTCATGTGGTGGTAAAAACCTGCATCACTTACGTGACTTGTTAGTTCAGTTAGGGGTGAGATGCCACATTACGTAGGTGGTTGGTGTTACCGCTTGATAACCTTTGGGGTGTGAAAGGGCCATCACTGGATTCCAGCAGCAACAGAATCCTAAATAAATGTCTTATATTCTGTAGTACTCAAATATGTTTCTGTATCTTTGGAAACAAAGTAGGAGAAGCCCTTTGGGGTTGTAGCTCTTCAGGGGCCCTTTGAACCTAATATTGCACTCAACAGTGAGAATGTTACCACATGGTGGTAGTTTAACAGCTTGAGTGGATGTGTAATTTATAGACCTGAATTCCCTTCCCTCCCAGATGTCCACTCTGCAACCATGACCATCTCCTGTTCTAATTGGAGAGCGAACACAGATTACCATTCTCCCAAGGGTTGCTACAGTGAGCATGTAATCACGGAATAAACTGCTCAGAATGTGTGGTTGTCACATGTGGTGACAATCATCTTACTCTGTACATTTGCACCTATTGGCATAATGATACTGCTGGTCAGTTCCCTGCCTTAGAAAAGTGGGGCTACTTCAGTTGTTCATGCATGGATTTTCAAACAATAGGTTTGCAGGCTTTTGGTTTCAGATTTATAACTTGCAGGCTTTGAAACTCTGGAACCTGAAATAATGGTCCCCATATTCATTTATCAAAGCACCCTCAGAAATAAGCAAGGCATTTCAATAGTCAGAGACTTTGATTATCAGTTTAATGCTGATATTGCCATACTGTTAAGTAGCATGAGACTCCATGCACCTAGTAAATTCATTTAACAGAGAGATGGGATAATACGGTTTCAGATAATTGGGGAGGAGTATTTTTTCCTCATATTGCCATCCAATGCATCACTCCTGTTGCATGTCTGTGTTTAAGTCCTTTCACCACCACACCACCCACCATGTAATATGCTCTGCAGTACTAACTTGTAGACCAACTTGGGTTTGCATCAAGAGTATCACTTGCAGCCGGAACTGTTTTCTGGTTCAACCATGTTCCTTTTGCAAAATCACTCCAACTTTGCTGCATTTGCTCCTTTGTTAAAAGGAATATGGGATTTGTGTGTGGTTTAAATTGGTCCTTTTACTTTTCCTTGAACAATCAAGTTCACTTATAACAAAAATTGTATTTTATTTATTGTTAACTCACTCTAGTAAGCTAATCACTTTGAGATCTGATTATGATTTCAAAATACTTTGAAAAATAAGTCACAGAATGCAGCATTTTATAGCTGAGGAATCAAATAAAAACATATGGAGCACCAGGTTTAAAAAAGATCTAAAATAAAACCTTGTAAATTCTTTACATGGTTCAATAAAGATGGCAGAGTATTCCCTGGTCACCTCAGACATCACTTCCGAAGGCAAGAGATTTGGAGCAGGGTTTTCAAACATTGTCCTAATATATGGGCAGGTTCTTGCAGTACCAAGTATCCTAGTCCCTTCATGCCATTTTGAGCTTTAAAGGTAAGAATGAGGAGCTTGAAATGTGCTCAGAACCAGACCAGTAACCCACGCCACAGTTTCAAAGCAGGCATGAAGATTTTGTGTAGCCTCCAGGGGCAGTCTTAGGTACAGCTCACTACAATACTCCAATCTGGAAGTTTTATCAGAGTCTAGATATGAGGCCAGGTTTCCTTTTCTTTCTCTCCCTTCTCTCATATCCCTCCATTTCTCTCCCCGCCCCCCTGGTTCTCTCCTAAATTCCAGTTGTATCAGCACATAAGTAATGATTATTTGCTGGAATTATTTTCATATGTGTTTTTTTCTTCTTCTTTTCTAAGATGACACAGCCAGTGATGCCCTCCAGGATGAAAATAACAAAGAAAGCCAGGTATTTCTTATACCCTCTTGGCCCCATGCAGAAATAGACAGCTGCAAAGCAGCATTTCACGGGTTGGTTACGCGTACGATTAACATGGGATGACTCCTACCTCATTTGTTTCTGATGGGGAGGGGGGGGGAATGATGTCTTAATTTGCGTAAAGAAAATCAACCTGTGAAAGAGTGATCAGTAGGGCAGCAGCCCAGAGATGGTGGTGCCTGTCTGGCTGAGTGAAGGATGAGCCACTGGTGGGGGTGAATAAGGTATGGCTGGATGTAGGAGCTGCTCAGGTGTACTTAATTTCTGGTAGTGGAACCACGTCTCTTCCCTTCCGACCCTTCTCTGGGCCCAGTGACATAATCTATGTCTCAGGAGTAAGAGCTGGGCCTAACATCAGCAGCGAGATTTGTCGTTTCTCAGATCAGAAAGTATTTGAGTAGAATTATTGCATTATCAGACATTAGAAATTGCCTCCAAAACCTAATAATAATAATAATAATAATAATAATAATAATTTATTTATTTATTTATTTATTTATTTATTCATACATACCCCGCCCTTCTGGCTGGGCGGCTTCCAACAAAATGTTAAAATACAGTAATGCATCAAACATTAAAAGCTTCCCTAAACAGGGCTGCCTTCAGATGTCTTCTAAAAGTCTGGTAGTTGTTGTTCTCTTTGACATCTGATGGGAGGTCGTTCCACAGGGTGGGTGCCACTACCAAGAAGGCCCTCTGCCTGGTTCCCTGTAACTTGGCTTCTCGCAGTGAGGGAACCACCAGAAGGCCCTCAGGGCTGGACCTCAGTGTCTGGGTAGAACATATCCATATCAATTTCTAATCCTGCCCCATAATAGGCAAAATCACTGCACCCTGATTCCTTTTATGATGGATCCTTTCCACCCATACTGGAATGGGGAGGGGCCACAGCTCAGCAACAGACCACTTTTGTGGCATGGAGAAGGTCCTGGGTCCAGGTCCCTGCACCCATCATTGGCTTAGGCTCTGAAGAGCTGCTGCAAATCAGAGCAGACTGACTACCAAGCATCTGTCTTGGGTAAAAGGCAGTGAGTAGGCCTGGGTGATATATTGACATATTGCCCAGGACCAGTATGAGGGCCAGACTGCGATGGTGACTTCACTCAGTGGTATATGGCTGGTGAAACTGCCACTGCTCCTGAGCCCCTCCAGCACCCAGCACAGCAAAGGAGAAACAAGCTGTAACCGGGTGCTGGAGGCAGTGGCACTCAGGAGCCACGGCGGTTTCACCAGCGATATACCACTGAGTGAAACCAACATCATGGTTGGTCCCTCATACCAGCGCAGAGGGAGAATCAAGCTGCATCGGTGAGGCGCCAATACAGCTTGTTCCTCCCTATGCGTCATTAAACTGCTTGGCTGAGGAGAGCCAGCTGTCCTCTCCTCACTGGCTCTCCTCAGCCAAGAGGTTTTATGGAGCCCCGGAGCCGCCACCAGCTCGCACGATACATTGGTGGGGTAGGGGCGCTCCTTAACTGCTCCCACTCCCCAGCTGCTAGTGCGCAAGCGGGAGAAGGACTGGGGCTCCCTCAGCTGGGTGGGAGGCAAGCAAGCGGCCTCTTTCCCCAAGGAGAAGGAGGTTGCTTGCCTGCCCCCTTCCCATTGCCAGCAAAGGCAAAGGAGCCCTGCTGGCGGAGCCTGTCAGGCGTGGTCTGGCTCCCTTGGCTGTCAGGCGGGAGCCTCCCCACAAGCTGAGCAGCGGACTTAGGCCAGCTGCATTGGCCGCAACCTGCAAGGCTCTGGGGTGAAAGAGCCTCAGCTCCTGTGGTGAGAGCTGTGGCAGTTTACCCAGCACCTCAAGGGATGGGGCCAATGCAGCTTTTTTTCAGCATCGCGGTATATCGCCAAACCACAATGTTTGACTGGTGATGCACCGCAACGTTAAAAACCTAATATCACCCAGCCTAGTGATGAGTTTCATTAGGAACGGATAGCTACCAGCTCAGCAGATTTTACAGGCTTCTTTTTTTGGATACAGCAAGAGTGACTGTATCCCACTGTCTCCCTCACACACACCCCACAAAGGCCGACATGCACACACAGACTCAGGGCTCACACACACCCTCCAACATTTCTCTGATGAAAATAGGGACAACCCATTCCATAATGATAATCTTACGGTTTATACCCCATACATCTTGCCCCAGCCACTCTGGGCACCTGCCCATATATATAAAAACATAATAAAACATTAAACATTAAAAAAACCCTTCCTTATACAGGATTGCCTTCAGCTTGGGGGGTCACATATCTCCCTGCCCTCCAACATTTCTCCAGTGAAAATAGGGACATCCCAAGGAAAAGTGGGACATTCCGGGATCAAATCAGAAACCGGAGCAGCTTCTCTAAGTCAGGGACATCCCTGGAAAATAGGAACACTTTGAGGGTCTGACACACCACGCAAGAAGAATGAAAACACACACAAATAAACCGATACACAATGGTCTCCTGCTGACTCAGGGACAAAGAGCACACTCGCCCCCTTCGGTGTGGAAAGTTAATTGAACCTTTAGAGAAGCCCAGCTCTGCAGAGCAGAGAGAGAGCAGCTGCACTGGGAAGAGAGGCTCCTGCACTGGCCCTCCTGAAATCCCTGGAAAGCTCCTTTTCCAGGCTGCAGCTTCACCACCCAAACTGGGGTAAAAGGTTGGAAGGGCAAGCTTAGATATTGTATCTGCCGGGACTTCTTCAGTGTAATACACTTCACATAGGCTTAATTATAACTATAGTATAATTAACATACTAATGCTTGCTTGCTTTTTCTTCCCCCCACCTTCCCTTGCTTTCATCTGCCTCTGGGAACGTTTTTCTCCAATCAGCACATGGTTTGTTTCCACTTTCTCTCCTTTTTTAAATAGCTTTGTCAGTTTCAAGCTTTTTGCTGTGGGCAGTTCTCACTGTCTTATCCCTTGTGCGGCTGCCCCATAGTTCTCCTCTGCTTTGCCTTCTGTAAGAGGAATAGTCCTCTCTTTAGTGCAAAGAGACAGGGGGGTGCTAGCTATTTAAGCTTAGGGGCACAGGCCCATGGCACAAGGTTGCAGAAAAATGGCATACGCTAATTGATATGGATAGATGCATATTTAGGGCCACTTTCAGGGTGGGGGTAAACCCCAGCTCTTGCTTCCAGAGCTTACCCTGAGCTATGGGGTGCCAACAGGATTTTCTAGACCCAGTGCAGGTGGCTGCAGTCTCACTGGTACTGCACTTTGCAGTGCACCCAGTGGTCCTGCAGAGCAGCGTAAACTGTATATAAAACAGCCCAGAGAGACAGGACCCATGCAGAAGAGCCAGGTTTTTGTTCTTCTGGACCACCCCTTGATTGTACCCAAGTAAAGGAGGAAACCTGCACTATTCTGGGAACTTTTACATGAATAAATTGACACCTGTCCTAGAAGGATGCCCTGGGTGTGGTGAGCCAGCCTTTTGGATACTGAACCACCAGGGTTAACTATTAAGGAAATCTGCCAGAGGACAGTACTTGGGGGTGTCATATATTCAAAGAGATATCATGGGGGGGGGGGAAGACCCATCAGAATAAACAAGGGTCAGTTTTTTTAAAAATATTGGGAATTCTCCGACACAAAAAGGTTGCAGCTTTGGGGGCTTTTAATTTAAGCAAATGGATTTTTTGGCCTCAAAACAAAAATTAGTCATTTTTTTAAAAAAATATAAATTACCTTCTTAAAGCCAAGTTTTGACTGTTTTTAGTGCTCCCCTGCTGTGATGCCAAAAGCCTTGTTCTGCCCCACAAAGACTCCAGGTACACACACACACACACACACACACACTTTTTTCTGTTTTTTTCTGGGTGCTCCCACAGGTCTTCTGATGTGAAACACTTTTCTTTTTGCCCCCAAAGCATCCCAGTAATTTAAAAAAATCATTTACACTTTTCTTTTCTATTTTGCTGAGTGCTCCCATAGTTTCTTTGATGCCAAAAGTTTTTTTTGTGGCTCGCCAGTCATACAAAAATTAAAATTGGCCACATCCACTTTTACACTTCAGCTCTCAGGATTGTTGGTCAATGCTGCTTATGGCCCAAAAAAGTTTAGCTACCCCTGGTTTAAAGACAAGGTGACTAACAGAAGATGTGACAGAGGTCTGTAAGTTTATGTATGTTGTGGAAAGAGTGAATAAATAGTGTGGGGGGAAAGGGATCCTCCATGGCCCATAAGATTTGAATATGGGGTAATCCAATAAAATGAATTGGCAGTAGATTCGGAACAGACAAAAGAAATTACCTCACACACTGCGGAATTTATGGAATTCACTAAAGCAAAACACAGTGGTTGTCAGTGACTTGGGTGACTAGAGAGATTTGTGAAGAGCAGAAGCAGTTACTTGTCATGGTGGCTCCATGGAGCCTCTGTGTCCCCGGCTGCTGCCTTCATCCCCTGCTGATGTGCTTCTCACAGGCATCTGGTTCTCTAAGCATATGGAGTGTATACTGGAAGGTTTGATCAAGTCCCTCTCCAAAGACTCCCAAGTGAGCTTAGCTATCACAGGATAAGTTGACAGGTCTCCTTAGAAAAGACCCAGAAGCAGACAACCAAAATGTTCCAGGGGGCTGGAAAAATTCCCCTTTATGAAAGGTTTTTCGTTTGGTTTAGAAACAAGGGAGGGAGCACAATAGGGGAGTATAAAATATGCATAGTGTTGAGAAAATGGAAACAGAATCTGTCATGATACTAGAAACAGGTCATCAGAGCAAAACATGTTTATCTAAGAGAATTGCTATCCTGTGCATTACGGTTTTCCAGCTCTGACAATTCACTCCTCTACATACCATGAGGTTTATTAATATTTGTTTAATGCTTAAAAGTGTTCTATGCTTAAAAATAAAAGTTACAAGCATTCTATCTATGTATAAATTAAGTCAGCACAATTTCTTTCTGTGCCCAGTTTCTGCCCTATTCATTGCTTACATCACATGCTGTATTTTTTAAAACCTTCAGCTTAAATATTCTGAGTTTATAATCCTGTCTCTTCTTTCTTCCACCATGTACCCTTCAGATTGACTTTCTAAATTCAGTGATCGTGGATCTTCAAAGGAAAAATGAAGAACTGAAATTGAAAGTGGAAATGATGTCTGAGGCAGCACTCAACGGCAATGAGGAAGAAGCTATTAATTATGACAGGTTGGTTACTTACAATATCAGCTGGAAATCTTGGTAGCATTTTAGAATTGAGGCTGTTGAACTGGCCTCATCAAATGCCAGCCAGAAATTCCTGAAGTATTACTGTGGTTTTCAAACTGTATACTTGCAAGTAACCCTATTGAAGAACCTCTGCACTGCAGAGGATCCTGGGCCATCTGCAGAGTGCACACTCCGTTCATGGGGCTCACAGAGTGAGCATTTTAGACCTCCCCATGGCCACTAGGTCAATTGAGAGATGACCTCAGAGATGACACACCCAGGGTCTCCCTGCAACTGTGCATCACACAGTTATGGTGGGCAGGCTATCTTTGGGGAGTTATTTCACCAGTATTGACCTTCTAATTGACAAACACTTGGTAAGCTTCTGAGGAACCTCTGAGTGCCCAGAAAGGATTTTTAAATGCTATGGCTATGTCACTACTAATTCACACCATGCACCTTTATTTACTGTTCATCTTTACTAAGCTGAGAGTCATGATTAAGCCACTGTTTTCATGGTGCCAGTGTGGATAGAGCTTTGACTTCCTCCAGCGCAGTGAATTTGATTCCCACATACAGATGGCAGGAAGTGAGTTAACAGCTACCCCATCTGAGACTCGCTGAAACTTTGACCCACAATTGTCAAGGATATAGACAAGTTAAGATTTTAACCCTGTTTCTCTTTAGTGCATGACTCCCAGACTAGTCAAGGACATGAGACAATCCTCTTTTAAATTAGTCTAAAACCTTGGTGTGAATTTCAGACTGTTTGTATCCCTATTCCCCCCCCCCCGCAAATACGTTGAGATATGAGAAATCTCTGCAGTTCACAACAAGCAGTAATTAAAAGGCAGGTGATCTTGCCTGCTGGCCCAAACCTTCCCAAATCAGCACAAAAGCAGGAAGTGTTTTGATCTGAAGGCAGCGCTGTTTAGGGAAGTTTTTAATATTTAATGCGGTATTGTTTTTAACACTCAATTGGGAGCCGCCCAGAGTGGCTGGGGAAACTCAGCCAGATGGGCGGGGTATTATTTATTCATTCATTCATTCATTCATTCATTCATTATTTCCTATAGATTTCCTGTCTCTTTAGAATCACTGTTCTCAGTAAAAACATAATGAAATTCTAGTCTTACTTATCAAATTTTGATCTTGGCAGTGAGGAAGAAAACCAAATCAAGAAGAAGCCTCGCCTTTTCTGTGACATTTGTGACTGTTTTGATCTCCATGACACTGAAGATTGTCCAACTCAAGCACAGGCGTTAGACGAACCTCCACATTCGACGTACCATGGCAGCCGAAAGGAAGAGCGCCCCTATTGCGAAATCTGCGAAGTGTTTGGGCACTGGGCTACAAATTGCAATGACGACGAGACCTTCTGATGCAGGAGAGGACCAGGGAAAAGAAACTTTGCTCTGTGCATTAGTCGGACCATGTCCACCCTCAGCCATTGAGGGGCTGATGGCGCCGGAAAGAAAAGGACAGCCACCCTTGCCCTCCCCAACCTCTTCACAAACAACAGACATAGAGATATTTTGGTCTTCCATAGCAAAATAACTTTATACCGCCCTAAGTTAAATGAAAATAGAAATAAATAATTTACTAGGCAGATTGCTGCCATTTTCTTTTCCAACTTCTGGGTTTGCATTATCTTTAAAGAGGAACTTCCCATATGTCATGTTGTTTAGCTGTAAGGGGGAAACAGCAACACTCTAGTTATGTTTTAGCTTATTTAAAGACCTTAAAATTATGCTGTTAATTTTCATATTTGCACTATGCTCTTAAAGCTGCAGTTGTACGTTTTTAGATTTTGTAAAGTTTTCAACACTGGAATGAGTTAAGAGATGAGCTCTTCTTTATTATTTTCAACTGCTCAGTTATCTCTTGTTCAAAGAATATGTGAGCTCTGGTGCACTACCTAGAGATCAGTAGTGCCTTTATTTCAGCAAGATTTCTTAATGGTGTGAAATTTTGTTTAGAAAAATATCATGAAGCAGGTAAGCCAACAAGCTACTGTGCAGAAACTTTTTATAACAAAGCCTCTAAGCTGCGCACATGGACGGACCTCCCTTTCCACGTTCTTTCAGCTTCTGTAGAGTTGTACATAATAAGTACATATATAAATATATTTAAGAAAAAGGTTTATATTTTGAAAAATTCTTGTTGTCTTTAGTGCTTCTTTTCATCTGAACTCCTCAGAGGACCTCTGTGCACAGCACAGTCACTTGATTTAATAACTTTAGATAGCCTCAATCTTGGGAGATTTTTTCTGACTGAGTTTATTTTGTGTGTGTTTGCAAAAAAAGAAAAAAAATCAGCAAATTTGTATCCTGTAAAAGGTTTTTATTAAACCCCATTCACAAATCAAGACTTTTTAAATGAACAAATAATTTATTTATTTCCCCCTTGGTCTGAATTTAGTTCCAGATGAATGTAAAACAGAAAATTCAATATTTAAGAATTATGGATTTTCTAAGAAGCAAAAAAAACCTTATATGAAATGAAGAAAATGTAAAACCAACAGGCTTGTGCTGTTATGGGTGAAATCGTGCCATGCATTGAAGTGGATGTAAAATTTCTGATGGAGTTAATGCTGTGGGCCACTGAACCCAAGTCAAGGTGACCCCGCTTAAGCTGGTTTAGATCTCTCTTCTTTTGAATGTCTCAAAAACAAATGTAAAAAAGAGAAGCTATATGTTCCCTGCTCTCTGTACATTAGAGGAATTTAACTCTTGTATAACTTTGTGTGTATGTGTGTGAGAGTGTGTGTGTATATATATATATATATATATATATATATATATATATATGCGCACCTCTGATGTATTTTTCCTCCAGATTACAGACAGTATTTGGCATATGAGTACAATTTAATGTAATTGTTGGAAATTTGGAGTAATGAATGTATAAAAGGGTTAGGGAAAAAAGCAGGGAAATCAGTATTAAACTAAACGGAGTGTACTGTAGCTTTAATAAAACGGTTATTCTCTTGTCACCTGTGTTGTTTTTCTTTTTCTTTGAGATTACAAAACCCAGAATGCCAAACTGCTTACAAGCCATTTGGGCATATAAGTGGGTAAGTAAACAAATAAAAATTCTGCAGTGCACAGGTTGAACTGGGACCATGCCCAAGAAAGTGTTAAGTCGGCTCTGTGACAGGTTCTGCTCTTTTTGTTTGTCGTCATCACTTAATGCTAAACATGTTTTTTATCATCTTATTAGGGTGCAATGGTTTTTCATCAGGTTTGCTAAGGGAAATTTGAGTGTGAGAAGCAAGTGTTCGTACTTGTGTCTCAGGCAGGTGTAGGTAGCCAGGTGCCTTCTAGATGTTGTTGGACTCCCAACTCCCAGAAAAATCTGGATAGTCCCAGGTCAGTTATCCCTGCTCTAAGACAAACCTTTGAGAGTTTTAAACTGCAGTCCTATACACACTTACCTGGAAGTGAGCCCCATTAATGCAGTAGCACTTCCTTCTGAGTAGACATGCATCAGATAGCACTAATAAGAGGTGGAAAGAGAGAGGTGGAAAGAGAGAAACTGGAACGTGTCTAGAGGAGGGCAACCAAAATGGTCAAAGGCCTGGAAACGATGCCTTATGAGGAACGGCTAAGGGAGCTGGGCATGTTTAGCCTGGAGAAGAGGAGGTTAAGGGGTGATATGATAGCCATGTTCAAATATATAAAAGGATGTCACATAGAGGAGGGAGAAAGGTTGTTTTCTGCTGCTCCAGAGAAGCGGACACGGAGCAATGGATCCAAACCACAAGAAAGAAGATTCCACCTAAACATTAGGAAGAACTTCCTGACAGTAAGAGCTGTTCGACAGTGGAATTTGCTGCCAAGGAGTGTGGTGGAGTCTCCTTCTTTGGAGGTCTTTAAGCAGAGGCTTGACAACCATATGTCAGGAGTGCTCTGATGGTGTTTCCTGCTTGGCAGGGGGTTGGACTCGATGGCCCTTGTGGTCTCTTCCAACTCTATGATTCTATGATTCTATGATTATAGCTTATATAGCAGAGTTAAAAACTTGGAAGCTGGATCTAACCAATCCTTCCTCCACCACCTCTGTCTCATTCACACATCACTATCATTGCTCAAAAGAGTAAATAAAAGACACGTCCCATTGGGAAGCAGAAAAAAAATGGTTCTTTACTTACATTTTCTTCATATTTACAAATATGGCTTTGAATTCTATGCCTTACATGGGGAGCTAGTTCCTCAAGCCTGCCTTGTGTGTGTGAAAGAGAGACCACAGAGTGTGTTGTTGTTTAGTTGTTTAGTCCTGTCCAACTCTTTGTGATCACATGGACCAGAGCACACCAGGCATTCCTCTCTTCCACTGCCTCCCTCAGTTTCGTCAAATTCATGTTTGCAGTTTCGAGAACATTGTCCAACCATCTCGTCCTCTGTCCTCCTCTTCTCCTTGTGCCCTCAATCTTTCTCAACATCAGCATCTTTTCCAGGGAGTCTCCTCTTTTCATGAGGTGGCCAAAGTATTGAAGCCTCAGCTTCAGGATCTGTCCTTCCAGTGAGATCACAGAGTGTATTCCCCCCATCTGTTAGTCTCAGCTCACCCTCTGCTGACGGGAGGTGTGCAAGGTTGCTTGGACCTGACAAGTTCTGCCCACGAAGAGACTCCTGGCCTCTGGGGCCTAACATCTGGCTGCTACCACAGCCAGTTCCATACCAGGAGTTTCAACTGCAGATGGGCAGGGTGTGGTCCTGAGTGGCAACGCACCTACCTGTGCAAGTGTACACAGGCACATAAGATTGTAGCTTTATTTCTGCACCACTTTTGCACAGTGAACATGTCCATCATCCCAACAGCATTAGAACAGCAGAGCATGGTAGGGCAATAATGCACAATAAAACAGTACATCAATCTCTCAGTTTCCAAATATATTAATCCTTTCAACAAAAACCACAATAGTCTTGTGGCCCATTCTCTTGCTGCCAACCTTCAGGTGTTGCGGTCCTGAGTCAAATTTAAGGCTTTATAGGTCAAAAACAGCACTTTGAATTGGGCTAGGAAGCTAATTGGCAGCTGGAACAGTCGGGCCAGGATGGGTGTTGAAATGCTCAAACCGTCTTGCCTCAGTGAGCAATGTGGGCTGTTGAATTCTGCACCAGCTGAAGCTTCTGAACTGCCTTCAGAGGCAGCCCAGAAAGAGATCCACCTTGAGACCTGTGGTCAGATGTGGTTCTTCAACCCTGCCTACCTCGCAGGGTTGTAAGTCTGGGCTGACAAGGAAGGCTTGGGTGCATCTCATTGGCACCTTCGGTTGAACCACTGGCACCTCTCAGACTATGTAATTGTCTGAGCTGAAGATCGCCGTGATGTGCTCCTTACCAGAGCTATGACGAGTGCTGACGACTGATGGACAGATCACCGGTTATTATGTTCCACGATGGCTATCCTCAACGCAGGCTTCAAGGAAGGAAACCAAGGCGCAAAAGGAACACTCAAATGAACAAAATGAACACTCAAGCCCTTCAAGATCATATTAAGCAGGATTGCTTCCAAACGACTCTTAAGGACCATCCGCATTCAGAATTCCCTGATAACATTGAGGAACTCTGGACCAAACTAAAAACATCATTATTGCAGCCGGTGAACCAACTATTGGATACCAAACCAAGAAACACCAGGACTGGTTTGATGAGAATGACAGTGAGATTGAACACATTATTGACAAGAAAAGGAAGGCCTTTCAGATCTGGCAAAGAGATAGAAACTGCGCTACTAAGAAAAAAACCTATGCCAACGCTAAGGCTGAGGTTCAAAGAAGAACCAGAGAACTAAAGAACACCTGGAGGATAAAAAAAGCTCAAGAGATCCAGCACTTAGCTGACACTCATGATGCACAGAGTTTCCTTAAAGCCACAAAGACCATCTATGGGCCCATAAATCATGGCATATGCCCCCTACGCTCCACAGATGTGTGCTCTGATATACCGATCAAGAACAAGTTCTGCGAGGAACTAGACCAGGATGTCTTGAGCTTGCAAACACCTTCTCAGTAGTGGCGCCCGCCCTGTGGAACACCCTCCCAGCAGATGTCAAAGAAATAACTCTCTGACTTTTAGAAGACATCTGAAGGCAGCCCTGTTTAGGGAAGTTTTTAATGTTTGAAGTTTTATTCTGTTTTTAGTGTTCTGCTGGGAGCTGCCCAGAGTGGCTGGGGAAACCTAACCAGATTGGGGGGGGTATAAATAATAAAATTATTCTTATTGTTACTATTACTATTCCTGCTGAAAGAGTTCATCACAGCTGGCATAACCGCAGAGGCCCCTTGGTATCAGGACCTGAACAAGAACGGACAAAGGCTACCTGAACTGTGCTCATACCACAGCCTCTATGTCACGAACATGGTATGCTCTACCAAGGCAAAACACATCTTAGATCTCAGGTCCCTGGCACCAGCTGGACTGGATTGGCACCAGGCAATTGCACTGAACTGTGTTAATGCCACACGGAGCTACCACAACACTGACTGCGACATGGTCACACCCTGAAGGCGAGCAAAGAGGATTTCTAGCCAATCTAAGGTTCTGCACTTTGGCAGGAAGAAGCAGCTGCACCAATAAAAGATGAGGGACACTGGTTTGCTGGTAGGGAAAAGGATCTAGGGATCTTAGTGGACCACAAGCTTAACATGAGTCAACCTGAGAGTGATGCAGCAGCAAAAAATGCTAATGCTATTTCAGGCTGCAACAACAAAAGTGTCCAGATCAATGGAAGACAATAACACAATGAAATTCAAAACAGTAACAATTTATTGTGCATTTATTCAAAATCCATTAAAAAATATTTATTTTTATTCCATTCTCTTCCAGTTCTTTTTCTTCTTGACACGTGGAGTTACACAGGGAATAGATCATATAACCTAAGGAATGGAAAAACCCAAAATTCTGTGAGATCTTTTGAGGCAAAATAATGTTAACAGCTTTCAGATCTCTCTCTGTCCCCTGCCCTGTCCTGTCTTTTGTCAAAACAAAGGTGTCAACCCTGTGCCCAGAGCCGCCCCCCCCCCCCCGGCCTCCCTGAGGTGGTCCAGAGGAAAGAAGAGCAAGGCACAAGGCACCAGCTGGGCTGCAGGAGTTGCCAGAAGGAGGCCTACAAAATGCCACCCAACCATCCTAGGGCCTCCACTCTGCATCTGTGTAGGGTTTACTCTGGAGCCTATTCTCCTCCTGAAGCCATCCCATGAGGCAGTGGAGGTTTAGAATCAGAGTTCTCGTCAATGGGCTCCCTTCCAGGGGGATGAGCCCGATCGGCCCCTGGCTTCCCTCTACAGCACGTGCACAAACAGCTTTCTCTGGATCTTGTCTGCTCCATCTGCCGGAGTCTGTCTTCTGACACAGGGGAAAGTCCCTCACTCCCCGAGGGTTTGAGACCCATTGGCTTCCCTCCCCTGGTTCCCCGGCCTCTTCTCCCTCTGACTGCTGCTCCTTGTGCCCCCTCCACTACCTGGGCTCTGAGACGTCTTCCCTTCCTGGTTCTCCAGCTGCTTCCTCCCACCATTCCTCTGTGCCCAACCAGTCCATGACACCGTTCCACCCCTTGGCCTCTGTCCCCACAAGGCAGCTTCCCCCTACCTGATCTGGTCCCACAGCCACTGCTTCCCTTCTGCTGCCATGAAAAGATGGAGAAGGAGGTCTTGCCGGCATTGTTCTGTCACCTGCAAGAGAAAAAAGGTAAGCAGGTCGCCAGGAGTGCCTGCTTCTCTCACAGGTGAAACAGGGCATCTCTAACTACAGATGGGCTTTTGAGAAAGTCTTACGTGCTGAGTGCATTTGGATGTTGGCCTCTCTCGGGTGTCCAGTGGCGCCCGAGGTCCGCACTACCTATAAATCTTCAATGATGATGTCATCTGGATGGAAGAGAATGAGAATGAGAACAGAATGAAAATGAAAATGAGATTTTCCCACAGGCCTTTAGTTAAAGGTCGCTGTCTCCAAAGTGTGGGGCTTACCTTCTTCCGGCTTCAGGCAGAAGCAAGCCAGGTCCGGCCGAACTACTGTCATCTGCAGAGGAAAGAAAAATTGGGGTCAGATGAGAGCAAGAGAGCACAGAAGCAGCGCCAAGTCTGGAAGGACGGGTCTTCCTCTGTCTTGGGCCCAATCCCTTGTTCCAGAGGACCTCCCTGGGCCCTGCAGCCTCCTGGGCAGAGGTGGAAGGGCAGCAGCAGGAAAGGGGGCAGGAAAAGCCTCTGGCCTCATCCTGGCCCCCAGGGACACACCCCACATCATCTGCGCTAAAGATCACCTGGGGATGTGATCTTGGCGGGGAGGTGAAATTAACCAAAGAAATGAATAAAAGAAGGCAAGGTACTTACTCTGAGGTTGGGGTATTTCCGGGCAACGGCCAGCAGCAAGGAAATGCTGCTGGCCGCTGGTTCTTGAGCCTCCCCACTTTCCCCAGGGCATATCCTCGGAGGTCCTGAAGGAGGAAAGAGTGTCTCAGAGTCAGGGGCCAGTCTGGGCCAAAGCAGCCCCCACTGCCCCCACCACGGAGTCCCTGGCACTTCTGGACCATGAGGGTTTGCCAGCTTTGGTCTTGGACCAAATTGGGGGCCAAACAGGCTCTGTGCCCCAGAAATGGGGCAGTCCATTGGGTAAGGGATGGGGGGGACAACCCTAAAACCACCCCTGATGCCACTGGAACACTTACGCTGAGAAGGTGGAGGAGGGTGCCAGGGTTGGGGGCTTCCATATGGAGACTCCCCAGCAGGAGCCGGAAGTGCCTCTCCAGTTCCTGCGGAAAAAGAGAGAAGAGAGTGTGAATGCTGGGTTGGATTCTGCAAGTGTGTGACAAAGAAGAAGAAAGAGCCTGTGAAGGGAAGTCAAAACCAAGGACCTACTTCTCTCTCCTCCTCCTCCTCCTCGGCCCCTTTCAGCACAGCCTCCAAGGTCCTGTGCAGGATCGCACTGATCATATCGCAGCTGAATTTGGGCCTCATGGTGCTGCAGAGATGAAAGGGAGGGGGTTAGAGTCTCCCTTGCCCCTTCTCCCTCCCGCCTGCTCTTTCCCCCTGGAGTTCTGCCCCCCACCCACAACCCCGTCCACAGACCCCACTCACCTTAGCTGGAGGAGGGCCTCCAAGGCAAGGGCCAGGGTCAGGGGGCGATCTCTGAAGTGCCCCAAGGGCCCCAAGATGTCCTGGAAGAGAACAGAGGAGGAAAATCAGCTCCGACCCCAAACACCAGGCTTGGCTTTGCAGGGGAATGGCAACCCCATGGCCTAAGCCGGCAGGGTCCTCCTCTCCGCAGATGCACAGCCCCTTCCCCCCACACCCCCATCACTCACCAGAATGGCTTGGGCCGTCTCCTGCTTGGAGCACTTCAGGGATCCGGGCCCCCTGAGCTCAGCTGCCTGGCAGCTCTTGATGGCCCCCAGGAGGTAGCGCTGTTCATCCTCCAGCAGCTGAAATGCAAAAGTCAGGCTGTCAGTTCCTCGTGAGGGGAGGGCTTCTCCGCATCTGAGAGTGCAGAGTGGGGGGCAAAGGGGGGGCAGGTCTGCTCTTGTTTTCTCCAATACTCACCCCCTGGGGCTGGGATGCGGAACCGCAGCAGAACTGCAAACAGAAGGACATGGGAACAGGTGAGTCCTCTTTTGCATCCTTGGACTAGTTGCCCCCCATGCCCATTCCTGCCCTCCTCTGTCCAAAAAAGGAGGGCCACTTGCTCACCTGGCATCACAGGCTGCTCTGGGTCTTGCTGGGGGGCCACCAGACGTGGCATCAGACGTGGCAGCGTCTGAACAGGCGCCTTAAGCACCTGATCCTAGAAGAGATGAGCGGAAAGAGCAACTCAGACGCCGGCCGCTCCAATTCTTGGGGGGGTGTTTGTGTGTGAGGAGGGGCATCTGGAGAAAATAGTGAACCACTGCCGAATTTGCAGAACAGAAATACATATGTGGAGCCTAATCAATCCTTGTCTGCCCATCACAACCAATTCCTTCCATCCCTCTGCAGTTCAGTGACCTGAAGGGGCATCATCAGAGTCTGAAAGAGGCAGCCCAGAGCATGAAGGGCTGGCAGAGAGAGAAAGGAGGTCCCAAGCGCTCTGGGTTCAAGAGCTACGGCCATGCCAGGACCCAGAGGGCCTGGTCCCCTCATTCATGCAGTCAAGCAGTGTATAAATTTCATGAAGCAAATGAAAGAAATAGGGAGAGGGGAGAGCTTTGGGTCATTCTTAACATTGTTACCGGAAGTTTTGGAAAGGGTGGCGGGGGGTTTCCCCCTCCAGCAGGCACCATACCCCCCTCCGACTGTACCCCAAATCAACATCTTCACTTCTGCAAATTTCCCCACAAAACACATCCTGACACAGTCCTTTCCTTTTTCTATTCCAAAGGCTCCCATAAATAAGGGTAGAACATTTGCCCTAATGAAGGCTGAGCCTTTCGCTCAACCAATCTGCTCAGACTATCCAAAGAACTGTCCAATAGCAACCAGTGAGTGCCACGAAACAGTGCCCTCCAGCACAAAGCACTGAGGGCACAAGGCGAAGGGGACGACAGAGGACGAGATGGTGGGACAGTGTTCTCGAAGCTACCAGCATGAGTTTGACCAAACTGCGGGAGGCAGTGGAAGACAGGAGGGCCTGGCGTGCTCTGGTCCAAGGGGTCACGAAGAGTCAGACACCGCTAAACCACTAAACAACAACAACAACAGAACAAAGCACACAGGCACTGCAGCTGCCGACCAGCCGTGGCCTCTGCTCTACAAGTAGGAATTCCCACTGGGAAAAGGGGAAAGTCAGAACCAGCCATGAAAACCATTCTTGGTCCATTGAAACTAGTCTTTTAGGTTTCAGTCTAGGCCCTTGAACTACCAACCCAGCTGTACGCTTGTGAAACATGGACCACTTATAAACGCCATCTCTAACTCCTTGAAAGATTCCAGCAATGGTGTCTCCGAAAAATGTGACACACCACTTGGGAAGGCAGGTGAACTAATACCAGTGTCCTGGAAGAAGCAAAGATCACCAGTGTTGAAGCAGTGATTCTTCAACACCAACTTCGTTGGACTGGTCATGTGGTTCGGATGCCTGACTATTGTCTTCCAAAGCAATGACTCTATTCCAAACTTAAAAATGGAAGGTGTAATGCTGGTGGCCAACAAAAGAGGTTTAAAGACTGTCTCAAGGCAAATCTTTTAAAATGGAGTATAAACGCCGACAATTGGGAAACACTGGCCTGCGAGCGCTCCAATTGGAGAACAGCCTTGACCAAAGGTGTCATGGGCTTTGAAGACACTCAAACTCAGGACACAAGGGAGAAACGTGCTAATAATAATAATAATTTTAATTTATTTATTTATACCCCGCACTCCCCAGCCAAGGCCAGGCTCAGGGTGGCTAACAAGCAATAATAAAAACAAGTTGAATGAATACAACTTAAAAACAAGATTAAAATACTGAAACATTAAAATATTAAAATGCAGCCTCATCACAGGAGGAGAAAGGAAAAAGAAAGAGGGGGAGGGAATCAAACTGGCTCCAAGCCAAAGGCCAGGCGGAACAACTCTGTCTTCCAGGCCCTGCGGAAAGAAATCAGATCCTGCAGGGCCCTGGTCTCATGAGGCAGAGCGTTCCACCAGGCCGGGGCCAGTGTTGAAAAGGCCCTGGTTCTGGTTGAGGCTAATCTGACTTCCTTAGGGCCCGGGACCTCTAGGGTGTTGCTATATATGGACCTTGAGGCTCTCCGTGGGGCAGACCGGGAGAGGCGGTCCCGTAGGTACGAGGGTCCTTGGCCGTGAAGGGCTTTAAAGGTCAAAAGCAGCACCTTAAATCTGACCCTGTACTCCACCGGGAGCCAGTGCAGCTGGAAAAGCACTGGGTGAATATGCTCGCATGGCAGAGACCCCGTGAGGAGCCTCGCTGCAGCATTCTGCACCCGCTGGAGCTTCTGGGACAGCTTCAAGGGCAGCCCCGCGTAGAACGAATTACAGTAGTCAAGCCTGGAGGTGACCGTCGCATGGATCACTGTGGCCAGGGCGGGACGGTAAAGGTAAGGGACCAACTGCTTGATGTGGCGAAGGTGGAAAAATGTCGCCTAAGAGGAAGGCAGGCTTGGCAAACCCTCCCCGCGATCAGCTCCTGCCCGGAAACCTCCGTCCCCGCTGGGGAAGGACGGGGGGATCCAGAACTGGCCTCCGCAGTCACTTGCTGTGTTAAAGCCCTGCTTATGGAAAGCAGTCTTGCTCGGCTGCGAGGGATCGTCGAAGAAGAAGGAGGCGGCGGCCCTCGGTCCCTCCCCGTCGCTCTCGGGCTCCACCTGACCGGCGCTGGGCTGGGCTGGGCGGAGCGAGAGGGCGGCGAGGAGCGGCCATGGCGGCGCACCTGAACTCGGGCCGGGTCAACCTGATGGCGCTGCGGGAGGCCGGCCGCAAGGAGCTGCGCGAGTTCCTCGACAAGTGCGCCGGATCCAAGGTCGGCCTCGCTCTTCCCTTCCTCTCCCCCCGGCCGCGCGGCCTGCTCCTCCGCCTCCTCCTCCTCGGGAGGCCGCGGCCTGCTTTGGGCCCCAGTCGCGAAGCCAGGGCGCCTCACAAAAGGAGGGCAAGCGAAGCGCACAGCTGGCAGCCCCGCAAAACCCACGGAGAACGAAACTTGCAAGCCGAGAGGAGGAGCCGGGCTTCGGCGGGGCCGGCAGGAAATGGCTCCTCCCCTCGAGGCTTCTCCCGGGCTGGGCTCTGGGCCGGGGCTGGTGCCTCAAGAACTCTCCGTCGGGAGGCTGCCGCGGCCTCTTCGCCGGTCCTCTGCCTCGCCCCCGTCCCAGGCCTTGGAGCTGTCTCCACCTTCCCCATAAGTTAGATCAAAAAACAAAAGGCTTCTCAATTAAAAAGAAATATTACGAGCACACACAGTTTTCCATTTTAAATTCACTTAAATTGTCACTAAAATGGGCTTTATTTCTGTTGCCCTAATGCTGAAAACATTTATGAAAAAATTTAAAATGCCGTTTTAAAGCCCCCCCCGAAAAAACCAGTACATCTGGGGTCTAAAAATACCACTGTATGTAAATTCTAATGAGCCTAGTTAGCTTTATTTCTTAAAAAACATGCACAGAATTCAGCTGTAAAATGGTGCATACATACAGACATGCACTAGCCTTCTCACAGGGCCTTAAGACCTCAATGAAGCTTACTCTACTAAGGTTATAGATTCAGGTAGGTTGCCATGTTGGTCTGATGCAGTAGAAATATATAAAAATAATAATAAAATTGTCCAATAGCACCTTAGAGACCAACTAAGTTTGTTCTTGGTATGAGCTTTTGTGCGCTTGCACACTTCTTCAGATACACTGAAACCGAAGTCCCCAGACCTATATATATAGTGAGAGGGTGGGGAGGGGGATTACTCAGAAGGGGGGTGGGAGATGGGTCATTGCCTGATAGGTAAACCTGTTGACAACTGTTAATGACTGTAATTGGTCTTACAGGAAAATGCAAGGGGTGAGATGGCCAAAAATAGCTTTATACAGTGGTACCTCTGGTTACAGACGCTTCAGGTTACAGACTCCACTAACCCAGAAATAGTACCGCGGGTTAAGAACTTTGCTTCAGGATGAGAACAGAAATCGTGCTCTGGCAGCGTGGTGGCAGCAGGAGGCCCCATTAGCTAAAGTGGTGCTTCAGGTTAAGAACAGTTTCGGGTTAAGAACGGACCTCCGGAACGAATTAAGTACTTAACCCGAGGTACCACTGTAATGTGCTTTGTGTAGCTATTTTAGTATTATTATTATTAAAAAATTATTGCACCCTGTACCAGTAGATCTCAGGGTACTTCACAACATAAAACTCCAATATAAAAAACACAAAATACATATTAAAAATAAGAACAAAGACAACCCAATAATTCCTCTTCCACAACACACTTAAAAGGGCATTTTAACTAACAGGATGTCAGTTAGTCAAAGGCCTGGTTAAAGACGAACATTTTTGCCTGGTGCCTAAAGGTGTATCATGAAGGCACTAGCTGAACCTCCCTGGGAAGAGCATGATCTTTCAGATGTACTTTCAGAATCTACTGCTTAATGTTTTCATACATGCCCACGCAGTGATGGGGTTTGCACATAACACTAAGCCAAACCATGACTTGGCACAACCAAACCTGCAGGTTTCCAGGGAGAAGATGGCAGCTACTTTGCTCTTCCATCCTCTGGTCTTAAAGTTGCTTCAGTGCTGTGAGCTAAGCCATGATTTGGCTTAGCGCTGTGTCTGAACCTGAGCCTATAGTTTATTTTGACAAACCATAAGCTATAGCGAAGGTTTGTTCTCGGGCAATGGTAAAAAAGCAAACAAAACCCCAATCACCTGAAAATTGCTGTCTGTCTTAAATGATTTTTCTGTCTGTTTAGCAATTCGAATGCACTGGGCTAGATATTATATATGGAATGCAAAATTGTATTACCTTTTGTTTCTTATTGTATTACACTGTATTAAAAATACAATTAAGATCAATGTGAATATTGATGTGAAAAACATAATTAAAGATCAAAATGGATATTTAAATGTGATGGGTGTCATGGACCTCCTGAATGAACTGTGGATCACAGTTTGGCAGCTCCTGTTCTGTAGCTTACCTTCAAGGGGGAAATGAAGCAGGAGCCTAGGTTCAGAGGTGTAGATGAAGGGCAGTCTAGAAATACAAATAATGAAGTTTCTCTGCATAGAATTGTCAGAGACTTTCCCTCTACCCCACTCACTTCTGTATATTGGATGTAGCTTGAAATGTCAGCTGATTCTCTGCTTTCCTCTTCATAGGCCATTGTGTGGGATGAGTATCTTACAGGTCCATTTGGGCTGATTGCACAATATTCACTTCTAAAGGTAGGATTGGGCAATTTTTTTAAAAACTATTAAGTCTGATTTTTGCCATAAATAGTGTGTTTTCCTATTGAGAGTTTTATCCAGTAGGTGTGAAGAAAATGTTTTTGGTGTTCTAGGTGGGTAGTTATTCCACCTAAACACCAAGTTTACAAAACACAAGGATAGATGCTCCCAGTAGTGAGTTGACCATAAATCCATTCTTTTCTCATATATATAAACTTCTAAAGACTAAAATAAGATTGCACATTCTTATTACTTTTGTCTCCTTCCAGGAACATGAGGTGGAGAAAATGTTCACTCTCAAACCAGGCCGCCTCCCACCTGCAGATGTCAAGAATATTATTTTCTTTGTCAGACCAAGGCTAGAACTCATGGACATAATTGCTGAAAATGTGCTCAGGTAGAGTAGCTCTCCAGACCTACCTTTTTGCTTTCTGCAGTCTGAGTAGAAACTTCATGGTTACCTTACTTGTTTTCCTTGACTGAAACTCAGGTGACATCACTTATGAACTTGGTTCAGAATATTGAAGGCCAACTTCTCACTTTAACTGGTAGTTTCTGTATTTCTTAAGGTATCTCCTTGTCTCCTTTCTAGTGAAGACAGAGTCCGTTGTCCACAGAGGGATTTCCACATCCTGTTTGTGCCACGCCGCAGCTTGCTGTGTGAGCAGCGACTGAAGGATCAAGGCGTTCTGGGCTCCTTCATTCACAGAGAGGAGTACAGCCTGGACCTCATTCCATTTGATGGAGACCTATTATCCATGGAGTCTGAAAGCGCCTTCAAAGTCAGTATTGGGTTTCTTTGCATAGGGTAGCACAGTGTGGGGTATATTTCTAAACTGGCTGCTGATAGCCCCCAGTTGGCACCCCAATGCTCAGTCATAGGAGTCATTAGTTGGCAGTGGCTTTGGCTTCCTATTGACTTGAGGTCTAGACTGGAACCAGATCTTCTGCATACCCCACCACCTCAGTGCTATAAGGAAAGCAACTATTCTCTGTGTTGTACGACAAGGTCATGAGCTTCAGCTGCAAGGAAACAGATCTAGGTTTCATATTAAGAGGGTCACTTCCTTCTTCCCACGCATTAAGAACTGTTTCAGAGGCCCTTCTCTTGAGTTTTGGTAACCAGGAAGAGAGCTGCCTTCTGAGTGTTGATTATTGGTTGATCTTCCTAGAGCCATAGGTGAAAATTTCACCTAGGCCTTCAACTGATTTTAGTGCTGCTCTGTTAAGGTGTGTTAAGTGTTTTTTTTGGTCATACTGTTTTTTTATATAAACTGATTTGAAAAAATTGATTTAAAAGTAGGGTATGTATATTCTAATATGACAAATACTATGGAAACCCTCTTCGACATTGACAATTAATTAGCTGGTGGCTGCCTTCTGCTTGGAGGTTTTTAAAAGGAAGCTGGCCAATATATATAGTACAGTATATAGTAATCAATTACAGCTAATTTTACCACCTTGGGGGTGTTACAGTATGTGTCTGAACTCACATGCGTGTCCACCACTCCCATGTATTCATACACACACTGTCAAAGAAGATTGGGATCTTTTGCTAGCATCATAATGTGTGTCTGTTTATGAACATTTGTTTGCCTCCATTCCTGCCTAAATAAAACTGACACCTGATACTTTTTGTTTGGGGCTGGTGATCCTAAAGACCTGTTAACTGCCAGATGGGCAACCCAGTAATTCTTAGAGGTAAACAAATGGCTTTACAGTAAGATTATTGAGAGACATTGACAAAGAAAGCTTGCTTTATTATATGAAATGAAATTGAGAGAATATATAAATGCTGTTTCAGACAGTAAAATTACAATTTAAGCAGGCAGCAACTACTAGTCTCAACCTACAGAAGTGAGTGTGACAATTTTGGCAGCAGGACCCACACGGCCAGTAAGTTAAGAAAGGGAGGGGAGAAAGAGTATCCCTGTCCTTAACTGTCCTTAATACGTGTGTGTTCATTTCTTGTGATCACTGAATGAAGGTCTTCTGTGGAGCTAGGAGAGCCAGCAGAATAAATTCCGTTTGACACACACACACCTATTAGCACAAGGAAGCACTTTGTCATCTGTGCCAGTTTTCTGATCCTGTTTATTTAAAGTACAGTGTTTATAGGATGCCTTTTTATTTTCAGCTTACTGCTGTAAGCTGAGGATACCACCTGCATCCTAAGTTTCTTACCATGCTTTCTTTGTCTTTTTTTAAAATATAGGAGTGTTACTTAGAAAATGACCAGACCAGCCTCTATCACGCAGCAAAGGGGCTCATGACACTCCAGGCACTTTATGGAACAATCCCACAGATCTTTGGGAAAGGGGAATGCGCAAGGGTAAATATGATCTAGAACGCCTCCCTTGTCTGCCATTTCACTGTGTGAATGCCTCTTTGTATGGACAACAATCGCTTTGGAATTGCTCTACTTTTTTCTTTCTTTTCTTAACCCTGCTTATATATAAAGAGGCATGTGGTCTTTAATGTCTAATGAATCCACACACTCTGTGTTATAGTGAATGGGTGTGTGGGTGTATGAGGTGTATATGAGAGACATGAAGAAGATGAGGCTGCGGATTTTGGTTATTCTGCCCCTGTCCTTGGAGGCTGAGGAGCAGCAGTCAGTCTGGGTCTGTCTCTTGCACAAAGGGGATGACAGAACACCAATCTAGAGCTTGGCTCACCACCGCAGGAAGTGAGAGGTGCATATACAAAGATGTCTGCAATGTTTGATGTGTTACTTGCTTCTTGTAGCCTGAGTCATAATCTTCCAAACGCTTCTTTCTTCAGCACGTGGCAAATATGATGATCAGGATGAAGCGGGAGTTTTCTGGGAGCCAGAATCCAATCTTCCCAGTCTTTGATACCCTCTTGCTGCTTGACCGCAACATAGACTTGATGTCACCTCTGGCCACACAGCTGACTTATGAGGGGCTTATTGATGAGATATACGGAATTCAGAATAGTAAGTTAGCAGCTGTGACCAGGATGTAACAAAATTTCTGAGTAATTGGTTCTCAGATGGAAAAAGACCCTTTCTTAGACCAGTACATCTTTATTCTCTCTTCTCATTGTAGTGGACAGTTTCTTCTTACCGGTCACATCCTTTCCTTAGTCAGGGAGTAGGTAAGCAGTTCTGTTCAGAGAAGGGACAACAATCCCCAGTAACAGGTTTTTTCTCAGCTTCCTCACGATATGCCAATTGGTCTTTTGTTGTCATTGTCCCCTTTCTTTTCCCCCAGCCAAGGAAGGCTACTCCTCTTCCTTGTAGGTCTTCTGCTTTTCTTTCTTTCTTTCTTTCTTTCTTTCTTTCTTTCTTTCTTTCTTTCTCAGAGGATTTTTCAGGGTCTCCCCCTCTCGTGCCCTTAAGCAGCATTTTAGAGACACTGGGGATGAGAGAATGACCCCAGTTCTTGTCTATTGCAGAACCTGTGGCTCTCCAGCTGTTGTTGGACTGCCCCAACCGGGATGGTCCAAAAGCACCTGGAGGGCCACAGGGCCCCCATCCCACCAAGTTTTCTAACAGCAGTTTAGTAACTCTCATTTATTTCACCTGACTTAATGGGAAAGTATTTTGCTCTTTTGTCCAGTGGTATTATCTGGTATGGAAAGTGTTCCACAAGTGGGCAGCAGAGGAGAAGAGGGGAAATAAGATGCTTCTCCTGGATCAGTTTCAGTTGGGAAAAATGAAAACTGGTGCCCCTCAAGAGCCAGCTTGGCACTTGCCAAGTGACAGCTCAGTTTCCTTATTTCCCAGTGTTTATTCCTCTGTGTGTTGGAAAGCCAAGTCAGCTCTGTTTTCTTTGGCTTGTATTTTGGCAGCTTACGTGAAACTCCCTCCAGAAAAGTTTGCCCCCAAGAAGCCGGGGGAGGGTGGCAAGGATCTCCCCACAGAGCCCAAGAAGCTGCAGCTGAATTCTGCTGAGGAGCTTTATGCAGAGATCCGGGACAAGAATTTCAATGCTGTGGGCTCTGTGCTGAGCAAGAGAGCCAAAATAATCTCAGCCGCATTTGAGGTAATCGACCTGTGTTATCTTATCCCCACAGATGAGTCCAGATTCAACTGGCTTGTCCATTCAGCCTCAGAAGTGTTCCATATACACCTTGCAGTTGCAGGATGCTGGTCAAATCAGTAGTCAGATCTGCACTTTTGCTTCAGCACTAGTCTTGATCAAGGCTGTGTGTTCTGTAAAAACAATGAAAATTTGTGCCTGTGCAATCCAAATCCCGCACCAAGAAGAAGAACCTGAATCAGCAACATATATGTGTTATGCATATAAGTATATAGATCTACACAATCTATACTTCCACATTTTGTTTTTGTTTTTTTATAAATGATATTTATTAAAGATACATGAAAGTACAGAATAAAGAAAAAGTATAAAGTTTTAAGATATAACAAAAACAGTAAAAAATAAGAAAAAAAAACATACAAAATAAAACAGTTAAAAACACAATAATGTTCCATAGCCTATCTTCCTTACTCTTATTTCCCCGGACCTCCTCATACCTCCCTTCTTTGTATTCCAATTCAATTTGTTGGTTCAGCAAATCCTTACCATTAATCTTTTACCCAATTGTTAACCTTTTTTTCCATGTCTCTTAAAGCATTACAGCTAAAACCTCTTAGTTTCTATCCAACATCCTTCTAAAGTTCCTTAATTTTGCAATATTTCTGTAAATAGTCCTTAAATTTCTTCCAGTCTTCTTTCACCGACTCTTCTCCCTGGTCTCGGATTCTGCCAGTCATTTCCGCCAGTTCCATGTAGTCAATCACCTTCATCTGCCATTCTTCCAAAGTGGGTAGATCTTGTGTCTTCCAATACTTTGCGATAAGTATTCTTGCTGCTGTTGTAGCATACATGAAAAAGGTTCTGTCCTTCTTTGGCACCAGTTGGCCGACAATGCCCAAGAGAAAGGCCTCTGGTTTCTTCAGAAAGGTATATTTAAATACCTTTTTCAGTTCATTATATATCATTTCCCAGAAAGCCTTAATCTTTGGGCACGTCCACCAAAGGTGAAAGAATGTACCTTCAGTTTCTTTACATTTCCAACATTTATTATCGGGCAAATGATAAATTTTTGCAAGCTTGACTGGGGTCATGTACCACCTGTATATCATTTTCATAATATTCTCTCTTAAGGCATTACATGCCGTAAACTTCATACCTGTGGTCCATAACTGTTCCCAGTCAGCGAACATAATATTATGTCCAACATCTTGTGCCCATTTAATCATAGCAGATTTCACCGTTTCATCCTGAGTATTCCATTTCAACAGCAAGTTATACATTCTTGACAAATTTTTAGTTTTGGGTTCTAACAATTCTGTTTCTAATTTTGACTTTTCCACTTGGAAGCCTATTTTCTTATCCAAATTATATGCCTCCATTATCTGATAGTAGTGGAGCCAATCTCTCACTTTATTTTTTAATTTTTCAAAACTCTGCAGTCTCAATTTATCTCCTTCTTGCTCCAAAATTTCCCAATATGTCGGCCATTTGGCCTCCATATTGAGCCTTTTCAGAGCTTTTGCTTCCATTGGTGACAGCCACCTTGGGGTTTTATTTTCCAATAAGTCTTTGTATCTTATCCAGACATTAAACAATGCTTTCCTAACAATATGATTTTTAAATGCTTTGTGTGCTTTGACCTTATCATACCATAAATATGCATGCCATCCAAATACATTGTTAAAACCTTCTAAGTCCAAAATGTCTGTGTTTTCAAGAAGTAGCCATTCTTTCAGCCAGCAAAAAGCTGCTGATTCATAATAAAGTTTAAGGTCTGGCAGGGCAAATCCACCTCTTTCCTTGGCGTCAGTTAATATCTTAAATTTTATTCTGGGCTTCTTGCCCTGCCAGACAAATCTAGAAATATCTCTCTGCCACTTCTTGAAACAGTCCATCTTATCTACAATTTGTAATGTCTGAAACAAAAACAACATTCTAGGCAATACATTCATCTTTATCACAGCAATACGGCCCAGCAACGAGAGTTTCAAATTTGACCAAATTTCTAAATCTTTTTCACTTCCATCCAACATTTTTCGTAATTATCTTTAAATAAGTTCCCATTTTTGGCTGTCATATTAATCCCCAAGTATTTCACTTTCTTTACCACATTCAATCCTGTCTCATTCTGAAACCTCTCTCTTTCAATCGGTGTTAAGTTTTTCTCTAAAACCTTAGTTTTTAACTTGTTCAGTTTAAAACCTGCCACCTGACCAAATTCCTGAATTAAATCTAAAACTCTTTTAGTACTAGATTCTGGCTCCTGTAACGTCAATACTAGGTCATCTGCAAATGCTCTCAATTTGTACTGTTTAGCTCCGACCTGTATGCCCTTAACCAACCGGTCCTTTCTAATCATATTTAGCAAAACCTCCAGGACCGATATAAAAGCAGTGGGGAAATTGGGCACCCCTGTCGTGTCCCTTTTTCTATCTTAAATTCTTCCGTAACCACATTATTTACAATTAATTTAGCCTTTTGTTCAGAGTATATTGCACCTATACCATTTTCAAAACCTTGGCCTACCCCCATCCCATGCAGATTCTTCTTCATAAAACTCCAAGAGATATTATCAAAAGCTTTCTCCGCGTCAACAAATATCAATACTGCTTTGGTGTTTATATTCACTTCTAATTTTTCCAAAATATCAATTATATTCCTCAAATTATCAGACAGGTGTCTTCCCGGGAGAAAGCCCGCTTGGTCTTTATGAATCTCTTTCATCAATATTTTTTCAATCTCTTGGCCAAAATGTCTGCAAAAATTTTGTAATCCACATTAAGTAACGATATAGGGCGATAGTTCTTAAGCTGAGTCTTTTCAGTCTCTGTTTTCGGTATAAGTGTGATATACGCCTCTTTCCACGATTCTGGTGCCCTTTTCCCCTCCAATATTTCATTTATACTTCCACATTTTGTACCCTTCTAGTTTTACTGCTTATGAAGAGAGACAATAAGTTATGGAAGACACTGAAGCCCTCCCCATTAGCTTCTGAGAATTCAGAAAGCACACTTTTGAACATGTCATTACAGTCATAAGACATGGAAACTTGCTTGTATATTAATGAAAGCTGAGGTTCTTAGGGAACTGAATCCTACCCCAATTCCATACTACCAAGGCATACATGTGGACTTTCCTATGGCATGTTGGAATCAGATGTATCTTCTTGATGTCACATATCTCATGGGATGGTGTAGCCATATAATAATTTGGGCAAGCGGCTTTGTCCTTGCAGTCACAAATGTGTGTGCTTCCATGTTGTGCAGTTTCAGGAAATTCCATCATGCCTGGCCTAGCATGATAGTACATAAAAGCATAGATGACTTGAGTTCTGAGCTGTGTAATCTGGCCACATTTTCTGCATTTCTTTCTGCTCCTTTAGAAGGCCAGACCAGCTCACTTGCCTATTGAAAGAGGAACCATTTAAAATTGAGTGCTATAATTGGCACTTTTATGTTGGAAGAACAAGAGAGAGTGCAAGGTTGTCAGATATAATAGGTGATAATGAAACAGCAGCTTGTGAGTAGCAAAAGGCTTATTAATGGCATACTTCATTATTATCTTCCTGCCTGGGCTTGCCATTCATATAGTTTACACTTCAACCAAATTCCACTTTTCAATAAATGTGTTTGGATGTGTAGTTCTTTCTTGTTGGTCTGATAGAAACTGGAAGCGGAATACATACATCTGGATTGTCCTTATTAATAGGTCATTAGACACCTCTGGCAATCTAGTCCTTAGAGTTAAGCTCTGTGCTTTTCATCGTTACTGAGATAACAAGATTTATGTCTCTTCAGGAAACATCCTTATGGACTCAGATAATTTCGCACTTCATTATGTTGGACCAATTTATTTATTTGGATCATTTATAACCTGCTTTTCAATCAGGGTTCTCAAAATCAAAGAGCAAAATTTAGAAACAAAATAAACGTAAAATCAATAAAATGCAAACATCCAAACAAAGGGACAATTTGTAACCATGAGAGTGCATGGTGGTCATTAAAGAAGGCACATGTGTTCTAGTAATTTGGCAGGGGCGCATCTTGGAGGTTTTCTTTCCACTCTGTCATGAGCTCGGTGTGAATTACAATGTCTCCTGCTGGTTTCATATTTGAAGTTCATTAGGTTAGAGAAGAGTTTTACTCTGCTGGGGCCGGTATCCAACCTGGTCACACTCACCCCAGGCAGCTCCTGATTCAGCACAGTTTCCACTGCCCCACAGGCTTTTTTGGTGTTAGAAAAGGAAGAATGTTTTTATGATGTGTAAAACTGCAACATGCATGAAAAGATGCCAGTTAGTTAGAAATGGTTAGATAGGAAATTGCTCATGCTGCCAGAGCTTGCCATTCATTTAGCAGTTTTACACTGCAAAACTGATTATGCAACAAAGAAAGATTATTGGATGGGGAACTGGATATTCTCTTATCAGCAGCATAACTATTTTTTTCCTTAACTGAAAATAGTGAACATTGTAAAGGAGACACATAAGATTTCCATGTTCTCTTGGGGATTGACTCTAAACTGTTATCTGCTGGGCCTGTTTTCCTAGGAAAGACACCATGCTAAAACTGTTGGAGAGATCAAACAGTTTGTCTCACAGCTGCCGCACATGCAAGCAGCAAGAAGCTCTTTAGCTAACCACACTTCTATTGCGGAACTCATCAAAGATATCACTAGTGAGTTTTTACTTATTTATTTATTTATTCATTCATTCACTCACTCACTCACTCACTGCCTTTCCCCCAGATGGGACTCAAGGTGGCTTACAGAATATTCCAGCTATAGCTTTAATAAATTCCCTGTGGATAAGCTGCCAGTGGCCAGATATCAGCACTGTTCTTGACTGAAAACTATTTTCAAATGCAGCGTGTTCATTTACTGTTTTTCATTATTTATTTAAGCATCAGAAGACTTCTTTGATAACTTAACAGTGGAACAAGAGTTTATGTCAGGAATAGACACTGATAAGGTAGGTGAAAATGCTCTTAAAATAGTCCCCCCCCCCCATTGTTATCTAGTATCTCTTGGAATAATGGTGGGTGTCCTTTTTGCTAAATGGAACCTGTTTCTGTTCCACTGAATCTTCTGGAAGCTAAACTTCCTTGGTCCAACATCCTCAACACCAGCTGCAGCTGCAGTCCTTCTGCCCCAGATTGCAACCACTCTTATTGATGAAGAAAAACTGCTCACCAAAAATTGCATCCTGTTTTGTGCTGGTTTCACTTTGATGCAAATTGTTCTTGACATTGTGATGGAGGAGGTTCCATGTCCACTTTTACATCCCTACGAATAAGAGCTAAACATTTTGTTTCACTACCATTTCAAAAGTTGGTGTAGTTTTGTTGGTTTGATTTTTCTGTTTAGGTCAACAACTACATTGAAGACTGTATTGCCCAAAAGCATCCCCTGATCAAGATTTTAAGACTCATTTGTCTGCAGTCAGTGTGCAACAGCGGACTGAAACAGAAGGTCCTGGATCATTATAAGAGAGAGATTCTCCAGGTTAGCCGAATCAAATATAGATCACTCTTGGGAGAACCTTATGCACGATTGTTTAGTGGGGAAACTCAAGTCATCGGGCCAGCTGCTGGTTAACTCATCTCAGTAATTAAAACCTAATGTCAAGGTTGATGTATTTATATTCTATTGATAGGGTATATTTTGTATTTGCATAGCATTTTTTTAAAGGATAATAATTAAAAAGAGAAACAAACATGGTTAATAGTTTATTGAGATTTTGCAGTCTGCTAGTTCATGCTGCCCTTTTCCTCCCCTGGAACAAGTGAGAGCAACAAGCCAGGCAACCTTGACTTATCAATATATGAACCATGGTTGTGGTTTTTTCCTTTTGTATAAACCATGATTGCAAAAGCAGGAACAGTGGCTTCATGTTCGTTGTTTATTCAGGAGAAACAAACCACAATTCCAGGTTCAGACATAATGATAACTTAAGGCTTCATGGCTCACACCGAGGAAGGAGCAAAGCAAGAACTTTTTGGGACTGTGTACACTGCTCGATCCTGACATTGCCATTGACCCATGACTTAGTGTTACATGCAGATGAGGGCATTGCATTTTTAAATGGAATGTTACCTCTGCAGGATTGGGTGGCACAGAAGAAAAACTTCTTAAAAATATCAAGAAATGTTGTTTTTGCCCAATCTATAGCTATCTATCTTGGTTCAATCTAGACTTGCTCAGCTCCTGTTTTTATTTTTCACTGTGTTCTTAGCTTTAAATCAAATGGTTTATTGATTGAAATCTTGGGCTACAGCACTATGTAGACTTACCTTGGAGGAATTCCGTTTGATCACATTGACTCCTACAACATACAGTCATACCTTGGATCCCGAATGCCCTGGAACTCAGACTTTTTGACTCCCAAATGCCGCAAATCCAGAAGTGATTGTTCCAGTTCTTTTGGAACCTGAACATCCGACAGGCTTCTGCAGCCAATCAGAAGCCACAATTTGGGTTTCGAACGTTTTGGAAGTCAAACAGACTTCCGGAATGGATTCTGACTTCCAAAGTACTGTACAACTGTACACATGATTATACTGTCAATGAACCCAAGACTGGTAATGCTAAATCAGTCCATGGTTTTGAACAACCTCACTTTGCTTTCTTGCAGATAGACTGTGCATCTCTTAAGCAGGTCAAATGACAATCCATACATATTATATAAAATACAATATGGTATAGTATCATTGACACTCCCCCCAATGGTTTTCAGTACCATCCCCTTCCTCTATTCTCTACTTGCCTCAGTTCCTTTTCTGTGTTTTATTAAATAGTAAGATAGACCTATAACTTGTAACTGCTGCCACCCTCATGACTTCCGCCCCACCCCAAGCATCACACTGAACATAGTGGAATGACAAGTACTTTCAACTGTACAGCTGGGATAGCGTCTGTAATACTTTCCCCTTTTAGTGTGTGATGTCTTAGTCCTCGCAACTTGTTATTGTTTATACTCTTTCTTTTCTTCTTTTTAATATCTAATTCATTTGTAACTGAAAATCCATAAAATATAAATTTAAAAAGAACATTTTTCTAAAAAAAGAAAGTTACAATACCTTCTTCTTCTTTGGCGAGCCCTCGTACACGGTCTTAAAAGTGAGTCCGTAGGTGACTGTGGAGACCAATTCTGGCTCCACACGTCCTTCCATGTGGGGACATAGGTTTCTGGGCAAGAGTTGATCACGGTGAGGGTTCCTTCCTCTTAGCACATTCTCCCTTTTGTCCTGAGTTTGAGTGTCTTCAAAGCCCATGACATCTTTGGTAAAGTCTGTTATCCGACTGGAGTGCTTTCAGGCCAGTGTTTCCAGTTGTCAGTGTTTATATGGCATTTTTAAAGATTTGCCTTGAGAGAGTCTTTAAACTTATTTTGTTGACCACCAGCATTACGCTTTCCATTTTTAAGTTTGAAATAGAGCGGTTGCTTTGGAAAACAATAATCAGGCATCCGAACAACTTTACCAGTCCACCAATACAACCAATACTAAGCAGCACACATAGGAGCCAACTCCTAGAGGCTATGAGGGCTCCCCCCAAAAAAAAAAATATTTGAAGAGGTGGGCCCTCCAAAGTTGATGGGCACTGCTATTCACATGGTGTGTGTGCACTGTGTCATGTGATTGATTATGCGGGACGGGACTTACCTGGGCCCCCACAATATTTTATTCAAGTTGGTACCCCTGACAACACATGTTCTTGTTACAGACTTATGGCTATGAACATATACTGACTTTAAATAATCTAGAAAAGGCTGGACTCTTGAAGACCCAGTTAACCAGTAGAAACAACTACCCAACAATTCGGAAAACTCTGCGTCTGTGGATGGATGATGTCAATGAACAGGTAAGTGCTTCATCACACAGTTACGGCATTGCTAAAAAATTTATGAAATGCACTGTGGTGAGAAGCTGCTCTTCATTGATCCCACTTCCTTCCATCCTTCCTGCAGAATCCCAACGACATCTCTTATGTATACAGTGGCTATGCTCCTCTAAGTGTGCGCCTGGCACAATTGCTTGCCCGCCCAGGGTGGCGAAGCATAGAAGAAGTGTTAAAGATGCTTCCAGGACCACACTTTGAAGAGAGGCAGCAATTGCCAACAGGGCTTCAAAAAAAACGTAGGTATCTTTGGACACACAATTTGTGTTGTAATAGTGTGCTTAAAGGGCTGCTAATGACAACTGCAGCTTCACCCGCAGTACAGTGGCTTCTTGTTAACACTGGAGCTCCAGTGCAAACAAAGGCTTCCTTGTTCCTAGAGGGTGCAAGTTTGTATGGACTTTTTTTAAAAATGGCCATGCAATTTCAACCCCTCTTCTTGCATGTTGCAGCTCATATGGAGCCCTGGATCAGATGCATGGGTTCAGCCTCCCACAACTCCCACTGATTTCAATGCAGTGCAGGCATTCCCAATGGGTTGGGCCTTGTATCTGAGTGATAGATGTTGCATATTTAGTCGCTGTGGCTTCATTCTGCCTAGGTTAGCTTCCCTCTTCCAAATTGCAGCATAGAAACCTTCTTGTCAAATAAACAATCTAAAACCAAGCTTGGGGAAGTGAGGGCTGGGTAGGTGTTGTGTTGCATAAAAAATAAATTCAAAGTCAGTTTTCCACTCTCTACCTTGTAAACAATCCAGGTCAGCATGGAGAAAACAGAGTCACTCTGGTATTTTTCCTGGGTGGAGTGACGTATGCTGAAATTGCAGCTCTCCGCTTTCTGTCTCAAATGGAAGATGGGGGCACAGAATATGTCATTGCAACAACTAAACTCATCAATGGAACAAGCTGGGTCAAATCTCTAATGGAGAAGTTGGAGCCTCCACCCTTTTAGAACGAGAATCTGCACAACGATCAAGAGACACCATAACTTGATAGGTGTAATGATGAGAAGCAGAGAAGAGGTATCCTGGCAGTGCGAATGGAAGCTGGCCTTGCTGCTGGATACAGGGCAGAAAGCGTGGTGTTCTTGCAGACTCTGCCCATAACTTTGCAAGAGGCTGATGCCTCTCTGAAAGAGGGAACGATAAAAGAAATGAAATGCCTTGAAGATGGTTCCTTACATTGCTTTCTGAAAAATAAGCTTGGGAGGAAACTTAAATAATGTGGCCTGTGCTTTGACTGGGCCCTGCAGTGGATCCACTATCATTATTCCCAGGTTATCTATCTGTTTATTGCAGTTTCTAAGCATCTCTTTGGGAATTAACATATTCCACAATTCCATACATCTCTCAGGAAGATTTCCCTGATACTTCACTTCACCCCCTCCATCCTTTGTACTGTCACTTTATTTTTTGAGTTCTGCCTCTTAATGCCATTCTTAAACTTTCTCGGCAAGTGATGTTGTATAACGTTTGTAGACCTGTACATGGCTATGTCTCCTCTTAGGCCACCATTCTGCAAGTCCTATTGAAAGCATGTTCTAAAACCCTGAATATGTAAGTTTACAAATGGCTTCAGTTCTTTGGTCCCGACCATTTATATGATGCTGATGGTAACACCTCTATTCTCTCAACCCATGCTTTTCTTTCCACACATCCTGAGACATACAGCAACAAAATCTGATTCCCCCCTCTCCAACAATTCTCTGCAGAAACGAGGGAGTTCTCAGTTTTTCTTGTGTGCTGTAAATGTATCTAGATCTCTGTCAGCTTTTCCTTAAAAACTTACTTAAAAGCTTTACATTAAGTATGTTTGTAACATGTACAGTGAATGTAATGGGTGGGGATTGCAAAAAGATCCGGGATCATTTTGGTGTGCCTCCAGTTTTTACTGGTTCTCTCTGAAGACAGCAGTGGTCAGATTAATGCTGATAACCTTTTTGAGGGTGCTGGAGTTCTACATGTGTAAATTCAAGGAGACAAATGTTGATTATAAAGATGCAGTTCCAATGGTTTTCCATTGTGTGTATATGTTGTATTAGACATACAAATAAGTATTAAATTGTCTTTATTATTCATCGAAATAAGTTCTCAAGACAAAGTCATCTCGGATATTTAAATTTCAGGGCACTGCTGTTGCAGAGTGTTGTGGTCAGACTTGTTTAATCTTGGTAAAGATACATAGAGAGATGGTGGAACATGTAGGAACTTTTGCACGTCTTGGGTTGTGGAGGGACAAAGATGGATCATGACTTTTGTCTCTGACAATTAGGGGATAGTGGAGAAATTTGATTCAGTTTGTATTTAAAGGCAAATCAACGTAATTCACACCTACTGAAACATAACCAACCTTTGAAATTTGCACTTCTCCAGCCCAAGTAATGTATACAAAAAAAAATGTACTGGTGGAAAATGTGTATCAAATGCATATATTAGTGAAAATAACATACAAAAACTGCATTAAATTAGGGGACACTGCTTTGCAAAAATGTGTATATTACTCAAAATTGCATACAAAAAAATTATATTAAGAAGAATTTGCACTAAATGCTGACGAAATGTCATAAACACTTTTTAAAAATCCTCAAACTGATTGTGAAATGTAGAAAACTGAAGATGGGGAAAATGAGAACTGAGAAAAGCCACAATTGATGGATTTGCCTTTCTCCTGATAGTTCACCTGAACATCCAGGTGCTTTTCTCAGTCATTGCTCCTGGAGACTTGCTTGCTCTTAACTTTTAAGTTGTGTTGCATGTCAAGTTCTAGCACATTCTCTTGGGTATTCCAGAGGGAGAAGCATTCTCACAAAGCAAATCCAGTGTTGTAGCACTGTTCCATCAACTCAATTTTTGTATGAGCTTAAAAGTTCCCTAAAAGTAATTTTTTTGTGCCCTGAAACTAAATTAATTTGGTTTCTTTTGCCTTCCGTGGAGTCAGGATTTCCCAATAAAGAATGGACAACTATAAAGATAAACAAGAAAAGTAACTACTAGAATTTATAATTCAAGCAAAACATGCAAGTGCCAAATTCGCAAGGAAAATAGTTCTTTCTGCAATTGTTAATGTGTACTAATTGTTCTGTATCAGAAGCACAAGTAAATGAATCTCCTTCAGAACAAGTACGTGATACTTTCACATTAAGCTTCAGTTATTGCTGTAAAGGCAATTGTGTCCTTCATTGCTTTCTTCAAATTTCCAGGGCCAGTTTATAGATTTGTACATGAGGAAGAGCTTGCATGTTTCTGGGGGAAAGCTGGCATTTTTCACCATATTACTGGGGGAGTAATTGCATCCTAAATGGCTTCCTGAGTAGCTTGATTTTGATCTGTTTGTGGGGAAGGCCTTGCTTATCCCAAGGATGATAATTTGATAATGAGGGTGCCTGATTAAATTTAGAGTCCATTTGCTAAGCTATAATGCATCTCAGTGAAACATGTCACTTTAAATAGAGATGCTTTCATCTGAAATAACCAGAAGGAGGCAGGCAGCATTAAGGGTAAAAAATAAACTATTTTTAAAGTGTAGGTGAGTGTGGTACTTGTCTGATAAAGGGTGTGTACAGACACAATTTGAGCAGTAAGCCTGCTGAGAAAGCACTTGCCATGTGGTGTTAAGAGGAAATATATCTTGGACTGAGCTCAGGAAACCAGACTTGTGTTTACAGCAGAAGTCGCCTTTAAATGTTGCTGTAATGTTCTGGAGAAGCTGTGACAATTTTTCTTCTGTGCAAAATGGACTTCTAAGTGTGATGTGTATATAGAAGACTCTGGGTCTGACACTTATAATAATTTATTATTTATACCCCGCCCATCTTTCTGGGTTTCCCCAGCCACTCTGCCACTCTGGGCAGCTCCCAACCAAATATTAAAAACACAATACAGCATTAAACATTAAAAACTTCCCTAAACAGGGCTGCCTTCCGATGTCTTTTAAAAGTAAGATAGTTGCTTATCGCCTTGATGGGAGGCCGTTCTACAGGGCAGGTGTCCTACCGAGAAGGCCCTCTGCCTGGTTCCCTGTGACCTCACTTCTCACAGTGAGGGAACTGCCAGAAGGCCCTCGTAGCTGGACCTCAGTGTCTGGGCAGAATGATGGGGGTGGAGATGCTCCTTCAGGTATACAGGACCGAGGCTGTTTAGGGTTTTAAAGGTCAGCAACAACACTTCGAATTGTGCTCGGAAACGTACTGGGAGCCAATGCAGATCTCTCAGGACCAGTGTTACATGGTCTTGGTGGACATTCCCAGTCACCAGTCTAGCTGCCGCATTCTGGATTAATTGCAGTTTCCGGGTCACCTTCAAAGGTAGCCCCATGTAGAGTGCATTGCAGTAGTCCAAGCAGGAGATAACCAGAGCATGCACCACTCTGGCAAGACAGTCTGCGGGCAGGTAGGGTCTCAGCCTGCGTACCAGATGGAGCTGGTAGACAGCTGCCCTGGACACAGAATTGACTTGCGCCTCCATGGACAGCTGTAAGTCCAAAATGACTCTCAGGCTGTGCACCTGGTCCTTCAGGGGCACAGTTACCCCATTCAGGACCAGGGAGTCCTCCACACCTGCCCGCCCCCTGTCCCCCAAAAACAGTACTTCTGTCTTGTCCGGATTCAACCCCAATCTGTTAGCCACCATCCATCCTCCAACCACCTCCAGACACTCACACAGGACATTCACTGCCGTCACTGGATCTGATTTAAAAGAGAGAGCTGGGTATCATCCGCATACTGATGAACACCCAGCCCAAACCCCCTGATGATCTCTCTAGGTGGCTTCATATAGATGTTAAAAAACATGGGGCAAGAGGATAGAGCCCTGAGACACCCCACAAGTGAGAGCCCAGGGGTCTGAACATTCATCCCCCCACCACCACTTTCTGGACACTGCCCAGGAGGAAGGAGCAGAACCACTGTATAACAGTGCCTCCAGCTCCCAGCCCCTCTAGACGGTCCAGAAGGGTGTTATGGTCAATGGTATCAAAGGCCTCTGAGAGATCCAGCAGAACTTGGAAACAGCTTTCACTTTTGTCCCTAGCCCGCCAGAGATCATCAACCAGGGCAGGCAAGGCAGTTTCAGTCCCATGATGAGGCCTGAATCCCGATTGGAAGGGATCCAAATGGTCCACATCCTCCAGGCGTGCTGGGAGTTGTTCAGCAACCACCCTCTCAATCCCTTAACTTCCTTCTACAACAGATTCTGCATTAAGGGGAGAATTAGCCTCCTGTTTTTAGCACACAAAAATTGTAGGTTGAGAAACCAACCTCAGGCTAACAAGTAGATAGATACATTCCTTTACTAAACAGAACTTAAGCAAGTACAGTATTACATTCTCTTTCCCAATCTATTTAGAAAAGATGTCAATTTTCAGGGATAAACCCCGAGAAAATAAGTTATTCAAATTAATTGATTTCAAGTAACAATTTACTACATGTATGCCTTTACTATAACTGATGGTTTTATTGTTTGCAATTTATGTGTAGTCGATCCAAGGCACGTGTATTTAAAAAAAATCTTAATGTGTTATTGGTTTATGGCAGGAAACATAAAGCTGTTGGTTTAAAACCACATAATTTATAATATAGTTTTATGGTGGGAGGCATGGCTGTTCTGAGATGGGAGGTCTGTGTGCCCTGTCTCACTGCTGTCATGAGATAAGATACCTTTTATTCTCGATTCAGTAATGCAAATTGAGCTATATTAGGACTCTTAATAAAAGAATCAGCCATGGGCCCTGTGCCAGTCTCTCTGGACTCAACCAAGAAATGAGATATTTGTGATGGGAATTGTCATCCAAAACATAATGGAGATGCCTTTGCTCTGATGCAATAGGGTGCTGGGTGCTCCAGTCATCTTGAGAAAATCAAAATGGTAGCAACGTCACAATCACACCATCATCCCAAGTGGAAAGAACCAGGCAGCTGAGTGGGCCAAATTACAGCAACTTTACCATCACGGGTCACCCACTCGTTTTTCTTAAACAAGGGGATTTGTGCCTTTGGTGTTAATCTTCAACACAGAGGACCAGGGGTGCCAACTTGAATAAAATATTGTGGCGGCCCAGGTAAGCCCCACCCTGCATAATTGATCACACAATGCGGTGTACACACACTATTTGAATGGCAATGCCCATCAACTGGGGGGGGGGCATGGCCCCCTCAAATATTTTATTGGGGAGGGCAAAGCCCCCTAGGCTCCTAGGAGTTGGCTTCTATGCACAGGACCATTAAAAAGATTGTAACAGGAAATGTGCAGGAAATCATAAGCTTCCTGAAACATTGGAGCTGAGGTGGAGGTATGAGGCACCCTGATAGTTATCTTTCCTTCTCCTTACCCCTGAGCCCACGGCCAATAGTTGTCAATACATATTAGAGGACTTTTCAGTTTGGATTATGCATACTTGTTTTCCTTCTACAGGGTTGGTGAACCTGTGACCCTTCAGTTGCTGTTGAACTATGACTCCCATAATCCTTGACTGCTGGCCATGCTGGCTAAGACTTAGGGGACACTGAGCCCAACAACATGTGGAGGGCCACAACTTCCCAGCCCTTGCCCTCCTGGTTTCTGTGCCTGTCTGAAGCAGCTGCAGTATATAACTGAAATCATACACACAACCGTTACTGAAAATTGTGGACGGGGAGAACCAGAAACAAAAGCACAATTGTAAGTGGTGGGGGGCGGGAATGACAGTTTATGAAATACAGTACAATGCAATTTTTAAGACACCCAGGCTGAGTGCATTAAACTTTCACTTAAAAAACCCACTAGGGATATTTTTGTGTGACAATGAAGATGAACAAAGGAGTTCTGTATATCCTGCGGTCCTGTCCCTGACCACACCTAGTCCATTCCTACTTAAGCTGCCTTGTAAATACAGCGTCATTATGCCTGCCTCTCCAGATTAACAGACTCGAAGAAGATCCAGCTACATCACAAGCCTCCCCACAAGCCAGACGCTAAAGGGAGAGACCAGAAACAAAGGTGCAGAGCAACTTTAAGTAAATGCCGTCATTTGCCCAGGGTAAGAAACTTCTTCTAAATTAGTTTATATCATGTAAAATATTTTAAACTTGTGGTCTGATAACTATATTGTTTTCTTCATATATATAATAAAACCTTGCATGAGATCAGCAGACATATATTGATATTAAGAATAATTAACAGATTATTAAACAGATAATTAACAGATTATTAAACACAGTTTTACAAATTTATCTGATCATTGCTTTTAATAATTATTGCAGGTGCTTGGCATTATGGAAACTCAGTTCACTTCCAACAGCTTTCATATTGTGTGAGAAAAATAATCTTCCTGGATTAGCTTCCTGGCTTTATTTTTCTGTTGTTGAGACAAACGTGTGTTTCTTTAGTCTGTGACCCTCTCAATGTGTGTGTGCCTCTTAAAAAAAACCCCTTCCATATACAAACACCCTGAGAAAGAATAGGATTTTTTTAATCTTTATACTGAATTGGCTCATCAAATCTTAATAATGGCAAAAATGTGCAGTATGGAATAGGGCAGCCAAGCATATAAGCTCCAAAGCCCTGGGAACTGAAAGGGTGCAGCGCCCTTACTTCCCCAAAGTTTAAGGACCACTGCAGATGGCTATGTTGCAGTAGCGCTGTATATCAATTTTACCACAATGGATTTCCCACTTTAATGCTGGTTATTTGGGGCAGATAAAAAGATGCAAGCTAAACAATATGTACTCAGCCCTAAATCAAAGCAAAAGTTTTCTGCCAGTCTGTCCATTAGATGCAATTATAACATTAAATATTAAAGGAGGCGCCCTCCCTTCGGAGGAACAGACTGCTTTTTATTGGTGCATTTAGGTGGTATTAATGCATTATCAGCTATATATTGAGAGGTTTTGTTCTCCAACTGCACACAATCCATTTGTGGGGTCTAATTTCCTCATGTTTGGCTGACCCCTTTGTGTAGTAATCATTTGTGTAGAATAGATGACATATTACTTGGTCTCAAACTCCTAATTTAGATTTTGCAGAACCACTTTCAAATCTGCCCAGAGTACTGCGACCATCAGCGGCCTGAGCACAGATTTCTAACCATTAACCAACTTAGAGTCAAGCCCCGTTGAATTCAGCAAAACTTACTTATGAGTTAACGTGTATGTGATTGCTCTATTATATATATCGGCTCAGGTCACTGTTGTATATCACAAGATCAGTTTCTGCTTTACAATACAACTTTAATCCTACTTTTGTTTTGTCTCTGTCTCCCTTGCAGATCAGACTATTCCCATGCATTTATTTCCACCACATTGCAAAGCCAGAATCATGCAGGAATCGTTTGCTGTCCATTTCCTGAAGGTGCTGAAGGAACTCCTAGCTTTTGTGCTGTTCAGTTACACAGTGCTGTTAGGGGCGCTGCTGTTGGCTGGCTGGACCACTTATTTCCTGGTGCTTAAGTGACAGCTCATATTTTCCACCAGCAGCTTACAGATGGAGCCCAGATGCACTGTCTATCCAACACGCAATCAATAAACACAATTCCATTTCTATTCTAGAGACTCGACAAGTTTATTTTGTTACCTGCTTAATTATGTACCTTTTAGATATATAAAATGCACGGCAAATTATTTTTATTATTTTTTGGTTGATTGATTGAGGTTATTTATATGCTGCTTTTCCACAATGAATTGTACCCAAAGCAGTTTCACAGCAAACATTAAAAAACACTGAAATGAAGAGCATTGGAAATATACAAATATATAAAATACAGAACATGTGAGTAAATTCTATCAAAATAACAAAAACAAAAAACAATTTGGCAAACATTACCAAAAAAATAATAATCTCCAAACAATATAGGCTTAAGTACATAAATACATGCCTGTTGCCTTTGTCCATGGAGTTTTCTTGGCAACGATACTGGAGTGGCTTGCCGGTTCCTGCTCCAGGTGGATCACGTTTGGTCAAAACTCTCCACTATGACCTGTTCATCTTGGGTGGCCCTGCACGACATAGCTCATAGTTTCTCTGAGTTATTCAAGCCCCTTCGCCGTGGCAAGGCAGTGATCCATGAAGGAGGAGAAGGGGACAACAGAGGACGAGGTGGCTGGACAGTGTTCTTGAAGCTACCAACATGAGTTTGACCAAACTGCGAGAGGCAGTGGAAGACAGGAGGGCCTGGCGTGCTCTGGTCCAGGGGGTCACGAAGAGGCGGACACGACTAAACAACAACACCACATAAATACATAGCAAAACAAGTTAACCAACAATAAATGTTCTGGTCTTGCTGCACTCGAAGGAGCCTGGCTTAATTAAATACAATTCAAATGGCATACTGCTGGCTTTCAGGCTACAGCTGCCTCCCATTTCCTTACTCCAGAGGAGGCTGACTGCAGCAAAAGGCAAATATCAGGGAGCGCAATGATGGTAAGTCTCTTCTCCAACCTTCTGGAAGTATAGACTGCTGGTGCAGATCTTATTGTGCTTTTTGCATATGGTTTCAGGAGTCAGTATTTCAGTTAGAAGATCAATTACAAATTTATCCTCTGAAATTCATCTTCTTCCTCTTGTCTCTCCATGGGAGTACTACTATAAAAACAGAAGCTAGTTGATCAGGCTGTAACTAGGTTCAGATGTTGACTTTTTAAATTATGATTTGTTACCTCACTTGGAGCACACTCCTGGTTTTCTGCTTTTAGTTTCTCTCTCTGATACAAAATCTCTGGCACAATGCTGTCTGGAGAAGGATTAAACCCCAGTGCAATTGTTCTCTTTAAAAATAAAAGCAACCGAGTTACCTGTGGGTCTTGTATAATTTATGTTGTTCAGATTGGGATTGTTTGCATTAAATCCTCAATAACTGCAGAGCAGAACATAAGATAAAAACGTATCACTACAACTTGTAACAGCAAAACAAAAACAAACACAAATAATAGGACTTAAAAAACAGAATGTTCTGAAGGTATCTACATGGGATACCTGAAGTAATCAATGCAAATTGATATTAAAAATATTTTTAGGAAAAAGTGACAACATTTAACCTTTCTGTTACCTATATAATAGTTTCTCAACTGCTACATTGTTTATCGTGGTAAAAGGTCTGCTAAGATTGTTACCTTAAACCCTGAAAGAAATTATATTTTGGGACAATCTATGAGGAAATGAAAAAAATTACTAAAAATTACATTTCACAAAAAAACGGAATCATTCCTTCTTGGGATTCTAACTGACAATATTCCAAAAGAAAGATTAAAATTATTTTTCTATGCAGTGACGGCAGCTAGGATATTAATGGCCAAGTACTGGAAGGGTAACCATATACCAACTAGAGAAGAATGGCTACAAAAGCTGAGCCAGTACTTGGAACTCGCTAAGTTGACTGAAGCCTTAAGGAGCAGGTCAAATAAAATAGCCCAGAAGGAATGGGAATGCCTAAATACCTACCTATCAAGTCAAGGTTCAACAACCAAGATTTGGTTGTGTTTAGAATAAACCCGTAAGTGGGGAAATGTCTCCTTATACCAAGATGAGGAATTTATTGAAATATAGAGATATTGTTTTAGTTATAGGAAATGAACCACCGTGAGGTCGATGGAAGTCAAAAAACCAAAAGTATAATAAAAAGAGATCTACCCCAGAAGGGTCAGTATCTCAGTAGAGAAATGAAATTCTGGGATGCCTATTATAGTTAGGTTGTATTATGCTTATGTTCTTACTTTTTGCTTTTGCTCTATTTTCTTTTTTTTTTATTCAATTGAGATGTTTGTATACTTTGTTTCGTTTGTATCTTCATAATAATTCAATAAAAATTTAAATTAAAAATGAAGTAGTATTTTAAACATCTAATTAAATATTGTATAAATCTGATCACCATGAAACTAACACTTAAAGTTAGCTATTCTACTATAGGTTTTAATTTGCTTAATGTTCATCAAACCTTTCAGTTTATATTTAGGGGAATGTGCATTACCATTGTAATGGTGTATAATGTATATGTGTTTACAAGTTAATGTTTCTGATTATCAGAAGGGCTGAGATCTGGTCTAGATGCCATTTTATGAAATGTTACCTTTATTAAAGTGTAATACTGTACCTGCAAGCAATGCTGGAAATTGGAGCTGGGCCGTGTGCTGTCATATTCATGTCCTGCTTGCAGGCTTCCCACAGGCAGGATCTGGTTGGTCACTGTGAGAACAGGATGCTGGACTAGATGGGCCCCCTTGGCCGGATCCAGCAGGCTCTTCTGATCTTCTTAAAGCATCACACAGGCATATGCAGATGGGACCTTTATGGGACTGTAGGTCCATGACTTAGGTCCACTCTGTCTGAAAGACTGTATTCCCCCATACAATCCTGCCTGGGTTGAGATCTTCAGAGAAGGTTCTTCTCTCGGCGCTGCCACCCTCACAGGCACACTGGGTGGGGACACAGGAGAGGGCCTTTTCAGTGGCTGCCCCCAGCCAGAATGTGGAACTCCCTCCCTAGACAAGCTAAACTGGCTTCCTCCTTATTGACCTTCCACCGGCAGTTGGAGAGTTTTATTGTTTCAATAGGTAACCAACTGTTTTTAAGGAAAGGGCTGGTGCTGGGATGCTTTTGTTGCAATAATCTGTATGGGTGTGTGTTCTATTAATGTTTAATTGTTTTTCATTATTGCTTCCTCCCTATGTTTTCATCTGTTTTATCTGTAGAAATATTATTATAATACTAGTACTGACATCAGTGGTGCCAATACAGGACAAGCAAATAAAAATAAAACAAAAAAAGACAGTCCCCTGCCTGCAAGCTTATCATCTCAAAAGACCTGGCACAAAGGGGGAAAGGGGGTGAGGAGAGGAGCAACTTGAAGCACCAATTTATAAAAGTTAAATGGGAAGTTTTTATGACCAGGTGGAATGGAAGCAGTTCAGGGACAAGAACAAGGAGGAGAATCCCATGGAGCTGGTCTCTCCGCCTGAACTCCCCCTTTCCCGGGGCTGGAGTTTGATGGCAGGAGACAAGTGAAGGAGAGAGAAGGCTCAGTGGTTTCTCAGAGAACACTTCAGACTCCCAGGACATTCTATACAAGATCTCAAAGTAGCTGTCTTATTGCATAAGAATTTCAGAAATAGACTGGAAAGAGAAGTTGCTGAAATGCAACTTATTACCAAACTTAAAACCATGGAGACCTGGTCTGAATGGAGACATTGGATTCTTATCTCCTTATACATGATAAAGCTATTTTTAGCCATCTCATCCCTTGCTTTTTCCTGCAAGACCAATTGCAGTCGTCAACAGGTTTAAAACACCTATCAGCCCCCTTCTGAGTAATCCCCCTCCCCCCCTCTCACTATATATAGAAAGGTCTGGGGACTTCGGTTTCAGTGTATCTGAAGAAGTGTGCAAGCGCACAAAAGCTCATACCAAGAACAAACTTAGTTGGTCTCTAAGGTGCTACTGGAAGGATTTTTTTATTTTGTTTCGACTACCCATAAGTAAATAATAATATATTGAGGAGATGGTCTCTGCCAGTAACCAGCCTGAAAAGCATGACACGAAAGGAAAAGAGGGGAGGGAGGGAAGAGGAAAAAGACAAGCCCAGAGGAGACAGTGGCAAGGAAGGAGGCCCTGACGCCGCTGCCCTCAAGTTCCAGCCAGGAGGCTCAGTGTTTGGCAATGGTGAGGGTTTTTGCTTGTTGCTTTTATTTGGGGCTGATTTGTCATGCTGCTCTTCTGCTTCTTGCGATTTTTCATATTATTTTTATTTCATTTGCGTGTGCTTTTTCTGTTTTAATATGTCAGCTACTCTGGAAGCCTGAGACTTAATATACAGAATAAACGAAAGGCAAACTCTATTAAACCTAAAAGACACACACACAGAAGAACAAACCCGCCTCTGGCAGCGGAAAGGAGAAGGAAAGGCGCGCTTTCCCCTCAGGGCGCGGCGAGGGGGGGCGGGGGGCTCGCAACGCGCACGCGCCAGGGGTCTCTCCCGCCAAAAGGATCACGTGCTAACACGCAAGCGGCCCTCTCGCCCCCCTTCTGACCCCGACGCATGCGTAAAAGCTCGTCCAAGCGCTTCGGCTTGAAACCTCCTAGAGCCAGAAAAATAGCAGAGCCACAAGGGCTCAACTTCCGGTAAAGAAACAGCTGCTGGGTCATTTAAACAGATGGACTCTGCAGGACCAGACGAAAAGACGCTCCGCCCCCACAGCCGTCGACGCCAATTCCATCTCGCTCAGGATTTCCCGGAAGTGGGACTCGGAGGCGCGTGGTCGCCCGTGGCGGCGGGCGGGTAACAAGCTTGCCGTGTCCATAGAGGAGCGCCACTCTACACTTTCGCATCTCTGCAGCGCGCACGTTCTCCTTCCTGCTCTGCGAAGACATAAACAGAATCAGATCTGTTCCAGAGCGGAAGTGACGATAGAAGGCGGCGGCTTCCTAATAATGAGGATTTTTGTCGTCGTTTCTAGCTGTATAATTCCCTCATAGACCCAGCCGGGATCAGCCTCTGAGGAAGGCAACGGCGCGAAACGTGAAGACCGGGACTCTCGCAGAAGAAAAGGGGCGCGGAGGGCTACATCCCTCTTCACGAAATAGCTCTATGGCATTAGCCGTGGCGCTGGTGGTGACGTATTTCCGCTGCGCCTTGACTGAGCCAAGATGGCGGCGGCCTTGAGTAGCCGGTGGCTGCGGAGCTGCTACGCTTTCTTCAGGTATCTGTGGGAAGGAACCAGCTTCCTCCACTTCGCTCTGCCGCCCCCGCAGCTTTGTCTCCCCCCAGCCGCGCCTTTTGCTTCAGTTCACTTCCATAGCGACGTCCTCCTGGGATGAATTCGCTCCCGGAGGTGCTGCCGCCTCCTATAGGAGCAGCCCCTGCAGTGAATTAGTAAATCCTCGGTAGATAATTGAAGCGAAATTTGATCTGGACACCCAGCTAAGTACAACAGAACCCAGTTTGTATTCACTGTAGAAATCTCTCTTCTAACTCTTGCTATTGTGATTTTTAACTGCTCGTTCTGGACGTAGTTTGCCTGTATTGTATTGTTTTATTTGGATTATTTTGCTTGTATTACACCGTGAGCAAATAAAGAAATCAATATCTGCATCTTCAAAGGTACAAGGTATCTTTGAAAATGTTTTATAGTCTAAATCCTGGAGGAGGTAGACTGTTTTGCAGTGACAGATGTACAGTTGAATTGAATTTTATTATTATGGTCACAGACCAGTTTTGGCTCACTTACAATATCAGGAAAATCATAAAACACAACAGGAATACATTGATGTGTACAGTTAAGGAGTTCCTGCTCAGTTTCCTAACAGCCTGGCTCTTGAAATGAGAGGACTGTAAGCAGGACTTGGCTGGCAGTGGACTCCAAATATGGTGGATCTTTGCTGATTTGTCCTCCAGAATTCATATTGCTTATAGCACTTGTACCTAAGATGGATATGTTTTTCCCCCTAGGCACAGTTTTCCCATCCTGGCAAATGGTAAAGCTCGTTGCATGTCAGGATTGAGGGGACCATGGAGCAAAGTGGTAGCACTGGGGTTTGGAGTAACCTTGTCTGCAATTCCTATTACACAGGTAACCCTCTGGGAAATATTTATCGGTTACAATGTCAGGACCCAAGGTTCAACTTAATTTTTAAATTCTTTGGTAGTCTCTTTTTTAAAACAAATCATTTCCCTTCCATTTTGGGTTGAATTTTTCTTCTATTTACACCTCCAGCCTTTCTGTCCTTGTTACTCTCTTATCTGGAACTTGCTGCCTCCTGACATCTGTGTCTCTACTTGTTTGCAGCTGTTTAAACAGTATGTGAAAATGTGGCTATTTGTCAGGTATGGGCAGGAGCCAGAGGAACGGGAGGGGGGGCGATGTGTGAGCCGAAGGAGGCAGGGACTGGTGGTGCAAGAGGAAAGTCAGGAAGAGGAGACAGGGCAATGAGAGACAGAAGAGCTGCAGGAGGCCTCGGATACTGGAGAGACCAAGGTGTTTCTAGAGACAGTTATGGTTTTGGAAACCCCACTTTGTTGCCTCCATGCTCAAGGAGAGGCGTGTAGTGCCTGGAACAGCTAGAGCTGCTGTTGAGGAGGATCCGTCAGGTGTTTGAATGCACTGCAAGTTTAAGACAGGAGGGGATGGGGCCACACTGTAGCTCCAACTGTCCAAGACAGAGCATGGGTCTGCTAGTCATAGGTGCCTAGACAGCTAGTCAGCATGAATATTCTTGTGATGTAACCAAGTGCTTTGCTAATAAAGTACTAAAAATTCAGTTGCTCATCCTTGTTGGTCTGGTTCAACACTGTGCTCTGCCTCCATAGTTGGAGGCATAAATGCTTCTGAATACCAGTTGCTGGAAACTACGAAAGGGGAGTGCTCTTGTGCTTGAATCCTGTTTGCTGGTTTCCCACCTGCATCTTGTGAGCCACTGTGAGAACAAGATGGGCCATTGGCCTGAACCAGCAGGCTTTTCTTAGGTTCTTATTATAAACATACAGCACCTAGCTGCTAAGGTATCATTACTGCTTTATTTTTTTCTCATATAATTAACGGAGAAATCACAACATTTGGCTTTCTTTATATGCAGACACAATGGAATTAAGTGGCAGTGTGAAACAAACCATTTGCAGTAGTCCATTGCAAATTGTTTTTACTGTTTTTAATTGTAAAACTTTGTTAATAGTGTTGTTTGGGGTGGTCTTACTTTATTTCTTTATAATTAATAAAATATTTAAATAACACTAACCCTTTTTCTTAGGACAGAGTTTTGTTATTGGACTACAACTCCTATTATCCCTTACCATTGGCCAGGCAAGTTGTGGCTGATGGGAGCTGGGAATCAGACGACAGGTATAGGGCCTCAGTTTCCCCATTCCTTTTTCCCCCATTTTTTTTTTATTGATTTTCCAAAAATTCAAAACAAACAGACAAACAAACATACAAACATCCTGTTTAAATCTTGGTAACATTATTAAGTGCTTCCTCAAATCCCCTTGGTTGAGTTTCATTATATATCATTTTAACAGTTTTCCAAAATCGATTTTCTCAAAAAATTAACTTGATCACTTAACATCTTTCATTCTTTCTAATTTAACTTTAAACATCTTAAATCTTATCCTTACATATTTAAATCCTAAGCCTAACTAATATTTGCAAGTTTTTCCAATTAAGTTATCTTAACATATTTAGCTAAATAGTCTTTAAATTTCATCCATTCTTCCTGGTACTCCTGCTCCTTCTGTTTGCAGACTCTTCCAGTCAGGTCGGCCAGCTCTGAAAAATCCATCATCTTCATCTGCCAACAGTTTCCCCGTTCCTGTCTTACTGTTGCACAGCAAAGTTTGTAATTTAGAAATGCCTGAGAAATCAGCTACCTGGCAATGGAACCGAGCTTAAGGTGGCACCAGAGGGACACCACAGAGGGTATTCCACAGCTGGCGAGTCACTACAGCAAAGACCCAGAGAAATAAGGATTCTAGTAATGCTAGAGTGAGCCCAATAACACTTTTGAATGAATTGGTTCTGTTGAGCTTTTCCACTTACTATGGAATATGAAATCTTTTTAAAGTTCCAGGCGGCTTATCTACCTTTTAGAGTAATTATAACATTAGATGAGGTTTGTAAGGGTTCTTTCTACTCTAAAAAGTAATAAAACTATCTTACAAGTGATGACTTTTTAGTGTTTTCCTAAGCACAGAAATTAGCCTCCGTCCTCTTCCTGTTATAAAACACTACACTTCAAGCAATCCAATTGAAGTGATTGGCAGTAGATTCAATATGAATTTTCAAAAGGGCATTAATGCAGTGCATAATTCATTTATAAAATTTGTTGCAAGATAACATTTATGATACAGTCATACCTCGGTTTGCGAACGTGATCCATGTGGGAGGCACGTTCGCAACCCGCAGCTTATGCGCATGTGCCGAAACCTGGAAGTAACCCGTTCCGGTACTTCTGGGTTCGGTGCGGTCCACAACCTGAAAACGTGCAACTCACAGAGTTCGTAACCCGAGGTATGACTGTACCTGCTAGCTTTAAAAGTGGAGGTGAATGGAGAATGGGTCTGTTGGTGGCTATTAAAAGCAGTTTTCCTTCATTTTCTGCTTGGGGGCTTTCCAGACATACTTACTTGGTTGAGTTCTGTGAGAAACAGCCTGCTGGACATGATGGATCTTTGTTGTGATACAGCAAAATTCTTAATTAGAGTGACAGTGTCCTTCACATCCACATTCAGCTGGTAAAAACCCAGGTGTCATTTAGTTGCCAAACTTTTAAATGGGAGCAAGATCTGTTAGAGCAAGTGAGAAAGAACCATTTGTTTCCAGTAACACTGTGAAGATTCTTGAAGATTCTCAAAGCATTGAGGTGCAAGATTATTTAGTCTACAGCAGCTATAAATAGATGTGGAGCACAATTCAAAGTGTTGGTGTTGACCTTTAAAGCCCTAAATGGCCTTGGCCCAGTATACCCATTGTTCTGCCCGGACACTGAGGTCCAGCACCGAGGGCCTTCTGGCGGTTCCCTCACTGTGAGAAGCAAAACTACAGGGAACCAGGCAGAGGGCCTTCTCGGTAGTGGTGCCCACCCTGTGGAACGCCCTCCCACCAGATGCCACCAGGGAAGTTTTTAATGTGTGACATTTGTTTGTTTGTTTGTCTGTTGTTGTTTTTTTGTTTTTTAACTTTTTTTAAATTCAAAATTAAAACAACACATATTATCCAGAAACATATCATCTGTATTTTTTTCCCCATTTTTCCTCCCTCCCCCTACCTCCCAGCTTCCCTCAGTTCCAGCCTTTGATTTCTCTGTGAATGCTGTTTTCTGCATGTTACACATTTGTATAGATCCTCAAACTATTTAGCTGATTATCATCAATAAAAAAGTTTGGGAATGTTTATTCAAAGCCAGCCAAGGAGTCCAGTTCACTTTGTTGCATCTTCAAATACTTTGTAAAGGGTTCCCATTCATCTTTAAAGTCACAGTTATCCTTGTCCCGTAGCTTATATGTCAGTTTTGCCAGTTCTGCATAGTCCATCAATTTTTCTTGCCATGATTCTTTAGTTGGGGTTTCTTCAGTCTTCCATCTTTGTGCTATTAGGACTCTCACGGCTGTTGTCGCATACATGAATATGTTTTTCAGCTTTTTTGGCAGATCTTTCCCTACAATCCCTAACAAAAATGCTTCAGGTTTTTAAACAAATGTTAAATGGAACATTTTCTTCAATTCATTGTATATCATTTCCCAATTACATTGCAATCCCACCACATATGATAAAATGTCCCTTCCTTTTCCTTACACTTCCAACATATATTTGAACTAGTTTTGTACATTTTCCCTAACTGCACTGGTGTTGTGTACCATCTGTACATCATCTTTATGTAATTCTCCTTCAATAGGGAACAATCTGTAAATTTTAAATCAGTTTTCCATAATTTCCCCCAATCTTCCATCATAATGTTGTGACCTACCTCTTGTGCCCATTTAATCATGATTGATTTTACCTCTTCATCTTTTGTCTCCCATTCTAATAATATGCTGTATGCGGCCTTCAGTAATTTCACTTTCCCTTCGATCACTTCAGTTTGAAACCTAGATCTTGTATAACTGAATCCTTTCTTGCTGTCTTCTTTATGTGTTTCATATAGTTGTTGATAATGCAACCAACTCTGAAAGTGGTCTTTGAATTCATCATAATCTCTTAATTTCCATTTTCCATCATGGTCCTTTAATAAATCAACACATGTCATCGGCCGTGCACACCTTGATCCTTTCAGTGCTTAAGCTGTGTGATCGTCGCTCTGCTGTGCAAGGGAGCTAGCAGACATGCAAGGAAGTGTTGCTGGCCCACCCTCAAAATTTACAGTTGGAGATCGTAAAATCTTCAAGATATGGGTGGCTGAAATAGCACCAGATATTTGGAACTGGTGATGGAAAGCTTTTAGTATTAGTTTAAAGGATGTTGGAGGTATAATGCTACAGCTGCAAATATGCACCATATAATTTTGTCTTATCCAAAAATTATTATATTCTGTATGGCTCTAGTTCACAAAATAGAAGTAATTGTGGGTTATGTTTTCTCAATGCATTTTATAGTTATTTTATTTGGTTATGGAAAGGTTTTAGTTTTACCAGAAGGTAAAGAACTAACAGTTCATCTATTGACAGCTGCACAGATTGCTATTAGTTATAACTGGGGAAAACGCAATGCTCTGACTTCAGATGAGTGGAGGGCTAAGGTGTGAGATATTGGACATATGATAAAACTGACAAACTCAAAGCAAAAGAAGAAAAGCCTTGGCAATCTGTTCAGTGAAAAGTAGAGACTTTTAAATTATGTAAATATGGGATAATGTCGAGCCACATACTTTATTAGGAATTGCCTGAGGATAAGTAAACATTGTACTAGGTTTCAATAATTAGTTAACAGGTTTTACTCACAGTAGACCTACTGAAATTAATGGACATGTGTAACTTAGGTCCATTAATTTAAATGGGTTTTATCTGAGCGAACACTGGTTTTACGATTCCAGTTGTTTTAGGTCATTTTCTTCTTATAAGTAACAGGGACGCGGGTGGCGCTGTGGGTTAAACCACAGAACCTAGGGCTTGCTGATCATAAGGTCAGCGGTTAGAATGCCCTCGACGGAGTGAGCTCCCGTTGCTCAGTCCCTGCTCCTGCCATCCTAGCAGTTCGAAAGCACGTCAAAGTGCAAGTAGATAAATAGGTACCGCTGCAGCGGGAAGGTAAACGGCATTTCCGTGCGATGCTCTAGTTCGCCAGAAGCGGCTTCGTCATGCTGGCCACATGACCCGGAAGCTGTCTGCGGACAAACGCTGGCTCCCTCGGCCAATAAAGTGAGATGAGCGCCGCAACCCCAGAGTCGGTCACGACTGGACCTAATGGTCAGGGGTCCCTTTACCTTTACCTTTAACAGATAGTATTATCATTTTGGTATAATTTTATATATTTTGCACATTCATATATATATTTATACTTTTGATTAGTGTACTCACTGTTACGCTAATAAAATATTTTTTAAAGTTAATGACTTCTGGCTTTTTTCTTTTTTGCCGGCAGCCATGTCAGGTTTCCAGATTTTGAAGAGCTATTATTTTGAAAAGCAAGCTGACAAACGCATAATATTTGTCTTTCAGAAACATGATCCAAGCTCACTTAGCAATGAAGCGTTAATCCGAAGAGCTTTATCTTTAGTAACCGATAGCACTGGTACCCTTCTCTCTCAAACAACATATGCGTTAATTGAAGCTCTAACAGAGTATACAACGGTAAGATGCTCTGTCTCTGAACTTCTGAATTCTGTAGCATAACACAAACTTTTAGTTAGCTGGGTGCTACTGAGTATGGGTTGTTTCCTGTTGCAGGCAGTTTACACGTTGGTGTCACTGTACCAGAAATACACACACCTCCTTGGGAAAATGAATTCCAGTGAGGAGGATGCAGTTTGGCAGGTGATCATTGGTGCTCGAGTAGAGGTAAGGAACCAGCAAGAAACCTGGGCTCAATGCATCTTTTTCAGGAACCAGTATTCCAGCATTGATATTCTGGATATGGACCCCAAAGGCCTGATTTCAAATTCCTTACTCCATTCTCACTTGAAACACAGCTTTTAAAAAAAAAAGGAAAAAAGAAAAAAAAAAGCAGGCTTAACAGTGATCGGATATACAGCTGTAAGTTCAAATGAGAGTGGTTGTAAACGAATTGTGCCAAATCAGAAGTTTGCTTTTATTTAACCTAACCTGCTTATAAAATGTTTATTTTTTGGTGGAATAAACAAGTTCAGATGCTGTTTCTCATTGTAGCTTTTGTCTTTAGATGACTGCGAAGCAGCAGGAGTACCTGAAGTTAGAATCCAGGTGGATGACTGCATTGCGCCTTTCAGAGATGGCAGCAGAAGCAGCGTATCAGTCTGGTATTATTCACTGAAGCATATCCCCATCACTGAATAGCTCCCCACTGTTGTCCTTTCCAAGGCATTTGCATCTTAGGACAAGTTGTATTCACTTGAATTGTCTCTCAAACACTTTGGTCCAGAAGAGTGTTCATGTAGGGGTGTTCCCACACCTGATTTTGGAGTTTGGGTTGTACCATAGAGGCCCCCCCCCCCCGCCTTCCAAAAGCTTTTTGGAGATGTTAAAAGAAAATAGCACAACATGCATATATGTGTTTCATCAAATGCAGACCATGTTTGGAGAGACCTTTTTAAACTAGCCTCAGAATTTGTTGTCCTGTGATGTGGTGAAAGAAAATAATGGAAGGAATTTTGCAATACGGGTGCAAGGAAAGTCTGCATCTGCAACCATGTATGTCTGCACGTTGTTGTCATATGACAGCCATGTCTTAATGTGAATGACATGTGCCCATCCATGAACACCCTTGGATGTGTGCCTGGACCCAAGTCCAATCACTGTTGTGGTGTAAAACTGCTGATTTTAACATTACTTTTTCAGGAGCTGATCAAGCATCCGTTTCAACACATAACCACATTCAGCTGGTGAAAACCCAAGTGCAAGAGGTGCGGCAGCTGTCGCAGAAAGCAGAGACTAAGCTGGCGGAAGTTCAAACTGAGGAGCTCATGAAACTGACAGAAGAGCCACCGTTGCTGCCAGCCGGTCGACAAGCCAGCGTGGAGGAAACCGATGAAGAAGCCTACCTGCGTGAAGACTGAAGTGTTGCTAGCCTTGAGGATTTTGCCCCCAACTTTGATGGGGGAAGGAGGTGCTAAGTTGAAATACCAACCTTGTTAGCTGCAGGTCTTGGACATTGGAAGTTGTGTTTCTGATTTGTGGGAAAGTGTTTCTATTTAAATCAACTATGCAAATGTGAAAGTAGCCAGCTGAGGGGTCCTTTCTTGGCTGTGGAGATCTATTGTTAGAATGGCTAATGAAGATGATTCAGTAACAGGTCCTCAAACTCTCAAAAGCCTGGAGCTAATTGTACCTTCAATTTCAAAAGTGTTGGGTTTTTTCCTTTGAAAATATTTACTTGGGTTGTAAAGGAAATGAAGTCATGCTAACTATTATTGCACCTGAAATTTCACAAGTAAGTTGCCAGAAAGTCAGTTTAAAAGATAAATGTCACTTGTGTGTGTATATGCTCCCCCCTAATTATGTGAACTTTAGCAACCTCTTTTTAAAAATAAAAGTTAGCAGGACTTCTTTTAACTGTAGCTAAAGGCAGATTCTTAATAGTGGACTGTGCAGACAATTGTCCCAATATGGCACAGGTGATCTACATGCTAGCACACAGTAGCTGAAGTCACACAAGGGTGTCTCATTACATAACCACAACCAACAACAGCAATAATTTAATCACTCAATTCAGATAGCTGCACCCAGCAGTGGGAATAATCTGTTGTCCTAACATTATGGAGTAAAAAATTCAAAAGGTGATGGGGAGAATAGGTTGTGCAGCATCTATCACACTACTAAAAGGCACCTTTTGAGACCAGTGATTAAAATTTTCAGTGCAATCTTGCACATTCAATATGACTTACTCATAAGTGCATTTAATCTAACTCCAACAAAACTGCGTTTCAAATCAAATATACCTCTGTATAGCTTAGAGCTTATAAGATATAGAGGTGGGTTTTATCTTGCTCAAACACAAAGTGAAGAGAACCCTTTGGAATGCTATGTGAGCCAGGTAATGCCAAAAGTGAAGAAAGAAAGGCGGGCTAGGCTTTTTTGTAAAGGCAAATCACTTCCAGTGGTCAGATGGAACTGTTGCACACAAACATTCACTTCTCACTGCTGCACGCATCATGGCTCGATAGACACACCACAAGTATCCTTTCATCTCCTTTTTCATACCACCATAATTGAATGCCCCTTGCTATCAATTACAGCCCTGCATGAACACACTAATTGTAAAAATAATAACACATCTATGCCTCCCCAAGAAAGACACCGTTCTCATAGATTGCAAACTAAATTTAATGTTCTCTTCTCCACCCACCAGCTCCCAACTTTAGGGAAGCATAAATCAGATTGCATCAGAAAAGAAAGTAGTCACAGTTCTTTTTTAAAATACAGGACCCCTGACCATTAGCTCCAGTCGTGACCGACTCTGGGGTTGCGGTGCTCATCTCGCTTTATTGACCGAGGGAGCCGGCGTACAGCTTCCGGGTCACAGGAAAGGTATGCTAAAAGGAACAGCCGAGACGTGGGCCTTGTCAGCAATGATTTGGATTTCTGCTGTTTGACAATGCATGATGCTTTTTTGGAGACAACAAGGCAGTCCATCAAAACAAAAACTGCAGCATGGAAGGCCCAGAGATTTTCAGGACAGGGGAATGCAAAAGATGCAGCTTGAGAAAATGTAAGAAGGGGAGAATCCAACTTGACATTGCATAATAATAATTTTTAAAAATCTATACAGAAATTTGAACAACAATAATAATATGAAAAGATGTGTCTATGTGTGCTTGTAATGCACATCACCCTTACAACTAAGCCCAGGAAAGTTACCTGCCCATTAACATCTTTACTAGCCTGTTCACTTACCCTGTTTATGTAAATTTATGGAGCTGACAAGACTAAAAAATGGGTGATGGGGAGAAGAGAAAAAACACGGTTTTCCAATTTATTAACCCCCCCCCCCCACTAGCTGGTCACCTGGAGACACTTCACACATGCAGGTGATCAGCTGCATTGCCCATTTTCTGTTCCCCGTCTCCCTGCAATCTTTAATTTTAAATGCTGCATAGACATTTCTTCTATCCATTATTCTCAGTTGTTGCATGGGAGTTTAACCCCTATTCTTCCAAATAATTCAGCATTGGTGTGAAAGGGAAGGAAACAAAGCAAGCCAGGGTTATTTGCAGTTCCACCCCCAACACACAGTACTTTTCCTGCCCAAATTCCAGTGAGAAAAATGACTACTGAAACATGAAAACCATGAAGACATGTTATGGCTCTTGGTTAGGCATGAATATATTGTGCAACATGTATTTCGTTACAGCACAGTGACTTACCCCTTAGGTTAATACAGAGGTTACCGTAAAAGACGATTCGGGGTTTCTATCTGTCCAGCTCTCCAGGCCTAGTGAAGCACACTGCACCTGCCTTCCTCCAGATGCTTAACTACAGCCCCATCTTCCTTGACCCCTGTCTACTGCTAATGAAGTGCAAACATCTGGAGGGCCCTCAAATTGGGAAGAGAAGCACCTGAGTTTGGAGAACAGCCCAAAATACCCCTGGACGTTACGCCAAGGCCAAGGTGGCTTGCTACTGTAGGAGACGCCAGTGGTCTAGAGACACTACACATTTTAACAAGTTTAGCTGTTGTGGGTCCTCTCTCCCTGAGAATTATGGGATTTGTACTTTTACAAGCTCATACCTCGTCTGGAAGCCATGAAAATGATTAAACATGTTTTAAACTGATCTAAACCTGTGTAGAGGAGACATGTCTTGATGCCAGATTAGAAGAGGACATCCCCTGGGGTTAGTCTGATGGGGAATGTTATTAGTCGTGCCTTTTCTGTTAAAAAAAACATCCTGCCTTTCACCATCATGTAACTCAGGGTATCCACTGGTGCTCTCTGCTTATAAGAAGAGTCTGCTGGAGCAGGGCAATGGTCAGCATCCTGCTCTTCTGGGAAGCCCATGAGCAGAACCTGGGTACCATAGAAGTCTCCTCATCTGTAAGTACCAGCAACTGGTGCTGAGAGGCATGTTTCCTCTGACAATAGTGGAAGAACATAGTCATTATGGCTGGTAGTCTTTGATAGCCTTATCAGGCACTGAACAGACTGAACCTGCGTAGCTCCATTTTGTGTGCCCTCAGACCACATCCTGCAACCAACATTCCACCAGAATATTTGAGACTTCACATATTCGCTAGTGAGACATTTACAAAGACTGCCAAAAGTATTACACTGGTTGCTTTACCGTTGACCGTAGTGCTTCAACAGAGAAAATACGATTTTTTAATGTTTTCTCTCAAGTTGAAGTTTTTTCTCTTTATGGACCAATGTACTCCTGATGAGTACTTCCAGTCAAGGTGAAGCTGGTGCAGAAGGTAACCAAAGAAACAGAAAAAAGAGACGACTTTATTTTAGGATGCAGCCATTTACTCCAGTACCAGGGAGAAGATGCTACCAGGAAAAGCATGAAAGCAAACCCTCCCCCCCCCTCCTCAGCAGCTGCTTCTGGGCATGGCAGGTTGCTAACTTTTGAGGACATCTGTAAACAATTTCGGGTGTGGGGGTGGGAAATCAGTGCATAAAATTATTCTACCATAAACAATCTAAAAAAAAAGGAAAGATCTCTGTTTATATCAATTTAAGCCAGCTCCTATCAAAGTCTCAGTCTGGTAGTTTTACTGCACCAGACACATCCTAATCTATCCTATAGTTTCTGAGTTACTGACGTGGCACATCGGAGGTTGTCGTCTTTCAGCAACGTCCACATGACCCACAGCTCCGTTGGGTTCAGTTTGTGTATAATCATCAGTTCTTTGAAAAGGCAGGGATCAAAGGGATTAAAGGGCCTCTGGATTCCAAAGGTCTTAAAGCCAGGATGGTGCATTGGGATGATCCCCATTTTGGCCAAGCACATCCCAACAAAGACATCGTCTATTGGGAACAACTCAGTGTCCTCAACCGTCACCTGCAGCTGCTGCACCATCAGCCGTGACATGACATAGCCGCCGCCACCAGCATAGTGTGGATAGAAGGATGCCGGATACATTGACTCTGGGATGAAATACTTGGTGCTGGTGTTCCTGATTGGCCGGGCTTTGCTGATGACATCCCCAGCAAAAAGGTATTTGTCAGGGTCCAGATGCTCAAGGAACTCTACAATGTTGTGCGTGTTCACAAAGACATCATCATCGCCCTTCAACACAAAGCAGGCATGGGGGCAGTCCTCTGCCACCCACCGAAGGAAATGCAGCTCCTTCAGTGTCAGGTTGAAGAAATTATCAACAAAATCCCACTGGAGGATATCGTCAAACTCCAGGTTTTCATAGGCCAAAAGCTGGTGGAGGGAGTGAGCCTGAACTTTGATCTCTGAGCGGCCAAGCAAGAAGAGGAGCCTCACCAATTTCCCACCAATAATGGCCTCCTTCCCCCAGGTGCTCCGGATGGCTGCGCGGCGGTCTATGTTGACAGGGGTGGACTTGATTGCTAGCAGGAGGAAGGTCTTTGCAGCACATCTGGAGGGCTTCAGCAATGTCGAGAAATTCCGGCAGTGTTTATAGGTTAAGAAAACACGGTGAACCTCAGGGAGGGAGGGAAAGAAATTCGTGACCATCATGTCTGGCAAGCATTTGCTTGATTTCGGCAGCTTGGGAATGCTCACGTTTGGCCTGCGCAGTTCTCTGTTTGCCAAAGACGCAACCAGCTTGGCATCTCTCCTTAAGTAGACCAAGCATGCAAGTAATAGAGCTGGTAAGATGTACACCGAGAATCTTCTCATCCTGGTCTGCATCTCAGCTAATGTTGGAGAACTGAACTCCTACATGACAAAGATGGAGGACAACTGTGAGGTTACTTTTCCATGTGCTCTGTATTAAGTTAAGCAAGTGAGCACACAATCTGTTCTGTTTGAAATATTATGAGCACAGATGAGATTCCTACTACCTTGATAAAATCACACAACCCCACACCTGATTACTTGGGCTGTCAACCCGATTAAAGAAATCTTAGCAAATAAATAGTATGAGTTTCAGCAAATTAATTGAACAAATCTGAATCTGAGCAAAAATAATGCTGAAGCAACAACACAGTTCCTTGCTGAAGAGAGGGAAACAGTAGTTGCCAAATTCAGTTTTATGGGTACTTCATATTGTTAAGATTATACATATGTCAAATCTGCTACAGATTAATCAAAGAGCACTATGTAATCAAAGGGTTTTTTTAATTGGTTGGTTAGATTAATCAATTAAATATTGCAGACCTGCTTATTACCTCAACACCCTTGTAAATTGTCTTCCTGAAGCCCTTGCTATTGTTTTTACCAGGACATAATTTCTCAGTGTTTCTACACTAAGCGGGGCATTCATTTTGGGTGAGCCAACATGACTAGCTCCACGCAGGCATCAGATTCCAAGAACTGCCACTTTCACTGCAACCCACCAAACACACAAAAAGCAAATGAGTAGTTCTCATAACTGTAAAAAGACACAACTGAAGACATAGAGGCAGTTGGCTCAAAACTAGGACTCTTAGTGGGATGGAGCGGAATCCAATTCACAAACGGTGTTTCGTGCAAGTGATGTTATACCTATGATTTCACCATAGTGTAATACCTAGTGTAATACACACCTTCCATGGCTCACATGGAGCTGTGCCTTGCAAGTAAAATCAGTGGCAAAGCTTACTTGCACAAGAGCTCCATCTGTGTACTGCAAAAGACATGATGCTCTGGATCAGAATCCCTCTCTCAGAGGCACACGCAAGCTCCTAGTTCTGCTCCTATAATCTGCACTCACTTACCCCCTCCCTCAGTCACCACTCACCACAACTATGTTCTTTTCTCATTAGCTGACATTTCTCTAACTATTTCTGCCCCAAGAGCATCGGAATAAAGGCAAGTGGCTGCCCAGCTACCTAAACATTTGCTGATGCAAACTGACACGGATGCCTCCAAGTTGCCAGCTGGTTGAAGAAACTGATGGAAAAGAAAAATGATGAAAATAAGCAAGAGGCAGTTACAGATCTTCAGGTTTTGAGTTTTCTGGGTGCAGAGCAGAAGAGCTCCTTCCCCTAGGTGGCATGGTGCAAGTTCAACCACACAGACCAGCTGCTGTGGACCACACAAGAGTCTCATTGTGAAACCAGGTGGTCCACGGAGCTGCTCCCAACAGCCAAAGGAAGTCTCAATTAGCATCGTTTACAAGCAGTTGACTATTAGCAACAAAGAGCAGGAATTGCCTGAGTACCACCCAAAGGGGCATTGGTCAGCTGATCTAGCACCTGGGCAGGAAACCAGGGCTGTTGTGTGGTGGCCTACTCTGGTTAAAAAAGAGGCAAGCCTGACTTCAAAACCCTGCGGCTGAATGTGGTTCCTAGTTGCTTATTAAGCTTTAATACAGAATTGAAGTGTGCACACTTCTGCCCCATGAGATGCCCCACCATCACGTCCACCCAAAAGTTCATTTTTGTGCAAGTAACTACAAAGTGTGATGCCTCATCGCCAATCCTGGCTGACATGCTTCTAAATAAAGGTCTGGCGCTCCTTCCCTGGAGACTGTGCTGTACTGCATGTCCTGCTGTCATGAAGCCTTGTCACTTTTAGACTGCCCAGTACAGCAACGGATAAGGAAGTGTCATTGGCCCAGTCCGGTGGAACTCTCTGTCACTGGAGAGTCAGCAGGCACCTCCTGTGCCAACTTTTAAACACCTGCTGAAAACTTTTCTGCCAGGCCTATACAGATAATGACTCCAAGCATGGGCTACTGGTGTCTGTTTTTAATTTCCTTTTGTTTTTAACTTGTTTTAAATTTTTCATGATGCTATTGTATTTTTATAAGAAATAAATAAAATGATAAATCAGTGTTACCTTTTTGCAAGCTGTCAGCCAAGCCTAAATTTCCCCAGCTGCTTCCAGGTGAGCAGGCTCAGGACGGAAAAACAAAACCCTGGGAAAAAACTGCGAGAAAAGTCTCTGCGCATCCCCGGTGGGCCGCCGCAATCCTCCGAGAGAGCGGAGGCGAGCAGAAGAAGGCGGCGGCCGGCAGGCAGGCAGGCGGGCGGGCAGGCAGAAATCCGCCAGGTCCCCGTCGGCAAAGACTCTCCGCTTGCTCCGCTTGCCTCGCTCGGCCGGCTGCCTGGCGCTTCCTCCGAGCGGGAAGGATCGGGGCTCCGGCCGCCCTGGCCGCCGCCTCCGGGGAGCCGCCTTCCCTCGTCCAGGGCGGAGTCCGCCCGCCCCCCGCCCCGCGGGACTGGAACCGGTGCTGCGGGGGGCAAGACTGAACAAGGTTTTCTCCATCCCTGGGCTAGGTACCCATTATGCCTTGAAAGAATATTCAAAGTACATTCTTTCCCTGAAATAATTATGGGCAGTAAAGTTTAACCCAAGCAGAGCTGCAATTCCCAGTGACTCTTAACAAACTACCAAATTAATGTACTGTTCCATATTTGCTTATTAATAAAGATCACAGTGCTTTGTAAATGCCAGTCATTTTGCACGAATTAAAGAATTTATGATGAATACATGTACGTTTAAGAATGCTGGAGAAGGAATTGGGGGTGCAAGGCTTTGGAGGAACTTAGTCCTGGGCAGGTTTGTGGAGGTGCAGGTGGTGTGACACCAGTACCATTGATGCCCCAGGCAGGAATACCGTCTGCGTGGACCAGGGGTGTACTCAGCACCTCTCTCTCTCTAGAACATTTTATTGATTTTATAATAAAATGGCATTGATCAACTTCCAACAAAACCTGCAGTCTTACATGCATAAATTAGAAAATATAGAAGGGACACTGTCAAAACTGAATCTGCCCCTCTTTTTCTGAGCAGTAGGACTGCCCCCAACTGCCATCACATTGCAAAGGTATCTCACCTTTGAAATGAAACGACAGCAAACCCACACAGACTTATGGTGTCTTTATTTGCAATATTAGGGTTTTTCCAGACTGGTGATTTTTGTGGGGGTGCTGTGCAGCAAAAATAATGCATGAGTGCTGGATTTAAGCAGGAGAGTGTGCAAATTATTCCATTTTATTAGCTGTTCTGTGATACTGCTGCAGTGTTACTGGGGTCTGGAGAGGCAACATCAGGACAAAAAAAAAAAAAAAAAGCAACCCCAGAATATGTATGCTCTGAAAAGATACAGAATTTCAGGAGGAAGTTATGGGACACGCACTGATTGGAAATGAAGCCATATGCCTGCCCCAAAACGTTGGCATCTGCCAGCCTTACTGAAAGCAGAATCATGTATAACCACCCTGTCAAATCATGCACAATAAAGAGCACTTGCTCAGTTGGTTAGAGTGTGGTGCTGATAGTGTCAAGGTTGCAGATCTGATCCCTGTAAGGGACAGCAGCCCAGTTTATGATGCAGCCTCACTTTTGGCCCCCTTCTCAAGGCTCTGTGATGAAACCTCTTTTCCTTCTGCAAGGACAATGCAATGCCTGCTTCCGGGGGCCTCTGAATGTGTGGTGGGCACGGAATGGAGAGAATCGCCTCCATGGAGGACAGAGAAGGGAGCTTTGAGTGTGTGGAGAAACTGGCCTACTGTACGGGGCAACATTTACGTTTCTTGCTCCACCCACTTTTGACTGGCCCCACCCACCACCAGCACATGGCCCTCAGAAGGCTGTCCAGGAGGGAATGTGGCCCCCAGGCTACAAAAAAAACCCCTGCCTGGACTAGGAGAAGCAGCAGTGTGGAGAAGCTGAAGAGGAGGGAAGAAGGGAAGAGATTGTAGAGCAGAAAGGAGAGTGGAGGCTCTGAGACTCTGAAAAGTCCTGTGACAGAAACTGTTATTAAACTGGCGACAGTTAACCGACATTATTCATTGAGTCATCAAACCCCCAGTTGCCAGGAAACTAGCAGGAGTTTCAAGTTGGGTCAAGTGTTGTCTAATTTTCCCATTAAATGTTACATAATTGTTCCTGAAGTGGCTTGCAGCATTTTACAAGGTAAATAAATATTGTTTTATTAGACTCTTGAGTAATTGTCCATTGTAGCCCTGAATCCCTGTGTCCAGTTCTCCCCTCAAAATAATGTCTATTTCTCACAGGGTCTCCTACCACTTACAACCAAACCATAGCAATATATCCAACATGGCAGGTTGCAGGTCAGCCCCCTTGGCAGATGTATTGGGTGATGGCACTGGGTTGGCAAAGGCTGGAGCAACCAAGTTCCTGGGACCAATACACAATAGGTATAAGTAAAATCCCAGTATATATGTATGTACATAGTTCTTTTAAAAAGTGGGGCTGCCATAGAACCTATGCCAGCAAACGCTTTTGGATTTACTGACCTCTGCTCCTTACAAAGTAACACTAATATGATCAATTCACTCCACAATAAAGATGAGAATTTATTCTGCAGTTTTATTAAGTTTAAATTCCTTAAAGCATCACTGAGATCACTCAACCTGATTTTAAAAAGGGGGGAGGGATCCAAGACAGAATTTGTTCACCAATCGTTCCAAATAACGCAGGAGTTTTTGAAGCACCAAACCTTTCTTTCTTGCCGAGTTCACACAACTACATCTTGCATTATGAAAAACACAATGGACCATAAAAAATCTGTTTAGTTGTTTTCCATACACAAGTAACAATTTGTTTTATTAGGGGGAAAATCCCTTTACAAAGCACCAAGAAACAGTTCCTTCCACCTCCCCCCTCACGCCCCCAAAAGATCACACGGTAGGGTTATTATTTTAAAGAAAGGAAGTTACTCATATTGGCCACCAAACACAAAGGTCTTGGGAGTTTCTGGGACACCGGACAGGCAGCCGGCAGCCTGTATACTCAATCTAGCCCACGAAAGGGCTTCTTTTCTGGCCCTGGTGTTAAGCCTTAATCTCATGGACTCTCCACACCTATTTTTCTCTTCTCCCGTTTTCTCCCATGAAAGCCAAGCTCACAACCATTTAAAGCTCATGGCTTCTCTCCAGCTCAAGTAGTCCCAGGAGCATTCACATACTCCCCCTGCAAAGCTACAGTTCCCAGAATTCTTTGGGGGAGGCCATGTGATTTAAACAGATGGTGTGGTTGTGACCTGATTTTAAGATAAAGGGCTCTCAAACTTCCTTTCCAAGTCCACCAGCAGCTAATGGAAGAGAGGTTCTGCCAGCACTCTCCTGCTTACACACCCAATTTCCTGGGCCCTACTTGTAAACCAACACAGGCAAATGGGGGCTAAGTATCCAAAGTCTGTATGGGATGTGTTCTGCCAAAGCTACCACTGCCGTTGGCAGTGTGGAAGAAAAGGTTCAAGAGCCAATGTGATGCCCTCCAGATGTTGCAAGGACCACAGCGCCCATCACCCTTGACCACTGGGCTACGCAGGCTGGGCTGAGGGGAGCTGGCATCCAACAGCATCCAAGAGCACCACACTGACCTTCACTGGTGACAATGTCCTCCTTTAGCCCACACACAGTTAAAAATGGGGATGTAAAAGATTAGTGACTTTGCCGTTTACTTCCACGCTCAGGATCCACAATGGGTTGTGCATGAAAATCACGTTGACCTGCTTTCTTCAGATCTGTATAAAATTTTAAGCCAGGAAAACTGTTTCAGGAAACTAAGTGCATAGTCATGCTTCTAATTCCAGCATCTCCCCTTTCTCCAAAAGAGACTGTTGAGGGCTGGGAGGATGAAGCATTGAAATCCTGGTGCCAACCCAAAGTCCCGGGGAACTGATGGAACTATCTGCTAGTCACTGCTAGTCGGTTCCACTGGTTGCAAGATGTGTCTAAATGAGGGCTACAACCTTTCATATTTTAGCAGGAAAGTCAAGTATTATTTCAAACAGTGGCAGCAAATCTGTGCTCTGTTCCAAAACAGGCTTTGCCAAACTGGTGCCCTCCAGGTGCTTTTCTGGCTGGTTCCGATGGAAGCAGTAGTCCAAAAGTAGTCTTAAAAGCTAATCTTAAAAAGAGGTATTTCTAAAAAATAAAAAAAGTTTTAAACACAGACCCAGAAGTCAATCTCTTTATTTAAAAAATAATAAGTAAAAATAAAGTGAATCCAGCTGTTGTGAGCACTTCCTTGCATCTGGGAAACCTTCCCACATACAATTGTCAGTGAGGATTGGGGGTGTCAGTGAGCCTGCTGAGGATTGGGGGACGTGGTCTAAGGAAAACACCCCCAGTTCTTCAGAATGCTGCTATCTAAGCCTACTGGGCACTATCACCACTGAGAATGCACTCTTTCTATCACACTCAACATCCCCGTTGCCTAAAAAACCTCAAGTGAAGAACAGTGGCAAGCATGAGAAACATGCCCACAGTCTTCTAGTCTTCCCACTGAAAAGCCACCAGTAGTTTCCTAGAATCTTGAGCAGTTTTAAACCATAACCAGGAATGAGAACATGCAGCCCTCCAGATGCTGCTGAACTACAATTCCTATATTCCTATAATCCCTGACAATTAGCCATGCTGGTTGAGGCTGATGGAGTCCAACAGCATCTCGGGGGAAACAGGTGCCCCACCTCCAACCATAATCAAATGGTATCTATGCCTACCACCCTATTGCCTCGATTTTAAAAGATAAAATTCAAACCAGAAGACACATTTTTTTAGTGTAGATCATTTAAAAAGTCTCTGTACCCAGCTGCATCTAAAAAGAGGCAAGCTAGATCTTCTAGGCTGGAAGGAAAGCAACGCCGATACACCAAAATTTGCAGGGCTGCCCTTCCAGAAGCCTTTTCATGAAGCACTTGGCAAATCAAAACAGTGTTTCTCCTTTTTCAAAAGAAACACCATTGCTTAAATAGTTTCTTTTGCATACAGCGTCCATATACATATTATATACACAGTACAAAACCATACACGCACACACGCGCACACACAAACACAGAGATGGGGAAAAGGCAGGTTCCTTCAGAAGTTCTGGAGCTCAGGAATGTCTCGGTAAAGGTCCAGGGTCTCTGGATTGGAGAAGATGCCCCGCTGAGCCACTTCCTTCCCGGCGATAACGTGTTTGACAGCAACTTCAACTTTCTTCCCGTTTATTGTGTACTGTGAAATTAAGCAGATAAGGACATAAGAATTGCCTCTGCCTTAGGCCAATGGCCCTCCTAGTCCAGCGGCCAACCAGATGCCTGGGGGAAACCAGAACATGACCTCAAGAGCCCTCCTTCCTTCTGCAGTTTCCAGAAACATCGGAAGCATCGCTGCCTCCAGCTGCGGAGGCAGAATTTGGCCATCATGCCTAGCAGACACTGCTAGGCAAACGGTGATGCTGTGCTCATGACTCCAACCCACCAAATCACAAGTTAATATATGTAACTGAGTTACTACAATGGTATCATTTTAATTATACTCTATTATGGTTCCAAGTGTTTCGTAATACCTATCGCATTGCCTGTGTATGCAAAAGGCCTGACTGGCTAACCAGCAATAAATGTTCTTGTTTGGGATGCAGATTGTTAAAAGTTCTGCATCCCACATCCAGTTCTCCCTCAGTCACCATCCAGATGCCTCTGGAAAGTCCACACTCTTCCTACACACTGGCTCACGAAGAAACAGTAAGCTGTCTGCTCCCAAAAAGGAGGTCAGTGGCAGGTAGCTCCAGGAGTTATATTTGACCAAAAAAGCGTGGGTCAAAGGAGAGAGGAAGGAAACAACAACAAAAAAAAAGAATGGGAGGAAAGCAAGAATGCAGCTCTGAGTGCTTTCTTGTAGGGACATATTTTACCTCAAAATGTGATTAGAATTCAGTTATACATACCTTCAGAGTGTTGGCTACTTAATGTTCTAAACTAGGACTCCTAGGTAACCAGCTGTCATATAAACACCCCAAAGCCTCCTTTTACTTTTTCGTTTCAGTTTATGGAGCCATTTGAAGCTGATCTTCCATAGCTTTTTTTGCAGAGGGATTGGAGCATACAACCAGAGATCAGGACCAGACCCACCCCAGACACTGGGCCTTTGCTGCTGCTTTTCAGGGAGGCCGGCTGGGGCAAAGTGTGGCTTAAAGAAAAACATGCTGGTACCAAAAAGCTGAAGACAATGTCTTCTATAATGTGGGTGAGCGATTCTGCCACACTCATCAGCTCGCTCCAGGCTGGCAAGACGCTATAACAACCCCATTAAAGTACCTACTGGCTAGACCAACGTGGTGCCCTGCAGAAGTTGCTGGATCACCAAGATCATCTTGAGGAGTGCTGTTAGTTGCCCTCCATGCTAAAGAGGCCCGACTGGCCTCAACTGGAAGTGGGGCATTTGGTGCTGCTGGCCTCATGCTATGGAACACGGTTCATGCAGAGATGTGGCAGGAGGCATCCTTGCTTCTTTGACTTCCAGCCTCTATTGGAGACTTTTTCATACTGATTAATTAGCCAGCCACTTTAATTATTATTTATATTACTTTTAAATGGTATTTCGTTTGTTGTACACCAAGATCTTTAATGATACGGCAGTATAATAAATGCTTCTATAAACGAACAAACTTACTCCATGGGCCAATGGGAAGGCAGGATGCAAGTTGCAGTCCAACAACTTCCCAAATGCAACGGGTTGGGATTTAGCCATGTGTGAAATCTCTGCCTCTCTTACACACACACACACACACACACACACACACACACACACATATATATATATATATATGAATGAGAAGCCATGAGTGATTAACTCAACATCATTTTTAAAGTCTGTCCAATACTGCTCTTCTCCCTCAGTCATTACCCTAGGGCTCCATACACACTATACCATTAAAACACCATCAAAGAGTTCTGGACCCCGTAATTAGTTAAGGATCAGTGAGAATTTTACCTCTCTGCCGAGAATTCTTTGAGGGGGGAAAAGTGCTTTGAATCTGGTTTAAAAGGTGTCGTGTGTACACAGCCTGAAATTTGGGGCCATCCAATGAAGCTGAATGTTGGGAGATTTAGGACAGGCAACAGAAGTACTTGTCATACAGTGCATAATTGAAACTACGGAATTTGCTTCCACGGGAGGCAGTGATAGCTTGGACAAAGTCACGGAGAACACGGCTATCACTGGAAGGGGCGTAGCTCAGGGGCACGGCATCCACCTTGCATGCAGACGGTCCCAGGTTCAATTCTCGGCATCTCCAGGGAGAGCTGGGAGAGACTCCTGCCTGAAACCCTGGAGAGGAGCTGCCAGTCTGTGCGGAGAATACTGAGCTTGATGGACTAGTGATCTGACAGTTTCCTACGTTCCTGCTCATGAAAGTCAGAAGTAGATCAAAACTTCCTTCACGGGCCTTACTTGTCTCTGTGAGCCTTCAGTTGTGAAAAAATTAGGTCACAAGCTTTGCAAGATATTTTGAGGTGGTTGGTTTTTTTTAAGCGAGACTTCTTGCAAAACAAATAAAAAACCTATCATTTTAGAGAACAGAACTATCCAAAATGCTTTTTGCGGGGAGCAGCTTTTTGGCACACCAGAAAGGCAATCATCTCATTTTATACTTATCAACAACACCCAAGAGTTCTCAGTATATCAACAGGACGCACGTATATTTATAAACCAAACAGAGGTGTTTATTAGGGGACTTTTTTTTGCTGTTTAAAAAAGAGGAAAAAGAGGAAAAGGCTTATTCAGGAAGAAAAGCACACACAAGTTGCTAAGCAACACAGACAAACTATAAAACTCCACTCCACTTTTTTAATTAAAAAAAAAAAAGTCTAAAATTTCCAGGCATGTGGGGGCTTTGAAGAGAGATGACAAGTGCTCCTTAATGACTATTCCAAGGTAACAATGAAAAAAAATATATAGCAGCAGCAAGTAGTAAGGAAAAAGGATTGTGCTGGCATACCGGAATGCCTTCAGTTTCCAGAATGAGGCTGGGAACATGTCGGGCAGAGAGTGCGACGCGGATCGCTTCCCTGATGCGTTTCACCAAATCTGGGCTGAACTCCTGGTTGGTGGCCATCTTTAGGAAAAGGATCACCCTTTCTTCGCCGTCTTTGTTGTACTGAGGGACACAGAGGCTGTCCGAAACCTCCTCAAAAGCTTCCACTGAAGAGACAAAGGAAATGTTGGCTTAGACTTATTTGCGCCCCCGCGGCAGGGAATAGTAAATATGTGCCCATTATAAAATGCTGCCTTTATTAATAATAGCAGTAAAGGCAGACTTTAAAAACAGAATTGAATTCATAAAGTAAATTATAACACAACTGACTGCCAAGCCATACAAGCAGGAATTGGAAGTAGGAAGAAGAGAAGAAGAGTTTGAATTTGATATCCCGCCTTTTACTCCCCTTCAGGAGTCTCAAAGCAGCTAACATTCTCCTTACCCTTCCTCCCCTACAACAAACACTCTGTGAGGTGAGTGGGGCTGAGAGACTTCAGAGAAGTGTGACTGGACCAAGGTCACCCAGCAGCTGCAGGTGGAGGAGCGGAGACGCGAACCCGGTTCACCAGATTACAAGTCCACTGCTCTTAACCACTACACCACACTGGCTCTCAAGGAGCTTCTTTGATGCTTATCCTGCTTCCTCTTAAGAATCTCAGAATACCTCAGATGAGATTCCCACTGGGCAGCTGAATAGAGGAGGAATGGGGCACTCTGGGCATTGCTGGAATCCATATCCCATCAGCATAGCCAGTGATTGTGATAGGAAACAGATATTATCTTTTCTCAATTGCCGTTTCTCCTAATCATCTCCCCTCTCCAAAGAAAAGGAGGGGGGAGCCAAACAGAGAGACCATTCCAAGAAAATAAAGAGGGGGGGGGGATGATGTTGAGAGAGAAAGGAAGGCGGTTAAAGTTCATCTGCTGCCCACACTGGAGGACCAGGCCTGCAGCCAAACAGTCCTTTGCTTCACTCAACTGCTGATTTTTCTGCCCTCCCTCTTGCCCTGCCCTCGTTCCTGCAGACCCTCCACTGACTTCATGGACCAGGCTGGCAACCTCTTTTGTGATCACGCAAGAGTTATGACGGTGAAGCACCCTCAGAGGAATCCATTGACAGGGCATCACCAGAGACAACCGGGCCGCTGTGGGCACTGGGAGTCTTGCAAAGAGCAAACTGCCTCGGGACCGGGCACGCCAGATGGTTCAAGGCAACCCTCAAAATGAGGATTTGCTACACACATTTGCTGATGAAGACATCAACCACAACATGTCTCTGTGTTTTCATTCCATGTGGCTTAAAAGAAAAAAAAAATGTGGTTGAAAAAAGGACTCAGTGTTGCTGAATGGTGGCTGCTACCCATTGAGACTGGTAGGGCAGAAGCAGGGAGACTAACAGCAGGTGGCGCCAGAGGCAACAGCAGGCAGAGAGAACCAGTTCTAGATTTGTCCCCACCTTCCTTCTCCTCCCTGCTGAGTTCTCCAAGGGCAACTCTGAGCCAAGGAGGAGGCAGCTCTCAGGCAGTGCCAGCCCTCTGAACCGAATGTAGCTAAGAAAGCAGGCAAGTGGGGGCGCTGAAAGCAGACTAGCCTAGTGGGGCAGTGCCCCATTCACTGTAATGGAGCAAGCCTCCTTTGATGTTGTTAAGAGCCTCCTTTAGGAGTGCCAACTAAAGGAACAACATAAGGCTATTTAATTCTGGACCTTAAAACCATGAGCATTTGGCTGTGACCTGCCCTAGGATCATTTTATAAAGAAGGGCAGGGTGTAAACTTCACAATAAATCATGAAGCCTCTCTCATTTACCCAGAACAAGAGTTTTCCTCAAGCAATTTTGCAAATTATCCTGTGCAGCCCAGTGGCTTTCAAACCCAAGTTCCAGGAGACCTTGGAAATGTATCTCAGGTGTTCCTTCATGAGATAATCTACAATGGCATCTCCAGGTAAAAGGCTTAAGTAGCAAATGATGAGAAAGAATGTCTGTCTAAGATATTAAAGAGGCTTCCCCAACCTGACGCTCTCTAGATGTTTTGGACTGCAGCCCCTCATCACCCCTGATCTTTGGGTCAAGCTGACTGGGGATGATGGAAGCCCAAAAACATTTGTAGGGCAGTATTTCCCAACCCACTGCCTTCAATACTTGATGCCAGTCAGAGCAGACAATACAGAGATGGACAAATTCTGATGATGATTTATTATATTTGTTGGTTGCTTTTTTTTACAAAGCGACCCAAAGTATCTTACATCAAAACCAATTAAGGACATCCAATAGAAATCTAAAAATGCAGCTATACAGGTAAAAGGCAGGACTTGCAGGTCCCACCCTGCTAAAAGAGGGCACAATGCCACCCTTCAAATCACGTCTTTGCCTGGCTCCTAAAAATAGATGCTGCCAGTTGTGCCTCCTATGGGTGGGCATTCCAAAAGCAAGCAGCCATCCCTGAAAATGCCACTATTTGTCTGAGCAGCTTCCTCTCAGGGGAAGTCTCAATGGCTGCACTCACACATCATACTAAGCCATTGTTTGCACACTTTGACCATGGTTTGCGCAACCAAGCATGAGTGGTTTCTTAGGTGAGAAGATGGGCCAAGCTTGTTTCTCCAAAGCTTGGTTTGATTTCTAGCTGCTATTACTTTGTGCCTGGGGTGGGGTGCCCAAAAAAACCATTATTAGGCAAAACTGTTGAGCTTGGCCATAAAGTCAAACCATAGTTCAAACCAACAAGAAACCTTGGCTTCACATTGTGATTTGTTGGCAAAATACAAGCCATAGTTAGTCGTCTGGGCTGGGTTTGCAAATTCCAAATGAACAACAACATAGCATTGTGTGTGAACCAAGCCAGAGTGCAGGGCATGTGAAGAAATGGCAAGAGACTTATAGAGTGCATGCAGGGTCCAGTACTCTACGCCTTACAGATGAGGCCAATCGTGACTTGGCTTGCTACAGCACCCACACACTGCTCTCTACCTCACAGGGTGGTTGTTGAATGAAGTCAAGATAGAAAAATGAGAAATCAAGTTAGCCAATACTGTAATTAATGGGAGGAAGAAGAGTGGATAAATGTTAAATTGCATACCTATGTTATAGATCTCAGAACTCCCAAACCTCACACCACTTGGATTCAGTGTGCCATCACTGGGGGGAGGAAACAAGTACAAACCACAGAGGAAAAGCATAATCATTATTAAAGCAGCATTAAAGTATAATCACAGTCTGATGAAAAGAGACAAAACAAAGGGAATTTATCATGGTTCTCAATAAAACAACTGTGTCAAATAGGCAACAAAAAATGATCCTAAGGCTGGGATTCCAAGAGGCCGCTGTTTGTTAAGATTCATACCCATTAGAACGTTTTATACAGACATAAACAACAAACAGGCCCACAAGAACTGTAAAGATCTAAATAGGTTTAATGACTGTGGGTCCTACCCAAAGAATTATGGGGACTGTAGTACAGCAGGAGCAAGAGATGCAGCCCCCTGGCACAGCATCTGCCCTGTACTCAGAAGATCCAGGGTCCATCCCAGGCATCTTCAAGCAGGGCTAAGAAGCACTCTTCCCCAAACCATGGGAAGCCACTGCCAGTACACAATACTGAGTGTGATGGACCAGTAGCCTGATTCACTAAGGCAGCTTCCTACATTCCTACACCCAAGGGCCTTTTATAGACAGGAAGAGGAACCTGCAGCCCTCCCAGATGCCGTCGCACTGGGAGGGCCACAGCAGACTATCGGCTACCCTGGCTGGGGCTGATGAGAGTTGGGAGCCTGCCTTAGATGCCAAAGCAACTTGCTCGGCATTGGATTGGGTATCATGCAACTTGACGTGGGGGAGAAGGAGGCATTTGCTGTTTTGCCTCGGGCAGCAGTATGCCATGGGCCAGCCCTGCATCAAAGGAAAGGTTGTGCCACCTGACGAAGACCACAGGATGCTGAAACAGAGGAGAGGGGGAGGAAAGAGTGGGGGGAGTCTCTGAAATTTCCTGGCCCAGCCTCAGAAACGCCAGCCAGTCAGCAGAGCTAGACTGACAATGTGTCCCTATATTCCCAGCCAACCAGTGCGCAGCAGCCCCTCTGCTCACTGCCACGAAGCATTCCTCACATATGGTCACGCCAAAGTGATGGGCATACCTGCGGCCAAGCATGACGATGCCTCCTGTCTTGGGGTTGATCTTGCAATAGTCGCCGTGAGCCCAGACACCTGTCCAGAAAAACCCACATGGAGGGCAACCAGGTCAATTATCAACAATCCAGGCCTGGATGGCACACAAATCTGTTTTCACATGAACAGTGGAAATTGACGGAACAGATTAAAAAACTAAACAATATGATGTTTTAGTTATAGGGTATAGGGTGGTGTATAAATCAATTAATTTTTTTTTTACAAGAACAGAGAAAACTAGAAGGGTTGTAGTGGGATTCAAGTGACCCTCCTTTTAACTTACTTTGTTTACTGAATAACCCAGTGATTCTCAAACCTTTTCCTCTGGACCACACTTTCAGAATAAATATTTGCTTGTGCCACACTGAATTTTTTACTGATAAGAAATACACTGGAACACAAAAAGAAGCAAATCCCAGCAGTGCTTGTTTTATAACATAGAACACAACTACTTTATAATATGATCATGGGACATCCAGAAAGTAAAAACCAATGCAACTGCATAAGAACACAGGTCATTCCCAAAATATACTGTATTTTTCTAGGTATAAGATGAGGTTTTTTGCTTTAAAAAATTAGTAAGAAATTGGGGGTCGTCTTGTACACGGAACATGGGCACCTGGGGGAATTTTTAAAATATTTAAGCATATGTCCGGGATTTTGGCTTGGGCGGGCTGAGGCGGTCCCTCCTGCTGCCGCCCCCCTCCCTTCCCCCCTCCGGGCTGCATGCTGGCGACTGGCTCGCCTCCTGAAACCCCCGCGGGCTCAACCACCGGATCGAGAGCAGCTGCCACCACTGAGAGCTGCCTCAGCTGCCTCTCCTTGCCTTCTTTCCTTGCCCCCCTCTTCCCCTCTCAGACTCCCACCACCTTCTTCAGCTGAGTTTGCCGGGCGGCATGGCCCAGCGCAGAGCGGCCGCTGCCTTCGCCCAGCTCTTCCTTGGCATCCTGCTTGGGAGCCTGCTTCCCTGCAGCAGCAGCAGCTGCCACCGTGGGGGAGCGTGAGGTCCCCCCCCCCTCCAGTCGCTGCCTTTGCTTCTGCACCACGGTGCACTGCATGCTTCTCATGCTGGAAACTTTGAGGGCAATTGCCCCCAACTTGCTGCCACCAATAAATTTTCGCTTCTATTTTAGGGTTTCATTTTCTTAATTTTGGGTTCAAAAAAATAGGAGTCGTCTTATACATGGAAAAATACGGTAATTATAAACGAGCCTCTTACATATGAACCTTAAGTCTGTATGAGAGGTGAGAGCCTGCTTTTGCCGGGTAATCTCCTTAATTTTAGGTCTAATTTAAGACAGACAAACTCTTATCTCCTAATCAACACAAATAAGCCTTTGTCTTTTCTGATCTTTTGCATCTGTCAGAGTTCCTGCCACACCCTTTGAGAACCATTGGAATAACCTTTCAGGCCAGTGGTCAGGAACCGTTGGCCCTCCATATGTTCATGAAATCAGAGTTGGGGAAGATGGCAGACTTGGGGGAGCAATCTCAAGTGCTCTTCCAGGCCACCCACCTATGAACAGGACCCAGGGACATGGTATCGCACCAGGAGCCCCCAAACTGAACGACTGAAGGGCTAGAAAGTCCACCCCAACTCCTGGAACAAACAAGGGGACAGACGAAGGGGTAGGAGAACTGCTGAGCCCGGGGGAGAGCGCTACATGCCAGCTTCCAAGTGGGGCCTAAGGAAAGTAGGGTGGGAGCCAAGAAGGGGCAGAGAGGCCCCCACCTCCCATATCCCACTCCGATCCCAGACCACCCCCCCACCAAGGATCCAAAGTCACCAGCTCCAAATATTCTACAGAATTGTATTTTTTCTTTTTGAATTTTTAACCTTATCTTCCATTTTTCACTTGACTATTTACCTTGATTCTTGACTTTTGTCTAAATTCCTATGCTTACCCTTGTATACTTTCTTCTCCCTTAATCTTTTATATTTTTACACACACACACTTTTTTCTTTTAATTCTAAACTTCTTCTTCTTCTTAATGTCATCCTACCCCTAACCTCCCCTTTTCTTCTTTCCCTTCCTTTTTAATGGACAAATAATAATTTTTAGCATTATTATTATTTAACTCCTGAAAATCATAGAGTTGGAAGGGACCCGAGGGCCTTCTAGTCCACCCCCCCCCCCGCAAAGCAGGAATCACAGCTAAAAATGGCCATCCAGAGTGTTGGTACCTTTTGGCTTTCCTGACGTTGCTGGACTACAACTCCCATCAGCCCCTGCGAGCATGGCCTACATCCAGGGGTGATGGGAGTTGTGGTTCAGCAATAGCAAGTGGTCCCGACACACATATTCAAAGCAACAATGCCTCACAGAGCGGTTCACCAACTATATATCCATAAAACCCAGTACTGCCCCAAGTGGCGGAGGAAGCTGCTGGAGCACCTGGAGCGGCAAATATGACGTGCACCGGGGGGCGGGGGCGTCAATCCTCCTGGGGGTGCCAGCGCCGCCTGCCAATCGCACAAATACACCCAGCTTGTGGCTCTGGCTGCCGGAGATGTGAGCATCGCCCTCTGGGGGGCCGTCCACCGGGGGGGGCGCATCCCCAGCTGGCACCCCTGGGAGGATTGGCCCACTGGGGGTGCGAGTGCCACCACGTCACCCCCCCAGGCATGGCAGCTGGGGCACAACCCCCTTGTCCACCAGTGACTGCCCCCCCTCCAGCCCCGGGAGCCTTTCCCAGACCTTGACTTTGAGAACAGCAGAAACAGCTGGGAAGAGCTGTTCAGGGATAGTTTTTAAAAATAAAATTTTGAGTTGTGTATCCTTGTTTCTCAAGTTGACCATTTGTGGAATTTTATGCATTGTAATTAAATGTAACTTTATTGATTATAGATTAGTAATTCTTTATGGTAATTGATAAGTGTAAACTGTTAAATTACTGTTTGCTGATGTACTATTGGATTCTAATGAATTACTGAATATTACTTTATTTGATATAAGTTGTTTACTTTAAAGTTTTTGTGACTTTTTATATAGGATCTGATTCTTACTATTAATGTTTTATGTTTTATTATTATTATTGTGTGCACTGGAGGCTGCCCAGAGTGGTGACGGTAACCCAGCTAGATGGGTGGGGTATAAATAAAAAAATGTTATTATTCCTCTTCTTAAAAACCATTTAGAAAATCCGACTTCAATTTAAATTCAAGCCAGTCTTAAAAGCCAGGATGAAAATGCAGCAACCCCTGCTCAAAAACAGGTGAGATACTGCAGCAGGAAAACTAAGGACCTCAATAAGAAGCTAGAAGATGAGTTCTGGAACTTCTGATGAATGATGGCAACTGCACACAGGATGCGTACAGCTAGGATTGGAAAGGGAAAAAGCTTTGGGTCACTGGAATGCAGGCAGTGAAGGAGACTGAAGAATTTCTGCAGTGAAGGAGCAGAGAAAAGGGGAAAGCAAAGGAAAGCCATTTTAAAATGGTGTTTTCTGCCACTTCCTTTTTGAGGAGCCCTAGGAGCTGCTGGCAAGAACGTCCTGCAGTGGAAGGGGTTGTCCAGCCCACTTGGCTGACCCTTTCAAATAGTTTGACTTCCTGCCAGCGGAGAGGTGAGCAGTGACACCCCATGTAGGACCCCCTTCTTCCCCATAGGAGAACCTGCAGATATTTAAATACGTGTGTGTTTTTAAAAAAACCCTAAGAGTCTTGCACATTTGCTTAACAGACTAACACAGACAAGCCTCTAAAACAGGGGAGGGGACTTGCCACCCTCCAGATGTTGCTTGACTTCTGCTCTCATCATCCCTGACCATCGTCCTTGCTGCCTGAGACCAGTGGGAGATGCAATCCATCAGCATATTCTAGAACGCAGCAACAACAGAATCCCAGAAGACCATTTTTGTAGCACTCTGCTGTTTGTGGGTTGTGGGCACAGGGCTGCAGCCTCAGTTATCAAATCAACAATGAAGACCCATTTTTAAAAAGAAATCCAACCTGTTTGTGATCCCTGATGGTTTCTGAAGTTGTGAGAAAGGAGCACCCCAGAAAGATGAAGAGGTCTGCCCCTGCACTTGCGGAGAGCAAAGTGAGGGGGTGGGATGGCGGGCAAACAAGCAGGAGCCCCGCAACACTCACGCTTTCGGGCTTACAATTTCACAAGCAAATATTGGTACCCACAGCAGTTCTCAAATGCCATGCTCAAATATTAGTTCTGCAGGCTTTGTAAGTGCAGGACCACCAATGTGCCCCCACAACACACACAAAAAGCACCACCTCAATACATACCTGGAAATCTTGAGAAATAAGCCTTTCTGTACTTGTTTCCATTCTCGTCGTTCCAAAAGTGCGTTGGCTGGCAGGGCATGGGCTTGGTGCAGACCAGCTCTCCGCTTTCCCCCAAAACGGGCTTGCCTGTTGTAAGGATCAAGAACAAAGGCGGCTCGTTTCCCTCTCTCCAGCCCTTGGAATGCACAGCTCAAGTATTTTATCAGGCAATTGATCAGTTCTTCCCTGTTGCAGCTTCTTTGGAGGTGGGATCTGGTCTGTCATCACTTAGCCCAGCCCTCCCCAACCTGGCACCCTATGGATGTTGCCAGACTAACCTTCAACCTCCCTGAGACCACAGGCCACACTGCTGTAGCTCAACAACTTCTGGACATCAGAAGGTTGAAGAAGACTTAGCCTAGCCACTGTGGCTCCATCTGCACTATACTCAGAAAGCAGGGTCATACAACTTTAAAACAGTCACAGCATCCCCCAAAGAATCCTGGGAAGTGTCTTTTTTTTTAAGGTGCAGGAGTTCTTAGACCCCTCTTCCCCTCACAGAGCTACGACTCCCAAGGTTTCCTGGGAAGGAGGCTTGCTAAGCTCTGGGAGAGGGATAGAAGTCTTCTAACTCTGCTCAGGAGCCTTTGGGGGAAAACCACAACTGTTTAAAGTGGAATCATACTGCTCCAAACATGTAGTGCAGATGGGGCCTTGGATCCAGCAAAGGTGAAATGGGAGAACTCCTTTCTCTCTACGTTTCCCACAATGAACCCCAAGCTTATTTTGCTGTGCATTATTTAAGCTATTTATTGGGTGCTGCTCAATCAAAATCCTTGGAGAAGTTTGCAATGAGAAAAAGCAGTAAAATGAAGTAAACAAGCAGTGGGTTGATTTTTTTTCTCCCACCCTCACCCCCTCCTTAGTTTAAATGTACCTATGTGGGGGGTTTTATTTGGTTGGTTGTAAGCTGCTTTTGGTTACTTTGGGCAAGATAAAGTGGCTAACAAATTAAATAAATTAAATAAAAACGACACTTTCCCTTGTACACTAGGATTCACGCCAACCAGAGGGTGAAATCCCCCCCCCCCCACGCAGCCAAGCAAGAGGCATTACAGGCGCACCCTGGCTCCCAAACGCCTTGGGAGTCAAATGTTCCGGCTCCCAAACAATCAAAAACTGGAAGGGCATGTTCCAGTTTTCAAAGGTTCTTTCGGAAGCCAAACGTCCGACGGGGCTTCCACGGCTTCCAATAGGCTGCAGGGAGCTTCCTGGAGCCAATCAGAAGCCATGCTTTGGAAGTTTTTTTTTTTTTTTAAATGATCAAAAGTTTCAACCCCACAATGGCTGCGCGCCTCCAGGGGCCGCGGACCCAGCGCCAACCCGGCGGCCCTTGCAGAAGGGAAGCCCCCCCCCCGCCGCGCCCTGCCCTCTCGCCCTCCGCTGCCCTTGCCATGCTTTGGAAGTTGAACATTTTGGAAGTCGAATGGACTTCTGGAACAGATTCTGTTCGACTTCTGAGGTACGACTGTATCGTCATCCCAGGACACATTCCAGCCAGGCAAAAACACCCAAAAAGGGAAGAGAAGGACAAGTGAGGTGGGCAGCCTTGGGAGAGTCCCGAGGGCCAGAGAGGGCCACACACAGGCTCCATCCCTGCTATAAGGCTCTCCATAAATTCTGGTGATACTTTTTCTTTTTTAAACCCACATTAAACTACGTGGGGGTCTGCAAAGAACCTTCCCCAGCCCAACCCCTTACAACCGACAGCGGGGATGAGAAAAGGGCCCCCATTTGCCCTGAGATCCTGAAGTTGTCTGTGCTGTCAGAAGCCCTTCTTCTCCAACCACAGTTCTGACTTGGAAAAAGTGATAGCAAGAGCTTTGGCTGGGGGAAATACCTTCATCGTTCCAGGCTTCCACTGCCATTCCCAGATTCCGTGCCTGGATCTCGCCTTTATAAACCGGAATGGACACATTCTGACCCATAAAGCAGGAAACTATATCTGTGCCTCCTGAAACGAGAGGGGGGCAGAACGGACCTCCATAAGCCCATCTCTCAAAAGGGTTGAAACCTCTTTAAATACATCCATTCCGATGTTGCTGAACTGCAACTCTCCCTCATGCTTAAAACACGTTAGTGGTACAATTACTCTGAAATGATGGTTCGATTATTATCAATCTGCATACGCTTGGAATTGACCCCACTCCCAGGTCACTGAGACTGTGAAAGTGTGCTAGGCCTGCAGCCCAGAGGTTGACGGATCAGAACTGTCCTCTGCTGGGCTGGTAACTTTTGATGGACTAAAATACAGTGGCAGAGAACCTGGTTTCCAGAGTTTAAAAGCGGAGTATAAATAGTAAAACTTTAAAATAACCACCGGGGGGGGGGGGGAGTCAAATATACGTGTATTAGAAATGTATGTGATTTGTGTTTTTGTAATTCATTTGTCTGTAAATTTTTAAAAACTGAATAAATGTAAATGCTCTTTACCCCTCAAATCTTCTTCCAAATGTTGCTGCTGCTATTGTTAAAACAACTAGGAATTGGGAATCCTTGTTGATCAACACACAGATCTACCAGTGGATCCCCATCTGCCTTCTGCCCACCTCTGGGCCACACAAGACAATGTAAGAGATGCAAAATAGTACCCAAAATGGTGACTGCTTAGCAACCACTGCATCCTCCTCCCTCTAACTTTCTAACCCACTAAACATTCAAGGGCTCAAGTTCAGAAAACCCCTACCTGATATGGATCCCAGCAGAACGCTGCTCTTTATGTGCTTGTAGACGTACTCGTAACTTTGAGGCTTGAGGGGTGAGCCAGTTGACAGGATGGTGTGGAGCGTTTGGAGGTTATGCGTTTCACCTTGGAACAACATCACCAGGCAGAGTTACACTCTTATTTCCTGGCCAATTATCAACACCGCCCCCGCCCCCCCCCCGAGTTTCCTGTTAACTTCTAGAACATGGGCCACCAACACAGGCAGCTGCACTACAACTCCCATCAAGCCTTACCATGGGCCACACTGGCTGGGGCTGCTGGGAGTTGGAGTCCAGTAACATCTGGGAGCGCTGCAGGTTCCCCACCCCGATGCAAAAGTACTGAGCTAAATGGACCTACTTCCTGCCTTGGTGTAAGGTTGCTTCCTGTGTTTCCACAATCCATGGGCAAAGTAACAACTCCCAGTACGTTTCCGAGCACAATTCAAAGTGTTGGTGCTGACCTTTAAAGCCCTAAATGGCCTCGGTCCTGTATACCTGAAGGAGCATCTCCACCCCCATCACTCAGCCCGGACACTGAGATCCAGCACCAAGGGCCTTCTGGAGGTTCCCTCATTGCAAGATGTGAGGTTACAGGGAATCAGACAGAGGGCCTTCTCGATAATGGCGCCTGCCCCGTGGAACACCCTCCCTTCAGATGTGAAGAAAATAAGCAGCTAACTTATCTTTAAAAGACAACTGAAGGCAGCCCTGTTTAGGGAAGTTTTTAATATTTAATGCTGTATTGTTTTAACACTTGATTGGAAGCCGCCCAGAGTGGCTGGGGAAACTCAGCCAGATGGGCGGTGTATAAATAATAAATTGTTATTGTTATTATATTGGGGAAAAATATTGCCTTTGTGGAACTAATTAGAAATGGGAGGGAAGCAAAGTGGTTCAGTTCCAGAGGCAAACAGAATTCAAAGAGTATTTTGGTGCTTACATGGTTTAAGGTTCTTCTCTTCCAGCACTGCCAGCCATTTGGCACCTGTCCCAAGGATGGTGATACTGCAAGTAAAAAAGGAACAATTGTCACTCACTATGGTCATTTTGCTATTTTTTATTTTACAATAATGGAATCCCTTCTCTGGAGATGCACCTGGTGCCATCCCTATTAACCTTGAGGTGCCAGGCGAGGGTGTTCTTATTTACCCAAGCATTTGGCTCTAAACCCGAGTTCATCTTTTAGCTGGGTGGAGTAGGATGTGTCCTTTTTATGTTATTGCAATATAAGCACTATTAACTATTCTTTTGCAAATATTTTGATGTATTTTAATTAGGGTTTTTTAATCATTGTAAGTCATTTTGTAGTAAGCAGCACATAAGCATTTCCTAGGTCAATAAATAATAGTTCCTGTACGCCTGAACTGGCAAACTATGGTTACTGGAATCAGAACCACCTGGGTTTTAAAAGCTCTGGCTTTAAGCTCTTCATTCCAATTCTGGCGTCCATGGTTTGCTAGTTCAGGACTTAAGAAGCTATGATTCAATAACTCAGAAAGCACTGAACTGTGGTGGGCCAAGAAACTATGCCAAAATGTGTACTTTGTCAAAGTATCCATAAAACAGATGAGACAAGAGTAAAATGCAACCTAAAAAGAGAGCGCTGAAGAGAGTCAAACTGCAGTAGTTTAAACTGCAAAGCTACCAGGTTTCACAATCTGAGAGTCTTATTTTGTTTTGCTTTTTAAATCCTTGCTTCTAGCTTTTATTTACTGTGTTTCAGACACAGTATTTTTAGCTATTTATAACAGTGAATAGATGTATCATTATCTCTCGGAAGTTCATATGAAGTTTTGCAAACGCCATTCACCATAAGCAATCAATGTTTGACCTGACCTTGACCAGTAATTTTAATAACAGCAGCAGGTGAAATAAAAACCACCATTGCAGTGAGGCTCTGCTGCCTCTACCATCTGCCTGAGGGAAGTCATTCTCTTCTTAGGAAGTGTGTTGGCTATGTCCCAGTCTCTCCTGGCCCCTACACTTCCCACATTAGAGCGCTCTGCCACCACCAGACAAAAGAATCATTATTCACCAAGCTGCCCCTCATCCAACAGTCTCAAAGAGTTCTCTGGGGTCTTAGGGGAGTGCAGTGCTAGAGCTCTAGGCATGGAAGCTCCACCAGTTCCAAGCTCAATCGGGAAATCACTTCTCAACGACTACTGCAAACCAGCACTACCCAAAAGCTACATTTTATTTACCTTTTGCTGAAGATGCATTCATACTGAAGAGCACAGGTATGTGTGGGTTTGCTTTTGTTTGCACTCTGGAACCATTTACTAAACCAAAAAGTTATGTAAAGGAGTGTCTGCAGAAGAAGCAGTGTGACTTTGAAGTAACGTCACAGCATTGTTTTTTCATGGGTTCTTATCAAGTGGAGCGAAAGCGGAACGAAGGCACGAGAATGTTCCCATGCAACCATTAAAAAGGCTTTGTCAAGTTCTCTTGGAGCCACCTGGAGATCAAGGCTAACACTCCTGAAGTATCTTGCTTTCTGCGTACTTCAGCAGTTTACGGCACTGTTTCCCAACCAGGGGCTCCAGGATATTCCAAGGGGGCCACAGGTGAAAATCACGTGAATGGGGGGGGGCATAGCATGAGGCATGGGGGGCACAGAGGGAAGTGAGAAGAAAATCAAATTTTTAAATAAAGAAAATCCTGATTGCCTGGCTATCCTCTTGGCCAATTACAAAAGGGTAAGGGGGCAGCCCACCAGGGGCTAGTGCTCCTTTTTCCCATGTGCGTTTCCTTGGAGCAGTCCTGGTTTGTTTCCGGGGGATGAGGGCGATCGCTGAGACTCCCGTTTTGACTGACAGAGTCCATCATCCAGAACCCCCAGGTCAGGTAAGTGGGGTGGTGGGGTGGCAATGGGTAGGGTTGGGTGAGGCAGAGCTGCTTGTTGTTGCTGCCAGTGCTGAGCCCAGTGGCAGCCTGGGCCTGACTCTGCAAGGTGCAGGATGCAAGCCACCCCAGCGCCTAGCCAAGTGGGGTCATCTGGTGCTGCTGACTTGCATCTAGTAAACAGTTAAGTCTCTACTCAGTGGGCCTTACTCCCAAATAAGAGTGTGCGAGGCTATAATGTTTTATCCAGGCAGCCAGGGCTCCTTCGGGTGACAAGATCTTTTTGCACCAGGTCAGTGAGGACCGCTTGCTTTTTAAAATTCTCCCTATGCTCTATACAGAACTCCCTATGTTCCTTTGGACTGTATCTGTAGGTTTCCCCCTCTGTGTCAAATAACTGGGGTCAAATAAGTGTTGTTCTAAACTGCACACATCCATGTGCTGCCAGGTGAGATGCCCCCAGTCAGGCAGGCTAACCCCCCAAATCATTGCCAACAAAGGCGTAAAACAAGGTTACTTCTTAGTCCTGTATTTATTCAACCTTTTCTTAAACGACCTTGCACCCTGTTTACATGGGGTGGATGGCCATTGCCCAAAGCTCAGCTCCATCCACGTTCATCGTCTCTCACACAAGGGCTGGCCTGAAGCGACTCCTGTGCCACTGCCAGGAATATTGTATAGCCAACAGACTGGAACTGAACTTTGCAAAACCTAAAGTGCTTGTTTTCTCATGATCTTGGAAGCCTCATAGGTGGGAGATCAGTGGAAACCCGTTGGAACAGGTTAAATACCTAGGCATCCACTTCCAATATAACGCTTCCTGGAATTACCATTGTAAGCTCTTATTATCTCTCCCCCATGTTTCTCTTATTATCTCTTCCCCATGTTTCTGCTGCATCAAACATTCTGATTGACCTTTGGAGCTTGTAAACAGCTTAGAAACCGAAGCATCTTTTTTAAACAAACAAACAAACAAACAAACAAACAAACAAACACAAGTAGTTGTTTCAGGATAACTTACGGGTGCTTTTTTGTCTAAAGCAGAACCCATCTCTACCTACCCTAGTCGGTCAACCAAATCCCAGAGGACGTTGGGGGATGGAACGAGCGGCGATCCGTCATACAGAACCACAGATGCACCAACAGCGAGAGCAGAAACCAGCCAGTTCCACATCATCCAACCAGTCTAGGGAGTGTGGGGAAATGCACGTTAGCTTTAGTAACCTCCCTCACCTATTTCCAGACCTGTGAAGCTAATCTCGCACTTCTTCCAAGGACGCAGGTGTGGAAAATGTATGTGCCGTCATGAGACCCTGCCTACAGGTAATATTCCAAGTGCCATGCAAAGCAGGGTGCACTCCAGACTGGCCGTGCCACGCTCTGACATTTCATCAATTAAGTCTTTCCCCCAATAACCCAGTCCGCAGGGAGGGCCGTGGTTCAGAGTGTCTGCTTTTCATGCAGAGGGTCCCCCAGTTCAATTCCAGGTTTCCCCAGGTAGGGCTGGGAATGTCCTTCCTGAAAAGCTTCATTAACTAGAAACCCCAAAATGTGGGATCCCCTCCAAAGCTGTGCCAAAGATTTGCAGTCATTTTGCAGCGAAAAACCCTGCATTTTGCAGCAGCACCCAAACTGATCCATCAAACTAGGGTTTATAGTTAACACCCCAAAATCCAGCACTGTTAGTCTGGAGTGAATCAGACAATGTTGGGTTTGGGGCTGATACCTATGCCCCCTTGGTTTGGGTATCAATTACTTGGGTTTGGGGGGCACTGCAAAACGCAGGGGTTTCAGTGCAAAATGCAAGGTTTTTGCTGCAAAAGAACTGCAAAACTTTGGCACTAGTTTAAAGTTAATTGGAAAATGTTGGAGTGTTAACAACAAACCCTGGTCTGATATACCAGATTTGGAGGGTGCTGCAAAACGTGCTGTTTTCACTGCAGAATGACTGCCAAACTTTGGTACAACTTTGGAGGGGATCCCAAATTTTGGGGTTCATAGGTAATGAAGCTCTCCTGAAACCCTGGAGAGCCGTTGCCAGTTAGTGTGGATAATCCTGAGCTTTCTGGCAGCTTCCAATTTTGCAAGGGATGTAGCTCAGGGGTAGAGCAGCTGCTCTGAGTACAGAAGGCCCTGGGTTCAAACCCTGGCATCTCCAAGGAGGACTGGGAAAGATTCCTCAACTCTGAGGAGCTGCTGCTAGTCAGTGTGGGCTGCACTGAGCTTGGTGGGCCAATCTCTAACTCAGTATAAAGCAGCTTCCTCTTTAACCAAAAAGTGCCTCAATTCATCGGGCAACAGCTCACATGCTGCAGGAGGCAAACACCATTTCTCACAAGAGGGAATGTCCCCCAAATGCCTGCCACAATCCACATGGGGGGCTCAGAAAACAAATGTGCTTTTTTGCTTGTCTGAGCTGCCCTTTGCTCATATGCAAAGGTTAATGGATCAAATCGGTCAAAACTCAGAATCAGTCAACTCAGACAAAATAAGACTGTTGCTTGATTTTAAAAGCAAACTTTTGGGATTGAAAGGTTAGCCATGCCATGCAAAAGCAATTTTATCTGGAGCATGAAGGATCAAAAGGCCAGGTGAACGTTCCCCACATTTGCACTACCCTGCCAAATAAATTACCTAAAATAAGCCAATTTATGCACAATTGCATCATTATTGCTTATCTGGGTCACAGAAGTGATGCTTTTCTTTAAGAAACCCCATGCAGGCTGTGTTGAAAGTCTTAGCAAAAATACAATTAACAGCACTTACTGTTGTGTAGTACATGATGTTGTCACTGCTGGACATGTTACCATGGAGGAGGTGCTCTTTCAAATGCTGAATTAACGTCCCCTGGTTTAAAAGAAAAAAGACGGACATACAAAGCAAGGTGTAATGGTTAGACTGGGTGAACTATGAACCAGCCACTATCTCTCAGCCTAACCCCCACCTTGCAGGGCTGGCTTTATCCAAAGGATGCCTCAGGTGCAGCTACAGAGCTTGTGCAACTCAAACTCAAGCTGGAGACGTGTGGGTAGGATCCAGCCAAGCCATACTCAGAGTAAGTCCAGCAACTGCTATGGGTCTACTCTGGGTATGGCTTAGTTCAATATCGCCACTGAGCATGAGACTCTTAATCGAAGGGTTGTGGGTTCGAGCCCCACACTGGGCAAGAGACTCCTGCACTGGAGGGGGTTGGACCACTGATGTAGGAGGGGGGGTGTGGTGGGTGGGGGCCGCCCCACTGAGGAGGGTGACAAAATGGCAAAAATATGTGTTTTTAAAATAAATAAAAATTTGGGGCTCACAACACCTTTTTTTTAAAAAAAAACATTTAAAACTAGTTTAATAACTTCGTCTGACAATTAATTAACCTCAACAAGTCAACATAATCCGTATTGAAACTTTTTAGTTCAGTCAACAAACGCAATGAAATGGGGCTGTGAGTGGTTTGAGCTGGTGGCAGAGAGGAGGAGGGTGGGCGGCCAGGCTGCTGCCTACACTCCTTGGCATTGGCGCTTCGTGCCCAGATGCAGTAGCTCCACCGCGGGTCATGTCTGAGCAGCAGCTTCCCCGCCCGTCTCCTTCCCTGAACTGTGGCGCGTGGGAGGGCATCTTCTGCCCCCTCCCCCCTTGGGGGCGCACCCCATGCACCCATCCCAGGCAGCGCGAACATATGCTCCACCACTGGGCTGGACTAGATGACCCTTGTGGTCCCTTCCAACTCTACAATTCTATGACTCTATTATATCCAAGTTCTGCTTCCTACCTATCCTCTTTACAACCTCGCCTCTGATGGAAGTATTGGGAAAGGATTTTAAGCAAATCCAAATATGCGCTGGTAAAAATAGGGTCTACAATGATTGCCGGGGGGGGGGGTGAGGACCTTTTTCAAACAAAGAATGTAAACTGTGCAAACCACAGGGATGGGGAGAATGAAGTAGCAAACAAGGAATGTCCAGAGTCTAAAGTGGTACAGCCCGTACTGCCACCGCAGGCCTCTTACTCCTCAGTTCTCCCAGGTATGTAGACGCAGCACAAGTCCACCAAGCAAAACCCACCAAGCAATTTCAGTCTGTTGGAAGGTGGGGAAAATGCCTCTCCTGTCGCTTGTTAAGCGACAACCTACTGTGCAGAGCCTCCACAACCCCAGCAACATGACCTACCCCTGCGGAGTGAACCATGCATTTTGGAGCTCCTGTTGTGCCAGATGAATACATGATGAAAAGAGGATGGCTGAAAGGAAGCTGTTCGAACTCTAGCTGCGGGGCTTGATCTCCCTTCCCCGCTGCAAGAAAGTCTTCTAGAAAGACGCTGAACAAAGAAGAAGAAAGACATGGAGGGGAGGGAGAATTAATATCACTATCAAACCTTTGTGACATTTATTTTGTATTTATTAATTTATTATGACTTTTCTCAAAGCGGCACCCGTGCTTCTCCTCCTTCCCCCCTGGATCATCACAACCACCTGTGAGGTAGGCCAGGCAGTGGCTGGCAAAGTCACCCAGGGCCTTCCATGGCCGAGAACAGACCTGAATGCTGGTCTCCCAGGACCTAAACTGACACTCTAGCCCAGGAGGGGGGAACCTGCCTCAACCTGAGGGTCTCATTACCTTCTGAGCAATTTTCTGGGGCCCATGGTGTATTTTTAATCATTCTGTATGTTAACAATAATGTGCAGCTGGTTTTCATGTTTTGTAAGCCACTCAGAAGTCATCTGGATCTGGGCATTACACTGTTAATAATAATAATAATATGTATATGCCAACAGCTACTCTGGGTGGCTTCCAACACATTAAACATCAAACACTAATAATAATAATAATAATAATAATAATAATAATAGTTTATTATTTATATAACTCACATTATATAACACACACACTCTTTCAATTTCTTGGCAAATTAAGTGCCACAACCCCGGTAACGAAAGAAGCCAAACAAGCCTTTTGCTGCTCCAAAAAGAACTTCTAACTAGTCCATTGTTTTCTACTCTCTCTCCAAAATTTGAGCAAACACTCAAGAGCCTGTCCCTTCCGCAACCCTTGCCGGTTGGCTTCTGAGTGGGCACACAAAATGACCCACCTTGCAAATATCTGAGAAGCCCACCAGTCAGATTCACAAACCAGAAGACTAAATTCCGCAGCCTCCAATTAAATATAAAGTAAAATATATTCTGGATTCAATGACACCAATTGCTTTTTTAAAAAGATAGATAAATAGATGTACATTTGTCCAGTCCACTTTATACCTGTGTGAAATTTTGGAAATGTCTACAGATTCTCTTGAGGAAACATATGGGATCACCACAACTTTTTTTAGATCTGGAAGTCCTGAAAGAAAGCAAAAATTCAATGGTTAAATGGAGAGAAATGACAGCTATTTCCACTTTTAAAGTGTCTTCCTATAACCATAGTTTGCTCGACAGTGACCCAGACCACACATTAAATATTACTGGAGTAAGTAATGAATTTAGTTTCTCCTTTTCCACCTCTCATGTCCTCTTCAGTGGAGAGTCCCTTGTTTGTTGAACCACAGTTTTCCCTGGTTTCAGAACTGGGAAACCGATTTTCACACTCCCTACCAGCCATGATTGCCAGCTTGACCCTAGTTTGCTGTTTCTCGACTCCTGATGTCACAGGGAACTCAGGTTTAACAAACCAGAAAATGTCTGCTGAAGCCAGACATGCAAGAGGAGCAAGGGAAGGAAAGTGGGGAGCACCTGTGATCATTAAGAACATAATAAAAGCCCTGGTGGATCAGACCAAAGGCTGAACAAAATGCCTATGGGAAGCCAACATACAGGATGCAAGTGCAATAACTCTCCTCTACTGCTACCTTGCAGCAACATTCACTCCTTTGTGCTCCCCATGCTGGCTGGGCATTTGGCCGCGCAGCTCTAGTAGGTGTAAACCACATAGGCTTCCCTTGTCACAGCCTGCCATGCACAGCTACCCATATGACCAGTCTCCCAAGCTCTGACCCACCAGTGGGCCAAAGGACAAACCTGTCTAAGGTCTGCAGTCCAGGGCTTTGCACAGCACCAGGTGCTGAAGTCCGTCAACTCAGGCAAGGCATAAGAAACCAACCAGGCAGGGCCGGCTCAAGACGTTTTGCTGCCTGAGGCAAAGGACAAGATAGCACCCTCCCACAAGGCACATGCAGAAACCAACTGGATTGGCAGTTGAACCTTACCCCAATAATGGTGGCAGAAAAGTATATTTCCCTGTGCCTGAGGGCAGCCAGGTTGTGTAGGGAGCACAGGGCAGGCCCCAGGGCACTCACAGCTCTGTCCCCTTCCTGTCCTTCAGCATCTCCTGCCTGAAGCAGCTGCCTCACTCTGCCTCATCATAGGGCCGGCCCTGCAACTGGGACTTTAGCAGTGGTACCTATGCAGCCACTTTCAGGCACCAGAGGGCTGGGCAGTGTTGTATACCTCAGGCGCAAAGCTATTAATCTCCATTAATGAAGGGATGGAAGTGAGAAGCAATGCCCCATATTCAACAATTCCCACAAGTGTGCAAGGCAGCCAGTACCCTTTACGACGTTCTGAAGCTTTTCCAAGTGATTGTGTTTTTTCCCGTTGTAAATGACAGCTTCAACAGAAAAGATCAACTTGGGCTGAATTTGGGAAAATCTGTCCAGCACACCCTGAAGGAGACAGACAAACATTAATACAGCCATTAACAGGAATAAGTGAGGACACTGGTTTCCCCCAGATTGCAAAACATTAAAAATGTTTAATGTCTTTAAACATTATCCTTGTCGCAAAAGAACTATTTTCTTAGCCCTTTCAAATATAACATTAAAGCAGGAATAACTAACATGGCGCCCTCCACTTGTGGACTACAGATCCCATTCTCCTTCCCTGGTTTACAATGATGTGCATGAACAACAGCCGATTTTCTCCCTCCTCTGCTGCCGTGCAAGGAGAAAATAAGAAGCCTTTGCTTCTGCTTTTAAAATAACAAGAGTTCCTTGCTACATCCAAATGTGGATAAACCCTGGTTTGTTCAAAAGGAGCAAACTGTGGTTTATGGTAGCTTGTTTGAGCAGGCTGTTTAACCCAAGAGTAGCAAACAGGAGCCCTCCAGAGGCTGCCGGACTCCCAACTCCCTTCAGCCTCCGCCAGCCTGGTCGGTGGTGATGGGAGCTAGAGCCCTGTCTCCTCCCCCCTGGTTAAAAAGATCCAGGGCGGCTTCTAGGCCAGGGGGGCACAACCTGCGGCCCTCCGGAAGTTTCCCATGAGCCCCAAGCAGCATCGCCATTGATCAGGATGAAGGGAGGTGTAGTCCAACAACACCTGGAGAGCTACAGGTTGTGCTCCCCTGCTCTATGCCCTCTGCTCTGGCACCGAAAAAGTTCTATGGAGAAAGCTGAACTCACAGCCTCAGGCAGGGTGGGAAGAGGATGATTTTGTGCTTTGCTAAATACTGGTGCAGTGTCCCATATCGTCCCGTCCCAGCCAGAGGACCTCTGTCTTCGAAGGATTTAACTTCAACCGGCTTCCGCGTAACCATCCAGCCACAGCTTCCAAACATCTGGTCAGTGTGTCTGGGGCCGAGTCAGGATGGCCATCCATCAACAGATAGAGTTGGGTGTCATCGGCATACTGATGGCAGCCCAGCCCAAAACTCCGGACAAGCTGGGCGGGCGCATAAAGATGATACAAAGCATCGGGGAGAGTATCGCACCCTGAGGCACTCCACACACCAAGGGTGGCGGGATGACAATTCCCCCCCAAGCGCCACCCTCTGTCCCCGACCGGAGAGAAGCGGCGCAGCCATTGAAGGACTGTGCCCTGGATCCCCACGTCGGCAAGGCGGTGGTCCAGGAGTTCGTGATCAACCATGTCGAAGGCTGCTGACAGGTCTAGAAGAATCAGCAGCCCCGACCCGCCTCGATCCAGCTGCCTGCGGAGATCATCTGTTAGGGCGACCAGAGCCGTCAAAAAGTGCCGCTCTTCTCGTTGAGCTAAAATAAAAATAAAATTGTGCAGCAGGAGGGGACGACAAAGCACTGCAGAATGGGGGGGGGGGGGAGATGGGTTAAATTAGTCACCATAAATTCTCTCATTTAAGTTACAGTTTCTTGAACTGCCTTCGGTTGATGAAAATGGGGTTATGCTGCCCCCCAGTGGCCAACTTCAAAAAGTAAAGAGTGTTTATATTATTTAATATAAATAATTTAGTCATACCTCTTCTTGCAAACGCTTCATGTTGCGTTTTTTCGGGTTAAGAACACGGCAAAGCCGGAAGTGTTTACTTCCGGGTTTCACTGCACAGTTCGCACATGCACAGAAGCAAAAGCGCTCTATCATGCTTCGCACATGCGCAGAAGCACCGCTCTGTTTGCGGACTTTTCAGGGTACAAATGGTACCCTGGAATGGATCATGTCCAAAACCAGAGGTACCACTGTAATACAAAAAATTCTGGCTGTAATTAACGTTACATTTCCCACCCAAAGTGTTCAGCACAGCACATGTTATCCCATTTCTATCTCTCGGGGCTTTTGTGTGGTAGATTAAGTGCAAAGGAAATGAGAGATTCAGGACCCCCCACCTGGCAGTGATTGAAAGCCAGGCCTCCTCAAACCAAATTCATCACTTTTTTAAAAAAGTGTTTTTTATTGAATTTTGTGACAAAACATAAACAAAAACAAAGGAAAAACAAACTAAAAAGAGAACACACACAAAAGTAAGTTACAAACATATAACCATAAATCCTAAAGATCTTACAAACGGACTCATATTATCTCCTTTTCTGTTCCCAATCCTTATTCTGTTCTTACAGACTTCCTTCCTCCTCAATGCCATTCTGATTTTCCTTTTTTGGTAAACTGCTTCTTTCTCACTTCATCATTACTATCTTTCTCCATATAATATACTTGTAACTCTTATTTTATTTTGCAAAAATTACTCAAAGCAAGTCCGGGTTTTTATTTGAGGACACAGTTTTTAAAGATACTCTTTATACATTCCCCACTCTTTTTGGGATTTTAACTTGGACTGTCCCCTAATTGTGTCTGTCATTTTCGCCAGTTCGAAATAACTGAATAATTTATCCTGCCACTCTTTTTTAGTTGGTATTATATCACTTTTCCAATTTTTGGCAATTAATATTTTTGCTGCCATGGCTGTGTATAAGAATATTTTCTTATTTCATTTAAGATATCTGATTCTAGTATGTTCAATAAAAAGGCTTCTGGTCTCTCTATAAAAGTTTATTTAAATATTTTTTTCAATTCTTCATACACCATATCCCAGAAGCTCTTAATTTTTTTGCAGGACCCCTCCACCTGATTACACCTCCAACACATTTTAGAGCTTGCTTTGTACATTTTGGATATCTTACTAGGTGTTATACAGCATCTGAAAAACATCTTTAAAAGATTTTCTTTTAAAGCTTTTCTTTTAAAGCACTGAATTTCCAACCTTTGTTCCATAACCTTTCCCATGCCAATAATTGAATAATTTCCCCAAAATCCATTGCCCACTTGATCATTACCTCTTTTATTTGTTCATCTTTGACCTCCCATTCCAAGAGGAATCCATACATTTTAGAAATTACTTTCCTCTTATTCTGTATTAATTCTTTTATCTATCATTGACTCTTCTTTTGCAAAACCTCTTTTTTATCTAATTTGAATATTTCATTTAGTTGATGGTATTGAATCCATCCTGTCATAATCTTTCAGCTCCTCATAATCTTTCAGTTTCAGTTTGTTACCTTTTTCTTCTAACAGGTCTTTATACATAGCCCAGGTTGTTTCCATATTTTTCCTCTTGACTGCTAAGGCCTTCAAAGGCGATAGCCACCAAAGGGTTTTAGGTTTTACTAAATCTTTGTATCTTTCCCACACTTTAAAGGTTTCCTTATAATATGGATAAGGAAGCCTCTATTGACTTTCACCTTTTGATAACCCAACTATGCATGCCACCCATAACAATTGTCAAAACCTTCTAAATCCAATAGGCCAGCATTTTCCAATGTTATCCGTTCCTTTAACCAATTTAGATAGGCTGAATCATAATACATGGTACCTCGGGTTAAGAACATAATTCGTTCTGGAGGTCCATTATTAACCTGAAACTGTTCTTAACATGAAGCACCACTTTAGCTAATGGGGCCTCCCGCTGCTGCACGATTTCTGTTCTCATCCTGAAGCAAAGTTCTTAACCCGAGGTACTATTTCTGGGTTAGCGGAGTCTGTAACCTGAAGCATATGTAACCTGAGGTACCACTGCACAATTTCAAATCAGGTAATGCCATTCCCCCTCTGTTTTTACTATCTATTAGTAGTTTGTGTTTAATTCTCCGTTTTTTATATTGCCAAATAAATCTTGATAGGTTTTTTGCCAGCTTTTAAAGCATCCCAATCACCAGTATCATTTTAAATAAGAACATCATCTTGCGAAGTACATTCATCTTTACTGCTGAGATTCTACCGTGCAATGATAATTTCAACCTGTCCCAAATTTCCAACTACTTTTTAATTTATTTCCAAATTTTTGAATAATTGTCATTGAAAAAATTACTGTTTTTGTTTGTTAGCCAGATTCCCAGATATTTAACCTTATCTTCTATCGTTAATCCTGAATTTATTTGTAATTCTTTTTTTTCCTTGTAAATACATGTTTTTGGCTAACATATTGCTTTTATTTTTATTTATTTTAAATCCTGCCACTTTCCCAAATTCAACATTTTTTCTAATATTTTTTGTATACTTTCTTCTGGATTTTCTGCAATGATTATCAAATCATCCGCAAAGGCCTTTATTTTAAAATAAAATAAAACAACAAATTCATCACTTTTGAACCAGTGTAGCAGAGTGCGGTTGGGAACAGAAGATGACGATGATCACCCTCTGTTATTCACTGTATGTGCTGGTCGCTTTATGCAGAAATAAAAGTCTCAAAGTGACCTGACCTCAAGTTAAAATACAAGCAAACAAAATTAACTAAGAGGCAAATTAAAAATAAAAGACCTGCCCTCAGCACTCTTATGGGTGAGCAGTACAGCAGAGGCTGATTTAACCACCAAAAGTTGGGCAAAATAAAAATGTCTCAGACTGGCACCTAAAAGCTGGTCACGACAGGAGCAGCATCCCGGAAGGGGCGACGGTTCCTCGGAACAAGAGCTGCAAGGAGTTACTTACGTTGATGCCAAAGTCCGGCGACGTTGCGCTCCAGATGGCGCCAATGCTCGCTGCGGCCAACATTGCTTCTACCGCATGGATGCCGTTGGGCAAGTAGCCTAGGAGAGGTTTAGGAATTGCAGTGGTTACAACACTGGAGGAAGCCTGCGCCCAGGTGGCATGACGGCAAGCAAGCCCCCATTCCAAGAAGCCCATCGTGCTAGAACACTGCCTGTCATTTCTCCAATTTGGTGAATCAGATTCCCCCACGTGCAGCCGGTGGGCAGGAGGGAGCCAAGGTGGCGTGTGAAACCCAGAGCTCCAGCAAGGGATCTTGGCCAATGTTTGTCAAGCAAGAGGCAGGTTGGCCCAAGAGGCGCAGATCCCAAGCTTTTCCTCCCCTCCTTCCACAGCCTATCACTGCACCTCAAACAGCATAGCATGCAAAAAAGGCCACAGATGAAACGCAGATCATCTGCTTTACATGCAGAAGGTTCCAGGTTCAATCCCTGGTATCTCCAAGAAGGGCTGGGAATGTCCTTCCATCAAAACCCTGGAGAGTGGCTGCCAGTCAGTGTGGACAATATTGAGGGAATTTAGCAAAGGATGCTTGTTTTCCAGTCATTCATTTCTGAGCTGCACCATTAAGTTTCATTTTATTGTTGTAATTTCAGTCGCTTTAATATTGCGTGTATAAATAGCTGCAAAATATGCTACCTGGCCAAGTTCAAGGTGTTGCTATGGATATATAAAGCCCTTAATGACTTAGGAGGGATGCGGGTGGTGCTGTGGGTTAAACCACAGAGCCTAGGACTTGCCGATCAGGTCGGCGGTTTGAATCCCCGTGACGGGGTGAGCTCCCGTTGCTCGGTCCCTGCTCCTGCCAACCTAGCAGTTCGAAAGCACGTCAAAGTGCAAGTAGATAAATAGGTATCGCTCTGGCAGGAAGGTAAACGCTGTTTCCGTGCGCTGCTCTGGTTTGCCAGAAGTGGCTTAGTCATGCTGGCCACATGACCCGGAAGCTGTACACCGGCTCCCTCGGCCAGTAAAGCGTGATGAGCGCCGCAACCCCAGAGTCGGCCACGACTGGACCTAATGGTCAGGGGTCCCTTTACCTTTACCTAATAACTTAGGGCCGGTTTACTCCCGGGATCACCTCTTATGTGCCTGTTCTACCACCTCCATCTGAGGAACTTTCACTTTTGCCAAGGCGACAGGTTGCTTACCTCGCTTTTTGCAAGGAGTCATTTCTTTAACGCGGCAGACCCTGAGCTCTGGAACTCCCTGCCTATTGAAATTAGGCAGGAATCATCCCTGTACTGTTATAGATGCCTGTTGAAAATTTCTGTTTCAGAGGGTCTATCCAGACCCATGATTTGGTTACATGTGGTTTTAAAGTTGTTATGGTTTACTCTGTTTAATTGTTCTTAAATGGTCTTGGGTACCTAAAATTGTTTTAAATATGTTTATTTTACTTTATTTTTAATGGTACTGTATTGCTCACAGATGCATTTACCGCCCCAGAGTCCTTTGGGAAGAGGGCAGGATACAAATTTAATAAATAACATAGTACTTAGTTATTTTCCATTTATATCCCACCTTTTTCTCTAAGGAGCTTAAGGCAGTGTACATGGTTCTCCCACTCCCCACACAACAACCCTGTGAGGTAGGTTAGGCTGAGAGGCGGTGATAATAAACCAACAAATATATTGGTTTTAGAAGGAAGTGAGGGTTGTGGGCAAATTTGTGCAGTTTTGTAAGTCAGTTCATAATTCCATTTTTGGGTTAGTTGAATTAGGTGGAAAGTAGAAAGCTGTCTTACACCAAGTAATTCAACACCCTGAGTGCTCTGATGGTGTTTCCTGCTTGGCAGGGGGTTGGACTCGATGGCCCTTGTGGTCTCTTCCAACTCTATGATTCTATGATTCTATGAGTGAGGACAAAATTTGGGGTGGGTGGGTGTGCGCCAATATTTCTTATTTTCACAGTAATTCCTTTTTGTACAGTTGCTTTTTAAGGGAACTTTCCAGTCGGTACCTTTATAAATGTTAATGTTGTTGTTGTTGTTGTTGTTGTGCCCTGTGCAGGGGAACAGCCCACACTGCCTTAACCAATTCAGACCAGGGCTCCATCCAGTTCCATATTCCCTACACTAACTGGAAGCAGCTATCCAGGGCTTCAGGCAGGGGAGAGTCTTGCAGCCTTACCTGGAGACAGGCTTGGGGCCTTCTGCCTGACCTATGGGCCCCACCCCACAGCAGGAGACGAATTAGGTCACACCCCTATCTACATCCTAGATGTGTTGACATCACACCTATGTCTAAATTACACCTTTTCTTTCTCCCAGCTAATCCCCAGGGCAGACTGGGGGAATTACAGGGGCCAGACGAGTTTGCAGGACCCTCCTCAAAAAAGCCTCATCTGGAAGAGAAGCAGGCTAGCGGGGGAGAAAATGGGAAAGTACCATTTCCTGCACTTCCAGTTTAAAGTTCAATCTCCAAACCAGTTGCACAGTGAATTCATCTGCAGGACCTTCCTTTTGTGAGATTGCTGGCATTGGCAAAATTGCTGCCTAGAGCAGGAACAGGATGCATTCAGTGAGGGTATGTGTTGTGCTTAAGGGGTAAATGTGCAACAAAACATGTTCTTTCAGGCCCCAAGGTACATTTAAACACTTCTATAATCTGGGGAATTAGCCTCATTGGGGAGGAAGTGGAGCTAGCAGGCACGAGAATCTCCTTTCCAGCGCCTGCTTCTTAGTGTGTCTTGTCAGGCCCACAACTGCACAGCTTCAGCAATACAGGTTGGAAGTGGCCTCAAGAGTTTGGAAAATTGTGCACACGGCTGAATGGGCGAGGTCTTTGAAACGGTGCCCCTGAACGCTTGATGCAGATGTTGCAGAAGGGGTAGGTTTGACACTACACAGCCACCAGCGTCCCATATACCATGTGGAGTGGATGCATACAAAGCAAATCCTGAATGATGATTGTCAACATCTGTGTAAGGTGCTGATAACAACGCATGCTCTTTTCATGCTCAAATGGTACTCTAAAAGGGTTTTGGGAGGGGCTTGTATCTTATTGGTGGGGTTGAGAAATAAAATATTGATAAAATAATATTTCACGCCACAAAAAACACCTGGGACTTCCTGCCTGCCAAGCTCCTGTGGGCCCCTCTCCTCCTACTCCCTGCCACCCCACCAACACGCAGGGAAGTGGAGTCTGGTGTTACTTTGGCTCAGCCCCAGTCATTCCTGGCGCTCTCTCCCTCTGGGCCAGTAAGCAGCAGGGCAAGAGGCTCTGGGGGCCAGGAGGATGCCCCTTGCTGAGGGCTCAGGCCCCACTCAGCGCCCAATGGTGCCAACCCCAGTTGCTGGCCCTAGACCACACTGAGTACACTTCTGGACAATCTGTTTGTTGAATGTCCATCTTTACCAGGGAAATCAGATGCAAGATGTTGCTTTATACCAATTCAGAACAAAGGTGTCCCTGTAGCTTAGCAATGCCTACACGACTGGCAGTGGCTGTCCAAGGTTTCAGGCTGGGTTCTCTCCCAGCCCTACCTAGAGATGCTGCTGGGGAAAGCACTGGGGACATTCGGCAAAGCAGGTTCTCTGCCACTCAGCCATGACCCTCGGGCTATTTAAGAAGCAGCCACTCTTCTTAGTTTCCAGGAAGGTTAAACAACGTTGCATCAGAGCAAGTGTCACCCCACGCTTCCAAATGCATTCCTCCATATTGGGGTGGGGGGGGGTTGCTGCTGAAGACCTCCCAGTCAACTATAATTGTGTAGCCTGAATTTGCCAGTATGTGACAGAATCCCACCCCAAAATAGCAATGGTCTGGAATCGCTTGCAGTTGACAGCATTTATAGGCAGCATTTGATGCAGTTTCCCATGCAAGAGAAAAGACCTCCTCTTCTCATAAAAGGTGTACTCATCAAAACCTGACCAAAGGTGCAATAAGATGGGTATCTTATGGATTCTGTGCCATCCCATAAAAGAGGTTACACAATGATGTTGTCAAGATAACATCTCCAACTTACCATTTCCCAAAAAAGCTACCGTATTGGTCTGAATATAAGCCTCATTTCCTCCCCAAAATTCTGACTGTGAAAAGTTAAAGTGCGGATTATATTTGCGAGCTTATGGTATGCAGCCAGGAGCGTGGGGCAAACAGCGCCAGGAGTGCGGCAAAGTGGCGCCAGCCCTGTGCATAGTCCCCTATCCTCTCCCCCAAGGCCGGGAGGGGAGAAAGGAAGGAAGGGGAAAGGCCGCCGGCAGCGCAGCGTGTTCCCCCCCCCCCCCAGTACGCTGTCAGGAGCAGCGAGGAATTGAGCAGCTTATATTCAGGGGGGTTCTTTCCCCCCCCTCCAATTTTAAAGGTGTGGCTTACATTCAGGTGTGACTTATACTCGGGCCAATACGGTATTTCTGTTTTACTATATGCAAACGGCACTGTACATCTGTCCCAAACAAAAGCAAGTTTGAGAAGACAGCTGGAGGCGTTTTCTGAATACTGTTTAAAAGCACACCTTATGGTGAATTAAGGCATGGTAATGATATAGACCCCCCAAAAAGGTATTTGGGTGAATGGCTCATTGAATTTGAAGGTTTTTAAACTATTTGGGTGGAGCTTTCCAGTCATCTGGAACAGGGTCAACTGAACAAGAAACGTGATAGAAAAAGCTATGCAGAGTACTAAAATGTTAACACAACTTGGACACTAATCCAACTACTGTAGTGGTAAAAATGCAAGGTTTCAGGCAGGTTACTTGCATTTAAGTTATGAATTTCTGTATGGAGATTTCTGTGTGTTAAGGTAATTGGCAAGATTGCTGGAGGTCCAGTACTTTGCATTCCAGATCTAGGGCCCCCTCCCCACGAAAGGCACTAGGCAAAATAATGTAACCCCACCCCAGTTGTGAATCTGAATGATTAATAAACTTGACCTGGGTGTGCAGACTGAAAGGGTCCCAAGTCATTCAGCCCACCTCCCACCCCAAATCAGGACCAAGTTTAGAGCTTGGTCAGAGGACAACAAAAGTGGATCCTGAGAGCACTTATGCCTGCCAAGATACTTATACTTCAAGATTAGAGGGATAAACACCCACCATCCATTTCTCAATGGTGCTTTGATATTTATTTGGACACATGGTCTCTGTATGATTCGATTCAATCCAATTGGATTGGATCAGGGGTCAGCAAACTTTTTCAGCAGGAGGTCGGTCCACTGTCCCTCAGACCTTGTGGGGGGCCAAACTATATTTTTTTTGGGGGGGGGGGTGATGAACGAATTCCTATGCCCCACAAATAACCCAGAGATGCATTTTAAATAAAAGGACACATTCTACTCATGTAAAAACACGCTGATTCCTGGACCATCCGCAGGCCGGACTGAGAAGGCGATTGGGCCGCATCCGGCCCCCGGGCCTTAGTTTGCCTACCCATGGATTGACAGGTCATTGTTGATGTGACCCAAAGCATTTCTTTTTTCTTTCTGTAATATTTGGAATTAAAAATAATGTGTCTTAAGAAGGAGGAGGAGACAAGTTGCAAAACCTTTTCTGCGCAATCAGAGAGCACTGTGCAACTGCGCTCCTTTTCACCCACCTGCATTGCTCAAGAAGTGTTGCGAGGGAGGCAGGTAACAGCAGAAATGCTTGCAGCACTGGGGCATCAAAAGCCACGTTGCCTCACACGACAGAGGACATTTAAGCTGGCTTTTGCAACAGGCATCCCAGGGAGAACAAGGGACAAGATGGTGACGCAACCTCCGCCTTCCCTGGTGTTCATATGCTGCTTGGAGTCAGGTCCCAGGTTCTGGTATTAGTTTACAAAACCCTTTGTAACTTGGGTCCAGGATGGCCTGATGCCATCTATCCCTACACGATCACCTAGTCTTCACGGGAGCCACTGTCAGTGGTCCCCCATGGCTCAGACAACACTTAGCTTAATTTTTGGCTGCTATTTTGTTAATTTTTTTTATGGATTATAAACACTGCCTTGATTTGTTAATCAGATAATATGATTTGCTTTAATTCTGCTGTTTCACTTATTTTTTAGTCATTGCTTTGTTAACAGAGTAATTGTTTCATGGATGATTTGTTAATTATTCTATATGATTTATGCTGTATTTGTGATGTTTATTACATGTTCTAGCTTGTTATTATTTTTTATTGTTTGTAAGCCACTTTCGGATTCATTTGAATGAAAATAAATGTAATAAATCAAAATCAAATCAAATCAATTTTTTGGAACTCTCTTCCAGTTGACCTCAGACAGCTTCCCGTCCCTGTTGAAATTCCAGCACCTACTGAAGATTTTTTTAAAATCCAGCAGACATTCTAACTGAAATCTCATTTTATAGTTTTAACAGATTTTTGCCCTTTTCTGCATTGCATCTTCTGTATACCGCTTGGAAATGATTGTAATTAAGAGGCATATTAATTTCTTAGATAACCCAAACAAACATCTGGAGGACACCAGGTAGGCAGAGGCACATCTGTAAGAGGCTACTGTGATGCTTTGAGCTCTGCCAAAGGGCTATTTTGGGGTTTCTTCTGCAAACTTAGGTGTTCATCCAACTTTGCTGATACCTCTCTGCTGCATGTGGATGGTGCTGTTTTGGCTACATAAGGTTTGGCACACAGAGGCTGAGGCTGTTATTTGTATACTATACAGCAAAGAAAGGGGATATGTGGTCCTCCACATGTTGCTGCACTACAATCCCATAATCCGCAATTCACTAGGCATGCTGACTGGGGCAAATGGGATTTGGGAGTCCAATTGCATCTCGTGGGCCACAGGTTCCTCATCCCTGCTGTATAGGATAATAAATAAATGCAACTGTAATTGTTTTAGTTTCAACACTTCAAAAAAGGAGGGAGTGGGGCAGGGGAGAAAGGGTGCCTATTCTGAGAATTGCATAAGATGCAAGTAAGAGTCAGCAAGACTTTTAGTTGATCTTTGTAACCCAGTCATCAGTCATGTTTCATGATGACAAATTTTGGAAGTGCAGACAGATTTGTATGGTCCCTGGCTTGTCAAGAGGGGTCAGGTTCTGATGCAAAGAACATGGCAGGCAGCGAAAGAGCGTGATTTGTCAAAGCATCACTATCTTCCTCTATTGCAGGGATGGGGAACTGGTGGTCCTGCAGATATTGCTGGACCACAACTCCCATCAGCCCCCAAGCACTGCCCACACCGGCTGGGGCTGATGGGAGTTGGAGTTCGTTAAACATCTAGAGAGCTGCAGATGCTGCATCACTGCTCCTTGCTGGTTTCACTCTTTTCCCCTCTGGAGCTGGAAGTCTGGGAACCCTCCAAGAGCCAGGGCTCCAAGATTTCACTTTATCCCAAGATAAACACAAGGCATAAAAGGTTCCTTCATATGAATGTATGCACAAAATCAGGGGGGCCTGCGGCTTAGCATCCCAAGTACCCAGTCTCTGTTTACCTAGAGGATGGGCATTTGAAAAGGGAGGCTGACTCACCGACAACTCTGTCTCCTGTTTGCACACCCATCTTCCTCATGGCTGCTGCGAAGAGAGCGACCTGCTGCCTCAGCTCTTCAAAAGTCACCTTCACGATCTCCTCCTTGCCTTCCTCTGTGGAAGGAGAAGGGGAAAGTTTGAAGGAGGCAAGCCCCATCATTAGCAAGTTTACATTAGGATGCAAAGAACACCAGACAGGCGGCCGGCCGGGAGGGAGGCCATTGCAAGGAAAGAGTTTTCTTTTGCAAGACTTGGGCAGTGTCCAGTGGGCAGCTGCAAAAGACTGCCAGGGAGGTGCAGTGGTTAGAGGCTGCCAGCTCTGCCGGCAAAGGGTGACCTAACTGGGCTCCTGGGCTTGAATGATGGTCAGGGGTGCTGATCCCACAGCATGCCGCAGAAAGGATGTAGTTGGTCAAGGGAGCCATGGACTCAGAAAGGTTGAAAACCTCTGCAGTTCAGTATAGTATCAAAGTATTTTTTTATTTGCAGAATAAAAAAGATACATTGGCCAGGTCTACTCTGGTTTTGGCAGCCATTATGCCAGCCAGAGCGCAGTAAGGAAGGAGCTGGGAGAGCGGTGACCTTGCATGGGCCGTTGGACCCCAGCTGCCTTCAGCTCAGAGGGCAGGAATGGTGGGAGAGGCACCAGGCTGGAAAAGGCTGCGAGGGGCTGAGGTGAAAGCGCCTCAGCTCCCATGGTGAGGGCTGCAGCAGTTTCACCCGGCACCTCACCGGCTGGGGCCAATGCAGCTTTTTTCAACAGTGCAGTTTATCGCCATGATGTTGAAAACCCAACACTGCCCAGCCCTACTCTGGGCAGCTTCCAACACATATAAAAACATAATAAAACAGCAAACACTAAAACTTCCCTATACAAGGCTTCCTTCAGATGTCTTCTAAAAGTTGCATAGTTATTTATCTCCTTGACATCTCCTCGACGATCTCCTTTATCTCCTGGACGATGGGGGTGGAGATGCTCCTTCTGCTACAAAGGGCCAAGGCCATTTAGGGCTTTAAAGGTCAGCAGCAACACTTTGAATAGTGCTTGGAAACCTTCTGAGATAGCCCATTCCACTGCCAAACAGATGAAATACAGCTCCCACTCTCCCTGACCACTGGCCACGCTGACCAGGGCGGGCAGAAACCCCTGGAGGGTCAGAGCTTCCACACGCTCGGCCCCAAAGCCCAGCACAAGCTGCTGTTCTAACCACAAGGAGGGGAGCACCAGAAGCGCTACAAAAACCTTGCTTGTGCAGCATTTCAAAGGAAGTGGTGGAAGCTGCTGCAGAGGTCTCCAGCTTTCCCCAAAAAGGGTCTCAAAACACTTGGCAAGGACCGTCACTGGTCCTTCTGGGTGCCAGACTGCTTAAGCCCTGCTCTGACATTAAACCTGGAGCTATAAAAACCCCACGCCAGCTTAGCCCTTAAATCTCCTTAAGCAGAATAAAGAACCTGGAGGTGGAGGAGGAGGGGAATGATGCAGCCTTGCGATACACCCCTGCATCTTGCACACTTCGAGGAGGGATGGTACATCTGGCATCAAAGAGAGCCTGTGGGGAAATCCTGTTACCTGCTCATGATGCAAATGTGTACACACCCAGCTCCTTTAGCAAAGCTCTCAGCTTCCCCTGCCTCTACACACCACACTTAAAGCACATGGCTACCTGTCACAACCCCACCCAGTAATCCTGGGAACTGTAGCTTGTTATAGGTGGTGTGAGGGGTCAACCACAGTTCCCAGGATCCTTTGGGGGGAAGCTGCATGCTTTAAGTGTGCGATGCAGAGGTGACCCAAGTCCCACAAGGCTGTGTGACTCCACCTACCACCCCAGGATGCACAGTCTCCTGTTCCCACTGGGCTCCTGAGCCAGCAGGGAGACTTGCCAGCAGCAACACCAATAGGGTGGCAGCCAAAGTAGCATCCAGGACCAGCCCAAGTTCAGAGTCTAAAACTAAAGGTCAGGCAAGAGGCAGAAGAGTCCACAGTCAGGGTCCAAGCTAGCGACCAAAACGGACTGGGCATTTCTCCAGATGGGGCGGGTTTCCACCTTCCCTCTGGCTTGGGACCCATTTGGTCTTGATGTCAGAAGCCAAACCCATCCTGGATGGGGTGGTCCCTCATGGGCCTCGTCAGAGGATCCCAGCTCCTCACCCCCAGGCGGCACCTGTCCTAGCCTGCTTGGTCTTTCTCTCAGGAGAACCCCCCTAGCTGAGACATGACATATGGCCTGACTGCCACCAATTGCCCCTGAGAAGTAGGATCGTTGAGTTGGAAGGCTCCTCAAAGGCCATCTAGACCAAGCCCCCGTGCAGATAGGACACCGTCCTGCAGCAACCTTGGTAAGTGGTCATCTGCTGGGCTGCAACCCTTAAAAGATTCGGAACTGGCGTGCCTAGGCAGGTTTCATGGGATTATTTGCAAGTCTGCATTAAGATGAAGACTCATCCAGAAAACCTGTTGCCATCCGTGATGGGTTAATGGCAGCCTTCGCCAACCTGATGTGCCCTCCATTGGGCAGCTGGAACTGGTGGGAGCCAGAGTTCAGCAGCACCTGAAGGGCACCAGGCCGAGAAACACAGAGCTACAGGAAGGAAAAAGGAAGCAGTGCCCCCAAGAAACTGTGGGAACTAGGCGTTCTGCAAACAGGCTGGTTACTTAAGACAACCAGTCTCCAGCAGGTGGGAGAAAAAGCCCCGAGGGGAGAGCAGGTTAGGCAAAGGGCTGCCTGACAAACTAGTTTGGGACGACTGCAATCTCTCTACAAAGCCTGCAGGGCAGGAAAGAGTCTCTATGGCAGTAGGCAGAAGCGTTTGGCAACAAGGGGAAGCCCAGAGCAAGTCTGCCCAACAGACACACTGCCAGGCTAATCAATATACTCTGCCCCCCCCCCCAAATTGGCCTGATTATTTTACCACTCCATGAAATGGGCTGCAAGTCAAGCAGATAAAAAGAGAGAGAAAAGGGAGTAAAAATTCAACTAAGAAGAGTCTTCCAGAGGCAAAAATTACAGTGGTACCTCGGGTTAAGAACTTAATTCGTTCTGGAGGTCCATTCTTAACCTGAAACTGTTCTTAACCTGAAGCACCACTTTAGCTAATGGGGCCTCCTGCTGCGCTGCGCCACCACCGCACAATTTCTGTTCTCATCCTGAAGCAAAGTTCTTAACCCGAGGTACTATTTCTGGGTTAGCGGAGTCTGTAACCTGAAGCGCCTGTAACCCGAGGTACCACTGTATAGAAAGAAGTGCTTTGCAATGAAGAGAAATATTGGTAGAAGCACAAGGTTGACCACTGCAAGTGATACTTCTCTGGCTGACTGTTGCTAATGTTTAGTTTACTGTTCTTTAATTGTATGAATGTGCGTGTTATTATAAATAAAGCACAATAAAACGACAGGGGCAGAAAAGAGAGAGAGAGAGAGAGAGAGAGAGAGAAGAATCACAGGTGTCACAAGAGCAAAGATTCACAATGACTACTTACGTGCAGCATAGAGCGCAATTTTATCGTTTTCTTTGTGCTTTAAGAGGTTTTCTGCATAGTTCAACCTGCTGCCTTTAAACCACTCTGGAACATCTGCAATGCCCTTGGAAGGGTCAATCACCTGGTGGAAAAAAGGCCGGGCATCCTTAGGAAAGAAGAGCTTCATGGTCATATCTGCTACTGGGGCGGAGAAGAGTTCCCACACTCCAAAATCCAGGCTGGCTTGTTTCCCCATTACCAGAATCCCACGTGAGAGACCACCGTGCCTCAAGGCCCACACTGCTTCAGGCATCTTCACTGCTCCACAGCCTCTCTCAGTCTGTGCCTCCCTGACATTGGGGGTCCTGGCAGCTCCAGCCAGCAAAGCCAACAGGACAAAGCTTTATTTGCCTAGTTAGCAAGTTTTCTTACCTGCCCTTCACACGAGGTCCCAGGCCAGCTTAAACAAAAACTACCATTTTAAGACAGATTATTAAAAGAATACTGCTTCTATTTTAAAACACACAAAGCCTTTCCAAAAGTGAACAGAGCGATATAAATTCCGCAAGGGATGATGGGAGCTTCACTCTGACAGCATCCGGAGGTTGACAGGTTGTAAGAAGGCTGGTCTAGGGTTGCCTCATCCCCTTAAAAAGTCTCGTTCCAAAGTTGCCCCTTTTTTATCTCGCATTCAGTCATTTGGCCCCAACCATGGAAATGGTTGCTTGCCCTGCAGTGGGGGGATAGCAAGCAACCATTACAAAAGCCCCACTTTTGCCCTGATTCCGCCTTCAGGGCTGTGAACTGGACACTAACAGCCTGACCCATACTCACTATACAGTTAAAAGCAGGATCATGTCATGTTAAACTGTCATGGCTTCCCGCCACCAGCCAGGCAAAAATCCTGTAGTCTGTTCAGGGTGCTGAGTGTTGTTAGAGGACCCCCACCCTATTCCCCTGACAGAGTTCCATGAGAAGAGGGCAAGGCTGTAGTCAAGGGGGGGCTAGCCATGTTCTCAGCCCTGGGTGAAGCCTCTAGAGGGGCACCAGTAAGGCTCCCAGCTTGTGGGGGGGGTCCTCTGACCATGCCCCTCCTTGTGGCTGCTGAGCACCAGAGGGACGCTCATTTGCAAGGGGAAGCAGGAAAACCTTCCTCTTTCCCCCTGCCTGTTTCTGGAACTGTGTGTGAAAGAGAAATCCTAGAGGAGGTTGCTCTCCAAGCAAAGTTGAAAAGGGAAAGTTTTGTGGCTTTCTTCCTTCTTCTTTTGCTTCCCTCAACATCTCAGAGATCAATTAAAAGTGGTGAAGAGATCAGAACAACACCTCCTGCCCTTTTTGGGAACAGAAGCACTTTGGAGTATTGCTTGCTTGTGTCTTCTCTGTGTGTGTGTGTGTGTGTGTGTGTGTGTGTGTGTGTGTTTGGATCTAGAGGACAACATACATGTTTACACCATGTGCATACATAAAGAGGGCACTGCTGCATACAATCAGCTACAAAAACTGAGTCCTCTTTATACTGAAAATAAAATATCTGTAATAAAAGAAATATGATGCTGAAATATGAAGCACTTTGTATTTATCCCTTCTTGTAATTTGGAAGGAAAATGTAGCCAATCCACGTCAAATTCTTTAATTGCAATGGCTCAGCAGCCAGCATTTTTTAAAGAAAACTTGTTAAGTATTTATTCATTTTATTCCTTAGACTCGCAGGCATGGCCAAACTTGGCCCTCCAGATGTTTTGGGACTACAATTCCCATCATCCCTGATCACTGGTCCTGTTAAGATAAGGATGATGGGAGCTGTAGTCCCAAAACATCTGGAGGGCCAAGTTTAGCCATGCCTGCCTTAGAGTCTTAAACTGCATGCCTTTACTACTCAGAAGTAAGTCCCACTGAATTCAATGGAGTTTACTCCCAGGTAACTGTGTAAAGATTCTGCAATCTTATACTGCAATCTTAAGCATTTTTACTTAGAGGTAAGTCCCACTGAGTTCAATAGGACTCTCTAGCATGTGCCTGATAATTATCACAGTTTCTATTATTATTATTATTATTATTATTAATTATTATTATTATTATTACATACAGTCATAATACTTCTTAGAATTCATCAAAAGATCTATTACTCTCTGAGAAGATCTACTTAAGGTTGAATGATATATACACAGACAATTTTACTATCTCTTCTCCAGCCTATTTCAAACTACTTTTTATGCCCTTTATGAACAAGCGTGTTGAGTTGTGTGTGTGTATGTGTGTGTGTGTGTACACACAAACACACGTGGGGGTGTAAGACAAACTGGGTCTTTGCCCAGGTGACAGAAAGCCTAGTTTCGGCCCTGGAAGACTGTTAAACCATCACGCTGGGAACTGTAGCTCTGGGAAGGGAATAGGGGCCTCCTAACATCACTCAATACCCTTAAACTACAGCTCCCAGGATTCTCTGAGGTTATACATCTGTGCTTTAAATGTATAGTGCAGTGGGGGCCCCAGCCTCCAACTGAAAGGCCTTCACTTCAGTTTTCTTTCTCCTGCATAAGCCCAGAAAAGAGAAAAGGGTTCCCCACCTCTCCCCAATATTCTTGTTTCTCACTTTGACGTGGTGGAGCGGATTGACAACTGGCATCTCTCCACATGCAATGCACCACCTAATCTTGCTGCCAGCGCAAGCCAGGACTGTGCTGGTGCTTGAGACAGAAGGATGAATTTGACTCCATTCTTAGTCAGGCAAAAATCTCTCACATCACTTGCTACAGGGCATCGTTTTAACTCAAATTGCTCATTGGCCCACCTGCAAAACCAGTTCCACAGACAGGACTTTCTCACCTACATGTCCTCCCTCATTTTGGGAACTCAAACCCTGTCCCCAAAAGGATAGAGGACTCACCCCATATGTCCTGTTTCTTTCTTTTGTTAAACATTTCTTTTGGTTTTTAAATACAAATACAATAACCGTTAAACACTTAACCAGCAGTACATCTAAGGGTGCTTGTTTTAACCAATGTCTTTACACATACACATTCAACATTCAGACATATTACTTAATGTAACCACTCCACTGAGAAAAATATCCCATTTCTTAAATGTGGTTTGAAGATCCACTTGCATCAAATTGCTTGTAGCAGATCTGATGCTGTTTTAAAATTAAAGGTCACACTGATTTTTTAGTATTAGTGGTTACTTTACTGCTGCTTTTAAATTGTGTTCTTGAACTGTTTAATTAGATTCTATAGATTGCTTGGCTTGGCTCAAAGATATTAAATTTTCAAAACTGTATCATGAACGTAATATAAAATATGAAAAAAGAAAGAAAATTGTACAAAACAGAAAACCAAGGTTCACATCCATACCTCATAAAACAAAGAACATTATCAAGAGACTACACAATGAATTAGATGCTATAGCAAAAAACCAACCTGATACAGAGAGAATACAAAAAAAAAATATAAATACCAAATAAAGCCATATTTCATCAGTACTGTACTTGCCATCCCTGTGCTTGGCCTGTCATATAAGTAACATATGGTTGCCAAATGGAGGCAAAATCCAGAAGTTTAGCTGTACCCAAGATACATGCAATTTATGAGTCAATCTCTCAGAAATGAGAATAAACTTTACATTATTGAACAAAATGTTTACAGAAAAGCCTGATTACTTCTTCTAGACCTGTGATATGGTCAAACAAGCTAATAGAAAAAAATTAAGAGGTTTATATTTTAAATCCATATTTGATCCATCAAAAACTGATAAAAGACACAGTTTTTAAACTACTGTTTTTAAGCCTATGGTATATTATTGAAATGTGTATTTTGATGCAAAGCACCTGGAGGGTGGCTGCTCTGAAAGGCAGCCATGAAATGTTTTATATACGTAAAACACTGCACGAAAAACTTGTTCTCTGCCACTGATCCATGCATGCCCCACTGTCCTGTCACTGCTGGTCTCTTTAACCTCAGGGGCAGGTGGGGGAAACCTTCGGCCCCACAGGTGCTGCTGAACTACAACTCCCACCAGCAGTTTTCCCCTTGTGCTTTGCTTTGCAGGCACAGCTCCAAGCCTTTGCCCCACCTGGTCTTTAGCACTAAATCAGAACACTCCGTGGAAAAGCCTATTGCCCTTTGCTCCAATTCAGCGCTAAACTGCAGGTTTCCCCAGTGGAAAGCGGTGGGGCAAATGGGGGTATGAAAGAATTCTTAGTCACTTAGCAAAATACTTGTTCCACTGGTGAAATGTTTTGCACTTGTGGAACACTGTTGTACAAGCAGGTTGTGGTTAACTTTGTCACACAATGTGTTTCTACTGTTGTGCAACTGTTGCACTGGATTTCTCTGTCGTGCAGCATTCAGACTCACACTTGCACTAGCAGAGAATGCTGGATGCAGTGCAAAATCTTTCAAATTAAAAACTGTACTTTAATCATTACTCGTGTGTGTGTGCGCGCACGCGTGTATATCTGTTTGGTGTATTTTAGCTGTGCTTTAGCTACAATTTTATTATGTGCACTGCTTCTAAGAACCTTTAGATTGAGCAGCTTGAAAATCTTTCCAAATAATAATAAATAAAGCAAGAGGATCAGATCCCTAGTGGCTTACCTCATCATAAAGGCGGGAGAAGACAATCCCACTAAACTTCCAAAATTCTGCCCAGAAATCTGCATAGTGATTCACCGACCAATGGTACAATTCATTGTAGTTGGCTGTAGGGTAAATATAGACATCTTTATTTCAATGATAATCTATAACACAACGTGCAAGCGATCTGCAGCCCAAGATTTGGCTGCCTAAGCTTAATTGTTTCAGATTGCCATTTTGTTGTTATTGGGCTGTTTCCAGTTTTATTCTGTTTCATTTTGATAGGACACAAAAATAATGTGTGTGTGCCCTATCTTCTTATAAACCGCTTTGGCTATCCTACAGAAAAGCAGGATATAAATATGAATCTTACTTCTTATTGGGACGTATGAGGAGTTAGGGGAGGAGTAGTACTATCTGGTGGGGGGCATGCCATGCTCCTTCTGGGGTAGTCTGTCCACCCTGGTTTAGTTCATTTAGTTCAGTATTGTCTCTACACTGAACAAACCTCTGGTCCCCACCCTGCACTCAGCTCTCACCTGTGGCTCCTAGAAGCTTGCAACATTGGCCACACCCTGGGAAATGGCTTTGACTGGCGGCTAAACCAGGTGTGGGTAGCTGATGGGTCTCAAACCCTCAGTGACTTAGGGACCTCCCCTGCATAAGAAGACAGGCTCTGGAGGATTGAGTGGACAAGACCAAGAGTGGGTTGAATGGTCAAGAAGGCAGTTTCTGCACGTGCTGTAGAGGGAAATGCGGGGCAGATGGGGCTCATCAACCACCTAGGAGAAAGAAAGCTCTGATCCCAAACCTCTGCTGCCTTGTGGGGTATCTTCGGGTGAAGAAAAGGCTCAGGAACAAACCCTACACAAATCCCAAGTGCTCATACTGTTTTAAATGTATGCGGTTAGTGAGAAGGTCCTTTCCCTGCCCAACTCAGGGCCAATCGATATAACGCATTATGATAGCCCCCAATAACTGGGCAATTAGTCAATGAGAGAACTCCTAGCCCAAGCCACAGACTGAGATGCTAATTGTCTTTGGGCAAGGAGTCACATAGGAAGTTACCTTATGCTACGTAAGAAGACTGGTTCATCTAGGTCCATGGTGTCTCTACAGTAACTCTCCAGAGTTTCAGACAGGAGCTTTTAGCCAGCCCTAGCTGGAGACGCCAGGCCACCACAAGACTTCACCACTTCACAATTCCAATCTTGGCTGAACTGGGAAAGCCACCTGCTTCTTTCTCTCTTCTTCAATAAGTCATTAGCTCCCATATTTGCTTGCTGATAAATGGTTAATATTGCCTCCTCCCGTCAAGACACCTGAGGATCTTATGGAAATCAAGCAGGACCGTGTGTCCTTAGCCATTATAAAAGGTGGAGGTCAAACAAACAACCCTTTTGCTGTTTTCCTAGGGAACAAAAAGCTAAAGAAGGTGGACTGCAGGCGGGTGGGGGCAGGACAATTAATCTTCGGCTCTGATGGTCCGGGAGATATGCTCCAGGTCCGCCAAAGAGCCAACCTCCACATTTGTGGGCCTTCAGCCTGCTAAATACGAAGCACAAACAGAAGATGCTAATTTACTCAGTGAAATGAAGAGGAAAGATGCTACAGAGATGAGAAAGCAAACAGGGTTTTGAGAAGTGGAGCTCAAAATGAGCTCATCACCCAGAGGCCACCAGGCTGCCCTCACACTGCCTGAAAATGACACGACAGTTTTAACTTAGTTGTAAGGCCACGGTTTAATGGAGAAGCAGAGAGAAACAACAGCCCTCCACTTCGGATGGCAGGTTTTGGGTGCCACGGACATTGCATTGGCCCTTGAAGACACACCAATTTAGACAAGCATTCGCCTGACCCAAACTTTCTGTTTTAATTGCTGCTTTTACTGTTGAACTGTTTTAATGGTAGTGTGCTATCGCACACTTTAATTGTGGGTGTTTATTTTAATGTTCTGGTGGAACTGCTTTATTGAGTATTCTAATTATGAGTTCTTATCTTTCTCATAATTGGTTTTAAAACCACTAAACCTCTAAAAAGCCACTTTGGCAAGTAAGCAGTATATGATATATAGTGGTACCTTGGGATGCGAACGGGATCCGTTCCGGAGCCCTGTTTGCATCCAGAAGCAAACGTAACTAGCGACAGCACGTCCGTGCGCGCGTCACTTTTTGCCACTTCTGTGTATGCGCGTGACGTCATTTTGAGCGTCTGCGCATGTGCGAGTGGCGAAACCCGGAAGTAACGCACTCCGTTACTTCCGGGTTGCCGTGGAGCGCAACTCGAACGCGCTCAACATGAAGCATATTCAACCCGAGGTATGACCGTAATACAAATGCCATAATGTGGCATATGGACAGATCTGGACCAGGGCAGAATCCACTGCAAAGCCCATTGGAAGAAGAGCAAGTTCTTGTCCGATTCCGCTCACTTTAAAAGGGCTTGCACAGAAGAGCTTCCCACTAGATTGTGAAGGGAAGGGCTGTAGCCCAGTGAGAGAGCATCTGCTTTGCATGCAGAAGGCCTCAAATTCAATCCCCAGCATCTTGAGGTAGGGCTAGCAATATCCTCTGCTTGAAACCCTGGAAAGCCCTGCCAGTCAGTGTAGAGCCACTGTGAGTTGGCAGCCGTCCGTCTGGAGAGACAATGAAGTGCACCTCCAGGGATGAAGTCAAACTGCTGCAGTAGCAGCACCCAGGTGACCTATCCGGGGCACAAGCCTGGGCAGTGTGCATGGAGGTCCTGGGCTGCCTAGATGACAAGCCCCCCCCCCCCCCGGCCTGGCTGATGCGGTCCAAAGGAAAGCAGAGCAATACACTGGACACCAGCTTGGCTGCAGGAGCTGCTGGAAGAAGGAATACAAGATGCCATCCAACCGCCTTAGGGACTCCCCTCCAGATTTGTGTAGGGTTTACTCACTAGTCTATACTACTCCCGAAGATATCCCGCAAGACAGTAGAGGTTTGGGATCAGAGCTTTCCTTCTCCTAGGTGAGCTAAGCTTCCCAGGTTGACAAGCCCCATCTGCCCCACATTTCCCTCTACAGCACGTGCAGAAACCGCCTTCTTGACCATACAACCCACTCTTGGTCTTGACCATACAACCCACTCTTGTTAAATATTTATTTTATGTATATCCCACCTTTCCTTCAAAGGTCTCAAGGTGGTGTACACACCTCTCCTCCTTTCCATTTTATCCTCACAACCTACCTGTGAGGTAGGTTAGGCCATGGGGCAGAACTGGCCCAAATCACCCAGTGAGTGGGGATTTGAATCTAAGTCTCCCAGATCCCAGTCCAACACCATGGGTGGGTGTGAGTGTTGCCCTGCCATGACAAGATCAGCCACCTTCCCCCACGAAAGTTAACGGAGCAAAGGTGCACCCACTGAAGCTTAAGAGACTTAGACCTTCCCTCCACCATGATGACAAAATCATTGTTGAATCTTTGGCAACTGTACTATGACCTTCAATACTGTGCCCCCCACTTTAATATCATGTTTATATTTGTTGGTTGCTTTTCTCACAGAGCGACCCAAAGCTGCAGCCAAGGCTGAGCAAGATGATAGTTTAGCCAGCAGCTCCCGTTAGGACAGCTAAACCACAGCTTAGGTCTCTATACGGGGGATGTTGTTGGCTTGTTTTGTTCTGGTTTTTATTATGTATTTTGTGGTCTTATTCTGTATTTTATATGCCATGAACAACCCTGAAATCTTCAGGTGAAATACAAATTTAATAAATAAAATTAAAATTAAATATCACTGTTATCAGATACTTAAAATATTGACCCATGTATTATGAGTCCCTTCAGTACAGGCAAGGCCATTGGTGACTAGAGTTAAGTTGCCCATCACCAGAAAAACAGAACAGAACTGTTTGCCCAAGAAAACTCTCTTTTCAGTTACCTGGTAACACGGTTGTCACATCTACATTTATCACTGTGAATCTTATTTTTTTTAAAAAAAATAAACAAATCTCTGGGGGAAATTGTTCCAAAGAAAATTGGAGAGGGAGACTGAATACCTGAATAAATATTTTCAGGTGCCCAGCTTCCCTGTACTACATCCTTTATTGGAGCCAACAAATGCAGACAGGTACAGGGTTCACATTTGTGACTGAACAAGACAGGAGAACCGCCGCAAGTCAAGGGCTTGGGATGGCTTTTCAACAATGCCAGGTTCTCAGAATCTGTTGCCAGGCCTCAGGCCTACATGAGTGCAAGGGGGCGGCTGCTCAGCAGAAATGGGAAAATACTCTGCACATGCTCAGAGCATTATAAGCCCCATTTTTAATTCTTCACAACAGTTTCTTTCAAAGGGGCATGGGTCTGAGCTAGGATCAGAGATGCTATGTTAGCACCCTTAAAGTGAAATTGTCACAGCCAAATGCAGAAACGTCACTGAACGGAAGAGCACCCACAACCCGGTGGTCTCCCGGCCAGCCTTGAGATGCGCCCCAGATGCTTTTGGGCTGCGCCTCCCCTCAGCCCCAGCCAGCCTGATGGGCGGGCACCAGGTTGACGGGCACTGCTCTGCCCAGCAGCTCACGGAAACCCCTCAGCGAGGCGTCGAGGCAGCAGTCCGCCCCCCCCCCAGCCCTGCCACCCAGAGATAGGCTCCCTTTCGCCCCAGTGGCCAAGCCAGACCCGGCGCCCGGCAAGCCGCCCCGGGGCGACGCTTCATCTGCGGGACGCTTCCTTCTGTCCCTCCGGCGGCAGCCCAAGAGCCAAGCCTCGCAGCCTCCCCGGCGGCTCTGCCTCCCGCCTGATGCCCAAGCCCCGGGCAGCTGGCGCCAAGAGGGCAGCTTGCGCCCAAGCGCCGAGGCACCATCCCTGCAGCCCCAGCAGCAGCAGCAGAGACTCACCCAGGGGAATCCCGTAAGCAGCAGCTACCGCTGCCCGGAACTGGTCCATATTGGTGTTGCGCTTGGAGTCCGGCTCCCACATCACCTGCGATTCCATGATCTCCGGCGCCCCAGACATGGCGAGGTCGCGCTTAGCTCAGGCAAGGGCTGCTGCAACGCACCGGCTTGAAAGCCTGCTGCTTCCTCGCTGGGCGAGTGACTGGGGGGCTCCGCCTCCTGCAAGCAGCTTTTCAGGGACAGTTCACCTCTCGTTTCCCCGGTAAGCTTCCGCCAGGGCTGATGATGGAGGAGGAGGAGGAAAGAGTGCAGGCACGGAACTAGGTCTATTTTTCAATGCAAATAAGGGCGGGGTATAGAAAGCGATGCATTCACAGCAGCAGTAGCTGCCAAAGGGATTAGCGTAAATCCAGCTATATGTATGTACGTTTATAAAACCGGATCTATGACTGTAAGTATATAAATTGTGCAATGCAATGTGTATATACATGCATATGCCTGTGCATCTCATGTACCTCTCTGTATGTGTCATGTGTGCATATACAGACACATCTACAGAAAAAGAGATGCAAAAGATTTTAGCTTGCACCTACCTCAACTGCTCTGTTGTTAATCAGAGACAGCTACAGCCAAAGTGACAGTAAATACAAGCAGCAACCCCCCCCCCCAGTTGGGGAAGTTGGAATTAAAGGCAAGGGAGCTTTATTTATGGCAGGCATAGGCAAACTCGGCCCTCCAGGTGTTTTGGGACCACAATTCCCATCATCCCTGACCACTGGTCCTGTTAGCTAGGGATCGTGGGAGTTGTAGTCCCCAAAACATCTGGAGGGCTGAATTTGCCTATGCCTGATTTAGGGCATTTCTTCTGCACTCCATGCTTACATTGGCTTTGGACCAGTTTAACTGATCACGGTTCTGCCCCGAAAATAATTATAGGGATTGTAGTTTTGAAGGGATGCTTAAAGGGCTCAGATGGAGGCAGCCACCTTGCTGAAGTGAAACGCCTGGATGGGAGACCACCCTTGAAAGATGGAGCAGAAACAGAATTTTTAAAAATCCTATGAAAATATGCCATGTGGGATCAGTGGCAGCCTGGGGGGTGAGGCAGAGCCAGACTCCTGACACCAGGGTCACTGCTGCTTACCTGGACAGGGTGTGGTGGGCCAGGCAGGAGGGTGTATTCGATGCTAGTTCTGCTCAAAGTAGACTAAGGTTACTTGATTTTTTTCAATGAATCTGGGGACACTTTAAATAAATACTACATGTTCAGGACGTTGATGCTGCAGCGATGGCACTTTTACCCCTCTGGAAATGACTCCTAAGTAACTGCAGCTTTAGAGATCTCAGAGTGTCCCCTTTCCCTTGCAAATGCATCTCCCAGTTTCCTCAGATGCAAGAGTGACTTCAGGAGTGACTCAGCTGTCCTGCAGATGCACCCTCAGGCTCCAGGCTGGGTTGCAGCCAGTGTAAAGGTGAAGCAATATTGAGAAATAGTGCATCTCTGCAGCTGCCAAATCTCCTGAAACCCAAATCCTTGACCACAGGGAGGTGAGATTATGAACACAAGGATGAGCACACTGAGAGAGGCAGCAGAGCCTGGTGGCCCCGGTAATTTAATAGCTATTGAGCCTCTTCCTTTTGCTGATCTATTGTACTTTCACTTGGCCCTACAGAACAAAGTGAAGTGTGCTGAGAAATGGGGCGATTCAAACTTGAAAATGGGGAGAGAATCATAGACTCATAGAATTGCGGAGTTGGAAGGGACCCCAATGGTCATCTAGTCCAACCCCCTGCAATGCAGGAATCTCAACTACAGTGGTACCTTAGGTTAAATACTTAATTCGTTCTGGAGGTCCGTAAACCTGAAACTGTTCTTAACCTGAAGCACCACTTTAGCCTATGGGGCCTCCTGCTGCCGCCGCGCCGCCGGACCACAATTTCTGTTCTCATCCTGAAGCAAAGTTCTTAACCTGAAGCACTATTTCTGGGTTAGCAGAGTCTGTAACCTGAAGCGTATGTAACCCGAGGTACCACTGTAAAGCATTCACAAGAGATGGCCATCAGCCATGGATGCAAATCTCATGAATGGGGTCTGTGACAAAATAGCTTACGCCAACTTTTGGCTCCTTTCTATAAGATTTAACTCCTTCCCCTGAAGAACCTGAGGAAGATGCTAAAGCCCTGAAATTTTATGTTAAATCCAAGACCTGGAGACCCAGCCTCTGAGCATTCACAGGGTATCATTCCTACACCACAAATATGTATCTTTTCATACACATCTAAGTGGTTTAAGTGGGGAGGGTAATGAATGTAAAGGCAGGGAATGAGGTTTCCAGAATGATTTGACAACTGTCTTCCATGCTGCTCCTGTTTGCTGTAGAATAATAGTCAGACTGCTCTTCCTCTCTAGGCAGCAATGCTCTATGGTAGTGGCACCTAGACTATTGATGAAATTTTAGTCAATAATTACAAGGGATATGGAGTGAAACTGCAGCTAAGAACTCTGGAAGCTTTTCATGTGACCTAGCTGGATTTTAATGTGTAGTTTCTCCTACCATGGTTGGCAGCCATCCTTCATGTCACCCCCCGCATGTGATGCCTTAGTACACAGATGTGCAGCATGGCAGAAAACACATGCATAAGAGCAAAGCGGTTGTATCAAATACCCCCCTTGCTCCAATTCTGACATTTGGCCAAGAGGATATATTTCTGGTTGGCCCAAGAAAGTTCTGACTAGGTAACAACCTCATCTAAGAATGTGGCCAATATATTTACCTGCTGTTTGACAGATCAGGCTTTTTCCTGCACATGTCATGAACAAAATGATCATCTGGTTAATTTTGTTATTAAATTTGCTTTATCTTGTTATTTTATGGCTTGTGTGTTTGAATCACTGCTGACTGTGATCCTTTTAGCACAGTTCTCTTAACAAACAGCTCAGTCATTTGGTGGGAGGGCAGATTAATCCCCTGTTTCAGCACACCACAGTCAGATTAAGCAGCCATTGGCTGACGCTTGACTGGTTCCACATCAGCCCAGCGCCAGGAGCAGGCAGCATCTAGGGAGCAAGGCAGAAGCTGACACAAGACCTGGCCAATTGCCTGAGATGTTGAAGAAACTCACCCCGGGAAGACCAATGAGCTGGAAAGCTGAAAGGAGGTGTGACCAATCAGAGAGGCAAGCTTGATGGTCGGGCAGAGGATGGTAAGCGCATGTATTTTGCTTCCCACATAGGCGGATGTGAAAAGGCAAGGCTGAGCACTCAGGGAGGTGTTTGCAATCACGTTGGCAGCAGTCACTGATTGCTGCAAAACACACACAACCCACTGAAGACAGAGGGAAGCAATGGACTTTTATTTCAACACAGGTCACACAGGTGGATGGATGTGAAAGGAGTACAGTGGTACCTCGGGTTAAGAACTTATTTCATTCTGGAGGTCTGTTCTAAACTGAAACGGTTCTTAACCTGAGTTACCACTTTAGCTAATGGGGCCTCCCGCTGCGCCTCCGCCACATGATTTCTGTTCTCATCCTGAAGCAAAGTTCTTAACCCGAGGTACTATTTCTGGGTTAGCGGAGTCTGTAACCTGAAGCGTCTGTAACCTGAAGTGTCTGTAACCCGAGGTACCACTGTATTTGGGGCCAACAGGGTATTAGCAAACACTGTTCAGTGGCTACTGATTGCAAATACAGCCAGCTGAAATCAAATAAAGAGAAAGTTTATCATAAAGCAGGATGACCAAGTTTGTGCCTGGCAAAGGAACAGAGACAGTATGACATAATGGTTGGAGCTTTAGACTAAGGTCAGAGAAACACAAGTTCTAATCCTCATTCTGCCACAAGCCTCACTTAAAAAAATATTGTATGGTGGCCTTGGAACTGTCAGTATATTTCATTCTAGCCTAACTCATGGAGGTGGGGTTTGGTGAGAATAAGATGGGAGGTCAGGGTAGAGAACCATGCGCACTGCCCTCAGTTTCTTGGTTGAAGGGGGGGGGGGAAGTCCTAAATAATAACCTTGGTAGTTTACTGCCTATACATGTCTACTCAAAACTAAGTTCCATTAAATGTGGCTTACTCTCAGGGCGGTGTATATAAAATTGCAGTCTTAGGCTTTATTCATTCCATTCATTGGTGCCTTCAGGTCCAAGCTCTCACATCACAACTTACAGAGAGAAATAAAAACACTAGAATATCAGACAGAAAATGATATATTGAAAGGATACAAGCAAATAGAAAAAACGGAATGATATCACCTAGGCTCCCTTAAGGTAAAGCAATAGCCAAACATTTTAAAGGTTCTTTTAGAATCTTGATCCAAAGGGGCCAAACAAATGTTAACTGCTAATCTTTGCTGATCCACACTATAGCTTTAAAACACATCCAATGGACATTTAAAGCCACATGAGTCCCCCTCACTCCAAAATTCCTGGGAACTGTAGTTTGTTGAGGATGCTAGGAATTATAGCTCTGTGAGGGGAAATAGAGTCCCCAGGATTCTTTGGGGAAAGTCATGTGTGCCCATTGGATCCGCCCATAGTGAGGATCTGCCCAATGTCTCCTGCAGGATTTAACCCAATTACTTGCAGGTCCAAGCATTGTGCTCCCCAGTCCCCAAGCCCAGAAAATTAAAAGACCATTGAGACTGGTTTGAATCAAAACAGGCCACAACTTTATTGAATACAGATGAAAGAGATTTGGCTTGGGCATGGGGCAATTAAACACTTCAGGCCCGTCTGCCGGAAGTGATGCATAGGTCAATCTGGGCAGGGGTTCCTAAGATTTATATCAAATAGGGTGACCCCTGCAGGGACCACTGTCTGGGGGAGTGTCATTGGCCCTGGTCCCCGGCTGGGCGTGAGGACATGGCAAGTTCCCCGGATCCCTTTAACGGGATACCCCAGCGCTTGGAAGGGCAGGCAGAGACTCCCCTCCATCCAAGACAAGGATTGCCCCAATGCCCAACCCAGTTGTGACGATTGCTATTAGGTAGGCAAAACCACCAGGCGGGAGCCAATTTCCCTGGTGGGCCAATTTCTCCCCTGACCCAGAATACGGCGACCGCCGTAGCCACAACAAAGTCCTGGACCAGTACCTTGAACCAAGGGGGTGGGGAGACCCTGGCGAAGGAAAAGCAGGTAGGTCCAGGTGTGGGCTGTTTAAATGGCCAGGGAGCTGCTTCGTCGACTCAGCCTCCTGGCCCAGCCCGTGTCTGAGCCTGCACCCCATTTTCTGATCCCAGGATCGGGCTCCAGATACGTGGTGGGGGCCCACACCCCCTATCAGGACAGGAAGCCGATGCTGCAATTCCTTCCCCGGGGACTTAGGGGAGTGTCTGCCACCCACAACACCACAGCACCAAAAGGGAGCAAGCGGACTTCTACAGGCAATTATTTTATTAAATATGAAACTGAACAGAATTTTGTTTTATTTTTAGATCCTATCTTTCTTCCAATGAACTCAATACAGTACACATGGTTCACCCCCAACCTCATCTGGTGACTGGTTCAGGGTCACCCAATGAGCTTCATATGGGATTTGAACCTGTGTCTCTTTGGCACTAATCAAAACATGTTAAGCCTTCCAAGGAACCCTTTCCACATATGTTTGACTGCTGAGGAACAACTCTGCATCTGTCTGTTTAATTCTTTTTACAAATTGCTGCCCATAAAATATATTGAAGCCATTACTTTCTGTACACCCAAGCAGGGTTTTACTACATATAGCCTGGTGCAGACTTTGTAGAATTGCAGAAAGGTTGGCTGCAGCACATCTCAAAGTGGACATCTCCTGAATGGTAAAAACTTAGCAGCTACTACTACTGTTGACAATTTCCTACCTTTCAATTGCTGGAGTACTATTAAAATGCAGGAAATTGTCAGTAATCTAGTTTATATTTTTTATCATCATGAGAGGCATATTTTGATATATAATATTTTAGTATATAATATTTTAACATATACAATGCCACCTGCATCTGCTTTGGAATAGTTTTAAAGATGCTTTTATTATTTTATTGCTTGTTGTGGCTACCTAGGGCTCCTTTGGAAGGCCAGGATATAAACTGAATAAATAATAAATCTGTATCTCACATGTATCTGTTGCACTTGAAGTGCGAAGTATAAAATCCTTCCCTGACCAAAGCAGCAGGACATTAACAGATGATCAAGCATAGCTTTTAACCTCCTGAAAGTAGCTTTGTCAGTGTGTGTGCAGCCAAGAGCATGTGTGCATGGTTATGCATTACTATTCTACCCCACGTTGGGTGATGCTGATAGGGGATAGAATGGTAAAACAGTTGCCTGTGATCAGGACCCTAAACAGAGTGGCACATCTCATGCAGCAGATTTTTGACATTTGCTGCTACAATAGCAAGCCTTCTGCCCACATCAAGGTGCATAGTAGCCAAAGTCAGCCAAATAATTTTGGCAACTGAGATAGAAAATTTCAGAAGTCCCTCTCTGGACAGTAGCACCACAAAAGCAATACATTAAATCAACAACCATCTGCTGCCTGAAGCTTCACTTTGCCTGATTTGAGGGGGTGTTTGAAATATTCCACTGTTTGAAAATATCAATACTGTAGCAGAAAACCTGCTCCTGAACATCTACTTCTGAGCAGAGGTGCATAGGATTATACTCTTAAATTGCAATCCTATACTCACCTTGGAATAAATAGCACTGAAGCCTTTTCACTTACCTACCACCAGTTATTTTGGTAATTTTATTGATATCTTATATTCTGTTATGTTCCACACACTTATTGGTTTCTTTATGGACTTGTTTTGTTTGATATGATCAATGTTATTACAGGAAAACTCAATAAAACATTTAAATTAAAAAAGCTATAATTGAAGTATAATTCTGACCTTTGAGCAGACATGTTTAGAATTGCACTGTTAAGATGAAATCCTGCATGTACTTACCTAAGAGTAAGCCCTGATTAAATCAGTGAGGCTGACTTCTGAGTCATGTAAGATTGCATGGATTAGCTGCAGTCCTATACTCTTTTATCTGGGAATGTGTGTCAATTAAGACAGTGAGGCTTACTTTTGAGTAGACATACAAAGAATTGCACTGAAATCCTGTACTCACTTGCTTGGGAATAAACCCTGAATATTTATTCAGGTTTATTTCTGATAACATCTACTGTATTCACTTACCTGAAAATAAGTGCCATTATTCTGAAATAAGTATAGGTTTTGTATTTAGGAAGGGCTGGAACAGGCATCCAACCTTTGGCCCTCCAGATGTTTTGGACTACAATTCCCACCATCCCTGACCACTGTTCCTGTTAGCTAGGGATCATGGGAGTTGTAGGCCAAAACATCTGGAGGGCCGAAGGTTGGAGATGCCTGGGCTGGAAGCTCAGTGATGGAGTATCTGCTTTGCCTGCAGAAGGTCCCAGGTTCTGTCCTCCTGGCATCTCCAGGTAGGACTGGGAATGTCCCCCGAGGTTGGGTGGCCACCTGTCATTGGGAGGGAGTTGGGCTAGATGACCCTGAGGGTCCCTTCCAACTCTACAACCCTAAACACTGGAGAGCTTCTGCCTTTCAGTGTTGACAATACTCAGCTAGGTGGACCAAGAATCTGACTCTGTATGAGGCAGCTTCCTATGTTCCCAGGACTGCAGCATATCAATAAAATCCTGTGCTCATTTACCTGAGAATATTTGGGTTACTTCTGAATAGGCGTGCACAGGACTGCATGTTAGGCTGAAATTCTAAGGCCCATTGAAGTCAATATGCAGGGCCAGTGCTATCACTAGGCCTGCTAGGCAGCAGCTTACAGCTCAAGACCTCAGAGGGCCGCAGTACTGATCTTTGAGGGACACAGCTTTATACAGAATAGTTTTTATTGTGTCTTATGAATAACTTGCAAATTTCAGCACTTGACCTGAAGGAATTAGTAACAAAATTAGTAAAGGAAAAGGCACGCACAGTGAGATTCCCATGAACCTGAAATCGAAACTTTTAAGAGACTTAAATTTTAACATCACAATTCACAAGATTATTCAAAATGATTTGTGTGCCAGAAACATTTTATTTTGTATTTGAAGAAGATAATCAAAGATTGTTGTGTTACATATTATTGAAATTTAAAATAAACTTAGCACTTTTCAGTTTTTTTACAAGGCACCCGTTTTTGAAAACTGGAATTGTTGTTGTTGTTGTTGTTATTTTGGTGGGGTGCAAAAATATCATTTTGCCTAGGGTGCAAAATAGCCTGGCGCCACCAGCACTGCCCACAATTCCCTGTTTAGTAGTTAGGTTGAATTTCTATACAGTTCCCAGGGAGTAAGCCCCACAGAAGATAGAGTTGGACTCCTAGAATGGTAGAGTTGGAAGCGCACCCAAAGGGCATCTAGTCCACCCCCTGCAATGTCAGCTGGGGAAACCCTGGCTGGGGGCCCCCCACACTTCGGCCGGTTATAAATGACACATTCAAACAACAACAACCCGGGGTTTTGTTGTGAAATGAGCCGTACAAAAACGAGCGGTGTGAAGTAATACACGGCCGGTCGGGGTCTCGAAGGCGAGGCCTGCTGGACTCCAGGCCCGCTCCTCTCTGAGGGAGGACGCCATGAGGGGGCGCTGCCCCGCCGGGAAGGAAGGCGGCCGGGCCGCGAGGCGGGGCGAGCGCGGCTCTGAAGGGCCTCGGCCGCCCTCACGCTCGCCTCGCCGGCGCTCGCCGCTACGAGTAGGCCGCGGCTGGTGGCCGGCGGCGGCGGCGCGCGCGAGAAGATGGCGGCGCGAGGCGGGCGGCGGGCGCGGCTGCTGCTGCTGCTCCTTTTCTGGCTCTGGCTCCTCTTGCTGGCGGCGCCCGGGGCCTGGTCGGCGCGGGGCCGCGGGGCCGACAAGCAGAACAGCCTCCGGAGGGCCGCCAGCGGCGTCTACCAGGGCGTCAGCGGCCTCTTCGGCGAGGAGAACGTGCGCGCCCTGCAGAAGGTGAGGCGCCGGGGAGGCCGCCGCCGCCACGACGCCTGGCCCGGCCTGGCGAGGGGCAGCCCCGTCGCTCCCGGCGGCGCGGATTCCGGTTTAATTTCAGCGGATAGAAAGGGGGCGCGGGGAGCGAGAGGGGCAGGCAGTGACCCGGAGAGGCAACATCCGTGTCCTCTGGGCTTCTGTCAGTAAGGCTAGTGGCTTGTCTCGTGGCAAGATAATAATGTGTAACGGGAAACCCCCAACTAGACAGCGGCTGCAAAGATTCTACTTGCCGAAGAATGAGGTGGAGGGAATGTCTGAATGGCTTGGGGAAATTTGGTCCATAGCAGCCACAATTAAGCGGACTCCTTTGCAAAAGAATACATAGGAAAACAGCCTGACGAACAGTATAGAAAGAATACGTGTAAACCAGGCAGGTGTTCGCGTGTCTTCGCGCCGCAAGGAATTCAGTGGCGAATGCTGCTTTCAGCCTTTCGGCCACAGTATTTGTTTATGATCTTCGTATTTGGTTCGTTTTGTAGGCTAATAAAATGCAGTTTGGTTTAAAATGGTAGCAGTAGTGATGGGTAGGGGTGAGCGGTAGGGGTGATTATTGGAGTTGGAGCTTGTCCTTGGCAGAATATAGTAAAAATAGGACTGAGGAATTGGAGTAAGGAATAAGAATGCCTATATGATACCATCACTGATAAAATAATTGACTAATAGCAATGGGAATAAGGAATAATGAACGAAGAAAGGACCAGGAATGTTTTTCAACCTTGTTGTTTTCACAAAATAATAATTGGAGTAGGCAATAGGAATGGAGTTATGGCCCTGTGGTTTTGACAAATGAATTGAACTGAAATAGGAATGGTGAGACTTAAATATTCATAAGAAAAGGGCTTGGGGGGGTCCTGAAGGGATGTAAGGTGGATTAACAGCCCAGCCCTATCTCCTATACCTGTATACCTAGAAGAAAGCCCTGTTGAGTTCAATGGGACTTGCACTGCAGCCTGTGTATGTAGCAAAAATCATATTTTCTGTTGGACTTTGACACGGCAGCACAAATATTTGAAATTAATAATTAATGTCTTTATTATATGATTTATTAACTGCTTAACCTATTTTTAGTTGTGTGTCCGTAAGGGGAATTTTAAGTATTTTTATTTTTATAAGTTTTGTTGCTGTCCAAAACATGTTTTGTGAGCAGCTTAGAAGAATATAAGACATAATCCTATTTTTTAATGAGACCTCTGGCTTTGACAAACACTCAGAACTGAAATAAATAGCAGTAGTAATAATTTTATGACCTTGTGGTTTTGACAAATAAGTTAACCTGAACCAATTATGATAATGATTTTAGTAAGTGCATTTATAACAACAGTAGGGGGAAGGGGGCAAGAGAAAAAAGAGGAATTGACACTGCAATCCTATACAGAGGTACCTTGGTTTTTGAACGTTTCGGAAGTCGAATGTTTCGGTTTTTGAACATTGAAAACCCAGAAGTAAATGATTCAGTTTTCGATCAAGCCTCGGAAGTCGAACATGCTACAAGGGTGAGTGCAAGATCTGGAGACCTAGCTGTTGCCTATTGAGTCTTGGTTTTCAAACGTTTTGGAACTCAAACGGTCTTCCGGAACAGATTATGTTTGAAAACCGAGGTACCACTGCAATCCTCAGAAGTAAGCTCTAAATAGCTGTGCATAGGATTGCAGCCTGATAAATGATAAATAATATTTTCTTAGTGACCTCTAGCTTTTTACCTAAACGGATCTGAAATGATTTCAGCATGGTGCCTTCAATAGATTAATTGAGCTGAAATATTTGTTGTGAAGTGCATAAGACAACTAGATGTTCTACACAATTGACTGTACTAAATAAATAAAATCCAATGATTTTATCTGAATGACTGCAGTCCAGTCTAATAAACAAATCAATATACTGTAATAATCTCTTATAAAAGGTGGGAAGGAGATGCTATGTGTTTCTACATTGAAAGTGGTCAGGACTCAAGACCTGGTAAATGGTGGACCTTACAAGCCAACTTCTGCTGGGTCACCAGCTGGTTGCAGGTTTGTTTGTTTGTTTGTTTTTTTGGTTTTTTTGCAGAAGATTGTAAATTATTTTTTTTCCAAGTGAATTTTTATTGTTTTCCTTACATATTCAGAAGATTGTAAATTAGGCAAATTTCAATCTGATTGAGCAGAATATATTTAAAAATCCATTCAATTGGTGCAGCTTTTCTTCACCTCTTTATATCAAGCTACACCTGTCAAAAAGTCCTTCTCGCAGACAAATAATCTTCCACTGGTTTGACCCGCATATTGGTTGGCTGTCAAAATTCCTTTTCCTATCCAACTCTTATGGTGTAGGGGCACTGTCCTTCCTTGAAATTCATGGGAGCGTGTTAGTGGGACATCTCTCTGGGCTGCAGAGACCAAAGAACACATTACTCACATATTCATATTGCAGGAGCCCAGTGTTCTTTTCCCCCCTCTGCTGGAAGAGCTCATTGGGGTTTGAGTGGTGGAAAGCAGATAAATAACAGTGCAGAAGTGGCCATTTTCCCTGGCTTTGAAACCTGGGGAGGAGGATTCAAAATGGGAAAACTGAGGAAGATTTTGGTATCCTCCCCTGCCTCATCCATTTGCCTCCTCCCAGCAGCTTCTCTAGGAGAAAATATATCCCTTAGACTACGGTTATGGGTGGTTGCAGGGCCGTCTTTAGCATATGTGCCGCCGGGGTGCAGAGATCCACCCAGCGCCCCCAAATTTAATTTAGCCCCCAAATTAACTTTTGTTATGCTTATGTCAGACACCACACTTATGCCTTATGTCTTGTTTACAAAAGAAGGGAGGAAAAAGAAACAAACTTTTTTATTTGCTCATTTATTTGCAATACACTTATACTCAAGTATACAATACCACCACACTTAGATTTATAAGTATTGTTTTGGCATCTACTTAGGAGAAACATCAGTCGTGTCAAAGGTGCTGCTGACCCCACTGCTGCATAGTAGCGCAGCTGCGGCAGCTCAATACAATTTGCAACACAATATTTTGATGTAAGAGTTAATTTCGTGTGCACGGCGCCATTGAGAATGACAAGCGCCATCGTTGAGTCTGAAGCGCCGCCATTGTGAATGACAAGCGCCACTGCTGGTCTGGCGCGTCTTTGGTAAATGAGCGCACAAAGTCGAAAGTCCTTTAGTGAAACAGTAGTTATACATTTTGGTAATATCTAGGTATATATGTATTTTGTTTTTCTAGCTTGATCAAAATTATTTACTATTTTGTAACAGGTAGATAGTTAAGCGCTTAGGCGGCTTCAGTGGCGGGTGCCCGCTAGAATTCAGCGCCTGGGTGCCCCACACCCCTTGCACCCTGGGTAAAGACGGCCCTGGGTGGTTGCATCCATGACATAGTCTTAGAGATTGAATTGTGAAAGGCAGACAGTATAGCTTTGTATCAATTCTCTGTAAGAATGGAGAATGTAGATGCAGCTTTTCTCAGCAATGATTGCTGAAATTCCTTCCTGGGCTGCTACTTTAAGGAACCAATGGAAATCTCTTTAACTGGAATGTGCTTTTTTTAAGTGAAATTGCACATAAAGGTTTCTCCTCCTTCAATTCCTTTTCCATTTTTGTCATGCCTTTTAGGTTGTAAGCCTAAAAGGGGGGACTTTATTATCACTGACAATTTTTGTAAATCATTCTGGGGGACCCCCCCCTTTTATTTGCTGAAGGGCAGGATATACTAAGTCCCTTAAATAAATACATAGGTGGAGGCATTGAACATCCAAGCCTGCTGCACCTATAAGAAATGGAAGGATTCCTTTGAGCTTGAACCTGGAGGACAGGAATTGAAGTGTTTCGGACACTATGGAAAAAGGGAACCCCAACTAATGACCTTGCCTCAATCTAGAAGACTTGTTTCTGTCTTTGACATATACCCACACTATTTATATTTTTGCTCCTTGGCAGTACTTGCCTGACATCCTGCCAAAGCAGCACAGAAATTGATGCTTTTCCTTTCGTGACCTCCCTTTCTGCGTGAAGGTGCTGTTTGACTGCAAAGCTTAGCATTGAAGCCGAGATGCTGTCACCATCTCTTTCTCTTGTCCACGGAAACCACAGCAGAAAGGTCATGTTTCCAAAAATGATACCTCTTTATGGGGAAGGGAAATTAGATAGGCGGAGGGTAGTGTGTATAGGAAATATTATGAAATAAGGGATACTTTTTATCCTTTAAATGAAATTGTGCTTATTGTTACGTGAGGGAACACACTGGTTCATTTTCCTTCAGTGCCTTTAGAAAAATGGACAATGTGCCGCCTCCCCTTCCTATTCCTCATAAGCTGATACCTGAGAGTCTCTTCAAAGTGCAGGTCTTGAAAACCAACTCACAGAATCATAGTTACAGGTAGGTAGCCGTGTTGGTCTGCCGTGGTCAAAACAAAATAAAAAAATTCCTTCCAGTAGCACCTTAGAGACCAACTAAGTTTGTTATTGGTATGAGCTTTCGTGTGCATGCACACTTCTTCAGATACCTGATATCTGATGCTCGAAAATTAAACCCAGAAAGCAAGATTTTGTTGGAGTTGTCCTATTTCTTGCTGCTTCTGAAGAATTGCTTATCAGGCCCACATTGATTTATTTCTCTGCCAAGGAATTCTTGTGTATTAATCCCATGTAAGGCATTCTGCCAGTTCTTGTGGGGTACTATCCAGGCATCTCTTCTTGGGCAACTGAGTCTATACACAGAATGTTCTAACACTTCCCTGTGATTGTGCATTGCAGGGGAGCGTCAGAAATGGTTGGGCAGGGGGAGCTTGTTAGCCATAGCTGATAATTTCACCAAGGAGCCCCAGGATTTAAAAAGCTCTGCTCTGTAGCTTGCAATTTCTGGCATGTTCCATCTGAAGTCCTGTACTTTTATTATTGAGTAGTTATTGTTCAACATGGTTATATTCTGCCAGTGGCATGGGGGATAGATGTAGGGATTTTGCAGCCCCTATCCACAGGACTTTGCAGTCTTCATAGACAGCAAATTGAGGTGTAATATGGAGAGCTCAGAGATTTTAAAAATGGGTTGTGTGGTAAGGATGGAGAAAGCTGAAAATGAAGAAGGCACTAAGAGAGAGACATCGTTGGAGGAGGAGGAGATGCTGCAATCCTGGGAACATAGGAAGCTGCCTCATAGCGAGTCAGATTCTTTGTCCATCTGGTGGAGCAGAACAGACTTGGGATACATGCAGTTTATAAAATGAACATTAAAGGGTGGGATCTGTGATAGAGCACATACTTTGCATGTGGAAAGTCTGAGATTTGGTCTCTGGGTAGGGCTGAAACGGCCTATGTCTGAAGGCCGCTGCTGATCTGTACACAATTCTCAGCTGCATGGAGATGCACAAGTGGGAAGGAGGAGCAAACAGTAGTGGAAATTACAGTTCATTGGTTGCCATCCGTCTGTCTTTGGAGACGATGGAGGAGTGCACTTTTAAGGGCGAGGTCAAACTGCTAGAAGGTTACAGCACCTGCTGTGGCTTTAGAGACATGTTTTGTTGCAGTTGGGGCAGATGGAGGCATCCGGTTGTGCTGCTGCAGATGCACGACTTGACTGTCTCCAAGCACTGTGGTCTGCGAGGGATTCCCACATGGTGGGGTTGATGATGCCAGCCTTCATGTCATGTTTGCAGACATCTTTATATCCCAGAGTAGAATACGGCAAATGAGCTAGGGCAGAAGAGGGCAATGGAAATTGGGTTGTGAGGGAGGAGCTAAAGGCCTCCCCTAGGTTAAAAAATGTTTTTCCAGATCTGGGAAAAAACTAGTTTGGACACCTTTTCCTTGTTGCATAGTTGTTTTTTTTATTTGCTGAGTGGGTTTTTTTTTTAAAAAAAATAGTAACTGCCACCTGCATCCTGAATCGGTACCAGCTCATCTTGGATATGTGGACCAGTCCATAATCCAGACATGGGAAGAATACGAAGCATTGGAGAGTAGCATTCTTCTGGCATAATTGGTTCATCTAACAGTAACATAGGAGTGATAGACATTGAATACTTGGTTAATTTTCACAAGGCTTTCTTCTAGCTCATTTACCAGGGTCATTTTAGAGCAGTAGCTAGTGTGCACAGAAGGGTTCTTTTTTAAAAAAACCACACACTCTAGGAGAGTGGTTTAAGTGAAGCATAGTGTAGCCCTTCCAAGAGAAATCTTGCAGAATTGTGATGGAAGAAGAAAGATCAGAGGCAAGATTTTGTGGCATGCCGGAAGCTTACCAGCCATTGTTAGTTGTTCATTCATTTAATCTCCACCATAGGTCACAAGATACTGGAGACCTTGATGACACATATTTAATTCAGAAGAATGATGGGAGTCCATTGGGTTGGGTTGGTAATGAATAAAGCATGTTTATAATTTTATTTCACTTTCCCCCACTAATATACTTCACAGTTTTGTGCTGTTTGCCTGAAATTGCTGTCATTTGCAAAATAAAATAGTGACATGTGCATATCATTAACCTTCCTTAAAAATCTTGACAGTTGCACATTGGAATGTCAGGTATTTCTGTGAATGTGAGAATCCCAAGAGTGCATATTTTTCAAATTACCTGTAATGAATTGGTTGAAAGTTGTTGTTTCTTTTGGAATTGTTTCAGTTGTAGACTAGAAAAAGCAAATATTTAAAGCCTAATCTTAGCTTTGCTTCAGTCCATTGTAAACTACAGATTTCAGCATGCCTAAGTCATGTATAGCATCAAGCTGCTAATGTGCAAAATATTGATCAGTTATTGTCTCCCATCCCTGTGAAGTATCTCACTTCTGGGTTCCTGTCTCAGTGGCACATGCTAGCTTGCATCAGGTCCTAGGTTCTGTCTAGAGCATCTCCATTTAAAAAAGATCTCAGGTAGCAGGACCAGCTAAGATTTACTTGCCTAAGATTTGGGAAAGCAGCTGCCAGTCAGGGAACACTACTTTTGGACTAGTTTGATCAACAGTTTGACTCTATGTAAAACAGCTTCTGGGTTCAGCCCCAGAACTTATTTTCAGAACTTGGGTCCAAACCTAGAATAAGTGTGCCTCTGATCAAGTGCAGAGAACACTTCTCCTACCACTTTCAAATACTGTGCTTGCCTTTGCATCTGTACATTTGATTTAAGGTTAAGAACTGTATGTAAGAGCTGGGGTGATAAATTCTTCAAGTATTGTAAGTGGAATAAAACTTCTAAGGTTTCTCTCTGCTCTGTTTTTCCAGTTTTTCTCCAAACTGACCGAGCGATTTGTATATGGTGTGGATGTTCTAGTAGATACATTTTGGAGAATATGGACTGATCTTCTGGATGTCCTTGGGATTGATGGTACGTGTGAAATGCAGAGTTGGTTTTTCCTTCATCAGTGCTTCTGTTTAATAAACTCATAGGTTCTGGAACAACTTTAAGGTAGGTTATCTAAATATGAAGTAGTTTTGAAGCAAAATGGTATGTACAGTTCCTTAATTCGATGGAAGAAACATAAATAGTTTGATTCTCAACAGTGGTAAGTATGGGCACCAACATGTTAAACTTGACCTGCTAGGGTGGGGGAAGGTAGGGATCTGGTCTGCCAGGTGGAAAGGTTCCCTTCCCCTGCTGTAAGGCGATTGTTGTTCTCACTCAGGCATTAACCATGATGGTTGAGGGTCAAAAGAGCCGAGGGTGAACCTTCACATCTCCTTAGATCCTGTCCACACCATCACGCTGCGCATGATGAAAAGCATCCATAAGATATCTTGTTTGCCACCTTGATCTTCTTTGGGGGAGAAGGCTGGGATAATAAATAAATAGAGATGGATTATTGCTTAAGATGCAGGATTGAATACATTCTCTGAAAAGTTAGCATAACTCAATCGGACATTAGGCAACATCCTTTTTCCCTCTGAAAGGGGCAAAGGAAAGAAAACTGCCTTGTGGTTTATTTGCTTCTTGTAATTGCTCAAGGGAAAAGAGGAAGAAGCCCTTTAAAAACCCTTTTCCCCTTACTTGATGAAGTAAATTGATGTAGTCCCTACAGAATAATAGTTGTGATAAAAGTCATTAAGATATATTTATGTTATATATAATCCCTTCTCCTAAGACAATGCATTTTGTAGGTGCAGTATGTCAAATTGTTTACATGGAACTATGGGGGATTTTAATAATAATGCACTGGTGTTTAATAATAATGCACTGGTGGGGGAAACTTTAATAATAATGCGCTGGTGTTGGGGTGGGGGAAACTTATAGAAAGTTCATCCGCTTCTGTCTCGGTTATTATACATTCTTCTGGGTGGACCTTTCCCAGCAAACCTTTGCCCAGAATTCCAACTTCTATCTTCCCCTGTTTCCTGAACTTTCTCCTGGGTTGGGACATCTGTCTTTTTATTTTCCTCTTTTTAAAATTTGTTTCCTGCAAGGTTTTGGTGTATATAAATAATAATTTCTTTTGTATCGTTGGTAAGCATTACAGGAGGTGAGGCAGTGTATTACTCCCCTGCTGCCATCTTTAGAAACTACTGTATATGTTCAACTCTTTCATTCTTCTGCTGAAATAGTTTCCTGCTTTTAAAGCATCATTTAGGAGTTTTCTCCTTATGCTTTTAATTATGGTATTATTCATAGCTGTATCTACAAAGTTAGTGATTATATCAAATAAAGCTTTCTCTGTTTGAATTTTCAGGTTCCAACTTGACCCATTATTTCAGCCCTGGGTCCCTCGCCAACAACCCCACCCGTGCTCTTTTGCTGATTGGCGCCATCTTGCTTGCTTATTGGTTTGTCTCTCTCCTCCTTGGGTTCTTCTTCTATCTCCTACATGTGCTGTGTGGCCGCTTCTTCTGGATCGTGAGAGTCGCCCTCTTTGCACTTTCTTGTGTGTACATCCTTCAGAAGTATGAAGGTGAGCCAGAACATGCTGTCCTTCCGCTGTGCTTTGTAGTTGCTGTCTATTTCATGACCGGACCTGTTGGCTTCTATTGGAGGAGGAACAGCCACAGCACCCTTGAGGAGAAGATTGACCATCTTGACAGCCAGATCCGACTCCTGAACATACGTCTTTCTAGGGTGATCGAAAACATGGATCGAGGAGGTGACCAATGAAACATGGTTTATCTCACTTTCAACACCAGCTCTCTAGGAAATCACCAAGCACTGTCTCTAGTTCATGAAAAGTTAGCGAAGCAACAAGCCAACATGGATAAAACAATGTGCAACATTAAGCCGTTAAATGTTAACATTAGTTTATCTAGACAATATACTGAAAGAAAAAAATGCACTTGTAAGATAAGATTCTTTAGCTGTATATTCAGAGATTTTCCTCCATGAGTAGAATTTTATCCGCTTACTTTTTTCCAAGCATTTAGAACATATTTTGTAAAAGGTTTTTATAAAGGCATATTGAGTAGTCTATTTAAAATTAATTAAAAATTAAAATGAGGTTTATGCAGATTTGACATTTTGAAGAGAGAAAGCTTAAAGAATTCTATCAAATGCTTTCGTTATGAAAAATGTGGGGGTCAGCTTCTCATTTTTATAATTTAACCCCCCCCCCCGCTCTCACCAATGACTTACTTTCATTACCTCAAGTTGCCTTTTTATATGATTGCAGTAGAAGGAATTTCTTCTAATTAGAACAGAAGATCACACACCATGGGTCTTAGTGGCAAAGGAGAGCATCTGTGGGACACAAAGTGCTCTTTAAAGAAGAACTTGTGGGGTTTTCTGTGTTTTTCCCTTAGCTGGCCAAATTGAAGCAGGGATTGGGAACCTGTGGTCTTCCAGACTTTGGTGGGCCATTGACCATGATAGTTGAGTCTGGTAGATATTAGAGTCCAGTAACATCAGCAGGGCCACAGGTTCCCTATCCCTGCTGTAAGAGTTTCTCCCATGGACTTCAGCAGAGAGGGCAGTTCACGCAGAAGGCTGCATTCTTGCTCCTTTGTAGTGAATGCAGTGAATCCCCTCATGCAGGATCTCCATTAGCAATGTGTAAAGGTGCACACCTCCAGAACCTCTTGCAAAAGCCCTCTTGCCACAAATACAACGGGAATTCAAAGCATTCCTAATACTCCTACCCAGTGGTTTTTTTGAGGTGGTATGTGCTGGTACAGCATACCACGATCTCTGTTTCCCAGCCGCCATCTTGTCACTGCTGCCGCTAGCCCACCCCCACCCCCGCTTGTTTGCTCGCTTGCTCACTCCCCACACCTGCCTGGCTTTGGGAAGGAGGGAGCAGGACACCAGGATCCTGACAGAGCCTTGTGACTTGTGCCTCATTCCCAAGCTGGGCAAGCGCTTCCTGGGCTTGGGGAATGAGACACGTGGTTCTGTCAGCATCCTGGTGCCCTACTATCTTCTTCCAAAAGCCAGACGGACGGGCTTTAAAAAGGAAACTGGAGGGCCTTTGGACCCTGTCAGAGCCTCCTGCCTCTGTCCCAAAGCCAGGCAAGTGCTTCCTGGGCTTGGGGGAATGAGGCACAAGGTTCTGCCAGGATCCTGGAGCCCTGCTGCTTCCTTCCCTTAGCCCACTTGACTTTCCTTCCTCCAGCTATTTCTAGGCAGTGAGTACCAGCACCTTATTTTCTAGGGGGGAAAGCACTGCTCCTACCTAATCCCCACCTATTTTAATGCCACTTAAGCTGGAAATAACTAACAACAAAAAACAGCTTTAGTTAAATAAAAGTGACTGGAAATGAAGGCATTGTGCACAGTGGTAGCAGTGCAGAGTTGGCCTTTGCGATAAAATATTTTCCAAGCAGAAGGAATGTTAAACAGAAATTATGCACCACTGTCTTTAAAAGGGGGGTGGGGTGGGGGATCACGTCAGGACCCTCTACATCAGGCTTCCTCAAACTCGGCCCTCCAGATGTTACTGGCCTACAACTCCCATGATCCCTAGCTAGCAGGACCAGTAGTGGTTAAGGATGATGGGAATTGTAGTCTCAAAGCATCTGGAGGGCCACGTTTGAGGAAGCCTGCTCTACATGGTTTCTTTATTTGTTGCGGGAGCAGTGTATAAAATGATATTGCAAAGACATTGGCTGCTGAAATCTTTCTCAGGACCATTAAGTGGCAATAAATTAAATTAAATAATAACACTTTCAGGAAGATCTGGTGCTTTTTTCACTTGAAATCTGCTTCTTCAGAGTGGGTCTCTGATGAGGATGCTTGCATTCAGACTGCTAAGATCATACCCAAGGGATCAGCAATAGTTTGTCCAAATAATGATATGGGGTTTGTGCTGTGAAACATGCCTATGAAATAGTGATGCGGCAGTCAAGTGCTCTACAAAAAAAGTGACCTTCTGTTGCCTCAGAACCAAGTTCTATCCACTGACCCTTAGCATTTGTTTGTAAAAATAGTGTTTTTAAACAGCATGCTAGACAAAAAGCAGGAAAGCTTGGAAAGTGCTTTGCCAAATCCTGCCTACATGTGTCCATTCATAGAATGCATATACAGTGGTGCCTCGCAAGACGAAAAGAATCCGTTCCGCAAGTCTCTTCGTCTTGCGGGTTTTTTCGTCTTGCGAAGCAAGCCCATTAGAGGTTTAGAGGCTTAGCGCTACAGTATAAGCGGCTTAGCCGGCTTAAAGATCAGCTGATAAGCGGCTTAACGATCAGCTGATAAGCGGCTTAACGATCAGCTGATAAGCGGCTTAACGATCAGCTGATAAGCGGCTTAGCATCAGCTGTTAAGCGGCTTAAAGATCAGCTGATAAGCGGCTTAGCCATCAGCTGATAAGCGGTTTAGCGGCTTGGTATAATGGGGGGGGATATCCAATAAAACCCGGCAGGAACTCGCAAGACATTTTCGTCTTGCGAAGCAAGCACATAGGAAATTCGTTTTGCGAAGCACCTCCAAAACGGAAAACCCTTTCGTCTAGCGGGTTTTCCGTCTTGCGAGGCATTCGTCTTGCGGGGCACCACTGTAGAACTGAGTAGGATTTGGCTAAGCTACCCTATTGCTTTAGCTGGATAATACCAGAGTTGCTAAAAGTTTTGTATGTAAACAAACTATACATGATATATAGATATTTAAAAATCTTGCTGTTTATGTTGACACAATTATTGGCATTTCAGATTTTGAAAACCACAAAGAGCCACCAGATATCATAAAAAAAAAAAAGATTTTGCAGCTTATGCCTGTAAGTCAACTATCAATATTTGTGTCTTCCCTCCCCATCCCTTGCTGATTATTTGCTCTGGAGTAAGTGTCACAATGGAACTTGATTCTGAATAAGTATACAGAGGACTGCAGCCAGTCTCTGCAATCAAATGCTCTTAACTACTGTTGGAAAAATATACCCTTGGTATAAAAACTGGATTTCTTTTTAGCTGAGAAAACCTCTATAAAACCCCTATTACCCCTATTGCTTAAAATTAGTTCACCATGGCTATAGTAAATGCAAGAAGAATGTATATATTTTTATACACAAAAACATTTCACTGTATAAGGTTATTGTTGAGAGAAATACTGATGTACATAGTTTGCACACTATGCCTGGACAGTATAAGTAAAACTGGGTGTGTGTTTTCCTAGCTTCCCCCCTTCTCCATTTATGTATGGTCTGTTTTTAAAATTAGAGAGGAGCACAAACTATTGTCCAGTGTACTTGAAAAATGTTCTGACCATTATTACAAAATGCAGCTATTACACTTTTGAAGGTAAATGTGATGTTATATTAACAGTTTTCTCAAGTTCTATAGGATACAAGCATTGTTCTTCCTGTAATTGGCTCCTTTGTTCTGTTTCTTCGTAATCTCATCCCATGGGATGAGTCAGACTTCTCTGCTTTGTGCTGCTGCTATATCTAGAGGCACTTAAGAGAAGAGAAAGCACCTATATCCTCATTTAACCAATGTATACACTGAGAGACAAGAATGTTCAAGGGGCAAGCAGCAGAGCAAGGCAGTCATTGGCAGGAATAAAATCATAGGCTTAAATACACATAATCACTTTTCAATTATCACGAACACTCCTTTGATATTGCTGCCTACTGTGATTCCTTCAGCATGGATTTGGGTTAGAATTGCTGGGCTGCCTTGCTTATTCCTCTACTTATTCCTTCTTCTTGCATTCACATCAAGAAGTTCCTCACAAAGGAGCCTATTAGGGTCAAAATTAAAAATAGCCAAAACCATATAAAGTCATAATGAGTAAGTGTAGGGAGAACATTCCAGATGTCTTAACTAGGCTTGTGTATGTCCTCTCTTTCCTCACCCTTGTTGCACTTCTCTGGTGTGTTAATATTCTTTTCCCTTCCATGGCTGTTAAACTACATCTGTGCTAACCATGTGGTTCTAAGGCATTCTTGGTTAGGGCCAAGGGAGACAAAGCACAACGCCAGGGATGGGGATCTTGTTGCTTGCCAGATGTTGCTGGAGCACAACTCCCATCATCTCTGTCTGCTGGCCGTTCTGGTTGAAGCTGATGGGAGCTGGAGAACAACAGAATCTAGAGGGCCACATGTGCTACATCATGGCTAAAGCAAACTGCAGAAGGGAGAGGGCAATTCGCACCCTAGAGCAAATGATGAGTGAAGGCGACACTGTGGACTTCTTGCCTATGGTTAGAAGTTTGGCCCAGTGAGACACAACACAATGAATGTGAATGTGTGTTGAGCTATTTGCACTCCCAGTGTGGAAGAAACTATTGTGCATGTGTCCACCTTTGATTTCAGCTTGATAAATGAACTAACTTAATTCCTTGGAAGCTACTACTTGAGAGAACCTCATGCTTTACTCTACCAGTGGTTCACAAATGTAGTGGAAACATCAATCTGTATATCAGCTGTGGTGATAAATAGAACAGAGTTGCTGTTTCCTGAATGTACTGCTTTTTAAGAAGTGATATTGGATGTTTAAGTACTGTGTACCGAAACTACTGTAGCTTAGTGGCACATTCTGCCCTCCCAAGATGTAATCTGCTTAATGTGGACAGTTCCTCTGCTTCTGCTGTAGTTTTGTTTTGATGAAGGTAAATATTTGTTTCCTTGTGACTCATGGACCATCCCAATAATCTGTATTTGGCAGCTAGTGATCTATCTTGACCTATCTATCTATTCCCCACCCCCCTTTTGGAGAACATGAAGTTATATTGTGTTCTGCATGTGAATTTAAACTTGGATGATTCCATTGAGCTATGATGACAATTGCCATGTTAGAAATCTTTTTCTGTTGTAAAGCAAGGGAAAAAATGTTGATTGTGACACTGTTTATCAGCACTGAATATAGTGACCTTGTATCCTGTTTGGACTTCTGATCTTAAGTATTAGGTAGTTTTAAAAAGTCTATATACCAAAATTGTGTGTTCTGGTTTTTTTTGTTTTTTATTTTTTTAAAAAAATGGTCTGAAGAAAATGTGTGTATTATTTTAATTATGAGCTTTAGGGAAACACTAGGTTTTGCTCACAATAATGTTGAGTAGCCATAATGATCTCAAGTTGTTTTTTTTTTTAAAGAAACTGCTATTCATGTCCTTATTTATTAACTGACCACCAGCTCAGTGTACTATTTAGTGGACTATTTGTAGACTGATTTCACAACTGAATTATGGTGTTGTGACCAATTAAAATTTAAATGTTTACTGTAACTTTGCAATGCAGTGGTTGGTCTTGGAAGATTTTATTCCCATGATTTTGGCGATGCATTGACGAGAACCCTGGGGCACTTTGGAAGCTTATCATGGATTCATCAGTAAAAGTGGGCATAATTATGTGACAGGTGACCAATGCCCATCATTGACCTTCCTGCATGGTGTCTAGTTGCAGGAGAGTCTGGTGCATTCTAGTGTGCTCTTTCTTGATGGCAAGGAAAGGAGTTGAGCACAACAGGTCTAGTGCCTGCTTTGCATTAATATGCAACATAGAACATGTTCCAGAATCCTTTGCCACATGTGGGCTTTGTGGAGAAGGTTCCCTGAGGCTTTTAAGACACAACACAAGGGTTATTGTGTTTCTCCCATCCTTGGTATAAAAACAACAAGCCACACACTAGATTAGTAGCATCCTAGAACTTGAATTTTTGAGAGACAGATTCTGTTCCTTGTGGAGGTCAGATCATGTCTATCTGGCCCAGCCCTCATTGGCCATACAGTTTCCCTCAAAACTCACAAGCTAAATGGGATGGCAGTAGCTACCACCAATCTGTTTTGGGTTGTATCCAGTGTTAGTCCTTCTCAGAATATGGGCATGACTGAGCTCCCGTTGCTCGGTCCCTGCTTCTGCCAACCTAGCAGTTCAAAAGCATGTCAAAGTGCAAGTAGATAAATAGGTACCGCTCTGGCAGGAAGGTAAACGGCGTTTCCATGCTTAATGGTTTCGCCAGAAGCGGCTTAGTCATGCTGGCCACATGACCCGGAAGCTGTACGCTGGCTCCCTCAGCCAATAAAGCGAGATGAGCGCTGCAACCCCAAAGTCGGCCACGACTGGACCTAACGGACAGGGGTCCCTTTACCTTTAACTTAGGTTCATTAATTTCAGTGGGTCTACTTAGCTGGATGCTATATGTAATATCCAGCTTCTGGTAATCCAAGATACAGAACCTTTGAACCTGGCCATTTCCTTTTAACCAATCTCTGCAATGACAACTTATCATTCTCTCTCCCCCCCCCCCCATTTATGAATTTCATAAATAAGGAACTATTTGAAAGAAATGCTTCCTTTGTGCAAGGAAAGTGGTTTGCTCTCCTGCACTACCTTATAACCACCTTATGCCATAATCACCCACCCAAATCTTTGTCTGTATTAGGTAACTATTCAATTTCTCTCTTTTATAGGTTCTCCAAACCATAATTTTGGAGGCTGTAGGAATGGTTATGTCTGCATCCTTGTTAACACCAGATCACTCAGAAAGCTAAAGTTGCAGGAGGCTTGGGGTGTCTGCACCTTGAGTTTTGTGCTGCTTCCCCATCATGGAGTAACCATTATTGCAGCAGAATAGGATTTGCCAGGTAGTTACCTACCATCTAACCTTCCCCACTCCCAGAGCAACCTTTGACAGATGGGTAGGGTGTAGGCAAAGTGCAAAGGCATTTGTTCCTCCTTAGGAACCAGGACCGTGGCATCAAACTGGCAACTAAAATTTGAACAAAAATAGAACTTGCCTCTTCATCCAGGACTTTTGGAGATGTAGACATCATAAAGGCAGTACCTTATATATTAATTTTTGCAATATTGGCTGGTTGGGGAAAAAATGGTTGATGTTTGTTAATTTATTAAATTTATATCCTGCCCTTCCTCACAAAGGAGCCCAGAGCAGGAAAAGGTGATAAAAACATATTTAAAAACCATTCCAGCACAGGTGGAGACTGAGAAAGCTCTCCACTTAAAAGGCTTGTTGGAAGTGGAAGGTCTTTAGTAGGTGCCAAAAATACAAGAGACTTCACTTGTCTAAAATTCAAGGGGAGGGAATTCCAAAAATCAGGCGCCACAGCACTAAACACCTGACTCCTACATTGTGTGGAACAGACCTGATGAGACGGTATCTGCAGTGTGGTGATCGATTGGATCTACAGTATAAGGGTAGGATGATACTTTACTGACCCACCCAGAAATTGCTTGATGATGAAGGGCAGCATATACAAATAAGTAAATAAAATAATAATCTTTAAATGAGTGCTTATTCCTAGTGTGCTCTGGATTGCAGCCGTGACATTCCCACTAGAGATGCAAATCACAGTGGTTAACAGCTAACCCTCATTACAAAGCCCCTTCACCTCAGAAGGCCCTTTCAGACTCTTTGTTATTTTCTAGTGGGTTTCAATCACATGCTGACACATTCAGGTTGCACAATTACAATTTTATTTAGAGTTCTTGCAGGACAAACTTGCATCTCCACAAGGTTGGGCTTTTTCCAGTAAGGAAACTGACACGATAATAACTTGCTGGACACAACCTCACTGTCAAGCCTTCTTATGAACAAATCAGGACAAATGCTCAAAATAAATAATAGGCATAGGTGTGCACAGCACATTTCATTAGCGGGGTGGGGATGACAAAACAAGCGAGGAGGTAAGAAAGGCAAAAAGCTAACACAACCACGAGAATTAATCAAGAAGCCAAAACAATATTTTTTTCCTGCAGAAGAAAAGACTTGTGTCAAGCTAAGCAGAGGGCCAAGGGCAGAATGAACTATGAAGGGCTTGTGAACTATAAAACACAGCCCCTAACCACCACAGATCTCTTTTCACAAAAGGTGGTGAGCAGAGTTTGGAGGGAGACAGAGCCATGAGACAGATGCAGGCAGCATAAAAAGGCTGGGGTGAATGTACGGTCTTGACTATGCTACCACTCAGTGGATTTGTAACTGGCTGACTGACTGAACCCAAAGGGTTCCTCTTCATCCTGGAGAAGAGTGACTAGTGGGGTGCCACAGGGTTCTGTCTTGGGCCCGGTCTTATTCAACATCTTTATCAACGACTTGGATGATGGACTCAAGGGCATCCTGATCAAATTTGCAGATGACACCAAACTGGGAGGGGTGGCTAACACCCCAGAGGACAGGATCACACTTCAAAACGACCTTGACAGATTAGAGAACTGGGCCAAAACAAACAAGATGAATTTTAACAGGGAGAAATGTAAAGTATTGCACTTGGGCAAAAAAATGAGAGGCACAAATACAAGATGGGGGACACCTGGCTTGAGAGCAGTACATGTGAAAAGGATCTAGGAGTCTTGGTTGACCACAAACTTGACATGAGCCAACAGTGTGACGCGGCAGCTAAAAAGCCAATGCAATTCTGGGCTGCATCAATAGGAGTATAGCATCTAGATCAAGGGAAGTAATAGTGCCACTGTATTCTGCTCTGGTCAGACCTCACCTGGAGTACTGTGTCCAGTTCTGGGCACCACAGTTCAAGAAGGACACTGACAAACTGGAACGTGTCCAGAGGAGGGCAACCAAAATGGTCAAAGGCCTGGAAACGATGCCTTATGAGGAACGGCTAAGGGAGCTGGGCATGTTTAGCCTGGAGAAGAGGAGGTTAAGGGGTGATATGATAGCCATGTTCAAATATATAAAAGGATGTCACATAGAGGAGGGAGAAAGGTTGTTTTCTGCTGCTCCAGAGAAGCGGACACGGAGCAATGGATCCAAACTACAAGAAAGAAGATTCCACCTAAACATTAGGAAGAACTTCCTGACAGTAAGAGCTGTTTGACAGTGGAATTTGCTGCCAAGGAGTGTGGTGGAGTCTCCTTCTATGGAGGTCTTTAAGCAGAGGCTTGACAACCATATGTCAGGAGTGCTCTGATGGTGTTTCCTGCTTGGCAGGGGGTTGGACTCGATGGCCCTTGTGGTCTCTTCCAACTCTATGATTCTATGATTCTACAGTTTTGACCTCCCTTATGACCACCACTATCCATCCCCCCCAACCATGACATCTAGAGACAGACACAGGAAGAAGCAGATTTATTCCAACTCCATTCCAGCTTTTTTAGTCTGCCCGTGTCTTTCTCTGGCTGTTTGCCTTGATCCCTGGTTTTTCTAAGCATTAGGATGTGCCTGGGCACTCCTGCGCATGCCTGTGATAGCAGGTTGTCTGGAAGTACTCAGATTATCTTTTATAGTACTTTATTGATCACTGAGGCTCACAATCCTAAAAGTGTGTACAAGACAAACCAGTCATAATGACTTTTTGTTGTTTAGTCCTTTAGTCGTGTCCGACTCTTCGTGACCCCCTAGACCAGAGCACACCAGGCACTCCTGTCTTCCACTGCCTCCCGCAGTTTGGTCAGACTCATGTTTGTAGCTTCGAGAACACTGTCCCACCATCTTGTCCTCTGTCATCCCCTTCGTCTTGTGCCCTCAATCTTTCCCAACATCAGGGTCTTTTCCAGAGAGTCTTCTCTTCTCATGAGGTGGCCAAAGTATTGGAGCCTCAGCTTCACGATCTGTCCTTCCAGTGAGCACTCAGGGCTGATTTCTCAACATCAAACAGGTCTGAAGCTCAACATCAAAAAAACGAAGATCATGGCCACTGGTCCCATCACCTCCTGGCAAATAGATGGGGAAGAAATGGAGGCAGTGAGAGATTTTACTTTCTTGGGCTCCATGATCACTGCAGATGGTGACAGCAGTCATGTAGCACCCTGCTTGTGGTTAACGCTTAGCTGGAATGAAATATTCAACGCAGCAATAGAGAAATTAAAATAATAATTTATTTGTCAGACAAATAAATGAGAGACACAGTGGTATATGGATACCAAAGCTCTGCCTACTCCAGCCCTGATGGCCAGCACTTATATTTCCTCAGCCCAGCCCCCTTGCTCCTCCTTTGGCTGCCTCTGTCCAATCAGCCTGGTTGAAATTCCTATTGGTTGTTTGCTAGAACCAATCATAAAAGATACACCCATTTCCTATTACCTTTTATGGGAGACAAAGAGCTATATTTCCTTCTATCCATAAATGGCAGACAAGTAGCCATATATCTTACATTTACCTCGACCAGGCACCTCAATTACCAGATAACCTTTGGCCCCTGTTGCCCTATTCACTGCAAACCAGATGGCTAAAGCAGATGGTGCATGGTTTTTAATTTTTTTATCTTAAAGAGATCTTGAGTTCACCTTCTCACACACCATAATAAGAATCTAACATAAGAATCTAACATTTCTTACTTTCTAAATCCTTTGCATAATTACATTTAAGCCAATATATTTCATACATAACATAGATAGATTTTTAGAAGGAAAGGCCTTTTCAAATTAAAAGGAACTTAGTAAAAGCTAAGTTCTCTAAGTTCTCTAAATTCTCTGAAGCTTCAGAGCAGCTTCAGAGAGAAGCCTTTTTCCCTAACCAGCTGCTGTTTCTAAAAGCAACTTCTTCAATTTACCCTTTAACCTTATGAAAATATGGCTCGAGTCTTCTGTTAAACAATAAATTTCACTATTTACCAGCTCTTAATTGTGTTTTTGCAGCTTGATTGTATTCTGTAATTTGTATGGTCAGTGTGACCTTTTGCTCCCAGCCTCTAATTTCCTTTTACAACCCTGAAATACTTTTTACAACCCTGAAATACAGTGGGGCCTTTGAACAGGAAGATAAACAGCTGCCAGAGTATTCAGCTGGTCTCTCCCTGGCATGAGAGATATAAATATTTACAAATATATTTTTTAAGCTCAAAGCAGATCTTGATCAGATGCCTCAGTCACAAAATTAAAAGACGCCTGCTCCTTGGGAGAAAGGCGATGGCAGACCTAGACAGCATCTTAAAAAGCAGAGACATCACCTTACCAACAAAGGTCCGTATAGTTAAAGCCATGGTTTTCCCAGTAGTGATGTATGGAAGTGAGAGCTGGACCTTAAAGAAGGCTGATTGCCGAAGAATTGATGCTTTTGAATTCTGGTGCTGGAGGAGACTCTTGAGAGTCCCATGGACTGCAAGAAGATCAAACGCATCCATTCTGAAAGAAATCAGCCCTGAGTCACAATGATTATGAAGAGTCAAAAGTAAAGGGGAAAGATTGCTTGTCTACATGTATAGAAGAACTGAGCGTATACCTTTGCTAGTGCAATCCTACCATGTCTACTCAGAAGTAAATCCTATTGAATTAAATGAGGCTTATTCCAAATTGAAGGGGGCTAGGATTGCAGTTATTGATTGAACACAGTGGGGCTTAGGCTGCAACCTTAACTTACCTGGGAGTCACTCTCATTGAATTCAACAGGGCATGCTTCTCAGCAGACATGGTTTATAGGTCTGCTCTGTTACTTCTGAGCAAAGATATGAACTCATTGTCAAAATATATTTGCTGAATTCTGTCCTACATATACACAAGCCCCCCAAAAAAGTATTTACATTTGACTCTTCCTAATAATTGTGATATTTTTTGATGTTTGCTTGTTTAGAGATTTCTCTATTCTGCTATAGAAATACTGTATAGTTAAACTAAAGTGGTTTTCATAGGGTGGGGCAAGAGGGGGTGGCAAATTTCAGAGTAGCATTTCACAGTAGCATTGTGTATACCTATAGATAGATAGATATAGATATATGATTTGCAGGAAATGGTGGTGATGATTTATACCCCGCCCATCTGGCTGGGTTTCCCCAGCCACTCTGGGCGGCTTCCAACAAAATATTAAAATACAGTGGTCTGTTAAACATTAAAAGCTTCCCTAAACAGGGCTGCCTTCAGATGCTTTCTAAAAGTCTGGTAGTTGTTGTTCTCTTTGAGAGGGCGTTCCACAGGGCTGGTGCCACTACCAAGAAGGCCCTCTTCCTGGTTCCCTGTAACTTGGCTTCTCACAGTGAGGGAACCGCCAGAAGGCCCTCAGCACTGGACCTCAGCATCCGGGCAGAACAATGGGGGTGGAGACGCTCCTTCGGGGATACTGGACCGAGGCCGTTTAAGGCTTTCAAGGTCAGCACCAACACTTTGAATTGTGCTCGGAAACGTACTGGGAGCCAATGCAGATCTCTCAGGACTGGTGTTATATGGTTTTGGCGGAGATTCCCAGTCACCAGTCTAGCTGCCGCATTCTGGATTAATTGCAGTTTCCGGGTCACCTTCCAAGGTAGCCCCACCTAGAGCGCATTGCAGTAGTCCAAGCGGGAGATAACCAGAGCATGCACCACTCTGGGAGACAGTCTGCGGGCAGGAAGGATATATAACATTTCAAAATGAAAGCAAAAGCATCAAGCGATAGTGAGGACAATCCTAGTTGTGTTTTCCCGCGTAGCTTCATCAATTAAGAATTGGGCGGGGCGCGAGCACATTCTTCTTCTGCAAGTGCGGCCCAGAAAGAGAGTTTGAGAAGGACTCCTCAAGCAAGATGAACTGCGAGCATTGGGCAGGGGGAGCAACAGGCGCCCTGAGGTTGGGGCTTTATTTATGTATGGCAGAAAACACCGCGCCACGCGGTGCAGAAACCCCGCCCTTGGCGAGGCCCCGCCCACGTGAGCTGGTGCCCGCTCTCGCGAGACCTGCGGCCCCGTCCCTCGCCGGAGGCGGAAGCGGAAGCGGAAGCGCGGCGCTGGCTGGGCGTCTGGCGGTGCACGTGGCCGGCTGCGCGCCCCGAGTCGCCCCGATGGGCCGAGCGCGCCCCAGGCGCAACTGGAAGGCCCGCCGCCCGGAGAGCCGCGGCCCGCGGGGCGCCCCGGAGCCCGTGCAGCTGGAGCTGGGCGGTGAGTCGGCCTCCCCCCGCCCCATCCCCGGGAGGCGCGCCGGGCGCCTTCCGCACATAGGCTTAGGCGCCAGGCAAAGCGTCCCTCCTCTCCCGGGCCTTGGGCTGCTCAAGAAGTCTGGCCTTTTGAAGCAGCCTTTCTCCCCCTCGGGTCCCCAACTCCCAGCCTCCCCGACCGCGAGCCCTGCTAGCTGGGGATGGTGCGGGGCTGGTGTTGTTTTGTACTGGTACTGTGGTGTATATGTTTGTGTTTTTGTATTGTAAACCACCCTGTGATCCTCGGGTGCTTAGAAATGCAATAAATTATTATTAATAATACAGTGGTACCTCTGGTTACATACTTAATTCGTCCCGGAGGTCTGTTCTTAACCTGAAGCACCACTTTAGCCTATGGGGGCTCCTGCTGCCGCCGCGCCACCGGAGCACGATTTCTGTTCTCATCCTGAAGCAAAGTTCTTAACCCGAGGTACTATTTCTGGGTTAGTGGAGTCTGTAACCTGAAGCGTATGTAACCTGAGGCGTATGTAACCCGAGGTACCACTGTAATCACCCCTGACCACTGGCCCTGCAGGTTGGGGTGGCAGGAGCTGCGGCCAAGCCCCAGCTGACCGGACTAGGGTGTCATGAAATTTAAGGGGGCCTTTAAGAACTTGCCTCTAAGAGTCCACAAACACCATCTGGTATCCAAGGGTAGCTTACATTGTTTTTATTTTATCTAGTTGTCATAGCTAATCACTGCTGATAGCCTTTATCCCCCTCTGATGAATTTGTCTAAACTAGTGGCCCTCCTTGCTTCTTGCAGCAATGAGTTCTGTAAGTAGAATACACATTTCTTATGGGCTGCTGAGAGACCAGCTCACTTTGACTGAATAACTTGAAGTTGCTTCTTTCCCTCCACCTCCTTCTCCGTCTATTTCCCCCCCTCTTTTGTCATGGCATTTATTCTGTAAGCTTGCAGGAGAGAGTGCTATTTTACCCGGGTCTCTTCTTTTGGGCTTACCATAGGTTGGACACGGAGAAAATGATGCTGGACTAGGTGGGCTGTGGACATGATCCAGCGGGGCTCTAATTATGTTCTCATGAGAGTCCATAGTTGGGGTAGGCTCATAGCTCAGTGTTATGCAGATGGTCCCAGGTCTAGTCCCTTGCATCTCCAGGTAGGTTTGGGAAAGATCCCTGTCTGAAATGCTGAAGAGTCGCTGCCAGTCAGTTCAGACAATACTGAGCTGGATCTTGGACACAGCATCCTGTTAGGGTTCCTGTGAGTTGGTGTCATTCACTCTGGGAGTCCTTTTGCCTGAAGAGTGGTGTAAAAAGGCTTTGGGGTGGTGAGGAAAGGGTAGGTTATAAATATGATGAATAAAAATTATCCTTCTCTCCCTTGGATGCTCTGATCACGTTCTGTGCATATGTCCACTTTCCCAAGACACTTATACGCTGCCCTGCTGTGTCCATGTGAACGGTACATGGATCAGTTGCAAGTTTCCATGAAGAGGTCAGAAGTAAGTGGTGTGATGCTGCTTGTCAGCCTGGGAAGGTAGCCCATCTAGGAGAAGGAAAGCTCTGATCCTAAACCTCCACTGCCTTGAGGGATTTCTTCAGGAGAAGGAAAGGCTAAGGAGCAAACCCTACACAAATCCAGAGTGGAGTCCCTAAGACAGTTGGATGGTGCCTTGTACGCTTCCTTCCGGCAACTCCTGCAGCCAAGCTGGTGTCAAACATCTTGCTCTGCTTTTCTTTGGACCACATCAGTGAGGCTGAGGGGGGGTCCTGTCGTCTGGGCAGCCGAGGACCACCATACACACTGCTAAGGCTTGTGTCCCAGAGAGGTCACTTGGGGTGACCTCTAATACAACAGTTTGACTTCACCCCCAGAGGAGTACCCCATTGTTTATCGAGACAGACAGATGCCAACAATGGATGCTGCCTTTAAACACTGCAGTCCTACACACAGTTATATCAGAGTATCAGAGGCATTACGCTTCTGTGTACCAGTTGCTGAAAACTACAAGAGGGGAGAGTGGTGTTGTGCTCAGGTCCTGCTTGTGTGCTTCCTGCAGTAATCTGGCTGGTCACTGTGAGAAAATACTGGACTAGATGGACCACTGACCTGATCCAGGAGGCTGTCCTGGTGTTCTTACGTCACTAAGCTGAACAGGGCTCACACTGGAGCAAACGTGCAGAAGATTGTGCTGAAAATACTTCAAGCTGGGATGGGGAACATGTGTCCCACCAGATGCTGCAGTCCCAGCAACGTCTGAAAGGCCACAGGTCCCCCACTCCCCGTTTAAATATTGTGGTGACCAAAACAAGCCCTTCTTTCTGTTGTTCCAGATGAAGCCATTTCAAAAGGGGTGGATGAGTGTAACGCCCTGGTCCTCCCATCACAGAAAACCAAGGATAAAAAAGTAACTTCTGAAAAGGCCCCAGAAAAGAAGCCGCTGACCAAGAAGCAGAAGAAAATCCTGCAGAAGGTTTTGGAACAGAAAGCAAAGAAGGAAAAGGTATGTTTTGGAGTGTGGAGGCCAAGAGAACACCAAGGAGACATGTGGTCCGTGGCATCCTTGGGGAGGGCTGGGAGTATCCGCTGTCTGAAACCCAGGAGAGCTCCTGCCAGTCAGTGTAAACAATATTGAGATAGATGGACCAGCGGTTTTAGGATCACACAACATAAAAGAAAAATAGGATAAGGCAGGAAAAGGAATTCAAGCAAACACTGGTATTGGTTCTGAAAGATGCAATTTTTTAAATAATGCCCTACTAGAATGTAAGCAGTTCTGGGAGAGGAGGAACCCAATGGAGCTGGCATCTCAATTGAGCCCCTCTGCCCGTCTCTCCCTCTGGTCCACTTTTTGCAGGGTGAGGGAAGTTCTGTGGCATCACAGCATATACAAGGCACTCTTCATTTTGCTTCTCACTGTATTTGAACTGTTAGGAAAATCTTACACACCACCCAGTATTAGCGAGGCCTGTATTCACACCATACATTTGAAGCATATGATACCGCTTGGCTTTCCCCAAAGAATCTGGGGAGCTGTAGTTTTTTAAGAGTGCTGAGAGTTGTTAGAAGACCTTCTTCCCATCTCAGAGCTACAATTCCTAGAGTGCCCTGGGAAGAGGAGTTAACTCTCCTCTTCCATTTTTGAGAACTGTAGCTCTATGCAGGGGGGTCTCCTAGCAACTCTCAGTGCCCTTAACAAATTACAGCTCCCACAATTCTCTGGGGGAAGCCATCACTGTTTAAAGTGCTATCCTAGTGTAAACGCCTCCTAGGGCAGACTTGCTTCATACAACTCTTTCTAATCCTAGCGAGCGGAGTTGCTGAGAAAGCTGAGCGAAGTCCAGGCTTCCGAGGCCGAGATGAAGATGTTTTATACCACGTCCAAAATAGGAACAGGGGACCGGATGTACCAGCCTAAACGGTAAGTTCTGGGTACGTCCAGCTTGTTGCTCTTGTTGCAGTGTGGACATACTCTTCCCTTCTTTGGCCTTTTTGTGATTCGCAGCAGGTGTGGGGCGTTCTCCCCGTGTAGCTTCCCTTGAGATCTCCAGCTTTCAGAGTGCATCTTCTTAGCTGGTGTCTCTGGTTCTGTAAAGCAGGATGGGCAGCCTGTAGCCCAGGGGCTGAATGCAGTCCCTGCCTCGTTCCATATGGCCCTCCAAATGCTGCAGAGAGCCGGAGGGGTGGGGAACAGAGAGAGAAAGTGAGGGATGGGCAAGGTGGAGAGAGATGGGGACACACACAGAGAGAGAAGGACAGAAAGAGACGGGTGAAGTGAGAAAGAGTATGTGTATGAGAGAGAGATGGCACAGAGGGTGTGAATAAGAGAGGGGGGACTAGAGAACGAGTGAGAGAAACAGACAGGGTGGCAAAGAAAGTGAGTGATGGAGTGGCAGAGAGAGAGAGCATTCTGCAATGCTGCAGACTTCACCCCCTTCTTGCTCCAATTTCATCCACATTTGGCTTTGGCTTGTGGCCCCTGACAGAAAAATAGTTCCTTATCCCTGCTGTGTTGCATCTGAGGATCTTAGATGTGCCTTGGGGTGGACTTGTCTCGTGTGTCAATGTGACATGGGTGTTTCAGGGCAATCCAAGAAGTGAGCGCCTCTCATCCAGAAAAAATTAAAAGCGTTGGTGGTGCAAACAGAAAAAGATGCAGACCTGAACTGGAGTCTGAAGAGGAGTCTGAGATTTCCTCAGAGGAAGAGGAGGAAGAAAAGGAGCCACAAGAGCAGACAGAAAAGGCAGCCCCAGAGGTTCCTAGCACTATCCTGCTGCCTGAGGAGCCAAAGAGAGCCATTGCATCTCCACCCAGCACACCGAAGCAACATTTTCATGCTCCCAAGCCATCATTGGGGCCTACTGTGTTCATCCCAGTGGACAGATCCCCCGAGATTCAGGTCAGTTTTGAATGCCAACAAGCTAAAAATGCACCCTGTTGCATCACAAGCAGCAGCAGCAGCAACAACAACAGTGGGTCACCCATGTGAGATTCATGACACTTTTCTCTGCAGAAGTGCATGCAGATTCCACGTACAAAATGCCTTTTAGTATTTGTGTTAACAATAAACTGGGGATGTTTTGAGACGTGGAATCTTTTGATGTAATTGTTCTTGGGCACATGATATTTGTGACCTTAGAGCTGAACAGATGCTGAAGAGGAAGTCAAAATCTGGACCTAAAGATTTATTTATTTAGTGCAGGTGCCCTCCAAAGTGTTGTTGGACTCCAGCTCCCATCAGCCCCAGTCAGCATGGATAGTTAGCTGGAAAGATGGGAAATCGTAGTCAACACGATCTGGAAGGCACCAATGTGCAGATATATCCTGTCATTCATCCATCATGAAGCTCAGGGTTGTGGGCATTGGGTTGCCAAACTGTCTCCCATCCAGGCACTAACCAGACTAGGCCCTGCTTAGCTTTATCAAGGTGTCTACATCACGTGCCCTCAGACTTGCCCATCTCACCATTCAGTATGGTGAGGGAAATTTTTCAACTTCTGCATATGGATGTGAGGTGAAATTCTCCTCATTACATGGTCAGACAATGCTGAAGATCAGCTTGCCAAGTGGTTATGCCCACCCTCTCAGAATGGCATGCCCATCTTTGGCCTCTTAAATTTCTTGACACAGAGAGGAGAATTTCCCCCTTCACACTTGAACCCCTGGCAGAGATCTAGAGAAACAGGAAAGCAGTTAAAAAAAAAGAAGCCTCTCTGAAGGATGGGACAGGCAGCTGCTTCACCAAGTGGTTATGATTATTGTTTATTTCATTTAATATATGTCTCCCACTTTTCACCATGGAAGCTTGCCACTTGTGTATCCTTTGGTAACACTCTGCCAAGTAATGAGGTGAATTTTACCTCAGATTTATGCACTTACCTAATGTCAGAAATCTGACATTACCCACGGTAGTGTTTAAAATTATTGGGCATGGCAAAAAAACTAGATTACTGGTTTCCTTAGAGGATTAAATTCTCATTGCAGTAAGCTACTGCTTGTATATTGATTTGTAGGGCTGCAACCCTAAACACACTAACTGATTATTAAACACAGTGGGACATACATCTGTGTAAACATGCAGAGGACTGCACCCTAAACTCACACCACTGGAAGTTACTTTAAATTAATTGTTTGATGCCATTTTAATTCATTTTAGATCAGTAATTTGACCCTTTGCCTATGTAAAGATGTAACTTTGCTTTGAAAGGAAGCCAGGCTGAAGCTCCCAATCCTTGCCGAAGAACAAGTCATAATGGAAGCCATCAATGAGAACTCTATTGTTATCATATGTGGAGAAACTGGTAGTGGGAAGACCACGCAAGTCCCTCAATTTCTCTACGAAGCAGGATATGCCAGGTATTACACCTTTTAAAAAAACACCACTTATTTTATGCCAAGAGGAAAAAATATCAGTGTTCCTAGATTTTGGTGCTTTGACAAGTTGCCTTCTCCTTCGCCATGGAGTTCCCTCCAAAAACAATAATTGTACTCTGAGAGTGATTGGCTGAGCTGGTGTGATGGCACAGAATCTTCAGTTGTTCAGGGGGAGCTAGTAAACCCGTTTGTAGCCCAGCTTCTGTGCTGGAAAAGAAAGTTGTCTGTTAGGTTGGGATTATAATCTTGCCCACAGGAAGATTGCAAACTAGAAGGAGGTCCCAGGATGCAGGACATCTGAGCAGCAAGGAGCCCAGAGCAAGGGTGATAAGTAGGCCATGCCATGGGAAAGAGGGAAGGGAGAGAAGGGCGTGCGGAGAGTGAGGCTGAAGGAAACGTGTGAAGCAGATGAGCAAGTGAAGGGACCAAGCAGAGAAGGGGCTCTGAAGGTTTATAGCACTTGAAGACAGGAGAGGCTGTATGCTTTGGAAGGGAAACAGGAATGCTAGGAGATTCCAGAAATGGCTGCTCCTGCATGCAGAAGGTCGCAGGTTCAATCCCTGGCACCTCCTGGTAGGTCTTAGAGAGAACCCAGCCTGAAATCCTTTAGAGCTGCTGCCAGTCAGTGTAGACATCAGTGGACCTTTCTTAAACATAAGGCCGCTTCTTATGTTTTCTTTGCTCAGGAAGCAGACTGGTTTAACCTGTTGCCCTGGGACTGCAGGGATTAAGGGAGGCACACTCTGGTCCAGGCTCCCAGGAACAGCATCATGGCAAGGGCGAGTGGCGCAGCCAGCGAAGGAGCAGATGCCACAACACTTGCTCTTGTCTTCTCTCCCCATTCCTTTTCTCTTGTATTGTGCCTCTTGGATGTTGAGTCTGGACAGGGACTGTCTTACCTTTAAATATATGTATGTCACTATGAAGATTTCAGTTGCTTTTATAAATGACCTGGGGCAAAATAAGCCTGGAAAGCAGGGAGCAGAGGAAATAATATCTGGTGGGGTCATGCAATTAGAAAGAAGGGGAGAAGCCAAAGAGAAAAGAAGGCTGGGGCTGTGCACTGGAAGCAGAAAGGAACTGCGCAGGCAAAGGGTGGCAGAGGGGCATGGTCCAGGGCAAGAAAGCAGAGCATCGCTGTGCCTAGACAGCCTGGCCTAACCCAGTGCCCACCAGATGGTGGTGGATGACAGCACCCATCATCCCTGACCGTTAGCCGCACTGGCTAGAGCTGATGGGGGTTGTAGTCCAGCAGCATCAGGCTGGGCAAAGGCTGGTATTGGAGAGTGGAACTCATCAGTAGCGGCTTCTACTTTTAGCATTGTGACCTACCAACATTTTTGTGCGTTAGTGAGAGTCAGAGTGTGACAGCTGTGAGGGTAAATCTCAAACATTAATTTGCACTAGTCAGCCAGCAGTTGTTGCTGTTTTATTTCTATCCCAGCCTTCCTCCAAGAATCTCAAGGTGACAATTACATGCCTCTCCCCCTCATTGTTTTGTCCTTGCAACAACCTTGTGAGGTAGGTTAGGCTAAGAGACGTTGATTGGCTGAAGATCACCCTGTGAACTTCATGGCCAAGTGGGGATTTGAACCCTTGTCTCCCAGGTCCTAGCCTGATACTAACCACTGCACCATGCTTTGGGTTCAGGCTATTAGTAAGATAAAATATAGTTCTTCCCTTGGGTTCTTCTCAGTTCTATGTAGAACTGAAGGAACAGGGGTTGTGTTGCAACATGATCTTCTCTCTCCCCCCCTCCAAATTCCTTTTTTCTTTCCTTGCTGACAATAATCTTTCGTTCACTGCTCTTGTAGCCATGGCGGCATCATCGGAATCACAGAACCACGGCGTGTGGCTGCAATTTCTATGTCCCAGCGTGTTGCAAAGGAGATGAACTTATCACATAGGTAAGCGTACTTGCACAAACTCCAGAAAGTGTCCTTTAGATCAGCCTTCTCTCCAAGTGCTTTGGCCTACCAACTCCCCTTGGCCCCAGCCAAGGTCTGTGCCTTCAGCCAAGTGATGTTTGGGGGAAGCCTCTGCTTCAGATGACATCAGAAAAGGTGTTGAGAAACCGGGAACAAATGTTGGCCAGCCCACTGTTGGGACGTGTTCAGAACTCAGGAAAGTGAGCTGTCACAAGGTGGAGCTGCTCATTCACTGCATCCCACTTCTGATTATTCCCCTGCTCCTTGACCAAGTAATAAAGTCACCCCATATCCTGACATCAATCACTCTGCATGTTCCCCCTTCTCCACTGCATGTCATTGGCTGGTAGAGTTGGGACATTGTGAGCAACATGGGGCAAGTGTCAGTATGCCTACCAGAGTACAGAGGTGCTGTCCTGTGTGAGATTTGTCGCCACCAGCGGGTGTTTTTACTGGGATGGTTTTTCTCAGGGCAGACCCCAGCCATTTAGGAGTCAGGGTCTGAGCATGCATAATAGGTGCTTTGACAGTAACAGCTGTTCAGCAGTGGAACAGACTCCATCAGAAGGAAGTGGAGTCTACGTACTTCACTGGAGGTTTTTAAGCAGAGGTTGGATGGTCATCTATCATTATGCTTTTGCTGAGATTCCTGCATTGCAGGGGGTTGGACTAGAGGACCCTTGGGGTCCCTGCCAACTCTACAAGTCTATGACTGTGTGTGGTTCTAGAGCAGGGGTCAGCCACCTTTTTCAGCCGTGAGCCGGGCCACCATCCCTCAGACCTTGTGGGGGACAACTATATTTTGGAAAAAAAATACGAATCAATTCCTATGCCCCACAAATAGCCAAGAGATGCATTTTAAATAAAAGGACACATTCTACTCATGTAAAAACATGCTGATTCCGTGGGCCGGATTGAGAATGCATTTGGGCCGCATCTGGCCCACGGGCCTTAGGTTGCCTACCCCTGTTCTAGAGTGCTGGTTTGTTTGATGTTGGGTTGATCCCAGAGTTCCTTTCATCCTCTATCCTCAGGGTGATTTCATACCAAATCCGTTACGAAGGAAATGTGACAGATGACACCAAAATCAAATTCATGACAGATGGTGTGTTGTTGAAGGAAATCCAGAAGGTATGGTGGTGGTTCTTCCTTTCAGAAACGAAATGCAGCTGTGCCTATGTAATGCTACTTCTTAACATGTTGACATACTTTTGATGCAGCCAGTTCCCAACCTGCTGCCCTCCAGACTTTCATTACTCTGGCCATTTGCCATGCTTACTGAGGCTGATGGGAGTTGGAGTCCAAAAGATGTGGAAGGCACCAGGCTGGGTTTAGGGTGACTAAGAGATAGCTCAGGATGGAGCTGAACTGGATGGGTTGTCATTGACTGAGTCACTAGGCAACATTCCCCCCCCCTGCAAAAAAACAACCAGAATTCAGATTCAGGAATGAGAGAAGGGTTTTGCACTTCCTTGTGAGGTCCTCAGAACCATGTTCAGTTTAAAGAAGTGGCTTAGGGGCATCTTCTTCGGGCTTCTAGATGTTTTTGATTGCCACTCCCATCAGCCCAGCCTGCTTAGACCCACATGCAGGTTTTGAGCCACAAATTCCCCCTTAAAGATCAAATCAGTTGATAAGTCTGGTTGAATTTTGATGTGTGGTTGTGGTATTCCTCATACACCCACCCACCCTTTTGGTCTTCCCAGGATTTCTTGTTGTCCAAGTACCGGGTCATTATTCTCGATGAAGCTCATGAAAGAAGCATCTATACGGATATCCTGATTGGTCTTTTATCACGCATTGTGCCACTCAGAGCCAAGGTAAGGAGGGAAAGGGTGGTTACGTATCAATAGCATTCTAACATTTGATTATTTTGGTTTTTACAAATACAGTCATACCTCGGTTTACAGACGCTTCAGGTTGCGTGTTTTCAGGTTGCGCACTGCGCCAAACCCAGAAGTACCGGAATGGGTTACTTCTGGGTTTCGGCGCTCGCACATGCGCTGAGGAGCCGAATTGTGACCCACACGTGCGCAGAAGCGGTGCTGCGGGTTGCAAATGTGCCTCTCGCACGGATCACGTTCACAACCCAAGGGACCACTGTAATCATATGTGCTTGATCTTACATTCACGCATTGAAAATACTAGGACTCCAGTGCTCCTTAAACTGATGTTTCACAGCTGATGTTTCACAGTTTCCATTTGATTCTTACTATTTTAATACTTCTGTGCAAACTTTGCATGAAAAGAAGGCACATTGATGCTGAAAGTAAGAGAATGAATAAATAGCAGCACTTTAAATTTGGTCCAGGAACAGATAAGGTAGGGTTGCCAAAGTTGTTGAGCTTTTTTTGGGAAAATCTCAAATAGTTTTTGAGCGTAATATGCTCATAGGACTAGTTAATTTGTCATTCAGCTGCTAGAATACTGCGGGCAGTCTCTGAACAGTCTTCAAACATCTAACATCAAGTTCCTCCAGATTTGGCTACATCTTATCTCCACCAAGCAAACTCCTGCCTTCTTGCCTGTGTTTTTGTTCTTACACATTGACAGAAAGGACATCCGCTGAAGCTGATCATCATGTCTGCCACACTGCGTGTGGAAGATTTCACCACCAACAAGAAACTGTTTGCCAGTCCTCCTCCTGTTATACAGGTAACAGTGTGATAGTGGTTGGATTTAGTGTCACATTTTGTTCCAACACCAGAGGCCCCAGGGAAAGTGGCAAGCCTGGAGAGGGGAGCAGGGCTGGTCAAAGGATGCTGGACTGCAGCTTGCTCCGGCAAAGGTTGGGAGCAGCCTTTGATGCCTCCTGTCTCTGGACTCCATCCCCTTGAGGGAGCTGCTGAGCCCTAAAAGGCCTGAACACGGGGACTCCTCCTCCTCCCCCCATAGCCTCCCTCCGGGCATGTATCAGGGCTGGTGAGGAGTGATGGGAGGGGCCTGGTTCTTCAAGGAAGTGTCCGTGTCTGGCCTGTGGGCCCTGGCAGTCTGGGAGGTTCCTGTCTATACTTGTGGGTATAGGGCAGTATAATTCTTTTAGTAATAATTCCCTCAGGCACGGCGGTCTCCAGCTCAGGAGTGGAGATTGCAGCTTTCTCAGAAGCGCAGCTCCTGCACTTCTCCTGAGAGTGGGCAGGCAGCAGGGTGGGATGCACAAGCTTAAAGAAAAACACTTTTGAGAACCATTTTAAAAGAGCTCCCATCATATTCCTGTTTCGAGAAGGCTTTAATCTCTGCTCATCAATTTAAGAGCAGAGATTAAATCCTGCTGCCTTGGCTTTATGATCCTGTTCCCTGCTGGAGGCATAGAGCCAATGCAGGATTAAACCACATCTTCTTGCCCGTTAGCTGGCATCACAGGTGGGTGGGTGTGGTTTGGAGGAAATGGCCTCACAGGCCAGATTGGAGCCCCTGGCAGGCCAAAAGGGACCTGTGAGCCAGAGGTTCCCCAGGTCTAAATAGACATGCTTTGTCGTTCTGGGCAACTGCTCTTTACCTGTATTGTTTTCTCTGTAGGTGGATGCGAGGCAATTTCCTGTGGCAGTTCATTTTAACAAAAGGACCCCACTGGATGATTATAACGGAGAATGTTTCCGGAAAGTCTGTAAAATTCACCGAATGTTGCCATCGGGTAAGCTGACTGGCACAGACTTTTGTCTGTAATAAAAACCATAAAATTAGCTTTCAAATAAGGAACTGGAGTGATTCTCTTTTATGTCCTGGAGCAGGTTCAGAAAAGGGCAGAATGATCAGGGGGCTGAAGACAACACTCTCGGGAGGGAACTTGGCCACATTTGGGGCTTTTTAATTTAGATAAATAGTGAGCCGGAGGCGTATGATTACATACTTAAAGGTTAAGAGGTGGGTGCAGGAAAGAACACTTTATGGTTTCAGTACGCTGAAATTCTTTCTGAATTGCAAGAATATTTTAGTTGTCCCAACCAAATTAGAGACTTGCCTGAACTGGAGAAAATCCCCTGAGGAGAGGGATTGGCAATTCAACCACTCTGTGAAGGGCATAGAGGGTCTCCTAACAACCCACAGCACCCATAAGAAACTATAGTTCCCAGAATGCTATGGGGAAAGCCATGACTGTTTCAAGTGGGATGACACTGCTTTAAATGTATAGTACAGATGTTGTCTTGATGTGACAAAATTCTGTGACTTAAAAAAAATAAATTGTGCCAGTTTTTATGAAGAAGACATTGAATAATGTTTTATTTCAAAGCATAGACACTGGTGCTTCTTGCCACATTTCCCGCTCCCACAATGCCTGTGGCCTAATTTTAAGATATTTTATCTTCTTGCAGGGGGCATCCTGGTGTTCCTCACTGGCCAGGCTGAAGTACATTCACTGTGTAGGAGGCTGAGGAAATCGTTCCCTTTCCGCAAAAATGCACCCCAAGGTAACTGATGCCCTCAGAGAAACGCATTGGTATTTCTGTATTAAAATCCCAAATAATTGGCATGGTACCAACTCAATAAATGCAGTCTTGCAACTCTTCCAAAAAGCATATTTGTTAAAAGCATTCTCCAAGCCTTTGCGCATGGCCTGCCTCAAGTCCTTGAGGGACAGAATTTGCGTGAGAAGTTACTTCTCTGACAGCCACTGCTTTTCCTTGTCCAGTGGCAGGGAAAACAGCAATCCCAGAGTTGAATGATTTTGCGCCCTGGGTGTGAAGCATGCATTTGAGCAAGAGTCAAGGATAGCACCCTGGCAGGCCAGACCAAGACTGGCTGTTAACCTGGCAGTGCCAAAACCTGGCCTGGAAGCTTGCATATCCTCCAGGTCAGGGAGAACCAAAGGGTTGCGGAGGTGGGTGAAGCCACCCTGAAAGTCTGGGAGGACGCCTTTGGCCGGGGAACTTTTCGCGCTGCAATTCTCCATGGCTCATCACCAAGGGCAGCAAAGCACAGATCTAGACATTTATGCCAGTTTCACACAGCAAACTTGTTTGGAACTGGCTGCACTTCTCTTTACATTGCTCTATTTAAAAAAAAACTGCCAATATCAAAATGCTGGTACAGAGATCTATGGTGTGACCACATTTTGAGTCTCTGTACTGTTCTGGCCAGCTCAACTCAAAGAGGGTATTCTAGAGCTGGAAAAGGTTCAGAAAGAGGCATCCTGAATGATCAAGGGGTTGGAGCGACTCCACCATGAAGAAAAGCTGCAGGGTTTGGTACTTTTTAGCTTAGAGGAAAAATGAGTGAGAGGCAACTTGTTAAAAGTTCATAAAATTCAGCATGGCATGGAAAAGTGGATAAAGAATATGTTTTTCTCTTAACTCTAGAACTTGCAGACATCCAGTGAATTTTCTTGAAAATTCCGAATATATATAATTTTTAAGTACTTCAGAAAGTACTGTGATGGAAGGCAGCCTAGCTTGACTCCTCACAGTATCACTGGGGAGAGATGTAATTTTGTATTTGGTCTGTGACTTGGTTTTTTTGCTTGTGTTATTGAGGGACCTCCTCCTTTGGGCTATTGCTCTTACAGTTGCCACATAACACTCATCCCACAGTTGTGAGCAATGGATCTTTCAGTTTGGCAGAACCTATACTTTGACAGGTGCTGTCACTGTACTCTTTTCAGCACCAGCTTGAAACATATTTGTTTAGGCAAACCTAAAGATGTTTTAATCATTTTTACTGTCAATTTTAGTTATCATTAAATGTTTTAAATTATTTATACTGATAATAAATATAGTAAACTGCTTAGAGGTTTTACTACAATCCAAAAGGTGTAAGCCTTTTTCTTAAGTAAAAATATTGATGTAGATGCTGCTTCCTTTCTTCTTCCCAGGTGGTGATGAAGACAAGGAGGATTCGGTTGAAGAAATACGAAGATTTAAGAAATCCAAACGGAAAAAGAATGTGGTATGCTTTGATTGAGGGCTCCCAAGTGGAACCAACCCCAGTGGGGCTTGCATTTGGCATCAAATTTAAAAGGCACCGAGGAGCAGTTCAAGGCTCCTTTGCAGCCAGCTCTTTCCCTGCCCCACACCTGGTGTGTGTGCGCGCATGTGCACACACACACACTGGGAAAACTGTCTTGCAAGCCAAAATAGGGACAGAGATTCCTCACCACTTCTCTGCATCACAATAGGGTCCCCCAGATTAACAGCCTTTGATCCAGACTCATGAAAATGCTCCTTATTTCCAATACATTTGCCTCTTCCCCAGGCCCAGACACTTATTGGGATCCCAAGTTCTCAGGGCTGGGTCAGATGCAGGTCAGCACTCAAGAAGAAGGCACTAGCAGAAAAGTTAGCTCTTCATTGAAGAAAGCAACATACAAGGCAACAATGCCAACACACAGGACTGGCCCCTGTGAAACAGATGCCAGGACTGAAGCTCTTCACCTTCTACTTACCTCTAAGTCTTCCCCCCAGCTCCTGGGATGCTGGTGCAGCCCCTGTCCCTCCTCTGCTTCATCAACAGAGTCTTCACTGCTTTCTCCACCTGTCTCCTCTTGCTGTTGCCTTTTCAGCATCCAACCATTCCTCCCCTCCTTCCGCCTCTGATCTGTCCTCAGTGTCCCACCACAACCCTGGCTCTGAACCTTCCTCCTCAGGCTTCCCTCGGGTTCCCCGGCTGCTGCCTCCCACCCCCTCCTCTTCATCCAGCCAGCCCCTGACACAAATCCACCTCCCATCCCATTTGGACCCTCCGAGGGTCTTCCAGCTCTAACTCTCCAAGTTCCTCACATTCCTCCCCAGGATCTGACCATCCCCTCCATGACACCTCCATGGGCCTCATGTCAACCACAGGGGACCATGGCTGTTTTGAAATAGTGTTTCAGAAACCACTGCCTTTCTGTGCCTGTATGCGCTCTGAATTTCAACCTTCGAAAGCCATGATCCCTTTGTGCATTTCTCCTGATCCTTTCAGGTGCTGCCCAAAATAGATCTGGATAACTATTCTGTTATGCCAGTAGATGAAGGAGATGAAGACAGAGATGCAGGAGCTGAAGAAGATGCTGACGCTGCTTGCTCAGATCTTGACCTGGAATATGGAGATGATGGGCTGGAAGAAGGTTTGCCTCTTGGAAAATATGCTAAGGCAGTGTTGGTTCAGTTTCTGCAGGGCCCGCGGGCAAGACTTCCTCAGTGAGCCTTCCTCGCTCCTGTCATCATCTGCTGCTGCCCCACTCCTCCTCCTCTTGGATTTCCCCACCCTGCCACTAGCTTGCCAGGCAGAAAGTCAGTGAGCAAGCGGGCACTGGCATTTTCTGCTCCTCCTCCTCCCCGACGCAGTTGCTCAGGCCAGAGGAAGAGGCTGGTGAGGAAGCGAGTGGGTTGCAGTGATGAAGAACAGGTGCAGGCTTAGGGGGGTCCCTTGCCAGAGACGTCCCTCGCTGGCAAGATGCCCAAATATACCAACCCCTGAGGCTGGCTTGTGTTTATACATGTTGGGACCAGACTTGATCATTGAGCTGTCATGGCGCATAGAATCATAGAATGAGAGTTGGAAGGGACTGGGAGGGTCATCTAGTTCCAACCACCTGCAGTGCAGGAATCTTTCGCCCAACATGGGGCTCAGTTGAGAGTCTCCTGCTCTGCCGATGTGCCCTAATTTATCCTGCTCTGTTCTGTTTGTTGCATTTTCTCTCTCACTCCAAATAAATCACACCATTTTTGTGGGGGGGTCCACTAGGGGGCGCATTGAAAGATGGCCGACAATACCATCTCTCCGACCCACACGGGGTAATTAAGAGGCTGTTATGGGAGTAGGCAGCCTCCCTTGTTGCCCCAAGGAAATGGGGAACACTGCCTTTGCCTGCTGTGCCAATAAATCACCCCCTAATTCGAAAGAAGGGGGTGAGGGCCCAAGGGAGAATGCCCCCGTGTGGACCTCGGCTCTCCTGGACGCTGTCTCTGATCGCGCACTAGTTGCAGCAATTTGGAATAATTAATTACAAAAGAAGCAAATGCACATATTTCAAGTGAAGAAGGGGAGTGAAGTCTGCTAATTTAAGTGACCTCTGTGAAAGAAGACGACGGGCTGGAGAAACAGGAATATTTTACGATGAAGATACACCAAAGGCGGGGTATGTTGACAACGGGGCTGAATGGGGGAAACCTTTTTACTTTCCTTCTATGTGATTTACAAGAACCCCTCCTCATTAGAACCGTCGGTTGAACTGACCCAAGCAGGATGATTAAGGTCTGTGTGGAGATAAACTTTAACCAAAAGTATGCTTTATGGAGACCGAGAAGCAATAAGAGCTTTTGGGAATGGCGCAGCAATAAATTCGGAGTCGCCATCTTGCCAAAGGATTTATAGCCGGGAGGAAGAACGGATTTGTTTGCATTCCTAGTGAATCTCCTCAGAGGTTTTGAGAAAGGAGGCAGATTGGTGAAGATTAATGACACTAAGACTGTTTTGATGTATGGAAGTGATGTTATATGGAAAACGTCTGGATATGGCTACTGGATAAAAAAATAATATCCACGCAGGATTTCAAACTGTTCTAACCAGCCTGCGGAGACTATCAGAGGTCACAAAGAGAAAGGAAAAATATATGAAAATAACAACAAGAGATATGGAAAAATAATAAGAAAGGACTGGATAGTACTGTGAACATCATAAGGTTAGATTTGTGGACATCAAAACAGCAGTAAGAAGCAAGAAGTTGATAGGATCCCTTCGGAACTTGAAATATGGGTACCCCCAACAAAAATTTAAAATTCGGCTGTGTAATTTGGAATTTATGTAATTTGGTTTGATTTGATGTGATTGGTCGGTTAATAAAAAATTATTCTTAAAAAAATAAATCACACCATTTTTGCAAAGTTTCCCCAGGGTTCCCTGTGAAGAGGAACTGACAGTTAATCCACTCTGGGAATTGTAGTTCTGTGAAAGGAATAGGGGCCTCCTAACAGCTCTCAACACTTTGCAAACTACAGTTCCCAGGATTCTTTGAGGAAGCAAGGACTGTTCCAAGCGTCATGATACTGCTTTAAATGTAGAGGGCTGGTGGGGCTGTTGATTCAAATGGTGAAGTCAGTTGGACAGCCAGCAGACTGTTGCTTATTACTATTGTGTGTGTTTTTTAATTTTGTGTACAGGTGAGAACCCAGATTCCTCCCTCCCACTTTATGTTCTTCCACTTTACTCCTTGCTGGCACCAGAAAAGCAAGCCAAGGTAATGATTCATTTCCCTGGCTCCTCAGAAAATGTACCCATGAGCTCATTCTCCCAGTATGGATCCTTTAGAAAACATCCGTAAACCCATACACAAGAGTTTGGGCAGGTTTGCAGAAGCCCAAAAAACACCTGAGAACCAGCCCAGTGAGGATCGAGCATGCTCAATGGGCACAGAATGCTGAGTAGTAGGAATTGGCAGAAAGCTGGCAGAGAGGGGAATAATATAGAATATCCTGGAAGGAGGGCTTGGCTGGGTAGAGCCCTGAGCACTGGATGCTGCATCGCTTTGTTGTATGCCTCACTTGCAGAATTTATAGGTTGTGGGCATCAGTTTCCATATTCCTGGGTGATTTTTCTAGGATCTCCCCCCCCCCCACCTTTTATTTCTGTACTCCAGGTTTTTAGGCCCCATCCTCCTGGGACCAGGCTCTGTGTTGTAGCAACCAACGTGGCTGAAACATCCCTGACCATCCCGGGCATCAAGTACGTGGTCGACTGTGGGAAGGTCAAGAAACGCTTCTACGACAAAGTCACTGGAGTCTCCTCTTTCAGAGTCACCTGGACGTCTCAGGCATCTGCCAACCAGCGGGCCGGCCGAGCTGGGCGCACAGAGCCCGGCCACTGTTACAGGTCAGCTGACTTCCCTTCTCTGTAGGAACACAAGAAGCTGCCTTCTGCTGAGTCAAACCGCTGGGCCCTCAAGATCAATCTTGTCTGCACTGACTGGCAGGGGCAACGCTGATCATTGATTGTAACGATAAATATTTGATTTGACTGGCAGTGGCTTTCCAAGGTTTCAGCCAGGAGCTGTTTTGCTAAATGCAAGTTCTTTTGGATTCAGTGGCAGTAGCACAAGTGGAGAGAAGTTCCTCACTTTTATTAAGTAGCAGGTTTGGATGCAGAATAAAAAGCAGTGAAACAGTCTTTAAGCAGAATAATATAGCATATGCAAGTTAAAATACTTCCCCATTCAGTTATCAGGGAATGATAAGAGAGAGACTCCAGCAGCACAGTACACAGCATCCAACAAGATCAAAGCTTGAGGATCAGACCCCACCAGGGAGATTTATACCCCTTAGATCAGGCATAGGCAAACTCAGCCCTCCTGATGTTTTGGGACTACAACTCCCATCATCCCTGACCACTGGTTCTGTTAGCAAGGGATGATGGGAGTTGTAGTCCCAAAACAACTGGAGGGCCGAGCTTGCCTATGCCTGCCTTAGATCCTTAGTGGCCAAGTGCTGGCTGGCCTAATATCTAAATTCCTCCCACCTGTTAAGCTAGGCAAATATACAGGGCCAGGGTTGTTAGTTGATCCTGCAGCTGCACCATTGCTGACAAGCACTCAAGCTTCAGCTGCAAGTGGATCTTTCCACATCCCAGGAGCACAAGCAGCAAATCAAGAGCGTAAAGCAAACCAAAAACCCTTGACAATAAGCATGGAGGAATAATTGTACGAACCAATTAACCTGTCTCCTCAGAATACAAAATTCGTCAGCATTCTGTTTCCTCTACAGGAGCCCTTCTCAGCCCTGTCTAGAGATCCCAAGGATCGAACCTGGGACCTTCTGCACTCAAAGCAGATGCTCTACCACTGGGCTATGGCCCTTTCCCAAAGTAAAAGGGCTGTAATTTCAGTGGGTGATGCAGAAAATCCCAGGTCCAGTCCCCAGTGGCATCTCCAGGTAGGGCTGCAAATGACTCCTTGCCAGAAACCCCAGAGAGCCTCTGCCAGGCCGTGTGGACAGTCGTGAGCTAGGGGGACCCATTGTCTGCCTCAGTAGATGGTCGTTTTCTATCTCCCTGTGTAAAAGAGCCCCCAACTGTTTACATTCTAGCAGGACATTATTTTAAAAAATTGCATCTTTCAGAACCAATACCAGTGTTTGCTTGATTTCTTTTTCCTGCCTTATCCTATTTTTCTTTTATGTTGTGTGATCCTAAAACTGCTGGTCCATCTATCTCAATATTGTTTACACTGACTGGCAGGAGCTCTCCTGGGTTTCAGACAGCTAGAATGCAGCACCCCTGCAGCAATCCAGGAGGCGCGCATCTCTAGCTGGTCTCAACAGCTGGGAGCAAAAGCTGTGTAGCAGTATATTTCTGAAGCCTTCTGGGCAGCTGCTAATCTCTCCCCCCCCCCCCCCGGCTTCCTCTCTTGTTTTGTTCTAGGCTTTACTCTTCGGCTGTCTTCAGTGACTTTGAGAAGTTCACTTCTCCTGAGATTACCAGGCGACCTGTTGAAGATTTAATCCTGCAAATGAAAGCGCTAAACATTGAAAAGGTGGGAGTCAATTTAGGGCAGCCTTCCTTCTGCAACACGGATTATGTCATTCCCGTCTAAATTGGCCATGCTGCCTGGGTTTGATGGGAGTTGTAGTTCAAAACCGGAGGGCGCCGCATGGTGGGGGAGGGGCTGATCTGGCTTCGAACTAGATGAGACACCAACATAGGAAGCTGCCTTATACTGAATCAGGCCATTGATTGCTCCATCTGTCCCAGGGTTGTCAACACTGACTGGCAGCCGCTCTCTCGGGTTTCAGGCATGCCTGGAGATGCCATTGGGGGCTGAACTTGGGATCTCCTGCATGCAAGGCAGATGCTCTGCCTCGGAGCTACAGCCCTTCCCCACCAATCACCCGGATCCTTTTTGAAAAATAGAGTGCAGGTGTGGGGAGTGTTAACCCTTTGGTCCCACTATGGGAGCTTTCCCACCATGCAAATAGCAGGTGCAAGGATCAAGTCAAAGGGTTAAATTAGCCTATCGTCACCAGTGGTCAGGGAGGAAGTAGACCTCCACAGATTTATGTTAGATTGTGACTCTATGTGGGCCATCATTCTGAAACCTAGAAACTGCCTCGGAGACAAGGCAGTGTGTATATAATATTTAATTTTCTTTTCGTTAGAAAAAAAAGACAGCTAACTTTCGAAAGATTGCTATTCTAATTAGCACAAGAAAAAGGTTTAAATCTGGACTCCCTCGGGAGGTGGTGGCCTCTCCTTCCTTGGAGGTTTTTAAGCAGAGGTTGGATGGCCGTCTGTCATGGATGCTTTAGATGAGATTCCTGCATTTCAGGGGGTTGGACTAGTTAACCCTGGGGGTTCCTTCCAATTCTATGATTCTGTAATTCCACAATTCTGTGATTCTGCTGAAACCCCCAGGTAATATTGGCCCACCCTCTAAAATAAGTTGGTCAGCAGCCTGCCCCTCCCCCCAGCTCTTTGGTGAATTCCAGCACTGCTGAAGTTGGAAGGTGGCTTGCGGACAGATGGGGACGGGCAATTGTTTATTAATAGCAGCATCTACCCCCCTCCCCTTTTGAATTATGCTGGCTGCTGGGAAGAAGAAATCTGTAGTGAGGTTAAGGTAGGAGTTTGTTGGGGTGGGGGGAGAACCAGGAGTGGATTTTTGTGTCACAGGAGCTTGTGCTACGTTCTGGTACTAAAACCAAATTTCTGCACTGGGCATGCATGCGCACTGAGGCACCCCATTTCTTAACCAGTGTTCTGGACCTGGGTCTGGTCAGTGGATCTCTGGGTTCTAGTGGTGGTGATGATGTGAGTAGACCCCACAAGCCTGAAGTTATTCCATGCCCATCTTACTCAGTTCTTGGGCATCTCACCTGTTCATGCCGGGTGTGTCGTCCCCTTTGTGTTTGCAGGTGGTCAATTTTCCCTTTCCTACACCCCCGCCGCTGGAAGCGCTAGTTGCTGCTGAGGAGCTGTTGATAGCCCTTGGAGCCTTGCAGGAACCCTCCAAATCGGGAAGGTAGACTTTTTACTGATTGTTGTTGTCTTTGTTGCTTTTTGAACAATGCCGGTTGGTGGACTGGATTGTGCTTTCTCTCTTTTCTCCCACTGTGCAGAGCCATCCCTCCCATTGGATAGAGTGGGGTGGCCATCTTGCACAGTTCTTTTGAGCTGCCATGAAAGAGCAGAAAGATAATGTTTTTGTTTTACAAATGCATAAATCATACCATAGCCTGAGGCCATCAAAGCAGTGTACAACATGATAAACGAAATAAATAGCACACCAAAAATACAAATTCTAAAAGCAACATTTGGAGGGCACTAAGTCAAGAGAGGCCTGGTCTAGGAATTGACTCCTATTCCCTTCTTCCAGGCTGAGAAAGTTGCAAGAAGCCAAGCTGACCTGCCCCATCAGCCCCCTGGGGGCCACAATGGCAGCCTTTCCTGTGGCTCCCCGTTACGCGAAGATGCTTGCCTTGAGCAAACAGCAGGACTGCCTCCCGTATGTCATCACCTTAGTGTCAGCCCTGACGGTTCGGGAGCTCTTTGAAGAGTTTAACAGGTGAGGGTTCCCCCAACAAAAGTGCTGGGCGTTGGCTCCATGTCTGTGTCTGCTGTTTGCTGCCCTGGACTCCTTTGGGAAGAATGGTGGGGTGGAAACAAACAAACAAACAAGCAAACAAACAAACAAACTTGCCACTCTCTGAACTAGTGGCCCAAAGGAATGATCCCCTTTGGTGTGGTCACATTGGTGGTAGTTCATTGGCAGTAAAGAATTGCACCTCTGAAAGTTGTTCCAATTCCTCTCACTGTGCTGCTGAGGACACACAGCCCATGGTCACCCTGTGATGAATAATGGTAGCCTCCAGCTGAGCACATAAGTTGCTTCTCTGTTTTTTTAGTACAAGTCACAAATTTAATAAAACAAGTATATGTGGTAGAGATTCAGCAGTGTTCTGCACTGCAACCCTATGCATGTCTACTCATAAATTTGGAAAGATGTATCAGTCTATTTCTGTTCAGTGTCAGTTCTGCATACACTCAAGCATAGTTCTGGCCTTTTTTCGCAGCTTTTTATTTTTTATTTTTTAATAAAATATTTATTGGTTTTACAAAAAAAATTCCAAAAGATACAAAATTACCAAAATTCAACAAACAAAAAACACCAATAACCATGACAACAAACGAACAGAAATAACAGTATCCATAACAAAGAAAGAAACAAGAAAAAAAGAAAAAGAAACAGAAAAATTTAAAAGATATTATACTTTCATTTAGCCTTCTTATCTTTACCTAGTTCTTTGACTTCCCCGCATCTCCCCGCTTGTATTTCCATTTAAGAATTCCTTTCAGCAAATCCTTACCCTCCTTTCTTTATCTTAACTCAAAAAACTTAATCTATTTATATATAAATATTTTTACAACCTTATCAATCAAATATTCCATACTCTTAATCACAAGGCTTTTGCCAATACCAGTTATTTTCAATCAGACTTCAATTTAACATTCATTAATTTTATAGTATTTCTGTAGATAGACTTTAAATTTCTTCCAATCTTCTTCCACCGACTCTTCTCCCTGGTCACGGATTCTGCCAGTCATCTCCGCCAGTTCCATATATTCGATTACCTTCATCTGCCATTCTTCCAGAGTGGGTAAATCTTGTGTCTTCCAATACTTTGCGATGAGTATCCTTGCTGCTGCTGTTGCATACATAAAGAAAGTTCTGTCTTTCTTTAGCACCAATTGGCCAACAATGCCCAAGAGAAAGGCCTCTGGTTTCTTTAGAAAGGTATACTTAAATACCTTTTTCAACTCATTATATATCCTTTCCCAGAAGGCCTTAATCTTTGGGCACGTCCACCAAAGGTGAAAGAATGTACCTTCAGTTTCCTTACATTTCCAACATTTATTATCAGGCAAATGGTAGATTTTTGCAAGCTTGACTGGGGTCATGTACCACCTGTACACCATTTTCATTATATTCTCTTTTAAAGCATTACATGCTGTGAACTTCGTACCTGTGGTCCATAACCGTTCCCAGTCAGCAAACATAATGTTATGTCCAATATCCTGTGCCCATTTAATCATAGCAGATTTTACCGTTTCATCCTGAGTATTCCATTTTAGCAGCAAGTTATACATTCTTGAAAGTGTTTTAGTTTTGGAATCTAGCAGTTCTGTTTCCAACTTTGATTTTTCCACCTGGAAGCCAATTTTTCTATCCAAATTATAGACCTCTCTTATTTGGTAATAATGCAACCAGTCTCGCACTCTATCTTTTAATTTTTCAAAACTCTGCAATTTGAATTTGTCTCCTTCTTGTTCCAAGATCTCCCAATATTTTGGCCACTTGGCCTCCATATTGGACTTTTTTAGGGCCTTTGCCTCCATTGGTGATAGCCACCTTGGGGTTTTGTTCTCCAATAAGTCTTTATATCTTATCCAGACATTGAACAATGCTTTCCTGACAATATGGTTTTTAAATATTTTGTGAGCTTTAACCTTGTCATACCACAAATATGCATGCCACCCAAACACATTATTGAAACCTTCTAAGTCCAAAACATCAGTATTTTCCAGAAGTAGCCAATCCTTCAACCAGCAGAAAGCTGCTGATTCATAATAAAGTTTAAAGTCTGGCAGGGCAAATCCCCCTCTTTCTTTAGCATCAGTCAATATTTTAAATTTTATCCTGGGCCTCTTGCCCTGCCAGACAAACTTAGAAATATCTCTCTGCCACTTCTTAAAACAGTCCATTTTGTCTATTATTTGTATCGATTGAAACAAAAACAACATTCTTGGCAATACATTCATCTTGATGACAGCAATTCGCCCTAACAAGGAAAGCTTCAAATTTGTCCATATTTCTAAATCCTTTTTAATGTCCGACCAACATTTTTCATAATTGTCTTTAAATAAATTCCCATTTTTAGCTGTCATATGAATCCCCAGATATTTCACTTTTTTTACCACTGTTAAACCTGTCTCATTCTGAAACCTCTCTTTTTCAATCGGTGTTAAATTCTTCTCAAGTACTTTAGTTTTAAACTTATTCAGCTTAAAACCTGCCACCTGACCAAACTCTTGAATCAGTTCTAATGCTCTTTTCGTACTAGATTCTGGCTCCTGTAATGTCAGTACAAGGTCATCTGCAAATGCTTTCAGTTTATATTGTTTCGCTCCGACCGTTATGCCCTTAATCAGATGGTCCCTTCTTATCATATTTAACAAAACCTCCAGAACAGAAATAAAAAGTAATGGGGAAATTGGGCAGCCTTGTCGTGTCCCTTTCTCTATCTTAATTTCCTCTGTTATCACATTATTAACTATTAATTTAGCTTTTTGTTCTGAATAAATTGCATTTATACCATTTTCAAACTCTTGGCCTACCCCCATCCCCTGAAGATTTTTTTTCATAAAACTCCAAGAAATATTGTCAAAGGCTTTCTCTGCATCCACAAAAATCAAAACTGCTTTAGTATTGATCTCCTCTTGCAGCTTCTCCAGAATATCAATTATGTTCCTTGTGTTGTCCGAAAGATGTCTATCTGGAAGAAAGCCAGCTTGGTCCTTGTGAATCACTCCTTTTAGCACTTTTTTAAGCCTTTTTGCTAAAATGTCAGCAAAAATTTTGTAATCCACATTTAACAGGGATATGGGCCGATAGTTCTTAAGCTGTGTCTTTTCAGTCTCAGCCTTTGGTATAAGTGTAATAAATGCGTCTTTCCACGACTCTGGCGCTCTTTTCCCCTCTAAAATTTCATTACAAACCTCAGTTAAAGGTCGAATTAACCAGTCTTTCAAAGTTCTGTAATATTTTGAGGTTAAACCATCCGGTCCTGGAGATTTTCCCAACTGCATATTCTGAATGGCACCTTCAACCTCCTGTTCTGTAATTTTATAGTTCAACAATATCTTGTTATCCTGAGAAATTTTTTGTAATCCATTGGTTTTCAAAAATTGCTCTATCTCAAATTCTTTCTGAGGCCCTTGTGTGTATAGTCGTTTAAAATATCTCTGGAAGCATTTCCTAATTTCTTCTGGATTCTGGATATTTTTCCCTTCCACTTCCAAATTAGTAATAGTATTAAGTTTTTGTCGTTTCTTCAACTGCCAGGCCAGCAGTTTCCCACATTTATTTGCCGATTCAAAGGTCTTTTGTCTCATTTGCTTAATTTTCCATTCCACTTCTTGATTTATCAATTTCATATATTGCACTTGATACAATTTTATTTCCCTCAGAATCTCTTGTGAATTGGGCTTCACTCTCAATTTCTTCTCGCCCTCCTTTATTTTTTCCAAAATTTTTTCTTTCTTTACGTTTTGGGCCTTCTTCTTAATTGAATTCTGTTGAATCAGGAAGCCCCTCATAACAGCTTTGCTTGCATCCCAGATTACTCTTTTTTCTACAGTTGTATTCAAGTTTATCTCAAAATAGTCCCTCAATGTCTTTTGGGCCTTCTTAATCACCTCTTGATCTCTAAACAAGGTGTCATTCATCCTCCATCGGAAGGAACCAATAGATGTTAACTTCATCTCCATTCTCACGGCGTTATGGTCGGAGCATGTTTTTGGGCAGATCTCTACCTTCTTAACCTTGGGTGCCAGTCCTCTAGTAGTCCAGATTTGGTCAATTCTTGTCCATGTCTTTTGGGCTTCAGAAAAAAGGTTCCTTCTCTATCAAGGGGTTCTTAGTTCTCCAAATGTCAATCAAATCCATATTGTCAGTTAGTTCAAAAAATGTTTTCGGTAGTCTACCATCTTTAGTAACTACCTCTCTTTGTGACTTGTCCATATTTGTAGAAACCACCCCATTCATATCTCCCATGAAAACAGTATTATAGTCCATATAGTCCATCAAGGTCTCATGCAACTTTTTGTAGAATATAGATTTCCCCTCATTTGGTGCGTATACACCTACTATCAAAAATTTTTCTCCTTGTACTTGAATTTCAATTGCTATGAACCTTCCTTGTTCATCCTTAAAGACAAATTTTGGTGAGAGGCTCTCCTTTGCGTAAATTACCACTCCTCGTTTTTTAACTTTGTCTGATGAAATAAATTCTTGGCCCAGTCTCTTATTAATCAATATTTTCCTATGAAGCCTCATCACATGGGTTTCCTGTAAGCAAATTAAGTCCAATTGTTCTTTTTTAAGTATATGAAATACTTTCCTTCTTTTTTTCCGGAGAATTCAGGCCACAAACATTCCAAGTTAAAAGTTGCAGAGCCATGATGATTTCTTTATTTCCCTCCAACTGCTCCCAATAACTCTTCTTCCTCTGTTGGTGGTTTCGGCTTCTCTGTCTTATCCTCTCCCAACGGTGGTAATGTAGGATCCAATCCTGTTAAAGGGGCTTCTGGCTCCAATCCTTTTTGTAGGTCCTCTTGGTAGTCTCTCAAAAAGTTCTGTTTCTCCTCCACAGATTTTATTTTAATTTTCTTGCCTTTAAAACTGAAAGATAGGCCTTGAGGGAACTCCCACCTGAAAAAAATTCTGTTTCCTCTCAGCAACGTCACCAGGTCCCGATAGTTAGACCTAAGCTCCAAAAGAAGCTTTGGAATGTCTTTAAATATTTCTATCCTTGAGTCTTGTATTGTCAGTGTATTTTGATAATGTAAGCTCAAAATTTTATCTCGTTCCTCTTTTGATCGCAGGGTAATCAGGCAGTCTCTCACTCTATTTTTCCTTGCTCTTCTTCCAAGCCTAAAAGCAGACGTTATCTTGAAATCTTCCTTATCATTCAATTGCCAAAAGTTGGCAAATTCTTGCGTCAAAAGGTCTGCCAGGCTCTCTTTCTCAATCTCAGGTACTGCTCTGATCCTTAAATTGGTCTGTTTCTCCTTTAACTCAAGGACAGATAGCAATTCCTGGTGCGTTCCCAATCTTATGTGGTGCTCTTCAACTTGTTTAATTAAAGGTGGTAATTTTTCTTCAGCAGCTACCGCTTTTTCTCTAGCTTCCAAAGCTGTTTTTTGAGTTTCAGCAGATTGTTCCAGTAGTTTTTTAATCACATCTGTGTTTTCATTAGTCTGTCGGGTCAACTTGTCAATACTTGCAGAATTTTGTCTAATGGCTTCTAAAGCCTCAGCATTTTGTTGACCCAATTTTTCAAAACCTTCGTTCACAATTTTAAATAAACTGGCCAATCCTTCTTCCTCTCCTTGTGGCCCAGCGATGGATTGCCTACGCTGTTGCTGTTGTACAATGTTGCTCTGCTGCCTGCCTTTCCCAGACCTCAGATCTCTTCCTTCCATGGCACTTTATCTAAAAGTCAAGGTCACTCTCACAGTCAAAATTGTTTTGTTATTGTACTTTCCCAGGCTGCTGTTAGGTGGAAAATTCCTCGGTCAATTAAAGACTTTTTCCCCTTTGGCCTCCAGGGGGACACAAGTAATAAAGTATCAAGAATAAAAACTCTCAAACAGCCAAAGAGGCAACTTTTTCCCAAAGTTTCAATTTTGTAAAGTTAAAAGGCAAAAAGATACATTGTCCATTTAGAGTGCTAACAAAGTGTCCAATCTTTCCAAAACCTGGCAGTCTGTCCCCAGGGATTGAGAGGTGGTCTTTTATTTCCTTATTTGCTCTTTAGATTACTCAGAAATAACAGGGGGTAACAAGAAATACTGTCTCTTCTTCCCCCCCTAGTCCAATTATGGGAGGGAGAATTTTAAATCAGAAGTCTGTGTTTCAGTCTCTTTTGGCAGTCATTGGTATCGAACTCACACAGTCTTTGCTTTATTCTTTGTACAGACCGGGAGGTGGACTTCCTTTTTACACCATTCCCGCTTCAGCCAAATTAGTTCAAAAATTTTTGTTAATCCTTGTAGCGTGAAACCTACTCACGGGTTGTAGTTTTGACAGCCGAATTGTCAAGGAAGAAAGGTCAGCGCTCTCCAGCAACAGCTGCACGGCTTCACTCCGCGAAAGTAGCAGACGACTCACAGTGCCGCGCCGCCCCCGTCCTGCTTCGGAGCCCCTTACGGGGTTCCTACGCTGTTTAGGGGCGCGCTCCAGGCACCCGCCGAGTCCCACGACCGCAGGCTTCCTCCGCCTGCGGGTTTCAGAAGGGTCTCCGCTTTTTCGCAGCTTTTTAAAAGCATGCAGGAAAAACATGCATTTAAATTGTACACAGTTTCCTTAAAGTGCACACTTTGTATGCATTCTTTCCATAAAGTAATGCATTTTGTGGGCTTTGTCATTGCACTTCCCCCTAAAATATGTATTTCCAATAAAATACTAATTTTTGGATGCATTTTTTTGATCCCCAAACTAATTTTTTTGCATCGCAAAATTTGGTGAAATACTGATCTGATTGATAGCTGTGCTCCAATCCACTTATAAGTCTGGAGCAATTGAATTGGTCAGTTTGCGTCAACCAGATTTGCCCTCCATCCTTATTTGAAACCAGGCGCTTATTCCCAGGAAAGAATGTATAGGATTGCAACCTTAGAAAGTATGTGCACAGCCAGCGCTCATGTAAGTTCATATACACACTGCCCAGAGGCTTAGGATCTTTTGCTTGAGTTACGCCACGCCCTGGTTATGGATGTGTGTTAACCCTTAACCTCATGTCCACAAGAAGCTCTCTCACAAAGAAATGAAGAAAGCTCGGTTTATTATATAAAACAGAGGAGTAGCAGAAAATATATAAAAATGCTTCTTTAGGCAGCAGAGTTACAGCCTAAACAGGTAGCAAAATACATACATACCTTAAAGAGTAAAAGATTCCAGGACTGGATACCTTTTTATTAGTATTTAAACAACTATTATAGCAAGATGAAAACACAAGCAGGATTTGAAATATGAGCATCAGCCTTAATTATTAAGATAAATACAGTAGATTAAAATGGATGTATTGAATAGTATATGTGAAATATGCAGTATCTAAGGGTAAATATTGCAACCATGGAAGGGAGGGTGGGAAGTTCACAGATAAAGTAATATATGGTCTTTTTTGTTTAGTTTGGGATTTTGTGTGTGAAAAATCAATAAATAAGATTTACCCAAAATAAGAATAATAAAGAGTAAAAGATTCCCAAACTATTCTAAGAAGCCTACAGATGCACGGGCAGGACAATTTTGTCATAAACCCACACTAGAAAGGGGGGGGAGTTTACCTGTCCTTAAGGTGAAGCAGACAGGTGCTGAGTCCTGGGAGCGCTGGGCAAGTTCTGTCCTGTTGAAGGCATGAGAGCTAGCTAACCTTTGAATCGTTTTGCCAGGCAGGCCAGTGGAAAGGGGAGGGGGCTGTGGACTGAGGGATTCCTACAATTTCCATAATGCCTTTCAGAATACGTAGTAAGAAATGGTTAAAACTGGCCATTGTGTTTGTTTAACCAAAGGCTGAAAGACAGCGAGCCGTTTTCTGAACCTGGGCATCCCTGCTACCTGCCCTCAAATCACACAACCATTGAGGACCATTGAGGAGTATCCTGTACTTGACAAATAAATTTGTATGTGTTAACCTTTAAGTCGTACCTTGTGAACTCAGGATATTCCTGAATGCTTTTCAGCAAGTGGCTGGAATCAGGCTTGATTCATGATTACTGGAGTTCATCAGAGAGTCTCTCGTGTCATATGAGAGTCCTGTCAATCTTATATTTATGCCACGATCTACTGAGATACACCATATCATAAGTTCAGGTTCACACACACCTCCTCGCAATGGGAAGTGAGTTTTCTGAAATTGCCTTCGCTGAGAGATCCTGGTGCATGCTGGCTTGTGCCTTACCTTTGCTGCAGGCCTGCCACTAGCGAGGAAGAGCAGGAGACGCTCCGGGGGAAAAGGGCGCGTGTGGTGCAGATGCAGCGGATCTGGGCTGGACAAGGGCCCTCGCAGAAACTGGGAGACCTCATGGTCATGCTAGGTACGCTCTTCTGCTCTCCATTTATCTTTCCGTATTTTTTAATTGTGCGTTGGTTTTGGCTGAATTCCTCACACGATGCTGCCCTTCTATTCCAGGAGCTGTGGGCGCCTGTGAGTATGCTGGGTGCACGCCTAAGTTCTGTGAGGCAAACGGCCTGCGCTACAAAGCCATGGTGGAAATCAGGCGCTTGCGTGGGCAGCTAACAACTGCAGGTAAGACCCCTGGGAGCCAGCTGTTGTTTTCTGCCTCTACGGAATAAGCCACATTTGTCCTTTGTTGGGGGGACGCCAAAGAATCAGCTCTGGTCTTCCTTCCTTCCTTTTTTCTTTTCTTAACATTTAATAATTTTATTATGCTGTTTTACAATCAAAAACATGCATGAAAACACAGGATTTTGGGATGTCCCGTTCTTGAAAGGACTTCCACTTCCCTTCTCCATGTCTCCTTCCTGTTTCCCCGCGTCTGCTATGGAGAGTTGGGGAAAAGCCCAGCAGAGATTCCGTGGGCACTCAGGTGTAACAGAGGCAGGGGAAGGTCCATTGTGCAAATAGGAAGAGTTTGTGGGATAGAACCCTTTTTTCTTTCTCCCTAATATAACACTGTATATATCTTAAGCATGATAAGCACAGTCGTACCTTGGATCCCGTACGCCTTGTGACTCGAACGTTTTGGCTCCTGAACGCCGCAAACACGCAAGTGAGTGTTCTGGTTTGCAAACATTTTTTGGAAGTCAGACGTCTTCCACAGCTTCCAATTGAGTGCAGGAAGCTGTTGGGGCCTAATGTCCAGAAAAATACTTCTTGAAATATTGCTTTCCTTTCACTCATTTTCCTTGCATTCCTTGTTTGCGATGTTCAAACTGAGCCAAAATGTTTTGTGGCACCTTAAAAAGACTCACTAATTGATTGTGACACTTATTTACTCCACATGTGCCCATCCAATTGGCAGAATAGTCACTACTGCAGGTGCCACATAATAACTTTTCCACATTTGTAATAATTTGATCGTGTGGCAGCCCCTTCACTTTGCAACTCCCTGCCTATTGAGACCAGGCAGGTGCCTTCATTGTATTTTTGGCACCTGCTTAAAACATTATTGTTTAGACAAGCCTTCCCAGATGCTTAGAAAGTTGAGGTAATTTTAATCTGTTTTAGTATTTATACTTTAGGATGTTTTAAAGTATGGTTGTGGTTTTTTATTTTTGTTTTACTGTTTTATCTCTTGTAAATCTCTTTGAGTGTTTTTTAAATAATCAAGCGGTGTATACATTTTGTGAAGTAAATATATTTTCCCCATGGGATGTCTCCTCCCCTGAGAGCCTCTTCCAAATTTGAAAACAGGTCTTGCTTCAGTGCTGGGTTTCTGCATAAGCTGTTGTGAACTAATGTTGCTTTTCCTTCAGTTGTCTTTTGCTTTTGCCCATTTGTTGTTTTTCTGAGTTTTGTACAGAGGCTGCTCCTCAGTCACAACCTAGGCCATGTTAACTCAGCCTGGCCTCCTTCAGTTTTCCAAGATTCTCCTGATTTTTGACCTGTTTCTTCCCTTTGCTGCAAGTGAATTCAGTCTGCTCGGACACCGGCTTCTTTGTCGATCCCAAAATGAAGCCCCCGTCAGAAGCACAGGTGACTTTCTTGAGGCAGATAGTCTTGGCAGGCCTGGGAGACCACGTTGCCCGGAAGATCCAAGCTGAGGAGCTCCTAGATGAGAAGTGGAAAAATGGTTACAAAGTACGTGCAGCTCAGTTTATTCCCTTTGGATCATTTATGGCAAGAATTGGGAACCCTTTTTGGTCTGAGGGCCACAGGCCAGTGGTGGTCAGTGGTCAGTTCTTCTCCTGACCAAGCACCTCAGACTGTGTCTCTGTCTTGGTGGCTTTCCTCTGATGTGAAGTTCTTTTTATTATTGATCTGCTTTTACTATTGTCTTCAACCATATTTTAGTAATTTTGGGTGGACTGCCTTTTTCATTAATCACCCGTCTCCTGGTAATTTATTTGCGAGGAGCGTTTTGTAACTGTATTTCTCTTTAAATGCCTTGAAAGAGTTTAATCTCAAAGGTGCCCTGTAGGTATTTTACATATGTTACTTTTGTAATTTAAGGATTTCAGAGTGCTGCCGGGGTGTGTGTGTGTGGTTTGAGGTGGCAGGCGATAGCAAAAGCTATCCCCCCTGCTGTTCTTTTGGGTTGGACTAGACGACTCCCTGGTTCCTCCCAGCTGTACAGTTCTGCGATTGCTGAGCCCCATAGTTGTCCCTGTCAGAGGGTAGAGCACTTTGTGCCCCTGAAGGTACCCCATAACTGTTGGTGGAGTAAGAGTCAACAGCTAATCCAGTCAGCTTTGTATGTTGAATTGGCAAGGGATTCTACTTTTGTGGCTTTTTTTTGCTAAAGCCCAAAGGTTTGCCCCTTTAGAACCAAGTACAAAATAGTGCTTGATTTGATAAGAAGCAAGGGCCAAACAGCGACTCGTGCAAAGATGCAACCAGAGAAGCTGTGCTGTTGCATTGGCCACAGTTGCTTGATCTGTCAGTGTCCGGGCAGAAGAACAAAATGTCTTTTGTTCCATTAATGGACCTTGTGCCTTCCTACTTTTGGAACCTTCCTGGTCTCTAAAGTATTGAGTTTGTTTTTATTTGATTTGCTTTCTTCCTTCTCCACACACTGCCATCTCTTGCTGCACCTCGCCAACCCAGACTCCTCTTCTGGACGATCCAGTCTTCATCCACCCCAATTCCGTCCTCTTCAAGCAGCTCCCTGAGTTTGTGGTGTATCAGGAGATTGTTGAAACCACCAAAATGTACATGAAAGGTGAAATCAGCTCCTTTCCCCTTCCTCTCCTCTTGAGAATAATCCTAAAGAATCAACCCAAATGCTCCTTTATCCCAGCAACCTCTTTGCCTCAGTATCCAGCCAGATGCCTCTGCCAGAAAGCTCCCTGCTGTTAACTGCCTGGCAACTTGTTCTGGAGATAGACTGCCTCTGAAACAGAGGTTTTAGTTACCTATCATGGCTCAATAGTCATTGATAGGTTCCTCCTCCTCCTGGAGTTGCTCTAATGCAGCTGTGGGAAGCATCTGGCCCTCCAGATGTCACTAAACTACAGTTCCCATCATCCCTGACCATTGGCCATGCTTCCTGGTGCCTATGGGAGTTGTAGTTCAAGCAACATCTGGAAGGCCAAAGGATTCCCATCACCTTACTTGTGTGTCACATAGCATGCCTACAGAAATGAGCAGTTTAGGGTGGGCTGTGAGAGCTTTGCAGTGGCTTAAATGCACTGACGATTATTTTTCCTTTTAAAGTTGAGATTGTATGAAGTACAACTTAGTGGCTTTTATGCAGTGTCCCTACAGACTCTTAGAGGAGCCTTAGAAGTTTTGTCATCGGCTCTTCAATAAGAGAGATCAGTGGGAGCAGACAAGTGGCACACAAGAATAGTACACATGCCCTTACCAGTAGTCCCAGCACATGGCTGTGAGAGAGTGCTCACAGGCCTGGACTCAGCACTTTACAGCTTTAGGCAACAGCCAGGGACCTACTGCATTTTATTATTGTGTTTCTCTAACAGCAAGGTTTTAAACTGTATTTTAAATTGTGGTAACCTGCTTGGGACCTTAGGATATTACCTTAGGGCAGGTAATAAATGGGATAGGGGCTAAGCAATAATAATGTGGGGAGCCCTACACCAGGCGGCTGGCTCTGAGATACTGCCATTTTAAATTTCCCACAATGCCCTGGGGTGTTTGGCGTTTCTCCAGGGCATTGTGGGAAACGTTAACAGCAGCTTCCTGGACCACCTACCATTGTTGCCAGGTAAACCTGCAGCACTTAAAAAGGCAGTTCAGTAAAAGCCACTCTTGAGGTCCTCACGGCTCCCCAGAACCGTCTTTAACTGGTCATTTTTGCTCTCCTTAAGGTGTCTCAGCCATTGAACCAGAATGGATCCCGCTCCTTTTGCCTCCATACTGCCACTTCGAAAAACCTCTGGAAAGCCCTCCTCCTTTTTACTGCCCTGAAACGGGTAGGGTTCGATGCCACAGACCAAGTGTCTTCTGTAAGTTTCTCAGGAGCAGCTTGGCTTTTATGGGAAGCGGATTTGTTACTAAATCCACATTAGGAGAATACTGTCATCATGGCAACCGCAATATCACAAGCTTTTGCATTCTCCAGGAGTCTTTGGGGTTGCAGCCAGCGTTAATCCTACTCAGAGGAAACCTACTGAAAATAATGGACATGGCATAACTTAGGTTTGGTATTTCAGTGTATCTACTCTTGAGTAAAACTTAGTTGCATACAATCCGTTCTCAGGGTAGGTCAGGGATAGCCAGTGTGCTGCTCCGGCTCCCATCGGCCGCATCCAGCATTGACAGGGGTTGGGGATGATGGGGTTGGTCCAACAGCATCTGGAGGGCGCCAGGTCAAAAAAGGCAGGTCTAGGAAATGGCTCACATTCCCATCAGGGCTTCTTAATATGAAAGCCCCAGAGTCTACATCATGTCACAGTCTTCAGGCATAAGGGGGTGGGGAGCAGGGATAGGATAGCAGACATTCAGGGGGGACTTGTGTAAGGATCGGGTTGGGAACAAGAAGCAAAATAATACCTGAGCCCCCATCTGTGAAAACACAGAATTGGCTGGCACTCACCAGGTTTATTGCTGTTGCACAAAAAGCACCTGCGCTACAAAGGTTTTGCTAACAATATACACTTGAAATAGAAGTTCTGCTATGAGGATTCCCACTTAGGTATTTCTAGCTGCCATTCATGTCCTTCAAACCTCGCCCATGTGTAGGAGGGGATGAGTGCCAGGGCTGGCCCACCCAGGAGCAGCAGCCTCAAACAGCAAGCTCCACAGGGGCAGCAGGTCCAGCCTCCAAGGAAGGCAGCCGCCACAGCTGCAGTGTGCTCCTTGGAGGCCGGAGCTGCCTCTGCCTCAGCAGCCCCACCCCCTGCTTCCTCTAGAACAGCCTCTTGGCAAATAGCAGGCGCTGCTGGTCTCCCCCCTTTCTCCTCACCTGCCTAGCATGATTCAAAGCAGGGTCCTTCCCTGCAATGCTCTTTGATTCCCACTTCAGCCATCAGGTAGGGTTGGTTTGATTGCTCCCCTTGTAAATCTTCACTCTGCCCTTGTTTCCTGGCAGTGGTGCAAGGGGGGCATTTTGTGGTTTTCCTTAGGCTGGCCCTGCACACAAACGAGCCAGCTTGCAATCTGGAGACTTCACCGCCCTTCTCCTTCCCTCCCGCCTACTCAGCCTTCTGCTGAGAGAAGCAAAATGAAGAGGATGAGTGTGGATTAGTGCCTTAACAAAGTCTTGTAACCTCTCTGCAGATCGGGTAGGCTGGCAGCTTCCTGCTGTAGAAGTGGATTACCCAGAAGGCCTTGAGTGCTACAAATATTTCACCAAGTTCTTATTGGAAGGGAAGGTAAGAAATTTTTCTCCACCTAATTCCTTGTGTTTATATATCTATGTATATTACAGTATTTTCATTGCTGTTGTTAGGATTCTTAATGTATAGATTTTGTTAGTTAAACAACTCCTTGCTTGGAGAACACCATTAGCTGAAATGTATTCAGACTGAGACTTGGCATAAAATAAGAAAACTTATGTTTATTAAAGGAAGTGCATTACTGATAGGAAGCAATTATATAGTCCTAGCTAGGTTTCTCCAACTTAGTTGGAGAAACAAAGAGGCCATGCTTGCCTCTTTGCTCTCAGAAGACAGATCCAAGATGACCTCCCACCTCCCAGAGTGAGAGGAAGAGCAAGTGCAGGAACTTGTAAACAGGATGCAGCCTAAGACTATCAGTCTAAACATCAGAGAGATAATGAGCAGTCAGCATAGTGATGAAGGTATAGGGGTAGTTTGGGGAGCTGGAGATCCCTACCTCTGTCTGTCTTAACCCACACAATCCCCCCTGGGTGCTGAGTTGCACCTAAATGTCCAGTGAGGATTTTGCAAGACATCCTGCGAATTATATTGAAGGGTGGGCTGTGAGTACCTGAAATGAAACAATGAATTCTAATGCTCATTTTCAACAAGCAAATTAATCAGAGCATCAGTGTTTTACAGCTCATTGCCTTAAGGTTCCTTGAAACGCATGGTGGCTCTAAAATTTAATATAAAGCTTGTTCCTTCTTTTAGGTTGTTAAAAAACTGGCTGCCTACAGCTGCTGCTTGTTGTCCAGTCCAGTGACAATGCTGAAAACGTGGTCCAAGTAAGTTGTTGTTTTCTGTACTGCTTTATATTTTTCAGGAAAAAACCACCTCATTAAAGCATTCAATAAAACAATCCAGAATAAAGCATTATTGAAGAAAGTCAAATAAAAAGTATACATTCAAAGCAACATAATTAACACAGGACTTGGTTTGCCGCAAGGGGAAAAGGAAGCCGGTGTTTCTACCACAGCGAACCAGCTGCTGTTTTTGGGTGTCAGAAAAGGTTATTTAACTGCAGCCCATGTTTTGCGAGCCCAAAAATCGAAAGTGAGCAAGGTCCCAGCTAAAGAGGATTGGCAACTTAGGCTGACGGAATATGCAGAACTTGCAGACTTAACACATAGAATAAGAGAGCAAGAAGAACACATATTAAAGAAGAGTGGAAAACATTTATTGAACGTATGGAAAATAGCTATACTATTGTTTGCTTTGCTGGGCCCGTTAGCCCCCCCCCCGCCCCCGTGCAGGAACACGCTGGCTTAGCAGCCCCCAGCAGGACTGATTGCTGCTCTTTGCAGTGCGACCGGGTGGAGAGAGCGAAGGCGACACAGCATCTCCTTCCCTGCCCCCTCCCAACCAGACAGGATTTAAAAAACCCTAGTTAAACATTTCCCACCCCAGTCGATTTGGGGCTGGATCTGCGTAAGGAATTCCTGAAGTCAACTCAGATGGGCGGGGGGGGGGAGGGAGGGGCGTACACAGCCATAGAAACTAACAAATTGCATTACCTGTTTATAGAACTCAGTATTTTTTGGTTTCTTAGAATAACTGAACAATGCTGGGTACTTTCATATAGTCTTCAATGTATTTCTCTGTCAGTTCACTGTGCATTTGGACACCTCTTAAGATAATGCAATCTAATTTTGCATGATAGTTCCCAAGGTCAAGGTGCAGATTATCATCTGTTTGGCTACAGTTAGACATTATTTTGAATCAAGAGAGCAGACTGGACCTTTCAGAACTGCACTGATTTAAACCGCACTGTTTTGGGGGGAAGGCAGGTTGCTCCTGGAGCAACAGGGCACATGAGGCTGAGCAATAAATAAAAATCCAGATTTCTTCTGGGACCATATTTTATCTGAGCGGGGGGAGAGTTTTACTGAGAACTGAGCCATTTGAGTTCCTTCAGAATTTTGAGCATACGTTTAATCCATGTGCTGATTTTTGCCTGTCTGCTTTGGGAATCCCTGCAGGCTGCAACCAAGGACAGAGTCGCTGCTGCAAGCTCTTGTCTCTGAAAATGTGGATAACAGGGATGCTTTACTTGCTGCCTGGAAGAAGAACCCAAAATGTAAGCTGTTCAGATGTATGAGGAGCACACTTCGCCATTCTTGTGGATCTATTTTAACTTTATTTTTGAGCCACATCAACCTTCTACCCAAACTGTGTGTGAGTGTGTGAGTGAGATGATTTGTTGGGTTCTCCCTTGGAAGTATATTGCAACATCCTGGGGCTCTAGCCCCAGGAATGTAGACCTGTGGTCCTGCAGATGTGCTGGAACTATGCCTGACCATTGGCCCATGCTGGCTAGGGCTTCTGGGAGTTGTAGGCCAACAGCAACTGGTTCCCCCTTTGCTGCTTGCAAACAAAGAATCCAAAACTATTTCCTCCCAAATATTTCTGTGTCCAGGGTTAGAATTTCTAAAGCAACTTTTAAGAACGGCTCATGGAGGTAGGTCACCCACTGTACTCTGCTATGGTTTTTGGAGTCCGGGTGACGTCGCAGTAGCAATCAGTTACTTGTGGTTTTGAAGATGAGCACAGGAATTTGTTACCTGTCTGCCTGGAGCAGGTCTTCATAGTTTATATGCGCCAGTAGGGATCATTGCTAGATATGCCACCATACTAGACGATGGGGGCAGAGACTTGGTGTTTGGCCCTGGCATGACCTAACTGTGACTATGCAGCCGGCAGCATTGTTATGTCTGCCGCACACCAGTTGGATTTTGCAGAGTACAGTACAATTTGCTCTGTGGCTTCAGGTTTTTTTTAATGATTTATTTATAATATTTGTTAGCCCCCACTCACTCCTTCCATCAGAACATTCCAAATTGGTTTATAGAAGTGTGTAAAACAGAATAATCTGCACAACAACACTCAGACACCTATGAAGCATCATCTGTTAGTTGCTTCAGGTGTCATGTGAAGACTTACCTCTTCTTGCCCAGACTTCCCTTGACCCATAAGATTTCACTCTGTTTCTGAAATTCTGTTTTTTAAGTGTTCACTCTTGATGGTTCCCCCCTGCCCTTCTCTTTTTAAAGATTTGTTGTCAGAATATTGCCAGTGGATCCCGGAAGTTACACACCAACGGGTATCTAAAATCTGGCCACCCTTGCCACCATGATCTTTCATGCAAGCTCCTACCATCCACCCCGTCCTGGAACCAGCGCCGGCTGTGAAAACACAAGGAAAATCGATGTCTGTATTTGAATGGAAAGAGAGAGTTCATGCTCAAGGAGCAGGAAGCAGGATGGGTTCCCTCCTAAGGAGCACCCCACCCATGATCCATGCAGGCCCACTGCATTTTGGACTCCCACATGCAAAAGATTTGGGGTTGGATTGACTGTGAAGCTGTCATGGGTGGGTGTGTTTGTAACAGGAATTACCAACTTATGTTGGCCCATAGGCACATTTTGGAGGCAGTGCTACCCCCTCCAGTCACTTCTCTCCTCACCACCTGCTTAGCTCTTGTCAGGTTGCCTTTCCCTGTCCCTTCAGGAAGCTAGTGGTCGGGGATTGTGGGAATCAGATATCCAGATGTTTCTGGGCTTGTAACTCCCATCATCCTTGACTGCTGGTCATCCTGGCTGGGGTGGATGGGAGCTGAGCATCCAACAGCTTTATGCCATAAACCACCCTTTGGAGGAAGGATCTTTGGATGAAGGATGGTATAGAAATTTAATATATAGCAACAACCACCACCATCCTGGGTAGCTCATTTGGTTAGAGGGTTGGTGGTGCAGATAATGCCAAGGTCTCAGGTTTGCTCCCCATATGGGACAGAGACATACTCCTGCGTTGCAGCGGGTTGGACTAGATGATCCTTAAGGTCCTTTCCAACTTCACAATTCTATGATTCCATGACTCATTTCTGGAAAACTGCTGAGCCACCATTACTGTGCCTTATTTCTGTTGAACCCACTGTCATGGGAGCTTTGTATGTATATGTGTTATATATATATATATATGCCCTGTGTTTGTAAAAAAATAACAATTGTGCAATAGTGATATCAATGAATTTTTCTGGAGAAAGTCTGGCCTCATTATTGGTTTTTCTACTCCATTGTGTTTTGCCATCTCTGGACTCTGTCTCCTCTCTCTCTTTCCTGATGCTCAGGGCATCTTCCTTCTCCAACCTGGTGCCCTCCAGGTGTGGATACAGCTCCCATCAGCCCCTGCCAGCACAGCCAATGGTTAGGGGTTAGAGGAGTAATAATCCCAAACATATGGAGGGCACCAGGTTGGAGGGCAAGGCTAGTTCAGGCTGTGAGTGCTCATGTAGCCAAAACGGCACCCCCCCCCCATCCAAGAAGATAAGTTATGGGTAAGTGTGGGCAGGAGAGAACCCTGTGCGAAGGGTTGAGGGACAATCCTCAGACCATCCCAGTGAGGATTAAGCATTCTTAGCTACAGAAAGCTAAGTGACTGAAGGATTGGAATGGAAAAGCAGGTGGGCGGGGGAATGAAATGTCTGAAATACTGAGCAGGGCTTCAGCTCCATGTTACAACATTTTCTTGTAGGTTTCCCTATTTGCTCCTCTTGTTTCTGATTCTCAAGTCTGCAAGTGCTGTTCCTTACGTAGGCCAGAACAGCACACAAGAGGTAGCTGGAGCAGCCTGGAGAAGAGGAGGTGTTTCCCCTTCCCCAAAAAGCAGTGTTCTTAATTACCACAAAATGCTGAGATGTGAAAGTGGGGAAAATAGAGAAACAGCTGAGAGAGAGACGGGGGTATTGTGGAGGAGGTTGTGGCTGGCTGGGACACTGAACAGCAGCTGTTCACACAGTTAAACAAAAATGCAGAGTACAAGTCCTATCTCACTAAGAGGCAGTTCCTTTCAAATGAAAGGTGCAAAGTTGGGGCAGCAGCGAGGGGGGAGAAGTACTTACCTGGCTTTTATACATGCAGGTCCTGCTATCTTAATTCAGTGCATTCTCGGGAAATTGTTTGTTAGGCAAATATTCATGAAATGAGTCAATGATTTCCATCAGTTCCTATGGGGAAATTTCTAATGTGTTCCTGACACTGGAGTTTTGACCCCCAAATGATGAAACTTAGGGGAACCCTCTGAAACTTTTCAGAAGGCAAACAAGAGAGTAAAAAATGCTCTTATTTGTCTAATCTCCCACCATAACTTCTAGTGAAAGGACTGCCATGGACCAGCAAAACACAGGAAAGTAAGGCTTCTTTAAGGATTCTTTCTTTACTATGCACAGGTCTGTTCAGCTGGTCTGGGCACTAGATCCTCGGGTTTGGATAAGTGAATTTTCATATAACAAGCATTTGGCTGGCGGGACCAGCATGTAAAGATGATTCCATGCGTGCCTCCCCAGGGAGAGCATTCGCAAAGGGGAGAGAGGAGGACGCTGAAAAGGCCTATTGCGATGCCTTCCCCCAAAGCCTGCCCTGGACGGGGCACACAAGGAAGACTTGAGCCCAGGGGCCTTCTGCATGAAAAGCAGATCCTCTGCTTCTGAAGTACAACCCCTAGCAGGATGTCTCATGGTGCTTCTGCTAAGACGTTACACTTGTTTTATACATGCTGAAAGCCACTGGAACCACATTGTGGTGAAAACACCAGAGTCAGGAGAAAAAGAAGCTGGCAAATATGTGGAAACGGGCTTTCCAGATGCTGCAGGAGTAGAGATCCCACCATCCCTGACCGTACGCCATCCTGGCTGGAGCATCTCCTCAATTAAAAAAAATCCCAATCCCTGGATTCAGGGAGTGCTCACAGAAAAGACAAGTCTCTTACTCATGCTTGGGGTTTTGTGAACTTTTATGGTGCAACTGTTTGAAACCATTATTTCCTGTCTCCTCTTAAGTTTTCTGCTAAATATTATGGGCAACCCCAGCAAGAGAAACTGGGTAGTTAAGGTATAGGTAAAGGACCCCTAGAGAGTTAATTCCAGTCAAAGGCAACTATGGAGTGTGGCGCTCATCTCGCTTTCAGGCCAAGGGAGCCGGCGTTATTCCACAGACAGCTTTCCACGTCATGTGGCCAGCAGGACTAAACCACTTCTGGAGACCGTGGCGGAAACCAGAGCGCACGGAAACACCACTTACCTTCCCGTCACAGCAGTAACTATCTACTTGTGCTGGTATGCTTTCGAACTGCTAGGTTGGCAGGAGCTGGGACAGAGCAATGGGAGCTCGCCCTGTTGAGCGGATTCAAACCACCAACCTTGTGATCAACAAGCTGTGGTCTGAACCGCTGAGCCACCCGTGTGTGCTCTCTGTGCACCATACCTTTAAAGCACATAACTTCTCCAAAGAATCCTGGGAACTGTAGTTTCTTATGGGTGAGGTTTAAACTACAGTTCCCATGATTCTTCTTGTTCTTAATTGATCAATTAATTGACCTGCACTTCACTCTGAGGTTCTAGGGCAGGTTAGAACATGAAAACATTTACTTTAAATGTATGGTATATGTACAGTGTATATTCCACTATGCAGGGGAATATCAATACTTTTTTAAAAAATTAAGATTGAGACCAATAGTGTAGAGTTGTATCTGCCCAAGTAGACCTTTGTGATTTGGGTGGAAGAATTTGACCACTTTCCTGCAGCATACAAACAATGAAGCAGTACTATGCAAAGGTTCATTTTTCTTTTACTGTGCTCTTTAATAGTTGAGTATGCTAATGTTTAATTTCTCTGACAGCCCCCCATCCCTGAATCCTTTGGCACACCATCAACCTTGCAATGAAAATGTATGGTTCTCTGCAGGGTTGGGCAATCTCCAACTGGGCTCCTGCTCCCAATAATTAAGAAAATGATGAAATCAAATGGAACTCGGGTTAGCTTGGCTCTTTAGCTTGCCACAAGGTTCTGCCTTCTAAGGCTCTGATAAACCACCTCATTGTGGCAGCACACTGGGGAAAGATGCAGGTGGCATGCTGTCAGGGGCTGGACAGAGGAGGAGTGGTGGAGACCACCTCCCCATCCTGACCCTTCGATGGAGGAGGAAGAGGAAGATAATATAGATTTACAACAGGGGTTTGCGGGAGGTCACAGCTCAGAGGCAGATGAGGGGAAATTTGGGAAATGATGGGAGAGGCGGAGCAGGCAGCCGGAGCAGCAGTTGGCTGACGCATTGTCACTAGAAAGCATTCCAGACCCTTCATCTCCCAGAACCCGGCAAGCCTTAAAAGTAGGAGAGCAAAGAGCTCAAAGGCAGAGGGCACAGAGGAGACGATGACCAATGAGGGAGTGGGAGAGAAGGGGGGTGGAGATTCACTCAGGACAACGCCATTATCCAAGAGGCGCTCTCTGTAAGGTCTGAAATAAAAAAGAACTGTAAGAAACTTTTCCTGGTCTTTATACTTTTCCAGCAACCAGCCAGGAGCCACTGACAGCACCTTGACACATGCAAGGATGTGGTCTGTGGCTTCCATGGATAAAACTTACACAAGCTGTAGAGAAATGTGTGGCAAAGCTAATAAAAATAAAAATACTTTTGATGCTGATTGGTTTATGTTTCTTTTTTTATGACTTGTCACCCAGAGCCCTTGCAAGTCGTGCATCTTGGCTTCGTTATTTAAGTCTGCTGTTACTTCCTGCCTTACCACACTGTGACTGTATTTTGTGCTACCTAGTGACCAACACCCATTATCTGTCAATAATAATAAAAGAATAAGAAAAGATTTAAATCTTTATAATGATGTGGGTGTTCTTAAGACCCTTTTGGGTTGCCTCAGACTGCATTTTAATTCCCCTGGTTTAGGGGATGGCATATTTGCAGCATTGCCAAAAGAAAAAACAAAATAATATGAGAGATAGTACTGATAGAAATTGAAACCATTGCGTGCAAAGAAAGGCTAAAGACACGTTCTGTTTCATAAATGTAACCAATGGAAGGGAAATAAAAGTGGAGATGCCGGGGATTGAACCCGGGGCCTCATACATGCAAAGCATGCGCTCTACCACTGAGCTACATCCCCGCGACTGGCGAAGGGGCCTCGGGAAGGTTTTACAATGTAAATTGGACTGTTCCACCGGCCTGTTTCCCTCTTCCAAAAGGTTCCTCTTTATCTTTACTCTTTTCGTTTCCTTTTTTCATTTCTGGCATTTCAATCTGAATTAGAGGCTACGTCCCTCTCTAACCTCGAAGGTACAACGGAGTTTTGTTCCAGGAGCAAGATGGAATCTGAAGCTGCAGAGGTCATGCACAGAAGCTCTAGCGCAGACGCAGCAACGTTTCCTTCCCTCTTCCTCCATTTAATGCAATCTACGCCAATGCTTTTCGAATTGCTTCCTGTCTTTGCAGGCTTTGTTGTTTCATGTTACTTACAACCAACCAACCAACCAACCAACTGCATATGGCCCGTATGCAGCTATATGCCACGTCGGGCTGCACTTCGGGGTAACTTCCTCCACTTTGCAAAGCTGCCAAAACAAAGAAAAAGACTTGGAAATATTCTTGCTTGTTTTATCAGCGATTTGTGAAAAACTTTGTTTCGGTAGTTCCTCGTTAGTATAGTGGTAAGTATCCCCGCCTGTCACGCGGGAGACCGGGGTTCGATTCCCCGACGGGGAGGCTGCGGATCGTTTTCCTCCCCTCCCCTGCAACATGTCAAGAACTACGGTGTTTCTCATCTTTCTCCTTTCTAACCAAAAAGGCAGGCTGGCCAGAAGTAATATTACTTCTCAATAATACTGTATATTAATTAATATTAATTAATATTAATAAAACAGTATATTAATATTTAATAATAATACTGTGTATTATTATTATTGAGTCGTGCTTTTCTTCTAATTTTCCATAGGAAGCATTGCCTTGCAAAACAGATTATAAATGCAGAAAAATTGAAAAAAAGTATTGCTTACCGGTAATTTGCAAAAAGGGGACGCGGGTGGCGCTGTGGGTAAAACCTCAGCGCCTAGGACTTGCCGATCGCATGGTCGGCGGTTCGAATCCCCGCGATGGGGTGAGCGCCTGTTGCTTGGTCCCTGCTCCTGCCAACCTAGCAGTTCGAAAGCACATCAAAGTGCAAATAGATAAATAGGTACCGCTCTGGCGGGAAGGTAAAC